TGAAGTTAAATTGCTGAGTCTCCAACGTTCATGACATTCCCAAGGTGTACGTCGTAATCCAGAAATCGGTAATCGGTCAGCATTCAAAGTATCACAAATAAGATCCCAATTGAAGGAATATTGAAGGATCAACTTGATCAAGCAGACATCATCATCTTCTGACCAAGTATTTGGAGCATGTGTATGACTAACAGGTGGTGTAGATGGTTGAAGAGCAGGTGTATCCTTGATCTTTTTCGGTGCAAAAAGCGCTATTGACAAAAAAAAAAAAAAAAAAAAAAAGGTAATTAGTAAATATGACTTTTCGTGACACCTTTTTTTTTTATCTTTTAGACTTACGTGAGATTAAAGGAGTTGTATCGAAACGATTATGTTGCGGTAACGTTTTTATTTTCTTAACCTTAGGATCATAAGGAGATACAATAGGTTCACCATCAATGGTACGTTTGCTTTGAGTAACATGTGATCTTGAAACCAGTTCAATCTTGCGAGACATCAGAGCAGAGAAAGGAACAATTCGACTGAATTCAATTTCATCAAAGTAAGGATCATCATAATTTGGATTAGGTGGTTCATATAATAACAAGTCAGGAAATAAGGCATGAGCGTCTAAATCACCAAATTCTTGTACAGGTAGAGTGATCAAAGGTATGTCAGGATTGAGATCACGAATCAGAGAGCGATATTGCTGTATGGTAGCAGCAGACAAACTGGGAGATGATGGAGTTTTAGAGCTTGCATCGTCTACAGTGCTAGGTGAAAGATGCTCAGATGTCGGTGGAGTCTTGAAAATAGTAGTAGAGTCGAATGTCGGGTCAAGTGGCGTTACAGGTTCCATATCCATTGCCTTGAGATCATCATCTTCTTTTTCTGTTGTATCTAATAGATTGCCATCAACATCCATATTTGTAACTTGGGGACCATGCAAAGGAGAAGCAAGAGGACTGGGTATCTTGGACTATCAATTGATTGATTGATTGATAATTAAAAAAAAAAAAACAAAAGATTAGTACACCTAGTGTATCTTTGTTTCTATTTTTTTTTTTTTTTACCTTTACGCAAACAGTAGATTTATCCTCTACCCAATGCCATTCCATAACAGCACGAGAAATCATAAACGCCATAGCTTTTTTCCATTTTCGTTCTTCTTTGTAGTCAGTTTGCATCCATTTCTATAAATACAAATATCAGTATAACAACTTTCTCTACCTATTCCGAAGTATAATTACCATTTCATCTAATAAAGAATCCCAATGCGTTTTTGAACGAGGTGATGCACGATGACGTTTCAATTGTCGAAAACCCCACATATTTTTGGCTTTGAGGTCTTCAATTCGTTGAATAATCTTGATGGCTTTCATTTCTTCCCTAGCAAGCTATTTGACGTAAAATAGAAATAAAAGTTAAATTCAGCTATTTAAATATAAAGAATTGTATCTTATTTTACCTTCCAATCTTGAGTAGTGATCGTTTTCTTCGCCGTTTGTAGAGCTTTGTGGAGAGGTTGTGCTTTCGCCTTGACTTGCCAAGCAAATAAATCAAGAGTTTGTATTCGATCTCCTCCTATATCACCTACTTTCACACCATTGTACATTTGAGGTTGGCCAATTTTCCAATCAGGTTTCTTTTGTGTAATATGGATCTGTTGTGTTCGTTGTTTCAGTAGTGGTGGAGTTGGTGAATGATGATTCGATTTGGGTTCCTTGGATGATAATGCTCCCACATCCTTTTGCTAGTAAAATATTAAATAAAAATATTAGTATCTATTATTATCATTACCATTAAAAAATATATCACTTACATCAAGACTTGAGAGTATTTCATCTACGCTCTTTGGACGAACAGCACCACTAACACCACGAGTAACCATACGTGCAGGAGGAGGAAGTACACGTCGAGCCAATTTCTTATCCATCGATTTAGATTCTGGGGATTGACCAGCAGATGATGAATCTTCCATAGTTGTATCGTCAGCATATAAATAGTTGCCACTAATTAATATAAAATAATAATAATAATAATTGATGAGTACATTCAAATTACATGCTTTCTCTCCAGTCCATTCCTTTTCTTTCTTTTTTTTTTTTTACCCTAGTTTATGTCGTTCAAGAAATAGTTTTAGTTTATTTTCATCCAATTCTTGAAGATCAACTTTTTCCCAAAAAGCTTTCCATGCACCATCACTACCGAGAGTATCTTCCTCATCCTCCTCTTTCATTCCAAGTAATACAAATAGTTCACGAAGATAATAATGTCGTCTTGATAAAATGGATCTGTTAATAAAGAAAAGAAGATAGTTGAATTATAGTGAAAGAGTGTATACATTCTGTTCTATTCGAATGCTATACCTTATTTTATCGTGTTTTGTTTCGAGAGCGACCAAAGCAGCTTCCGATATATCATTCTAAATAAATAAATAAATAAAGGGTGAGAAAAAATAAACTTGTTTCTTCTATTAAATATTACCTTGGTGAGTTGTATATCATTTGGTTGTAAAGGTTCAGGTGTTGTGTTTGTAGAAGTATCTGAAGGCATTGTCGATAATAAACACCTTTTTTTTCCGTTTCGTATCAAAGTGAAAGTATATTGAGGTCGATGGTTGTACAGAGATCTATGTCCTGAAATGTGAGATCTTGCTGTATCAAAAGGATCGTTTATTCGATAGTATAAAAGACAATACCAAAGGTTGAATTGTCAAACGTATTATAGGCTATAATAAATAAATAAAAAAAAAAGAGTGAGTGAATGAAGATCCATATGAAAAGAAGGATTGATCGTGTCTCGTTTGAAATAAAATAAAATATATAAAAGAAAGATGAAGTAAAACAGGATAATGTTCAAATAGATAAATAAAAAAGTCGTTTGTACATAAAGTAGTGAAAATAGGTGTCAATAGGATGAGGCGTATTTATTGAATTCAACGTTTTGACCAATATAAGAAAGAAGGATATCGAACAGTGAAGGGTAAAAAAAAAAAAAAAAACTATACTAGCAATCAAAAAAGATCAACGAGACACGATCGTCCACTATAAACAAAGAATAATAATATAATAAAATGCTTACATTATAATACAAGGATCAAACTAAGCAACCTGGTATGATAAAATATCGAAAGAAGGATTGCTTATTTTGTATTCTCGATATTAAAAAAAATAAATAAATAAATAAATAAAAAGAAAACTATTTAAGAGTAAAAAAAAAAAAAAAAAAAGAAGACAACAATAACAAAATACAATATGTGACTGACTCCGCTGTTTTTTTTGGGCTGATGGGTGTGGAAAAAAAAACCATGTGACCTCGTTGACACACTCCACTACAAAGCCTAAAATGGAAATTAGAATCAAAAAGGTCTAGTTTATTCATACTAAAACTAACACATAAATCCTTTATCATACAATTAGATAAGCTTTGTATAGCTAGGAGGAGCATACCGGCGGCGGATGAATTTTACAATATATAATGGTAAACTACTAACAGCTGTAATCACTGCCACTTTCCATACAAAACGTCCAGTCAAAATAAATGTCATGTCTATGAAAAATAAAAATAAAAAAAAATTGTTTGTTAGCAGGGATAATAAATAAATAATTAAATAGCTTACCGAAATAAGTTGGTAATAACCACATAGAAGCAATATAAATGAGCATAGTCACTATCTCTGAAACAATCATGATTCGATGCCTGAGAGAATAATATATGAGTCATCCAATGTTAATAGTCATCTATCTTATATATTACCAAGTATTGATTTCCAGAGCAACCATAAGCAATTCATTCAAGATCAACGCAGTGAAAGATATTGATACAATATGAATGAATTCATCTTCAAATAATAGAATAGATAATACCATTATCGCGCCACCTATTATTTTTTTTAAAACAAAAAAAAGTATTAATATCTATTGTCAAACCTAAACTTTTTAATCTTCATTGTACCTTGATATACACTAATCAGTAACCATGTAAAAAATGTACGATAAGAGAGTGATCTTCCTTTGGTGAGATCTTTGTAAAGTTCTGGATAGAGAAGAGCAATATCTTCATTAACATCTTGATCTAATACAAGTGAGAATACTGGAGCCATTGTATATAATGTCGCATAACTATTTAGATACATACATATATATATATATATTCAAATGAAAATATGAGTTAAGTATAAAAATTAATCCATCATTATCATTTTTCCTAATCAAACAATTTTTATTTTATTTTCTTTTCTTTCCACTCACCCAACGATAAGCATGCCTTGATATAAAGCAATAGGGGCAAAATAGAAAAGTGCAGAGAATACAGCTTGCATAACCGAAATGATTAGACCACGATGAATAACGAATTGTGAGAGTTTTGCGGAACGTTTGTAACTATTTCGTCCATGCCACACTAAGAATCAAACATGTACAAAAATAAAGTTAAAATATTATTGAGTTTTTTTTAAAAGTGTCATTCACTTACAAAGTAGTTTGGTCAAATGACTGAATTGAGTAATGGAGAAATCTGCTGCGAGTGATGCTTGTTTGCCTTCTTTGCCTACGATACCAACACCTATATTATATAATTAAAAAAAAAAAAAAAGAAAAGAAAAGAATAAATCGTCTGTCATATCGTATCGTATGATAAAAACCTTACCAACATGAGCTGCTTGAATCATACTAACATCATTGCCACCATCACCAATACAGAGTACACGTTTGCCAGTGTATGACCTGATCAGTCTTGTAATATCCGCCTGTCAATAGTTTATAAAAAATAATGATAATAATAATAATCAACATTATGCATTAATCCAACTCTCCTATCTACAAAATTAAATGTTACCTTCTGGGTTGGTGAACAACGACAGCAAACAACAACCGGTAATCTCGTAGCCAATTCAATAAATTCATCTTGACAACTTTCAAGACATAACTAGATAATCAAAAAAAAAAAAAATGCATATATACGTCAATTTATCCTTTCCATCTATTTTTTCTTACTAGTTCAATAATAATAATAATAATAATAATAATAATAATAATAATAATAATAATAATAATAATAATAATAATAATAATAATAATAATAATAATAATAATACCTGTAATGATTCTCCATCAATCACGAGACAACTATCAGTTTTGGATTGCAAAGCATCAATTTCGTCCATGGCCTCAATATATGATTTCACTATAATACAAATTTTTTTTTTTAAAAAAAAAAGGTCAATCCATCAAAAAAAAAAAAAAAAGTTTAAGGGTCTTACATTTTGATACTTGATGAATGTTTTGATTTCTAGATACCAATTTGGAAGATACTGCAATACAAGTAGCAGTTTCAATTTTGTCACCAGTAAGCATCCATATCCTTAGACCAGCATTACGCATTTGTTCCAAAGTATTCTTGACACCTTCTTGTAGCTTGTCTTCTACACCGGTTAGACCTAATAATTCTAGATCACTTTCCAGCATCCCTTCTACCACTGCTCGCTTCAAAGTATTTCTTTCATGTAGAGCTACTTCTGCTTCATGGTATCTTGATCTAAATTCTTCATAAGCTTCCTCGGACATCTTCTTTTTGGCTACCACTAATGTTCGCAGACCTTCCCGAGCCATATTTCCACATTCTTCATCTAACCAATCGTTGTATTGTACAATTCTTGCCATGACTGCATCAGCACCCTTTTCATAAAAGATAATTTCGTGTGTCTGTCGATCTCGGATAATGATGCCCATACGTTTTGTTTCACTTGTAAAAGGGAAAATGTTAAGGATATCAAAGGTCAATCGTTCACCAGTCGCAATCACATGTAATTCAATCTTGTTGACATCTCTTGCTACCAAAGCCAATCCCATATGTTCTGTCCACTTGACAATCGCTACCTCATCTGGACTTGATGCTTGATAGGTGATATGATCATCAAGACTTACCACAGGTGTTACCTACAATCATCAGAATAATAATAACATTAATAATAAGAATACGCGATTCAGATAATTTAATAAATATCTCAATCATCTCTCCCTTTTACTTACATTATGACATAAAGCCAAAGCTTGTACAATATCTCGGACACGAGAAGCAATATTACGTCGGGCTTTGCCAGAAATCCCTGCCATTCCTAAAAAAAAAAAATAACAACAACGTGATATATAGCAATGTTAATGATTATCTCTTCTATTCATATCTTAATTTATTTTCTTTCTACCTGGTTCTTGTTCGAATGAGCTTGCCAAATGAGTTTGAACTTCATCCATTGTATCCAAGCTATATGACATAGTACCCATGTGAAGTTTCTTTAGTTCCATGTCTATAATACAACCAATACATATATGTATATATAAAAATGGTTAAATACAGTCTCTTGTTATTTGTGATTTTTTAATATTATTATTATTATTATTATTATGAATCATCGTTACCATTTTGTGTCAATGTGCCAGTTTTGTCAGATAAGAGATATTCAATACGACCAAGTTCTTCAGGTAAAGTGCTTGTGCGTACAATGGTACCGTTGATTTCATCGTCGTTCTCTATTTGTCGTGCATAAACCGTCTTGCCCATATCCAGATTAACCCGTAAACTGATAGGTATAATAGACGAGAAAAGGATTAAGAATCGGAATACATAGATATACCATAAACCTTGAAATCCATTGAGTCCAACCATGATAATAGAGATACCAAGAGTAACCAAAAACAGAATCTAAATAAAAAGAAGAAAAAGAAAAGAATGATCAGTCCAGAATAAATACATTCCTTTTTTTTAAAAAAAAGAAAATCATTTACCTTTGCTAGTCGATTGATTTCAATGTCCAATAAGCCAACCTTTGTTTCTGGATGATTTGTATTCATGACCGCACGAGTATCTTTCCCAGTGTATATCACGAAACCAATAGCAGTACCAGAAGCCAAAACAGTATTCATCCACATTGTATTTTCAACACCCAAAGGTTCCACTTGTTCCATTCCCGTATCTTCTTTGATGTGTGTGAATGTACCAACAAAATTATGAATATCTTTATGTGGTTTATCGGCTGCAAAAAACAGAAAAAAAAAAAGCTTAATTCATCATCCTTTTAATATGTAATCCTGATATTTTACCATAGATGCTTCCTCTAACATGTTGTACGTCATCATCTGTCGCTAGTCGTTGTAGTGAAGGTACAGCTAATCGTAATTTCCAATCCGTTTCACCATCCAATTGATCAGTTCGAATAAAACAAGATCCACTTTCTTCAGATGTTCGAAGAAGAACCATGTCCGCCGGTACCTATTAAGAGAGAGAGAGAAAGGTATTGTCAGTATAAAAATCTAATATGCATATAACTCCATCCTTTCATTCTCTTCTTAATCTTTTAATATCATTACCCTTTGATCTTTTCGAAGTACAATCATATCCCCTACACGTATTCTGGAACTTGGTATATTTTGTAATCCTGTTGGTGTCATACATTGATATAGTTGTGAATTGGCCTCTTTATCTCGTTTATATCGTTGATAATCATCTACGGCTTCTTTGCTGATGGTTACCAATAACACAAAACATAAGGGTCCAAAGTAAGTAAATATATACCCTATAGAATAGAAATAAATAAATATAAAAATTATTTTAAAAATAATATATATATATATATATATATATATATACCAATTTTTAAGGCTGGGACGAACTGTGAGAGAGCTACCAACAAAAAGTAGAGATTGAAGAATACGACAAACTAAAAATACAGAAGTCAGAGAGTAATACTTAATGAGTACATTCATATTAACAACATATGTCTAGTTTCTTTTTTTTTTTTTTTTTTTTTTTTTTACTTGTTCAAAAAGGACAATTGGGATAAAGGTAATAAAGTTGTATTTCTGGTTGATCACAGTGTTAGGTGAGAATTTGCGTTTGAATTTATCTACATATAGAAGGAAGAAAAAAAAAGAGAAAGATATCATTTCCTGGTCAGTCCAAAAAACTATCAAATATTATCATCATTATCATTATTGCCATTTACCATCAGTATATAGTGGAACTGTTCTTGCTTTGTACGTTCGCGCCGGTCGTAAGAATTGCCAAGAGAATGATCCTTTTTGCTGTTGTCCATGTCCTCGAGTTTGCTGTTGTTGTCGTCTTCGTCGTAAAGAAGCTTCCTTTAAACCCCAAAGAAAAGAAAAAGATTTAAAATCATATAAATATTAAACATTTGGATATATATACGATTCATTGATTTATTTTTTTTTTATTATTTTTTCGTCCTTTTCGCTTACGCCAAGTTCTTCATCTATAAGTGGGTCTTCATCGCTATGTATGGAGTCAGATGTACGAATTTTTCTATTATCGGACCGATTCGAGAATGGCATGAGTCTTCGTAAGGCTATTGGTCTAGAATCCCTTGGCATCAGTATCCAAAGTAAACGTGCTCGTGAAGAAAAAAAAAAGTTAAATGTATGAAGAAAGGAAAAACAGAGAAAATAAACTATGGATGGATGAAACCAAACCATAAAAATTCATATTCCGCATGGGTTTCCTTAAAAAAAGGCACAGAAAAAAAATATATGATTTATTGATAATAATATTGAAGATAATGTATGATCTAAAACTAGTTTGCTTTTCTGGCAGCAGCAGCTTCACGTTCACGTTTCCGTAAAGCTCTCTTACGAATATCTTTTTGAATGGCTAAGAAAAAAAAAATAAAAATAAAAATAAAAAATAGTAATCAGTATCACCTATTATTTCATGTGATTTTTTTTTCTTCCTTACTATCATTGTGATTCACCCAGAAAGTCTTTGTAAACAAGTTATTGATGGCCCAATTGACAATACCATGTGTATGATAAGGAGTAGAAGTGAAAGGTACATCAGCACCACAAGATAAACCGATCTTTGATAAAACAGAAGTAACATAAGGCTTGGCCAAGGGAATCAATAGAGTAGGTCGGCGAATTTTACTCATAGCTGATACAACAAAATAGGTATTAACAAGTTCAACCACAATACCTTCACTTTTCAATTCAGTACCAAGGGCTTGAGACCAAGTAGCTAAGAACGCTTTACCGGCAGAGTACACAGACAGGTAAGGAGTAGCCACCAAACCAGCAAAAGAACCCAAATTCAAGATTAATCCACGACGTTTTTGACGCATTTGAGGAAGAGCAAGTTTGGTCACTTTCATAGCACCCTTGACATTCACTTCAATAATATTGTTGATTACCTTGTCGTCTTCATCAGCAAATGGAGTAGGAATATCATGATTGGTACCAACATTGTTCACTAAAACACCTACATCCAAACCGTTCATTATTTGTCCAAGTCGTACGAAATCGAGATCATCCCCTTTGGTGAAGTCCATGGCAAAGATCTTTGTTTTGACGTCATATTCCTCAGCTTTTTTTTTATAGAGTAAGTTAGTATCTATTTTTCTTTTTTATTCGTTTCATAGTCAAGACTTACAGATTTCATTAGCAGCAGTTTCCAATTTAGAAGTTGTACGAGATACCAAAAGAATGTTAAACTTGTTTTTAGCAAGTTGTTTCGCGAATTCCTTTCCAATACCATCTGTTGCACCAGTGACGACTAATGACAACATAATAGGATTATATTAGTCATGTCATCTTACCGAAAAAAAAAAAAAAAAAAATAGGAAATCTCTAAACCACCAAAACATCCTAACCAAAAAAAAAAAAAAGTCTTACCAGCCCATGCACCTTGACCAGCACCAAACTTTCGAAGCTAAATATTTTTTTTTAAAAAAAAAAGAGAGTAAATAAAATCAAGTCGCGTGTACAGATAGAAAGTTGAGAATATAGTTTTTTTTTTTTTCTTTTACCGAGATCCCTTTCAAGACATAAACATCGAGTAATACTTTGACAAAAGATGCAAATTTAGAAAAAATATACACAAAACCTATTAAGGCCAAAGTTGAAGTAGTAGCAAGTAAAGTAGGATCTTTAACGATAACGTCCATCGATCAACAATATATAAATATGTGATAAAAGATATAAAAAAAAAAAGAAAAAAAAAAAAAAAGAAAGAAAAAAAAAAAAAGGTTATCAAAGAGAAAAATTGAGTCCAGCAGAAAAAAAAAATAGTAAGGTTTTGAAAAAATCACGGAGATTGAAACCAGTTTCCCTGTCTGCACCCCCATGATAGTTGAAAAACAATAATGATGACAAGGTCATTCATTTCATAACCCAAATGTTGGGTGGAAACTTATGACAATTGAATGATTATTATCATACTAAGAAGATCTTCCTTTTTCCTTTTAAATGGGATATTTTCATGAAGCTAGTCACGTTTCTATTGTTGTTTCTTCTGAACGTTAGGATGATTTCTTTCTTGCCTTTCTTTTTGACACATCCCAAAGTATAAAAATATATAATTCATCGTCAACAGTTATAATATCACAGAAATCATCATGCTTTATTTCAAAACACAAAACTTTTAATGATTGCGTTAAAAAAAAAAAAGAATCCGCTTATTCAAACACTGTATCATTTAAACTAAACTAAATAATTTCATTCTTTTGCAGCACCACTTGCTCTCCATTCACCAATGATAAGACTAATGATTTCATCCATACCAATACCATTCTTCACTTGAGCAAACACAGTAGGACCATTTCCACTATTAGAAAAAAAAAGAAAGAAAGAAAAATAGTAAGTTTATATTATACGAGTTCTAAATGTAACATACCGCATCTTTTTAGCATCTCTTGCCATAACATTCAAGTCAGCACCAACAATTTCGGCCAAATCAGTCTTGTTCACTACTAATAGGTCACTTTGAGTAATACCAGGTCCTATATAAAAATATACCATCGATCAACCAATCAACATCAAAATTCGTGGTAGTATTCATATTCCGCGGCTATTTCTTGTAACTTTTTACTTACCACCTTTTCGAGGTACTTTGTCACCACCAGCCACATCGATCACATAAATAATATAATCAGCTATTATAAAATATAAATATATCTTTCTATTAATCACTTGATTGAAATCATCAAAAAGTTCTATCATTACCTAATTCACGACTAATAAAATAAAAGAAAAGAAAATAAAATAAAATAAAAAAAAATAAAAAAAACAATAATAAAAAAGATGAGCAATAGTTCATTAATATCAAATTTTCACATGTTCATCATACTATACCTATAATTGGCAGCAAGATTATCACCACCAGATTCAATCAACAATAATTGTGTATTAAATTTGGCATGTAAGATTTCAAGGGCATTCATATTGGCAGATACATCTTCCCTATAAAATGTAATAAAAAAAAATAGTCCATAAAATCAGTCATTGAATTACCATCATCTTCCATATATATATTCAAGTTTCTTTTTTTTTTCTTTCTTTCTTTACCGAATGGCCTAAATTCATACAAGAAAAAAAAAAGTTATCAGTTATCCATTCATTCCAATTTCACCCTTTTGAAGCATTTCAAAAAAAAAAAAAAAAAAAAGATGACTTACAGCATGAGGACATCCACCAGTTTCAATAGCAGCAATGCGTTCTTCAGGTAAAGCCTTGTTTCGGACTAAGAATTCAGTATCTTCTTTTGTGAAAATATCATTGGTCACAGCAGCAATGGAATAGGTGTCACGTAAACGTTGACATAAAGCAAGCATCAAAGCAGTCTTACCAGATCCCACAGGACTATTTATAAATAATAATAATAATAATAATAGTTGAGCGTGTATCAATACAATAAATATATATATTACCCTCCAATACCAACAGTAAATGCACGTTCAGACCAATCACGGTTTTGATATTCTGCTTTTGGACGGTCGTCATAAATTCCAGGGTGGTCAAGATCTTCATGAGTATGACCGTGACCATGAGTATGGTCGTGACTATGACTATGGTGGTCGTGAGAAGAAGTAGGAGGAGCAGCAGCAGGAGTATTTGAAATTTTATCTTCAAAACGACAACAAGAACAATCAGACATGGATATAAAAAGGTATAATTTAGAATATAGAAATAGAAAAAGAAAAGAAAGAAAAAAAAGAGTGAGAAAAAAAAAAAAAAAAAAAACTAAAGTATTGAAATCGGAAGTTGAACGAAGAAAAAAAAAGGGTAACTTACCATTTGGGCTTATCTATGCAACGTCGGGTAAGAAACAGAAAACTGGTTCATTATTGGTTCAAGATGTTTATATGTTTAGAATAAATTAAAGTTAAAAAAAAAAAAAAGAGTTTATTTCTTTCTTGAGTTACATGTTGATTTTCTTTTTTTAAAATGAATCCGTGTACATATTAAGAATGCGGATAAAAGAAAAAAAAAGAAAAGTTTATATGAAAAAGTTGGAAGGAAATGTGTGCATCCCATTTCAACCAAAATAGGCAAGTGTTGTAATTTGAATTACCGCGAGTGATAAGCGATAGATACGATTTTTGCGGAAAGACTGTTTTGAAGAGACAATTTGTTTTTTTTTTCTTTTCTTTTCTTTTCTTTCCGTTTCTTTTTATAAAATTTATATCTCTTTCATTTTGTCTATACCATGCGTCTTGTTCCACGTGAGCTTGACAAGTTATTACTTCATCAAGGTAAAAAAAAAACAATAATGATTTTCCTATAAATATAATTAATTAATGATATTATTATTATTATTATTAGTGGGTGAACTTGCACAAAAACGATTAGCAAGAGGTGTTAAATTAAATCATACGGAAGCAACAGCATTAATCGCGTCACAACTATTAGAATTAATGCGTGATGGCATTTATTCGGTGGCACAACTAATGGATATGGGAAAACAAATGCTTGGACGACGACATGTTATGAATGAAGTCTTGGATATTTTAGATGAAGTTCAAGTAGAAGGTACTTTTCCTGATGGAACCTATCTAGTCACTGTACATGATCCTATTTGTACTGATAATGGAAATTTGGAATTGGCTCTTTATGGTTCCTTCTTACCTATTCCTTCCATGGATTCTTTTCCTTTACCTATGACTGAACGAACAAAAAAGGATGCTCCTGGTGCCATCATTGCTATGCCTGGAACAATTGAATTGAATGCTGGTAGAAAACGACTTTCTTTGACTGTAACAAATCATGGTGATCGTGCTATTCAGGTAAATAAAAAAAAGAGAAATGATTATACCCAAAATTAGAAAAATTAGAGTGAAAGATGGTTGGACGATCGGGGAAAGAAAAAGATTAGGTTTGGGGAAAACAAAAAAAAAAAAAAAAAAAGAGGGAGTGATAGAAAATAGGATTTATTAATTTCCTTTTTTTATCATATTTTAACAGGTTGGATCTCATTATCACTTTATTGAAGCAAATGCTGCATTACATTTTAATCGTGCTTTAGCTTATGGTATGAGATTGGATATTCCTGCTGGATCAGCTGTTCGTTTTGAACCTGGGGATTTTAAAACAGTGACACTTGTAGAAATTGGTGGCAACAAAATCATTTCTGGTGGCAATAATTTAGCATCTGGTCCTGTGGATTTAATCAATTTACCTTCTATTATTGAAAATATCGTCTTGGCTGGATTTATGCATGATGCTAACACTCCTCTTTTACCAAATGCTCCTCCTTACACTTTGGATCGTGATTATTATGTAGATCATTTTGGTCCCACCACTGGTGATTTGATTCGTTTGGGTGATACTGATCTCTGGGCTCGTGTTGAAAAGGATTATACTGTTTATGGCGATGAATGTAAATTTGGTGGTGGCAAAGTACTACGTGAAGGCATGGGTCAAGCTACATACGCATGTGATAAAGATGTATTAGATTTAGTCATCACGAACGCTCTTATATTTGATTATACTGGTATTTTTAAGGCCGATATTGGTATCAAGAATGGTATTATTGTGGGTATTGGTAAGGCTGGGAATCCTGATGTCATGGATGGTGTTACTCCTGGAATGATCGTGGGTGCAAGTACTGAAGCTTTTGCTGGTGAAGGAAAAATATTTACTGCTGGTGCTATTGACTCTCATGTACATTATATTTGTCCTCAAATATGTTATGAAGTAAATTTTTTTATTTATTGTGATGGGATGATGATAACTAATGATGTTTTTTTTTTTTTATGATAGGCCTTAGCAGGAGGAATCACTACTTTGATTGGGGGAGGAACTGGACCAAACACTGGTACCAATGCTACAACGTGTACCAATGGAAAACATCATGTCGAATACATGATGAAAGCAACAGACGATTTACCTTTGAATTTTGGATTTACTGGAAAAGGATGTAGTTCAGGAAAACAAGAATTAGTGGAACAAATTCAATCTGGTTGTTTGGGGCTTAAGGTTCATGAAGATTGGGGTGCAACTCCTGCTGCTATTGATAATTGTTTGGAAGTATGTGATGAATTGGATGTGCAGGTATGATAACAATCATAAAACAAGAAAAAAAAATTATAAAAATATAATCATTAATCTCAATCTTTTTTTTTTTTTTTTTTTTTGTATTCAAGACTACTATTCATACCGACACATTAAATGAAGCTGGTTTTGTAGAATCAACCATAGCAGCATTTAAAGGACGAACAATTCATACTTATCATAGTGAAGGTGCTGGTGGAGGACATGCTCCTGATAGTAAGTAGATCAAATCAATGAATGATCCTAAAAATTCACTTCTTTTCTTTTTTTATGTGTAGTTATCAGTGTTTGTGGAGAAAGTAACGTATTACCATCATCAACAAATCCTACTCGACCATTTACCTCCAATACTCTAGATGAACATGTGGATATGCTTATGGTTTGCCATCACTTATCCAAAACTATACCTGAAGATGTGGCCTTCGCTGAAAGTCGAATTCGTGCGGAAACAATTGCAGCTGAAGATGTACTTCAAGATATAGGTGCCATTAGTATGATTAGTTCAGATTGTCAAGCAATGGGTCGCGTTGGTGAAGTAGTTTTAAGAACATGGAAAACAGCACACAAGATGAAATTACAACGTGGAAAACTACCTGAGGATGAAGGACATGAGGATGACAATTATCGTATTCGACGCTATATTGCAAAATATTCCATCAATGTGTAAGTAAAAAAAAAAAAAAAAAAAAAAAGGTAGATTGAAGAGGGAGCTTTATACTGATGTTTTTTTCTTTTTATTATTATATATGTATAGTGCTATTGCTCATGGTATTAGCCATTTAGTTGGATCTATTGAAGTTGGAAAAGTAGCTGATCTGGTATGCTACGAACCAGCATTCTTTGGATCTAAACCAGAAATGGTGATGAAGAGTGGAATCATTGCATGGAGTATGATGGGGGATGCCAATGGATCAATCTCGACAACTCAACCTATTGTATTCAAACCAATGTATGGAGCCCAACCATCAAGTTTATCATCAAGCTGTTTTGTATTTGTGTCTCAATTGTCTGTGGATACCGGTACAGTGGAGAAATATGGTTTACGGAAAAAGGTGGCACCTGTCAAGAATTGCCGAAATATTAGCAAGAAAGATATGAAACTCAATGATGCTATGCCTGTGATTCGTGTCGACCCTGAAACATACTCTGTCACTGCCGATGGTAATGCATGTGTCTGTGATCCAGTGGATACCTTACCAATGACCCAGTCTATATACCTCTTTTAGTTGTTGTTAGAATAGATTCTTCCCATTATTGTTATTATCATTTTTATTATTATTAGTATCATCGACCTTTTCCTTTCATATTGTAATTCTAGTTTGTTCATAGTTTAATCTCCTTTTTTTTTTTTACTTCATCATTCGGGTTATATCGGATACTTTAAGAATTTCATCCTTCTTTCCATAATATTATATGTAATAAAAAAAAATTTGATATCATTTTACCTTTTTTAGTGCCTTTTCTCTTTTGTTTTCATTTGATGGATGAAAATTTGGTTTTTGTACGAGTATTATTCAGTGATACATACTTCCCGAATGTCGGAACTCAAACTAACGTTTTCAAGGGACTGAAACTGAGGGGAAGAGAGAGCGTGCGATTCTTTTTGCCATTATGGTCAGTGCACATACTTGCTAGGCTTACCAATGAAATTGATTCTTTCTATAAGTTTCTGCCATTTCATTTGATTCAAAAATAAACAGAACTTTATTATAGACATTCAGAAATCAACCTTCCCCATATCAAACACCATCATCTTTTAAACTGCTATCATCATCAATTCTTCATTATCCATCATTGTAGACTCATCATTATCAGGTTCCTTTTGTTTTTTTTTTTTTAAAAAAAAAATACAGTATAGTCACGTTCTATAGTTTTCTATATAACATGTTCCGATCGGAATAGCAAACAAATTTATACAAGTTTGATATTTTTAGATAAGATTTTGTAATCGCTCATCATCTATAGGTTCATCCGATCTCCATGGGCTCCTCCTCCGTTTTAATTATTTTTCCTTTTGATTTGGGTCCCTTTTCCTGATCTTTCTACCCCCCTTCTTTGTCCTCAGTTCATACTTCTTTTTTTTTTTTAAAAAAAAAAAAATCGATGGCTATTCTTTCCCCCGGTCGCACTAGCCCATGCAATCAAGGAAATACTTCTATATTTGGAAGTAAGTACAAAACAAAAAAAAAAGAACGTGTTTTATGTTTTATGGGATCATCATGGTCATTCTTTCATTTTCGTTTGGGTATAATTTTATTTTATCTATGGTAATTCTGGAAATGATACTAACTATGGTCAATAAAGAGGAGTGGGGGGAGGGGATAAAAAAACAGTAATGACTAACAATGATGATGATATAAAAGTAGATGTATGTATATATAAAAAAAAAAAAAAGAGAGAGAAATTACTAGTAAATAATCAAGAATAAGGACGAATGTACCATAAGGATCATATAGGATGATGTTTTCCCCATACATCCCATAATCGTTCACTAAGAGTTGCTGTCCATCGACGTCGTTGAATTGCATCCTTTGTAGCAAGCATTGCCAGCTCCTTCCCACGATTCGGATGACTACTATCTTGATTTGCTGCTTTCATTGCTCGTAATAGATGGTATGGTGTAGGGTAAATCCGTCCAAGAGAATATGCTTTTTCTGCAGTGACACCACGGATAGTCATCAGCATCTTGGTATAAAGGTCTTGGAGTGTTGATGATTTGGATTTGCTGTTGATTTGATTGAAAATATGATATGGAATGACATGATAATTTGCCGCATGGTCCTCTTGTTGTTGTTGTCGTTGTTGTAGAGATATTGTCGGTGTCAGTTCGTTTTTCAAAGCAAGATAATTGGTCCTATTAATGAATCGTGTAGGGATTTCCTGAAGGGTCACATTCTAGAATGATTAAAAAAAAAAAAGTTGATTAGTCATTTACGGATGAATTACCCTCTTCATATAAATTATTACCTTGTATAATTTTTGTATCAATTTTGTCAAACAAACAAGATAATCAATAGTTTCATCCAGACTGTTAGTGCGTTTCAGGTAGAATCGATCAACGGCTTGTACTGAAGACATGGCAGATTGGATGGCTTGAGTACCGAATTTGACCGCACATTCTTTGTTGTATTCTTCCACAATATAAAATACTTTGCGAGAACCACATTGTTTTAGTCGGTACTATATATATATATATATATATTAAAAATAAAAATCATCATCATCAGAAAAAAAAAAAAAAAAAAAACTCTATTTTCTTTTTTTTTTCTTTTGGTATTTTACCTTTTGTTCATAAAATCGACCATCCTTGACACTAGATACTAGATCATCCAAACGTTTTCTTTCCACCACAATGTCCAAGAACATCTCTTCTTCAGTATTCACATGTTTGGCTACCCAGATAACATCTCCCAAATCCAAAGCACGTTTTACAACATTCACACCTTTTTCATCCAGTTTATCTTGAATATATTCACGGTTGGTTTTCATCTTGATTTCACGATTGTCGAGTACCATAACTATAGTATATTCGTTTGGTTGCCATATACTCCCTTCTTGTCTTGCTTGAGTTGCCATGGTAGGAATATCTAATGTTGTTGATGTTGCGCTTTGTGATTGCACTGGGGATTCTATACCGACGTCCATATTCGACATTGCTATTGCTGTTGTTGATTGCTGGCTCTGTATTGATTGTGAAGCCGGTTGCGATGCGGGTGAATCTGTATCTCTTGTCATCAAATAGGCACTACGTTGTTGAGAAGATGAAGACACATCAGGCCAGAAATCAGAATGTTCACGTGTCGATTGTTGTGCTTCTTGATGTAATGGTAATAATGGTCTTGCAGGTAACCCAGGACATACAAGATCCGCTGTACTTTCTTGTAAGTAGGCAATACATGTCGTATTATTCACATGGCAAAGTGATGATGTACGCGAATGACATCTTTGTTGTGGTGAGAACTGAATCTTGTACAAGAGGCATCCTATCGTTTCTGAGGAAAGAAATATATATATATATATAAACGAAAAATAAATGTGTGAATGATATATGAATTGAAAATTTGGCTTCCTTACCATCGACTTTCACTTCAGCTTGTGATAAATGACGAACTGGTTGATTCATAGTGTCCAGATAGGTATATTGAAAGACACCTCCGAACATCTCTGTCGTTTCCTAATTATAGATAATAAATAAAGGGAAAAAAAAAAGGTTAAATCATAGATAACCAAATCGATCAAATCAAAACTCTTACCGTATCTTGTTCAAAGGAAGGCAATGATGATAAAGGAGGAGATGGAGAAGGCGATAATAAGGTGATAACATCTGGTTCATTGAATGATGATTGTGTTGCTGACTGATTTAGTGTATTATCTTCGTCATGTCGTTTTGAAGGCGATGACTTCCTTCCTTGTCGAAATGCTACCGGATCTAACACATATAAACTAAGATCCACTTCTGGTTCAGACGTAGTTTGTTGACTTGATTGTTGTGCTGTTGATGTTAAATTCCTTTCTCGTCGATATGCTTCAGGATCCAATACATATAAACTAAGATCTACTTCAGGTTCGTCAGTAGTAGAATTCAAAGAGTCGGATGTAATTGTTCTTGGATTTCGTCCAATTGCCCGAGATGATGAAGATGATGCACCGTCGTCGTTTGTTGCATTTTGTAATTGTATAGCCATGAGTTCCCCCGATTCTGTTAGAGAAAACCGCGCTGGACTGCCGTTCTGCCATACATAGCCTTTTTCCTTCAATATTTTGATGCCAGACCATGCTGTGTAGTTTGACCCTGGTTCTGGTAGATCCATAGACGTGTTACAGAATTGTTGACCATAACGAATGATTTCTTCTTTTGTAAAAGCGTGATTTCCTCCTCCTTCGTTCCCACAACAATGTAGAAGAGATAATAGAATGGCATATCCACCTGTTCGATATCGTGGTATATAAGGTCGTGAAAGTCGTTTTCGTCGTTTTGTTGCAGGATCGTCAGAAGAGTTGTCCTCCATTTCTGTTGTACTGGTAGATGCTTTTCGTTTCCCTATCAAATAAATAAATAAAAAAAAAAGTTCAGAGCTTCCATTAATATCGAAAACTCTTATCCTTCTACTTTTACCTTTGGTGCGTCTAGGGACAGGTAATCCATTTTGTTCACAATAGTCTATCATTTTCTTCTCCAAGCGTAAAGCAAGTTTTGGACCTATACCTTTCAGTTGTTGAGATTCACTTGGATGATCAAACGTTATAGGACATGCTGATAAAGATTCATAGGCCTATTTTTTTTTAAGATAAAACAGAGACAAAAAATCGATCAATGAATTCATTCAACTATACCGTGTCTTCAATTTTACCGCTTTAAATGTATAATAGGATTTCGATTGAAAGTTTTTGGCTTCTTCCATCCATTCTGCCATCCAGTCGCGTAGTAAAGGATTACCACAATCAGGTCGCGCTCGAGGCATATCTGTACCAAAATGAATGTATGTAATAAAAAGAAGGAAAAAAAAAAAAGAAAAGAAAAGAAAAGAAAAGAAAGACAAAGAAGAGAAACTTTCAAAGACAAAAAAAAAAAAAAAAAATTGAGGCACCGCTTTATTTCAATCAAATGCTAGGTTCTAAATCCTCATTCAACGTTTGTACGAACATGTTTTGAATATATTTTGACCACAGATGTTTACTCTCTGGTTCATCATCATCATCCACCATATCTTTCGCAAGTTGATAATAACTTTCCACTGTTAAATCCGTCAATCCATAAGCTTCATAGGTATCATATTCCAATTGGTATTCCAAAGGCATCCTATTATTATGATTATCTTCTTCCCATTTGGTGATATTGGCATAATATTGTTGATACCCTAATAAAGTTCCATGAGGCTGAGCAGAACCATTTTCTTCTTCATTGTTGTTCATCATCTGACCAGAATGGATGACATGATCATTATCATTGTCATTGATTTCATAGCGATAGATCCTAAATGAAGGTAAATACACCGGTAACACTGAAGGGGAAACTTGAATCGCCACTAATGGAGTAAAAACAGGAGCTTGTTCACCTTGTTCAGGAGGATCAATGGATGAATACATATCCCGCAGCCAATCTACATATGCATTGATATTCCGATTGATGCATATATCTTGATCATCACCATTGTCCACAACAGGCAAATCATCATCATCATCTGATTCATATTCAGTTAACCGATCCAAAAAAGAAGAAGAAATATTGGTAGAACTTGACATCATTTGTGTTTCCCTTCCATCAAATAATAAAAAATGATCCATATTTAAATGTCCATAAAAATGACCTTTCAATACATCTGGGAAGGCAGCAGATATACGAGTATAATCCTCAAAGCAACTACGACGATAATCACGAGGAGAAGGAGGCACGTGTCCCATGACATAGACCTTGACGGATTCACTTCTTGCTTTTACTAATTGTTGTTCAAACCATTCCATATGTTTATGTGCAAGTCCCGGTTTATGGCAACCACGTACAGCGTCATTTTTTGAATAAAAATACATGGTATTGAGAGAGATGATCCGTAGATGACGTCCTACATCGACAGCGAAATAACCTCCTGCTTGGAAAGTAGCTTGTTGATCTTGTGGTATCCAGTTATGCCAAAGTTGAGAATAAAAAGATAAAATACCATGATCATCATCACCACCGATATAGTTATGTGGATGAACGTCATTGTTGCCGATGGATGGTACTAATGGTATATGTCTTGGATCATCAGGTGTTGGCCAAAATGTTTCTACCATCATATCTTGTATCTTTTCATTCAATTTATAAATATGTTTCCTTTTGCGCTTGTGTTTCTTATCCCAGTCATGTCTTGTATAAATCATCATCATCAAAAAAAAAAAAAAAAAAAAAATAGGTGAATGAATGGATCATAAAAAACATAGATGTATCCCTTACCTTGCATTATCACCAGTCCATACAACAAAATCAAGTTTATGTTTCCATTCTTTTTTGAGCCAATTTAAAGTTTGTTGAGCCAATTCAATTGGACTATCACAATGCTCTCCTGGTGTTCCTAATTTTCCAGATAATGTAATTGATGATGATGACGATCTTTGTGATGGTGATGGTAATCGATGGCAATCGGAGTCCACTGTTGCCCCAGGCAAATACGATTCGTCGATCTATTTAAAAAAAAAAAAAAAAAAAAAAAGGAACCAATGAAGTGAATACAAAATAAAAAAAATAAAAATAAAAAAAAGGAAGTAAAAAATAGGATCATCTTACATGCATATCGGTGATGTGTAAAAAATAGCCAAAACGTCTTGGAGGAGGTTCTGAAGGTCTACCCCACCATTGCCAAGAAAACGTGGCTATAGTGTGCAATGTCTGAAGTTCAAATGGTAGTATAATCATATACCATATATAAATGGAAATCATGATCATCATCATATAAAAGGTATAAGATGATCGATATAATGTCATAATGATAGATATAAAATATTATTAAAAAATTGAAATGATAGAGATACCGGGATTCGAAAACCAGCAAAACGATGAAAAAAAAAAAAAAAAAAAAGGAAGAGAAGAATAAAAATTTTTTGTTTCAACTTGTAAAATTTGTATTTATACTTATAATAATAATAATAAAAAAAAAGTTTCATTATCTCCCATTTCGTTTATTCATATTTTCCCCTTATATCATCATCATCGTCATCTGTTGTATAAAACAGGGGATTCGGATGATACCGCTGAGACAGGCGCATGTAGCCATATCATCATTATTATTGGGTAATCCGCAGAAACCGTTGACATATCCAGGGGGTCAACCCATAGCATGACTTGGATCATCGCTACACAAACTAATTGACTAACTGATGGACTTGATGATTTCTCTTTTTCTTTTTTTTTTTTTCATGATCAAAAGTCAAGGCTGAAACATATAAATATAAGGACACTTTATTTTAAGATTAAATCGATTCTTATTATTACTATTTATCTATTGAATTGTAGTTTAAATGATAGTCAAATAATTTTTATTTAATCACGTTTTTATTCAATAATAAAACAACTTTAATTTCATGCCTTTTTTTTTTTTTTTATTTTAATCACTTTCTTGGTTGCCCCATTCTCGTCGGCTTTGAAATCTCAATTTCTTTAAAAATATTGTCTCCCTTTATTTATTTTCTGCACAATAAAGTTGTTCCTGAAAATGACATATCGAATGACCTTCTTTTTCTTTTTTACGTGAATGTTACATTAATTGGTCATTCTCAATTTTTTTTTTTTTTTTTTTTTGTTCAAATGACTTTTTGATAGACCCTTTTTCAATCTCTTCTCTCTTCCTTTTTGGTACCTCGTATTTTTGATTTCCGCAGTTCTACTAGCTGGTGGTATCAGTGAGGTGACTGGCGGCTTGCAATTTTTTTTTTTCTTCCTTCTTTCCAGCACTTTTTTTTTTAATCTATTTCTTTCTTTCTTTGATTATCACCATGGCACCACCAAAAACAACTGTTTTACCTTCTGATATCAAAAATAAACACAAACGTGAAAATCTTTACCACAAATTACGTAAAGAAAAACAAAAAGCGAAGTCTGATCGACGAAAACAATTGGCTAAGGATGAAGAAAAGAATCCTGAATTGAAAGAAGTAAGTACTCTATCCGATCTAGTGAACAATTCGAAATAAAGAAAAAAAAACCACTCACTGTTTTTTTTTTTTTTTTTTTTTGATAACTTTATTTATTCTTTTTGGTTTTTTTTTCCTTATCACAAAGAAACGATTACGGGAAAATGTACCTAAAACGTTGGATAATACTCGAGAAAAGGACGACACTATGGCAGAAGGTGACGATGAAGTGGCAAAAGACGAAGCTTTAGATGAACTTGCTGGTTACTTTCTTGGAGAAAAGTCAAAGGTTGTGGTGACTACGAGTAAATGCTGCTCAAAGGTAATAAATAAAAAAAAAGAAAAAGAAATATCATTCAAAGAAGTGAGATTCGATCATGATATTGATCCTCTTTTTATTTTATATATATATTTATATTTTGACAGGTGTGTTATGAATTTTGTGCTGAACTCGTCTCCATGTTCCCAGATGCTCAATTCGCCAAACGAGGAGCCAATCATGAATTACGACATATTATCAAAGTAGCTATTGATCGTGGATTTACTGATATGCTGATAGTGAATGAAGATAAGAAGACACCAAGTATGAATACAATCTCTCTATTTTTTTTTTTTTTTGGGAAATATTTTCTTACTGTTTTACTCACTTATGTTTTTATTTGATCTAATAGATGCTATTACTTTGATCCATCTTCCTGATGGTCCCACTGCTTATTTCAAATTGACTAGTTTTGTTCCATCAAAAAAGATAGGTGTAAGTAGGATGTTATATATTATTATTCTGAGTGAAGTATATCAACTCACATTATTGTTCTTTATTTAGAGTCATGGCGTTGTGACAGCTCACCATCCAGAAATCATTCTCAACAACTTCAATACCAGATTGGGTCATACTATTGGTCGTATGTTCCAAGCCCTTTTCCCTCAAGTACCAGAATTTCAAGGAAGACAAGTTGTTACATTCCACAATCAACGTGATTTTATCTTTGTACGCCGTCATCGTAAGTAAAAGAAGAAGAAAGAAAAAAGAGAAAGATAGTTTTTGACTGAACTCTTCTTGATTTAATGTGTTGCTTACGATGATTTGATTATTTTGTAGGATATGTATTTAAGGATACTGAAAAGGTTGGATTACAGGAATTGGGACCAAAATTTACTTTGAAGCTCAAATGGTTACAAAAAGGAACTTACAAACGTGATGGTGAATACGAATGGTTCTTCAAGCCTGAATTGGAAACAAGTCGAAAACGATTCTTTTTGTAAACGTCATTCCTGTCCACCATTTTATTTTTGTTTTTTATATATATACAACATCATCAATCAGTACTTTATCATCTTCATTATTTAGTTTTCTATATTTCTCTATCTTTTTTTTTTTTTTTTTTTTTTTTTGTACATTAGACAAGTTTCTACATCCTCTATCTTTCTTTATGCATTCTTCTTTATACAAAATTCCCCCCTTTTTTTTAATAAATAAAAAGCATGATCGAAAAAAAATAATATTCAAAATACATAATACGAATAGATTTTTTATTCAAGTTCTAATTTAGATATAATATCTTTGGTCATACAATAAACAGGATTAATTGGTTTGAGTCCAGGATATCCTAATAATGAGAGACCAGCAAGTCCAAATACCGTATGAAATACATCCACCATATCACCAGGTCGATCAGAGATACCACCTTGTTCAGGGTCCTTTGAATTAAGATATGAGGTTTTAATGTCATTCCATCTATATATCAATTTTTTTTTCTTTTTGTCATTTTTCTTTCTTTCCTACCTGTGCTGAAAGAATAAAAGCAATCAATTTTTCCTTGTCAATCCAATGTGTACGACCTAGAATAGAAAGTGATGAGAGAACCCACCAAGAATAACATACCTATACGAAAAAAAAAAAAAAGAATCAGAATTTATATATATATATATATATATATATATATATATATATATACTCTATGATATAAACTTACGTCTTCTAATTTTTCAGGTCGTCCATTTAATCCACCATTTTTCAATTGTCGTTCACATAACCACCAACTTAGTAAATCAACATCCACATGATGTAAGCCTTTCACAATAGACAAAGCAGCAAGACAGCAAAAGATCTGACCTGAATGTGATTCACTACCAGGTCTACTACCGAATCCACCATCATAGTTTTTACATAAAAGAATCCATTCTACCGCCTTGTCCACATCAATAGCATCCAATCGTTTCAACAGAGAAAGTGTTGCAATAGCAATATATGAGAATCGTGAATCCAATTCACCCCATTTGTCCCCAGAAAAAGAGCCATCCTCATTCTGCAAACTAACAATATCTACATACACAAAAAAAAAAAAAAAAGTGACTAAGCATGATGATATAACACCCTCTCCTGATATTTTTCTTTTTCTTAACACAAATTGCTTACAATCCACTACTTGATCAACATTAATGGATTCAACAGCATCCAAAGTCACCAAAATCTGTATTGCCGAAAGAGTTGATAATATATGAGAGTCATGGTTTTCATGTCCACCAAAACCACCATCTTGATTTTGCACTCGTTGAATGTAATTAATGACTTGGTCCCTTGGTAAAGCATCAATATGGTTCATCATATCCAATGATGTCAAACCCCAATAAAGTCCACTTACGCGCAAATGTTCAGTAAGCCAATATTCCAAATCTTCCTTTCTATTATCAAGAGATTGAATGTATTTCACATGTAAAGGTATTAAAAGTTCAGTTAAATGTGTTTCATCATCGTCGTTTGCTGTAGTCATCTGATAAGAGAATAAAAAGAAAAAGAAAAGCAAAAGAAGAGAAACAAAAATGAAAGTAACCAAGAAAGAAAGAAAGAAAGAAAGAAAGAAGAAAGAAAGAAAGAAAGAAAGAAAGAAAGAAGAAAGAAAGAAAGAAAGAAAGAAAGAAAGAAAGAAAGAAAGAAAGAAAGAAAGAAAGAAAGAAAAAAAGTCGGGGCATGAAATTCAGATTGCAAAATAAAAATTATCTTTTTTTTTTTTCAACTTTACCATTTGTTCCTTTACTATCGAATATTATTATGGATCGCCCAAAGAAGATAGCAAATATCATAGAAACCTATTTTAGTGATGCAAATCTCTTATGGGACAAAACGATGCAATCGTATATCAAGAACAACACCGATGGATGTAAAGTAAAATCATTTCCTTTAGCTTTTTTTGGTTATTCACCTAACTTTCCAAACTTCTTCTTTTATATAAGTGGTACCCATTGAAAAATTAATCAAGTTACAAAGAATGAAACCATTACAAGCAGATTCAGAGGAAATTAAGGAAGCTATAAAAATTTACTCTCTCTCCAAACTCAAGGTAACACACACGTGAATTCTTTTATATATATATATATATTATGCACTTATAACCTTGTTCTAAAATAGATATCCGATGATCATCTCTCTATTGGGCGAATCAAACCCTTTATACTGAATAAGAAGGAAGAATTGGATGATTGGTCAATATATGTTGTAAGTGCGAATCACTCATTTAATAAAAAAGGAAAACTAACAGATTATGAATAATTTAGGAAGGACTGGACAAACCATATCAAACTGAACAACAGATATCTGATCTTTTCAAAAAGTATGTGGGTCATGTCTCATTTGTTCGAATACCAGAAGATCGCTTTGGTCATACTTGGTTTCAAGGTTTTTGTTTTGTGGAATTCGATCATAAAGACAATGTACAAAAAGCAATCAATATCATGAATACTTTTTCATCTGAACCATCTGAAAACGAGCAAATTACAAAACTTGGACTTCGTGTCATGTCAAAGTAAAATCATCTTAAAATTTGCTATTGATCGATTAATCTCATCTGTCTCTCATATTGGGAATCGTTATAGGCATGATTGGATCAAATATCGGGATGAATATCTAGCACAACTCAATCTTACTTCAAGTCTTGTTAAACAAGAATGGATCAAACATGACAACGAACAGAAGCAAAAAAAAAGAAAAACTACATCATCAAATATACCAAATACCACTACCAAAAAAAAAGACTCTTTTTCAAAAAACACTACCGAAGACACTATCACCTATCCAAAAAATATCATTATCTTTGTACAAAATTTACACGTCAAAAGTTCAAAGACTACCATCAAGGTAATTTATAAAAAAAGAATATGAGACAACTTGACTCGAAATGTAATCCCTTTCTTTCTTTTATTTCTTTTTCTTTTTTTTTTTTTTTTTTTTTTTTTTGTTTTTTTTTTTTTTTTTTGTTTTTTAGACTTTGTTGGAACAATCTGGAGCATCTATTGCCTTTGTCAAACACAAGAAGAAGACAGACTGGGTAATAAAATATAAAGTAAAAAGAAAGATATTCTAACAGCTGCTCTTTATTTCATCAAAATTTATAGTGTCATGTACGAATGGCATCTTCTGAAGATACTGATAAAATAGTGGCTTATTTCAAGGATCATCTATTAGTACAAGAATCTGGTACGGATACAAATGGATCTAGCAAGGAAAAAACTGGTTCATCCCTTCCCGCTATCACAGTCCGTGCGATTACAGGTATGTCTTACAAGTAAGTGAATATGATCTTCATGTCTAAAATGCTATTTATCTATCAATACGATCATAGGAAAAGAAGAAGAACTTTATTGGCAAGATGATCCAATGCGGGACAAAATGGTTTCCTCGTAGATAGTGTGGTATACTTAGTTTAGATTTTCTTTTTTTTTTATGAATAAACATTCTCGTATTTTCTTGGAGTGTGATGACATCAAAGTCTTGTTGCACAAAGAATTAGTTGATTCAAAAGTATAAATTTTGTTAGTTATTATCACATATCATCCATCACAACATTATGATATAAATGATTATATACCCGCAGTTAAAACTGGTGAACATAAAAAAAAAAAAAAATTGTACAAGGCTGATCATTTATTATCTGACAAAGAAGATCATACACAACTAATATCAATCAATTAAATTTGGATATATCATGCATCAAAGCTTGGCATCAGGACCAAAGACCATTTTGGCTTCTACAGATAGTAACAAATACACACACAAAAAAAAAAAAGAAAGAAAGAAAGATTGATGAATATACTGTAAATATATGTCCTACTGAAAATGAGGAAAGAGCTTACCTTGAAGAATAGTATCTAAACCAACGGCCACTAAAGGTTTTGAAAATTGAGAATTTTGACACCATTGATTCAAGGCTGCCACATCTTGTTCTGCACCAGCAACACTGTTTGTCAAGGCCCAAGCAGCTTGTTCCATCAAAAGCGTTGCCGCTGTCACACGACCAAGGGCAAATGTTACTTCACGCATATGAATCTCCACTGTAGCTGATCGTTGATGTTCGTTGACAAATACAATTATATCTTTCAAGGATGACCGGATCCGTTGAGCTGCATCAGTAAATACCATTGGTGATGATGTTAATGCCACTTGTATTTTTTTGTCCATCACCTATCCAAAAAAAAAAAAAAAAAAAAAAAAAGGTTGAGTAAAAAACAAGTATCGTGCAAATAATATTATTATCATACTTCAGCAAATGTTTTCAAAGCTGCACCTTTGGATTTTTGCAAAACTCGGAGGACATCCAAAGCCAAAACATTTGTAGTACCTTCCCAGATCGTGTTCACTTGAGAGTTCCGCAAGTTCTTACCAATACCGATTTCCTCCATATATCCCTATTAGATTTTATAGACAAAACAGCAAAGAAAGAAAAAAGTCAGTCTAATCCTCTTCGTCCAGATAATAATTTCATTCTTACTTGACCACCAAGAGCTTCCATAGTTTCACTGATAGCATCCACACAGATTCTGCAAACATAGGCTTTTGCAATAGGAGTTAAAAGACGAAGGACTTCCATATCTTGTTGTCGTTGAGGATCATTTTCAGGAAGACATTCTGTTCGTCCTAAGAGTTGAACTGCATAAAATGAGATTTGGGCACTTGCACGGAAAATGAGTTCCAATCTAGCCAAAGTAGTAATATGAAGTGGAGTTTTATCAAGCGTTCGATTTCCAACCTAGCAATTAGATATGTGTGAATCATGATGACAAAAATATATATATATCTTGTTAGTAGGTAGAAGAATAATAGTTACCTGACGTTTCAAAGCAAAATCTTTTGCAATGGCCAAACATCGACGAAGAGAGCATAAAGTACCCACAGCAGAATAAATACGAGTGATATTAAGAATAGATGCAATAGTAGCAACACCTCGTCCCGGTTGACCAACCTAAGAAATGAAAAAAAAAAGTGAGGATGAATGAAAACAAAAAAAAAAAAAAAAAAAAAAAATACTCTTTATTACCATATGAGCTTCCATTCCATTCAATTCCAATTCAGCAGTAGGCAAACCTTTAGTACCATATTTGTCCTTCAATCGATGCACACGGACACCATTTAATTGACCATCTGGTTTTCTCATTTCAGCAACGAAAAGAGATAATCCACGACTGCCCTAAAAAATAGAAAATAAAAATATCAATATTGGGAAAATGCAAACCGGACAAGAAAAAAAAAAAAAACTTGCCTGTTGTACTAATCCAGTGTCAGGATCAATTGTTCTTGCTAGTAACATTGTCATGTCAGCCGTAGTTGCACTTGAAAACCATTTAAAACCACTGATCTTCCATTTGTTTTCTTTAGCATCCACCAGTTCAGCCAACGTTTCAGTGCGACCTATGTTAAAAGAAAAAAAAGTCAGAATTTGGTAGAAGATCTAGTTATACTATACTTACTAACATCCGATCCACCAGGACGTTCAGTCATCCATTGACCACTTGTCCAGAATACTTTGGGATCACGGCTAGAATAAAGGGCAAACGTTAAATATACTATATTCTTATACATTTGATTATTTACCTAATAAGACGAGGATAATATTTTTGTTTCATGTCTTTGGAACCATATACTTCCATCACACGAGCAGCACCATCTAATGTGAAAAAAAAAAAAGATTTAATAACAAAATATTTGAAATAGTAGGTATATCATTTACCAGTCATGCTAAGAGGGCAGGAGTACAAGGCGGCAGATGGAGAATAGAGGTAACCTTTGGCAAATTGATAGATACGAGAATATTCCCCATGATGACGTTCATAAGCAATGGAAACCAATCCTTCTTCAGCAGCAACATCATTCAGATCCTTCCATCCTTGTGCAACAGTGATTTCATCCACGCGACTAATTCATCATAAAGGAAAATAAAAATTTATAAATGTATATAAATGATGTATATTATCAATAAGCTACTTACCGGCACCAGGCATCATATTGTTGCAGACGAGGATAATTATTGGGATCTTCTACGTTTTCACCCATAGCAAAAATATCTATATCAATCAAAAAAAAAAAAAAAAAATTAAGGACATACGATTCTATAAAGGTTAGTTCATATTATATACCGGTCACTACTCTATCACCCAATTGTTTGAGATCAGGTTCAATATCGGTCATTACTGTTGCTGGTAATAGTCGTCGCAATATATTTTGGAGAACAAGATCATCATCGTATTGATTGCCTAAACGAGGAGGTTCCTATAAAAGAATGAAAATAAATGAGAAACTCTGGTGAATGAAATAAAATGGTATCCTTCTATGGTTTGTACATTACTTGTCTGAAACCAGTATCAGAAGAAGCTTTTGGTGGAGGAGAGGATTGTTTATTGTCCATAATAAAGATTTAAAAAAAAAAAAAAGGAAGGAAAAGAAAGGTTCTCCACAAAAATCGGAAAAACTAAAATATTAAGAGAAAAAAAAATGCGGGGAAAAGCCATGACTAAACTTGATTACCCTCAACCTAAAAAAAAAAAAATCATGATGAAGCTACCTCACGATGATAGTACCTTGAATATTTTTTTTTTCTTACCAACTGTGACCGATCTATCTATTCACGTCGCTTATTCTTTTCTTTTCTTTTTGCAGCGCTAGTCAAAGTAACTAGGAACTTATTGCTTACTTTCAATAAGACCAATACAATATACACAGTACAAAATAACGTACGTAATATACATGTATATTAGAAAAAGATAAACCTTTCCTAAGATGATGGTACAATGAACTTCTTGTTTCTCTCAATATATGTACTTTATGCATATTACTTTTGTTTGATCGAAGATGATCTCTGATAATGATGATGATACTCTTTGATACGATGACTTTTATTGGAATTAAGATGATGATGATGATGATGATGACCCTTATTTTAATGTATGATAATGAGTTCCTTGAGGATGATGATATCTGAAAAGTGTTCTTTTGAAGGTAGGCACATTTAGAACCCAGGGGAAATGAGCTCCATTGAACAAGATGGGCCTGATTTTTCCTTTCAACTATTATTGTTGACTTTATGCAGTATCATCGTATTTAGTATCATCATTGTAAATTCAATAATCATCCTTTACAACATCATCCAATCCATAATACACTCACTGTCCACCTTGTCCTCTACAATAGAGATTAGATTCCTCCACCCCTTGATGACTTTTGGCCTCGAACTCCGCCTCAATAAAAAAAAAAAGTTTTCCCTTTAGGCTTCTTGGTCCGGTTCTTTTTTTTTCTTCTTCACTTTCTTTCTTGCCCTCTCTCTCTCTTTCTTTCCTTCTTTCTTTCTATCGCTCTCTCTCTTTCACTGTATTAATACCCTCTCTACACCATGTTGTCTGTCTTTTTGGATTCTATTACAAAACCCTCTGAACTAAAAGCCTTGATTGACTACAAGTTTTCTCCAAAGTCTAAAAACAAGTTGTCTCACCAAAAAGCTTTGGAAACAGATGCCTCCAAGAAAAAGTGCTATTATTATTTAAATAAGGTAAGGAAAACAAAATATTATTATTATTTTCTCTTTATCCTTTTTTAATATATTTATGTCTTCTTTTTGTTTCGTTTAGACCTCTCGTAGTTTTGCTGCTGTCATTCAAGAACTGGATGATGATCTCAGGGATGCTGTAAGTACCACCGGCTTGAATTTTTTTTTTCGGCTCATATCTCTCAAAATGCTTACTTTTTTTTTTTTTCTTAAACTTGTGTAGATCTGTTTGTTTTATCTTGTGTTGCGTGGTCTGGATACCATTGAAGATGACATGAGTTTGAACCTGGATAGAAAAGTGGAACTTTTACGCTCATTTGACACCATCATTTATCAAAAAGGCTGGACATTCAATGAAAGTAAGGAAATACTAGGCAGAGCAAAAAAACAAAAAAAAAAGGGGGGGAATGGCAATATGTATGGGCTAGGAAGGAGAGAGGTAGAGAGATAAAGAGTAAGGAAAGACTTTTTTTATTTTCTATCTCTCTTCTTCCCAGTTTGTTTAGTTGAAAAGACCAATATGAACGATATTTAATTATATATATTTTCTCTTTTTTTATTTTTAGATGGTCCTAATGAAAAGGATCGCGACTTATTGGTTCATTTCGATGTGGTGATTGATGAATTTCTTCGACTTAAGCCTGGATTCCAAAAAGTGATTGCTGAAATTACACGATTGATGGGCAACGGTATGGCTGATTATGCTACGGGTGAACATCGGGAAAACACATCGGTGGCTACTGTCAAGGACTTTGATTTGTATTGTCATTATGTAGCTGGTTTGGTGGGTTATGGTTTATCTGATCTTTTTGCTGCCTCTGGTTTGGAAGATCCTTCGATTGCTGATGACAAGAAACTCTCTAATTCCATGGGTCTGTTCTTGCAAAAGACCAATATTATTCGTGATTATCGAGAAGATTTGGATGATGGACGACAATTCTGGCCAAAGGAAATCTGGGGAAACTATGCTGATGACTTTTCTGATTTTATCAAACCTAGCCATCGTGAAAAGGTATTATAAAGAAAAATGATATTACATATATATAAATGTCTGGAAATTGACCCACTTGTTATGATTTTTTTTTTTTTTTTTGATAGTCTCGTGCTTGTTTGAGTGCCATGGTATTGAATGTATTGGAATTAGTACCAGATGTATTGTCTTACTTGTCAAAATTACAAAATCAATCTGTTTTCAACTTTTGCGCTATTCCTCAAGTTATGGCTATTTCCACATTGGCTTTAGTCTTTAACAATTTGGATGTGTATCAACGTAACGTCAAGATTCGAAAAGGAGAAGCTGTCAAGTTGATTTTGGCCAGTACAGATATGGATAATGTGATTGCCATCTTCCGTGAATATATTCAAGTCATCTCTCAAAAGAACGAAACATCGGATCCTAACTTTTTAAAGATCTCAATGGCCGTTGGAAAGGTAAAAAAAAAAAAAAAAAAAAAAAAAATAATAATAATAATAAAAAAAGGAAAACAAATAGGACAAAAATGATTGATCAAATAATGTTATATAGATCGAACAATGGATTACTGCTAACGTGAAACCTACCAAGAAATCTTTGATCAAAACCAACAACAATTCTTCATCCATCTTCTTGCCCATTCTTGTTGGCCTCATTGGTATGGCTCTTGTTCAATACTTCAAATCTCTTTAGGAAGAAGACATAATACCATCATCATCTACTACCACTATTATTATTTATTACTATTTACTTTTGTCATCTTTTGTGTTCCCCTTGTTTTACCTATATACTATTATTAGTTCACTTTTATTTTTATTAGTTTGATATAATAGATGAATTTCGTCTCTCTCTCTCTCTCTTTTTTTTATTATTATTTTTATTATCTTTCCTTCAGTTTAGTTTATACACTAATTTCTTCATTCTTATATTGTATCCTCTTGGGTTTTCATCACACACACACATATATATATAAATCAATAAAACTTCCATTTAACAATGAAAAAAAAAAAAAAAGATACAAAACGGGCTTTTTTTTTTATTACTATTGTACAAAGATAAAAATATGGGAAGTATTCAAGATAGTAAATTATCTAATTTCATATGCACATTTTTTTCCAAAGGTGATGATGATGATAAAGAATGTAAGGATGGATCAGAAGGATTTCTAGTCAAAGGAGGGGAAGAAGGATGGAAGGGAAGATTGTTTTTCATGACATCAATAGGTTTGAGAGGTTCCATAGTCGAGGTATCTTCTTGAGCAGGTGAAGGGGTAGGTGGACTTGAAATGACTTGAGTAGTGTTCATATTAGAAGAAGAAGAAGAGGATGAAGAGGATGTTGATATATGTTGTTGTTCGTCCACTAATCTTTTTAAATATTGAATATAATCAATGGCACTTTGTAAAATGGACATTTTGTGTAAATTCTCTTGATCCGCACATGAAGGTATGATCTGTTTCAATTGCATGATCTTATCGTTGATCCGTTCCCGCCGGCGTCGTTCAATAGCACTATGTGATATTTTTCTTGCCTGTTCCCGTTGATCCGCTGTCGAATGTCGTTGTTGAACATAAGATGGTGAAGGATGCCCACTGGGACTCATGATAGGGATTGCTGAAGGATGATGATGAGGAAGCGATAATGGTGATGGTTGTAAAGTGTATCCATATGGATGTGGTCCAGATGGAGAAGGGGTAGGAGAATGTAGAATGGCTGGTGTAGCATCGGATGGTCTTTTTGGTAGAATACGTTCATATCTTGGTGATGTTGTAGATACTGCTGTTGTTTTCGTTGTTGTTGTTGTTGTTGTTGGTCCTTCTGAAGTTGAATCTCCACAAACTGTTGATGGTGGTGGTTGTCCTGTTGTAGTAAAAGCATTAGGAGGAGACGCCAAAGAAATATAATACTGCGGTTGTGAATGAGGATGATAGATTGGGTATGACATGACAGGCACCATATGAGGATGACCAGGAATAGTCGAATGTGGATGGTATGGTACAAGAGGTGGAGGAAGTGGAACCATTGGAGGAGCTGATTGTTGTTGTTGTTGTTGTTGTGAAGAACGTCGTTGTTGAGGTGATTCAGACGTGGAAAATCGTCTATTTTTCTTGGGTGAAGTCATGATATCAAAGAAGAAGAAGAAGAAAAAAGACGAATAAAAAAAAAAAAGAAAGAAAGGGAAGAATGAAAGAAAAAGAAAAAGAAAAGTAAGAAAAAAAAGAAAGAGAGGAAAAAAAAAAATAAAAAAAAAAAAAGGAAAACTGGGATTTACGCTTATTATCTATGAGTGGATCATCCAAGTATGTGGTGTTGTTTGGAGATGGAGAATGAAAGAAAGAGTCAGTTGCCTTATTTGACAGCTTTACCAGAGATTCATTGCCAATCGTATCTCTCATGCTATCACACGTGCCATTCTTATTGGTTGGATGCATTAAACAAAAGAACAAGGTTGATCGTGTGACCTCAGGAGACAAACTAGATCAAACACGAGGGACCAAAAACATTTCCTCTTATTCGATAAGTGATCTTTGCTTTCCACTTACCTTTTTACTCTACACGTCACCACTATACAAAAGCTTATTCAATATATATATATATATTTATATTCAAAGGATTAAATCTATGGAGTAAAATAATCTTTCTTTTTTTTTTTTATTTCAATCATCATCATAACTAGAAGTATACACTATAATTTGTCTAAAATGTCTTTCAGATTCCAAAGTAAATACATTATGTTCCTCGGTACAAGACGGAAAAACATTGATATTAGAGATGCCAGAATATGCAAAACAAAGGTATCATCATAAAGACAAATAATATACACGATAAAAAACATCATCATACTAAAGGAATAAGGTTCAAAATAAAAGGTATACTAGTTTATTGGGAATAATCATAAAACTATACTGAAAAAAGAAAAAAAAATATAAGTAATTGGTATTTTTTTTATATAATTTGAATAATATTGATTGGTATTCTTTTTGAATCATCAGACATCCAAGGAAGTGTTATATCCGACATTGAGAGGAGCCAAGACGAATGACGTCCCGAAAGACAACGCCAGCTCACACGAGTCTCTTCCAGAGGAAACTGCGAACACGGGATTTGCATCATCATGTTGACTCTAAAAGAATACTAATCACCTTGTATTTTGAGCACTTACCTAATACTAAAACTAAAGGATTCCAATTGTCCAAGTAAAACCATAGTTAAACTACTTTATAAAAGAAAAAAAAAGAGATAAGTAAAATAGTTTCAAAAATATATATGAACAGAATAAATAAACGATGTTTATAAAGTGGTCAGGCGTTTTTACTGGCAAGTAACAACTGTGCTCAGCGAAGCACAGCGGGTTCTTTCATCATGGTCGATAAGAAAGAATGAAGACAAGAGTTTGATTTTCATCATTCCACTTTAAAACATTATTTAAAAAAAAAAAAACATTGCTTACCATTCATACTAAGACATTCCAATAAATAAATAAAAAACAGTGAAAAAGAAAAAAAGGTTGGGAAAAAAAAATAGGAAACACTTTTATATTTATGATTTTACCCCCGACCACAGTAAAAAAAAAAATTTTTCTTTGACTGTTGATATTTTCAATATCCATCTACTTTATTGGCTGACTGAGTGCTTATTGACAGTTGAGACAAGCCACAAACGTAACAAGTACTTTCTAGAAAATAACACTCATTTACTATACAAGGTTGTCATAGCAACAAGTGATAAATACATCTATTTATGTATATTATTTAATGATTACTTTCTCTTAGTGACTAGTAATATATCAAATTTTTTATTGTCTTTTTTTTTTTTTTTTTATCTTTCGTATGATTCTATGGAAATTCTGATCAGTCAATCCATTTGGCCCAGGTAGCTGTTACCTATTTTTTTTTTCTTTCGCCTATGTATTGACCATTTTTGGAACCTCCGCGAAGTCGCGTTCAGTCCTCTCTTTGGTTAATTGCCACTGCCATTCTTTTTTTTTTTTTTTTTGGTACTTTCGCTGATTTCTCTTTTGGATTCTTTAATAAACACTCAAGTCAATATCTTCGCACAATAACATCATATGAGGTAGACATATACTTTTCCATACTTTTGTAATTCAATCAAAAATCATCATCATTGTACCAAATTTCGGTTGAAGATACATGAAGATATTCTCTTTCTCTTGTCTTAATAACAATTTATACCTTACCTCCTAATTTATTGAGTAAATTAAAAAATAAGAGTCAATTCAGTCATCCCAATAACGATCATCATCCAACACAACTATCACCATTAGATTCTTTCTTAAAAAAGTGGTCTAACAATATCTAATCCTATTTTATAAAAAATAAAAAATAAAAAAGGAAACTTTAAGTAGGATCAATCGAATGATATATTCATAGTATTACCCAATCATCAAGCTAATATATTTATCTGTTACATTTTAATAAAGTTGTGATACAGAGATAACAATGAACAATAAAAAAAAAAAAAAATAGCGAAAAGGAAACAGGTGATGATGTTAGATGGCATCACCTCATTTGGGAAATTCCCTTTTATAGCGTGGATTCTCCGACGGATTAATTCGTTTCGTTTTTGACAGGACAACCTTTTTTTTTTTCTCATACTCGAGGAGGATGATTAGGGGGAGATGAAGATGGATGTTAAAGTGAGCGTGTGAAAAGAAATGAATCTCATGATGTGTAATCCCTGCCTCTTTAACGTTCAAGATCGTTCCGGAATTTTATCTACATTGAAGCACTTTTTTAGATTAACATATAGATCATTGCTTATCATCATGGAAGTTATTCCGATTTTAAGATTTTGGGATTGTCCTTTTGTTGGAATGACGTGGAATCACCCATATTATATAATCATCATCATTCATCATCATAAAAAAAATAGAACGATTAAAGACTGGTCATAATCAAGCTCAGTGGAATCATCAAAAGAAAAAAAAAATATAAATGTACGATGAACAATTTCATAGTTTTTTTTTTTTTTTTTTTTGATCATAATCAATATTGTTGTTGCAATACTTGTTAATCAACGTTGAACAATAAGCGGTTATTCAAAAAAAAAAAAAAAGAAGATTTGGATGATCATTGAGAAGTTTGGAAAGTAAATGATGACGATTGGTACTATTAAAATAGAAGATGATGGAGTTTGAAGCAAACGTATTTTAAAATAGTACTTTTTGGGGAATGAGCAGAGTGTAACTGATCTTGTTCGCACGGTAACTTTCTTTTGTGTGGGAAACGCAAAAGGATTCTTCTCAATTGAATGAATCGGGGCTGAATCTTGCTTTTTTTTGGATGATCCTTTTTAGTAAGTTGGAGATTAAAGGAAGTTAAGTAAGAAGGTGGGGGAAGATAATGGACTCCGCTTAAACCGGACAAGATGATATCAACCAACAAGAATATAGAAAGAACAATGAATCATCACCAGTTACATTTGGTTGGACTCTTTATTACCTGGGTATTAAAAAAAATATATCCCCTTGATAAAAAAAAAATGACATGATGAATCAAAAAAAAAAAAGAAAAAGAAAAAGGAAATAATAAAAAACGTGGTTTTGTTGATATTAGTTAAATGACCCTGAGCAACAATATAGTATAGTTTAAAAAAGAGGGTGAGAAAACTTTATCTCTTTTACTAAAAAGGTAACTCCGATGGTCATCTTATTTTTGATTGGATCAATTTATTTGTCTATAAAACTTGGAGGTTTTTTTGGAATTCTTTGAATCCCAATTTTTTTTCTTTTCTTTCCTTCATCTTTTTTTTTTTTTTTTTTTGTATTCTTCCATCTTACTGTATTATTATATTTATAATCATCCAATACCCCATTCTGTTTTTTTTTTTTTGATTGATTATAATCATCCACATACATATATATACATACGTCCTATAAAAAACACAATTCATCATGTCATCCATCGAAAAACCATCATCGACAGAAAAACGATTTGACATAACTAGTGGTAAAATAAAAAAAAATGATGAACGATATATGCGATATATATATAAAAAAAAAGGATATTCATTCAATTATTATTTTGTTTAGTGGAGGAAGATTATGAAGCATCTATTAGAACTAATTCTGGTCATGGTCAATGTTCATCCTTCATGGCTTACTGGAATGTCGTTTGTGTCGTGGTAAGGGGAAAAAAAAGAAAAAGAAATTTTACGAGACTGAATCTCAAGATCTCATCCTAACCACTTATGTTTCACTTTGGCTAATTTATTCTTTTTTTTTTTTTTTTTTTTTTTTTTGTCTTTGATGAATGTTTTACTTTTTTTTTTTTAGGCTGGTACTGGTACACTTGGTTTACCTTATGCTTTACGACAAGGTGGATGGTTCGGTTTATTCATTTTATTTCTCTCTTGGAGTATGTCCATTTATACTGGGATCATCCTTGTAAAATGTCTTTACGCAAAACCTGGTCATCGAATGTCAACGTTCAAAGAAATATCAACCACTTGTTTTGGCAAGGTTGGAGGATGGGTCACTTTCTTCTTCTTGGCTTGGATTCTTCTCGGTGCTCCTACTCTTTATATGGTGTTAGCTGGTCAAAATTTAAGTCAACTATGTCATGGTACTGTAGCTGAACTCAATGGTACCTATTGGACCATCATCATGTGTGTTGTCATTGGTATTCCTTTTGTCCTAGTCAAATCCATGAAGGAAGTGGCATGGATGAGTGCTTTTGGTTCAGTTGCTACGGTTGTTGTAGTGTTGATTGTTTTGATCATGGCTTGTATGGATGAAAAGGCTCAAATGGCAAAAGGTGTTGTTCATGACGGTGTTATCTGGCCTCAATTCCCTGCTGCCTTGGCAACTATCTCGTTCAGTTTCGGTGGCAATGTAATTTATCCTCATGTTGAAGCTTCCATGGCAAGACCCAAACAATGGCCCTGGGTAATTGGTGCTGGTCTTTCCACTTGTGCCTTTTTATATATTTTGTGTGCTGTGCCCGGTTATTACATTTATGGTCGCGACACTACAAGTCCCATCTACAACAATCTTCCTGCCGGTGTTGGTCAAACAATCGCCATCGTTCTTATCACCCTTCACGTCTTGATGGCCGCACCTCTTCTCACCACATCCTTGTCACTCGATTTGGAAGATATGTTCAACATCACTGTCGAACGTTTTGGAAAATGGAAAGAATTCTTCATCCGTGCTTGTCTTCGTATTGCCATCATTGTGATCGTCGCCATCATTGCCTGCTTTGTACCTTACTTTTCCTTGTTGATGGGTTTGATTGGTTCCTTCTCTAATTGTGTACTCATCTTTGTCTTCCCTGTCCTCTATTACTTCAAATTGACTGGTTTCCGAAACAAGCCCATCTACGAAATTGCCTGGTGTTTCTTGACTATTGTTCTCGGTATTGTAGGTTTGATTTTTGGTACGCGTGATGCTATCCTTGGTTTGATAGACGCCACTCAACACAAATAGATACTCCTTTCTTTATTATGATCCCTTTCCTTACTGTGATCTCTCTCTTTTAGTGGATGCTATTATTATTATTATTATTATTATTATTATTATTTTGTATTATCACCCACCTTTTTTTTTTCTTCTTCTTCTTCTTATTATTATTATTTGTTTGTTTGTGATTATTCGTTAGTTAGTCTTTTATGAAACTGTATTCTCCGGAATCTTTTTTTTTTTTTTTTGTTATTATATTTATATCGTGTACATATCTCAATTGGCCAGTTTGAAATAAATGAATTCTTGTATTTTTACTTTCTATGAAACAAAAAAAAAAAAAAAAAAAAAAAAAAAAAAAAAAAAAAAAAAAAGAGACGGTAAATATATGAACGCGTTGCTGGATGAGTGGATAGATAGTATGTGATGATGGATAATGGATACATCATTTCTATAACAATTCCTGACACAAATGGTTGCTAAAAAGGAAAAAAGTTTCGATCAGATTCAATAAAAGAACTTTGTGAAGATATTTAATATTTATTGTAACAAGGATTTTATTATTTTATTTCAATAACTCTACAATATAATAAGAAATAGATCATCTATAACTATTGTTTGGCACCAGTTGCAGCTAGCTGTGTACATGATAAACATAAGGATGTGCGTACCTAAGTGATAAAGAACATTGTGAGTTTCCTTTCTTTTCGTGTTTCCTTTCCCCTCTTTTTTTTCTTACCCACTATTTTCTTTAGAAGTTGCAAATCAAAGATTTTCCAATCGATTGTCCTAGTGAATTCCATTACCACGATGAATCATTTTGTTTTGTGTATCTGCAGAAGGTGGTGCGATGAAAATGATACAAGACGAAGGGTTTCTTTGTGCTTTCTTTGGTATAATAGACAGCAAGTCAATAGCTGGACCTCATAGTGCGGTCTTGAAAGTTTCCATTCCAAACGTATAAGATGCCGTTTTTTATATTGTTTTCATCGTAGAGAACTTTATAGAGAGTAAATCTGGATGCCCAAGTAACATACAAGACGGTGCACATGCATAAATCACGGTTATGTTGGTAAAGTAGCAGATTCTTTTGCAAAGGATGTACTTGTCGGCCGCCTGTTGGAGTATAAAAGCTTTTTTTTTATATTTCAGTGATCGCACTAACGCCGTTTTTGGTGATTTCGTAGTCGATAAAGTCGTATCCCCTGGAGAAGTGTAGTAATTTATCAGAAGTCGCTATCGGCTAGAGTAGGAGGTGCTGGGAACGGCTTAGACATTCTTAGGCGTTGTTCAGGGTTTTCACGATAATAACTGATTGATTTTCGAATGTTTTCGGAAGGGGTAACCGATTCAAGGTTTTCAATAGAATTGTTGTTGGTTTGGTGATCCTTGTGGCTAACTATCAATGTTGGTTGAATACCTTCGGCGCTAGGTAGCATAAGTACGTGATAGCAGATAAACCAGGAGAGATACAGCGGAAAGGAATGGTGAAAAGATATCCACACAAGAATGGAAACTGCTATGGCACTAGGAAGATACAGGGTAAAAAAGTACATTACGTTTTTCAGTTCATTCTTCACATGACCAAAAGATGAGAGTTCAGTTTCCTTTGTCTTGTCGGTAACACTGTCCCGTTTTTTTCCCAGTTGGTAATATGTTGCCCTTTTAGCTAATAGTTTTGCATAGTATATCCACACAGGAATGGAAACTGCTATGACACTAGGAAGATACAGGGTAAAATTGACTTCGTATGTGTACTTTGTTGAATTCAGGAAAGATAAAAAGTGAGTTTTTGAAAGAGAAACCAAGAAGGAGAGGAGAAAACCGTAAAACAGGAACTGGGACCCCGATTTCGCTTGAGCCATTAGTTGAGTGTGCCTAAATTAGAAAAAAAAAAAAGACAATTCAGTATTCATGACATTCCCAAAAGTCATTCGATCAATCTTTCATGTTCTTACCCGTAGGTTGTTTATCTTTTGTCATATTGGAGAGATGATACGCCTTATTTTCAGGAAAAAAAAGAAAAAGAAAGAGAAAGAAAACCGCAGTAGAAAAAAAAAAGAATGAAAGAAAAGGGAAAAACAACAAAGAAAAAAAAAAAAAACGAGACCAGGGTGTATTTTTATCATTGCATTGTGAGTTTGCAATCTCCGCTATATCATCTTTTCTTTTTTTTTTTTTTTTAGTATTAGCAACATTTCTCTCTTTATATTGTATTTAATTTATTATCTACTTTATTATTTTTAGTATCTACTTTATCATTTTTTTTAGTATTAGCAACATTTCTCTCTTTATAATAAAGTTAATTACATAAATGTTCTACATTAAATTCTATTATTACAATATCCATGTACTAGGTGATACATGATACTGACTTGTTTTTGCCGTGTTTTAGTTTGATGACTAGATTTTTCTTCTTTTAGTTGTTCTATTTTAAATGATAGTATGATTGTGCACAGGATACTTATTATTGCCATTTTTTAATTTCCATTGATGTGATGAATCATCATTATTATATTGATTTATCATGTTGGCTGATAAAAGAGTGTTTTGACATTTTTCAAAGAAAAGAAGAAAAGAAAAAGAAATTGTTGTTCGGTCAGAGGGTAACTAGAATGAAGTATTTTGTATTTTATCAGAAATTTGTACAGTGACTGACTATAACCATCCATCTTCCATCATCCATCATCCATCCTATAATCATCCAATATACAATCATCCGTTATCACATATCATCAATCATCAATTGTCAATCAGTCAATACTTAAAAAAGAATGGACAACACCCAAAGCTGCTAAAAATATGAAAAGCCTATGTTACTTTTCTTTTGTATCTTTTATTATTAATAAGAAAGTTATTATCAATATGCTGTGTGTTTTTAATGTACTCTATCGACATCACTGGAGGATATCTGAAAAAGTGGTAATGCGACATTCATTTTGGGGAAGTACGATATTTTATAACATCACGAAAAACATTTTCTTGCGACCCCACAAAAAACTTTGAAAACATTGTATAACTAACGATAACAATCATCATAAATCCTAATAATAATAGTAATAATAATACAGTGCATATTTATTGAATATCATAAATAAGGAATAGGTAAAGTAAATAAAGAGATGGGCTAACTACATGGCCAATTACTTATTGGACTTTTTGGCTTGTTCGTCTTGCTTTTTGGATTTGCTATTGGGATCGAAGTAAGGTTTTTCACCCTTAAAAAAAAATCGTAAGTGCATAATAATTCTATTTTCTTTAAATACTAATAATGATACCATACCTGAGGAGTGACTCTCCAGCCATGACGACGACCAACGTCCAAATAGTCAAATATAGGGTTATGGAACGTGACCCTATTATCCCAAATGGCCACAGTATTAGCTATTCATAAGTAGAAGCACAAAAAAAAAAAAAAAAGAGTCAGTCTACTTGATTGAATTAGTTCATGATATGATGTTTTCCTTACTTTCCCATTTCAAACGAACTTGGAAATCATAACCACCATTGATATGAGCATATAAAAAGTTGAGTACCGCGTCTGATTCATGTTTACTTAAACCCACAATATCTGTTGTGAATACAGGTTGTACATAAAGAGATTTCCAACCAGTAACAGGATGAGTTCTATCGAAATAGAAATGAATAAATCTATTGATTTGTCTTTTTTTTTTTTTTTTGAGGTTTTACCTAACTATAGGATGAATGCTTTCTACATGATCACGTCGTACAACATGATTGTTGGCATGAGCTTCATCAAATTGTCTTTGACCAGAATGTTTGGCTTGTAAACCTTCCAAAAATTTTTGCCATGCAGGAGATAATCGGTCATAAGCAGCGTATCCAGATGCCCAAAGAGTATCACCACCAGTAGGAGGAACAATATCCATCTTGAGCAAAGTCACTGAAGCAGGTTGTTCTTCGTAAGACACCTAATAATCATTGATATTTAATACAACTACCCATAGTATGAAATCATCCACGTCATTTATTCTTACATCAGTATGCCATCCATCAGCTGCGCTAGTATTATTGAGATATTCTCTGGGAGACCTATTAGTAGAAAAAAAAAAAAAAGGGAATGAATAAAATGTGATGAATATATATATATATATATTTCACTTACTTTTCATCAAAGTAAACGACATGAACTTCAGGGTATCCAGGTGGGTGACCAAAAGTAGCATGAACATGACTACATGGATAAGAAAAAAAAAAAAAGAGGATTAAAATCTATGTTCAATTAAATAAGAGGATCAATTCAATCACTTACAGAGGACCAAAGGATTTGCCAAATTCAAGACCTTGGTCAACATTGATATCTTGATCACGGAAGAAAACAACACCACGTTCAGCAACCAAGAGGGCTAAATCATCCTTTTGTTGTTCAGTTAATTGAGATAATTGAATACCATGAATTTCAGTACCAATATGAGGAGTTACATCAAAGACCTTGGTAGCATTATCGTAAAGAGAGGCTTTCTTGGGATCACCACGTAAACCACGATCCTTATGTTCAAAATATTCCAATTCAGGGTACTGTTTATTTTTGAAAAAAAAAAAAAAGAAATTGAAGATGAATCACCATGTCATAAAAGTTCGTTTTGATTCTAATCCTTTACCTTTTTATCAGGGTAAACAAGATACCTTCCTTTTTCCAAAGCAAGTTTTTGAAGATCCAAAGTTTGATGCAAATTTTCAGCAAGTTCGTCTACAGTAACGTTGGGAGCCATGATTGATCAGAAGAGAATATACTATAAAAGATTGATTTGTAAATAAAAAAAAAATAAACAAAAGCGTTGGGTTTGATTATCTGTTCGTCTTTTATATATTAAAAAAAAAAGTTCAAACTATCAACATTGTGTATGTTCACACCACAATCGCGCAATAGTTGAAGCAGGATATGTGTTACCTTGCATAATGCTTGAACCAAAGCATAACCTAGCGTCAAATTGCTGAGTTCCAATCCTAGACCTATGATAATCAAAATGCGTCAATCATGGAAAGTATGGCACCATAAGTGGGTAAAAGAATTATCGAAAAGAAAGAAATCACATGAGTTCACAGTCTTTCTAATATATGATACCATTCATTACTTAATATAGAGTCATTTTTGCCTGATTATTTATTCCATTGATTGGTTATGCGTCACCATCTAATAGTCGCCCTCAAAAAAGAGATAACAAAGTCAGCTTGATCATTGATAATCTATTTTTTCATTTATTACCTACTTGTTCGCAGAATATCTCGTTTTCTTTTGTGATTCATATTCCAATCGAGTTTGTTTTCCAGGTATTCTAGTAATAAAAGCTGAATAAATGTCAGATATCTCTTTTTTTTTTTTTTATGTTTGTGATGCAGTACCTAACCTTGTTCAATGATAACCAAAAAAAAAAAAAAAGAGAGAGACAGAATGTTATTACATTCCCACCATATGCATGGACATCGAGAGAAAGGAGATATACCAAAAGAGAAAGAATCCAATCCAGTGCTTCAAATTTCTACCCAGTCGTCCAATGCTAGCCAAGTACCATAAGGGAATAATGAATGAAATGCGTATATTCTTTATTGATAATAATGCTAAACAAAATGAATAATAATGCAGGTGTTAAACTATAGGTAATCGTAGTAAAAACAAAAAGAAATGAGAAGGGGGGTAACTAAAAGGAAAATCATCACGTCTAAAAGTGTAAAAGGGAAAAAAAAAAAAGAAAAAGAAAAAAAAGGGATCAACCACCAAAACCAACACCATCCACCACACGACGATGTTCCACTTCATGATGAGCATTGTAATCCAAGTGTACAAAGGCACGTTCCACATTTTCCATCATTTCCAAAGCATCTTGTAAAGCTTCTCCAACATCATGAGCTTCGTGAAGAGGACAATCAGGAGGTAAGATAATGTCAATTTCAACCAAAAGACGATCCCCGTTATAGTATGCACGAACTGTATCTACTGCTGTAATTTTTGTCGAGAACCGATATGCCATATATGTCAATTGTTTCAAATCTTCTGAACTAGCTGCCTGTCCTGTCAATCGTCGGATATTTTCTACCGTATAATAAATGTAATATCTTTAGTAATAATAATAATAATAATAACATTTACTTTATCTTACCTAATAAGATTTGCATCCATTCATATATAATATAAAGAGATAATATGATAGCACCCACAGGATCCAACCATGGCATTTTGGCCCAAATACCTATATATATGATACAATAATATTAGTTTCATAAATATCAATTATAATTCTTCTTCTTACCAACAATAGGGAAAATAGTACTAGCAATACTGAATACAACATCATTTTCATGATCATGAGCTAAAGCAGTGACACTTGAACTTCCCTTGATTCTTGCACACCAAAACCAAAGAATTGCCTTGATCACAATATTGACAAAAAGTAGAATCATAGCACCTATACTGAGATCTAATTCTTCGCCTGCCTTTTCAGGATTTGTCAATCGTTGAACTGAGCTCATCAATACTTGAGAAAATGAAGTAGTGATGATCACAGCAAATACAATAATACCCAAGGGTTCCATTCGTGACTAAGAAGAAGAAGAAGAAGAAGAAGAAGAAGAAGAAGAGAGAAGAATATGAATGCACTTTTTTTTATTCGATCATTTTTTTTTTTTTTTTTTACCTTGCCAACAGGATAAGTATAATAATCCTTTCTTCGAATAATACGAACAGTAAAAAAGATGATGGCATTGCTGACAATATCCAAAAAGCTTTCAAATGCCGATGCAAGGATGGCCATAGAACCAGAAAACAATGCCAAGAATACTTTGGTAGCAAATAATCCAAGATTAGCGACAAATGAGAGATTGATAGCTAAGTGAATTATCCACAAAGGTGATCGTTTTTCATTGCCTGATACTTGTATTTCCGAAGACGATAATAAAGGTGCAGTTTCATCTGTTGACATGTCATTTCTTTGGTGATGTTGTAATAAACTAGCCTTTGGTGTTTCTTCGTCAAAAGTCTGAGGACATTGTAAGGCACCATATTCTTTTGGGGTTACACCATGTTTGAGGGCTTCAATGACACGATCTACTTCCATAAATCGATCGATCATATCATTTTGTTGCTAGAAAAAAAAAAAAGAAAAAAAGAAAAAAAAGAACGTAAGTTTCGTAGTAAAAAAGGAAAGATAAATTTCTTTTTCTTGTTAAAAAAAAAAAAAAAAAAAACTTACATGATAAAACTGTTTGACTTGTTTACTTCGAATGGTAGAAAGTTGTTGCTCGGGAACTCGTAATGAATCAAAGTTGACAGGTGGCGGTAATGTAGAAGCTGCTAAAGCAACTAAACCTTTTTGACAGCTTCTACGTCTATTTGCTTGGGAATCAGTCATAATAGTGATACAAAAAGACAAGGAAAAAAAAAAAGAAACAGAGAGCAAAAAGAAAGAAAAAAAAAAAAGACGCGGAGCTGGAATTTTGCAAGGAGAAGAAAAGCTACAAAGTTACGAAAAAAGAGATCGACCAATCAAAATGATCCCTTATCATTGATATTCCTGATTATCCGCTCCTTTTTTTTTTTTCCCTCTTTTCCCTATCTATCTATATATTTTTTCTTTTTTTTTTTTGTTATCAGCAAATGAATTTCTTTTTATCAACAAAAAGTATGAGGAAACTTCAAAATAAAAATTTATGCAAATCTAGTCGTCAATTTCCTAATTCGGTTTTCTCTTTCAATAATTTACCAAATGAAATACTCTGCAGAATCTTGTCTCATGTCCTCATTGCTGACTTGTTACTTTTATATACCATTCCATCTCTGAACATGATGGTAGTCAATGAATTAATATCAAGGTTTAAAAAATGTCAACTCGGTATTCGACTTTATTTTGACCAAGAAGCTCGATGGAGATACACTTTGGATATGAAACTACAACTTGTTAAATACAATAGGAATACACCCAGACTCTATTTTATTCCCATGGCATCAACAAGAAATGAAATGCGATTTTATACCTCCAAGATTCTTCGACGTCCATTTCTTTACAAAGTATGCTTGATATCCACTTATGATGACCTTTCCACTCTTCCTGAAAATCTTTTGAATAAAAGTCTTCCTTTAACTATCAAACAATCCAATAAACGACTCTACAGCTCCACAACAACAACAACAACAACAGTAGCACTTGGATATGGTGTTAGTGAGACTCCTTATCAGGTGACAAAATCAAGACCTGGTGAAAGATGGATCCAACCATGTGTCTTTGAGTGTGACCTAGACTGGCTTTGTCAAACAAAATCTACTCTGGATAAATGGTTCGATCTTTTACCACATTGCAAACCAACAAGACGAAAGATGACTGATCTTCATTTCACAAGGACCGAAAAATTACCTTCTGAATCTCCTGGACAAGTGGCTGAAATAGGTATCTACTCTTCTTATGATGATCAAACAATTCCTAGATACAAGACCGATACTTCCATTCTAATACCTAACCTTATTGTCCGATGAAACACCAATCTTTTTTTTTTTTTTTGATACCCTCTTTCCATTTTAGTTTAGTTCATATATAGTTTTAGTTTGTAATATATTTATTCTCCAATAAAGTCATATTTATATACATATTCATTTTATTTGTTGATATTAAGAATCATCTACCTTTTTCATCATCATCATCATCACCATCATCATCATAATCATCATCATCATCAAAAAAGGATCCATGCAATTTTTCATGATCCAATAATAATCTCTACACATCTTCTACAACCAATCATCATCTATGTATATAAGAGCATTTCTTTATTAAATAAAATAAAACAGGTAAACCGACATCGAAAAAAAAATAAAAACTAGTCTAGGTAAAACAATAAAGGATGGTCGAATGTAAATAGGGCAAATTGAATTGAAAAGGGGGGGAAAAAAGCAATGGCATTGTACAAAGAGAAAATGGAATATATGGGAGTAAAAAAAAAAAAATGAACATAAATAATAAGAATAAAATGATGGAGAGGAGAGGGGAAGGAAACACAATGATATAATGAAAAATAAGCGGAATAATAAGATGAAAATATATATATAAAGAAAGGGAGAGATCAATCCATATCCATCATCATCGAATTCGAAGAAGTTGCTGTTGTTACAGTACCGTCATGATCATAAACCTGATTGTTATCAATGTTGTCACTTCCACCTTGATCTTTGTTATTATTATTATTATTATCATCATCATCGTCATCAATAACATCAAAGTCATGTACTTCCATCACTGTATGTAATTCCGGATGTTCACGTTGTTTCAATACTACCGCCTTTGTGTCGTTGAACTGTAATTTCCATACTGTCTTTCCAGGAGTGCTGAAATTTCGAATCAATCTTCCCAACTTGATATCCCATAATTTTACTCGACCATCATTTCCAGCGCTAAGCATTCGTCGATCGTCAAATTGAAGACAAGTTACTGAATTATCATGAGCCGAGATTTGTTGAATACATTCGTAATGTTGAAGATCCCAAACACGAAGACATCCATCAGAGCCACCACTTACAAGAGTCGAACCAGTCAATTGAAGTTGTCCCACTAGAGAAGTATGTCCTTGTAGAGTGGCCAAGCATTGTCCAGTTTCCGCTGACCATACCTTGATTGTATAATCCAAAGATCCAGTGACTACTTTGTGGCCATCAAAAACAATAGCATAGATTTGAGACTGATGACCATCCAAAACATGAAGACATCGCCCCGTGCGGATATCCCAAATGCGTGCAGTTGCGTCGTATGATCCAGATACCACTGTGTTGCCATGAATTTCTAAACACCGGACACTATGTTGGTGGCCCAGTAAAACGTGTAATAATATACCTCGTTCTATGTCCCATATTCGTATAGTCATGTCTCTTGATCCAGTGACCGCCGTACGTTTATCTTTCATCTTGAGACATCTAACTGTTGATGTATGTCCACGAAGCACATGTCGTAATCTTCCAGTATCTAAATCCCATACTCGTACATCCCTAAAAATGAAAATAATAACATGGGTTAATAAAATAAGATGGAATGATGGGCGGGGTATGAAAAGAAAGAGAAGGAGAGACTATCTATAAAAAAAAAGGAATTCCTTTTTGGGTAAGGAAGAAGAGGAGAAAAGGAATAGGGAGAGAGAGAGAAAGAGAAAGTGAAAGAAAGCGAAAGAAAAAAAATAAAAATAAAAAAAAAATAAAAAAAAAAAAGACTTTTTACCTATCACAACCACCAGAAACCAAAGTACGTTCAGGATCATACTTATCGCCACCCTTGAACTGTAAAGCCCATACACCTCCTTCATGACCTTCCAAAGTCCGCACCTTTCTTGCTGTCTGTGTGTCAAATACTTCGATACGATGATTATCACAACCAACGACAATATATTTGTTATCAAATTGAAGAGAAGTAACCAAGGCATTACCAACAAAGACATCATCCACTATTTTGACTCGTCCACCATGAGCCCAAGTTGCTGCAATGTTATATTTTCGTTTAAAGTATTGTCGATAAGAAAAGTTGAGCCTTTGTGTTGGAGGAGCCAGTAATTCACCACCACAAATATTTGAATTACGTCTTTGATATTGATGTTTCATACATAAAGATTTCCAAGTTGCTTCATCCCGTAATAATGAATTCCAAAAAGTAGAAACACAAGCAGCTCTTGCTAATGTTTTGGGATCATCAATAAATGATAAAACATGAAGAGATATTTCAATAGGTAGTTCTTTCATAAAATCGATTTTCAATCTTGGTGCTATCAAATTGTTGAGATAAGTCAGTTGAGTACTATTACAACAGTTGATGATTTCATATAAAAAGAATTGTTTTTGTTGAGGATCAAGTTGTTGAAAAGATGTTTTGAGTTGATGTATATGTTCTAATTGAGCATCATTACAAGTATTTGCGAATTGTGAAAGATGGTCAGAAGAAGAAGAAGAAGATGTAGAAGAAGCAGAAGAAGTAGTAGTAGAAGTAGTTGTACGGGTATCAAAGAGCCTTGGTCGTTGTGGTGTTGGTGTTCGTTGACTTGAAGGCCCAATAAAGTTAAAACTTGGAGGAGTTGCTGGTGGTGATATGTCTTCTGGACCACATATATCCATAAGTGAAGAAGAACCAACCCAATTAGATCGAGCTTTTTTACAGGGAATGGATGTTGCCGTATTATGCATGGGTGTACGTAATTGATATGCAAGATGAAAAAAATAAAAATAATAAAAAGAAAAAAAAAAGTAATAAATAAAGTATATAAAAATATAAGAATAGATGAAAACTATGGATTTGTAGTGCAGGGGAAAATGAAGAAAAAAAAAAAAAAAAAAGAAAGAAAAAAATGGAAATGAGAAAGAAAAAAAAAAAATTCATCGACTACTCTTTTTCTTTCTCCCCCCCTTTTCTCTCCCCCAATTTTTTTTTTTTTTTTTTTTTTTTTTTTACCTGTAGCGCAGGCAAACTTTTATAGCGTTTTCAAAAGTTTTCTATCGGGTCACCAGAAAGATACTTTTCGTGACGTTATAAAAATTAAAATATCGGTTTTCTTAAAATGGATTTCTTTTTACTTTTTTTTTTTTTTAACCTTTTACAATTGATTTACTTCCACTATTACTATTACTACCATTAACCTTTTATTTTTATTTGAAAATATACAACGATATGATGAAAGTGATTGAAGAAAAAGACAATGGCAGTATCAAGCTAGAAGTACTAATTAATATGGAATCATAGGAAGGAAGTAAAAGAGGAATATATTACTATGAAACAACCCAATCGTAGAACGCAAGCAAAAGGTAAAAGACCAATTTCCACATATATACAATACTTATCATACTTCTCAGATGTTTATATGGGATGAAAGCACAAGGATTCTTGATATTGGAAATGTAGTTGCAAGGTCTCAAATAATCAATTGTGAACAAACGAATGTATATTCTGGGAATACGTGGTTTTGGATTAGGATACTAGGATATGTTAGTAGTGATATTGGTTTATAGTCGTCACTCGGATTGTTAATTTTTTTTTTCTTGTTAGTATATTAGTTATTGTTATCATTCCCTTTTTTTTTTTTTCTTTGGATGATTGTTGAAGTCAATGAAACAATAACAAAAGTCGTTGCGTACAGGTAAATCAAGAAGAAAAAAGTTTTGATTCATAATTATTTTCTCCTTTTTATATATATTTATATCTTTTATCTACATACTTCTTCATCTTTGGCTTGTCTTATTGATTACTATTATATTATTGTTATTTTGGTAAGCATCGATTATTGAAAATTTGGATGTTTTGGTACACAGAACTAATCGTTTTTTTTTTTTTTTTTTTTTTTTTTTTTTTTTTATGATAACTTCATTCCTGTTCTCCCTGTCATCCATCCATCTGTTCATCCCATCATCCATTCTTTTTTTTCTATACTTACGATATATTATTTCCTATTTTGTCAACATACTATTTTGAAACTGCGTCATCTAATTAGTGAACAAAGTGCAAGCCACCACCACTCGCATAGTGTAGAATTGAATAAAAAAAAAAAAGGTTACCAATTTGATATTTATTAAAAAATGAACTACTTTGATCATCATAGGCAGGGATAAATCATACATTTTCGTTCACTTGTCAGTTTGTTTGATATAGAGAAAACATCTGATCATTTTTTATGTTCCATCATCAAAGCATCAAACTAGAATGATGCGTCTGTACAACATCAATCACATAGGAGATACCCCCTAATGAGGAAGGTGAAAACATTTCAAGTAGTACAAACATGGTTTATCAGTTCAATGGCATAGATTTCCTACAACTATACTGTTTAGAATAAGGTTCTTTAGTCTTACAATGATGTGTTTAATTGCTCACACTATTTCTTGATGCATTGGATTTATCCCATCAAATGAAAAAACTTCATTTTTCTATTTTGGATGCTGAGATTCAATTTCAACACATTGTATCTTTTTACTTTCTTTTTTTTTTTTTTAATTTTCATTCCTTTTTATTCTTTTTTTTTTTATTTTATATATATATCAGTCATGGAACCCAGATATATTGAAGGAGCTGTTATACCTCATGAATCTTTATCAACATGGTATCAAGATCGTACAGTACGAATGACTAGCTCACCAACTAATGAAATTAACAATAACGATGCTTCCTCGTCTACACCAGTAAAACGCCGCAAAATTGTAAAGCAACAATCAAGTCCACCTGTCACCATTGGTCAACTAGTCTTTCCAGTACAATTCCCTCCACCATCTTTCATGATCATTGATACTATCAATCAGGAATCTTTATATGCCTCATGGTCTCATTCAATACAGCAACCCGACTTGGAAATCGCTTGTTTGAAGGTCTTCACGGCAACTACTCACCAACTAGTTATGGAACACGAAATTGTACGCGCACTTGGTTCCAATGAAACACTCGATTTTATGATGAACGATGACAACAATAAAAATGATAATATTATGGATCGTATGAACAAATTGACTTTATTTGCTAATCTTGCTCGACTGTCAGTGAATAAAACAGTAACTACACGAAACGTGATTCTGGCGCAGCAAGAACAAACTATAATGAATGGTGTGATTACTCTGAATTTAGCTGCAAACATAGATCAAACACATACACGAAATGCTCTCTTCTCCAAAGTCTTCCCTTATCTATACTACCCTTCTTCTCATAATCATGATACATCCAGTGCCACTATCTCTATTGATGATTTTTATCGATATTTACAACCTCCTGTGTCGAAACAACTCTTGACAAAATGCCATACACAAGGATTACGACCTACTTTGACTCCATTTCAGTCTCAAAATGTGGAATGGATGGTAAAAACGATTCTCTTTTTTTTTTTTTTTTAAATACTGACTGATATAATTTTATTATTAGGTGAAGAAAGAAGGTTTCACGATACTTGATAATGGTAGTTTACATGAAATTCCTATAGACAATGATCAGCTACCTTTCTTTTGGGAGAAAATCAACACAACAGCAAATGGACAACACCTATATATAAACCGTGTTACGAATGAAATTTCTCATCATATTCCGGTACATCGACATACGTTATATCATGGTGGTATTTTGGCTGATGAAATGGGTTTAGGAAAAACTGTTAGGTAAAAGGAAAATTATACAAGTATATAAAATATTGATATTATACTAATATCTTTTTTTTTTTTTTTTTACTTTATTCATTTAGTGCTATTGCTATGATCTTACTTAACACTCCAGAAAAATCCGATATCTTCAATCATACAAACTCTGGTGAATTAAGGAAAACGGGTGCAACTCTGATCATCACTCCAGCAACAATTAGTCATCAATGGGAATCTGAATTCAAGAAACATGCACCTACATTAAAAGTAGCATTCTACCATGGTATCAAGAATATCCCTCAACATACTGAAACGGAACAAGTAGCTGACTATCTAGCATCCAATGATGTAGTTTTGACTACCTACAATGTAAAATATAATTTACAAAACTAATAAAAGAGTGAAAAACTAACTATTTTTGTCTTTTTACCTTTATTGTTAGGTTCTAAGAACAGAAATTCATTATTCAAGGCAGATACAAGATCGACCACGTAGATGTGGTAATACAAAATAATTTAAAATGATAAAGTTATACTTTTACATAGATACTGACTATTTTTTTTTCTTTTCCTTGGGGATATCCAACCTTTTTTTTTTTTTTCTTTAGATATCAAACATAAAGTCAGAAAAAGTCCTTTGGTTCAATTATTATGGTGGCGATGCATTGTTGATGAAGTAAATAATATAATTATAATATTATATATATATATATATATATATACTAATTCTTTGATATATAACTGTTTTAATTTTACTAGGCACAAAAAGTGGAATCACCGGTGACACTCGTGGCAGAAATGGCATGTCTCATTCCTCGTTATTATAGTTGGGGAATTACTGGAACACCTATCAATTCAACTAATTATTATGATCTTTATGGATTATGCAAATTTGTGGACTATTTTGATGGCACGCCTCGTCAATTTAGGAATATGTACTCTACTCCAGCCTTACACTCCACTTTTTTGGATTTTATGAAGAAGATCATGCGGCGGAATCTTAAATCATTTTTGTATGATCAGATCCATATCCCAAAACAACACCGACAAGTCATTACCATCTCTTTTTCAACTATCGAACAACATTACTACAATGATCTTCAGTTAACTTGTCGACAAGAAGCAAATCCATCATGGTTAGACAGCATTGGATGGGAAAAGCCAACAGATACATCAGATATTGCTTATACAAGATATATTGATAGTATGCAAGCATTACGAAAATGGGTAAGCTTTTTTTTTTTTTAAAAAAAAAAAAAAAAAAAAAAAGCGGAATATTTGGACATACATTTATCATTTATTTATCGTTTATTTATTTTATTTTATTTATTAACTACTTGTAGCTCAATACTTTACGTGAAACATGTGTACATCCAGCTGTTGTTGGAAGAGATCAAGAAAATGTTCGAACATTAGATCAAGGTAGGAAACGATTATTGATGATGATATTGTAATGATACTCATTTTTTTTTTCTATTTGGATAGTACTAAAGATCATGATACAAAAGACAAAGGACAAGGTCGAAGAAGCACAAGCTCAATTGGCAAATGACAAGCTCACATATGGAGGGATGCACGAACTTACGCAACAAGGTAATTGGACAAAACCTTTGTCAATTTATTTAGATTGGATGCCTCAAGTAGAGAAAATGGTGATGGAATACAATACAAGAATTGATCAAGCTAAAGGCGGGAATCAGCAGGACATGGCTACAGATCCGATTATTCCAGGAATGGATGAACACAAAATGACAGACAGCAATCAAGACACAGAAGAAAAGAGCAAGTTGGTGATGTCCCTTCAACTGAAACAAGTTATGTGGCAAAACATCCTACACCGATTTTATTTTTACACTGCTGGTATTTACCATATGTTGGAAGACAAGGATAAGGAAAATGAATATTATGAAAAGGCAGCTAGCGTTCGAAGGCAAATCTTATCAAAACCCCAAGAAAAGGTATATTATTGAAAAAAAAAAAGAATATATACTTTGTGGATTAAATCTTATTTACATATATATTACATTATCAACATAGGTACAAGCATTAGCACTTGATATCAAGTCTACGGAGCCTTTATTATCGTTAGGCAAGGTTGGGTTTTCTCGTCAGAGGGAAACCATTTTTTTATCAACTGATTTCCTTACAAGGGTGAATGACCTGGCAGACATTTTGAATAAACAGTTGTTATTGATTGAAGAATGGCGAACTCTATTACGGAAATATCTTACATCCAATTTGGTAGATTCGAATGAGGACGAAATCAAAGGTAACATATCACTGCAAAAAAAAAAAAAAAAAAAAAAAAAAAAAAAAAAAAAAAGATGATAAAAGAATTTACAGGAATAAGTAACTGATTCGTTTTTATTTCAATTTTATACCTTTATAGGTGATGAATATGACAATTCTCTGATTATTCAAGAAAAATGTGACATATATCAAGATCTCTACCAGGATATTCTACGGGACAGGCACTTTTGGATCAATGGTGTATGGTTGACTCAACGAGTATCCAATATCCAAGACGAGAATAATGAAAACGGAATTGAACATGAGGTATTATCTATAAAATAAGTGAATGATAGTTATAAGGGAGTATTCTATTGAATTTTAGAATTAAATCATTTATTACAATTTTTCTTTTTATAGGAAATCAAGGATTTACGTGAAAACTTGGATAAATTACGACAAAAAGTGGCTCCAAAAGTGATTGGTTCTGACAATATGCGATCACTCCTCACTGAACTTCGAGAAATTGCATCTGGTCCAAATGTTACTCATAAGGTGGAAAGTTATGTTATTCAAGCAGAAATGACTCGATTGGCTGGTGAACTTAAACAACAAAAGGATTTTCAAGACAAGTTGGAAATGTAAGTAGTAAAAAAAAAAAAAAAAGAAAAGAAAAAGCAATGAAGAACAAGTTTGATAGTTATATTTAAATTATAGGGAAAGTCGAAAACTTTCAGCTCTAGCCAATCATCGTATTGAATACTACCGTGCCCTTCAAAATATATCTGATCATGTCGAGGTAAAAAAAAAAAAAAAAAAAAGAAAAAGAATCAATGGAATGGGAAATCTAAGATTTTAATTTTTTTTTTTTTTTTCATTCATCTAAAGACTTGGGAAAGCAAAAACCCATCAGCCAAGATTCAATCATTAGAATTCCAAATGGGAAAATTAGAAAACACCATTGCTGACCAATCTTCACGACAAAGGTACCTGGAAAATATCGCGATGGAAAAACAGAATGAAAAGAACAGTGCTGAAAGCGACAAGGAATTGTTATGTTTGATCTGCAAGGAAAATTTCACCAAAGGAATCGTGACTTATTGGTAAGTTAGTACTATTGTATTGCATTGTTTTAATATCATTCATATCAAATACTCAATGACTAACTGCCTTTTCTGGTAATTTTAAATAGTGGCCATATGGTATAATATGTTTTTTTTTTTTTTTTTGACTTACTTCTGTATATAGGATTATGTTATGCTAATGTTCATATATATGCATTTTTTTTTTTTTTTTTTTTTTTTTTTAGTATTGCTCTGTCTGTGCTCATGAATGGTTTCGCACAAGTAGTCGATGTCCTCAATGCAGTTCCACTGTTAGACATTCTGAATGGTATCCTATTTGTAAGTTAACTTGTATACTTATTTGGAAATAAATATTAACATTTCTTTTTTTCATGTAAAATCTAGCATGGAAAACGGCAGTATTACATCAAGGTAATGTTGCTGACAATGATAAAAGGGCTCACCCTACTGATGATGTTGGTGGCATCTCTGTTGATACATTGGAAGACATTAGAAAAGTGTCTATTGAAGAAGGACTAGGTAAACAAGAAAAAAAAATGTGTATAACTTTACTCATGTACACCACTCACATCTATATCATATTTTTTTTTTATGATACTTTGTTGACACATCATTGATATCTATTTATATAGGAGCCAAGTTGGACAGCGTGATTAGGCATATCAAGTATCTACAACAAACAACTAATGGAAAGTGTCTAGTGTTTTCTCAGTGGAATCGTATCCTTGGATTACTCTCTGAAGGTTTGAAAAGAAACAACATTGGCTTTGTAAACATTGCATCTGGTCCAAAAGATGATGATATCGTCCGATTCAAGGAAGATGAAACTATTAATGTCATGTTGCTACATGCCCGAAGTCAATCAAGGTAAGCGTGATCAATAAGAAGAATAAAAAAAAAAGAAAAGGGCTATTGACAATTGTATCTGTATAGTGGATTGACTTTATTAGAAGCGAAAACTATTTTTATAATTGAACCGGTACTGAATGAATCTTTGGAGAAGCAAGCCATCAGTCGTGTTCATCGTATTGGTCAAACAGACGAGGTAATTTTTTGTTTGTTTTTCAAAAAAGAAGCATATACATGAGGATTAATTCCTTCTTTTTTTTTTTATGGATAATCGATAGACATCAGTATTCTGGTATATTGTACGGGACACGATTGAAGAACGGATACAAATGATTCATGATGCAACACAACGACATAGACAAATTGACAACCTGATATTGGATACCGTTTATAAACCAGTCATGGCATCAAGATCCGAAGGTGGAGGTGAATACGTTTCAGATCAAGACCTTAAAAAATGCTTTACAGAATTAGATATACCAATGTAGAATTTTTTTTTTTGTATGATATTTTCTTATGAACAACGTTAATTACTATTATTATTTTGTCGCAATTCAAAGTTAATAAACTGTAGGTATTCTTTTACGTCCTTCTTCTTTCAAATATTATAATTTTATCACCTTATTCAATAGTGAAATAGACATGACTTCATACTGAAATACAACTTTTTTTTTTTCAATAATGTGCATAGTCAGTTTGACCAGTAACAATCATCATCCTCTCTTCTCAAAATCATGATCATCGTTCTTATCAATAAAAATAAGACTAAACCATATAATAATCATTCGCCTGAGCAATTCAAGTTGTGTTCATTATCAATGATTATTCTTCATGAAAAGCTATTGTAAAAAAAAAAAAAAAAAAAATTATAAAAAAAAAAAAAAGAGAAACGAAAAAAAAAATCCTAATTTCGTTTTCGATTTAATCCTTTTTATCCCTACTTGATTGTGTAGTGGATTATCTCTTTTGATTGGCTCACTTTGTTCACTATTTAAAGTCAGAATAATTTTACTTTACTTCTACCTTCCAAATTTGGAACAAGACTTTATTTTTTTTTACTTTACTTTTTGTTTTATTTTATCTCTTTTCTTATACGTGTGCTTGCGTAATCAAGTACTGGTGCTCACTATAAACATCATTAACTTTCAATCATCCTGGTTACTTTTTCAATTTTGAACCCATAAACCAAAAAATCACCTAACAAAACCAAAAAATCACCCAACAAATCAATCATCCACCCAATCACGAAAAAATCCTTAACAACACACTTGATTGGTACATTTTCATATACCGAATAATGGCAAAAAACAACAAAATAGAGCCCTACGGGGGGGTCGAACCCCCAACCTTGAGATTAAGAGTCTCACGCTCTGCCGATTGAGCTAGCAAGGCTGATACAGATCTTTAGACCGAAAAGAACATTATAAACCTAAAGAGCGGAGATCTAAAACCAGCCAATCACATTCTTGCTTGCAGTTGGTTTCCTTTTTTTTTCAGTTGGACCTTTTTTTTCAATCGTTCTTTTTTTTATTTCTTTTTTTTTTTTCTCTTTCTTTTTCTCTTTCTTTTTTATATTTGACTGTTATATATTTATATATATCTTTTGTTAATCTTTTTTTTTGATTTTGCTCAGAATTCGATATGGATGTGAATCAAATGCAACTTGATTCAAACAAAGATACAGGTAATGTAGTGTCGTCATCATCTGTAGTGCCAACAGCTCTTCAAAACGCCAGTTACAATTCATCTTCTACTACTGCAACTTCTTCACCGCCCAACGTGGCTACAGATACAACTATTTCTACAACTCACGCTCAATATTATTTATCCAACCCTGAAACGAGATTCCTAGGAGGTAACAGCAATGATAACAACACGGACGCAGATATTGGAACTGAAGGTCAAGAATTATATCCTATTGCTATTCTCGTGGAAGAATTGAAAAATGATGATGTTCAGCTTCGTCTTAATGCTATTCAAAACCTTGGTACTATTGCAATGGCTTTAGGACCTCAACGAACAAGAGATGAATTGATTCCTTTTTTAAATGGTAAAGCTAAAATAAAAAAATAAGGAGAGGAATTTCTTTTTTTTTTTTTTTGTATTTACTTGTATATAAATGTATTTTTTTTTTTTTTTTTTTTTTTAGATTCTATCGATGACGAAGATGAAGTACTTTTAGCTGTAGCTGAAGAATTAGCCAACTTTTATGAATATGTGGGTGGTCCTGAATATGCTCATACATTACTTGGTCCTTTGGAAAACCTTTCTGCTGTGGAAGAAGTCCTCGTACGCGAAAAGGTAGAATGACACAAAAATAAAAAAAAAAAAAAAAAGAAAAGAAAAAAGTAGTTACTTTCTTATTGTTACTGATTATTTTTTATTTTCTTAGGCCGTGGAATCCCTCTGTAAACTAGTGACCGTTTTCAATGCACATCAAATTGAACATTACTTTTTACCACTATTGAATCGATTGACTAATGGTGAATGGTTTACAAGTCGTACCTCTGCTACTGGATTATTTGCTTCTGTGTATGACCAGTGTACTATTACTCAAAAAGCTGAATTACAAAAGTAAGTTCTACTTTTGAATAAAAAGTAAATAAATAGTAATATTTACTAACATACTTTTGATGATAGTCTATTCGCGCAACTTATTCAAGATGATACTCCTATGGTTCGACGTACCGCTGCAAAAGCATTAGGGGTAATGATATTGATAATGAAACAATAAATAAATAAATAAATAATGAACTAACTTATTCTCTCTTTTGATTCAATATTAGACCTTTGCCAAAAAAATGGATAAGAAAGACTTTTTGCAAAATATGTTGCCTTATTTCATCAAACTCACAAAAGATGATCAAGATACTGTACGACTTTTAACAGTGGAAGATTTATTACAAGCGACAAGTATTTTAACTCTTGAAGAAAAGAAACAACATCTTTTACCTATACTTAAGGTTTTGGGTCAAGATAAATCATGGAGGGTTCGATTTATGGTGGCAACCCATTTTGCTCAGGTAAATTCCTATTGATGATTTGGTTGAAAAAAAAAAAAAGGATTAATATTGATTTATTTTATATTTTTAGTTATGTGAGGCATTTGGATTGACAGTGACTCAAGAAGAACTTGTGGATTTGTTTGTAGCACTTATCAAGGATAGTGAAGGTGAAGTGAAGATCATGACTATTGGACAAGCCCCAGGTAAAGAAAGGAAATGAATATTGATATTTATGACTGATTTACTGATGAAACTATTTTCTTAACGTAGCATTTGCCAAGATGATTGATGAAGTTACCATGGTGGATAAACTACTTCCTTGTGTAAAGGATTTAGTGATTGATACGAATCAACATGTACGTGCAGCCGTAGCAGCAAATATTAGCGGATTAGCTCCCACACTTGGAAAAGAGGTGTAAGTTATATTAGGTTGTAGATTATATAGAAGGAAAAGGATTCTATTTAATATTCATCATATTCTTATTATATCATATTAGGACAATTGAATATTTGTTACCTTTGTTTTTACAATTATTGAAGGATGATTTCCCTGATGTGAGACTCAATATCATTTCAAAATTGGAAAATGTGAATCAAGGTAAAAAAAAAAAAAAAAAAAATCTATTTATATCCACTGAACAATATTATTTGTGTTTTTCTTTTAGTTATTGGTGTTGATCGACTTTCTCAATCATTACTTCCAGCGATAGTAGAATTGGCTCAAGACAAACAATGGCGCGTACGACTTGCAATTATAGAATATATTCCATTCCTCGCTTCTCAATTGGGAGTGACATTCTTTGATGAAAAGTTATTAGATTTATGTATCTCTTGGTTAGTTGACACTGTATTTTCAATTCGAGATGCAGCCACAACGAATCTAAAACAACTTGTTGAAATCTTTGGATGTGATTGGGCCAAAACTACGGTGATTCCTAGAGTGATGACAATGGCAGGCAATGAAAACTATCTATATCGAATGACTACTCTATTTGCATTATCGGTAAGATTAATTATAGTATGAAATGGAGAAGTATTGATTGTTCTTTTCTTTTTTTTTCTTTTTTTTTAGACGATGGCGGTATCATTGAGTCCAGAAATTGTCAAGGATAATATTTTACCTACTGTTCTTGGTTTGGTTGAAGATCCTATTCCAAACGTTCGATTCAATGTTGCCAAATCGTTAGAAGTATTGACACCAATTCTTAGAAACAATCCAACTACAGAACCTCTTACAGCTTCGAAAGTCAAACCTGCTTTAGAGAAACTGAATGATGATGCTGATATGGATGTAAGGTGGTTTGCTGAAAAAGCTTTATTAACAGGTAAAAGAGATAGAAAACTATATATAGGTATTATTAGTCACTTACCTTTCTTTTTTTTTTATTATTATTATTATTAGTTTAATCAAAGAGGTCCATCTCAGTTTTGTTTAGTTTAGTCTTATTAGTTAGTAACTCTTCCCCCCTTTTTTATATATATATATTTATCTGATGATGATGATGATGTTATTCCTTAGTTTCCTTCTTTCTGTCACTTTTATATTTTACCCCCCTTCTTTTGATTGAATAAAAATGAAAAAAAACGATTACTCCGATCCTCCTAGGTGCGACAGTGAAAATAATGCACCTGTTTGATTTTTTTTTCTTTCTCCCTTTTCTTTCCTTTTTTCTTTTTTCTTTGCTACAATGGATCTACCTTCTAATTACGAAAAGTAAGTTAAAATAATAATAATAATAATAATAAAACAAAAGAAAAATGTTTTTTTTTATATCACTTATGACTCTGACACTCAGGTTGCTCACAGTTACGACGAATTTGTAGTTCATTTGAATCACAATGCATATGGTAAAAAAAGAAAGATATCAATCTATCTTTTAGTTGTATTCACTTTTTTTAGTAATTTAGTAGATGAAACAGTACCATTCTATGACCATATGTTTTCTGTCTTCCCGCGTACTGTTTATGATGTAAGATTATATACTAGATCATATTCTATTTTTTTTTTTTAGGATGCTTACTTTTCCTCTTTGTCATTACAGGAGGTTACTGATACCATGTTCAAAAATGGTGTTGATATGGTAAGAATAAAAAAGCAATTCATTGGATATATTCGTGTTTATTATTATTATTATTATTATAGCAAGGCATTATCTGGTCACAGCAACGAATCAGTAGAGAAACTTATAGGAATCAAAGGTATATATATATTTTAAATATAACTTATCCATAAATGCTATTTTTTTTTGTTCTTATTCAATGTTTTTTTGTTGGTGAACTATTAGACTGAAAGATTATGATTCTTATCTTAGTTTGAAGAAGGATAAAGGAGATCTCACAGTGGAAGATTCAATCAAGGTAATATATGTCTATATATATATTATATATATAAGTACGTACTAAATTATGTACGAACTGGGTTTTATATAGAATCAAAAGGTCAAAACAGTATCACACAATCAACAATATTATGAATTCAAGTTTGCAAAATTAAAGGAAGCTTGTCGGATTGGTCACTTTCAATTACGAAATCTTTTATGGGCCACATCAAAGAATACAGTTTATTATATTCGTAAATATATATATATATATGTAATGGATTGAAAAATTCAACATGTTTATATTTTTTTTTCTTGTTTTTTTTTATTTAGGTGGTAATACAGTTCGACAATGGTCACCACAACGAAAAGAAAGCAAAGAAATACTGGATCTTGACAATACCCAAACCAATTACTTTCGTACAATGAAAATCAGTAGTATGGCATGCAAGGACGATATTTTATTTGTTGGTGGATTCTTGGGTGATTATTTATTACAGCGAATTGGACCTGATACAACAACAAGCTCTCATTACGGTCTCATTTCAAATCAAAATACGGGGATAGTGAATCATGCGGATATTATCATGGGTAAAAATGGAAATTGGAAGATTCTGGTGTCGGACAATGATACAAAAGCAAGATTATTGGATGTTAATTCTTATGCAGTCGAAAAAACATATACGTTTGCTTTTCCAGTCAATGTAAGTTTCTTATTATTGTGTGGTTAACTATATTAATTATTATTATTATTTTGTTCATCATATAGTGCTCCGCTATGTCTCCTGATAAACGTGTTCTATGTGCTGTGGGTGATTCAACTGAAACACATCTAGTGGATGCTGCATCTGGAAAAAGTAAAGTAGAAGATATAATAAATATATAAATATTATATTAATAAATTTTCTATAATATATGTATAGATATCAAGGTGATGAATGATCATCATGATTTCTCTTTTGCTTGCTGCTATAGTCCAGATGGAATGACATTAGCAACAGGGAATCAAGACAAAACGACAAGAATTTATGATGTTAGGAATTTGTCACGAAGTTTACATGTACTTGGAGCAAATGTTGGTGCTATTCGATCTCTTCACTTTTCCAGTGATGGCAAATATTTAGCCATGGCAGGTAATATATATATATATATATATATATATGGATTTATCATTTTATATTAACTATTCATTTTTCCTGTTAGAGCCTGTTGATTTTGTTCATATATTTGATACCCATACCTATGAAAATAGTCAAGTTATAGACTTTTTTGGTGATATCGCTGGTGTTGGTAATGTATCACTGAATAAATAAACTTTTTTCTTTTCTTTTCTATTTTTTTTTTAAACTAATTCTTTATATATCTATATAGCATTTACTCCAGATGATCAAGCTTTGATGATTGCAAACAATGATGATAATGTTGGGTAAGAAAGAATACCAAAAAAGGAAAGATAGAACTTAATACTTTTCTCTTTTTCTTTTATTAGTGGCATCTTTGAATTCCAGAGAAGTCAACGTGAAATACCTTTATTTATAGTCTAGTTTTTTTTTTTTTTTTATGATGTTATCTCAATTAAAGCTCAAATTTTTCTCTGGAACTTTTACAGATGGTTGTCAACTCCAAATTTGCTTGGAAAAGTATAGGCTAAAGATTCTTTTTTTTTTTTTTTTTTTGTGGGAAGACGTGGACTATTAGACTTTTTTTTTTGGTTTACGAAAGAGAAGATAACTTTTTATTTTTAGACATGATGATGGAGAAAAAAAAAAGATGGTCATTAGAGAGGCATTTCTGCATAAGCTATAGTTATCGTCGATTGACAGTGTCGATGATGTGTGTAGTCTTTTATCATAGTCATTGAAATTAATGTCATCATCTCCCTTCTTCGTTGTTGTTGTTGTGGTCATAAACTTTAATAATTTAACAGATGTTATCCATCATTCATTGATCTATTGATATAATATTGATCCATTCATCCGCTATGTGTCATCTATCATTTATCAACATTTTAAGGAACTCACTTCTTTTTTCATAAAAAAAAAATGCCCAAGCCAAAGGTAATCAAATATAATCCAAATCAAGTTCGAACCAACAACAATGTTTATTATTGTTCATGGATCCTCAAGTTAAAGAAAAGAAAAAAAAAACAATGTTTCGCGTATTCCCAACGAAATTCAACTGGCAGTGCCTTATTAAAAAAAAATCCCCGATTTTTTTTTTTTTTTTTTTTTTTTTTTTTTTTTGGTTAGACAACAACGCAGGACGCATGATCACACATGTGGCGCCAAATAAAACTTTTTTTTTTCATTCATCTCACGTTCCTTTTTTTTTTTTTTCTTTCTTTCTTTTCCTCAAATATGAAGACTTTACTTTGGTATGTTGTCACTTTATATATTATAACACAATTGACTCATGGTGCTTTGGGACCTATGCTGATACAACAACAACAACAACAAATAGTGTTCAATAACCCACTACCTCATTATTATGACTCTACATTTCAAAATCCTCTACCATCAACACATGAACTTACCGATGCAGAAAAACAAAAAGCTGTCAAAGATGCCTTTCTCTTCACTTGGAATGGATATCATAACTATAGCTGGGGATTTGATGAAAATAGACCTGTGACAAACCAACCCATTAATACCAGGTAATAAATACTATCCAATATATATAATATATATATCTTAGCTTTGTTTTTTTCTTTCATATATAAAAAAAAATAATTGAATAATTAGAAATGGATGGGGAGCTTCACTTGTGGATGCATTGGATACATTGTATATTATGGGATTCAAGGCTGAATTTAAGGAAGCAAGAGAATTTGTGGCTACCATTGATTGGAGCAAGACGTCTGATCATGTCCAAGTGTTTGAAACTTGTATCCGTTATGTTGGTGGACTTTTATCAGCTTATGAATTGTCTCAAGATAAAATTTTCATTACAAAAGCTGTTGAATTAGTCGATCGATTACTTCCTGCTTTTACTGAATCTCCTACTGGTATCCCTTATCAATTTGTTGATTTTAAAACGTAAGTGACAACAATTTATCAGAATGTTTTTATTTATTTATTTTATCATAGTGGACGACCCGTTAAATCTGGATTCCCTGAAGGTGCATCGGTTTTGGCAGAAATTGGTACTTTACAATTGGAATTCACACGCTTATCACAAATCACAGGGGATTGGAAATATCATCGAATAGTAAGTTTACAAAAAAGAAAACAAAAGTTTTTTATATTTATTTTTCCTTTTAGGGTCAACGTGTATATGATTCATTCCAAGGAATGAAAACATCTCATATTGGACTTTATCCTCATTTGATTAATCCTGATACTGGTCATCCTGTAGGTGACTATATTACTTGGGGAGGTATGGCTGATAGCTTTTACGAATATATCATCAAACAATATGTATTTTCCAATGGACAAGATACACAAAAGAAAGAAATGGCGATTCAAGCTGTACAAGGACTTCAAAAGTTTTTATTACAATCTCCCAAGGATTATGATGATATCGCCTTTCTTGCTAACATCAACAATGGAATCATGACACCCCTTATGGATGAATTGGTAAAATGAATGCAATAGATGAAATATGTTACTGATCTCATTTTTATTTTAGGCCTGTTTTGCTCCCTCAGTTTTACTACTCAGTGCTCGTTGGATCGAAGAACTAGCAGATGTAGAACAGGATGCTGCCAAACTTTTACGAGGTTGTTATAGAGCATGGGCATCTACACGTACAGGTATTGCTCCTGAAGTATTTGGTTGGATTGACAAGAATGGGAATTCAGGAATCAACTTGACTGAACGACAATCACAATTATCACAACAATTTGGTGTCTTTCCAGTTTATCCTTCTTATATTCTTCGTCCTGGTAAAATAAAATAAAAAATAAAAAATAAGTTGTTGTTTGTTCAAATTTTTTTTTTTTTTTTTTTTTAGAAACACTGGAATCTCTCTTTTATTTTTATCAGACAACGGGTGATAAACGATATCAAGATATGGCATGGGATATCTTCAATTCTCTTCATACGTATTGTCTCGCGAATTCTGGATTCTCTGGAATAGACAATGTAGATGCTTTTTCACCAAAATGGGATGATCGACAAGAAAGTTTCTTGTTTGCCGAAACATTCAAGTATCTGTATCTGATATGGGATGAACCGTTGATCGGATCTCGGTTCCCATTGGATCAATGGGTATTCAATACCGAAGCTCATCCTTTACGGATCATCACTCGTAGTAATCCCACTCCCTTCTACTCTCGTGCATGGCATTGGCTCAAGGATCAATTTCATTCTATATTTACCATAGCTAGAAATACTTTTATGTTTTTTATTTGATGATGTGAAATAAATAAAATCAATGGTTGTATGTCTAGTTCATTTTGTCTCTGTTTTTGGGTAATGGTTAGATAGGACGGTTGATGGTGGAGAAAGACTTACTTAATAACTGTTGCAAAAATGATAAAGAAGATTAATTTTTTATTTTCTATTTTTTTTATTTTATTGATTAGAAAGTAAATAAAACAGATATATATATTTAAATGATAAACTTAAATGATAAACTAAGATACACTAATCACTATCATCGTCTGATTGATCACCCAAAAAGGAAACATCCAAAGGAGTAGATTCAGGTTTGTCAGTAGAGGAGTCATCGTCGTCTTCATCTTCAATAATACGGCGTTTCTTTGTTCGATTTGATCTTGTTGAGCGAAGACTTGGTCCATTAGTAGAATCATCCAAAATGTTTTCAGTATTCAAACTATCAATTTCAGCCCTAAGTTCCCTTTCAGCTTTGATGGCTTCACACTTCTCTAGAGTCGGTCGTCCTGATCAATCATCATGGTGATTGAGGATTAATATCATAAATATTTGAATTTCGTCTACCTTTTTTTTTTTTTTTTTTTTTCTTTCTTACCATCCATACCCAAGTCTTGTAAGATTTTCTTCAACTTGTTAATCTGTGATTTCTTTGTTGGACAATCAGCCAATTCCTTTTGCCATACTTTGCGTACCCCACATTTATAGATATATGATTTCAATCGTTTGATAGTTTCATCGTCAGGAGAAGTTGTTTTGGTACTCTATATAATGAAACTCAAAAGTCAATTCATTTTCTTTTTTTTTTTTTCCTTGTCTTCTTCATACAAATTCTACCTTTATATTACGAGTCGATCCCTTCTTTTCAGGTTGACCCTTTGATGGTCGTTGTTTTTTTGTCGATGATGATATAGGTGGCGTAGTAGGTTCAGAGGCTTTGCTATCATCTTCGTCACTGGTGGTAGGATGGGATTCATGATGGTCTGACACCTCTTTTTCTTCTTCTTCTGTGTCGCTTTGTGGTTGTTTGATGGTTGTTTTTCGCTTTCGTTTGGTTGATATTGCTGGTTTTTCTTCTTCTTCTTTAGAGTCCTGATGCGTATTTGGTTGATCCAATTGTTCAGTATCACCTTTATTGTCGCTTGTATTACTAGTGATTTCCGCATTGTCTTGTTGATTACCTTTCTCAAGGTCTTCTTGATTCTCTAAATTAGACTGTCAACAAATATCAAGAGATTACCATAAATAAATGAATAAATATATGCGCTTAATAACGTGTTTTCTTATAATAGTTACCACATAGTCGTTGATCATGACATTCAGTATACCCTTGAATGGTTCTTTCTTCAATGAATTGCGTTCAAATCCCTACGACATTTAAAAGGAAAAAAAAAAAAAAAAAAATCCAATGAGCAAAAGAAGAAAAAGAATAATTTGGTTGACTTACAAAGATATCTTCCAGTTCTTTTTTAATAGCAGATCCTGTAAGAGTCCTAATATATATAAAGTTCCAAAAGAAAAAGAAAAATATTCTAATAAGTTGAGGTTGTTTTATTGGCTTCAACTAATTTTGAACTTACAAAGGATCGCCATTTCTTGTGATTCTAATAAACATGTCATATCAGCATAAGTAACATAGTTTTTATAGTTTGAGTATTTACCTATCAAATTCTTCCTTGAATTCATTTGATTGGAGGAACTTTTCGTTCAATTTTACCATTAACAATTATGACTTTGAAGAAAGGAAAAAATGTTCATTTTTAATCGTGTTGCGTCCATATTAAATATCCGCCAAAAGTCCAACGAAGGAAAATGAAGGAAAAAAGTGCGTTAAGTCAAAATGAATCGCACGCACTTTTATTTATAATACTCACATATCTAAAAATGAAGAATAGCCAGACAATCAGAGAGAAAGAAAAACAGAAGAAAAAAAAAAAGATTAATTGCATTGATCTATGCTGATATGGAAATTTTTTTTTTTATGAAGCCAAAGAGGGAATCCATTCTTTAACAAGAAGAAAAATGTGTGTGGAGTAAAGATGCACGTGGATTTGATGATTAGTATTCTTCCCATTCTTCAATAAAGTCTGATCTTATTTTTTTTTTTGTACATGATGATAATGATCATTATTATCTTTTATCATCTATTATTATCATGAAGCATTTCTAATTCTTCCTATGATATCATCGTTTCTACTTCTCATTGTGCGTGTAATAGATTCGATTTCCGGTCTCTAAAAAAAAAAAAAAAATGGCCGCATTCAATATTTTTTTTGATTTCTTCGTTCTCCCCAATTTTCTCTTTTCATACAAATGACTAAACGACCGTCTGAAGAAGACGACTTTTTGTAAGTGAAAATGAATTGATAATGATCTAGTTTAATCTAAAAGGATTCACCATTATCTTTTTTTTTTTTTTTTATCGCAGTATATCTGACCATGGTTTGAACACCGAATCAGAACTTGACATACTACGATCAAAATGTATACCAAAAAAAAAAAAAAAAAGGAAATGACTTTCAATACATCTACTCATTGGGTTTTTTATTTTATATAGTATCTCGACTAGAAGAAGAAAAAATAGCACTGAAACATAAACTTGCAGAAGAAAAACTTGCCTACTTGATCTCCACCTCATTTGCTGATATTATTCAAGGTAAAAAAAAAAAAAAAAAAAAAAAAAAAAAGAACTTGTGTTTATCTCATTTAAATTGATTTACTATTTTGAATAGATCCAAGAAGACAAAAAGCTATCGATATGAAAGAAGTACACAAGAAGGTATATATATTCTCATTCAAAGGAAACTATTTTTGTGAATTCAATGTCTCTATTTATATATATATAGATTATACAACAAACGGTTGCAGCGACACAAGCAAGACGCGTGCAAGAAGTCATGTCTAGTTACAGGTTAGCAGGATACACGACATTCACTTTCCAAAACAAGTACATGGGGGTTCGACTGGATACTTTTTATAACCGACATTATTATGAACCATACTACATATTCCTCCCCAAAGATAAACCAGACATCATTGAAAGACATACCGTTCCCTTTTTTATTCCTATCAAGCTTTTGGCAAAACGTCTTCTACCGGACAATTTGGATGTAAGTGAATTCAATTCGAAAATTTATTATTTATCTCTATCTCTCTCTTTTTTTTTTTTTTTAGTCATTGCTTCGAATACTTCATGATTTATTGTTGGCCTATGTAGCAAAAAGAGAACAGGTCAAAGCATTGAAGTGTCATGTGGACACATCGATTATTAAGGTGAATGTAGATGATGCCTCCTTTTCTGCAGTAGAAATCATTGTACCTGATGAAGACCCAAGGTAGATCAAACAGATACAATGAAACCACTTTATATATATATGTTGGGTTAACACTTCTTTTTTTTTTTACTATTATCATGATGATGATGATGAATGATAATAAAGTCAAATGATAACTGTGACTCTCTACTATAATAATCCTTCCTCTATGTATCCAAGCCGAGTACGGGTTCGGATGTCAAAGCGACAATTGGAGAGACGACAACATATCGAAGATCAATTTATGACCAAACCCATGGTACAAGCATACAAAGCCGCCTTCAGATAGCCTTTTTATTTTCTTTCCTTTTTGCATCTTTTTTTTTTTTTTTTTGTCAACCAATGTATTCTCTCACCTAGTTTAGCTGTATTATATCTTTATTTACTATTACTCAATAAATCAACTTTGTCCATATATTCATCTATAAATAATAATAATAAACAAAACATAGAAGATTTCTTTTTATTGATATAACTATTCTATAGTTTCAAAAAAAGGGTTGATGGGGTAAATATTAATAATAGGAGGAGTACGTTCATCATTGACTTGAATAAGGACATCGAATCTACCAAAAGTTTTGAAGACTTGCATCCTTTTTGATCCATCCGTTCGGCAAAACGTCAGCCCATTATGTTGCTGTTGCTGAGAATGATCAATTCTATTGCTGTTCTTATCATCATTCAATTCATTCGATGTATTGTTGTTGGCTGCTTGATTGGCTTCCCTAATACTGTTGATAGTATCCATGTTCATCACCCCATCCTTTTTCCAATAGACAGTGAGTGAGTTATCCACTGCATCATAACGGAATTGTTCCAAAGGCATAGCATCCATATACACTCTTGATTCAAGACCATAATCTGGGACAAGAAGATCAAAAACATCATTACTGACTTGTAACACAATCGCCGTCCGAACAATAGGTTGTGGTAAACGAGCAAGATAACGAGAAAGGTACAGATGACCACTTTGTTCTTGAGCATTCTTGGCACCATCCTTTTTCCTATTACATTGTAATGCGATAGCTTGAACCATTTTCTTGGAATAACCACAATCACCTTATTTTTAAAAAAGAGGAAACATAAAATAAATATCTTTTTTTTTTTTTTTTTTCATGAGTAATATTTTACCTTTTTCTTGTAAAATGGATTCTAATTGACGATGGACCATCACATCAGCATATCGACGAATAGGAGACGTAAAATGTGTATACATAGGGACGTTCAATGCAAAATGTAGATATTTGGAAATATCATCAAAAGATCCAGTACAAAAGTATTTGGCACGACGCATAGGTTTGATGGCGAGAATACGTAAAACATATTTGACATCTTCAGATTCAATGGCATCAAAAGAAGCTTGTAAAGTACCAGAAGTACTTCCATCAATATAATAACCCAGATCTTGAGCTACTTGGACAAATTCATCCTACATAGATCAATAATAATAAAAAAAAAAGGTAAGATAAAATCCATCACTTTTTTTTTTTTTTTTTTTTTTTTTTTTTTTTTTTTTTTTTACCAGACGACGTTCAATAGGATGTTCATGACGACGTAATATTGCTTCACCAGGATAATGTTGACAAAGTTTTTCAGCCACACTCATATTTGCCCGTAACATGAATTCTTCAATCAATCGATTGGCTTCTTTTAGTTGATACACCCATACTTTTTCCGGTTCACCATCCTCATCCAATTTGAAAGCAAGTTTGATAGAATTCATCGAGAGAGCACCATTCTCAAAACGTCGTTGTCGCATACATTGTGATAGCTTGAGTAGATCCAAAATATCTTGTTCCACTGAAGACACAGAGTGATCTACCACCTTGGCTGTCGTTGGTAATCCTTTCTTTTCTATCACACTTTGGGCATCATCATACGCCAGTTTTGCACAAGATCTAAAGGGAATTTCCAAAACAAAATAAACATAATTAATTCATATTTTTAACTTTATTTTATAAAAAAATAAATGAATACTTACTTGATGATAGTACGACCAAACCATGTATCTAAAATATGTCCAGTATTATCCATTTTCCAAATCACAGAGAAAGCAAGTCGTTCCACACCTGGATTCAGACTACATAATTGTTCACATAATAGAGATGGTAACATAGGGATCACACGGTCCACTAAATAAGTACTTGTTCCACGTTCTTTGGCTTCCACATCCAATTGAGTGTTTCTCTTCAAAAAGTAGGATACATCGGCAATATGGACACCCACTTCATATTGGTCACCTTCCAACCTTGTAATATGTAAAGCATCATCCAAATCTAATACAGAGAATATTAAAAAAGAAGATTGAGTAAAAAAATTCATATGTCTTTTTCCATGAGTACCTTTAGCCGTTTCAGGATCGATGGTGAAAATACGAGTTGACCGCAAATCTCGACGAGTTTTATATTCTTTTTCAGGAATTGACCAAGGAGTTTTGGGAAGAGCCTTCAACGCTTTCGTACTAAAATCAGCATCAAGAATATTGTTGTTTGCCAATATAGATTTCGCTTCTACTACCATTTCCCCAAGACGACCCAATTCACAGATCAATTTGCCAAAAGGATAACGGGAATCAATAGGCCAGCGTGTGATTTTTGCCTATTTAAAAGTAAAAAAAAAAAAAAAAAAGATTAGATAAAAAAAAAAAAGGTTTCTTGAATAAGCTTACAGAAAATATTTCATTATCAAACTTGGAAGGATTTGCTAAAAAATCATCAGGTGCTTGAGCCACAGGAATAGCAATAAATGGTGCACGTTTGTCAGTTGGTTTGAACCATAATAGTCGAACATGATTATTGTTTGCTGGAACAGGTGGAGTCGTATCATTATCTTCATCATCGTCTTCCTCTTTCTCACTGTTATCAATTGTTGGTCCTTGGTGATGATCAATATGAAGTGTCCTAAATAGAGAGAGAGAGAGATAGCCATCATCCAAATCCAATCACAACAAGAATAAAGAAATAAATAAATTAATGTCTGATATGATTTCGTTGCATTTCTTTTTTTTTTTTTTTTTTTTTTTTTTGTGTTTACCCTGTGATTTGTTGTCCTTCCATACGATGTACAATACCAACCACTTGTCCACAGAATTTGGGTTTATTCTTGTCCATTTCTTCTTCTTCTTGTTCCTCTTCGTCATCAGTCCCGATTTCAATTGCCACACTGCTTTGTTCCTTAAGATCTTCCGTATTCTTTTTCTTTTGTTGATCCTTTTCTTTTTTATGTTTCCAAATAGTTTCCACATCCAATAATCGAATTGCTACCATATCACCTTCTAAAGCACGGTTTCGGTCACGTACACCATGAATATAAATGTCATGTTCCAAATCATCCGAAGTCACATATCCATCCGAACGGTTGCGTTTGTTGATTCGTAGAATCCCTTGGTAAAGTGTATTATTTTCAATGCCTTTTGCTATTAAGTCTGGTGCCATATATGGTAAATAGCGTGGTCGTCGTCCTGGTTTCACCTTGTCATCCGGATGAACATATTCTTCCGTTGTGGATGATTTTTTTTGCTGATCTTTCTGTCCAAGCTGTCGCTTTTCTTGTTGAGATTGTCGGTTTTCTGATTTTTGTCGATTTTTATCCATTGTCTTTTGATCTAGAAAAAAAAAATAAAAAAAAATATTATTTATTTCACGAAACAAAAAAAAAGATTTTCATTTCATTCCTTTCTAATATGTATTTTCTTACCTTTCTTTGCCCTTCGATCTTTTGATGCCTCGGGTGTCTTGCTGATGGGTTGTTTTCCTTTTTGATTCTTTCGGTGATCTTGTTGTACTTGTTGTTGCTGAGGATTGTGGTCACTTTCATTCTTCATAGATATCTGTCTTGTTGTTGTATTACCACTGGCAGGAACAAAGTAGTTTTCAAGAGAAAGGGTTGTATCCAATACCGTCTTTGTTGAGAGAGGTTTCTTTTTGCGACCTGCCATACCGGATGATTCACTTGCCTTTGTAGTTTTATTTGGATTGTCTTGTGGGAGAACGGATGGTTTCTTTGTGGGAAAGGTGTTTGACTTTGATGATGAAGAAGAAGAAGTAATCACCGTTTTCATTGTTGCTGTTGTTGGTGTTGTATCCTGGTGAGAATGTAAATCACTGAAATCAACTACTTCCGTTTGATCGTTTACAATACGCCAATGATCACGGTGACGCCTAGCAAAATATGGCATCGCTGGTACCACTTTTCCGTTTCCTTTTATATCAGTAGCTATGCTTGCATCCTCAGTTTGAGTTGTTGTAACCGTAGTATCAGGAGTTGATGGTGAGTGATTGGTTGATGAAGGACTAATTGTAGTTGCAGCATCAGTGGTGATCTTTGCAGTCGCATCTTCCTTTGAACGTTGTGGTTTCTTTTTGTTCTTCTTCTTCTTTTGTTGTTTTTTGTCCTTTGGTATATCCTTCTGTTCACCAGTTGTCGTAGTTTCCGCAGTCATGTCCTTGTTTGAATCCAACTTCTTTGGTTTCTTCTTGCGCACCCTACTACTTTTTTTGTCGTCCATAGGTTTGGTGGTCATTTCCTTGTTGTCTTGCAAAGTGGTTGTTTCATCATTGGTCTCACCATTGATTTGTTTTGTCACAGCTTTGTCTTCTTTTGGATCTACTTTCTTTTTTCTATTGCGTTGACGTTTTGCAGCATTGGAAACAGAAATCTTGGACTTGGGTTCAATGTTCTTATTGTTACTGTCCTCATTAACAATGACTGAAGTATCGTTTACCGGAATAGTATCTAACTTTGTAACTGGTATACGCTGTTTTCGAGAGCGGTTACGACGTTTGTTGGATGTTCCATTGACTTTTAATTCACCTTTGTCATGATCCGTAGGTGCCGCAGTTAATGATGGATCGTTATCAGCTTTTCTAATGGAATCAGCAGATTGTAAAGACTCGTTTTCTTGTTGTTGGTGCGCCTTAGAAGAAGCCTATCAACGGAAAAAAAAAAAAAAAAGATTAGATTAGTAAAATGTCAAGTTGAGATTTTGAGGTTCTCGACACGAGCATTGTTTATGAAAAGCAAATAATCCGTCAAGTATCTATCTTTTTCAAGTCCAATGTGATTACCTCATGTTTAATTTGACATGAAGGTGCGTATACCTTTTCAATATCTCCCATAGTCACTGACAAATACAAATCAGAAGAGAGAAAAGAGAAAGAGGGTGAGCGTTCGAGACAAAAAGGAAAAATATAGAAAAGAATTGTATTCAAATACCGCCCATAAAGTTTTGGATTTTCATTTATTTTCGTTTGCATAAGTATCATCGATAATAATGTGTCCTAATAATAAATTTATCTATCTAGTAAGTATCTATCTAGACTTTGGAGGTTTGAAGATAAGTGCCTATCAACACAAAAAAAAAAAAAAAAGAAAAAAAAGAGTGAGAGAAGATAATAAGTAAATAAGAGCTATATTCAAAACAGTTGCTATAATAACCTACGTTTTCATCCAAGAATTCGAGTAGAGCTTTCTTCTTTTCCCTGGGCAATCCTTCAGCACATTTCTCCAAATCAACTGATTCATATCTTAGTATACTTTCCCATATTTTTGAGTTGCTTTTGATATATTGTAACAATTCTTGCCTCACTGCTTCGTCCTCGCAGGGTCTATTTTTGGTTCGAGACTCCAAGGACAGTGGTGTGTCCGGTGTTGATGCTGAATGTGGTAATGATGATGCTGGTATCGATGATGATGATGCTGGTATCGATGATGATGATGATGATCCTGATGTTGATACTGATGATAATAACCTTGATGTCGACGACGATGGATCGTCGTTTCCTAATGATAATTGCAGGTTTTTCAAGGTAGTGATCATTGACTTGCGATCCTTTGATTTAAATCCATACTTTTTGAGCGCATTCTAATCAAATAATAATAATAATAATAAAAATAATAATGATAGCAATATATAAATAAAAGTCCATATGTACGCATTCTACCATTATTTAGCTTACTCTCAATTCAGGCAATGTCAGTGATTCATAATCCGGTAACTGAGACGGTGGTGATAACAAGGATGCTGCGGTTTGTACTTTTCGATTTGCAACTAGGACGCGTTTTTTGATCCTTCTTCTTGAAGCAGATGTTTTGGATGATGTTGACTTTGGATTTGATGCCGATGCTGGTGAAGGAGACATATCATTCGTTGGTTTGTTGCTAGTATCATCCAAAGTGAGGTCGATCAATGGAGATGAACTAGAACAAGTATCGATTTCAATTAGGCCTTTCTATATAATTTGATTAGATCGAGATAAAAAAAAAAAAAGACAAAAAGGTAAGTATATAGATAAATAAATAATATAAATTTTGTATTTACGTCTTGATCTAATAATGAGTCTAAAGAATAATCAGATCTGGTAATATCATTTGTTGTGCTACGATTATGCGAATGGTGTTCAGAGGTAGTATTATTGACTTGGTTGGATGATGAAATAGTAGTTGTTACTATGGTATCTTGAAGATTAGTATTTAATTGCTTTATTCGTTTATTGGGAACGAATAAAACAGAGGAACGCCTTGACTTTTTCCCAGGTAACATGTATGTGGAGTGCGGGTTTGAATTTTTTTCAGGAGTAAAAACGGAGAAGAAAGGCAAAAGAAAAAAAAAAAAGACCAAGTATTCCTTTCTGAGACAAGAACAGTTTTTTTTAAATCCCAGAGGAGCTTTCCCATTTTTTTTTTTCTTCTCTTTGAATTTTTTTTTTTTTTTATTATTTCCCTTCTTTTATAGTATTTTATTATTTATGTCGACTTTACCCAGCGATTTTATACACGAAACGGATACATCGTTTGGACAACAAAGTAATTTACATATTTTTATATTTCAATATATAAAAAAAAAGAAAAAAAGATTAGATCATCATGGTTGATGAGTCAAAAAAGTTTTTACAAGCTTAGATCTCCCAATAGATTAACAATTTTTTCTTCTTCTTTTTTATTATGATATATTTTTTTAGATTATTCTACTGAGAATGGCAACACTTCTTTATCTACAGATATACCGAAAAATGAATCCCTTCTGACTAAAGTAAGTCTTTACCGTAGTAACAGAACTATCGGAACTCAAATATATAAAGAACAATTGCCTATATAATACTTTTTGCTAACAAATGAAAAATTTTGTATTTTCATTCTCCCTTCTAAAATTATTCCCTCATCCCCTATTCTTCCCCACTTCTTTTTTTTTTTTTTTTTTCCTATTTCTTAGCGCAAGCAAAAAGACGATATGGATTTGGATAACTCTCAGGACAGTAAAAGAGTTTATACCCAACCTACTAGTACCCCATTTGCTCGAACTCGTATTAATCAAGACAAGGAACTTTGGCAAGTATTAAATGCTTTGAAAGAAAGTAGTAGAACTGCAGGTAATTGAATTAAGAAACTTTTTTTTTTTTTTCTAAACACTTTTTTTTTTCTATTATAGGCGTGATACCCCGTTTGGAACCACATTTTACAAGTTTAAACCGAAAAGGAAATACTGTGGCTGCTTATCTTTGTAGCTCCTTTACTGACCATATATCTACTGGCTTGATGGATCTTGGATGGGGATGTGGTTATAGAAACGCGCAAATGTTGATGACTTTTTTACAACGTAAACAACAAGATGGTACCTCTATTCTTCAACAAGTTTCTGACATTTCGGGTATTCAAATATTATTAGAGAGAGCTTGGGACGAAGGTATGTCATATATATATATGTGTATAGAAACAATTGATAATTTGTGTGCTCACTTCATCTTTTTTATTTTTATTTTTTATTTTCTTAAACAAGGCTTTGATCCTCAAGGAGCAGCACAGCTACATCATCAAGTGTACAAAACCCGAAAATGGATCGGCACCACTGAGGTATATAGTATACTTGGATATCTTGGCATTCGGTGTACTATTTTGGATTTTCATCGACCTACTGGACCTAACAATACTCATGAGGCATTGATGGATTGGATACAAAGTTATTTTGAAAGTGCAATTCCGAAGAAGAAATCAACATCAGACGATCAACGACGTCAACAACATCAAAAAAAGGTTGTCCATGTTACAAATCGACCTCCACTTTATCTTCAACATTCTGGACATAGTCGAACAGTGATTGGTATTGAATTATTGAAGGATGGAAAAAGGAATTTAATCATGTTTGATCCTGGACGACGCATGCTACGATCTTACCGTAATAACAAACACGATGAACAACTTCAAGATCCTACTATTCCTGAAGATGACATGGAAGAATCGCCATTATCATCGGTCAATGGAGAAGATGAGGAAGAATATGATAATCAACAACAACATCACGATAATGATTCTTATGATGATGATTCTTTTGATGACGATGATGATATAGATGAAGTTAAGACACCCAATGAAAGTAGTGGTAACAACATTAGCAGTCCTCAACGAGATACACCACCCAGTACACCTAGTTTTACTTCTCGATTACTTTCAGGTATTACTCAACGTACTCATTTACCAGCCAATCTTCTTCGACCTTTTCGTGTAGATGCCAAAACTATAGCCAAGAATCGACAATATCAAATACTGGTACTTGGAGATGTGATTGATGAACGATCTCAAGGTGGCGGTTTATATTGGAACGAAAGCAAAGGATTCTTGTTGGATGAGGTGGAACGTGAAGAAAAGAAGAATGTGACTAGTATCGGAATGACCTTTTAGTTTAAGTAGAATCATCCCTATTTCATCGTTTATATATATTTACATATATTATACCTTTTATTATTATTATTATTATTATTCATATTGTATTATTTGTCTTCCCCATCTCTCTCTCTCTCTTTTTCTTTCTTTCTTTCTTCCTTCCTTCCTTCCTTCCCTTCCTTTATATATTATTATAACTCAAAAATCTTATCAATAAAAAAAAAAAAAAGAATTGATTCTATAGTATTTATTCTGTATTCTTTTTTTTTTCTTTTACCGTGGGTTTAAGTATCCAAATTTAGATATTTTTTATTCGATATAATTGGCCAGAGAAACAATCCCATGCGTTCCGGAGTTATGCAGTAAGAGAAAAAAAAATTAGTTTGGCTGATTTTATTTTTCACCTCGCCATAATTTTTTGTTTTTCTCTATTTTTTTTCTCGCACACATACTTCTCTTTCTCTTATTTTATTTATTCGGTTCTTTTTTTTTTCTATTACATTGTCTGCATTTGTGTATTAAATCGTTTTTGAAATATGTATAGTCTCCTTACGTCAAATGCATTCAAAAGTAGTTCAAGAACAGCGTTATATCGGGTAAGTAAAGGGTAGAAAAAAAAGAACGCGCAGTAAACTTTTTCTATTTATTTTATATTTTTATTAGGCTAGTCAAGGATTGCCATCTGTATTAGCAAAACGAAATAAAAGGTAAATGGTGACAACAAAGAATAGTAAATAAAAAAAAAAAGAAGAAGAATGAGGATTATTAAAACTAAAATTTGTGTTTATATATAGTGAAAAGGTGCAAGGACAAGTGATTGGTATTGATCTTGGTACAACTAATAGTTGCGTATCTGTAATGGAAGGCAAAACACCTCGTGTGATAGAAAATTCTGAAGGTGGACGCACGACTCCTTCTGTGGTTGCTTTTACAAAAGAAGGAGAAAGACTGGTTGGTTTACCTGCCAAACGTCAAGCTGTGGTAAATCCTGAAAATACACTCTTTGCTACAAAACGATTGATTGGACGAAAATACACTGATCAAGAAGTGCAACGTGATATCAAAGAAGTTCCTTACAAGATTATTGCTCACACAAATGGTGATGCTTGGGTAGAAGCTCATGGGAAAAAATATAGTCCTGCTCAAATTGGTGCCTTTGTAGTTGGCAAAATGAAAGAAACAGCTGAAAGTTATCTTGGAAAGAAGGTTCAAAATGCTGGTAAAAATATATTCAAAAAAAAACAACAACAAAAAAACATATCATTAACCTTCATTATTATATTAATTAGTTATCACTGTTCCTGCTTACTTTAATGATTCTCAACGTCAAGCAACCAAAGATGCCGGAACCATTGCTGGGTTGAATGTCTTACGTGTCATCAATGAACCTACTGCGGCTGCACTAGCATATGGTATTGATCGTGGTGAATCCAGTGACAAACAAGTGGCTGTTTTTGATTTGGGTGGTGGTACTTTTGATATCTCTATTTTGGAAATTCAATCTGGTGTCTTTGAAGTCAAAAGTACAAATGGTGATACACATTTAGGTGGTGAAGATTTTGATATCTTACTTGTTCGATGGATTATTAATGAATTCAAGAAAGAGGTAACAAAAAAAAAAGGAATGATCATAGGGAATGAAAATTTTTTTTTTTACTTACCCTTTATTTATTTATACAGTCTGGTATTGATGTTGGAAATGATCGTATGGCCGTACAACGTATCCGAGAAGCTGCTGAAAAAGCCAAGATTGAAGTATCGTCTACCGTTCAGGTAACTAATAATAACAATAATAAAAAATAACAAAAGATAACCATTATATTTTATTTCTTTTATATACTAGACGGAAATTAATTTACCCTTCATCACTGCTGATGCAACTGGACCTAAACATATTAACCTCAAATTGACTAGATCCAAGTTTGAAGAAATGGTACAACCGCTCCTCGATCGAACAGTTGGACCTTGTGAAAAAGCTCTCCGTGATGCAAATGTCAAACCAGCAGATATTGGTGAAGTGATTTTAGTTGGTGGTATGTCTCGTGTGCCCAAGGTACAAGAATCTGTTAAATCCATCTTTAAGCGTAATCCTGCCAAGAGTGTAAATCCTGATGAAGCAGTGGCCATTGGTGCAGCTATTCAAGGTGGTGTACTTGCTGGTAGTGTGACCGATCTTCTTTTATTGGATGTGACACCATTGTCATTAGGTATTGAGACTTTAGGAGGTGTGTTTACCCGTCTGATTAATCGCAATACGACTATTCCTACCAAGAAATCACAAACATTCTCAACAGCAGCCGATGGACAAAATGCAGTGGATATCAAGGTATATCAAGGTGAACGTGAATTGGTCCGTGATAATAAGCTTTTGGGTAACTTCCAATTAACTGGTATCCCTCCTGCTCCTCGTGGTGTACCCCAGATTGCAGTTGAATTCGATATTGATGCTGATGGTATTGTCAATGTCAGTGCGAAGGACCAAGCTACAGGTAAAGATCAATCCATGACGATTGCAGCATCTTCTGGTCTTAGTGAATCTGAAATCGAAAATATGGTACGACAAGCAGAAGAAAATGCTGAAACTGATCGAAGATACCGTGAATCTATTGAAATGGCAAACCGAGCTGATTCTGTGGCGACTGATACTGAAAAGGCATTGAATGACTTTAAAGATCAATTGGATTCTGCTGAAGCTGAAAAATTACGTGGTCAAATCAACTCTTTGCGTGAAGATGTTACTAAAGCTCAAGGTGGTGATTCCTCTGTAGCACCTGATGATCTCAAAGCCAAGATTGATGAATTACAACAATCAAGTCTAAAATTATTTGAAATGATTTATAAACAGGTAAAAAAAAAAAAAAAAAAAAAAAACTGGTAGTTGAATCTAATTTTTTTTTTTTGTAGCGTGCATCTCAAAATGAAGGTGGTAGCAGCACTGACTCTGGAACTGGTTCCTCTGGCAATAATACAACCGAAGGGGAATATCGTGATGTAAAAGATGACAAGGATGACAAAAAATAGGATATGCCATATAATTATTTAGTTAGTTAGTTAAGGATGATCAACTTACACCTGTTTTGTTTTTGTTTTTTTTTTTTTTTTTTAAATAAAACGCGTATTTTTTTAACAAATGAATTGATTTCTTTTTGGTTGACACTCATTTTCATTGTTTTATCCCGCCTTTTTTCGTTGCTAGTAATAATCATCGATCATCAGTAGATGTTTCCATAAAGAAGAAAACAAGCATCATTGTATATAGGTGATCTATTTTTTTTTCCCTCCTTTTCATGTTTTTCTTTTGTCTGTCAAAGCTTACAGACACACGTGAAATTGAGGAGAGAGATAGGCCAATTTCAAACACCGTATACTTCATATTTTTCAACTGGGGAAACATCTTTTTTTTTTTTCTCCCTCTTCCTTCACCTTCTTTTTTTTTTTTTTCTTTCTACTCTTTATACTTGAATTCCCTTCCATACTTCATTGGATAAATATGACCAACACAAAATCAAGACAAAGTTTACCACAATGGATTTTACGTTTATTAGGTTATTCGTCACTAGCAGCTGCTTTAGTGAGTGTAGCCATTTACCTCTATAGACGTAGCAATGGAAGACCAAGACAATCATTGCCTCGACCTGAAGATGATACTAACACAAACAATCGAGTAAGTTTATTATTATATTGTCTTCCAAAAGTAAAAGAAGTATAGATTCTTTTCACTTTTTTTTTTGCCGTTAGCGTACCCGATGACTAACCATAAATCTCCTTCTTTTATTAATATTTGTATTATATATATATAGTCAGGTTGGAACTTCTTAGCAAGCAAGAGTAATAGCAAGAAGAGGAAACGAGTGACTATTTCATTAAAAAATGTAAGTTTTTTTTTTTATTGACAACATGAAAGTTTTTTTTTTTTAATTGACAACTTGGATTTCTATGAAACTTAATATTTCCCTTTATATATATATATATAGACAATTTTATGGAATCCATCATCAGACGTAGCTATACCTAATTATGCATTTCATGAACATGGACAAACATTATTATCACAATTAATTCAACATCATGAAGTATATATTATCATTCATGTGACAAGTGAAGAAGAACAAGAAGAAATGAAGAAATTACTTGAATCCTTAGAAGGATTGGATTTACGCAAGGTATTATTTTGCTCAACGGAAGAAGGTAAAGTACATCTTATTCGACATTTGGAACCTCAATTACATATCGAAGGTGGATGGGAATACGATGATGGTGAAGATATGATACGAAAATTACGACCTTTTGTATCTAAATTGATTTGGGTTATCACCAAGCGAAGACGAAGTTCATTCAATCAATCTACTCTTAAAGAAGATGATCAAGGTATTTTGGGTTCTAATGTGGAATTGACGGATCATATTTTGGATACTTCTTTAGCTCGTGAACTTGGATTTATTTTAGATTAAATATTATTATTATTTATTTATTTTTATGTATTTTTATTGAATAAACAATGATGTAAAGATGTCAAAACTATAAAAAGAATAGATTTTTAAATTAGGTTTTCTTTGCTACGGTGTTTTTTTTTCTGTTGGCTTGGCATTGATCAAAGTTTTACCTTGAACAGGCGCAACACATGGTCAAAGTTACACCGTATTTCCTAAAACAGATTAGTTTTTTTGTGATGAAGCGCCTGGTCAATTTTAATACTCCACATAATATTTTTTTGCTTTAAAAAAAGATTTTTCTTTTTTTTCTTTTTCTTTCTTTCTTTCCTTTTTTTTTTTTTATTCTTTATACTAAATCATGTCACTTTTATCATTATGTACAATATTATTATTAACAACAACAAGTATTTCAGCTGCTTCTCTTCCTGAAATAGACAATTCATTGATACGAGCACCTATTTTACGAAGATCAAGTCGAGCTGAACATTTATCATTAACTCTGGCTAATAGAAGAAAACGTTCTTTGGAAAAAAGAGATCCTTTTCAAGCACCTCTTTATAATGATGATGGTTCTCAATATCTTATACAAATTGGTGTTGGTTCTCCTGCTCAAAACTTTACCGTCACTTTGGATACTGGAAGGTACAAAAAAAAAAAAAACTATAGAAATTTCAAACACCGTGTTCATTTTTCTTTTCCTTTTTTTCTATAGTGCTGATTTATGGATTCCTTCTTCTTCTTGTCCAACTACTTCATGTCCTTATTCTCGTTTTGATCCTACTGCCTCTTCTACATACAAAAATCTCAATACTGCATTTTCTATTCAATATGGTAAAAAATAAATAAATAAATTGAATTAAAAAAAAAAAAACTTGATGGATGATCTAAAATATTATTATTTTATAATTAGGTATTGGATCGGTCAATGGTAGTTATTCAACAGATACTGTAACCATTGCTGGAGCTCAAGTTACTAATCAACAATTCGGTCTTGCTTCTTCAACTTCTGATATCCTTACGACTGGAAGTTCATCTATGGGAGGTACAGGTAGTGGAACACCAGGACAAAATTCATCTTCTGATCCTAGTAAACCTACTGGTAATGGTATTCTTGGCCTTGGTTATCCATCATTGACAGCATCAACTACTTCTGGCAAATCTACTTCTCCTTACAATCCTGCAGTTTTCAACATGGTACAACAAAAATTGATTGCTAATCCTATCTTCTCCATCTATATGAACAAAGAATCAGCTAGTGGTTGGGCAGGTGAAGTGATTTTTGGTGGAGTGGATTCAAGTAAATATACAGGTGATTTGGTCTATTTACCAGTGGCACCTCTTAGTACGGCTTCTATTGGCAGTAACAGTAATTACTATTATTGGATGGTGTATGCTCAAGGCATCTCAGTAACTGGTACAGGTAGCAACACGACAGATCAATCTTATAGTTTCACAAGCAGCAAGACAGGAACAAAAGGGGTGGGAACATTTATTTTGGATACCGGTACGACTTTAACCTATTTACCAACAACTATGGCTGAATCTATTATCAGTAGTGTGGCTGGTGGTAGTAGTGGTTATCAATTAGATAGTTCATCACAAACTTATTATATCGATTGTGCTAAAGCTTCCTCGTCCGCTTCGGTTGTATTGCAAATGTCTCAATCTAGTCAAGTGAGCAGTAATCCTGTGACCTTATCAGTGCCAGTATCCAATTTGGTCATTCCTCTCGATGCATCAACCGCTGATCAAGCTCGACTTTGTATGTTTGGAATTGCTCCTATGCAAACTTCTTCTAGTAATGGTATTGGTTCCAGTATGCTTTTGATTGGTGATTCCTTTTTACGAAGTGCTTATATGGTATTTGATATGGGTCAAAATCGTGTGGGTCTAGCAGCTGCCAATGGTTTAGGAGGAGCTGTCAATGGTGTGGCAAGTTCTACTACTAGTGATGGTCTTAGTTTACAACCTGTATTATTACCTTGTATATTAATCTCTTTGACTAGTTTAGTATTTGTATTTTTTGCTTAAATGTTTGTCTATTTAAATAATAAAACAGAAATGATTCTTTTTATGGGAAATGGGGTCCGTGCATTTTTTTTTATAATATATGTTGTTAATGATAGATGGATGATGGTAATGATTTTTTTTTCCTTTTTATGATGATAAATACAACAAGTTTATATAGAACAAAAGATCTTATTGGGTAGGATACAAGTTGTACGACTTTTATTTTGAGAAATATGATTGGATAGTTCTATTTTTAAATACGAATGATTTTTTTCCCAAATCAGAGGGTTCCCCTTTTTTCCCTTTTTCTTTTCACTTTTCCTCTCCTTTTTGTTATTTTTCCGTTCCCCCATTTTTTTTTTTTTATATACTTGTGTATTACCTCCCGCAAAACTCACACTATATTAGTCTTTTGTGTGTCTGTGTGTCTGTGTGTGTGTTGTCTTACGAGAGAGGAGAAAAATGGAATATTCAGATCTCTTTCTTATGCAGCGCCTCGCATCGATTAGCCGCCAGAAAATCTATCCTCCTACTCAATCCAAAGTAGAAATGCCCTTATGGAAAACATTACATATCACAAAGTATATATAATTTTTACTACTGCGCAAATATTGAAATTGTATTGAACTCCTCTTCTTTTTTTTTATTTTTATTTTTATTTCTATTTTTTTTTTTTTTATTAATGAATGTAGACTCTGGAATAATGCTCGAGAACAAGAAATATATTTAACACAACAACAACAACAGAAAGGAGAATGGTGGTTTCATCAACAAGACGCTTATCTTTCTCACCAATTACTAGACGGTTACTTACCATCTTGGTTCGAAGACTCAACAACTACAACAACAACAACATCAACAACAACGAACACTTCACTTCTTACTCATTCAACAAATATGGACCAAAGCAACAAAACCACTAGTAGTTTGGATTTGATAGAGGATGACGAAGACGAAGATGAAGAAGAAGAACAGGATACAACAACAACAACTGAATCTGAACGTACTTCTTCATTATTATCTCATACTCCTGTGGAAGCTTTATGGACTCAAGACGACTTGGTATCTTTATTAACTGTGACTCAAGATAGAAAACGAAAACATGAAGATGATCCATCAGATTCTACACCTGCTACTCGTACTCCTCCTCCTTCTTCTCCTCCTCCTCCTATGGTGAAAGTATAGATATTTTTATATATACACATCATCATCTCTGATCTATTATACATCTCACAACACGTATTATAGTTTTATACCCTTCCTTTATCGACTCTCTTTGATTACCCATCTTTTCCTTTTTGCATTCGAAATCCTCTTTTCACATTTTTACATACTAGTTAGCTTCTTCAATTTTTATATATACATATTAACTTCTTATCTTTCCTTTATTTTCCCTAAAAAAATAACAACAACAATCTTTAGTACATACTTTTTTCCCCCCTTCATCTTTTGTACATTAAAAAAAAATAAAAAAACCCTTTCATTTGATTCTTTTTGTCCCTTATTATCTGTCAGATTAAAGTTTTCTTTTGTTATGTAATGATAGTGATGATCTTGATAATGAAAAAAAGAGGGGAACACACAGATCATCTCGGTATTGTTTGTTTTTTTTTCTTTTTCAAAAAAAAAAAAAGAAAGGGTATCCTCGTTGTGTCACAACCATGAAATCACCATGACTTTAAAATGGAAACATGACCTCAACCTTCTCCCCTTTTTTTTTCAGTCTTACCTTACCCAAGAAAAAAAAAAAAGAAATTCGGACAGGGTCGTGATGATTTGGATTCCAACCGTATCATCTCGTCAACTGTACTCATCATCCAAGGTTTGTCGGTGAAACTCAAAAGGGGGGGGGATACTTTCTTCATTTGTCCACAACCTTGATTTACTCACACTCTTGATCCATCCCTATTGTTGGTCTATACCATTCATATGGTTGATCCATCCATATGGTTAATCCATCCTTATTATTGGTTCATCCATACCCTTGATTTATCCATATCATTGGTTCGTCCATATCGTTGATTTATTTATTAAAACATTCAATGTATAAATTGTTCAAAAAAAATATATATGTAGTTTATTTCACAAAAATCAATATATATATAATATTTTTTACTAACTAATCTAGATATATTAAAGTCTTGAATTGTTAACAGTAGCTCCACCGTCTACAGTGATGATGGCACCAGTAGTATACTAAAAAAAAAAAAAAAAAAAAAAAAAAAAAAAAAAAAAAAACGGAAAGAGAGCATCAATCATCCCATTTTCATTGATCAATATGGATAATACTTACTTGACCGGCACGGGAGGCCAAATATAAACAAGTACCTGCTATATCTTCAGGAGTCCCCACTCTATGTAAAGGAATGCCAGCCAAGATCTTTTTCTTATTCTTCCTCAATGTTTCAGCCATCATTTTGGAAGGGAAACTACCAGGAGCAATAGCATTTACCAAGATATGTTCTGAACCCAAACGACTAGCCAAGTGTCTACTAAGATGATGTACCGCTGCCTTGCTACTAGAATATGCATATGTTTCCAAGCCAGGAGGTTGAAGCCCATTGATACTGCCAATGTTGATCACACGAGAAGGGTTGTCATTCGTTGCCTTGGCTCGTAATAAAGGCAAACACCTAATTCAAAAAAAAAAAAAAAACAATTAATAACAATATAAAACCATATATATATATGTTCGACTTACGCTTGAGTCAAAGTAAATAGACGATTCACATTCAAGTTCATCACCTTTTCAAATGCGGCGCTTGGATAAGTATTGATGGATTCACCCCAATTGGCACCTGAATTATTAATCAACACATCTAGATCTTTTCATCCGTATATATGTATTAAAAAAAAAAAAAGAGTTTAGTTTGATTCTATCCATGCAATCTTTTCAACTTACGATCCTCTAGTTTGGATAATTCTTCAACAATCTTCTTAATATCGTCCAGTTTCTGCAAATCACCAGGAATAGCGAAGCATTGGCCAGGTCCTTTTGCCGTAAGTTCTTTAGCTACCTAATCAATTAAACATATAAACAAATGGTTCACGGTTGTATAGTACATAAAGAAATTTACCTTGTTGCATACATCGCCATTGCGAGAGGAGATATATACCTTTGCACCAGCAGCGACAAAACCCTAGATAATAAATGGATAGAACAACATGATGAGCTGATTCAGTACAATAACTTTTTTTTTAATTCTTATTTTTACCTGTGCAATCATTTCACCTAAAAAAAATAAAATAAAAGTAAAGCATTCAAAATGAACAACACGTGTATTAGTAAGAAAGAATAGTTTTGTTATTATAGAAGTACCTATGCCTCTACCACCACCAGTGATTAACACCACTTTCTCCTTGACACTAAACAGAGATGTAATATCCATTTATTTTTGTTTTTATTTTTTTTTATTAAAAAGAAAGAGAAAAAAGAGGTAAGAAATAGGTTTTGATTTATATATCTTACCAAGTATATTTCGAGCACCGCGATTTTGTTCTTATTAATTATAGGGTTTTATATAAAGTTCACTTTACTAAAACAATACTTACCATCATCATCATTCATATATTTATATATCAAATACTAGTAGCTTACCATTGAATATATGTATATGATTGATAAGCAAAAGTACAAAACATGAATCCTTTCGGAAATCGGATAAACAGATGGATAGGAACCGTAAAAAAAAAAGCATGAAGATGGATTTTTTTTTTTCGTGGGAATACGTTTTAATCAGCTGTGTGATCATAGAAATACCAGTCCCTTTTGTATGTTGCATAAATCCTATATCATAGTAGTTTCAATTCTTTTTCTTTTGGGAATTCTTATTCGATTTACTTTTGATACCCTCACAGCTTTTTTCTTTTTATTTTCTTGTCGTACAGGCCAAAAAAAAAAAAAACTACTTTCTGTTCTTGAAATGTAGAAATCTCTTTGTTCATCCTGTCAAATGGGAGAGCTAAACATTTGTCTTTTCATTTCTAGCTCAAGAGCCAGCATCATCGTACCAAGTTTGGACAGAACATAAATGAAGTTATTCTCTTTCGCTTGCGTTAATAATATTCTATACCTTACCTCCCAATTTATAAAAGTAAATTAAAGAATAGGAATCAATATCATCATCCCTCGTCCAATAATGATCATCATCCAATAAAATGACCACCGTCCAATTCCTCTCAAAAAAGTAGTTTAATATCATCTAATCCCATTTTATAGCTTATCTTGCCATCTCATGTGCAATAAACATCAAAAGGATTTTATCGATATTTTGAAAAATTGCCTGATGACCCCTCGACAATTGATCTTTACAGCCAAAATTTAGCTGAGGAATTTCAAATTTTTAGCTGTAGAATTCAAAAAAAAAAAAAAAAATACCTAAAGGGAAGTGTTTTTCTCCCACTCCTTTTTTTTTTTTTTTTTTTTTTTTTTTTTTTTTTTGTTTATTTCTAATTTACTTGATGCCGTTAACCAAACCACCACCTCCACCACCAAAACCTGTTTTTGAAGAATTCTCAACGCCTGAAGATTTCAATGATCAATTTAAAAAGAAACAAACAACAAAATATATGAATCCTTGTGCTGTGGAAGAAAAACAAAGTATGAAGTGTTTGGATGTCAACAATTACGATAAATCGAAATGTGAATATTTCTTTTTACAATATCGTGAATGCAAGAAAAACTGGGTAAAAGGAAAAAAAAAAAAAAAACAAAGGGAGATTTGGTTTCGATTTAACCTTTTTTTTTTTTCTTTTCTTAATAGCAACAACGACGTCGGCAATTACGAAGGGAAGGGCAATTATGATCAACAAACCAACCCTACTCGATACCAAGGATGAATTAAAAAAAAAAACTTGATATTCTTTTTTTTTTTTGGGGAGGACAAAAAAAAGAGGGTTCTTTGCAAGTGGATAGAGAATCATTGTATTTTACTTGTTATTATTATTAGTATGATCTTTTTTTATTTATTTTGTTTTTACTTCGCATTGTCCTTCAAAATAAAGAATCTCATTACATCACTTCTATCTGATTCGGTGACTCTGAAGGTATGCCGTTCCAATTTTCTTTCTTTTTCCTTTTTTTAATGTAAAATCGCTTCTTTACAGTCTTTTTTTAAAATGAATCAAATTAGTGATTTTTTTTTCTCTTAATTTATCATAGACATCTCAAACAAGTAACATGGCCTAGATGAATGAAACTAAACAATATCCATGATTCCTTTTTCTTATAAATAATAACATATTCCTTTCTGATTTAATCGTAATGATGGTGATGATGGCATGATGGTATATTGAATGATGGTATGATGATAATATGAGAAGATAATTAAGATCGCTCTTTTTTCAAGTGAAAGAGGAAAAAAAAAGGATATTTATTGCTTACAGATTAATAACAAAGGATGATGAACCAAGTTTTAGTCAACGGGGTCAAAGCATGAACCAACAAAAAAAAAATATTCCATTTTAAGGCAAACAATAAATATGTATGCGGTATGAAAGGGACTGGTGATCATGTTGTCATCATGTTGCTTAGTTGATTAAAAAGGGACTTGGCCTGTTTGCATTTATAAAGATCAAAATCCCAATCACAAAAAAAAAGGAAAGGAATTATAATCAAATCATTATAATATATTTTATAAAAGAAGAAGAAGAAAAAAAAAAAAAGGTTGTACTAGAACATATTCTCTGTATCATACTGGAAGATGGGCGTGATAGAGAATGACTGGATTACCCAAACACAAAAAAGGCAAGATTACAGTATATATAAATCGGAGAAGTAAAAAAAGAATGAATTGTATATTCGTGTTACAAAGTAACATAGACATACATATACTACAATTTGTTTTTTTTTTAACAATAATATATATTTTATTTGTATGTTTTTTTTTGAGAATATGTCAAATCAACCAGTGGTCTTTTTTTTTTTAATATATATATATATATAGAAAAGTAAGAGAGAATAATAGTAATAAATAAACTTGTATAAGATAATAGAAAAACAGATCAAAAAAAAAAAAAAGTAAAGGAATAAGATAAAGGGAACAATAATAAGAAGTGACTAATATATGATAAGGAAAAAAAAAAAAAGTAAAAAGGAGAGTAAGTAGACAGGGTGATCAAACGCGATTTGAATAAGTAAACTAAGTGATTGAGAGTATATAAGGAAAGAGAAGGAGGAAAGGAAAGAATCTACAAAATCAAACAACCTTTCTTTTTCTTGGATCGTACCGAGGCAGGAGAGAGAACAGCACGGATAGCTTCATCAAACACGTTCTTGAGACCTTTTTGTGTCAAAGCCGAACATTCCAAATATTTTTCAGCACCAATATCCTTTGTCATTTGTAAAGCTTGTGTGTAAGAGATAGGACTCATCTTCTTTTGCTTTAATCGTTCAACAGTTTCAGGGTCTTCCCGTAAATCCAACTTTGTTCCGACCAAGATCATAGGAATATTTGGTGCATGATGACTGATTTCAGGATACCACTAATAAAAGAGATATTAGTATAGTCTCCTTTCGGGGGATCTCCTCTCAATATTCACGACAAAGCCTCATTTATAATAACTTACTTTTGTTCGAACATTTTCAAAAGAAGGAGGACTAACTAATGAGAAGCATACCAAGAATACATCCGTTTGAGGGTAAGATAAAGGTCGCAAACGATCATAATCTTCTTGACCTATTGATTTGAATCATATTAAGAAAAAAAAAACATTATTCTATGATTAGTGAATGTATACCTTTTTGTTTTTATTATTATTAAAATCATCCTAAATACTTTTTATTATTATTATTATTATTATCTTACCAGCAGTATCCCATAAACCAAGGTTAATAGGTTTTCCATCCACCATCACGTTGGCTGAGTAATTGTCAAATCTACATGAATAAAAAAGAATGAGAAAGAAAGAGAGAGAGAGAGGCAGAAAAAAAAGAAAACAGAAAAGAAAAAAAAAAAGAAAAAAAAAAGAAAAAGAAGGTAAGTAAGAGATATATATAAATATATATAGTTTGTGTGTGGGTAACAAAATATAAAGGCTAAATATCGTCCGACATGAGGTATATACGTACACAGTTGGAATATATTCACCAGGGAAAGCATTTGTAGTATAAGAAATCAATAAACACGTTTTCCCGACAGCACTAAGAAAAAATAATAATAAGAAAAAAAAAAAAAGAAAAGTAAATTAATATATATATATATATATATCAAATAAGAAAAAAAGAGAGAGATGATGATAATAATATGATGATAAAATAAAATGACAAGCAAATATAATATCCCGTTCTTTTGTTTTTTTAATATTTCTCCTTTTTTTTTTCTTTTTCTTCTTCTTACCCATCGCCGACTACAACACACTTGATGGATTGCATAGTAACGTTAAAAAAAAAAAGAGTCCTTTATAACAAAGAAATGAAGAGAGAGAAAAAAAAAAAAAAAGAGAGAAAGAGAGAGAGAGAGGGAAGTGAAAAAAAAAAATTAAAAATGGGTAAGAAATCAACCACCGCACGTGCAAAATATCATCCTCGCGTTGCTTGCAAAACTTTCAGTCTTCTTGTTTGGTCTAATGAAAGAAAAAAGGGAAGTGTTGAATCTCCGGTACATTGTCACTCACAAACTGATATTCGGCCCTGTGTAGTACAATTTTTTTTTTGAGATTTTTCTGATGTTTCCTTGGATTCTCTTTTTTTTTTCTTTAATAATGATATAAATTATTTCTTTTATTCTTTGTTTTTCCTTTTCTTTTTCTTCTTTCCTTGTCTCTTTTTTTTTTTTTCTCTTCAACCCAATGTATTTATCCTAATGTCCTTTAATATTATTGTTGACTGTACTTGGCCATGTCCAGGGGGAACTGATCATGCTTGTATTTTGACCAACTCTTCCATTCAATGTCAACAAAAACATAATTCACAGTAAGTTTATCTTTTTATTTATTAACAAACTATTAAAGCCATAATTCTTTTTTTTTTTTTTCTAATAGATGGATATGGAACGATCCAACCTCAGCACCTCAATATGACGGAGAACCAGCTCGACTTCACCAACCGTGTATTACCGCTCCTGTACCTCAACTTACTCCTTTTTTCAACAATAACAATTTGACGACTGTTAATGCAACTCAAACTGTGGTGACATGGCCACCTATGGATCTATATCGACCTGTGGATGCATATCTGAGTGATTGTGGATCACATTATTTTTGTCATCAAGGTACATGTATCTCCAAACTCAAATCAGGTCAATCTTGTGTTTCCAGTCATCAGTGTTCATCGGTATGTAACAACAATGTATGTCAAGATGACGATCCATTACCACCAGCAGTAACTACTCCAAGTCCACAACAACAAGACCAACAACAACAACAAGATAATACTGAACATGACGGACCTTGGGCAAAGCCAGACTTTACCACAGGACATCTTATAGGTGTGATTATTGCTGTGATTGTTTTGATATGTGCTATTGTATTGTTCTTTTTATATAAAAGGAAAACACGACCGACGACAACGACAACAACCAAACCGAAACCTACCTTACCCAAAACGCTTCAAGATGTAGATAATTCTCTTCCTACACCACCTACTGCTTCACATCTCTCTACTCCAAGTATGCAACAACATCAACTTCAATTACAATTACAACGTCAACTTCCTTCCTCACTTTCTTGTCCTTCTCCCTCTAGTATCCCTCCACCTTATTCCCCTTAGACTATCTTCACAAAATGGATCTTAGTATATCAATTTATTCTTCTTTTTTTTTTTATACCCTTGTAGATGTCCACCTTATCATTAAAATAAATAAATAAAAAAAAAACGCATTTTTATCATATGTCCATTCATTCCATTTCGCTTGTCATTCAATAGTTTTTTTTTTCTTTTTTTTTTTTTTAAAAAAAAAAAAGATGATTCTTTTATTTGATGTAGTGATTATAAATAATAATAATAATAAATATACGATGTCTATTATTTTCACTCAATTCAAATAAACTTGGGAAAAAAGATAATGATGATGATAATAAGAATAAGAAGGAATGATGGTAATAAGATAAAATAAGATAAAGAGAGAAGGGAAGAACGATATACTAACTATTTTTTTTTTTTTTTTGTATCTAGATGGAAATGCTAAATTAATCATGATGCTTGGTGAGAGGAGGGACAGGAGGAGGAGAGTTAGATGCTGTTTCACGATGTTTGCTAAAAGTAACCACTAGTCCTGACATACTTGATGCTGAAGAATTGTTTCGTTGATAACTACATCGTCTTGGTCTTGGTATATTGTCGTCATCAATTTCATCATCCACAATAGGATGTCCATCTTGATCATAATAATAATGATCACTATCACTTGATATTGCAGTGGGATGTATTGGTGTTGATATTGGGTATGGTTCATTGGATGATGATGTTATGGAGGGTGCTCTTTCCGATTTAAATAACATGGTTGTTGTGGTTGGTGGAGGTGATAATGGTAAAAGAGCAGAGGATGGTGGTGTTGTGGTTGATATGATGGATGATCTACTAGCAGGATTGGCATGAAAAATTTGTTTCGCTACAGGTCGAGTTTGGCAACTACTTTTGGCTCTTCGTCTGGTGATATTTTGTGTTAGATGAGAGAATGAACTGGATAACTTGTGTATGGATCTTCGTAATCGGTCCTAATAAATATATAAATAATGTTGAATACTTCTTTTTTTTTTTTTTAAAAAAAAAAAATAAAAAATATATAGATTACCATGATAGTATAAGCATGAGATACATCATCATCCGTAATCGAAACCATTTGATAATGACGTGGATCAGCTTCAGCCCACCAAAGTTCAGGATTAGGCAAGTCTTGAATAACCCATGGATGACACTTGACTTGTTCCAAAGTGATACGCTCTTGAGGATTTTTTTCTAATAATCGAAGTAAGAGATCCTTGAGTTGATCATCCAAACGATCTTGACGAGGAAAAGTGACAGGTTGAGTAGGAATGACTTCAAATAATTCGTATTCAGTGGCAGCAATAAATGGACATTGTCCAAATATAAAACAATACAATGTAACACCTAGAGCCCAAACATCAATGGAACGCGTGATGCGATGTCTATAATCTTGTCGATTATCTCCTGCCCAACATAATTCAGGTGCAAAGAATGCTGGTGTCCCCGCCGTTTCTGCTAATTCACGATCTACTTGATCAGATCGACTTGCTGCTTCCATGGTTTTTGATTCTTCTCCTGCAAGTATCTTGTTGAAATAAGATACACCAAAATCAGAAATCTTCACAACATGATCTTTTGAATATAATAAATTGGCAGGTTTAATATCCCGGTGAATCACGCCTTGATAATGTACTTAATAATAATAATAAAGTTAGTTCTTTCTCTTTTTTTTTTTTTTTTTTTAACTCTTATACTTACAATAATCTAATCCACTGACCACATCACGAAATATACTTCGAGCATGATTAATATCTAATACAGGTTGATCTTGTTCATCTCGCCATTCAATTTCCCCACCATTCATATATTCCAATACTATAATCAGGATATCAAAACAGAACAAGATCAATAAATAAATAAATAAAAAAAAGTTATATATTTAATTTACCCATATAAATTTTACTACTTTCAGGGTCTTCCATAATTTCCATAAGTTGTACCACATGAGGATGAACACATTTCTTAAGAATGGCAATTTCACGACGTATTTTTTGTTCATTTTCTTCATCAATAGATGAAGAGACTTGTTGAGTAGGTCGGAGGAATGCATGACTAAGTTGTCGTTTTCGAGTTCGTTTATCGACTATTTTGATGGCCTATAAAGAGAAAATATGAATTGTTAGGAGAAAAAGAAGGAAGGGAGGTTTTTTTTTTATTATTATTTTGTAAAGGGTGAATTTACCACTAATTCATTTGTTTCCAAAGACTGAGCAAGTTTAACTTTACCATGAACACCACGACCTAGTTCACGTATAATCATATATTTTCCATTGATAATTTTGTTCCCAGTAGTCGGATCATAATCTTTAAATACAGTGTTTGTCGTGAGTACAGATGATGCAGTAGTAATATTGTTATTGACGGGTCGTTGTTGCCTTAAACTTTCAGCACTCTTCCAAGGTACAAGAGAGTGACCAGCTAATACCATAACTGGAGATGGAGAAAGAAGTCGTTTTCGGTTAGATGGTAGGTAAACGTCGAGAAAGTTGAAGGAAGGAAAAGAAAAAAAAAGTAAATAATAGGGAAAAGAATGATCGTATATATTATATATCTTTTATATATATATTTATATATATAGAAAAAGGAGATTTTTTTTTTTGGAGTGTGAAAATGAGAACAAAGAGAGAAAGAGAGAGAGAGGGGAACGTAGCCGAAAAAAGTAGTGCAACTTTCGGGGAACAAAAATTCCAAGACATTCATTTAAGCATTGGTTTTCAACAATTCCTCTTTTGTTCTTTTGTTCTTTTTTTCTTTCCCTTTTTTTTTTTTTTTTTTTTTTTTTTTTTTTTTATTCCTGAATAAAACTTATAATATGATATCAACCTTTCTATTATGGATTACATTCATATATATATTTAACCCATTAATACCAGTAGAAGCATCTATTCGTGTTATGGTAATTTATAATCATCAAAAAAAAAATAATCGTTCATAAAAAAACAATAATCATTCATCTTTTTTTTTATTTTTTTTATCAGACTACAAATCAAACATTAGATTCTCAAACAGCATCCTTTGGACCAAGAATTAGTGATTATGGCTTATTGGCTTACATTTATGAACCAATAGAAGATATTACTGGATGTCAAATCGTGCTATCACCTGAAATTGAATGGATTGCTCTTTTACGACGTGGTGGATGTTCATTTTATACTAAAGTTCAAAATATGCAAAAGAGTGGTGCCGTTGCTGTGATTATAGGTGATGAAAACAATACTGATTGGATTACAATGTCTTCTGAACGTAAGGAGGAAGAAAAAAAATAACCCCCGTTTATTTTCGTGTTTTTTTTTCATACTAATGAACCGCTTCTTTTTTTTATTATTATTATTATTATTTACAACTGATAGATGATACATCAGACATCATTATTCCCAGTATATTTTTGACTCGAATGGAATATCAAGACCTTCTTAATGCTCAGCATCAAATAAATCAATCTCGACGTTTACTGGTGTTACTACAAAATGAAGATACGATTCCTTGGTAAGTAAAAAGTTTTATAAAAATAACAACAAAAAACCTTGTATTACGTTGGCAAAGCAAAACCAATCACCAAATATGGATGATTCTGTGTAGGCTGACTTCCCCCCTTTTTTTTTTTTTTTTTTTTTTTTTTTGTTAGGTCAACTATGGATTGTTTTTATATCACCATGATCATTTGTCCCATGTTACTATTCATTTTGGGCTGGGTGTTTTTCCGATTACGACGTGAATACAAAGCCTCCTGTTTACTTTATCAACGACAAGAATTATTATCCAGCCATTTATATAGGATGACTGATATCGACTTGGAGCTCAGCCTACCCAAACAATATCACCATGCCAATATAACCATGGATGAATGTCCTATTTGTTTAGATACATTTCATATTGGCTCAGAATATCGAATTTTACCTTGTCATCATACCTTCCATATCTCTTGTGTTGACCCTTGGTTACTAGGTTATAAATCCTCGGTAAAATGTAGTTTCTCCTGATGAAAAAAAGGGGTTGTTGAATCTCAGCGTTATAAAGTCAGAACCTAATCAATTCCCTTTTTTTATCCATTTTTTTTTTTTTTATGATTATAGTGTCCTGTTTGCAATCAAGAATTAGTCAAGTCTAATCATCCATCTATTTGTGGAAGAAAATGATTCTCTCTCTCTCTCTATAGATCTTATTGGCTCTGATATATTATTATTATTTTTTTGTTTGTATTTTTTCCTTTTTTTTTTTTTTTTGTTTGTAGCAGTAGTAGTATTTAGTATCATTCTTTTTTCCTTTTATATTCATTTATTTACATATCATTCAATCATTTTAGCATTCATCCCTATTATTTTTTTTTTTGTTTATTATTCCCTTTTTTTTTTAGTCTTGTTGTCTTTTAAAAAATAATAAAAAGAAGAAAACATTTACATGCATAATATTCATACTTCAATTGCTGTCATGTATTAACATTCCCTCCAATGATGATGAATATATATATATCTTACATATGATAAATACCGTACTGATGGAAAACGATGATCCATAATGAAGACCAGTGATTACTAATATTCAAGGTACTAAAAAATGGATACTTTATGATGAAAACATAGTGAGGGTAGTGATGATGATTGATGGAAAGTGGTATGCAGAGGATCAATATAGGAGCCAATGGAAGAGAATGCATGAGAGCAAGAGAAAGCAAAACCTGTTGATATTCATCTTGCACAACACGGATCATCACATCTGATCTTTTTTTATAGATCAAAAATGTTTTGTTGTTTTCGAAACTTGCCAGGAGGCGATACTTTTTCTTCTTCTTCTTTGATCATCTTTTTTTTTTTTTTTAAATCTTCTTTTTTACTTTCTTTTTTTTTTTAAAAAAAAATAATAAATTCAATATGATGTCGATTGTAAGTTTTCATCTTGTTCATCCAACAGGGAATGGTAAAGTACCTTGGAAAAGTTTGCATAAAAGAGTCCGATCTTTGCTTTCAAGGAATACCAACAAAAATGACAAACCAGTGACTCATCTATCGCAACGACGCATGGCTCCCTTACCACCTCATCCAACACAAAAAAGAAAAAGAATCCATCAGGAGGAGAAAGAGGATGGAAATCAACCTTCGGCGGCTTTACTCGTTTCCATTTCTACACCAGCTTTGAAAGCGGCTTTTGTGGCACAAAGAAGACGAAGACATCATCGACTTGTATAATCCTTTTTTCTGTTATTTCACATACATATTTTTATATATTATATATATAGACACATACATATTAATACTAATAATAAATATAATATTGTTTTCAATCTCAAACGGAGAATCCCATATGCAACACCCATTTTGGTGCAGTCGTACAAAAAAAAAAAAAAAAAAAAAGGAAGGTAAAAACAGGGTGTGGTTTTTATTATGTTCAAAAGAGAGGAAACTTTGTACAAAAAGTAATCAAATCATATGTATACAAAACAGAAAAAAAAATCATACAATATCAAAATACTATACTAAAAGGAATGGGGAATAAGTGGTAAAAAAAACATAAGATATAAATATAGAATCATTGGTAATGAAACAGTAATAATAAGAAAAAAAAATAATAATAAAAAAGGAGGTTGGGTGAGCATAGTATTTCCTAGCATGTCAAATTCTTGGTACCCGCAGTGATTTGTGTAACAGAGTCTAATCGGTTGGTATCCTTTTCATTGGTGACTAAAGAAGTCTTTTTTTCTGCATCTTGTTGTGCTGATGTTTGTGGAGGAAGAGGAGGAAGATGTGCATTTAATAGTTTTTGATACTTTGATGTACGAAGGAACCGAGGGACAGAATCTTGAGCCATCATGCGACATAGATGATCGTTGACTTTATCATAGAGAAGCATTAATTCATGAAGACATTGAGCAAGTGGTGCATTGACACTGATGGAAGTGGCCGGTGTAGAATGAGGTGTAATCGCTGGTGAAGCAAAAGGTGGAGCAGAAGAGGGCAAAGTGGATGATAGTTGATTGTGTTGATGACGAGGATCAGATACAATTGAAAATGTTGATTTGACCAGAGTATCAATATTTTGTCGTAAAGTATGATCAATGTTGACTTCCTGTATCGACTTTTCCTTGATATATGTATCGTAAATGGCATAACAGTCAGATATCATATCCTTCATCCCATTCTTTGTATGTTGAGTTTTCTTCTTTTTTCGCATGGCAAAATAATCCACCCAAAAGTTAATGTTTTCATCACAAAAGTTGTCCTTCAAATAGATTCGAAAGTACATACGTAACAAAGGATCTTCCAAGATTTGGCGTAATCGTACAAATTGAGCTGCATCATCACCACAAGTCAAAACATCCGTTTCACTATTAGATATACTAGCAGGCCGTTCGTAATCTGTTGGAGAAATGAGTGATGGATAGGTACGTAAAGATTTATTATTATTGTTGTTGTTGTTTGTTGAAACATCATTTTGAGATGATGATGTTGATGTGACACTTTTGGTGGAAGCTTGTGAGTCGGCCCAGCCTAGAACAAAGCGTCCACGTTCAGTAATGTGATACAAAGCATTACGGGAAGTTCGAAACAGTACCGAATCGTCGAATGAATTGCTACCAAGATCAGATTTGTCAAGAATGTGAGCAATCCAACCATAAAGTACAAGTTCACCAGCCACCATATCCGCTTCTTCCCGATTCACCACTGTGGTATATTGAATAATCCATTCGAAGCATTGTTTTCCATAAAAAGTATGTGTGTATTCTTCAAGATAATGATGATGAAGTCCTATTTAATCAAAAAAGGTTACAATAAATAAGAAATCATATCAAAAAATAATAATAAATAAATAAATAAATAAATGGGGGACCCAGATGATTGTTTTTTTATTATTTACCGCCCACATCATCCGCCAATATATTTTCCAGAGGTAATTTTGTCATCATGGTCTTGAAACATAAAGTGATGTTTTCACGTTCAAAAGCCAATTGATCAGTTTCCTTGATACGATCCAAAACCAAGATTGAAACAGTATTGATATTTGATAAATGAGTCGCCATATGTTCAATGGAAACGTATGCTCGTTCACTAAAATCCATAATCATTCGTTTTCCTTTGCTTGTCAAAGCCCATATACTTTTATCTTTCACCATACGTGCATTTGAATCAGTGGCTACTGTGATAAGTCGAGTATTGAGGAATTGTTGTAATAATGCCTTGGCAATATCGCGTTCCATATAAAAAGTAGTCGTTGTTCTAGTCGATCGAATACCATTTGTTGCTGGATCGGGGGTACGTATGACATGCGAAAACTTGAGTGCTTTTAGACATTGTGCTGCTTCGTCTGTAGTGAATGTGGATGGATAGTTTCGAAAAAAGGAGCGATGGTCACCTAGTTGTAATTGAATCACTAATGCCGAAAACAGATCAAAAATATCCTAATAATAAGAAAAAAAAGAAAAGAAAAGAAAAGTGTTCCGTTAGAAATTGAGTTTTACTCTTGATATATAAAATACCTTTGCGAAAGGACGTCTACCATCACCAGTAAGTTTCATTGTGGTCGTATATGTTGACGACAATGAGATATTGCTGAAAGGCATCTCGCTTAATTGTAAACGAGAAGAAAGGGTATCACGTAAAATAAGAGGGACAAATAAATAAATAAAAAAAAAAAGAGATATATGGTTCAAGAAAAAAAAAAAAAGAAAGAAGGAAAGAAAAAAAGAAAACAACAGGATTTTTGTGATCGAGAAGACCATAATGCCCTTTTTATCGTATCCCACCGAATGTTTAGATCCCGATTTCTTGATTAGCTATAGAAAAAGGGTTCATTAGACCTTTTTCTTTTTTTTGCTTTATTTTTTGTAAACCCTTTTTTTTTTTTCTCTTTCTTACGATTACTCTCTAGCCATTCCCCTTTTTACATTGTTCTCTTTTCTTTTCTTTAAAATTCTTTTTATCTACTTTGTTTTAGTATATAAACTTCAGGAGAAAAAGAAAAAAAAAAAGGACCACGGACAAACAACATTGAACACATTGTGTTACGATGAAGACCGAGGGAGTAGTATGTGTGGATCTATCGTTAGTAACACAAAAGGGCCAACAATGTGGTTTGTCAACCCATCAGCATAGTTGTTCATCGGTGATAGAAAGCGGATGATAATAATGATATGATCATTGGCAACTGAAAAAAAAAAAAAAAAGATAAATGAATCATATTGGTCCAATATTTTTTTTTTTTTTTTTTTTTTTGACAGGAGAATTATTTTTCCAATAGTAATAATAATAATAATAATAATGAAAAGAAAGAAGTAATCATCACTCATTCATGTATTAAAATGAGATACTAAAAAAAAGAGAGAATAGTATATGTCATATGAGGTGAGTTATCAATTAACAATTCAAAAATAAATAAGAAAAAGTTGAAAGCTTGGTTCTTTTATTGTCTTGAATGTGTACCTGACCAATCAAAATACCAATGAAATGAAAACTTTTACCCAGGTGCCGAAAATGCCGTGGGTTCGATATGGGGGTGCGGAGCTGATTTCTTTATTTCTAACCGATGCTCTGTTTTTTTTTTTTTCCTCTCTAGTTTCTCCACTCTTTTCTTATTATATTATACATATCTATACCTTTTATCTGAGAGTTCCTACGAACATCAATTGAACGATGCCTCCTCTTGCAGCACTTCAATCAAAGGCCAACTCAAAAGTATTACCCTCTCTAAGGTCTTTGACAATAAATGGACTTGACAACAATAACAAGAAGAGTGGCAATGATACTAAAGTGGATACCTCTGAACAACTCCTTTATGAAGATATTCGACAAGTTCATAAAGCTTTGGACTACTTTTACGATTCTCAAATATTGGAAGCTGAAAAATTACTTGCTGATAAGGAAGGTGTCTATGTATTATTAGGTAGAGCCTTTATTCTTTTTTTGAAAAGTATGATGACCTTTCAAGAAACCGACGTACAACTAACTATGGAAGCTTTGAAGAAAACAATTCACGTTTCTGGGACTCTACGAAAGAAGGATGGTTGGATGGATAGTTTATCTTCTTTTTGGCATCAGAAAAATACCAATACTGCTATACAAAATATGACTCCATTGGAACGACATGCTGTAATTTTTTTTTTTTTTTTTGAATGATTTTTATTTATTTATTTTATGATGTTTAGGAATTGATATATGCTGAAGCTTACTTGTTAAAGGCCTTACTTTGTATCATTCATGATGAAAGTGTAGTATCATTCGTTAGAGAAGGATTCAATATTCGCAATTCTTACAACACTTATATTACCTTGGAAAAATACATCAAATTCGTACAATTAGAAGCTGCAAAGGGAAAGGATGTTACAAAATATGGTTTGGATGAACATTTTACATCTGGTGTATGTCTCGGCATTGGTACTTTTAATATTATTTTATCTCTTCTTCCAACATCTGTCATCAAGGTAGTGGAATTCATTGGATTCAGTGTAGATCGTGCTCATGGATTACAAGTACTCATATCAGCGGGTGGATGGGATGATATGGAAGAAAACAAAAAACCTATGAATGGTTTACGACGACAATTATGCGATTTGGTTTTTACTAATTACAACGTGATTTTGGCTAATCTGGTACCTCTTTCTCATGTGAATCTTCCTTTGGCACATCATATTCTGGCTTGCAATCTTGATCGGTATCCTTCCGGTGTATTCTTTTTATACATTGATGGTCGACGACTGGCACGTCAAGGAAATCTGGATCAAGCGAAACAACAATATCAAAAAGCAATTGATACTCAAAAGGATTGGAAACAATTACAACATATGTGTTATTGGGACTTGGGATTGATTGCTTTAATACAAAAACAGTGGCAACAGGCATTCGACGTTTATAAATTACTAAAATCCGAGAGCAATTGGTCACAAGCGACATATCATTATCTGATGGCGGTCAGTCTTTATATGCAAGCTACTGATGAACAACAAAATATAGACGATGAAAAGAAGGTTACTTTATTGAAACAAGTACATGATTTAATGGAAAAAGTGCCAACTTCTAAAAAGAAAATCTCTGGAAAATCTATTCCTTTGGAGGTAAATGAATATATATTATATATAAAAGGATGATTGGGAATAGAAAACTAAGCTACCTCCTTTTTTTTTTTTTTTTTTTTTTTTTTATTATTATTATTATTATTATTGTTATTATAATTTAGAAATTTGTCTCTCGTAAAGCCCGTAGTTATCTTAGAGATGGTTCTTTGATTGTTCCAGATCTGGAAATGCTGAATGCCACTTCAGGATTTGATTGGATGCCAAAAGATATTCTTCAGATCAATATGAAACAACTCAATACTGTTCTGACTAGATTGGACAAGGATAGTGATCATTATTACGATGGACTTTGTTTGGTAAATTATCTCAAGGCTTTGGCTGCTCGATGTTTGATTCAACAAGACCAAGAAAAGGATATATATTATAAGATTCACTCGGATGCAATGGATGTTGTATTTACACAAGCTCAGCATGCTAAATGGGATCATTATATTTATTATTTTGCTCGATATGAGAATGGACGTTTTTTGACATACGATGGAAAATACGAACAAGCTGAAAAGGAAATTAAGATTGTCATACGGTCAAATGGTCAAGCTCATGTTGGTACTGGTCCTCATATGAAACATAAGTATAGTTTGGGAAATCCACTTCAATTCAAATGTCACAATTGTTTATTATTGATTCACCAACTTGTAGAAGATCAACAAACATCATAATATTCTCTTTTTTATTGGCTGGCTCGTTTGAACCTTACTGTTATTTATATATACTTTTTTTTTTTTTTTTTTTTTACCCCGCTCTGTCACTAATTCTTTCATTTTCCCTCCTTTTTGAACATAGAATATATTTATAGTTATATTTTTCTCTCTCTCTTTTTTTTTTTTTTTTTTTTTTTTCTAATCTACTTCATTGTATCTATTCTATTCTTTCTTCATTTACATATATTCATGACTTACCATTATTCAAAAATAAAATGGACCGAACCTAAACTTTATAGTGTTCCATTGGTTTGTATGTTTTTATTAATATTATTATTACAACGAAAGTATACACCTTCACCCGACTTTGTTAATACGATTCATCAAGAAGAAATCCAGGCACCTTGGTCAATTCAACTAGCTAATCTTGCTACATCCAAATATTCTCGACAAAGTCTTTATACCCCAAGCATGTTTACACCAGACGCTTTGAATAATAATCATTTTCGACCCATCACTGCCATTATTTTACGTACTCATCAAGATCAAGGGATCCACCATATTGTCGACCATTTACACAAATATCCATTTTTCAAGGAAATCTCAATCTATAATTTACATTCTTCTTCAGCTTCATTGTCTCCTCAGGTAAATATATGTATATATATAGAAACCATCGTGGCGGACTGGCCACTTATGCTACACAAAAGGACTGTCTGGACTTTTCCATGATTCCCTAATTTATACTTTTATTACTATACCAACTTAGTTATTCGAACGACCGAATCCCTGGTTATTACACAAAGTGGATATTAACATTATTGATGAAAAAGAACAAGATCATGATGGTATGCTAGCTTTATTTACAACCTGTGCCTTATCAACCTATGATCAATGTTATATTCAAGACGATCATGCTTTGAATTTTCATCTTGACAGTCTTTATACTCATTATATGCGTTATCCTGATTTGATTCATGTGAATGCTCGTTCAGAAGAATATCTTACTCATCGACGTTGGCAACTTTATCATCAAGGTAACTGAAAAAAAAAGATGATCATCTTCTTACCTTTTTTTTTTTATATATGTATTTTTAGATGAAACTGTACATTTACATACTGGATATGCTAATCTTCGTCATGGAGCTATCATACCTCGCTCCAAAGCTCAACTTTTTTTGAATCAATTCGCGGTGCAGAAAACGATTCTTTATCAACGACGGATGGCCGATGTATTCTTCTCTTTGTGGTCCAATTCTTATCCTTATATTGTTTCCAATCCGCTCAACTTGGCAACTGAACAAAATCCACCTTATCATCAGATGGTAAGTCTACATAATAAACTTGTGTATGAAAAGAGGAGTATTATTTATATATCCCATTCTTATATAGTTGAATGCCGTTCGTCGTTTGGAAAAGGCATTATCAGACAAGTTACCCTACTTTGATGAAAATGACATTGGATTTCCACTGAAGAATCGAGATGTTAGGTAAGATGACCACCTAAAAAAAAAAAAAAAAAAAAAAAAAAAATGAAAGAGATACTGATGGTATATATATATATATTTGATAGAACTGCTTGTGAAAATGATAAATGTTTATTCGTGACTAATTTGGATCCTTTCCCATTAACAACTGGTTATGATTCCAATCAAAACTTGACCAATAGCAGTCTTGGATCATCGAATGCCTGGCAACATGAATTAGATATTCCTGGATCTGAATTTTGGCTTCATCGTGGTTATCATGCAGCTGTGGATGGTGATAGTAGCACATGTTGGAATTCATATCTAGGTAAAACGATATTACTTTTATTTTTGTTTTAAACTAATATCCTTTATTCTATTGTAGTACCAAAAGAAGGGGATTACTTTGGTTTAGATTTGGTGGGCAATATGCGAGCATCACGACTCTTGATTCAATTACGACAACCGATGCAAGAACAACAACAATTCAAGGTCAGAGCGGAACAACAAGATGGATGGGTAGACTGTGCCATTACTTTGGATGCTTCTCAATCTCTACCAAGACGTCCAGTATATCAAATGCAATGTCCTGATGATAAACCTTTTCGTGCCATTCGTCTTTTTTTCTTGAAACAGCATGACCGATCCTTTGATCTATGTGGTCTTGGTTTGGACAATTTTATTTTATGATTTGTGCATACTTCCATCTTACATTCATATAGACATAGTTTTATCTTCATCAACAATTTGACAATAAAGTCATCATCCACTTGTAGATTCGAATATAATGGATCTGATCCTTTGTTTTCTTTTTTTTCTTTTATTTCATTTTATTTTATTGATTACATAGAATAAAAATGGAGGGGATAAATATATAATGAATAATCAAAAAAAAAGGAAGAATAACTAAACTATTGAATCTATTGTAAAAGAAAAATAAAAACATGCCTTCTACCAGCCTTCCCATTCATCATCCGAGTTATTTTTGGCGGTTGTTGTTTTCTTGGTGGATTCCCTCAAAGGCGTGCGAGATCGAGATGAAACAGTACTTCCATAACCATTCATAGGGGAAGGTGACGAGCTACGAGATCCAGCCGGGCTTTGTTGTTTCAAGTTGGAAATGGTATTGTTGAAGAAATCACCATCGTCATTAGAGGAAGTATGAGATGAGCTAGACATAGTATTACTTCGTATGGGTGAAGAATTGGATCGTAAACTCTTGTCTATACTTGTATATAATGATTGAGTCTATATCAAATAAATAAATAAATAATATTAGACATATTACTTTTTTTTTTTTTTTTTGTTTGTTTTCTTTTTTTTTTTTCTTACCTTTTGGGTAACAGCACTTACATATCCATTAACATTGTTTCTAAAGTTTGGATCATTCCATTGATCTTGTGCAGGTCTGACATAGTTTTCATTTGCATATTTTCCAAGTTGACCAGCGCCTTGAGTAGCAGCACGAACACCTTCAGCAGCAACTTTGCCCAATTCACCGACACCCACCGATAATAATGACCATCCTTTTGTCAAAGCTTGCATAGGATCATTCATCAGATCATTCACATCTACACCATTCTTATTCGAGGCTTGAGATTCAACTACAAATGGAAGAAGATTCAAGTTTATACAATAGTCAGTTCATATACATGAAATCGTCCTATTTCTATTTCTCACTTACAAGCAGGATTGCCAAATCCGGTATATTTGCCACCTTGGCTTGGAGGCAAGGCTCTATTTCAAAAATCAATCAACCAACCATTCCGTTACAAGTCATTTCATTTGTCATTTCAACTTACTCTGATCGTTTTTCATTTTCATCACCCAATCTAGCAAAGTAATTTTCATTTCTTGCTTTATCGCTAACCATACCACCACCAGATAAAGTCGAATCATTTCCATAACTTGATGAACCAAAAGCTGAAGGAGAGTTTCTTCCCATAGGTCGTTGTTGTTGTTGTTGACTAGAAAGTGAACCTGAAGATCCAGTTCGTTGAGCAGCGCTTAGAGATCGAGTAGACACTTTAGTAGTAGCACGGCTAGCTTGAGTTATTTGTGTACTAGGCGATGGTGTCCAAGAACGTCCTTCTGCTTCTGCTGATAACTAAAATACAAGGAATACAATTTAATAATTTTCTAACTTTAATATTCTGGATGATTACCTTGTCACGATAAAGAGCAGCAAATCTACTATTGTATTTTTGAGTCATTGGCATATTGGGCGAATAATCTGATTGACTTTCAAAGAAGGCTTTTGCTTTTTGATTGCCACCAATCTAAACGAAAAAAAAAAAGGAATAAGGTTCAATTCTCTTTTATTATTTTTTTGTTGTTCATTCAACATACATCCATTTTCTTCAATTGATCATCAAACCATTTGTCCATACTAATCGATCGTACAAAACTATTAAGAAAACCAAAAACAGTGTACATATACATTAGTACTATAACCATATACCATTCATCCTAAAAAATAAAATTTTTTTCTTTTCATCTGTCATTCATTCTAGTTTCATTTAAAGTAAGAAACCATCATGTAGATGAAGAAAGGAATTTACCTAATATGAACACCAAAAGATCGATGAATACCGGAACAGTCCAGACAGATAAAGATACCGTAAGACACACTAGCCCATTGAGGATTAGGAGCACCACAATCAAAACAGATACGGTTATCTTGTCGCCGTTGGATTTCGTAAAGTTTCTGTTTATATTCTGCCGCCATAATTCTAAAGATAAGATAGTATATATATAAAAAAAAAAAAAAAACGAAAAAAAAAGAAAAAAGAAAAGAATATAAAAAAGAGAGATGAGATTAGTTCATGTTGACCTGATTATAGCAAGGACCCTTGTTTCATCTAAATAGATATTCTTTGTTCCAGTTGTCCATAAAACAACAAATAACAAATAATATCATGATTATAATATATTATTCATATAGACCTTACTTTTTTTTCTATTGGTTTCCACTATTTAAAGTAAAAGGGAGAATATGATTAAAGAGAAAGAAAAAGATGGCGACAATGAGATTGAAAGAATAGAAAAGGAGAAAAAAAAAGGGTTGAAAATAGAAAAAAAAAAAAAAAAAAGTAGGTGGACATTTCAAATACCGTCCATAGCGCTACACTAAAAAGAATAAAAAATGTCAAAGGACAAATCATCCTAAATATCATTTTATTTCCACTAGTTTCTCAAAGAGAATAAGTACACAACCAAATCAAATAATCCAATCAATATAAGAATAGGTAAAAAGATAATAAACCAAATGATTTGACGTAAGCGTTCCAACCAAGTCAATTTGGTACCTGGACTGATCTTCTTGACAATCCAAACAATAGAACCAACAATCAATTCCACAGCAACATTCGGAATATACACACCATAATTGGGACGTCGAGAGCATCGTTCCGCTTCCATACGTTGTTTTAATCGATTAAAACTAGATTCAGGTTTCATCAATGTTAGAATTGTCGATAAAAAGGATGCCGTCAATAATGCACCCAAGAAGACAACCATCACAAATAAGTATGCCACCAACAAAATACTAGCTGCTTGAGGTTGATAATATAAAGTTTCACCAATTTCCGGAGAACTATTTTTTTTTTTAAAAAAAAAATAATGATGAAAATTAAACATATCTATATATTATGTTGAAAAACTTACTGTAATGCACCCAAAATCAAATGTCGAAGCATCAACCAAGGACCAATATCATCACGTTGTAAAGCAGATAAACCTAACCAGAATCCAATCAAGCTAACCAAACCAATAAGGAATACCCATAAGCTTTGTACTAAACAACGACCTACTACATAATTGATCTTATAAACAGGCCACCAAAGATCATCTACCCAAAGGAATAAACGGAAAACCATCAAAGGGGTAGCAATAGCAAGTAAAACAAATGAAAAGTAAAAACCATGGTATTTGGGTTGTAAATCAGTAGCAAAAAAGGCCAAGATACGGAATACAAAGGCAGCAGTAAGTAGAATAGCAGTAGGTAAGGTCAGATATGTAGAAGGTTTTTGTAATGCCTTGCGGGGACTAGTAATGAACTACATCAATTTTTTTTTTAAAAAAAAAAGAAAAGTTAGATCGAATACATGATGTATATATATATATATATATATATATATATATATATATATGGTATTACTCTTCCTAATTCAAGCACAAGGTCAGATATCACCAATACATAGTAAAAGTATTCATATGGTTTCAAATGATCTTCCATATATTCCACATTGGAAAGAGTGGCCAAATGGAAGCTAAGGTATACAACAGCGGTGAAAAAAGCAATCAAACATTGGTATCTAAGAAAGAAATAATGAATTAATAAACTATATATATATATATATATTAATGTGATTCCTTACCTTGGAGAAGCCCATCGAGCAAGGTAACTTGCAATAAATTGTTTTGTAAATACTGCCTTCCAACCTTGTCTGGTAACAGTAGTACGATTTTCTTGATAAGAGGAGGTATTCCATGCTTGAAACGGATGATTTGGATTTGTTTTCCAGTCAATGTCACCATACCACCATGATTCCTATTTTTATAAATAAAGATGAAAATAGAAACGTGAGAATCAAGGGGATTTTTTTTTTTTTTTTTTTTTTTTTTTTTTTTTTTTTTACCTTTATGACAGTTTGAACGTTTTCATCATTCAAAAAGACAGAAGAATCATTTTCAATTGCCCACTGAATAGCTACAAATAAATAATAAAAATAATAATAAAAAGGATCAATAAGTAAGAAAAATAGGAAACTAATTTTAAAATATATTTACCTGATTTATCACCAAGCCAAGGTTTAAATAACATTTCTTGACGTATCATATCAGATGCAGAAGTTTGTTTGACACCATGTTCCAAAGTAGATAAAGCCAATCTTTGTAGGGTAGCATCAGCATCAGAAGTAAGGGAAATTTTACCTTGACGACGTTCACTAAGTAAACCAAGGACAGCACAGACAGAAGCATTTTTGGCAACATCCCAAACACCTTTGGCAGATTCTTCATGTGAAACCAATGGAAGAGGAGGTAATTGATTGGAAGTAGAAGTGGAAGGACCTTGTTGAATAGATTCATGAATAACTTGATTATTAATACCTTGATTTTCCATCCATTGATCAGTAGCAAATCGTAAAGCACCAGTAATCAAATCTCTCTTTTTTGATTTTCGAGAGGAGATATCACGTTGACCTTCTTCTTGGACAATATCAACTTCTTGTTCACCCATAATAACTTGACCGGAACCATTACTAGAGCTACTTGATTGAGAGAGTTTACCATTCCCACGGTGTTTACCAAACACTAATAAGTGTTGAATATGGTCAGTCAATTCATCCAAAGGTACAGTAGGATCATGTTCCATGGTCATGTCAACCACTTGTTGTTGAGATCTCCCTTCTTCCACTTGAACTTGAGTAGTATAAGAAGTAGTAGTAGTAGTAGAGTCAAGTAACCGTGTTCTTTCAGTGACATTAGGAACTACGGCAGCATCATCTTGGTTATCAGTCATTGTACACCAAAAACTGAAATGGAAAAGAAAGAAAAGAAAAAAAAAAAAAAAAGGAAGAAAAAGTGCGTATATCGGAAGTTGAAGGCGCCCGCGCCCAGTTAAGCAAAAAAATGTCGGTCTTCTTTATAAAATTGCATGTTCTGTGTAACTAAAATAAAAAGAACTAGTGAAAAGGATGTTATTGATTGTTTGATGGGAAAAAAAAAAGGAAAGACAATGCATAGTATTTGGTTATGAAGAGCATATCGATAAATACGCCATCATGTAAACTCATGCGTTAAAAGTGTCACAATGATGATTATAAAACAAAAAGATATTATATCTAAGATTTTACTTTTCATTATATTGAAGTAAATACACAGATTATTTTGAAACTTGAATAAGATGAATGAGAAATGAAACACAATTAAAAAAAAAAAAATAGTTGTTGATATCCCATCGGAAATTCTTGTCATTTCACCCGAGAAAATCCAAGTTTGTGCCAACTAAATATAAAACAAATAGACACAAACAATACATACCGCACTGTAATGTCATTATCCATTTCCTAATAAACAAAATCACCTATCATTGTCTTTTTTTTTTTTTTTCTTAAAAAAAAAAGCTTGATTTTATTGTAACAGGATGAATGCAAATTGTGTACAAATAAATAAATAAAAAAAAAGAAGGGTAATAATATATATATATATATATATGTATGTATAAATGTATCAATGAAGAATGTAAAAAGATAAATAGTAATAGTAGTAGTAATAATAATAATAATAAATAGGGAGGAGAGACAAAGATATATAGAGAACTAAATAAAAGAAAAGATAGATTTCGTCATTTTGATTTTGAGACCAAAACAAATCAAAGCACCAAAAAGATAAATAGCACCAGAAAACATTTGGACACCAATATAACTTTCTCCAGGAGTAGAACTTTGAATAGCAGAGGCAATAGGAGGACCAACGGAAGCAATAGAACTAGCCACAAATAATATAGAAAGTCCAGGTGAGATCTTTTCAATACCAACAATAGTACCAGTAATAGGAGGTGCCAATGCAAAATATAAACCACAGACGAAACCCCAGGTGATAGAAAACGCCAATAATGTATGGTAACTTGTGGCAAATTTCCATAAAATACAACACAGTAATCCAGCTACTGTGCATGAGATAATGTACATATTCAATCGTCCAATTCTATCAGCTACCCAACCAAGAACAATACGTCCAACCGCATTCAAAGCACAAGCAATACCTAACAAATTAGATGTTGTAGAATCATCCAAACCAATCGATGCACCATATTCTAAAATAAAAAATAAAATAAAATATATATCTTAGTATTTTTAAAAGAAATGATTTTTTTATGACTTACTAGGCAGATAATATAATGGAACAAAATAACCGGCAAGAGAAATCACAACACCAAATAACCAAATCACAAAGTTAATATCTTTTAACATATATAATTTGATAGGTGACTTGATCTTTTGATTCATAGGAGGTTTAGGTATACGAGTCCTAATCAATGCTGTTGCAACCATACAAATACCAAATGCCATAAGTCCAATGATTCGATAAGCCCAAGCAATTCCATATTTTGCGATCAAAGAACTTGCCTAAATGAGGAAACAAGAAATAGATGAGTAAAAACTAACAAAAAAAAAAGTGGTATTCTTTACCATAGGACTAAGAGATAAACCACCAATACCAGTACCAGCACTCGCAATACCCATAGCAGCACCTCTCTTTGTAGTAAACCATTGAGGAATCACCGCGACAACAGACTATTTTTTTTTAAAACAATGTTGAGAGAGTAAGTCAAAAAAAAAAAGGAAGAAAAGTGTCATTGTTTCTTTAATTACCATATAAACCAAAGATGCACCAAAACCAAAAAGAACCTAGAATACCAAAAAAAAAAGAGAGTATAAATATATATTCTATTGTGTTGAAATAATATATATATATGTTTACCCCTTGAGTCAAATATAAATGCCATATTTCATAACTGAAACCAGCAAGGATAATACCTAAAGACATGAGGACACTTCCAATAACCATAACAACATGAATACCAAAACGAGCCAACATTGGATTGAATGGTGTCATAAGATTAAGACAAGCTAATGAAGTGGACCCAACGCCCATAAGTGCAACAGTAGTTGTTTTTCCTTCCAAGATACCAGTAGCATAAGCTTTTGAAAATACGCCTATTATTTTTTGTTTTTTTTAAAAAAAAAAAAAAAAAAAAGAAAGAGGAAAGAAAAGAAAAAGAGTTAAAGAAGAGGTTGATTTTTTTTTTCCACGGGAGTGGTATTTAAAGACAGCCAGAAATCCGTGGAAAATTTGATGTTATCTACATACCCCAAATCGAAGCAGTACCAAACATGATGAAATTTAATAAGAATCCAGCAATGGCTACAAACCTTTTATATATATAAATATATTAAAAGGAAAAGAAAAAAAGTTAGAAGTAGAAAAGGAAATCATTATCATTTTAGAGTACATTACCAACCATAACCACCATCTGGTATATCATCATAATATTCTACATCTATAGGCTCTATAACACTGGCTACATCCACATCTAAAATAACATGTAATTGAAATCAATCATCAAGTCAATAATAATAGTCAAGAATAATAATTAAATCATCATCATTTGTAAACTTACTTGTTATAGTAGTATCTAATCTTTCGACATGATGACCCCCACTTTCAATATGATGATGTACAGTATTGATAGTGGATAATTTTTCTAAATCGTGTGACTCTGATGATAGTTGATGATGAGAAAAGGGTGATGCTACAACTGTCAATTCATTATCATTGATATAATTCTTATGTGAATCATCATCTTCTCTATGATTCATCTTTATAATGAATAAATGATCTGAAAATTGGCAATCAGGGAAGAAAAAAAAAAAGAAAACAACCAACGTTTTTTTTTATTTGATAGGTTTATATATATTCAACCGTATGAACGGAGCTCAGAAAAGGTGACAAATTGAAATTCTCGGAAGGGATGTTGTTTCTGTACCTGAATTTCTTTAAACATTTAACCGTAACATATGGGCAGTGCCGATATTGTCCCAGGGTTAAGCATATTTCCTTACATCTGTACGGTAATTATTTCTACCGCCATGCTATCTTGTTAACTTTTTTTTTTTTTTTTGGATCTAAGCTTGGCATCTTAAAAAAAAAAAAATAAAGTTCTTCATATTTGCCAAATGGAGAAAAATAGGTTGATCCAAAGCACTTTAATAATTCTTCTTTACTTGTTGGTGTCACTAAGAATAATTATAATCTAGTTGATTACTAACGCAGCGTTTTAACAAACATATTCCATTGAAATCACATGTTGATGATGACGATCTATGTCATAGACTTCACCTGTGTGATGATGATAAGTTTGAATGGTCATTGAGGGTGCGACTGAAAGAATATGCTATAGATAGCGTTGTAACATCCATCTCTGCATTTCAAAACGCATTGACCTTTTTACTTTCCAGACGGTGGCTTTGATTTTTTTTTTTTTTAGCTACCAAAAATTTGGCCTTTGAAATTGGATAACCGCCAGCAAAGCAATTCCTTTTTTTCGCTTGCCTTTTTTTTTTTTTTTTTTTTTTTTTTTTTTTTTTTTTTTGCTATACGTCTTTTTTTCTTCCTTATCTTTTTTTTTCTGAATCATGGAAGAAAAAGCACACAAGGCTCATCGTGCAAAAAAGTCTGGAAAGAAGGCTGAACGAAAGAAGGAAAACAAGTTTTCAAATGCCAAAAAGTCAAGTAATCCAAAGGTATAGTGATAGATCTTTTTTCTTTTTTTGATTCTCCAGTCAATGTCATAGATCTAAAGAATCGACCTTATTCTATACTAATAACCTCTCTGGTTTATATATATATATTTATTAGGCATTCTCCTTCCAAAGTGCGAAAAAAGCAGAACGAACTGCTCGACGTAATGTTGATCTTGGTGAAAAGAAACTTCATGTTCCTCAAGTCGATCGTACACCTCTTGAAGCTCCTCCTGTAGTGGTTGCTGTCGTTGGTCCTCCTGGTGTATGTTATTTTTTATTAGTTCATTTTATGAATAGGTTATTTAATGATTCTTTTTTGATTTTCTTATAGTCTGGCAAATCAACACTCATTCGATCTCTTGTCAAACGATATACGAAACATAACTTGCACGACATTAAAGGTCCTATTACAGTTGTTAGTGGTAAGATCATTCTACAATGAAAATACCACCATTATGTATATATGCAGAGAACTGATCAATATTTCTTTTTATTCAAAAACAAAACCATAGGCAAAAAGCGACGTCTTACTTTTATCGAATGTGCAAACGACATGAACTCTATGATTGATGTAGCAAAGATCGCTGACTTGGTTCTATTGATGATTGATGCTAGTTTTGGTTTTGAAATGGTAAGAATATCATACTAATAATCATGAAAAAAAAAGAAACTCATTTATTTATTTATTTTACTTAGGAAACTTTCGAATTTTTGAACATTCTACAATCTCACGGGTTTCCAAAAGTGATGGGGATTTTGACACACTTGGACAAGTTTCGCAACAACAAATCACTTCGAGCGACCAAAAAGCGACTTAAGCATCGTTTCTGGACTGAAATTTATCATGGTGCAAAACTCTTTTACTTGTCTGGTATCATCCATGAACGGTATCCCAACATGGAAATTCAAAATTTGGCAAGATTCATTTCTGTGATGAAATTCCGTCCTTTGGTATGGCGTAACACCCATCCTTATGTAGTGGCTGATCGTGTGGAAGATTTAACCGATCCTGAACTAATCCATCAAAATCCTCATTGTGATCGTACAGTGACTCTTTATGGTTATTTACGTGGTACAAACCTCAAACCAAATATGCGTATTCATATTCCTGGTGCTGGTGATCATACTTTGGCTGATGTCTCCGTTTTACCTGACCCTTGTGCTTTACCTGATAAGGAACGAAAACGCTTGGATGAAAAATATAAATTGATCTATGCTCCCATGTCTGATGTAGGCGGTGTTATGTATGATAAGGATGCTGTGTATATCAATGTACCTGGTCACTTTACAAAGAAATCTGCTTTGGCTCCTTCTGAACAAAAAGAAAACCGTAATCCTGATGATGATAATGATGACAATGCTGGTGAATCCGATCAAGAAGAACATGTCCCTAGTGGTCCTGGTGAAAAAATGGTGATGGATTTACAAGATGCTCCTGATACTTTGGCTTCTCAATTAGCTGATTCTGAATTACGTATCTTCTCACATTCTGTTCCTATGCGTGCTGGCGATTTAGAAGAAGATGAACAAAATGGTAATGACACAAAAAAAAAAAAACAAAAAACAAAAAAAGAACGTGATGAATGATTTTGGTTTACAGTTTGATTAACAATTTCTTTTTTTTTTTTAGGCATCACTGAATTGGTTGAAGAAGACGATACTGGACGAAAACGACGTCGCGCTATATTTGGCAATGAGGATGAAGATGAAGATATGGATGATGACGACGATGAAGATGAAGATGATGAAGACGATGAGGATGAGGTTGAAGAAAGCGATGAAGATGAGGATGACAATACGCCTCGACGTGGGCGCTCATTAACAAAATTCGATACTCGGAATATCCCAAGAAAAGGTGATATAACTGCGGACGACGATGAAGGACAAGACACCATTGAATTTGCCGAAAGTGATAGTGATTTTGGAGAAGAAGAGGACGATGGAGAAATGATTAACGTTGATGGACGACGACGACAACCTAGTGATGAACAGGATGATGAACTAGCTGGAGAATTACGATGGAAGGCAAATCTGAAAGAAAAGGCCAGTGACATGTTCCATAACCATCGACGTACCAATCTCATGTCTTTGATTTACAATAATGAAGAATTGAGCCCTGAAGATATTGCTGCCGGAAACTATGGCGATGACAAGCAAAATGATACCGACACTGACGAAGATCAAGATGATGATGATGATGATGAAGAAGAATTCTTCTCTCTCAAAGCGGACACTGGTAACAATGCCAAGCAAATTGTGGATACCTCAAAACAACAACCAACGGCTGAACTTTTAGGAGATTGGGATGATGAAGATGTAAGTGGAGATACAAAAAAAAAAAAAAAAAAGAAACAACTAGTGATCAGTGCGGACTTCCCTTTCTTGAACTTACTCGCGTTCTTATCATCATTATTATTATTATTATAGGTGCTTGATTCTATTCGGAACCGTTTCATCACTGGTGACATTGATGCAGCTGAAGGTGGAGAACAGCAGCAAGAAGAAGAAGTCTTTGGTGATTTTGAAGATCTTGAAGGTGACAAGGATGAAGAAGAAAATATGCAAGATGAAACTATGGATCCTGTGGAAGCTGAACGTGCACGTATCGCCAAACGCAAAGAAGAATTGAAGAAAAAATTCGATGAAGAATATGATGATGAAGATGGAGATAACAAGTTGGACTTTTATGAAAAACGCAAGGCTGAAATCGCACAACAATTGGCCACCAACCGGGAAGAATTTGCCGATGACGATATACATACACGTGCTTTGGTGGAAGGTTATCGACCGGGTAGTTACGTACGATTATTACTCAAGGATGTTCCATATGAATTCATTGAAAACTTTGACCCGGTCTATCCTGTTCTGATTGGCGGTTTATTGACGACGGAAGATCAATTTGGCTTGGTACAAGTACGTATCAAACGACATCGTTGGCATCGAAAGATTCTCAAGACAAATGATCCTTTGATCTTTTCCATTGGTTGGCGTCGATTCCAAAGTATTCCTATCTATTCCCTCGATGATGGTACTCGAAATCGTATGCTAAAATATACTCCTGAACATATGCATTGTTTGGCTACCTTTTATGGTCCTGTACATACTCCTAACACTGGTTTCTGTGCTGTTCAATCAGTTTCTGATAACAAAACTGTAAGTATCTTGTTTTTTTATTTTATTTTTGAATTGTCATTTATTCCTTTTTTTTTTTTATATAGTCTTCCTTCCGGATAAGTGCTACTGGTGTTGTTGTAGATATTAGTCAATCATCTGAAATTGTCAAGAAACTAAAGTTGACTGGTACTCCCACCAAAGTTTACAAGAATACAGCTTTCATCAAGGATATGTTTACATCGTCATTGGAAGTGGCCAAATTTGAAGGTGCTACTATTCGAACTGTATCTGGTATCCGTGGTCAAGTCAAGAAGGCTTTACCGGTAATAAAGAGAAGAGTGAATGATTTGAAAAAAAAAAAGAGAATTAGATTCTAATCCCATTTTTTTTTAATATGTATATAGAAACCTGATGGTCATTATCGTGCTACTTTTGAAGACAAACTTTTGATGAGTGGTAAATGATCAATAAAAACAATCTCATAAAAAACATCTAACAATTAAAACTTTTATATGTAGATATTGTATTCTTACGTGCATGGTATCCTGTTAAGCCTAGAAAATTCTACAATCCTGTTACCTCTTTACTACTATCATCCAAGTCTGAATGGAAAGGTATGCGATTGACAGGTGAAGTTCGTCGGGACCTGAACCTTCATGCTCCTCAAAATGTGGATTCTACATACAAGGTAAGATGAAGAATAAAGACTAAAGAAAAAAAAACAGTAAGAACTCACCTGTATTCATCTTTTGATGATATATAGCCAATCGAAAGAAAGACAAGAAGATTCAATACACTCAAAGTACCTAAATCATTACAAGCAGAACTTCCTTTTGCCTCGAAACCCAAGATCGCAAAGCCAAGCAAAAAGAAATCCTATTTAGCTAAACGAGCTGTAGTATTGGAACCTGAAGAAAAGAAGATCTACACTATGATGCAACAACTCAATACTCTACGAAACGAAAAGGATCGCAAGCGTAAAATCAAGGATACAGAACGTCGTGAAATTTATGAAAAGAAGAAGGCTAAAATTGCTGAAATGGATGTTACCAAGGAACGAGAACGAAGAAAGGATTACTTTAGAAAGGAATCCAAGGCAGCAATTGCAAAGGCAAAGGCACAACGATAGAATACTTTGTACTATATTGTTTGATTCATCAAGTTCTTTCTATTCTTTTTTATTATTATTATTTATTTATTTTATTTCTGATTTGATCTTTTTGTTTTTTCTTTTACATATATACATCATCAATAAAGCATACTTTTTTTTTTGACATCACCTTTGATTTGCCTATATGGACTCCCCAAGCCTTTATGTCCTTGTGAGCCAATGAAAATTTTTTGCTTTTTGGATCGATTCCCCAAGAAAGGTTTGAGACACCGCTTTCCTATAAAATTTTGTTTTAATCTTTTCCCTTTTTTCTCTGTTTGTTTTGCTTTTTTTCTAAGCTGATAAAAAACTATGGCTTCCCTTTTACAACCTGGTGAAATCACTGTCGTCCTTGGTGCAGTTTGGGGTGATGAAGGAAAAGGAAAACTCTCTGATATCTTGTGTGCTGAAGCTGATATTTGTGCTCGCTGTCAAGTAATAATAATAATAAATAAATAAAAAAAAAGTGGACTTTATCAAAAAAAAAAAAAAAAAAAAGATAATAGACTGACTTGTTTGTTATTATTACTATTATTCATTATATGAATTTGTTTTTTTTTTTTTGTGTGTTAGGGTGGCAACAATGCTGGTCATACTATTGTTGTTGGTGATGTCAAGTACGATTTCCACATGTTACCTTCTGGTAAAGGACTTTTTTTTTTTATCCATGACCAAATATAGAAATATGACTCATTTTAACATTGATATTATTATTATTGTTATTTCCGCCTTTTAGGTCTAATCAATCCCAATTGTGCAGCCTTGGTAGGTGCAGGTGTGGTTGTGCATTTGCCTTCATTCTTTGAAGAAAAGGAAAAATTGGAAGCCAAGGGCTTGAATACGGAAGGTCGTTTGTTTGTGTCCGATCGTGCTCATCTTGTGTTTGATTTCCATCAACGTATCGATGGTTTGAAGGAAATTGAATTGGGTCGTGGCAGTATTGGTACTACTGGTAAAGGTATTGGACCTACTTATTCCTCCAAGGCTTCTCGTTCTGGTCTCCGTATTCATCATTTATATAACTTTGACGATTTTGCCGCTCGTTTCCGTACTATGGTGAACAACAAATTCAAGCGTTATGGTCAATTTGATTATGATATCGATGCTGAATTAGTTCGTTACAAGGATTTGGCTGAACGTCTTCGTCCTTATGTTATCGATAGTGTTGCTTATTTGCACAAGGCTCGTAAACAAAACAAAAAGATCTTGGTTGAAGGTGCTAATGCTCTCATGTTGGATTTGGATTTCGGTACCTACCCTTATGTTACTTCTTCTAATACTACCGTTGGTGGTGTCTGTACTGGTCTTGGTGTTCCTCCTCAAACTATTAAAAATTCAATTGGTGTTGTCAAGGCTTATACTACTCGTGTTGGTGGTGGTCCTTTCCCTACCGAACAATTGAATGTAAGTTTATTAATAGTTGATCATGAATCATTTATTCTTTTTTTTTTTTTTTTAATTTTTTTTTTAATTTTATTTAGGAAATTGGTGAACACTTCCAAACTGTCGGACATGAATATGGTGTTACTACTGGTCGAAAACGTCGTTGTGGATGGTTGGATCTTGTTGTTGTTAACTATAGTAACATGATCAATGGATACACTACTCTCAATATCACAAAATTGGATATCTTGGATACTTTACCTGTCATCAAGGTAGCAGTGGCCTATTTGTTAGATGGAAAACGTTTGGAATCTTTCCCCTCTGATCTTAGTATTCTTGAAAAGATTGAAGTTGAATATGTCGAACTTCCTGGTTGGCAATCAGATATCTCAAAATGTCGAAAGTGGGATGACCTTCCTGAAAATGCAAAGAAGTATATTGAATTCATCGAAAAGGAAACGGGTGTGCCTGGTAAGTAACAAATGGCATGAATAAAAAAAATGATAATTAGTGACTGACTCTTTTTATTATTATTATTATTATTAGTTGACTGGATTGGTGTTGGTGCTGCTAGAGATGAAATGGTCCGTAAACCTTTGAATTAGAATCATTTATTTATTATACACACAACTTCATATAATTTTGTTTGAATAAAGAATCGAACTCTTCCCATTTTTCATTGTATGTAATTTTTTTTTATATTTCGTGTTTCATATGTGATAAGCATATTTTCTTCTTAAGGTCATGTTTTGATGTATTATTTTGTGATTCGGATGATGATGATACGAGCTGGTTACTGGATGATGATGGATCATTCCATTGATCCTCATCCATTCAAATTCTTGCCCTTGATTCTTCGTATTTTTTTTTTTTAGTCGAATTACACCAATGATACTATCTTTTATGATCCAGAAAGAAAAAAAAAGGGTGTTCTTATAAAGTCATTCTCCTCCTCCTCATCACCATCATCTGTCAAACCTTTATTACTTTGTCACTATTTTTGAACATCCGAGAAATTGTGCAAACAAAAAGTGATCGAAAAACGTAGTGTGTAACAACGTGTGTATGAAAAGATGCATGTACTCAACAACCATTTGGTTATTATTAATTCAAACATTGAAAAAATAGCAAAAGCTTGATAACGTATAAAGACTTTTTATATAAAAAAAAAATAAATAAATCAAAAGATTCACTTGAATTTTGTTACATTACAATTGGTGTTACCTTCCAAAAAAGAAACTTTGGTGAATGCTGATTTATTTGTTTTTTTTTTAATCAGCCAAAGAGAATACCTTAAAATGAAAAATAAGTATATGATGATGAGGATGATGTGATGATATTGGATACATCGTGATATACATAAAAAAAGAGATATCAATTTGGTATGAGGAGAAAAAATAAATTGCATAAGGTTCAATCAGGATGAAATTTACCCAAAAGGGTGAATTGGCCGTATGCCAAAAAAAAACACGGGAAAAAAACGCCGACTGAAAAAATAATGCTTAAAAAAAACACTTCCCCCCTTCTATTTTCTTTCTTTTCTTTCGATATCTTTGTTTTTTTTTTTCTCTTTCTTTTATTTATTTATTTATTTCCCATTTTTCTATTATTAATATATGATGGTCAAAGATACTCGATCGGTAGTAACTAAAACGAAGACGTTTAATGACAACACAGTCATGACCTCAGAACAGTTAGTAACAAAGACAGAGACGAGCTACAAACTCAACCGACAACGACGATTACATTTCAAAGCAAGAAATACCAAGTTTGATATTACAGATCCTGATGCTCATAAGGAACAATTTCGTGGGTTTTATACTTTATTCTGGGTCGCCATGACATTTTATGGACTTCAAACATTCATGAACTGTTATCATCAAGAAGGCATTCTCCTCACCTCGAATTTCTTTCGATTATTCTCTAAAGATGCTTTGACTTTACTGATATCCGATCTAGTCATGGTTTCCATAACTTTGTTTAGTGTTCCATTTTCGAAACTTTTGGTCAAAGGTGTTCTTCATTATGAAACAACTGGTGTGATTCTGCAACACTTTTGTCAAGCTCTCTTTTTATTTGGTAGTGTCTACTGGGTTTTTTGGAGGTAAAGGAGATATGAATTTATACAAAACATCAATCGTTCTAATATATCCACTTTATCATTACTATTATTAAAAAAAAAAAAAAGGGATTGGCCTTGGGTACAATCAGGATTCTTCACTATGCACTCTATTGTCATGATGATGAAAATGCATTCTTATACAGCTCTCAATGGTGATTTATCTATCAAACTACGACGATTAACTTATCTCAAGCAATATATACCAAAGTGGTTATCAACACATCAAGATTTATCTGAAGGTAAATAATTAGTATAAAGAAAAAAAAAGGGGGGATGGAGAGAAGTTAAGTAATCATATGATTTAACTTTTTGTTTTTCTGTTTCGAAAATGATCAATGGTAATAATCTTTGGGAATCAACAAATTAGAAAACAAGACAAAACTGGAAGAAATGGAAGAAGAAATCAACTTTTTAGAAGAAGAACTGATTCAAGGTCAAGTTCATTACCCCAACAATGTGACATTGAAGAATTATATTGATTATTTATTGGTTCCAAGTCTTGTTTATTGGATGGAATACCCAAGAACAAACCGGTATGAGAGAGAGAAAACAAAATTAGGGTTAAGGAGTGATGAAAGTTTAGGAGTGATCGTTTGACTTTTTTTTTTTTTTTTTTTTAGTATACGACCTTGGTACATCTTTGAAAAAACAATGGCCACCTTTGCAAGTTTTCTTTTATTATATATTACCACTGAACGATATATTTTACCCAAACTCTATGATCCAACATTATCTGAACTTCATGTTATCTTTGAACTTTTATTTCCTTTTATGATCAATTATCTCTTCATATTTTATATCATTTTTGAATGTATTTTGAATGCATTTGCAGAAATTAGCAGGTATAAAACAATATTAGTAGATGCAGACTTTGAAACTGATGAAACAAAATTGGATGATTTCTTTTATAGGTTTGCCGATCGAAACTTTTATGATGACTGGTGGAATAGGTATATCTTTTCTAGATATGATCTTTATGTGAGTCTGACTAGCTAACCTTTTTTTTTTTTTTTTTTAATATTAGTGTATCCTATGATGAATTCGCACGAAAATGGAATAAGCCTGTTCATCATTGGTTACTACGACATATTTACGCCCGATCCATTGAATCTTACAAAATTACAAAGACAAATGCGACTTTTCTTACCTTTTTGTTCTCGTCTTGCCTTCATGAAATGGTATTGGTGATTTGTACAAGGAAGATCCGGATGTATTTATTTGTGCTTCAAATGTTCCAATTACCGTTGATCATGCTAGGTCGTAAACCATTTATTCGTGAAAGATATTGGCTTGGTAATACTGTCTTCTGGCTATCTATGATGGTTGGTCCTCCTCTTTTGGGAATTTTATATTGTCGTGAAGTATTTTGGAGTCAATGGGTGACCGATCATTTGTCTTCTTCTTTTTAAACTAATAAAAAATCATGCATTTTTTTTTGTCTATTGCCTAAATACGTCTATTTTATGTCTATAGTTGTGGTTGTATATGTGTGTGATGAGGGGATGTACATGTGGATAACTCCGACTCACTCTATCGTTTTTTGTACACACGTCATTGGTTTGAGGCTGGACTTGTAATAAGAAAAAAAAAAAAAAAAGAGGACGCGTACCTCTTTTCTATTTCCTTAACTTTTTACTTCCTTTATCAATTTATCTATAATTATGGATCACTTTCCTTCTAACTGGGGTAAACCTCGCAATGAAAATGTAGATCAATATAATACTGTTCCTTTACACAAGACACTTCCTGATGGATTAGCTCAAAGTGCTTACGGCCCAACTACTAGAACTCAGTAAGCATGATCTCTTTCACTCTGCAAGACTCCTTTTCTTATTTTTTTTTCGTTATTAGACAACCTTTGATTACTGGTACATCAGTTATTGCTTTCAAGTACAAAGATGGTATCATGATGGCTGCTGATATGCTAGGTAAGGAAAAACAAAAGAGATCATTGACAACCATGGAAGCAACAATAATAATAAAAAAGACGAACGAACGAACGAACGAACGAACAAATAATGATGAAAGAATGACATTGGCCATTTACTTGATAAATATACTGATATATTTTATTCTTCCTTTGTATTATATCTAATCTAGGTTCTTACGGTTCATTGGCTCGATTCCGTGATATTCAACGGTTATATCCTGTAGGTGAGAAAACCATTGTAGGTGCTTCTGGTGATCTCTCAGACTATCAATACATACAACACATCTTGGATTCACTTATGTAAGCTTAAAGAATAATTTTTATCATTTTTTTTCTTATGAACCATATCATTGATATATGTATATCTTTTAGGACCAAAGAACACTGCGCTGATGATGGTCATGTTCTAGGCACTTCAAACATATACGAATACCTCTGGCGTGTTATGTATAATCGACGATCAAAGTTTAATCCTCTTTGGAACTCTCTTGTTGTTGGTGGTATTGATAAAGGTGAAAGGTAAGAAATGAATATAAAAAGAAAGATGAGAAAAACAAAGCAAATATTGTCACTTTTGTCTCATTCTTTTTTTTAATATAGATTCTTGGGCTATGTTGATTTACGTGGCACTACCTATCAAACAACAACCATTGCTACTGGATTTGGATCTCATTTGGCACAACCTATCTTAAGAAAACGAGTAGAAGGCCGAGAAGATGAAATCACAGAAGAAGAAGCTATCCAAATTCTCGAGGATTGTATGCGTGTATTGTTTTACAGAGATGCCAGATCTCTCAACAAGGTACAACATGAAATATTAAAAAAAAAAAAAGGTTCCAGTGTTTACTCTTCTTTATTTTTTATGTAGTTTCAACGTGGTAAGATCACAGAAGCTGGATTGGAAATCAGTGAGCCTTATGCTTTGGAAACGGAATGGGGATTTGCCGAAGGTATCAGAGGGTATGGTGCTTAGATCATTCCTTTTAGTTTAGTTTAGTTTCATTTATACTTTGGATGATCGAAATAAAGTCTTGTATTTTTTTTTTTTTGACCATTCTAACAACCTATCATTAGTTTAGATTTATGGTTAGTTGAGGTTCTTTTTTTTTTTTTTTCTTTTTTTTTGAACAGTCTAGATTGTATTGTGTATCATCGTCTTGTCCAATATTCTCAATCGTACCAATATCACCACCTATCATCCAATATCATTTATCCATTTACCATCAATCATTTTACAATCATCGTTCAATATCAAACAAACCTTTATATTAATCGAGGAATATCTATCTTCTATATCAAATCGAAAAAGGAGCATACTAAGTCTTTGGTGTCAAAAAGCTTCATAGGAGTCTTGAATTTGTTTATTGAGTGATGACACGGTACAAAAAGTAGATGAAGTGGATAATAACTAAAACAAACGTGTGCGTGTGTGATGAGAGGAAGGGACAGATTCTAATTCTAATACTAACTACTTTTCTTCTTGATGGCGATGGACAGTTCGTGCGGATGCCTGAGCCGTTGGAAAAACTGGTGAACATAAAAAAGATATAGAAAAAAAAAAGCATAAAATAACAAAAAAAAAAAAAAAGGTGAATATAAAAATACGTTTCATTTCATTCCAATATATATCTTCCAGACAGCATTTGTTACCTAGCATATCACAAATATTCACATGAGCAGGTCTCGATGCAGTAAATACAATAAGTTCGGCTATTGATAAAGATAAATAAGTTCAGATTCTTCATATATGTATATAGAAACTTACCAATATCCTCTCCCACCAAAGGAGTCATGCCTTTATAGACGCTATTGGCTTTTGCAACATCACCACCAAATCTGACTTTGGAGAATTCCGTTTCCACCATACCAGGACAGATCTGACTAACACGGATAGGAGTATCCATCAATTCAAATAAGAGTGATCGAGTAATTGCTTCAACAGCATGTTTGGTACCTATTCCCCGACATCAATCACCCATCCAAACCAAAAAAAAAAAAAAAAAAAAAAAAGTCGTTATCATTCACCTATCCTGATCAATCTCCCATTTCTTTACATGATTTTCTTATATATTACCACAGTAAATGCTTCCTCCAGGATAAGCTTCTTTTCCAGCAACAGAACCCATGTTGATGATATGACCACATTGACGTTTCTTCATGATAGGTAAGATCGCTTGCGTCAAGAACACCAGACCTTTGACATTGGTATCAAACATGGTATCATATGCTTCTTCCGTTACTTTTTCCACAGGGTCCATACCAATGACAAGTCCAGCATTATTGACCAAAACATCCACGTCTTTGAATACACCCATAGGAAGCGAGGCCACCGCTTGATCAATGCTGCTTTTATCCCTCATATCTAGTCCCAATGTATGAATCTGGATGCCAGTGTGTTGTTGTTCAAGCATTTGTTTCAGTTCAGCAAGTCGGTCTACGCGTCGAGCAGAAAGGATCTATCATATATGAAAACAGAAAATAATAAGAACCAATATGCTGCGAGTATCCATAAGAATTTTTTTTTTTTTTGGACTTACCAAATTGGAGCCAGCTTTGGCAAATTCATGAGCAGTTGCCATACCAATACCAGCGGATGCTCCAGTACTAATAGAAAAAAAAAAAGCAAATGAAGTAACAAATAAAAGAATAGAAAAGACTTCATCGATATACCCATTCCTCAACTTACATAAATACCGTCTTCCCTTTCAAACGATCAGCTGTATAATATCGTTTACAGAGTGTGTTGCGACTGTATTTGATAGTCTTTTCAAAAGGACGACGAAGGAATGAAGAGAACATGACAGTGTGAGAAAGAAAAAGAAAAAAAAAAGAGTGAGAAAGAAAAATCTGGGGAAAAAAGGAAATTTAAACACTAATCGGGGTGTGAAGATGGGCGTCTCTTTTGTGTGTGATCATATCTAACAGTTAATATGTATGGCTCTGTAACTTTTAGTGACATTGAACAAGGTCATTCACATTATTATTCTATATCATTTTTTACAAGACCAAACTAGCGATTGTATTATTTTTGGATAAAGAAGAACAGGTATTGTATTGCATCCCCCACACCAAAAGGGATAGTGAACATGTTGTCAGATTTCGCAGAAAAGCGGATTCAACTTCAGCTGGGGAAATTTTGTCAAAAAAAATCTCTCTCTTTTTTTTTTTTTTTCTATTCTTTACGTTCTTTTTTTTTTTTTTTTCTGGTTTGTCTATACTTCCCCTCTTTAACGCCATGGATGAACGTATGTAATTAGATGAAGGAAACATGACTTTGATGACAGTATACATCGACAGTTTTTGTTACTAAAAAGAAAAAGGTATTAACCCCTCTCTTTGATTCCTTTTTTCTTTATTCATAGATACTACGCGAAAGTAAGTGGTCTGATATTTTTGAATTCTGCATGGAACATTGAACGCAAATGGTTATTATTATTTTTTTAATAGGTCGTTTTGGAGAAGAAATGGAACCAAACTACCGGGAAGGTAAAGAAAAAGAAAAATAGATATATATATATGATTACATATGGATTGTTAAAAAAAAACAAATATAAAACAAAAAACGATATTGATATTCATTAGTGTGCGTATTGTTCCTACCCACAGTAGCCAGCAAACAACAGCAACAGACGCTTGTGACCGAACTCCTGTTGTCATTGGAGCACGTTATTCTTATACAAGTCTTGTCACCAGTCAACACAACGTATCAGACACTTCATCACCACCTCCTCTATTACCGTCTCACTATCAATCCTCTTCTAACAATAATAGCAACAAACTGACAACATCGACTAACAACAATAGAAAAGGTTCCTCTCAACATAAACGCCACACGTCCTCAACTCAACACAAATCCTTTAATGCCTTTTTGGAAGATACCAATGATGAATGGAACGACTCTATCGATGACAGTAGTAAGAATAGAAATAACAATTCTTCATCTATCTCAACATCAGCAATCGCGGCAACTTCACAGCATACGAACATGCATTCCTCCTCTATCTCGGCATCATCATCACCACCATCAATTACACCATCTCTTGTATCAGAATCTACACAAAATCGTATCATTACGGCATTATCTTTGGGCGAAGAAGCAAAAGTAGTAGAAGAAAACATACCACCCCCTCGACATCAACAACAACAGCAGCAACTTTATAAGAAATCAACAGACGTGAATGGTGTTATTGATAACGTGAAGGATGTGTTAGAAGGTGGGTATAGATGAACATATGCGCTTTGGAAACTTTGACTGATAAATTATTATTTATTATTTGATATAGATCCAACTCATATTTTGCATCATATTGAACCAGAAAAAGGGGTAGATCCAATTCGTACCAAGAAAATCAAGGAAATATTATCCAGTGTTAATGTGGATCTAGGTAAACATTTTTTTTTTTTTTGGAATAAAGGAAAAAAAGGAAAGAAAAAAAAGAAAGGCATTGATCAACCAATTTGCTTTTATAGCTGCTTTACGAAGTATTTGTTGGAGTGGGATTCCACCTGATTTTCGACTAATAGCATGGCAAATTTTACTGGTAAAAGGAAAAAAAAATAGTTTATTGTGTGTGGGTATTTAGCATTCATATTCTTTTTTTTTTTTTTATGTTTATCATAGGGCTATTTACCATGTAACTCAGAAAGACGAGTAGAAACGTTGGCAAGGAAACGAAAAGAGTATCTAGATGGTGTAAAGGCATCCTATTCAAAGGGAACTGCTGGATTAGATCAGGCATTATGGCACCAGGTAATATCCCAATATTTGAAGCGAATAAATGTTGACATATATTGCTTTTTATAGATTCATATTGATATCCTTCGAACTAATCCTGGTGTGATCTTGTATCAATCTACCATTACACAAGAAGTAAAGATATGAATAATATGAAAAAATATGGAACTGAACATTATTTTATTGTTTTGATAGAGTTTGGAACGTATTTTATACCAATGGGCTATTCGACATCCAGCAAGTGGCTATGTACAAGGTATCAATGACTTGGTGACTCCCATATTCGAAGTATTTCTCTCTGCCTATATTGGTAAATATATACCATGACGATGATTATACGTAACTGATGTATTTTTTTTTTTTATTATAGATGGTGATCCTGAGGAATATGATATGAAAAAGTTAAATCAAGATGTGTTAGATGTTGTAGAAGCAGATAGTTTTTGGTGTCTTTCAAAATTATTAGATGGTATTCAGGCAAGTTGGACTAAAAAAAAAAAAATCAAATAATGATGATTTGTAGTTAACAAAAAGATCATATTGATAGGATAATTATACTTTTGCGCAACCTGGGATCCAAAGACAAATTGTCACACTCAAAGATCTGGTATCTAGAATTGATGGTAACTCAAAAAAAAAAAAAACATATCATGAACATCATTTATTTATTTTTATTTCCTTTTTAGCACGATTGGCTCGTCATTTACAACAAGAAGGGATTGAATTTATCCAGTTTGCGTTCCGATGGATGAATTGTTTATTGATGCGTGAACTACCTTTGAAAACTACGATTCGAATGTGGGATACGTATCTTGCGGAAGGATCTTCAGAAGGGTTTTCAGAATTCCATGTTTATGTGTGTGCAGCCTTCTTGGTGAAATGGTCAAGTCAATTACAGAAAATGGACTTTCAAGTAAGTTTTCTTTTTTTTTCTTTTGATAATTTATTAACCTCGATATTTTGGAATATAGGAAGTGATGATTTTTTTACAACAATTACCTACTGATGATTGGCAAGAAAAAGATGTAGAATTATTATTATCGGAAGCATACATGTGGAAAACATTATTTCACAACGCCCCTAGTCATTTGAAAAACAAATAAACTTTTTTTTTATTGTTGAAACCCTTATTTTTATGTGTGTGTGGATAAATATCGAATCTTCCATTCTTCTATTCTTATTGTTTTTTCAAAAGTAAACGTGCGTGCGTCCATGCAAGCTTGCGTGTTGATGATGATGACCTACAAGGATTTACAAGATTGATTTTTTTTTCCTTTATTTTGAATGATCTTATCGTGAACCCCTTTACCCCCTTAGTTGTACAAACAAAAACATGTAATTAAAATATTTTATTGAGAATAACTAAAGATAAAAAAAAAATAATAAAGCGTAAAATGACTACACTAAATAGAGTTTCCATTGAGACAATCATCGAAGCGGCAGATAGAGTGGCGAATGTATCGATAGAGTTCCTTGGTTTTGAGTCCAAACTATCTACTTCATAAATGATTACCAATTTTTTTTTTTTTGTTGATGTTGCTGCAGCTGTTGTTGTTGTTGTTGTAGTTGATATTGTTGTCAACATCATTGTTCTTGCTATCCTTACTATTGTTGCGTAGTAAATCACCTACCAAAAAGTGAATTACCGTCATAACATAGTCAATATATACTATTTCTTTGTTATTTTTCATTCAAGTTATCAACACGTATAAATGAAAAGTAGTGTATTCGGAGTTTGTCTAATCACAAGCGAGCATAATTTTTTCTTCGACTTTTATACATTTTGGTCAACGATTTTTTTTTCTTTTCTCTCCCCTTTTTTGAATATTCATTTAAAAATTATTTTTTCATTTTATGTATATACTGGTACAAAACTGACTTAAAATGTGTCCAACGGAAAGGAAATCTCACTCGTGAACAATTGACAACGCCTATTAGATGATAAGGTAAGTTCATCCGTTTAACTAGAATATCCTTGTTCTGCATTGTTATCGAATTTAATCTTATCTCTCTTTCTTTAGATATTGACATTAAGGAACGCAACATCAATGTTGATCAAAGTTACGCTAGAAAAACCAACGAATGCCACCGCCAACAACATTCTCATTTTTGATCGGCTACCAAAACTTCGTGCACTCAACGACTTGACCACTCTCAACGCCTGTCAATTTTTCGATATCAAGCAACACTGGATACCTCTTTTTTTTTTTGATTATCTAGTCTTTGAAACTAAATCACCAACTCTCTCTTCGTCCGCTCTCATTGGAACTTGATACCAAAGAAAAACGAAAAGGACGGTAATGTTATTTTATATGGAAGACCATCCCGTGTTAGAAGCATACTCTATTTTGGCTCCGGTGAATAAATTGGAAAAAAAAATACAACTTCCTGGGAATAATCCTTCATCAACCAACATATCATGCCCTTTCCTGGTCAATGTTTTCGAGAACAATTCCAACCTGAACGGAAAAACAAGGTGGAAAGAAGAAGGATGGTAGACAACGGAGTGATTCATTTGACAACGTGTCTTAGTTCTTCTGTAGAGTTGATGATTATTATGAACCTCAACAAATCACGATGAAGTATTGATAACAAATCGCTATTTGTGGAATGCTCGTTCAAGATTACACATGTACAACATATACTGTGGATCCCAAGTTTGATGTACCGTATGGCTCAGCTGGTTGAATTTCACCCTCTCACTCGGAAATGTCACTCGTCCCCAAAATCATTGAATATATGCGACAAATAAAAAAAAAAAAAAAATATTTTATTTGAGAAATGTGGACAGTATTGATAGGAAGAACAAGCATTAAATAATGATGACGATGGCAACATTGGCAACATCAAGATGATGGAAATCAAAAGCATTCCCCAACAGAAGTGCCTGTAGTTTATATCTCCTTTTATTGCTTTTTATATCTTTCTTTTATTATTTACTCTCTGTGATTATATTCAATAAAGTTTTTATTCTAACTAGTTTATTACGTAGTGTATGTTCATTTTATGTTATACATGCGTGTACCAAACATCATCTGCGTGCACCAACCAAAAAAATGATTTGCGCGTGCCACAATTCATTTGCTCGCAAACTTTTTTTTTTTTTGTTTGTTACGATGGCCGCCAAGGGAACGAAAAATCCAGAATAGATCTATAGGAAACACAAAAAGGGGCCCTAATGACAAAAAAAAACAAGTCCCTATAAAATACGCCCATTGCCAAGATGTGGCATCAGGTGTAACCTTTTCCCTTTAATGAGAAACAAGGGGGTAATGAGACAACTAATGATGATGGATGATACCAAAAATAAACAAAGATGAGAAGAAAAACAGGTCATGGTGTGAATTCTAAGTTACAACAAGCTTTGTCAACATAACCCCTTCTCTCATCAGGAGTAAACAATAGTAAGTTGATAGTATCAAAGAATATTTGTATGTAAATATATATATATATTTTTTATTCATAAAAAAAAAAAATAAAGAGACAAGAGCATACAAGTATATATATATATATAAGGTGAATGTCTATAAAAAGTACAAATACACTATAAAAGATCATCAAATAAAGAGTATGATTGGTCAAAAAAAAAGAGTGAGATACAAAAAGGAAAATGCAAAAAAAAGGGGAGGTTGTAAATGATCTATAGATGTAAGAGAATGATATAAAAAAAAATCAATACATGATAACTGATGCAATAGTAGTAATAATGTATCTATGTGTTGTGTACGGGTTTGTGTATATTTAAAAAAAAAGTGCATAGTAAAATAAAAAAAAGAAAAGGATATCATGATGATAAACGATTGTTGAGAATCAAATAAAAAAAAAAAGAAGAAAGGAAGGAAATAATAATAAGAATAAAGGGGAGGGGGAGACCATATATCAAATCAAGGAGATATACCATTAACCAAATATACTAACAGTATGGGCCAAGTCCAATAAGTCTTGTCGATGATGATCAGATCCAAGGGAAAGAATTTGTTGATTGTTGTTGTTTTGATGATGAGGAAGAGGAGGAGGAAGTTGAATAAAATGTTTTGGATAAATGATGTCTGTTTGATCCATCAGTGGAGGAGGAGATAGGGAAGGTGGGCGTGGAGATAAAAAAGAAGAGGAAGAGATGGATGAACAAGTAGATGATGCTGAATGAGCTCGTTGAGGTCGACGTGAGTTTTGATTTGACTGATATGGATGATAATGATGATGATGATGATGTTGTTGTTGTTGAGTATAAAGATCATGATTATCGGTAGTCAAAGAAGTAGGTGGGATCATCATAGTGGGACTAGCAGCATCAGATGGTTCCATGGGAGTAGGCTTTATGGATAAAGGTTGAATCAGATGAGGAGAATGACGATATCTCATTTTAGGAGATGTTTGTTGTTGATTATATCTAATCTTGTTGTAAAGAGAGTCCATAGTAGGAGAAGTAATAGTAGTAGTAGAAGAAGATGAAGAGATAAAAGAAGATGGTAAAGTAAGAGCGCGACGTGATCTAGTTGTTGTACTTTTGTTGTTATAATCCACCAAGGGATGCATAGCACTATGTTCTTCTGATTCCACCAAAGTATGACAATGTAAAGAAGGATGTGATTTGTTTCCTTTATTCCTTTGATGATGACGACGAGATTTTGGTGAAAGATGGGTTCTATAGTGTTGCATCATATTATCTTGACGAGAGAAACGAGAAGGACAACCAGGATGAAGACAATGGAAATTCTTTTCACCAGTATGAATACGATGATGTCTAGCAAGATGACCACTATTAATTTAAAAATAAATAAAAAGAGAGTTAAGTTTCTTTTTTTTTCATATGGTGATTTTTTTTTTTTATCATTTATTACCTTGTAGTAAAACTTTTATTACAACCAGGTTCAGTACAATGATATTTTCTTTTTTCGTTGAAGGTTGTAATTGTATGTTCTTCTTCTTTTTGATTCAAAAGACTAATATGGCGACCAGTTGCATCCTTGACAGATAAAGTAGAATCAGTTTGCATCATATTTCTATACATGAAGAAATTGTATAAGTTTTGTTTTGATAATAGTAATAATAATAATAAAAGATAAAAAAAGTAAAAAAAAAAAAAAAAAAGAAAAGTAAAGTGGAAAGAAAAAGGTAAAAATTGGGAAAATTGGAATCTCATTAAATATCTTTTTTGGAAAAACAAGTTTTGGGTAAGAAAAAGAGAGAGAGAAAACAATAAGCACCCTTCGGAATCTGAATCATTGTGTAACTATCTAGCCCGCTTGGTCCCATCGTAACTTTATAAACTACTGGATCAATAAACGCTCTAAAAATAAAGAAAAGAAGAAAAAAAAAAACGTGGCATGCAAAAAACTTCGCCCTGCATTGGAAATAGGAACACTAAAAACGTGCTTGTTTTTTTTTTTCTTCTATGGAGAATAGAAAACTTCACGTTATCTTTTTTTTTTTTTTGACCGACCTATCTTGATTGTTCCATATACGGTAATACATAGGATCGACTTTTTTTTTATGACAAACCGAAAATTTTGATTTCTTCCCGTACTTTTACAACAATAACTTGGCATTTCTCATTTCTATTTTGTCTGTGCACTCATAAATAGATATATGATGATTCCTTTGAATGGATGATGATGATGATGACTATAACAAGATGATTACTACTCTATGACATGACGATGGTGATAATGAAGATGATTTAATTCTTATACTAAATAAAAAGATGATCTCATTAAATCTACAAGATAAAATCCTTAAATAATATATATATAAAGAGAAGATAATAAATCAGATGGTTTGATCATGAAGATGATGGCTAACCTCGGTATTACTTTGAATGCATTTTGCCACCATCATCTTTCTTTTTTTTTTTTCCTTCCTGTCATTTTTCTTTCATCATCATTACATAAAACAATGATATGAATAAATAAGCTCTTTCTTTTCAATAAAAAAAAAAAAAAAGAAACGTGGCTATTCGATGTAGTGTTGTCTGACAGGTTGAATAAATCTATCAGGGGAGAAGGGATACTTGTGTTTACCCGATAATGATCTTCCTTTTTAGGGTAATCCATTATACATATATTGGAAAAAGAACCAAACGTGATGACTATTGTCTTCCTATAAAATTTTTACGGACATAATCCAGGTTTTTAGTTATTCAGTAACAAATGATGCAAGTTTGTCTAACTAAGCATACCTATATATGGGTATCAATGCATTTCAACCCCAGTAAAAAAAAAAGAGGACATCAAACAACAAAATAGCATCTTGCATAATCTATTTCTATTCTTGGATAATAATAATGATGATGAATCATCGGATGTGATATTACTTTTTTTTGAATGGTGGGGTATATACATTTCACTTGAGATCATTTATACATAATTAACAGACATTCCATAACATCCATTTTGTTTGATAGAAACACGAATGAGTATTGATGAGAGACCAAAAAAAAAAAAAAAAAAAAAAAAAAAAAAAGAGGAGTAAGTATTTGCCATGTGGTATTGTAAACAATAACAACATTTATAAACCAATCATCATCTTCCCTTTTTTAGTTTAACTAGGATCTACAGGTTTTTTTTTTTTTTTAACTTTCTCTTTGATCGACAATATGAAATTTCCTAGTCCGATGTTGTTTATTATTGTTATACTAGTTGAATTTATAAAGGGTAACTTTGATATTGTATGTCCAACTAAGTGATCCTATTTTTTAATGAAAATGATCAATGTGGCGTCATATTAAAAAGATCAGGTAAAATAATAATAATGATGATAATATGTTTAGCTTTTGACCATCTCTATCATTATCAAACATCCGCTTTTAATCTTTCCCCTTTGTCTCCTTTCAAGCCTCCTTTAACTTTGTAGAATGGCCACGTTTTTCCTTTTCTTTTATTGCATAGCAGGTTTTTTTTCTTTGGATCGCTCCTGATTCGTCTCATGGCAAAATTTTTTTTTTCCAATCTTTCTCTCATGTAAGGACTTTTCTTTTTTTTTTTTTTTTTTTTTGGGTTGAAACACGGTTCAATGATCGGTAATGATTAAAAAAAAAAGGTATAATGGAAGACTTTTCAAAATAAGACAACAACAGAATAGTTAGGACAGTTTTTATTGTAATTTCAAATTAGAAATAAAATAAAATAATAAAAATAAAAATAAAAATAATAAAAAAAGACAGCACGAACTAAGTAAAACAACCTAATCTATGTTTCCCTTTGGTTCCACAACTGCCTCTACTTCAGGTTTCAGGGATTCTTTGTTTGTATTACTGTCGTCTTCAACTGTTGTCGTTGTTGTTGTTGCCTTTTTTCGGTTGTCAAGTGAAAATGATCGACCTCCACGAGTTGCCCATGTGTGCGAACCCCCACGTCCACGACCATAGGTACTACTTCCAAATTGTCCAGATAATTTCGCCTATGGATAGAATGTCAGTAAGAAATCAAGTCCCTCCTTTTTTTTTTTTTGTCCCTTTCTTTTTTCTTTTCACTTTTGTTTTTTTGTTGATCTTACCGCTTCCAGACTGGCTAATTTCGCTTTTAGTCTTTCCATTTCCGCCCTTTTTGCATCCAACGTACTGGTAGGACTTTCTGTTGATTGAATTGGTGATGCTACAGGAGGAGTTGTGACTGATCCTGATACTTCAACCGTTGATGGTGGTGATATAGATGTTGATTGTGGTGCTGATGATGATGATGATGATGTTGCTGTTGTTGTTCGTTGGTTAGATTTGATCAAATCAGATAAATGAGTGGCCGCTGACATGATATCTTCCCTTTCTTTGCTACCAGGAGGTGCTTGTTCCAATCGTTCCATCAACTTCTTATGTTCTTCAATTTGACGTTCCATCAATTGTTGTTTTTGTTTCTGAAATTCCAGAACTTTTTTTAGATGTTCTTGTTGCTTCTTTTGCTTTTCCTCCCGTTCTTTTGCTAATTGTGCAGCTTTTGCCTTGACTGCCTCTGGATCCGGTTGTGATGCTAATCGTTGTTGTTCCAAATATTCCTTGCGTTCTTCTTCTTCGTCCATCTTCTTCCAAAATACCTTGACAAATCTATTGTTGAATATTACTGCAGGAGATTGATATGCTGCCATAGCTTCTTGATGTGTCGCATATTGTAAAAACGCTCGTGATGCATCTGCTTGAACTGATAGATTCACTAGTTTGCCAAATTTACCAAAGAATGTCGTCACTGCGTCAATATTACAATGTTCTGGAGGGATATTTTCAACTACAATTCGAGTGCTGTACGGTGTATATCGACTAGTATAAGGGACTTCTTCTGATCGTTTGATATTATTTGTGCTACCACCACGTCCACCTGGTCCACCTGCATTTCTATTCATACCACGTCCTTTGATTCGCATTGGTCCACCTCCAATACGTCCTTGCAAATTACTGCTGTTGTTGCTTAAAGATTCCATAGTCGTACCTTCAGCAGCTTCTACCACCAAATGATCTTCCCCATGTTGATAAGGACAAAAATCTCCACGCATACAATAACCTTTTTCTATATATATATATATAAATGTGTCATTAGCATATATATATATATATAGTATGTGATTGTCAAACATCAAACTAAAGAGAAAAGGATTTTTTTTTCCTTACCATCGTAGTCAAAGCACCTTTTGCGAGATTTGCGAATAGGTGGTCTTTGTGAAGTTCCAGGGTATGTTCCACCATTTTGTTCAGTAAGAGAAGAACCAGGACCAGTAGATGGATGTTGACGTTGAAGTTTATTGAGACGGCCTGTATCAGTATCATTGTCCGTTGAGAAAGAACGTTTCTGTGCAGTAGTAGTAGTAGTACTAGTAGAAGAGGTGATAACAGTTTCGGATGTATTGGCTTTGTTACTACGTCGCTTGAAATTTGTATCGTCGTCCTCGTCATCTTCTTCGTCATCTTCACCATAATGTAGTTTTGATTTGCTGGAGTTCTCAGTTGTTGGGGTGGCGGTTGACTTTGTTTCAACTATAGCTGGCGTTGTCTCTGGTTGAGTATCTTTGGGCATATATGTACCATTATCGATAGCTTTAAAGACACGTTCAACAATAGCATCCGTTTCTAAAATAAAAGGATAATTAAGTTATAACAAAAGTTTGAAGGATACCCATGAATAATAAATAATTGCTTACTTTCTTCTAGAAACACAGAAAGTTCTTCAACACATCGTTTATAAAGTACGTCTCGAGAAGCATCGGATTGTAATAAAGCGATCATAAAGTCAGCTAACACCGTAGGATCTGCATCAGATCTAAAGAAAAGAAGAAAGAAAAAGAATAAAACAGTTAATGAATACATACATCGCGTTTTTTTTTTTTTAATTTTAATTTTATTTTCATAATTTAGCAATAGGAAAAGGATATAAATAAAAAGAAAAGAGAACATAATACTTACTCTGTAGCTACCAGTTTACAAAGAAAGTCTTTCAAGGCAACAAGTTCTTCTTCAGAAAAGTGCATGGTATAATATTTTGTTTGTAAAGTAAAAGAAAAAAAAAAAAAAAGAAAAAAAAAAGAAATCGAAAATTTTGTTTTCGCTGTTGAAATTCAGCGTCACGATTTTTTTTTCTTCTCTATGCCGCCCTTTTTTTTTTTTTTTTTCTTTTCTTTTTTTTTTATTTTTAAAATCTTTTTTTCTTTTCTTTTGTAGTTTGCATTCCTCGTTTTGAGCCCTTCTTGCCTACGAAACTCTATTCTTATTGTTAACAACTATGGTATGACTTATTTATTTAACTAAATTATTTCAGTCTAAAATACTAATATTAACTTCATTTTCTTTTCTTCTCCTTTTTGCTTGTATACTTCATAGGTCAAGATGGATTTAGATCGCGATAGTTCTGTAGAGAACACTGATGTAGTATGTCTTTAAATTGTTCAACTGATTATTGATAAATAATCATACTAAAGTAACGTTTCTTCTTCTTCTTCTTTTCCTTCTTTAGGATACTCCTAGTCAGATTTCACAAACGGAATCGGTAAAAGTCTTCTCTCAAAAAATGTCAAACTACAATTTCACATTTTTCTGACTTTATTTATTCTATACTTTATGTACATAGGATACTGATTCATCTGTCAAAGGAAAGGTGTACGATAACCTCTCCAAGCCCTCGTCTTCGGTAAAGTAACATAACCGTCAAGCATAGAAATCGACCTTTTTTTTTTTTTGTCAAACAACTTTTAATCTTTTTCTTTTTTATTATTATTATTATTTAGTATGAAAACAGACTCAAACGTTATCGCTATCTTTTGGGACAAACTGAATTGTTTGGTCATTTTTTGAATTTGAAGAATGAAAAGGACGATGCTTTACAAACAGTCTTGGCCGAACAAAAGAAATCTAAAATGAAAGAAAAGTAAATTCATTATTTTATAATAAAAAGTATGACATACTAACTTCCCATATTATAGAAGAAGACGTAAAACTGAAAAAGAAGAAGACGAAGAAATATTGAAAGATGAATCTGGTGAACAAGACAGTTCAGTCACTGTATTTACAGAATCACCTGCCTGTAATATACAAATTGAATACCTCTAATAAATATTAATCATTCTTTTTTTTTTCTTTCTTTTATTTAATAGACGTTACTGGTGGTAAACTAAGAGAATATCAGATACAAGGTTTGAATTGGATGATATCTCTTTTTGAAAATGGTATCAATGGTATCTTGGCTGATGAAATGGTAACTATTGTTTATTAAAGTATTTCATATCTTCTCATCAATAAATTTTTCTTTCATTCTCTTTATACAAAATAGGGTTTAGGAAAAACTTTACAAACCATCTCTTTTTTGGGATATTTGAAACATGTACGACAGATTAGAGGACCTCATTTAGTAGTAGTACCCAAATCAACTCTTCACAATTGGAAAAACGAATTTGCAAAATGGATTCCTGATTTTGATGCTTTTGTTTTCCATGGAACAAAAGAAGCAAGGGTAAGAAATTATAAATCAATAAAAAATGAGGGTTTTTTTTTATTTAATTATCATATTCATGCTATAGGCTGAAATGGCAAAAACTCGACTACAACCAGTGGATTTTGAAGTATGTATTACTTCTTATGAAACATGTCTTATGGAAAAAGCTCACTTCAAGAAAATCACTTGGCAATATATTATCATTGATGAAGCTCATCGTATCAAGAATGAAAATTCAATGTTATCTATGATTGTACGAATATTAGAATCAAGAAATCGTTTACTTATCACGGGTACTCCTCTTCAAAACAATCTGCATGAACTCTGGGTAATTAAACAAAAAATGACTATATAAAAGAAATCTGAAGACTCAATGATCTTTTTTTCTTTTTCTTTTTTTAATGAAAATAGGCATTATTGAACTTTTTATTACCTGATGTATTCAATTCATCGGAAGCATTTGATGAATGGTTTGAAGGTCAAAATGGTGATCAAAAAAAGGTGGTGGAACAACTACACAAAGTATTACGTCCTTTCTTACTACGTCGAATCAAATCAGATGTGGAAAAATCATTACTCCCAAAGAAGGAAATCAATATTTATGTGCGTATGAGCAGTATGCAAAAGAAATGGTATCAACGTATATTAGAAAAGGATCTGGATGCTGTTAATGGTAAATTTATCTCCCTTGAAAAAAAAATTGATTTGTTTTGCACATACTGATTAATTTATTTTATGTAGGAGCTGGTACAACAAAACGTGAAGGAAAAACTAGGTTACTCAATATTGTGATGCAATTACGAAAGTGTTGTAATCATCCATACTTATTTGATGGAGCGGTATGTCTTTTCTTTTCTTTTCTTTTCTTTTTTTTCTTTCTGACTTGATTTCTTTTTTTATTACTATTATTATTATTATTATTATTATTAGGAACCTGGTCCACCTTATACGACAGATCAACATATTGTGGATAATGCTGGGAAGATGGCTGTATTAGATAAATTATTAACAAGATTCAAGGCTCAAGGTTCTCGAGTACTTCTCTTTAGTCAGATGAGTCGTGTCTTGGATATTTTAGAAGACTATTGTTGGTGGAAAGAATATGGTAAAAGAAATAGATAATAATCAGTGAATCATTTGACTCACACTTTTCTATATATTACTAGAATATTGCCGGATCGATGGTCAAACGAATCAAGAAGAACGAGTAGATGCTATTGATGAATACAACAAACCTGATAGCAAAAAATTTATCTTTTTGTTAACAACCCGTGCTGGTGGACTTGGTATCAATTTGACAACTGCTGATATTGTGATCCTTTATGATAGTGATTGGTAAATAAGTTCATCTAGCAAATGGACGTATATTTAAAAAAAATGTGTATTCTTTTCTCTTAAATATAGGAATCCTCAAGTTGATCTCCAAGCCATGGATCGTGCACATCGTATTGGACAAACGAAACAAGTCTATGTTTTCCGATTTGTAACGGAGGTAAAGAAAAAAAAAACTACTGTAGCAAACAGCCAATATATGGGTACACTAAATAATATTTTTCTTTCTTTGACTACTCACACTTGCTCCTATAGAATGCTATTGAAGATAAAGTACTAGAAAGAGCTGCCCAGAAATTACGACTTGATCAATTGGTGATTCAACAAGGACGTATTGCACAATCACAAAAAGGTAAAGCGTTTGTTTAATATATATCATTGACATTTGATATTGATGATGATTTATAAACAGGTGCATCAAAGGACGAATTACTGACAATGATCCAGCATGGCGCAGAAAAAATCTTTAAAGAAGCTGATAGTGCCACTGACGATGATACAGCTACCGATGACATTGATGAAATTTTACGACTTGGTGAAGAAAAGACAGCAGAACTCAATAAGAAATACGAAAACTACAATATTGACGATTTGAAAAACTTTTCATCTGAAAGTGCATATAAATGGAATGGTCAAGATTGGAGTAACAAGGTAAAAAAAAAATTCTTTATTTCATATCGATATTCATGATTTTGTTTTTTTATGTATATAGAGGAAAGCAGGATCTGGCTTACCTTGGCTTGGACCAGCAAAACGGGAACGCAAGATTAATTATGCTGTGGACGATTATTACAAAGACGCTCTTCGAACGCCTCAAAAGACTGCTGTGCCCAAAGCTCCACGCAACAAGAAATATATTTTGTAAGTATTGATCATTTACTCTTGTTAAGAATCTATGGATTTTTTGTTTCTCACTTACAATTTGTGATGATTATAGGGAGGATTATCAATTCTTTCCTCAACGCATGATGGATCTCAATATGAAAGACACTAGATATATGAGGGTAAGTAACTTTTTTCTTTAAAGAAAGGAAAACAAAAAGTGGAACTCTGTTTATATGTAAAACATATGATTATTCATATCTAATTTTTTATTTTTATCTTTTTTTTTTCTTTTAGAAAACTGTTGGTTATAGACTCCCTCATGTTCCTGAAACTAGTGATCCTGAACAAAAAGCACTCTTGGATAAAGAACGTAAATTAGAGCAAGAACGGATCAAGAATGGTAAGAAAAACATGAGAAAAATGGTGATCATTAAGCTCTTGTTTATTTTATTTTCTTCAAATTGTAGCTGAACCATTGACAGAAGAAGAAGAGGAAGAACGCAAAATGCTTTATTCTGAAGGCTTTACCAATTGGGGCAAAAAGGATTTTTCGTCTTTTATCAATGCATGTGCCAAATATGGCAGGTAAGGATGATATTGATAATACCAAATTGGAGGGGTTTTGGTAACTAACTATATGATGTTATCATTAGAAATAAGATCGAACTGATTGCACAAGATATCGATGGCAAAACCTTAGAAGAAGTAGAACAATATTCAAAAGTATTTTGGGAACGATACGAAGAAATCAATGGTATTAATCAAAAAAAAAAAAAAAGGATGGTGTTTACTGATTATTTTTTTTTATTATTATATCCAGATTATGAAAAATATATTGGCAAGATTGAAAAGGGTGAAAGTGAATTAGAAAAACAAACAGAAATCCAAACTCAATTGACAGAAAAGATTTCACCATTACGTATCCCACTTCAACAACTCAAAATTCAATATACTCAACCCACCAAAGGCAAAAATTATACGGAAGAAGAAGACAGATTTTTATTGGTGATGTTGGAACATTATGGATATGGAAGCGACAATGTATATGATAATATTCGACAAGATATTCGCAACTCACCTCTCTTCCGCTTTGACTGGTTTATGAAATCAAGGACGTCACAGGAACTCGCAAGAAGATGTAATACCCTGGTTGGTTTGATTCAAAAAGAAAATTCAGAGGTCGAAGAAGAAAATAAGAAGGTAAAAAGGAATAAGATCATTTGATATATTTTTGTTATCTCATACATCTTTTTTTTTTATTCTAAATAGAAAACCATTCGTGTACGTCGATCATTCAAATAGTTTAGACTTATATATATATTACAATTGTATCATGAAATAAAATAAAAAAATTGTTTGTTGGTTATTTTGACATTTGTATTTTTCCCAATGCAAATAGTGAAAAAATGAAGGACTTGATTCTTGTGGTGTTTGAATTTGAATTTTTTTTTTCTCATTGGTCCAAATTTGTTTGTCTCAAAAGTAGAAATCCACATTTTTTTTTGTCCTGCCTGTCTTGTTACCTTATTTCCTTCTTGAAAGACATTTTTATTTCTTTTCTGTAGTATGGTACAAAGTTTTAATCTATCTGGTATCCTTAATGCTTTTCGACTTATTGCCAATCCAAGTCTAGCTATGCCTCACATTATAGTGAATGGTAATTAATCGCGTTTCTTTTTTTTTTTTTTTTTTTGAACATTGAAAAGCTAACATTATTTCTCTCACTGTCTCTCTTTGTAGATATTCGTGAAATCCCAATGGCGTCTTTGAAAAAACACGGTATCAAAGCAATGGCATTTGATAAAGACAATTGTCTTACAGCACCTTATATGTCAAACATTCATCCACCATTCAAGGTCAGTCAATTTATTATTTCCTTTTTCTTTGTTCACAATGTCTTTTAATAGGAAGCTTGGGATAGATGTAAGGATACGTTTGGCAAGGACAATGTGACAATTGTTTCGAATTCAGCTGGAACATTGGATGATGAAAATGGAAAAGATAAGTAAAGAAGTCAGTATTATTCCAGGGCATTATTAACCCTCTTTGTATATTTTTATGATAATCTATTATTTGTCATTACAGGCGCAAGCATTGGAAGTATCACTAGGTAAAACATACATTTATTGATTTTCTATGATCATTTTTTTACTCATCATATTATGTATGTGAATTTTTTTTTAAATCAATACAAGGTGTTCATGTTCTTCGTCATACTGATAAAAAGCCTTCTGGAGGTGCTGCATTGATGTCTCATTTGAAGATACCTCATGATCAAATAGCTTTTGTGGGTGATCGTATTTTAACCGATATAGTCTATGGAAATTTGAATGGAAATCTGACAATATGGACCAAACAAGTCATTTCGGAAAAAGGTGACAATAAACCTGCTCTTTTTGTAAGTTAAAATCAATCAAATGATATTAAAAAAAACAATGCATTGATAGGACCAATCAATAATAATTTTTCGTTTGTTAGATTCGACGTTTAGAACATCATTTAGTAAAAATGCTTCATCATTTAGATATCAAACCTTCCCCTCATCCTTTTTATACCAATAAAGTGAAACAATAGTTTATAATGTGTATGGATGAGGATTTAGAATCGTTTGATGAACATAATGCGGTCATTCAATTTCGATCCACTCATAACCTTTCTTTCCCTTTTTTTTTTTTTAAACCTTTTTTTTTAAAACCTTTTTTTTTTTTATTCTTTTCCCATTTTCTTTCATCTTCAAGTTTTTACCTCCCTTTTTTATTTTTATTATTATTTTTATTATTTTTATTTACACATGATACCACCTTTGACAGATAGTCGAGGGCCCTGTGAAAGTATGACCGGTAGCAACCATAATGATGCTCGACATATTCAATTACAACAAACCATCTCAGATTTTGATCGAATTGACATTGGTCAACGCATAGACATTTTACCTAGTGATCTCAAGGGTATCAAAAGTATTCTCATCACTGGTGGGGCAGGATTCATGTAAATAAATAAATAAATAATAATAAAAAGAATATATTTTATGTAATATCATTTATTTATATTATTTATTTAGTGGTAGTTTTTTGGTACGGAAATTGGTTGTACTTTATCCAGAATATCATATTTATGTGGTTGACAAGTTGGACTATTGTGGCTCTTTACATAATTTAAAATCTATCAAAGAATTTCCAAACTATACATTCATCAAGGTAAATATGATTTTTTTTTTCTTATTGTTTTCTTTTCTGAACTAACAATTTTTTTTTTTTTGTGGGGAATCTCAGGGCGATATTACATCATCAGATTTCATGTCTTTTATATTAAAAGAAAAGAAAATTGATGTCATTTTCCATTTGGCAGCACAAACTCACGTGGATAATTCTTTTGGAGATTCTTTTGAATTCACCAGGTACATCTGATCTTTCTTTTATATAATATAGTTATTGACGCTGAACCTTTTTTTAATAGGAACAATGTGATGGGAACTCATGTCATGCTTGAAGCAGCCAAGGTTCACAAAGTCCGTCGATTTATCCATGTTAGTACAGATGAAGTATATGGAGAAGTTGTTAGTAGAGTAAGTATAATATCATATTGATATATAAATGAAATTTCTCATATTGTTTCTTTTATTTTTTTATTTTTTTTTATTTTTATTTTTTTTTTTTTTTTACTTAAGCCTGATTGTGCAGAAGATACCATGCTGGCTCCGTCCAATCCTTATTCCGCTACTAAGGCTGCGGCAGAATGTTTGGTCAAAGCTTATTATATGTCCTTTGGATTACCCATCATGATTACTCGATCCAATAATGTTTATGGTCCTTATCAGTATCCAGAAAAAATCACTTCCAAATTTGTATGTAGCTTATTACGAGGTGGGAAATGGTAATAATCTATCTATTATATATGAATGTAAATATTGATATTGATTATTATTTCTTTTTATTGTTAGTTATATTCATGGAGATGGTCAAAATTCAAGGAAATATTTATATGCTGCGGATGTGGCTGATGCTTTAGATGTGATCTTCCATAAAGGGTTTGTGGGCGAAACATATAATATTGGCTCTGCATTTGAAATTTCTAATTTAGAACTGGCAAAACGGTTGATTCGTTTATTTGGTCACAAGGAAGAAGATATACCCCGTCATTTGGAATTCGTACAAGATAGAGCATTCAATGATCAACGTTATGCTGTAGATTGTTCTAAACTAGAGAAATTGGGTTGGCAACCAAGGATGGCTTTTGATACTGGACTATTGAAAACAAGTAAAAATATATCTAGTTGAAATGAATTAAAAAGAATGATGATTAACTTGATTTTTTTACATATATTTATTTGTATATAGTTGAATGGTATCGTAGCAGGACGGATGAATGGTGGGGTGATATATCAAGTGCACTAGTACCACACCCTTTGAAGGCATTTCCTACTCAAGATGGTTCCAATATATAGATTACATTAGATTTGTTGGTTTTTTTTTTTTTTTATTAAATATTAGATGAATAGTTTTTATTTATATAATTGGATAATAAATATTTATATATATATGCATACATACACACATATATATATATTGTATTAGAAAACGATTCAAAAAAGAGAGATGATTGACATATATTACGTATCAACGAATTCGATACCGACAGTGACTCACTTACATCAAAGGTTTAGCAAGTAGTTTATGGTTTTGCGGAATATAAATCGGATAACACGCCCCTCTTTTCTTTCTTCTCTTCTTTCTTCCCTCTCGCTCTTTTTTTTTTTTATGAAATTATATATGTCTTATGACAGTTCCATCCTATTCTCTTGAAAGACACCTTTCCATACATGATATTCGGGATGCTCCACCTTTAGCTACCGCTTCTCGACCCACTCGGTATGCAACTGTAGGTAGTAGACAATATCATCATCCTCCGCAGCGGTTTTTTATGACATCCAACTCAACATATAATCAAGGGCGTATTCTTTGTTCTCCAGGTTCCATTTTTGAAGGAAAAGTGGAAGTTATTTTAACTCATCCTTTGATGTGTTTGAACTTGAGTGTGATGTTTAAAGGTGAAGGTAAGTCATCCTTTATAAATAGTAATAAACCCAACAATATTATTATTTGCAGTAATCATCTTCGATCATCTGCTGGGGTCCAAATATAGAAAGTGGGGCGCGGGGAGATCGGTAAAGCCTCAATTTTTTAACTTCTTTTTTTTTTTTTTTCTCTCTTTCTCTAGAAAAAGTAGCCTCGAGTGGAAAAACAAAACATCTTTCCGTTACTAATCGTCTTTTTGGTATACGTACTTTATTATGGGGTGACCATCATCAAGATGAATCTTCAAAGGAGGCTTGGCCTATTCTTGAACCTGGACATCACGTTTTTCCTTTCATGATCGAAATGCCACTAGTCAATTATCCTCCGTCCTTTTATCATCCTTTTGTTACTTGCGACTATACAATATATGCTACATTGGAACGACCTGGCGAACGACCATTTAAAACACAACAATTGCAAGTCCTTTTTGAACCCATCATTGGTTCAACTCACTATCGTTTACAACACAACAACAGTATACAACAAAAAATCCCTTCTATATTACCTCATTTTGACATTCAAGTCAACATACCTCACCATGTTTATACAATATCTGAATCAACTCATATTCCTATTCGACTGACATGTATCAATGATAGTACTAGTCTTACTTCATGCGCTAATTTGCCTAGTTTATTACTTTGCGCCAAATTACAAAGACACATCAAAGTGATTCACAACTCATTTTTTCATCAAGAATTATCTACTCTCCAACAAGTAACATCGACATGGTTACTGTCTCAGGCAGATGTTCTGGAGATGAAACTACCTCTTGTTACTGATTTATATTCGTCTTCGTCCAATTCGAATATGATAACTTGTCCTAGTATAGACTACGCCAAGCATTTTCATATACAATACACCATCATCCTCTCTGCCAAGATTCGTGGACGTCTAACGAGTACAACCAAGAAGGAATCCATCTCAATCCCTATATTTTTCACTACATTGAATCAAGAAACCAAACCTCCTGCTGCGCTGGTACCGTTTACCCATCAAGAAGTGATTAATGATGATACATTGAACACAAAACCTCGTTTTATCCCACCTCCATCACCTCATTTGAACGATACCATCTTGCCTCCATACGATCCAATCAAACCTCCTTCATATAATTAACATTTTTAGATTTTTAGTTTGACTTAATAGAATTAGTTGTATTTTATATGTATTTAAATAATAATAATAATAATAATAATAAAAAAAGCATGACCCACCAGCATGATTACCATGATTTTTAACTCCGTTCTTTTTCAGTAGCCTTTGCCATTGGTTTTCCCTTTTTTTTCTTTTTATTATTTTCCTTTCTTTTTTTTATTTTTTTTTTTTTTCTTTTCTTTATCACTCTTTTCTTCATTATTATTATTATTTCCTCGTACTTATATAAATAGCTTTACAATGTCTAGAAATATACAAGGAAAAACACACCAATTCAAGCTTGTCCTCTTAGGTACCTAAAAGAATAACCATGACTATATTACAAAAAAAAAAAAAAAAAAAAAAAAGGGTCAGCTCACTTTTCTCTTTTTTTCGTTTACCATCTTTTCTCATGTTTAGGTGAATCTGCTGTAGGTAAATCTAGGTAAACAAAACGAATAAAAATGAAGGAAGGAAAAATAGAATACTATCTTTATTATCCCAAGTCTCAACACAGTAGAAGACGTGTGCCAAGACTATTATCTCTTTTTTTTTTTTTCTGACTGCGACTCTTTTTTTTTCTATATATGATTATAGTTTGGTAATGCGATTTGTGAAAGACCATTTCGATGAATATAGGGAAAGTACTATTGGAGGTAAGTTAATGAATCAGAATAAAAGGTTTTTGTGAGATGGGAATAGATAATGGTTGTTGAAAGACCTTTGATATATTGATATTTGTCTTTTATTTATTAGCTGCGTTTTTAGCACAAACCATTGCTTTGGACGACAATACTGTGGTGAAGTTTGAAATTTGGTAAGAAAAGAAAAAAAAAAAAAAGGATTGACGAATGGATTCTTCTTTAACTGTATCTTTTTTTTTTTTTTTTGTGCTATTCTAAAATCAATGATTGGGACAAATTAATTTAGGGATACCGCTGGTCAAGAACGTTATAAGGTAAAAAAAAAGAATCTGGATGATAAGTAGAGTTAAATGCTCATGTATTATTTATTAATTGAATAGAGTTTGGCACCAATGTATTATCGAGGTGCAAATTGTGCTGTAGTAGTATATGACATTACACAGGCGGTAAAATATATAAAAAAAAGGAAAAAGTCGGATGATACCATCATCAGAGTTGTCATTATGTTATTCACATGTTTGTCTCATATTTTTATTAATGAATGATTTTTTTTGCTCTTATTATAGTCTTCTTTGGAAAAAGCTAAATCATGGGTGGATGAATTACAACGTCAAGCAGAACCTGATATCATCATTGCTCTTTGTGGGAACAAGACTGATCTTGAATCACGTAGGGTAGTGGAAACAGAGGTAAGATTTTTATCTATTGATGATAAAAAAAAAAAAAAGAAATCAAAATTCTTATTTCGTTTTTATTGATACTAATGATAGACTGCTCGTTCTTATGCTGAAGAAAATGGTTTATTGTTTATGGAAACATCAGCTAAATCGGCTCACAACGTCACAGAATTATTCACAATGATTGGTAAGATTCAAGAACTATATTCAAACTGACAAATTGCTCATCTTTTCTTTTTTATTTTATTTTATTTCTTTAACATAGCCAAACGAATGCCTCTAGATCAACAAACTGAATTGACTCGGGGTGGAGGCAGACGTCTGAATATTAGAAACGGTATAGATTTGGATCAATCTTCTTCCAGTGACAGCTGTGCTTGTAAGTTGATATTGATACATTGACATATGACCCTTTTCATTTTTCTTATTGTTTCCTTTTTTGTATTGAATATCTTTAGGTTAATGCACACGTCATGAACTTTTTATAATAGTATAACTACTCTCCTTTTTTTTTTGTTTCTCTTTTACCTCGTATACAATTCATTCTTTTTATATTATACTTACTCCCGATAATTTTTACTATCGTTCTACTCTATTAATATTATCCTCCCCCTGAATAAACACACTCTTACTACGTTGAACTTTTTTTTTTGTGCTTGAAAGACAGTTTTAAAAGATAATCCTGACCAATCACAGCAGAGTTCCCAAGAATACTCATTTGGAAAACACCGCCCTAGCTTTTTTTTTTTTTTTTAATTTTTCTCGTCCTCTCTTTTTCTTTTTTTTTTTTCTTTATATCTACATATATCAAGTTTCAAGATGGGAATTCCTACTTGGGCTTCAGTCATGATAGCTCTTGGGGTGATCATTGTGGTATCTATTTGTCTGGAACGCGTATATTCTCGTTTGGTTCGTGTACCGTTCTCACCATCTGGGAAACATTGTTTTATCACTGGGGGTAGTTCTGGACTGGGACTAGGATTGGCTATCGAACTTGTCAAAGCTGGTGCCGATGTGACTATTGTGGCTCGTAGAAAGGAGGAACTGGAGAAAGCTGTATCGGAAATCAAGGTAAATATCATTTATTCTATTTTCTGAAAGATAAACTCTACTCATCATTCTTTTTTTTTTTTTGAACGGTATATAGAGTCATTGTCGCTCTCAAGATCAAAAGGTGATAGCTGTCAGTGCAGATGTGACTTGCCAACAAGATATTGTTCGTGCATTTGATGAAGCCAAGGTCAAGGTGGGTCGCAATCCTGAAATTGTATGCACTTGTGCAGGTAAAGAAGTAAAATAAAAAATAAAAAGAAACAGGCATAACATTTTTAATTGATAGGTGCCTCCTATCCCAAATTCTTTTTGGACTATACTATGGATGATTTTGATCAAGCAATTCGGTTGAATTATCTTGGTCAGGTTTATACTGCGCATGTAAGAAACTCTAAATCATAAGAAACTAGTCAAACGAAGTGTAAACTTTTTTTTTTTTTTTTTAGGAAGCTGCCACACGAATCCGAGATTCCGGAATTAAAAATGGTAAAATTGTCTTTGTGTCATCCATGCTGGGCATGTTGAGTTTTGTTGGTTATGGTACTTACTCTCCCGCAAAATATGCTATACGTGGTCTGGCTGATACTTTACGAAATGAACTCAAGCAATATGATATTGATGTACATATCTTCTTCCCTGGAGGAATTCTATCTCCTGGATTTGATAAAGAGGTAATAAAATAGAGAGATTTATTGATGGATTGATTGATTGATTCTTTGGAATAGAATATGACAAAACCAGATGTGACCAAGGAAATTGAAGGAACAAATGAACCACAAACACCTGAAGAATGTGCCAAGTCTTTGATGAAAGGTAATATATATGACAGATGCCAAGATTTTATCATTCAACATTTATTTTATTTATCTTAGGATTATATGCTGGGCATTATATGATCATGGTGGACTTTATATCTGATCTCCTTCGATGTACTACAAGAGGTAAATCAAGAAGAAAAAGAAGAAGAAAAAAAATAGAAAGTTATATTGGTTATTCATTTTTTTTTTTTTGTCTTATTTCAAGGTGTTTCTCCATCAAATAACTTTTTCTTGGATTTCCTTTTGGCTTTGATTGGGCAATTTGTTGGATCTGGTTATGCTATCTACATGGATTGGTTAGTCAAGTCTCTCAAAAACAAATAATACTGTATTCATTATAATAAAAATATAAGGTTATCTCTTTTGGAACTTGCATGACTCATTTCCTACAGAAAATACAGACTCCTACCATTTTTGGGATTTCGTTTTTTTTTTTTTTCTTGATTTTCTTTATATTCTTCCTTTTTTTTCCCTTCTCCTCTCTCTCTCCTTTTTTTTTTTTTTTTTGTCTTCTTCTTCTTCTTTATATTAGTCTTTCCTTATTTATCAAATTTTATACTCTTCAAGTTATGGATCCTTCATTCCGTATTCGCCCATGTACAGATGTTGAAGAAGCATGTCATTACTTTTTGAAATGGCCTGTTCGAGAAGGTTGGAATCACTCTCCTGATGATCAAGAAATACGTCAAGCATTTTACCCTTCTGATCCCAATGGATTTCTTGTTGGAACGGTACGTGACAAAGAAACTGGAAAAGAAACGGTGGTATGTACTGTAATCGCTATGCGCCACAATGACGATGTTGCCTTCCTTGGATGTTTTATTGTGGACAATGCTCATCGTGGGAAAGGTTATGGCACTGTTCTATTTAAACATGCCTTGAAGCGTCTTGAAACTTGTCGATTTGTTGGTTTGGAATCTATGTATCCTATGGTACCTCGCTATCAAAAGATTGGTTTTGATATAGGTTGGACAAGTACTACTTTACGAGGGGATATGATCGAAAATGTATTAAACAAGATCTCCAAAGTGGATGGACAAGATATTTCCATTGTAGATTTGACAGAACGTGCAAAGATCGATTCATCATTAGGACAACAACTGGCTGCGGTGGAAAATAAATATACAGGAATGGATCGACCGGTATTTTGGAAAAATTGGTTGACATTACACACCAGCAAGGATGCTGCTCAACATGGACGACATGCAGTGGCTGTACTGGATGCAGATGGTAACGTGGCTCATATTGGATTCATTCGTCCTGCTGTGCTTGGTTTTGTGACAACATTGTTTTGTTCCGATGCGCATATCGCTAGTACTTTACTACGACATTTGGTACAATGGGTTATAGATTCAACTTCTTCTCCATCATGGGCACTTCCTAAAAATCATGACCTCACTGTCGATGCCAATGCTTGCTCTGCAAATCCAACTGCTTTGGCTTTGTATGAAGATTTAGGTTTCAAGGTTGCTAGTGGTCGTAAAAGGATGTGGCTCAGTGGTCTATCTCCCAAGTCCGATCACTCGGGGATCTATGGTGTTGGTTCTCTCACTGTAGGCTGATGACAACAACACACTTCTGTTTACTATAAGACAAAGGTAATAACAAACACTTTTTATATGGATGACAAATCAAAACTCACTTTTTTTTTTTTGGTAAACTTAGATCAATAGACACCGTTTTCTCCTATATTATATCTATATAGATCTCATTTCTCTTTTTTTTTTCTTTTGTTTATTTTGTTTTGTTTTGTTTTTTTTTATTCAATAAAGTATACTATGTTTGTGATGATATTGTCTTCATTCATGGATCATATATTTGAATCATTTGTCATGTCGTGGCTTCATGTGATGAATATCAAATCTTGTAAGCACAATGCAAATCCCGATGTGTACAACCAGAGTTCATTCTAGCTTTAGTCTCATCATCTCTTTTTTTTTTTTTTTTTTTTTTTTTTTGGGGGGGTTCAATACCGTGAGTATGACTAAAGAGAAAAAACAAAGACAAACATTTATTTAAGATCTTTGACCTGTTAAAAGAGTTGCCTTTAGATAGAGCGTTTCTGTTACTCATCCAAGTAACATAGACGTTTTTTTTTTTAAATTAAAGTTGGTGTTGATATGATAATAATAATCATAATCATGAAAATCATAAAGACTAGTCAGTGATGGAATATTAGACTCAATATAAAAAGATGAGATACACTAGCGAATCAGACTGCTCGTTATCATCGTAAAAAATCATCATCACAATAAATTATCACACATAAAATATCACGTTAAAAAAACTCTTTGCAATTATCAGAGAAATCCTCATAAAACAAAAAAGGTGTTGACGAATCAAACATTTATGCTTTTTTTTTTTTTACTGCTGACAATCAGGTCCAATTCAGGCTTTGAACCCTCACCCAATTGAATATCCGATACTAGTTTTTGGAGGGATCCAATTTGAGAGAAATTTTTTTTTTCTTTTTGGGTGTTTTGACTGCCGTCCTATTTTTTTTTTTTTTATTATTATTATTATCATTTCTTTCTTTTCGTTTCCTTTTATATAAATCAGTACACAAAGAATAAATATGTCACGATCACCTACAGCAACACCGGAATCTATAGCAGCATCAGCCTTACACAGTGATCTAGTTGGAGCACCACCAGTAGAAAGTAATGATATGGATATGGACGAAGACGATCCAATTGTTGGAGAATTCCCGGTATTCCTCAGCAATCAATTAGCCTCCAGTTTATACTTATTACAATACCCTATGCGGAATACACCTTTTGGACCTCGTCAAGGCCCTGAAAAGGCAAGGATCAAGCCGAAAGCAAAGATGATACAGTTAGATCTACCTTTGGATACCCGATCAAGGTATTACAACACAGAACGCGGTGAAGACTTTGCTATGGGGATGCATGACAAGGCTATCAAGACAGCTTATGACCGACGTATGGAAGAACACGAAGAAGAACAACGATTTGGTGCAAGAAATAAAAAGCAAGAAGACGAACTTTTAGATAGAATGACGCTGACTTCTACTGAAGTACCCACTCAAACAAAATACCTTGTGGGTGTGATGCACAATGGTAAAAAAATCATGATAATAAAAAAAAAATATGTTATTGATTTTATTTTATTTTATTTTTTGTATAGGTGAATTACATGTAACGCCTCTCAGTACAGTGATTCAAATGAGACCTGGGTTTAATTATTTGGATAAGATCGATGATAAATGGAAGGCAGCCAACAAAAGGATTCAAGAAGTAGAACGACAAGAAGAAAAGAAAAAAATGGAATCTCAAGCACAAACTGTGCAGGTAAATAATATTTGAAGAAATCAAATAAGGTTAATGATGATAATAATAATAATAATATATATATATATATGTTATTAGGTATCTATGAAACAAAGTGAAAATGAAGGATTGGTTAGACGTAATTTGTATTCTATGGCTGTACGAAATGCAGATGAAGAAGAATGGAATCCTGTAGTATATTATGATGAAACGGTAAGTGATATATATATATTTATGTATATAATCATTATATTCATCTCCCCCCCCTTTTTTTTTCTCTTTAAAATAGACTCAAGAAGCAGAATTAGAATATAGTCGATTATATGCTAGTCAAACTATAGAATTGAAAAGCTCCATGACTCAATCTGAATTCCTTGATCAACTTAGTACTATGAAATAAAGAATGATTATTCTTTTTGAAAACATCCCAATATTTAGAATAGGAGTGAATGATTGACTTTTTTTTTTTTCTTTTATCCCTTGAACTATGATCAGTCTTCGGACCCCTTTTGGTTTTTCCTCCTTGATTCCACAACATAAAAAGAAAAAAAAAAAAAAAAAACTCCTTGATTTTTGATATTTATTTTTTATCTTTTTATTTGGTTTTTTTTTTTTTTTTTTTGCTTTTTTTTTTTTTCTTATTATTTACGTTCTAAAGTCTTTATTTTAGATATACTTTTTACTGTACCATTATTCAACTTTCCTTTATCTAACAATAATAAAACCGTCATGTCATATGTACGATATCAACCTCCTATTCAAAGAACACCTCATGATAATGTTGTTCAACCAACAAATGAACATGGACTTGGAAGAAAACCAACGACTTTAGGACGAGCACCAACACGACGAATGGTTCCTGGAGCCAATAGTATTGCTAATGCTAGTCAAAATATTCAACGAGGACGTACATTAATTCGTCCAGATAGATATCAAGAGCCTGCTCCTCTCTTGACAGGAAAATCCACTAATAATCAAGGATGGTTTGATCCATGGGTACTTTTATCTCGTATTGTTACAATCTGGGCACTTCCTCCTCTTTTACAAGCATTTGGCAAGACTGATAAAGGAATGCAACAAGCTTGGCGTGAAAAGATGACTTTGTGTTTTTTGATTGCATGTCTGGGTGCTTTTGTTGCCTTCATCACTATTGGTCTTAGCTCAGTAATGTGTCCTCCTGATCAATCAAATAATCAACAAAATTATGCATCTTATAACGATACAATTCAAAGTGGTAAATGCTTGATGGCGGGCCTATTTTTTTTTTATTTTTTTTTATTTATTTTTTATTTATTTATTTTTTATTTATTTTTTATTTTTATTTTTTTTTTTTCTTTCTTTCTTCTTTAGCTTCCCTTCTTGGTATCGCTGGTTGGCAATTCAATATCTCTTTGGCAAAAACTCAAGATAATGTTGATTTTCACCAATTAAGTAAAGTGCCTGGTACCGATCTAACAAACTATTTTCAACATGGCAAGAACGTTCCGGAATGTCAAGATGCTCTTCATTTCAAGGCCGTGACTTTTGATCCTTGTGATAGTAATAATGGTTATGAAGGTTGTCCTCTTGGTACTCTTTCTCCTGCTACTTTTTCTCAACTTCAAATCATTAATTCGACTCGTTTAGTGGGGTTTGACTGGGAACAATTGGCATCTCCTAGTTTGAAAAATTATTTTGTAGTGGATGGCAACGTACTCAACATGGATCCATATATCAACGCCAATCCGAAACCTATCCTTACTGATGAACTGGATATTTTGATTAGATATATCTTACACCAACCTTTTGCTGAAGGTGGACGTGATGCAACCAAATATCTCTTTCGTCGACCTGAACTACAGTCTGGTATCAATTGTCTAGTACAAAAATACCGTGCTGGTCATATTGATAAATCGACACCTGGATGTTTTGTGGCTTCTGTGATTTTATACTGTTCTTTAGGTGTGGTGCTTTCTATTGTTTTGGCAAGATTTTTTATGGCTCTCATTTTCTCATGGTTTATATCTCGAAAATTATCAAGAACTCCTCCAGAAGCCACAAGATCTGCTCCACCAGTCTCCTATCCTCCTCAACTCAATACTATGGAAATGGCTGATATCAAACAACCTCCCTCTTCTCCTTCTATTAGTGGAGTTCAAATTGGAAATGATCTTTACACTATCATGCTTATCACTTGTTATTCCGAAAATACTGAAGGTATACGAGCCACTGTAGAATCTTTATCTCGAACTTCTTATCCTGATGATCGCAAGTTATTATTCCTCATTGCTGATGGTATCATCACTGGTAGTGGCGAAACAATGTCTACTCCTGATATGTGTCTTTCTTTGGTGTCATTTGATCCAAATCGTCCTGATCTTCAACAACCTGAACCTCAATCTTATATTGCTGTTGCCAATGGAGCTAAAATGTATAACTGTGCCAAAGTTTATGCAGGTCATTATCGTAAGTGTTTTTATTATTATTATTATTATTATTATTATTATTATTATTATTATTATTATTATTATTATTATTATTATTATTATTATTATTTATAAGTATGAATATTAACTATTTTTTTTTTCTTCTTTCCATTTAGTTTGCAAAGGTCATAAGGTACCGATGATTCTCATAGTGAAATGTGGAAGTCCAGACGAACAAGACAAACCGAAACCTGGTAACCGTGGCAAGCGTGATTCTCAATTGATCTTGATGAACTTCTTTAGTCGGGTGACATACAATGATAGGATGACTCCTTTAGATTATGATTTATTTCAAAAGATTACATATTTGATGGGTGTAACTCCAGATGTGTTTGAATTGGTATTAATGGTGGATGCTGATACAAAAGTATACTCTACTTCATTACGACTTTTGGTGAATTGTATGGTGAACGATAACCTGATTATGGGTCTCTGTGGGGAAACCAAGATAGCCAACAAGCGTGATTCATGGGTGACAGCCATTCAAGTATATGAATATTTTATCTCTCATCATCTTTCAAAAGGATTTGAATCGGTTTTTGGTGGTGTCACTTGTCTACCTGGTTGTTTTTCTATGTATCGACTCAAGGCTCGCAAAGGTGATGGAGATTGGGTACCTATTATTACCAAACCGGAAATTGTTCAAGAATACTCTCAAAATACAGTGGATACCTTACATCAAAAGAATTTACTCCTTCTTGGTGAAGATCGATTTCTTACTACTCTTATGTTACGGAATTTTCCTTATCGCAAAATGGTGTTTACTCCTCAAGCTGTAAATAAAAAAAAAAAAAAAAAAAAGGAAGGAATGGAACCTGATTCTTTTTTTTTTATAGATATGCAAAACAATTGTGCCAGACGAATTCAAAGTACTTTTATCTCAACGTCGACGATGGATCAACTCTACTATTCATAACCTATTTGAATTGGTGCTTGTTCGAAATCTCTGTGGAACCTTCTGCTTCTCTATGCAATTTGTAGTGATGATGGACTTGCTGGGAACATTGACATTACCGGTGGCTATTGTTTTGACGGCAGTGCTAGTAGTGAATCTAGCACAAGTACAAATTACTAGTTTTATGGTGGCAGTTCCTTTGGTTCTTTTGATTGTAGTCTTATTCTCACCTGCTTTTTTGATTCTGATTACAACTCGAAAATGGGTCTATCTAGTATGGATGCTTGTTTATCTCTGCGCTCTGCCTATTTGGAATTTTGTTCTACCGGTCTATTCTTACTGGCATTTTGATGACTTTTCTTGGGGTGAAACGCGAAAGGTGACGGGTGAAGTGAAAGGTGCAGATGATCACGGCAAGAAAGATGGTGTTTTTGATCCGTCCAAGGTACCACTCAAACGATGGGAAGACTACGAACGGAAACGAATTAGAGCACATAAACGACGAGAAAGGAAATTACGGGAACTGGGTCCGACACATCCATCAACTCTTAGTGATATCCATTCAATGAAGAGCAATATTAGTAATCAAAATATTTTAGATCAAGAAACAAACATTGGTAATGAAACGTCGCCTATGCATTATTTTGATCCATCGAAAGAAGCGCCTGGAAAAGCAGGTAGTGGTTATTATCCATCTTATCGACCTCAAGCACAATCTACATCAAATCCTACAATGATAAGTCCTCCTCAACCTCCAGCTAAAATATCAGCAATCAATGATATTAATTCACCACAAACTCCTCGACCTCCACAAGCCCCTTCATCTCAACAAGGAGCATATCATCCTACTCAACATTATCAGCCTCAATATCGACCTCCTCCTCCACCTAGGAATCAATCATATCCACAACAATATCATCATCAGCAGCAACAACAACAACAACAACAACAACAACAGCAACAACAACAACGACCTCCTATGATGACCATGCCAAGATCTCAACAACCAATGTACTCAAGGCCTTCTCCTTCGATGATGAATGGTGGTGGTGGACTTTACAAGCGGCAATGAAAGGATCATATCAGATTTAGTTGTATTTATCCATTGTATTTATTATATATGCATTCAAATTAGGCATTAGTTAGTTAGTTCATCTTTTTTTTTTTTTTTTTTTTACTATTATTATTATTATTTGGAAAAAAGGGTGATCTTTTTACTTATCAGTCTATCAATAAAGAAAGAAACTCATAATGTCAATAAGATAGATCTTCCTGATTTGTCGATTTTATTGATTTTTTTTTTTTGTTTGTATTCAAATATATATGCGTGTGCTTGCAATTAAAACCATGGATGATGAACCACGATGTTGTCAATGACAACTATAGAAGTGACCAAAACAACATTGATGTAAAGTAATGAAAATTCAAAAAGGATCATCCATCTATTCAATCAAAGGATGTATGTATATGAAAAAAAAAAGGTAGATTGTCCTTGATAGGAAATATTTCGGTCCTAAAAGGAGACAATTTAGTCTCCTTGAAAAAAAAAAAAAAAAGCAAAACCCACCAAATTTGGTAATCCGTTGTAAAAGAAAAGATTAATAATGATCATCATAAAATAGGGATACCATCTTTTCTTTTTTTGGAGGGGATCATTTCCATTTGTTAGCAAATGGAAAATTATGAGAATTTGCGAAGTGATATGTGGCTAAAGGCAAATCTATCAAAATGATGGATAAAGAAAATATATTCTATGGAATATGCACACTTCTTAGCAACCAAAAAAAAAAAAAAAAAAAAAAAAAAAAGACCAACCGTAAGGTCACCATGAACATCACACATTATTAATCATCATCCATCAACACACATCATCACACATCATCACCACATCATCACATCATCACCACATCATCACATCATCACCACATCATCACATCATCACCACATCATCACATCATCACCACATCATCACATCATCACCACATCATCACATCATCACCACATCATCACATCATCACCACATCATCACATATCACCACATCATCACATATGAACCATCATCAAAATCTATATAAACACAACGATGCTTTATGTATAAATATCAACAAATAATAACAAAGAGTCAATAAACAACAAAACAAATGATATACTACAAATAAGGGAGGGGTGATAATCATACACTAAAAAAAAAAAAAAAAAGAGACAGAAAGAGAACGGGAAAGGAACTAACTAACTACCGTCAGCATCAGCAGCAGTGGATTGAGTATAACCATACATTCGAACATTGTGAGGTCGAGCAGCAGAAGGATCGATAGCGGCATGGGCACCAGTGGCAAAACTTTGGGTAGATTCGTTTGCAAAAGGGTTATCAGTATATGGTGAAGAGGTGGTGATGCGTTGAGCTGGTAATTCGTAATGGATCTTGAGGTCGTCCAAGGTATCTTTGAGCATGAACATGAAGCGATTGCGTCGTTGGAGTCTTTTACCTACATTTTGCCAGTTACCTTTATGTGGGAGCCAGATGGTCAGGACAAGTTTGTTAACGTCGACAATTTCTTGAAGACGAATATCGAAACCTGAGGAGAATTCACGTGGTTGATCTTCTACCCAGGCAGCCATCCGTTCGCGTAACTTGAATACCAAATCTGTCGATGTACGGAAATCCACATTCAAAGTAATCGATTCACCCATGTCGCCAGATCGTCGTACGTTTGTAATCAACTTGGTCATTAATACTGTCGTAGGCGCATACACCTTTTGTCCATCTCCTCGAATAAACACTGTTCCCGTGATCCCCATGTTATGCACCGTCAGCGTCACATCGTCGATCAGGACATTATCACCAGCATCGTAAGGATGAGTCACAAATAAGAACATGATGGATTCAAAAGCAACCTTGACGGTATTGGAGAACATAAACGAGAGACCCATGATGAAAGTACCCATAGGCACCAAAGCTTGATATAAATCCACATTAAAAATGGCCGTCAGACAAAGAAATACGTTGATCACCATCACCAGGATGAAAAGAATCCAATCGATCTTGCCCAACGCTTGACTAGTGTCCCGAATACATTGTGCTAATAATTTGCGTTCACGATAAATTTGCACTACTGTATCCCTGAATTCCCGTCGTGTCACATCACCATTCCCATCCTTGTCAAACACTTCAAAAGCTGCCTTGCATTGTTCCTCAGTCTTGAAATAGGGACTAAAATGATGTTTTTCCAATACTTTTGTACCACCATTGTCTTGTGTTGCCAGAGGAGGTGGGAAACCGTTACTGAATGGATAGGCTAAAGAGTAGAATAGCTTTTTGGCCACCTTTTTTGCAAAATCATCCGAGTTGATATCTACTTTGCGTGTTTCCATTCTACTTAAACCTTGAGGTCGATCTGTAAGAATCATGCCTTGTACTCGTTTGTGAAAGTTGTTGAGCTTTTCTGCTGTATTGCCACGTGAACGTTGAGGAGCAGAATAACTAGTAGAATAAGACATGGGTTCGCTACTTAGTCTACTGTTTGAATATCCAATATCTTGTGTTGAATCCTGGGATGTTAATCTTTGACGTACGTTGTTGTTGCTTTCCGTCTTTGATCGTCGTCCTTCAGATTTACTAAGAGAATCCAAAACTATTGAAAATAAAGTAAGTTAACCTAAATCATTCTTTTCTCTTTTTTTTTTTTTTACCTTTGAGAGAATGTTTATTTTCAGCAATACGTTCGGAATAAGCTGACCGATGGAATCGTGTGGCTAGTAGAAAAAAAAATTAATTAATGTCAGTTAGTAATTGGTGATAATTGATTGGGTTTGAAAGATGAAGATAATGTTGAACACAAACTCTTTTTTTTTTCTATTTTTTTTTTCTGTAAAGAATTTACCGATGATTTGAATGATCAGTTTCTGTAGGAAAAGTAGACATGTAGTAACAAAGATAGAGGCAAAGAGTTTCCAGATGATCCAAGAATAACTTTGTTTTTTAACAGACTATATAATTGGAAAAAAAGAAATGGTGAGTTAACGGAAGATGAAATATAGTATGTCTAGGTGATAGAAATAGTACAACAGTCTTACCGAAAAAGGAAAGTTAAGGAGGAATGCCCAAGAACCCCAGTTCCAAGAACCAAGTAAGAGAATTGTGATGTATTTCTTCATAGCCATATAATACTAAAAAAAAAAAAATTGAATGGGTTTTCCTTTTTTTTTTTTTTTTTTTTTTTACCTCCATGCTTGATTTGACTTTCTCAGAGCGTCTTCCAACAAAGATTTTTGTCCATAGAGATACAAAGGAAGGAATGATTTCAACAAAAACAGTAGTTATCCATCCAATATGCCACATGAAAGCAGCCCAATACATCCAGATTTGTACGTTACTTCGAATATTTGAAAAATTGGGATCATTTTCTTCTTGAGTAGTAGGTTCAGGTAACAAAAGATAAATGGCAACGGCAATAGCAATAAAGATAAGAGAACCGAAGAGAGCGATGATCAAACGTTTCATAAAAGGAGATAAAAAATGCCAACAACAAGGTTTTTTCATAGCAGCTTGAATTCTTTCTCTTGTTGTTTTTCTTCTTTTCGGTTTAGCAGGTGCATCAGGATCATCATTCCAATCAAATTCATCATCATCATCATGTCCACGATGGGTAGTATGTGTTTTGCCTTCTTCATCATTCAGATCTTGAATACTGTTATTGCTATTGTTGTAGGTATCTTCATCATCATCATCGTCATCATCATTATAAGTTGTATCCATATTATTTATCTTTGGCTGTTCTTGATGATGATTGCCGTCAAAATAGGACCAATTAGAATCATCAGTTAATTTGACAGGTGGGAAACGTAAAGTGGTATTTTGATAATCATTTTGTTTTGTTTGATCAGAAGAATCAGTAGTATTGCTATCTTGTTCTTGCATTTCAATGGTATAGAAAGAATCCTTTTCATTGACAATGGGCATAGGTGCTGCTTCTAAAATAATCAAAACAAAAAAACAAACATAATGACAGGTTTAACTTAATATGTGTCACCAAAAAAAAAAAAAAAAATAGGGGTCCTTACCATCTATCAATCTACTTTGATCTTCACCAACAATCCTTACTGATTTAGTATGTTTTCTCATTTCATTCCAAAAAAAAAATAATAATGATAATAGCAATAAATAAAATAAAATAAAAAAAAAGAGATGAAAGAAAGAAAAAGAGAGAAAAAAAAATTTGTTGTCAATTCTTTATTGTTCAAAAATTACAGAGTAAACGGACTTTTAAAAGAGCTCCAGACCCTTTTTTTTTTTTTCTAGTTGGTAGAGTGTGAGTCTGGAATCATTCAATCAAAGATCTACAACCGCTTTTTTATGATTGGAAGATGATATAATATTTGAACCTGAATTCAATTACTTTTAGGATGATCGTTTTTGGATTGAATGTCAGCATCAAACCATTTTACTTGATAATGGTCAGATGTCTTTTATCAATGATTTTGTAGTTGTAAAAGGGCTTGGCAAAGAAATGTTCTTTTTTTTTCATTGTCAGTTCTAAACTGTTGTGTAACGAATATGGCTTGAATAAAGAGTTCCCATCCTTTTCTGATTCATATGCCGCCTTCTCTCCTTGTTTTCCACTCCCCCCCCCTTCTTTTTTTTTTTTTTTTTATATAAAAATTTCTCTTTTTTCTCTTTCTCTTTCTTCTTTCTTTCCTTTCCTTTTTTCTTTATAAATATATTCGTGCTGGTTCACGTTTGACATTTCTATCAAAACTTTCTTTTTTTTCTTTATTATTGTATATTCCCCAACCCATTCATTACTCTTTTTTTTTTTATTTTTACCCACACCATTCTTTTTTTTTTATCATGATCACAAAACACTCTTCCGATAACAACATGAACGATAACACTACTATTACTCGCCCAAGGAAACGAACTCACCTTACTGCTTCTCAAATAGCCTCACTTCAAGCATCATTCAATATCAATCCTTTACCTGAATCTGCAGCTCGTCATGGTCTTTCATTGTCACTTGGTATTCCTGAACGTACTGTACAAATCTGGTTTCAAAACCGTCGTGCCAAAGCAAGAAAAATGGAAGCTTTAGGTATCAAATCTTCTTCTGGTATCAAGTCTAATACTCCTGGTGGGTCAATGACTTCTGATGTTACTATTGCTCCTACTTCTCTTCTTCCTACTCCTCCTCGTTATCAAGCTACTTTCAGAACAATGATGACTCCAGAAATTTTTGAAGAAATGAATGCTGGTAATATTCAAACAACATCAACGACATCATCATCATCATCATCATCAACATTCAATGGAAATCGTCGTCGACCTCGTTCTGCATCTAAACCTGAACAACCCAAACCATCTGAAATAAAATTGGCTCCTCGTGCAATGTCTGAAGAAATGGATCAACAACATCTAGGTAAATAATAATAAAAAAAAAAAAAAGTTCTCATGATCATCACATCTAATCTCTTTCTCTCCGCCACTTCTACAACCCCCCTATTTTAGACTATTCTTCTTCCTCTTATTCCAATCCTCCCACTCTTCCCATTACAACCCCGTCTCGGACCTTGACTACCATCCAATCAGATATTGTATCACTTCCTGTGCATTTACTACGAATTGGTACATGGACTCGTCTCGCCAGTCATGTTTCACCCATCAAGGATGATGAATTTGGACTTGTTTGTTACTTCACCAAAGACCAGTTGATCTGGCAAATTGAAACACAAGGTCAAAAATTCCGTATTCAAATTCCCAAGGATGCTATTCATCAACTTACTTTTGGCAATATCATGGATGACAATGGTACAACTCAAGTCAATATTCATTTGGATCCTCAACAATTAGTATTTTCTATGTGTCTTCAACATCAAGATGAATGGGTACGTTGTGGTGATTTTTCTGAAAAGAAACAAATCAGTCAGCTGTTTATACATGAACTTCAAGGACAACATGATGCCTTACAACAAGCCCTTTTGGAAATGATGTCCATTGTTCCTGATTTGGCTTCCAAATTAGTCTTCATGCCCTCTCCTTTGTTGGATGAACTTTGTCGTGATTTTACCATATCTCCGTCTGCTACTCCTGAACCTTCTTTTGCCATAGGTGATCCTACTACTATGATGTATCCAAATCACTTTGCCTTGGATAAGTCAATGATGTTACAAGCTCCCTTCTATTATCCCTCTCCTATGAATGATCAACAGTATTATCAACCGATGATGATGCTATGATTACTTTTTGGTTCATCCTGTCTTTTTTTTTTTAAAAAAAAAAAAAAGTGAAATGGTTACTTTGTATTTAGTGTGTGTATAGTTTTTTTTTTTTTTTTTTTTTTCTCTTTGTGTATACAATCTTTCCCCTGTCTCTTCTCTCCCTTTTTTTTACTATCATCACCCTTTCTCTTTTTGATCTATACTCCGAATCTAAATTGGTTTCCTTTTTTTTTTTTGAAATAAAAAAAAAAAAACTCCTTGTCCCTATTTGTCTTTATAATATCCTGATTTGTTTGGGGGAATAGTATCTGATGTCAATTATGTAGTGAAAGAAGGTTTAAGTTTGTGTTGACTTCCATGACCTCATGAAAATGCCACGTTGCTGAGGAATGGTTTTTCCTGACTGTTTAGGCGGAGATACCTCAACATGCATATTCTTCTACTCTAGAAAAAAGAAACCTTACAATGTTGATTTTCTCACTCACCAGTCATCTGATGAACATCTTAATTGAACCAATGTTTTTTTTTTAATCAAGACAATGAGATAAAAAGATGTCAAACAAGACATATCTAATCCATATCTAGTTGCTTTGTATCACATTCTTCGCTTTCTTAAGGAGTTTTATACAAACTGGTCATCATCCTCTGTTTCAGTCTCTAAAAGTAAAAAGGAGTTAAAAGAATCATAAAAAAAAAAAAAAAAAAAAACTGTTTTCCATCCAAATTTTTAAATCCATCATTGGGTTATCAGTATCACTTTGAATAAGCAATTAAATATTATTTCTTCTATACACTTTAATATGCAACTTGCATGATGACACATCATAATCCATTTCTCTGGATGATTTAACTGTATCCTCCTCGTCATTTTCCCCCATCTTGAGTTTCATGACAAATATTGTTACCTATCACTTCTATATTATATTTTTTTTAAAGAAAAAGATAAATATTATCTCATTTTGATGGAAGGATTGATGATTACTATCATATTCAAAAATAAAAACATCTGACTGGTATGAAAATTGTTTCATCATCCGATTATGTTACCTAAGCAGTGGTACAATGAGATTGTATAAGGAAACAAACTTATTAGTTTTCTTCTTCTTTGATCCTTCTTTTTTTGATCACGCGTCTAGTGCAACATTTCATGCTCTCTACATAGTTAACCATTCATCATCCATCATATCATCACAATCATAATCATCACAATCATAATCATCATATCATAATCATCACATCATAATCATCACATCATAATCATCACATCATAATCATCACATCATAATCATCAGCTCATCATAATCATCAGCTCATCATAATCATCAGCTCATCATAATCATCATCACATATTATTACAGTTTTTTTTTTTTTTTTTAATACAAACCCAACAAGCTTTTACTAGTAATTATTATTATCATCATTAAATTGATACTATTATTTCATTTATCTATTTTGAAAGCATGCAAGAGAAACGTAATCCAGCAAGGGCAAGACAGGATACCTTAAGGAAATCAAGGCCGAGGAAGACACGATGACGGTTGACAAAGGATGAATCAGCCAATAAATCGGCAGCGGAAGATTTGCCATCATGAACACGGGCCACTTGACGGTGATAGTTGGGCAAAAGACAGATGCCTTGAAGAGCGGTTATCGCAGCGGGTACTACCATCAATGTGGTGACACAAGGAGGAACATTGACACCTGGTCTATTGTAGTAAATATAAAAAATATCTAAAGATACCATGGCACTCACCACATCCAACTTGCTAATCATACTCATACGATAATCCTTCAACATCAATTGCTGATTATCCGTTAAAAAAGGTAGATGACGAAGGATTGGACCTTCCACCCAACTTAAATGCACATTGAGGGCCAATCGACCCATCGTCGTTACCAGGACACCCACGGCTAATGCTCGGGAAGCTGTGTTATTCCATACTTTACAATGTGCAAGTGCTTGTACTGCTGCTGCTGGTAAGATGATTTTGACTGTTGAATAGGGATCACGCAAAAAATGATCCACTTGGAAACCACAACAACTCATTTGAATGAATAGATTATAAAATATAAAAATGAACTAAAAAAAAAAAAAAAAAAGGATGATCATAATATATGATGATGAACTTGTTTTTTCCTATGAGAGACATCAGACCTCGGATGTTTCTGTTATCCACTCCAAGCATAATTTATTTTTTTCATGCTGCCCAAAAAAAGAAAAGAATCAAAAAAGTCCATCCGGGTTCATACATTTCAAAAACCGATTTCCTGAATTGGGATTTTTCTATTTGAGGAACAAGTCAAAACAACTTAGTCTTCATTCTTTTACGTTTCTTTTCTTTTTTTCTTTGTACTTTTTTTTTTTTATTGTTATTATTATAATTGTTGTTGTCATAATACATTACCCCTTCTCCCTATTTCTCACCCAACATTCTATTTTTTACTTTTAAACATAAAGAACCACAAATGTCAAAACGTGCTTCCTTTTTACCTTCTGCTGCCTCACAACAACCAGTGGAAGATACAGGTAAACCCGGTTAACTAATCAACGAACAAACTAAACCAAATAATATATATTTACTTTTTTTTTTATTATTTTGAAAATAGCACGAATCATGGATAAAGCCTGGGAAGTCATTCAACAAAAAAGTAAAAAAAAAAGAAAATAAAAAAAAAAGTTATATATATACTCTCTTATTTTATAGACTTGGACATTCACACTTTTCTTTTCTTTATCATGTAGCTTTTACAAAATGGTAATCAATCCGGAACTTTTTTTTTTTAATTCTCCATTGACATTTGTCTTTTTTTTCTCGGTTTCATTTAGGGCTAACAACAAGCTGGATATTCGAGGTGTACCACATATACAAAACTTGGTAGATGATTTTGCTACTGGCGTAAAATTGATTCAACTTTTGGTAAGTATGACAATATGAACAAAGAAAAGCTATCAAGATTGAGTATTCTTTTTTTTTTTTAAAAAAAAACAGGAAATTATTGGTGATGCTTCTGTAGGACGATATAATAGAAACCCTCGTATGCGTATTCAATTTGTGGAAAATTGTAATTTGGCATTAGAATTCATCAAACAACGGGATATACCTTTGACCAATATTGGTGCTGAAGGTAATTATATTAGAAAACTTAGATATATATAAATATTCATCATTTTTCTCTCTCTCTCTTTTTTTTTTCTTTCTTTCTTATCAGATATTGTTGATAAGAACTTGAAATTAATTTTAGGGATGCTTTGGACGATTATTCTACGATTTACAATGGCAGGGATCAGGTAATCATGAAATTAATAAAACTTATGCTGTTGTTGACTTATCTGGTACTATTCATATTATTATTCTTTTAGTGAAGAAGGAAAGACCGCTAACGAAGCACTCTTACTATGGTGTCAAAGAAAAACAGCACCTTATCATGAAGTCGATGTGAAGGATTTTACATACAGCTGGACTGATGGATTAGCATTGTAAGTAAAAAAAAAAAAAAAAATAGATGATATACAAGAAGAAGAAGAAGAAAGCAAGGTTGGATACTTATATTTTACCATCAGTTGTGCTTTGATTCATCGCCATCGACCCGATTTATTAGATTTTGACTCTCTAGACAAAAATGATCGACATGGCAACACAGCATTAGCATTCAATGTGGCAGAAAAACATCTTGGTATTCCTCAATTACTCGATGTAGAAGATGTATGTGATATTTCCAAACCTGATGAACGATCTGTGACGACCTATGTGGCAGAATATTTCCATGCATTCTCAGCTCTGGATATGGTAGAAACAGCAGGACGACGAGTGGCAAAATTTGCAGAAGTCATGGCATCAGCATGGCAAATGCGTCATGATTACGAACGACGGGTACTGGCTTTGATGGATGCAGTATTATTGACTCAACGTGAATGGCAATCTACCTTATTGACGGATAAGTACGCAGCAACGAAGCAAAAGGGACTGGAATTTAATCATTACAAGAATACTCAGAAACGGGAATGGGTAGCTGAAAAACGGGAAATCGACTCATTACTTGGGAATATTCAGACAAAGCTCAAGACTTATAATCTCAAACCATATTATCCTCCTGATGGCCTGACTCTATTCGTAAGTAGAAAATGGAAAAAAAAAGAGACCAAGCAAAAGTAAAACAGAGACTGATTCTTTATTTTTCTTTTTAGGATTTGGACAATATATGGAAAGAACTTCTACAAAATGAAGCCATTTATCACCGAAGCATCAATAGTAAAATTAGAGAGTAAGTTTGATAGTATATGTTTGAAATATGTCAATAGAAATCCAAGGTACTCATACCAATATATAATATATTATGTTAGGATCAAGGAAAACCTACGAAAAGCATATGCGCAAGCGGCCAATGATTTTCAGCAACAATTGGACAGTATTTCTTCAGCACAATCTTTGCTAGATGGAGATCTTAATGTAAGTACAGTCTAGAGACATGATAATAAAAGAAATATCCGATATTTACTGGTTTTTTTTTTTATTTTATATATCTAGCAACAACTACAACGTCTGCGTGATCTACAAAATAGGACTCAACTCCTTGAAAGCAAGTTACAAAATGTACAAATCCTGAATCAAGCTTGCGTGGATGCCAATACGGAAGAAAATGATTATACAGTATATTCTGTGGAAGATTTGACTTTTGGACTAGATTTGCTACAACAAGCCATACAAAAGAAAAATGCATTTATCCAGAATCAGGTAAAATGGAAAAGTATATATAACTATAATATTCACTTTTATTTATGTTGTAGATCGTATCTCGCAATATGACAAACTTGACACCAGCACAACTGGAAGAATTTGAACAGGCATTCCGACATTTTGACAAGGACAACAGCAATACATTATCAGCAACGGAATTCAATGCAGCATTGGCAAGTCTTGGCATCTTTTATGATGATGATGCATTTGATCAAGTCTTTAGTCGTGTGGCTGATCGACAAGAACAAGCTTCCTTTGAACAATTCATTCGTTTTATGGTGTCAGTAACCGAAGATAAATCCACTCCTGAACAACTACGCGACGCCTTCCGAACAATAGCAGGGGATAAACCTTATGTGACTGAATTAGATCTTAAGATGTGCTTGGTACCTGAAGAAAGTATCGAACTTTTAAAACATGATATGCCTCATACTTCCTCTTATGGTCAAGTTAATAATGGTGGTGATGCTCTGGAATATGATCAATACATTGATCAAATGTTTAGATAGATCCATCTTTTTTTTTTTTTTATTTTTGATAGAATAGTTTGTTGTCTATACCAATCATTCCCTTCATAAATCAATTACAGCAATAAATGTTTTTTTTCCTCACTCGACATTTATTATTCTTTTGTTGAATACTCAGGAGAATTTGATTTAGATGCATACAAAGAAGCGTTGCATACTAGTCAATGGTACTAATCAACTGTGAACAACGCATGATATATATAATTCAAGAGAGAAATCAGAAAATAAATATCATCAAAAGGAAGGAAGATTAAAAAAAAAAAAATAGAGATGAATCAAAAAATCAAAATTTATTGAAGGAAAAAAAAAATCAAAATAAATAATAAATGGTCTAAGTAAAATGGTAATAAGAAGAGATTATAAAAAAAAAAACAAGGTTTACAACCATTCTTTAAATAAACATATATATATTCGCTTGATAACTTGAGTCAACAAAAAGTAACCAGTAATAGCAGATACCAGGAATCCAAAGTACCGAGCAGGCATATGTTCAAATTGTAATGTAGAACCAAGAGGAGTATAAGGAAGAGCCAGACCAATGGCCACCACCAAAAGAGAACAAAGAGCCAATGGAAGAGCAGGATTACGTTGCAAGAATGGAATTTTTTGTGTACGGATCATATGCACAATCAATGTTTGTGTGATCAAGCCCTCATAGAACCAACCCGTTTGGAAAAAGTTAGCTTGCGTGTCAGGGTCTCTGAAATCAAAGACGTACCATAGAATCAAGAAGGTATAGATATCAAACACAGAGGAAAGAGGGCCAAGAAAGAGCATGAATCTGAAAATATCCTTTGCCTTCATTTCGTGAGGAGATGCTAAAAATTCCTTGTCCACATTATCCCAGGGAATAGCTATTTGAGAAATATCGTACAACAAATTTTGTGCCAAGATTTGATTTGCTTGCATGGGTGTAAAAGGTAACCAGGCTGAAGCGACCAACATGGAAAAGACATTACCAAAGTTTGAAGAGGCTGCCATCTTGATGTACTTGATTGTATTAGCATGAGTCATTCTTCCACGGACAATCGCACGTGTAATCACTTGTAATGATTTTTCCAAGAGTACCAGATCAGCTGCATCCTTTGCCAATGGTGTCGCTGTATCCACACTAATACCAACATCACTTGCAGTCAAAGCCAGTGCATCATTGATACCATCACCAAGAAAACCAACTGTATTTCCTTGTCGTTGTAAGGAATTGACAAGTGTGCATTTTTGAATAGGTGTCAACTTTGCAAATACCGTACATCGAAGAGCTGCTTCATCAAATTCTTCATGAGTCATCTTATCCAAAACTTCACCAGAGATCGTATTGGTCACATCCAATCCAACTTGTTGACATACTTGTTTGGCCACAGCAAGAGAATCACCGGTTAATACCTTGACATTCACATGATAATTGGCAAAATCTTGGATCGCATCACGACAATCAGGTTTAGGAGGATCCAAAAAGGTTACAAATCCAAGGAACGTCATATCACGTTCGTCATATTCAAAGTTGTAAGGGCGACCAACAGGGAAGATAGTACCATAAGCAACGGCAAGGACACGAAGACCACTTTCATTCAATTCTTCACACACTTTCAATAGGCGAGATCGTTCTTCATCAGTCATTGGTTGATCACCATCATCATCGTCATTTTCGTTGTTTGTCTTGTAATGGCGAACCTGACTACATACTGAGAGCATTTCTTCTACAGCACCTTTGCAGACAATTATCGATTTTCCACATGACTTGGAACGTAAAATCACAGATAAACGACGACGAACAAAATCAAATGGGAGTTCTTCAATTAATTCATAGGCGTCATCCAAATGGGCAAGTTGATCATCGTAGCGTTCAATAGCAGTATCCAAAACATTCTTGAGACCATTAGCAAAATGAGAATTGAGATAAGCATATTCCATCACTTGTCCATTGGGATTTTTATGTCCGTCCAAAGAACTATGCACACTAACATTATCAGTTGTCAGAGTGCCAGTCTTGTCACTACATCTATAATATTCAAAAAAAAAAAGTCAATCATCGTTCTGATTTTTTTTTTTTTTTTGATCATCATTTATTACTTACAATACATTCATAGAACCAATGGTTTGAATAGAATCCAATCGACGAACAATTGTCTTATGTTTTGCCATTTCACGAGCACCATAAGCCAAATTTGTATTAAGAATCATAGGTAGCATTTCAGGAGTAAGACCAACCAAGATGGATATACCCATATAACCAGCAGCAACAAAATCATGAGCAGTAAATCCATTGATAACAATAACAATAGGAACCATGACAGCACCAAAACCAAGTAAAAGGAAAGCCACCTTACGAATCTGTTTCTGGAATGCATTAACACCTTTCATATCATCGGTTTGCAATGTTTCCGAGATCATATTGATATATGTCTTACTACCAGTAGAAAGTACAACAGCTTCACCAGTACCAGATATCACGCTTGTTGACATGTAACAAAGACAAGGCGTATCAAAAATACTTGTATTGAGAGTAGAACTTTGTGGTGTAGTAGTTGCAGGAATGGCCTTGTCAGAAGAGGATTCTTGAGAAGATTTGTTTAGAATACCTTGTACTTCATCGAGGGTAACAGTAATAGCATCATTGCCATGTTTTTCCACAGGTAAAAATTCACCAGTAAGAGCAGATTGAGAGACAAAAAGATTCTTACTTTCAATAATGAAACAATCACCAGGAAATACATCACCAGGTTTCAAAATCAGTATATCACCCGGCACGACATCTTTCACAGGAATTTCTATTTCTTGACTTGTACCATTGATAACGCGAGTGACGCGGGCCTTGACTTCAACCAATTCTCGCATAGCCTTGAAGGAACGTTGAGAAGAATATTCTATCATCAAAATATAAAATAAAAATATGAGGTCAGTTTTTTTTTTAAAAAAAAAAAATAAATAAATAAACAAAGTATATTATTTTCATTTTTTCTTACCTTGATAAAAAGCTAGAGTGGATGAAAGAAGAATCATGGCAAACGTGAAACCAAAAGTGACATTGTCTCCAGAGGCAGCAATAGATACAATACCAAGAAGAGCCAGAAGGATATTGAAGGGATGAATGAGAGATTGAATAACCAAACGCCAAGCAGGAGTCAACTTGGAGCGAGTAAGTTCATTGGGACCATGAATGGCAAGACGCGATTTGGCTTCTTCATCAGTCAAACCAGTACGAGTGCAATCCAAAATATCCAGTACAGCAGGCCATGTCAAAGGAATATACTTTTCCAATTCACGTAAGATGATTTGTTCTTGTTCTTGGGCACCTTTAACAGAGACATGTCGACGTCCTAAGAAAAATGTTTGCAAACGATACTTGAGATACTTAAATTTTGAGAGTGCATGAGCAGGAGGCGATTCATTTTCTGAGTCTATTGTAGTGGTATTTTTGATATCAGGAATCGTAATGACTTCCACATCTAATAAATATATATATATAAAAAAAAAGTGAATCCAATGTATATTATTATATAGTAGACTCTCCATCTTACCAGTTGCAAAGCGATGACGATTTTGACCGTAGAAGTTGTTTTGTTTTGTGTTTTCCGAATGAGTAATGGAATGAAGCGAGGGAGTAGTCATGTTGGTGGGATTTGTTTGTTTCTTGTCGTGGGCAGTGTTGGTCATTTTTTGTTCTGTCTTTTAACATCTAGATAATAAAAATATAATAAATGAATTGAGTATCAATATCAAACACGAAAAGTATTCATTCTTACGAGACGAGAATGATATCTTAAGGTGGCTTGGTACTGTCAGAGAGAATAACAAGGAGTTCCATATATTGATTCAGTTGAGGTTTCTTCAGTATAATGAAAAGAGCTTTTTTTTTATTTTTCACTAGAGAAAAGAAAAAGAAAAAAAAGCAAATAAAGAAAAGAGGGAAAAAAAGAAGAAATCGATCGATCGAACCCTTCCTTTTAAGTACATGGTGAATTGAATATCCGCCAGATCGAGCCTTTTCTTTCTTTTTTTCCTTTTTTTCCTTTTTTTTTTTTTTCTTTTTTTTTTTTAGTAAATCGCGCATACAGTATTTATCCTTTTTGCCGCAGTACTTCGGAAAATGCCATATACGCTGTACATCTATGCCTTTTTTTTCACATCATCATTTTAATATCTTCTTAACTTTTGATGTTTTTACTGCTGCCACTTTCTACTCAGTACCTTTGTTTATATATGTTCATTTTTAAAATCCCTTTAGATCTTTTATTACTTATTCATTTCGAACATTTGACTACATTTGATTATGACAATAAAGTGCTGTATGAGGCATTTTTTTTTTTTTTGGTACCTTATCCTATTTCCCGTCAAATAGACTTTTAGATTTTTCTTTGATCTAAATCTACTTCCAAATCAGGATAAAAAAATACTTTTATTGGTGTGTGTGTTTGAAACTCCTTAGTATGCATCTCTTTGCTATCATCTTTATCAGTTATCAATGCCATCGCCACGTGCGAGATCAAGATATAACAAAATGAAAAACCTTCTTTAGTATTTTTAAATAGAAAGATGGAAAACATGGAAGTGGTTAGTAAGCTTTATTTTTGGCAAATTTCGAAAATGATTTTTCCATTTTTCTTTTGAGAATTCTTGTTGTCATCATCACCTCTATTTACGATTCAAAGTCTCACTGTATCTTTTTTTTTTTTTTTTTTTTTTGCTGTACAGGCAAAATAAAAGATAAATACTGATGCAACATACTTTTCAATTTAGTTTTGGTTGTAAAAGAAAAAAAAAAAAGGAAATCTGTCCTCTTTGTTCATCCTGCATTCAAGCGAGAGAGTAAACTTTGATTTTTCATTTCATGCTCAAAAATAATCATCATGGCACCAAATTTGGACTGAACATAAGTGAAACTTTTCTCTTTCAATTGCATTAGTAACAATTTGTATCTTATCTCCCAATTTGTAGAGTAAATAAAAAAAAGTAAAAATGAAAATATTCATCTCTTATCCAATAGTGATCATCATCCAAATGAAACCATCACCGTTGAATTCCTCTCAAAAAAAAAAAAATAATCTAATATCATCTAAATATCATTTTATCGCTTATCCTGATACCTGATGTGCAACAATCACCAAAAAAGATTTCATCGATTTTTCCGAAAATCGCCTGGTAACCCCCCGAAGATTGACTTTTACAGCCAAAATTTGGCAGAGGAATTCGAAAGTCTTGGCTGTAAAATCAAAAAAATCGATCCCATTTTTTTTTCATCCCTCCAAACCTTAAACTCTTTTTACCATTAGAAGCACTATTAAAAAGTAGCTTAATAATGAATAATGACATTTCATTGGTTAATTTGCTCAATAATGAGAAAAAGCCATTTAAAAAAAATCGAACCATTGTCTTTTGTCTATAATATCAAACGATATTTTATATTTTTGTAAGTTCACTCAAGAATTACATTAGATCTATTGATAGATGATCAAGTATATCACAAGATTAAAGAAAGAATCTTCAATAAAATGGAGGATAAGAGTATGTTTTATTAGTTAATTATTAGTTTTTAGTAGGAAAAATTAGGAGTGAATAGGTTATATTAAAGTAAAAAAAAAAAAAAAAATTTACATGATTAATATCATCTTCCTTTTGGGGATTGATTCAACCAAACTGAGTCATCTGATGGTTTTCTATCATTCTGAGACAAAGGTTGTCTAGTTTTAAAAACAGATGATTCTCTCTCACGAGTAGTGGCGGCGACAACAGGACCCGCTGCTGCATGAGTTTGGTTAGTAACGAACTGTTGATCTTGACTTGTGCAGGTGATATTGGAATCATTCGCCAAAAATAGTGATGGTGCTGATCTTGATGCAATGCTTGGTTTACGTGACACTGTGTCTTGATGATGATGATGATGATGGTAACAATGAGAATGATGATGATGTTGTGGTAGTTGGATGACGGTTGGAATCAAGGTAGTGGCATCAGAATGGATTTTGGAAAGAGGTTGGGTATTAAAAGAAGGTGCATAATTTGATTTGACATGAGTCATAGTGTTGGTGTTGCTGTAAGGTGCAGTCGAAGAAGTAGATGATGTGATAGTGGTAACAAGTTCTTCATGCTGATGATTAACTAAACTAGGATGACGATCTGAACGACCGCTGATGGGAGTAGTATGTGGTCGGTGATGACTATTAATTTGACCTTCATTTGGTTTTTTAGGATGGAAAATCAAGATGACCACAGCCCAGACGACGATGGAAGAAACATTAGCTAGTTTGGATCAAGAGAAAATAAGTTAGTGTCAGTTGTGGTTGAGTAAAAAAAAAAAAAAATTATCCCTCTTGTCAAAAGAAAGGGAATATTGATGGATGATGGATGATATGTGATGATGGATGATATGTGATGATGGATGATATGTGATGATGGATGATATGTGACGATGGATGATATGTGATGATGGATGATATGTGATGATGGATGATGGATGATGGATGATGGATGATGGATGATGGATGATGGATGATGGATGATGATGGATGTTATGTGATGATGAATTTTAGGTGATAACGAATAAAAAGAGGGAGAAAAAAAAAAAAAAAGAAGGATGTATAATAGACTTACTGTTACAAATGAGGAAATCAGAAGAAAATTTGTGAACGTTGAGAGATTTTTTTCCGGTCAAACCATCTGAACAAAGAATGATTAATGGAATAGAGTAAAAGAGAAGGGCGATGGTTAATATAAAATTCAACTCCTGAAAATAGGAAATCTTGTTGTTAACGTAGCGAGAATTCATCGCATGTTTAGAGTTTCGTAACAGGTTATTAAAACGATAATGAGAACGGATACCAAGAATGGCAATGATGAAAAGTCCACATCCATATACTAGTTCAGGCATGACTTCTTTATACGTATAATCGTATACATTGCGTGAGAAGTTGAATTGAAGAATCGGAAAGAGAAACATAGTCAAGCATGACCTATTTATTATAGATGATAGATGGATGATTATCATTGCGAATAAAGCTTTCCTTTTTTTTAAAAAAAAAAAAGGTTTACCATATGATGTATAGTTTGAACTCCTTGCTACTCATAAAGTTTGCTTGAGCTACCGAATTAGCAAGATAGTTCCAGAAGCATTGCAATAACAATAAGGTACCACTATTGACATTATGAGTATAGATGAATAAAAAAAAAAAAAAAGAAACTTTTTTCTTTTTTTGGATACTTACGTTTGCAGGGAGAAACCAATGCATAAACTATAATCTATTGCAAGGAAAAAAAAAAAAAGAAAGGAGTAAGTGTAACCATCAGGTGAATAACAACGATTCACCATCATTTATCTATTTACCTTACCTGTTGGCACAATGAGATCTTTATCTGCTTGTGTCCACATGGTTTCAGGTTTGCCGAAAATATGATTAAAAACGCTTACAAAGCCTTCCTCGTATTTGACTCTGCAAGAGGTGATTTCTATAATGCATTGACATTAGTTTTTAATTTGACATCTAGATTTTTTTTTTTTTTTTTTACCATATATTAATTGAAAAGGGATCATAAAAAAGAGTAATAGTGTTACGATGCCTTTTAATTCGCCTTGTCTAAATTTTGATATGCGAATACATTGAAATCCATCCAAAGACCATACTCGATATGAATACCAAATGAATAAATAGGATAAAGAAGTAGCTCTTTGTAAGAAGCTATAATCACTTAGGTGAGTCATTTTAAAATCAATGTATGAAATATCACAAGTATGATAGATAAAAGAAAAAGAAAGAAAAAAAAAAAAGGAATGAGTCAAGTATGGTTTTTTTTTTTTTTTACTGCTGTAAGAAGAAAGAAAGAAAAAAGGTAATTAACCCCTCCACAGATATAGATTGTAGAATAACTGCAGGGAGATGGTCACTGAAACGGGAACATGATGAAGTTTATTTTTTTAAAGTATAACCTATTATGGGTAAGTATGACGACGATGATGAGGAGAAAATATTTTTTGTTTTCTTGCATCGAATAATGTGTAATATATTATATAATATAAATGAAAAAGGAGGATGATTCTTTTTTTTTTTTCGGCGGCGGTAATCCGATCAGTAAAAGTATGTCCATGTTTAATATAAAAGGAGATGATGTGCTAAGGGGGGGGATGATGGGGAGTCTGATGGATAAAGGTTTTGTGGATGCTCGTGTGGAGAGGGGGAAGAAACTATTCTTTCATTGATCTTTTTAAGTTTCTATGCCGAAGTGTCCGATTCTCTTATATGGTTACTAATGTCACATTTGTGTGCGAAACTGGCTGACAAAAGAAATCCTTATTATATATAGTCCGCCTTCTTTTTTCCAATTTAAACAACAGCAGTTCTTTTCCTTCTCTTTCTTTCTTTTTTTTTTTTTTTTTTTTTTAATACATACACTTTGGAATAATGTCGAATGAAGGACAAAAGACTTCAGCTATACGGTCTGGGTAAGCTTTTTCTTTTTATTTTTTGTTTTATTATACATCCACTCCTTCATCACCCTTTGTTTCCCCTTGCCACCACCAAACTTGGTAGTCAACACTTTCCCGAGTTGCCTCTTATTCCCCTTTGCTCTCATCTTCTTTTTATCCAAAACCATCCCCTTTGTTACCCTTTTTTTTATAGTTTTTTTTTTTTTTTGTTAGTATTAGTGTATTCAAACTCTGTATTCATATCTCCCTCATTACCTAAACCAAAGAAACGGAACGAATGACTCATTATGCATCCTTTTTTTTTTTTTTCTTCGTCATAGTCATGAAATAGATATTGCTACCTTGGAAACTTTTCTCGTCGAACGAATCCCCAACTTCAGTCGACCATTACATGTTTCTCAATTTGCCTTTGGTCAAAGTAAAGTATACATACTTGTCATTTATTCTTTTCAGTTTCCCATATTGATCTCCGAGTTTTTGACCTCCCTTTTTTCTTTTATAGGCAACCCTACTTATTTGTTAAAAGACGGAAAGTAAGCGAACGAAGGGTATATATATAGAAGGTGTTGTTAATGTGTTTTCACTTTGTTTTCTAGTCAACAACAATATGTACTTCGCAAGAAACCTCCTGGTGCTCTTTTATCCAAGACAGCTCATGCTATTGAACGTGAATATCGTATCATTAATGCTCTTGGTCAACATTCTGATGTTCCTGTTCCAAAGGTTTATGCTCTTTGTGAAGATGCTAGTGTGATTGGAACACCCTTCTATGTATGTTATGAAAAAAAAAAAAAACAGATATAGAGAAGGAGGGGAAGAAAGGGACTGAATTAGTATCAACATCAGCATCCATTGATTTATTCATCTTCATCCTTTTTTTTTTATCTATGTTTTATCTTTAATAGGTTATGGAGTTCTTAAAGGGCCGTATCTTTGAAGATGTTCGTATGCTGTCCTTACCTTATGAAGATCGCAGGCAGTGGTAAGTTAAATATATTTTTTTTTTTTTTTGTAATGGAATCTATTAACAACGAATATTAATCATCTATATACTCTTTCTCTCTCTCTGTATAGCTGGTATTCTGCATTGGAAACTTTGGCTAAATTACATCGCGTTGACTTCAAAGCAATTGGGTTAGAAACTTATGGTCGTAATTCTGGTTTTTATGAACGCCAAATGAAATCACTTCACAAGGTTTCTTCTGCACAAGCTGCTGTAGTGGATAAAGATACAGGTATCAAGGTCCATGATCTTCCTCGACTGGATGAAATGTTCGCATGGTTCAAGAAAAATCAACCCAAGGATATTGCCACTATTGTTCATGGTGATTTCAAGGTATATCATCCAAATGATAAAAAGAGAAAGAAAAAAAGTTAAAGTAATATTTTTGTTTTATTTTTGATATTCATGAAATGATGTATTTTATTTTTATTAGATTGATAATCTTGTCTATCATCCTATTGAAAATCGTGTGATTGGTGTTTTGGATTGGGAATTATCAACTATCGGTCATCCATTATCTGATTTAGCAAATCTGCTTCAACCTTTCTATATTCCTGCTTCTGATTCTGGATTCAAGGATATGAAAGGACCTCTTCCTATACCAGATTCCCAAGAACTGATGCAAGTGTATTGTCGTTATAGTCAACAACCTTTCCCCATTCCTCAGTGGATGTTTGCTGTAGCTTTTTCTCATTTCAGGGTAAGCCTTGTGTGTGTTTTTTTTTTTAGAGTATTACATATATATATACGTATGTGCGTGTGATCTTCAGACTTACCAAACTACTTTTTTTTATTTATTTATTTATTATATGATAGTTGGCTGTCATTACTCAAGGAATTGCTGCTCGTGTCGCTCGTAAACAAGCTTCTTCTGCTCGTGCCATTGAAGTTGCAGGCAAGTCTATACCTATGGCAAATCTCACCCTGGAAATCGTGGATCAAGGTGATTTAGTTAATGATAATAGTAGCAAACTTTAGATGATTTATTTCTACTACCCCTTACCATTTGTCGTTGTTTTTTTATATTATTTCCCTATATTTTATCACCCAGTTTTATGATCTCGAATTAAACTATTTTTATAATGTTGACCATGCTTAAATGGACTTTATTTGACGTTGACCATCTATGTTTCAAATTTATGTTGATTTATATTAGTATGGTTGATACAAATTATACTGTGGGTGTACATCGACGGTCTTCTTGTCATAATATTTGATGACACCTATGATCATGAAGATCATGATAATGTTTTATATAGTAAAGATAAAGAAAAAGAAAATTGTATTGACAGTGAGATAAAATGGGGATGGCCATGTGAAATAATCGAATACTTTTGATTCTCTCACCACTACAACTGGTTGGTTACAAGTGTATAACATGACAAGGATTGTTGAATAGTTCTAACTATATAAATGTAAATCGGTATGTTCTTGGTAACGTCAATCATAAAAGGTACACACATAAAAAAAAAGGTATCATCAGGATTCATTCTTTTTATTTATTTTATTTTCACATGTAAAGTAGTCAGTATATAATAACAAAAGTGTTCAATGGGATGGGGACAATCTAAAAAAAAAAGCTATGTGGAAATATACTAACAAAACTAACTATAATATGCCTTTCAAAGCTATTGCTCCACTAATCAAAGACATCACCTTGTCCATATTTGCTGATTGGTTGCCCAGTTGATAATACTAAAGACAAAGACAGATTGATTATTAAAAAAAATGAGTAAATGAGTATCTACGCTTTTATTTTTTTTTGTGTGTGTGTGTGTGGGTCAGGAGAATGATCATCCATCTTATTTGTCTTTACCTTTTGTATTTTCTTCATATCTCTCCATTGATCAAGCAAATCCAGTGATACAAGTTCCCCTTGAATGTTCTCACGCATGAATGATTCCACCTATAAGAAGAAAAAGAGAACAAGTAAGCTTTACCACTGATTTCTTTTCATGCTTTTTGTTTTTTTCTTGTCTTACCTCGGAACTGGACCCGCCCACTTTGATCACCAGTAATTGTTGTGATTGATCATTAATACCATATCGTCTTAAAGATTGTGCGATCTAAAAAAGAAAAAAAAAAGGCAAAGAAAAATGAAGTAGACAAATATATAAAGACAAAAATCAAAAGAGTATTAACAAACTTACGTTGACTGAGGACGAAAAATCAAACACAATTTCAGAGTGAATATTATGTGTTTTCAATTGATTCCTTTGCAAGTCATGAATAGCACGATTGACAGCTAACAAAGCGTGTAGTCGATTGAAGACCTAATAAAATAAGATATAGAAAAAAAAAAGGATGACAAGATTGATTAATGCTTATTAAACTCGAGTTTATAACTGTCAAATATTCTATTTCTTTTACTATAGTGGCATCAACCAGGGCACACATCAAAGTGGTATCTTGTTGTAATAATCGTTGACGTAGTTGTGTAGCATTGGTAACTTTGTCGAACAAAGCCATATGAATAGGGCCTACTTCAGGATAAAGATCAATAGTGTGTGATTCCATGTTTTATTTCTAAAAAAGAATGAATGAGGGGAAAGTAGCAAGAAAAGGAAAGAAAGAACAAAAAAAAAAAAATCAAGCTCGTGACTCCCCTATTACAATCCACAGATGCTTATGGCGGTTGTTGAATTGATTGAGTCTCACAGACTTGGAAAAGTAAGAAAAATGGATCATCGGTAACATGTGTTAATAAGATTTTACAAAAGTCAATGCGTTCCAAGCTAATCTATTTATCATTTTTATCATTTTTCTCTACTTTTTATCATTGTTATTATCGTGAGAACTATCAAGTGGGGTTAGCATAGTAATAAAAGATCTATGGTAACCAGTGATGATAAAATACAAATGACACAGATCATTGTGTTCCGTAAAGTAGAACATAAACAAATACTACATGACCTTGTGGAATCTCTTTTATTTTCTATTTTATAAAAGAAAGAATAAGTCCATGATTCCTTTTCTTTTTTTTCTTTTAACTTCCTTTTTTTCATTCAATTGAACCTACTCTGTTTTTTTTATATATAATTGTTATGAATATCGCCAAATTACTATTACCAATAACAGAATCATCCTATTCAATGAATAATACTTCCATTACAACTAAAACTGTCACCAAGAAATATCATTGTTCGTGGCCCAATTGTTCAAAATCATTTGGTAAGGCTATGCCACGAAGTAGCGGAATTTGAATATTTCCTTCTTTTGTATCAATTGCTTTACATAAATTCTTTTTCTCTCTTTCTTTTATTCTTCTTTTCAATTTAAAAATCAACAGGAAGACCTTCTGATGCTACTCGACATTATCGTATCCATACCAATGATAGACGTTTTGTATGTGATTTTCCTTTTTGTGGCAAACGTTTTATACAGGTAAACATGACAGTTCGTACATCCTAACTCTGTACTTTCAACTCCTTTTTTCTTTTTCTCCCTCTCTCTTTTTTTGACAATGTAGAGATCAGCTCTAACAGTACATTTACGAACACATTCAGGTGAACGACCTCATCAATGTGAATTTATTGGTTGTTCCAAAAGTTTTAGTGACTCCAGTTCCTTGGCAAGACATAGGCAAGCCAAAAAAAAAAAAATGGAGTGTCTATACTTTACAGAGAAAAAGAACGGAAACGAATTGATAGATTTACCTTTTTTTTTTTTTCTCTTTGGTTAACGTTATTGTTAGACGAACTCATACAGGCAATCGACCATATCGATGTAGAAAATGTAACAAGACATATACAAAGAAATATTTATTAGTTTGCCATACACGACGACGACAACACTGTGACACTCCCCTACAGGAACAAGAACGACAACCAGTGTTGGATTCTGCAACACCAACAGAGGAGCCCGTGTATTACCATCGAGGGACAACGAACATTCTTCAATCTACATATCAGCATAGTAAACCCTATTCTACTTCCGTGTCACCTTCCTCCACAACATTGATTACCACTGCGTCAATGATATCATTACCTTCCTTGTCTTCAGCATCATCTTCGTAGCCTTTTTTTTTTTTTTTTTACATATCCTCTTATATATAGTGATATTAGTGTTTTAGTGTTTTAGTTTATTGTATGTTTTATCATTGAAATAAAGGACGTTTAGAGTATAACTTTATTCCATTGTATTCATATACTCAATGGGTTATGGAATACCTTTTATTATTATTTAGATTCATTTGGCTGCGCTTGTGTAATCCTCATTATACAAATAAGTATAAATTCTGTGAACAAGCCCATGCTTCTACATTTAAATTTGCTAGAGGTAATTAGATACAGTGTGCTTATTCTTTTTATTTCTCGTCAACCGTTACCCAAGTGTGAGACGACTCAAGTGTAACCCATGACGATGTGCTGCCTACAAAGTTCATCCGTTCCGCATTTTCGATAGATATCTACATATTAATTGCCGCCTTGGCCAACACCATCGTTATCATCCCTTAAATATATCATCATCCGCCCTCTATCATCATCATCATCATCATCATATATCATCCATGGTATACCATCATCCATCATCACGTATTTTCTATCACCCATCATCATATATTATCCATCACCCATCATCATATATCATCCATCATACTATCAAAAACAACACAAAAATAGCATAGTTTCATCAATATACATCAGTAGATGAGGACAATCAACGATCTATCCTATCATAATGAAGTGGGATAGAAAAGGGGAATGAGCACGAAGGAAAAGATTCTGGACTTAAAATCATCCATAAACTCTATGTGATTTTTTTTTGTGGGGTAAAAAAAAAAAAAAAAACAAACAAAACAACAAAAAAGTAAAAGTAAAAAAAATTTTCCAAATGTCGCGATACCAAAAAAAAAAAAAAAAAAAAAAAAAAAGAGGAAGGACAAGAAAGAAGAGTCTATTCAGGGACAAACTTGTACCAATGACGTTTTCGGAAGTAAATCAAATTGTATCACCTTTTTGGTATGAAGAGCTTCCTATTGGTGCATCTTCCTTGATGAACTCTAAAAAAAAAAAAAACTAACTTTGCGGACAATATATATATATATTTTTTTTCAAGATGCTTAAAAAAGAGAGAGAGAAATGCTTTAATATATAACAATTGCTTAGGAGATTAAAAATGGACTAGTATAAAAAAAGAAAAAGTGAATGATGATCTAAAATGTGGGAGGAAAAAAATGAAAAAAAAAACTAGATTATGTGGTGTGATGTTTTGATTGATGAGTGAGTGAGTGTGTGTGAGAGAGAGGAGGGGAATCTAAAATGGTAAATAAAAAAAGTATGGATTGAGATATACATAGATGGGTAGATAGGCACAGAAAAAAAAAAAAAAAGAGATAGAGAAGCGCGCGAATCCAAAGAGTAAGGTAAAAAAGCCCAGGAGCTCCCAGAGCGAAAAAAAAAAAAAAATGGAGAATGGATGGAAATCAATTTCATCATGGTAAATAAAAAATAAAAAATAAATATAAGGGCATAATCATGGTAGTGATGTTTGTCATTCAATATCAAATTGATGAACGTCTATAATGGAGTTGTTGTTCTGAATAATTTCTTTTTTCAAACGGCAGAATTAGGTTTCTTGGGACACATCCTATATAATAAAGTTCAGATTAGCTTTTTGGAAGAATTCGCGTTAAAGTAAATACTTACATGGAATAATGACCTTTTTGACCACAGTGAATGCAACGACCGTCAGACATGATGATGGATGATATATAAAGATGATATATAAAAGGAATTAAAATATATATATATATATATATGGAAAGAAAGAGTGATAATAAGTGAGGAAGAAAAAAAAAAAAAAAAAGAAAGAAAGAAAGAATCATCATTACTTATTTTGTTTGCACTATTTATATTTCTTTTAGAAACAAGCCGTAGGTACGGCATTTGAATAGTATGATGATTGCTTCGCCGATCCATGGATCCACGTGGCGCACCTAATTTCAGGTGACATCTAACTTTAATTGTTTTTTATTGTTACTGTGTCACCTTCACATATCGTATCTACCATCTGATTCGATAAAGAAAACGTCATGGTAATTTTATCCCAATATTTCTTTCTCTTTTTTTGGAACCCAAATGGATTGATTTCATTTCCAACCCATTATAACTGCTTTATAGAATAATTTTCGCGTTCTTTCATCAATATATATGGTAATCACCGCCTATCTGAGTTCAATACATTAGAAAGGTAACAACATCTACTTGATGATCACCTCATACATATATACGTATATATATAGAAGCATAGTGATATCTTTTTCTTACATGATCATCAAGTAATTTACTAATCATCATCCGTCATGGGGTATATAATTTTGCTTAGTGTGATATGTAATAAAGTGATCATTGGATCAAACTTTCTTTTTTTTTTTTCTTTCTATCTTTCTTTCTTTACACCCATGCACAATTTCCATTCATCCATCCATCCGCGGAGTACCGACATGGCGGCCAATAATTCAAGAAACGGAGGATGACTTTTTTGTGTCATTTCGGATAGCCCCATCCGTTTACTTTGTACATGTGTTCTATTATTATGCTCATTCATTAGCCGGAGTCAAATAAAAAAAAAAGTTTTTATATCATTCATTCATTAAAATCACCGCCAAGATAAGTGGCTGCCACGTTTTTCATTCATTCCACAACGATCGATTCGTGATAAAAAAAAAAAATGATTTCTTTTGTCATAACCGACATCATCCGGTCTTTTTCTGTTTGCATAAAAAAAAAAAAATATTGTTCACCACTCGTTCATTTCCATAGGTGAGACAAAAAAAAAAAATAGAATCTTTACAAACTTTATTATGACACACAATGAATGATTAATCGATAGAATACTTTTTTTTTCTCCATTCGCTTCATTCCAAAAAGAGAATAATAAACCAAAACTGTGGTAAAACTATCTGGGACACGGAGAATTTCTCATAAAGTGGATATCAGGATGATTGAAACGGAGATCATCGTACAATAAGAAAGTAGTGTATGCACTCTTAAACGTGATCTTTTTTTTTTTTTTTTTTTACCGTGTCGTCCCGTTCATGAATTGTATTCCTTCCATGATCCCATTCTATTTCCATATCGCGTCGTAATCCTGAATATAAAACTATCTTTATCTATCAAATAATATTTTTTTTATTCAAACGGAAGAAATGATGTATAAAACAAAAAAAGATCTCTATATCTAAAACTATATAGTCTAATAATAAAATATGTTGAATATAGCCACTGATCGTTATCCTTGATTTGCTTTACTCTAAATGAAGACTCATACGGTCAAAAAATAAAACAAGGAAGATGATGAGAACAACATTATTTTTCAATTCCAATACCATCTTTTTTTTTCTCTTTTTACCTTGGCCAATGGCCTTTGAGTTTGCTAATAGTAATCGCGTTTTTGTTGGCATTGTAAGTATTATGCTCCTAATAATGATGATGATTGTGCTGATTCTATTATTGGCCACGATAATGATGTTGCTCTCTTCCCTTCATCGATGGCATCTTGTTATCATTTTCATTGGTGTCATCCTCATTGGGATCTTCTTCAGTGACATTGTCATGATTGGAGTTTTAACTGTTGGAGCCTTCATCGCTGTTGTTATCTGTTGTGGTGGTCACCATTGGCATCATTTATTTTGTCCCCTGGCTTGATTGTTCTTGCTAGAATCACCGTATTTTACAGACTTATCATTTTTTTTTTTTAGAATTGGTACCATTGTCTTTGCGGATCGTTTTGTTGTTGCGATTTTCATCTAGGAATTGCACTTGACAAATTTTGCGTTCAAGAGAATGGAGCGTTTTTGTAGGCCAAACAACGAAATCAAGGAGAGATTTTCTCTTGAGTTACCTAGTGACTGATATATATATATACTGTTAGTTTTCAACTGAAATATAAGTCTTTTTTTTCAAATTACGTGAATATCCATAGCAGCAAGTCCCAAAAAAAAAAAAGAGAGAGAGAGAGAAAGAGTTGAGTGTAGAGAGAAGAAAGGGAAAGAAATAAAAAAGAATGATAGGAAAAAGTTTTCTGCATAGAGAATGGCCAACTTCAAATTCCGTCCTTCTTAATATTTTAACCGTGATCATTATTATGCTCGATTTCTTACAGGTAGCCTTTTATTTTATTTTATGAGATATGAGTTCTATATTCTATTTTATGACATATAATGATTAGATCATTTATTCGATTTAATAAAATAATCATCATTATTTGATAGTTTCAATGTAACAATATAAAAGACACTTTTTTTTATTTTCTCCTTTATTCTGTTTTTCTTTCTTCTAAAAAACACAAAAAAAAACCAATTGCTTCATTTTGTCTGTTTCCTGGTTGATGTCTTCTTCTTTCTGTTCACCTGGTCACACGCGACAGAATATTGATTCTTATTTCTTTGGTTTCCTCGTCGTTCTTGTTGTGCCTCTGGTTGTCTGTCTTTTGTGTCTTCTGTCTGTCTTCTTGCCGTTTGGATTTTTTTTTTCTGGTAAGTGCACATATACAAATAATATTTAGTTGATCATGATACTAACCATTTTTCCATTTCTTCTTTTCAACCACCGAAATGGGGGGCGAAATACGTAGATTTGAAGAAATTATAATGCTTTTATTAACTCTTTTCTTTCTTTTTTATTTTAATCTATATTATGCAAGCTGATGAGATCAATAGTATTGTTTCTAGAATATCTTCCATATGGATGGATTTATTGAAACAAAAAAACCTTACTAACTCTTTTTTACGTGAAATCAAAGCTAATAGCGACAGAGCAAATGACTACGAAAAACGCGAACTTCTGGTAATATATATAAAATATATATTTCATTCTCTCATCTCTTTCTTTTTTTTTTTTATCATATCATAGGATCAAGCTCTTGAAATCATACCTATACATTTATTGTATGAAAAAGCTCAAGAAACATGTACTTGTTTGGAAGATTTGGAAGATCAAGTTATCAAACAACTACTTATTTGGTTCAAAAACGACTTTTTCCAATGGATTAACGAACTGCCTTGTGATAATTGTATGGTAAAGGAAAAAAAAAAGCAATGATATACTAAATGAATCAAAAAAAAAACTTTTTCTTACTATTATTAACTTAGGCAAAAGATACTATTTCTGTTGGATACACTCAAGCTACTCAACAAGACCTTGACTATGGTGCTTCGGTTATTGAACTCTATCGTTGTAATATTTGTCAAGCATATAGTCGATTCCCTAGATATAAGTAAGTAACAATATCCAAAAGTTCTCAACTCATTGATTATACATAATAGTGATCCTGCCAAACTATTGCAAACTCGGAAAGGACGTTGTGGTGAATGGGCAAATGTAAGTGATATTAATAGACTCAAATTTTCAAGTTCATTAATTTTTTTTTATAAGTGTTTTACTTTATGTTGTCGTGCTATTGGTGTTGAAGCTAGATTGGTGTTAGACAAGACTGATCATGTATGGACTGAATTTTACTCAACTTTTCAAAATAGATGGATTCACTGTGATCCTTGTGAAGAAGCCTTTGATCGCGTAAGTTTCACTATTTTATTCATTCATTCTTTTTATTAACCTTTTTTTTTTTTTTTTGTATGATAATAATTATTATTCCTGTTAATAAAACTAGCCAATGATGTACACTGCAGGATGGAATAAGGAACTGACCTATTGTATAGCATTCTCGGCAGATGAAGTGGTTGATGTGACACGTAGATATGTAAGGGATTGGAAAAAGGTACAAAGTCGACGACAATTGGTAGACGAACTTGATCTAGCAAATTATATTAAGCAACTCTGTATGGATAAACAAGCATTGATGGATGCTGAACGTCGAAATACTATCAAACAACGTCAGGAAATGGAACAAAAGGAATTAGATGAAGCAAGTCGACGACCTCCCGTAGTAAAAGATAGTGAACTCCTGGGTCGACAAAGTGGTAAGAGTCAAGAATAAACTTATAGACAGAAGATTGAGTTTTTCTTTTACAAACAAACTGATCACTTTTTTTTTATTTGTAATAGGATCTATTACTTGGAGAACATTACGAGGCGAACAGGGTCAAAGTGGATTGTCATCGTCATTATCATGCTCAATAGCGGGAAAAACACCACATGATAGTGTATTTGGAAAACAAGGTAGGAAAAAAAAATTAAAAACAAATAATAATAATAATAATAATAATAATAATAATAAAAACAAGTGAACTAATTGCAGATATTAGGATTAGAAAAGCGAATGATCTTCGAAAATGCAACAATCAACAATATTCAGTTATTAGGATCAGCAAGAAGCATCATGGGATCGACAAAGAATATTTGGCGACTAACGGCAGCACAATCTTCACAATGTGGAGGTCTATTTACTCGACAACTCATTGATATATCACGCGGATTAGAAACAGAATTTGCATTTTGTATGACCAATGCTCAAGGGGGAGCTGCATACGGTGGAGCGGATGGAATGGCGTTTGTTATACAAGCAAATGATCAGGCCCAACTAGGTGAAGGTAAATAACTAGATCTAAAATACAACAATCATGCAAATGAAAATGACTGACCCTGAAAACAAATGACTAGGTGGATGCGAATTGGGTTATGGTGGAATCAAAAATAGGTAAAAAAAAAAAAAAAAAAATCGACAAGATATATATATATATGAAGCGAAAAGAAAAAACTATCTTTACTAATTCCTTTATATATAGTTTGGCCATAGAGTTTGATACATATGACAGGTAAAGAAGAAATAAATGATGATGATGATGACTATAAGGAGAGAAACTAATGTTTTTTATTTTTATTGTTATTTTTATTTAACGAATTCGGCATATATAGCTCAGATCGATGTGCTGATCCATCATCCAACCATATCAGCATTCAAGGAAGATTACACAACAACAATTCAGCACATCATGATCATTCACTCAAACATACATCAGCCATTCCAGCAATGAACAGTGGAGAATGGATTTATTGTCGTATTCGTTATTTAACCAGTGCGCGAACAATGGAAGTAGCATTGAAAGAACCATCATCATCAAACTATATCACAGTATTGACATTGGATGATTTGGATTTAAGGAAGTATATGAATGAACGACAAACATGTTGGATTGGATTTACAGCAAGTACTGGTGGATTATTCCAAAATCATGATTTACAGTGGTTATCTCTTTGTAGTTATATGTGACACCCTCCCTCTTTTATATATATATATATATATATATACCCCTGAATTTACTTATACGCTGTTGTTATTATTCTCCTTAACTTTTTTTTTTGGAAAATAAATTACTTTGTTAGATTGTATCTATATAAATATTATTATTAAGATATTAGTATATGCTATAGAATGAAAGGACTACACTTAATGACGAAGAAGGAAAAAAAAAATGAAAAAAGTAATCATATGAAACATGTTCGCAGGGTAAAAGGTCCTCTGCATAATCTGTAGTTTTGTGTTTGGTTAAGGGGAAGATGAGAATAAAAAAAAAAAAAAAAAAAAAAAAAAAAAAAAAAAAAAAAAAAAAAAAAAAAAAAAAAAAAAAGGTTGACAAGAAGAGGAGGCCCAATGATCTCGTTTTTTTTTTTTTTTCTCTTTTCTTCTTGTTCTCTCTTTTTAATTTTTTCCTTATAAATATATACATTAATCCTACGTATACTTGTATGACTTATCATTTTTATTAGACTGCTCTTACTTATAATATCTATTATTCTCAATTCAAAAATGAGGTTTTGTTCTATATTCATCAGTCTTTTTATTCTTTTGATTTTATATTCAAGTCTTAGTGATGCCTCAAGGGCTCTTCATAAACGAGGTAATTTGATACTTACAGTGAATTGATTGATACATTTAACTTTTTTTTTTCTTGTTCTCCTTTGCACCTATATAGCGGAGTCTGATTCTCAAGGTAAAAAAAAGCATGATTCGTCTTTTTTTTTTTTCTTTTTCTTTTTATTATTATTATTAACCTTCTTTATCATGTCAATCCAGTATCTCCTACACCTATTTCCAGCAATCCATTACCGTCTTCCAGCAGTCCAGTTATTATGGCAACCTTATCGTCTTCAGTCAATAATAATAGTAGTAGCAGTAGTATGGTGAACAGCACACAACAAGACAATCCTTTTGCAGGCAAGCCAACATCAGCTTCGTTTGCCAACAACATGCCTCCAGCGTACCTGACATGGAAGACACCAATCCCTAACCAGACTTTCCCACCTTTGTACAAGATTGGGGTTTCGAACATAACTTTGGCATGGACAGCCGATCCCAATGCCCTCAAAGTGCAACCGATGAATCTCACTATAGCTTTGGCCAATCCACAGAAACAGACCATTACTGCCACTATTGTTCAAGGAACGGCAACTGAAGCCTATTGGGACTTGGCCACTGTGGACACACCTTTGATGGTAGGTTATTATACTGTGCTTGTCTATGATCAACGTGGCCCCAAGGCCTTCCCAAGCCCTGGTTGGTTAATGCCCGATTCAAGACTCTTGGTAGCTTTATATAGTACTGAGGCGTATGTTGGACGATCCGATTGTAAGTGATGATAATCAGAGAATCTTGGATAGTGATAAACCATTCCTTTTTTTTTTTTTTTTTTTTTTTTTTTTAGCCATGTTTTGTCCAAGTTGTTATGTCGGTTCTGGTGAAAGTATGATCTCTTCCATGATCCCTCTTATCACTGCTTTTGGTGTAGCTATGTTGACTTCTATTTTTATTTTGGTATCACTTCTTCAATAAATTATTATTCTATTTCCTTTATAGTTCATTCATCAATATCAACTAGTATATCATGCATTGTTTTATTTTGTTAGATGAATATATATATATAAAAAAAGGGGGGGAATAAAAATATATATTTTTCAATTTTTGTTCGAGAGGTGTAAGTAGGAGGGTGTTAGGTAGATATCAACATATATATATTTTGATTTTGAAAGGGTACTATATAAAAAAAAAAAAAACTAAGAGATGGGGTAAAAAAAAAAATTCATGTACGAGAGGGTCCAGCTAGTGAATCCACAGAGCCTGGAACACGACCACCACGGAAAAGATATAACATTTCTTGTAAACCAAGTCGACCAATCTTTTCACCCGTACCTTCACCAAGGGCACCATCAGCAATAGCTTGTTTTTTACGTTGTAGTTCTAGAATACGATCTTCCACTGTATTGTTGATAAAGATACGATGCACTTCCACATCCTTTGTTTGTCCAATTCGATGTACTCGATCAATAGCTTGATTTTCTAAGGCTGGATTCCACCATATATCCATCAAGATCACACGATTCGCCATTGTCAAATTTAAACCAAGAGAGCCACATTTAGTGGAAACCAACAATACTTCCATGGCTGGGTCATTATAAAATTGTTCAAGTACTTTGGTACGTGTTGCCACAGGAATACTTCCATCGTATCGTCCAAATTTATATCCACTTGCCTTCAAAGGTTTTTCCATAATATCCAACATTGAAGTGAATTGGGAGAAAACAATGGTCTTGTCATAGCCTTTGCTTTCTTCGCGTGTCTTGGCCAAGATTTCAAGCATTGTATCGATCTTTTTGCTACTAACGAATTCTTGTACCTTCCCTAGAGATGCTTCCAATTCTTTTTCTTCTTTTGCTGCCTTTTCTTCTTTTTCTTGCTTGGATAATTCTTCAGGATTTGGCGCATATACCTCGAGAAATTTGGCCACAGATATTATTTTATCCATCACAAGTTCACCACGACAATGAGGACATGATTTCACAATACCTGTTGCTGCACTACCGCTGATATAAGCTATCAACAAACAAAATACATAAAAAAAAATAATCAGTTAAATTATACACTATGATAATAATAACAAAAATAAAAAGATCTCTGTCATTTACTTTGTAAACATTCACGACATAAGATATGACCACAACCAGATATAATACGAGGTTCTTGTGCAGTATCCATACAGATAGGACACTGTTAAAAAAAAAAAAAAAAGAGAAGGCAATATTAATAAATGGTTTTTCTTTCTCTATTATAATTACTTACTTCAACAGTTAACAATTCTTCTTTGCCACTGAGTAATCGATCCACCACCTTTTTATCCAGAGACTTTGCGTTTTCCGTAAAATGTTCTTCGTCATTGCGTTGTTGAGGTAGTTCAATAGTAGTGAGCTTTGGATGAAGACAAGCTTGTCGTAGTCGTAATAAGAGTACCAATACCTATCAATCATGAAATGATCCGTTAAAATGTATATATAATATATTCTTCACTTACATTTGAGTAATTTTGCATCACCGTTCCAGCTTCTACATAGTTATTAAAGGATTGTTGAACCCGATTATCTACAAAGTCATAGAATTGTCGTTCTCTGTCGCTGAAATCCACATGGGTAAAATGTACATTGCGTTCAGGTAAATTGAGGATAGGTCGACCATCGATTTGGGCTTTCTTTGATCTTCGTAATGCAATGGCTTTGAGGATGACTTGAACCTTTTTCAATACCTAAAAAAAAAAAGAGAGAAAAAAAAACGAAATCATTATAAATCATGCATAAATAAATATATATATATATATATATATGTATACTTACATCACTTTTACCATGTCGCAAAGGAGATACCACTTCTTCCCGAAAAGTAGACCAATCACAATAAGGTCGTATTTGTAAGAAATGAATCAGAGAATAAAGTTCTTCAATCTTGTTTTGGATAGGTGTGGCAGTCAAGCACCAACGATGAGTTGCTTCAATACGGTAACTATGGAATAAAATAATAGTAAAAAATATGTCAATCAATGAAGATTCCTTTTATGTTCTTTTCTTACCAAGCTTGTGCGGTACGGGTGTTGCGATTTTTAATGGTATGTGCTTCATCCAGGATAACACGATGGAATTTCAAACAAGCTAAAGGACCACGTCTAACATGACTTTCAGTAAATTCACCACCAATCATTGTATAAGAAGTGATAACGACTACAAAAAAAAAAAAAGGAGAGTTGAGTACCAATTGAATTATTCGAGATCAAATTAATGTTACCATCATATTTAGACAATTCATAGATATCATTTGTACGCCGTGAACCATGATAAACATAAACAGAAAGGTTTTCAGTCTTGTAACGTACTTCTTGAGCCCATTGTTCCATGAGGGATACAGGACAAATTACCAGAGTAGTTTTGACTTTGATGGATTGTACAGGCCTTTTTGCACGTTGCATAGGTGTCATATTAAGCATATCGGAAGGAGGCGCATGATCTTCAGATTTGCGACTAACTATAATGGATAGAGCTTGAACCGTCTAAAAAAAAAAAAAAATTAATAAAACAGACCAAAAAAAAAAAAAAAAAAAAAAAAAAAAAAAAAAAGACAAATATATCATAAAAAACACTTACTTTTCCTAATCCCATGTCATCCGTTAGCATTCCACCTTTGTTGATAGATAATTCTTGTTTCGTCATCCATTGAAACCCAATCTTCTGATGTTCTAATAAATTGACTTTGAGTCCATCGGGAGTTCCAGATCTACTTTCAGGTGGAGGAGGTTCTTCATCATTAATGGTTTCCAGTAACTTGCGCAATTCATCTCCCGCTTGGGCTGTTGTCATTGACCTTTTCGTTGGATCACCAATGGCAGGATTCATCCTTCGATTTGAAAAACCAGTAGGTGTGAAGGTATGGTGAGCGAGAGAGAAAGAAGATGACTCGGGGAAAGGATTCATAGTGATACCGTAACGTCGTTGAGCTTCATGGCGTTGATTGATGATTTCCATTTGTCGTAAGATGTAATCCACATTCGTGTTGCCTAAAGGTATCAAATCATCATCATTATCTACTGAATCCTCATCTGAATCGTAACAACCCAATGGAATTGCATTGTCTATCGAGTTGCCAGTTTCTGCTGTTAAATCAACCAAACCGTCATCTTCGCTGTCAATCACAAACACGTTCGTCTGATCCGCAGCACTTGTTGATGATTCTGCTTGTTGATTATTGGTGACATTCCCATCATGGACGTGTATTGTTTTGGCTCGCTTGTTGTTATTATTGTTGGTATTAAAGCTTTCTGGTAATTCCCTTGATGTTGGAATATTCATGTTGTTGGGTAAGATTGTTGAAGAAGTCGAAGTAGGTATAGACGAGGTTATTGTTGATTGTTGAGCTTCCCTATCAAGTTCTTGTTGTAATTTTTTGGCATATTCAAGTTGTTTCGCTTCCATTTCAAGACGTTGTTCAATTTCTCTTTGGGCACGGATTTCAGCAATATCAATTCCCATGGCTATCAGAGCATCTTCAGAAAGTCCTTCGTCAACAAGCCAGTCTAATGGGTCAGGTGAACGTTGTCGTGAAGTCGATGAATTGCTAGAAGATTGATCCTGTGTTGTTCCAGTTTGTTGTTGTTGTTGTTGCCTATTTTGAAATGTCAAATCTAAAAAGACGTCGTCGTCATCAGTACCGTCAGTATCGTCGTTAAAATTGTCTTCCATTGTCAAATCACTTTTGTCACGGACAAGACTAGAGGAAGTTGGATTGGTCATAGTAGAAGACGAAGTTTCTAAAGGATAAACACGATCTGCTGGGGTTTTTCCATGGTCGTGGTCAGATGACATTGTTGATCAATATAATTTAATAATAAAGAAAGAAAGAAAAACGCAAGATAAAGAGAGAAGGGGAACAATATATAAAAAAAAAAAATAATAATAATGAAAGCACTAGAAAATATTCTGTTAGCGTTCAATTTCCGATGAATGTCATTGGATAGATTTCTGCCTTACAAAGAGAAACAATGAGCGGTTCAAACATAAAGATGTAATAGATAACATAAATAATCAATATACATATATATTATATATAATGATGAAGATGAAATATCCAATGATATAAAGGATATTTTTTTTTTTAGTTTAATTCGATGTAAAAAAAAAAAAAAAAAAAAAAAGAAGAGAGAGAGAGAAAACTAAAGCTATCATGTTTGAATATGTGTATTAAACATTTGTAAAGCAGCCTTGGGTTGATAATAAGGAACCTAATCAAATGACAATATGAATAAAAGAATTAAAAAAAAAAATGAAGAAAAAACGTCCATTGTTGTTCTTACCTCATGACCAGCTTCATAGATTCGAATAAATGTCAAATTTCCACCAGATTGGATTTGTCCAGCTTCAATACCATCCACTAACCAGGGTTCCATTTTCTGTGTTTGATAATCATCACTACCATCAAATTTCAATACTGAAGACCATGCATAATTCCCATACTAAAGAGAGAGAGAGATAATTAGCAAGTATATAAAATTAACGATAAATCTTACCCATGAACATATATAATCAGCATCACCAGCATAAAGTAGCACACGGATTCCTTGATTCAAAACATTTGCTACATAAGAATCTGTATTTCGTATACTATCAAAAATAAATGTTAAAAACAATGATTCTATTCCACAACTAATCAGATCTTTTTTTTTTTCTATTATTATCATCATTACCTATCACCAGTAAAAACGAAGTGTTCAAACTATATTTGAAACGAAAATCCAATCAGATATAAGAGTATATTTGAAAAAAAAAGAACTTACTACTTTATCAGAACATTCTTCATATAAGCCAGTAGCACCGATTTCTTCCTTTGTCGTATTCTTGTTCAAATAGTCGACATAATCAGAACGAGGATCATCTGAAGTACGTACATCATAATAACTTCGTCTAGACTGATCAAAAAGAGAAACAACATGTGTATTACAATATGCTTCTGCAATAGCACAATCACTATTTTTTCCAGTTGCATGGCATCTATTCACTAAAAAAAAAAAAAAAAATTAATAAAATATATAAATGATAAAGTATAGTTCTTACCTCTTTTCAAACAAGCAGGCATATTGTTTCTCATTCTTTGACATGTTTCTTCTGATACCACAGGACCATCTAAATAAATAAATATATATAACAAGGTAAGTATCAGATAAAAATAAAAGTAATAAAAAAACACAGGATCTTACAAGTAGAATTGCAGGCCATAGTAGGATAAGCTTCCCTAAAATCAAAGATATATATATATATATATATATATATATATTACTCAGTCTTGTTCTTTTTTTAACATATTTGACTTACATTTGAATATCAGAGTTTGTCCAACCATTACCTATACCAATGGATTTCAAATGAATGATAGGATTTTCTTTGAGACCTTGATTCACCAATTGATTTTGTTGCATAATATAATCAGCATAAACAGGGATGTAGTGACCAGCATAAGATTCTCCGAAGAAGTGTAAAGGCGCTGAGGCATATTTTGGATAACGTTTCATAAAGGATAGCAAAAAATTGTAAGCAGGGACTGCTCCAGCTTCACTACTATCCACTAGATCATCACCTAAAGAGAAACCAACACCAGCGGGCTAATATTATAAAGTTAATCAACCTTTTCTTTCATTCTCCCCCTTCTAATTGTTGTATTCCCATTACCTGATCAAAAAAGAGAAGATTGGAGTATTTATTCCAGCTAAAAGGATTAGTACTGACACTTTCACCATCTTCTTCTATCTTGCAAGGTCCCAATTCCTGCCATAATCCACTATCCAAAAAAAAAAAAAAAGAAAAAAGAAAAGAAAGGAAAGAAAAATTTAGGGGAGCGGAGAGAAACACGAACTGGATAAACTTACACCATGCCTAAAATGGAAAGTACAATGGATCGATAATGGTTACTCAAAAGGGACATGACATCATACTTCTTTGTATACAACCCTTTTCTTTTTTACTTTTTTTTTTATATATATATAACGTACTAGAACATCCAGGCCCACCATTTAACCATACAGTCAAAGGTGCATTATTAGGATCTGTTTGACTTTCGAAAAACCAATAGAAATATCGAACACCTGGACTAAGAGTGATATATCCTGAGTGCTAAATGAATATGAATGATGATTGTGTAAAATGATGGATGATGAATGGATGATAATATAGAAATGATATGAATATTGCATGATAATGATCACCCTTTCATCTTCTTCTGTGTTACCTACTTGAATGACCGAAGGATCACATAGAACAGGATGTTTTTCAATTTCATGAACGACAGGAATTGAACTAACTACTTGTAGAGTACAAAAAGCAATGATTATATTAGTTATGAACATGATCAAATATAATATATATATAAAAGAAATGATTTCTTTTTTTTTTTTACATTTTTCTACTTTCTTTTATATATTGTCACCTTTTCTTTTTGTTTGTCTTCAAAGGGAATAAACATCAATGGGTTTGATCTCCGTCAATAAGAGATATGGTTATTCCAAAAGCGGTGTATAGAATGGTAAAAAGAGAATGATGATGATTTGCTGAGCAACAAAAAAACGGGAACTCTTGAGGTATATAGAAAAGTGTCCTTTTTTTTTTTTTTTTACTCTTGCTTACCTAAAAAGGGAATGATGTCAAATAGAGAGGATGATTGGCTCCAATCAGATTAGGGAAGAACAAAAGAGAGAGAAAGAGAAAAAAAACAATAGGCTGAGAGTGTAAGTATTTCATGCAGGATTACGGTAAATGAATTATTATAGTAAGTAGAAAAAAAAATGATCCAAAGGAAAATTATATATATCATCGGAAGCCTAAATGAAATAATAGTTCAAGTTTTTTTTTTTTTTTTTTTGTACTCCCAAGGTTTCATAGCTGGCTGTCAAAAAAAAAAAAAGATATTCATCGAATCTTTTTTTTTTCTATTTTCTTTTTAATTCTTCTTTTCCTTTTTTTTTAATTATCAAGATGACATCGAATAAAAAAGAGGTCACTGATATCAGTAGTCATGGTACTACCTCTCTACCTAATTCAAGACCAAACTCTCGACCTAACTCTCGTCCTACCTCTCAATTTATACCCCGTAGTTCAACTCCTAGTATATCAAGAGGCAAAATGACACCATCAAGAGTGGATTCTGGTATTATTCCTAATATGATCCATGAAGAAGATCAATCTGATGAAGGAACAAGTACTACAGTACCTATACGACCTGTACGTCCTAGACCAAAATTATCAAGTCGAGCTACTTCTTTTGCACAATCTGCTAAACGAGTATCTATGGGTGCTAGATCTTATTCTTCCTTCTCTTTATATTCTCATTTCGCTGGTGAAGCTTTGGATGAAGATGATGATGTTGATCATCGACGACATCGTGTTATCAGTGGAAAAATCAACGAAGAGAAATTGGATGAAGAAATCGAAACTGAATTTGTAAAAAAGACCCCTACTGCTTCTGTTGGTAAAGCCATGTTTATGTTCTTGAAGGCTTTTATCGGATCTGGTGTACTCTTTTTACCTAAAGCGTAAGTAATACAAAATGGAAAAACAGAAAAACAGAAAAAAAAAAAAAAAACTTTTTCTTCTTTTGTTGGTCCGCTTGAAGTGACATATATTGTTCATTGATAGTTAATTTTTTTTTTGTTTTTTTTGTATAGTTTTCAAAATGGTGGACTGGCTTTATCTATTATCCTCATGGTGATCATTGCTTGTATTTGTTTGGTGGCATTCTTACGATTAGTACAAACTCAACAAATTGTTGGTGGTTCCTATGGTGATATGGGAGCAACTTTGGTAAGTAGGCGGGGAATGAACTCTTCTCTTTTTCTACCTTTTGCTTCTTATTTTTCTAACTCTTTCTTTCTTTCTTTTGACTTTTTTTTTTATAATGACTTAATAGTATTGTCAAGCACTTCGTTATACTATCCTTTTCTTCATTGTCATATCTCAAATTGGTTTTGTCTCCTCCTACTTTATTTTTGTTTCTGGAAACTTATTCAGTGTCGCTAATGTTCTTTCCAACTGTCGTAACCAAATTATTGAAAAGTACTATGTCTGGTTTCCCTTGATTGTATTGGTACCTTTATCCTTGATCCGTCATATTGCTCGCCTTTCTTTTTGTGCTATCTTAGCCGATATCTTTATTCTATTTGGTTTGGTGGTTATCATATACTTTACTTCTGATCAATTACACAATGTTGGTGTGGGACCTAATGTTATTGCCGTTAACTCTGTGAACTTTGGTATGATGATTGGTACTGCTACTTTTTCCTTTGAAGGCATTGGTTTATGTAAGTCTTAAAAAAAAGGTGAATATGGTGCACAACTCATCCTTTTTTTTTTTTTTTTTAGTGATTCCTATTGTTGAAGCCATGGAAAAACCTCAAAAATTCCCTTTTGTAACAGCTTTTGGCTTGATGATCGTTACACTTGTTTACGTCTTGATAGGAACTTTATCTTACTTAGCCTATGGCGATCAAATCGAAGCTGCTGTCATTTACAATTTCCCGCCTGAAAGTCGTTTGAATATCTCTGTCGAACTTTTATATTCTGCTGCCATCATTTTGACGTAAGGAAAAAAAAAAAAAAAAGGGGGGGGAGACTGATGTTATATAAAATAAAATCCAATGAACTAATTGTTATTTTTTTTTAGTATGCCATTAATGTTGTTCCCTGCGTTGAAGATTATTGAAAATGCTCTTTTCTACAAGTTCAAATCGGGTCGGGATAGTATCTGTGTAAAGATGTCCAAAAACTTTTATCGCGCTGTGATCTCAGTTGCTTGTGCTGCTTTGGCTTTTGGTATTGGGGCTGATAATTTGGACAAGTTTGTCTCTCTTGGTAAGTAAAAAAAATAAAAATAAAAATAAAAAGGGTGATAACTGAAAATGATGATTGATCGTCCTTTTCCTTTTCGAAATAGTGGGAAGTTTGGCCTGCGTACCTTTGTGTTTCATTTTCCCTGGTCTTTTACACATCAAAGTTAGCTCCAAAAAATGGTGGGATAAAGCGGTTGATATTTGTCTGATGATTTGGGGTGTTGGTATCATGATTTATACGTTGTACGTGACCATTAATTCATTTGTGCATCCTTCTCCTTCCGTACCTAGACCTCCCTATTGCCCTGCTTAATTTATCTCGATCACTGTATCATTATTATTTTTATTATTCTTGTTCTTATTAGTATTGTAGTTAGTTTGTCTTTTATCATGTTTTCATTATTTATCATCTCATTTTCACAAAATAAATACCATTATAATAATAGATTATGCACTGAAGCTGAACACCGCTTTGCATTTTTTTTTTCAAATCTTTCCATATTCATTGTATTCTTTAATACGGGATCTTTATTCCTATATTTAATATCTGTCCATTAGAGCTGATGATGGTTTTACCATGACGACCGGGAATGAATGGCTGTAATGTCGCAAATGCGTGATGAAATCGCATGATGATACATGACTGTTTCATGAACTGACGATGAGAGAACAGTAAGATATACGATGAATGAAGATAATACAAAGGATGATGATTATATAAAGGCTGGTTGATGATGAACGCTGGTAATGATTCTTTCCTCGATTTGCTAATGATCAACGCACGCTATATATTATCCATACTTTTTATTTGCATTTCTTCTTTTTATAAACAGTTCCTTTCGTCACTATCATTCCATTGAATCACTTTTTTCCATCTAAAGGATTTAGGTAAATAATAATAAAAAAAAAGATCTTAATGACAATCGAATCGAATACTCCAGTCTCATTGCACATATATCTATAAAAGACAAATATACAACTTTCAATTATACCTTACGGAGAATGAATCGTTTTCAACGGTATATTTTTTATTATTCATGTAAAAAAAAAAAAGATGGGGCTAACTATAATCTACTTTCACCAGTGGCCTTCTTCAATCTATCCCTAGCAATAAGCATCATATCAGTCATACCAGTCTTCATTTCTTGTTCCTTGTTGTTGGAAGCAATACGTTCACGAATAATAGGAATAATTTGAGATCGAGGGCGGCCAGCGACAAAGACGACAAACTTGAATCCATACTTGGCTTCGTATTCCTATTTAAAAATCGTGAAAGAAAAATGAGTTTGCCATACCATTGATTGATACGTCTTTTTTTTTTTTTTTACCTTGTTCAATTCAGCAAGTGTGGCATTGATTTGACGATCTTCTTCAGATTCAGATGTTTGACGGTTATTGTATCCTTGTTCTTTCAATGACATAGCGGACAAGTTGGTTTTATTTTCACCAATACGAGGATGAGCATTGATGACATCAAGCTTATCTTGTTCACTCAATTCATTACCAAGACATACAGTTTCAGCAAGGTCAATGAGATCAAGATAGGATTTGTAGGGTCGTGCAGCTAACAAACGGTTGGCCAAAGGTGGGGCGGTTTCAAATAATGTATTCACAGCTTCAATAAAGATTTCAGGTGTTTCACGATTCAATTGTTCAATAGGAGGGATGGTATCAGACATGTTAACAAAAAAAAAAAAAAAGAAGAATAAAGGAAAAAGAAAGAAAGGTCAAAAAAAAAATTGAAGGGTTTTATGTTGCAACAAAAATAAACTCCGTTCCGAGAGTTTTGGGTTTTCTACATTGTGTCAGGAACATTTGATCATGAAGTTTATAGGATACAAAAATGAAATGTCTATAATCATGATGATATGATTTTTATTTCTGATTAAAAAATATAATAATAATAATAAAAAGGAGTGGATAATGTTAAGATAACTAACTAATGTAAATAGTATAAAATAAAGAGAGAATAATGTATGAGCATAATCAAGAATAACCAAAGGTATCAACGTCAACCAAATCAATAGAAAAAAAAAAAAAGAAAGAAAGTAACAAATAAAAAAAAAAAGAAACTAAATTTGGGTGAGATCTTCCAAGATTTTCTTGCTGACAACCATACTTTTCATCTTGGTAGCACGTTTCTGTAAAAGGCGTTCGGTACGATATTGTTCATAGTAACGTTCGACAGTTTCGGACATGAGAATACGTCGGTGAGATACCAAAAGCATTGTTTTGAGTTTATTGAAGTCACTATATTCATCGCTTAAACAATCAATGGTGCCCCATCCATAATCCCTTCCAAGTTGAATAGAGGTTTTACCATCTGTAGACTTCATCTTGATAGGTTGGCCGGTTGTTGGATCTTCTTCGCATGCAATAAATGTAAAAGGAATGGCGCGCAAATAATCGATGAATGTTTGTACTTCATCATCTTCCTTTTCATAATCAAATTGTTGTAAAAATACGTCCAAACTTTCCTTTCTGTTTACTTTGTCATCTTTGTTGGTCTTTTCGTCATCATTGTTAGTTTCTGTAGTAATAGAATCGTCGATATATTCATCTTCATTTTCTTCTTCTTCGTCTTCGGGCATACCGTAAAGTGGAAGTTTATGAGTATTGTAAATCGATTTGATGATGGTGGGTCTTAATCTGTTGCGTTGAGCCAAAGTCAGAGTATCGGCTTTGCCTATCACTGGTATCACATTCACTCGTTTCGCTAATTTGGAAAGAACTCGAATATCATAATCATCCAAATCTGTCTTGCTAGGATCCACAAAATAAAGACATGCATGTACTTGAGTATCTACTGCTTTGGGATTTCGTTTCACTTTGTTTTCCTATTAAAAAAAAAAGATCAATATAAAGGAATCATCTCTTATTAGTTATTATTACCTCAGCCAATGTAAGATCAAATTGATGTTCAATATAACCCAAAATATCATGTAATTGTTTGTCCACAATATAATCGGTTTGAAAGCCAGGAGTATCAATCAAGGTCAAAACCATCTTTTCACCATCCACTTCAGCATCTACAGAGACAGTATATGGTACCAAGGTACGTTCGAGAGGTCCTTCAATTAAAGCTTTGCCATTACCAGTAGGTTGAAACATGGTTTCTCTCTTGTCCTTTGTCATCTTCATCTTGAGTGATTCCAATAAAGTCCGTACAAATGAAGTTTTCCCTACCCCTGAGAATCCCACCACCATAACATTGAAGTGCGATATCATAGGTTTTCTTGACCTAGGCGTCATTTTGTAGTATAGAAAAAAAAAAAAAAAAAAGAGAGAGAAAGAGAAAAAAAAGAAAGAGAAAGAGAGAATGAAAAATAAAGAAAGAGAAAATTTTAAACTACAAGGTAACACAAAAGGAAATAAAAACGAAAATTTGCCCCGTGTTATCTTTCAGTATGGGCTATTTCCTGTGTTCCATCAAAAAAAAATAAGTCAAATAACAAAAATCGTTCGAGCTTGAGTTTGTTTTTTTTTTCTTATTGAAAACATGTTTCTAATCCAAAACTATAACAAAAAGTGTCCCAGTTCCAATAAAAAGAACCTCCTCAAACTAATGTGACACATACAAAACGAAAAAACAACAATGTTCATCCACCTATAACTTTTGTACCACCAATAATCTTTTATTTCATCATTTCAATAAATAACAAAATATTATATAGTAATCATTGATCATTGCTACCAAGTCGAATATATTCAATCAAAGCTCTAGTAGGTCGTCCTAATAATAATGATAATAATAATCAATTCATTAAATCTTTTTTTTTATTTAACCTTTTTTTTTTTCTTAACTTACCACTCATTCCTTTAATATGATATCCTTGAGTAGTTTGACTATCCATTACACCTGCAATATCAATATGAGCCCAATCCACACTATCTTGATGATGTTCTTTGTCTTGATCATTATCCGATTCCAATCCTGCCACAAATTCCTTCAAAAAAGCTGCTGCTGAACAAGCACCACCAGATCGTCCTTTACCAAGATTATTAAAATCTGCCACTGTAGATTGTTGCATTTCCTTGAGATAACCTTTGTGAAGAGGCATACGCCAGAATGGATCCGATACCAATTCACCTGCCACATTCAATTGTCTCCAAAGTTCATTTGAATTTGTAAACACACCAGCATGAACTTCACCCAAGGCAACATCCATAGCACCTGTCAATGTAGCCAGATCAATGATACTTCTTGGTGAATAAGTAGAACTGAGGTAGTACAAAGCATCCGCCTAAAATAAATAAGTAAATTATTCTATTCTATTATCATCATATATATATATATATATATTCACTTACCAAAATCAATCGTCCTTCAGCATCCGTATCAATCACTTCAATTGATTTTCCATTCATGGCCTTGATCACATCCCCTGGTTTAGTAGCTTTTCCATCTGGCATATTTTCACATAAAGGTGTAACAGCAACCACATTCACAGGTAACCCCATCTTGATAATACCATACATAGCCCCAGCAACGGTAGCAGCACCTCCCATATCTCCTTTCATTAATGCCATATTGTTGGATGGTTTCAAGGAAATACCTCCCCTATATATAATCAATTCAGTATAATCAATTACAATTTTTGTTGTCACTTACGCATCAAATGTTACACCTTTACCAACAAGTGCATATGGCTTTTCATCAGGATGACCACCATTATAACGAATTTCTAAAAATCGTAGAGGTTCTTGACTATATAAATAAATAAATAAAATAAATCAATACAACAATAATAATAAAAAAAATTATCAAGATCTCACTTACCTTCCTTTTGCAACGGATAAGAAAGAATTCATATTGAGTTTAGCAGCCCATTCTTCATCATGAACAATGACTTCAGTGTTTTCAAGACCAGCCAATAAGTAGGCCACCTCTTCTGAGAATAATTTGGGAGTCATCAAATTGGAAGGAGAAGTCATAAGCATACGCGCCAGATTTTGAGAAGTACCATAGATATGCCCAGATTCCCAGTTCAAATCATCCTGATCATTGTCATCGGTTGTAGTGGAGAAAGGAAGTACTTGCATTTCTGCTTGACGTGATTTTTCCATTTTGAGTTTGTCAAATGAAAATTGGGCTAATATTGCACCTTCAGCTGCTCCATGTCCACTCACTGAGATATCTACACCAACAGTTTTCACTTGACGTTCCTTTAATGCTTGAATACCTAATGCTGTCTATACAAAAAAAAAAAAAATTGTTATTTATTATTGCATTATTATTATTATATACTATTTACCGCGTTCCGAGCTGTTTCCAAGACTTGAGCACGACGAGTGATTGGATTTGTTTTATTGCTTGTTGAAGGTACAGGTCCAAGAGATACCACAGCAACTTGTTGAACACCACCGATATTATAAAGTATACGTACATCACCTGCTTTTTTGAAGTTAGAAACAATTAATTGTTCGGTCAAACGAGACTGAGTGGCAGAAGTAATATCTTTGGCGGCTGGTAACACGACATTCTTTCCGTCCGTATAGGCACCAATTACAAGAGCATCATACTGTTGAGCATTCGTAAATAAACGTATAGCAGATCGATTAAAATGACGTTGGTATTGAGGTTTGAAACTTCCAAAAAGTAATCTAGACATGATAAAAGGGAGAATGGAAAAACAAAAGAAGGAAGAGAAAAAAAAAAAAACTGGTGAGGAGAAAAAAAAAAAAAAAAGAGAAAACAAAACGTACTAAACCATACATCCCTCCTCCACTTTTTGATTTTGCACTCCGCCCTCTACTGACTATCTTTACATTGTCATTCATCAACATGAGTTTGTTGTATTGCTAGATCAAAAATCATTGATAAACTTTGTTATTATGTCCCAATCGTTCTCAATGACGCTTCGAAAGAAGTACAAAAGAAATATTTTTTTGTATATCATCAGGTTCCACTATTTATCAATTAGCACGTCAACATCCATTTACCACCAAATTTGTCGCTTTAAAAGAGGGTTAAGAAAATCTACAAAGGAATCGATCCTATGATGATGGACTTTTACAACGAAAATCTAGTTGTGGACTGCAAATATCCATCTTAATTTTTTTTTTTCATCCTGTATACAATTGGAAGAGCGAACTTTGTCTTTCCCTTTCTCGTTCAAAAGTGACCATCATCACGCCAAATTGATGATGAAAATGGAGGAAATCATTCTCTTTCATTTGCATTAAACAATTTATATCATACTTCTTAACTTTTTGAATATATTAAAAATGAAATGTCAATATCATCATCCCTCATCCAATAATGATCATCATTCAATGAAACTAGCACCATTAGATTCCTCTTAAAAAAATAGTTTAATATCATCTAATATCATTTTATCACTTACCCTGACAAACTAATGTGCAATAAGCATCAAAAGATTTTATCGATATTTTGAAAAAATTGCCTGACAACCCCCTGACGATTTATTTTTACAGCCAAACTTTGGCTGAGGAGTTTCAAATTTTTGGCTGTAAAAATCAAAAAAATTAAAAAAAAAGTGATGATCCACAGCCCTAAAAAGCTCTAATCACCAGTAGTCTTACGATTTTTTATTAACTTTTCATTCAGGTCGCATTTTTAAGGTTAGATCCATCATCATACCATATAAACAACATTAACGAAACATGTAAATTACATTGTTTACTTTTTAGCACTTTCACATAACATTAATAAAGCGTAGTCCTGTACCACAAGATATTATGATGATTGTATGATGGATGACATTTGCGACTTTGTTAATAGAATGATCATGACATATAAGCACTTCATTGTGATGGACAAAAAAAAAAAAAGCTATTCAATAGACTTTGGACGAGATATTCCTTAACCAACAACAGGTACAGTCAGAAGATTCATCAAACAATATAAACTAGGATATAAACATATTTTTATATTTTTCTTTATTTCTATTTTTCCATAATAAATATTTCTTTTCTAATTGAGCATACAGTATTCGAAGAGATTCATCATTTGGTATATTCTATAAATAATAATACACAAAAAAAGCATGTCATTCAAACCAATTCTTGAATTTTTTTTTTTTTGGAGACTCACTACCTCTCTCCACCTTTTTTTTTTTACCTTCAGTCCTAACTTGACCCAACGAACAGCTTCTTCTATATCATTCATTTCAGAGTAAGCTTGACCAAGCCGATAATAAGCCTTGATATTAACCGCATCCAACTCCAATACCTATAGAATAGCAAGAAAAGTTTTTATGTAAACATTCTTCAATAATGTTCTTTTTTTAAAAAAAAGTCTTACCTTTTCACAGGAATGAATAGTACTATTCCAGTCATGTAATTTGAGATAACAAGCAGCCATATTTCCAAAAATCGATGATGAGATTGTTTGAACCTTTTCATGATCTTCCTTCGCCACCTTGTCATCCATGTTGATGATGTAGTCATTTGCCTATGGGAAAAAAGAAAAGAATATATTGTTATAGTCAAAAAATCAGCATCCTTTTTTTTGGCTATTTAGATAGATACCTGTTTGTAGATGGTCAGTGCTTCATCTATTTGTCCTTTTTTATAATGATCATTCCCTTTTACTTTCAATTCTGTGGCCATCTTGATACGATATGCAGGTGTTTCTGTTGACTAGATATATGTATGGAAAAAAAAAAAAGAAATCTGAAATCATGGTACTTATGTGTTGTTTACTTTCTGTGTATATTCCTTACCTCCTGTATTGATATTAAATGAACTTTGAATCGTAATGTAGCATTGGACGGTATGATAGGCGGACGACCATGTGTCCCATAAGCTATTCAATAATAAAATATTAGACAATGTTTCATATGTTTACTCTATTCTTACCGTATTGACTTGTACATGTGATATTAGCTATTTCACCTACTTGCATAGACTTCACTGCTATTTCCCAACCACTAATGACTTTACCTAAATATATAACTGTGAATGTCGTTTCAAAAGGTTTTGTAAATAGTGATTACCTTCCCCTAAGGTAAAAACAAATGGAGAATGTCGTAAATATGAACTATCAAACTTTGTCCCATCCTGTTCAAGATATCCTTCATAATGGACTACAAAAAGAAAAGGATTGTATCAATCTAAAACCAATATATATATATACCATATCTATTTTACCACTGACAGAATCCGTTGTTTTTGGAAAGTCACCATTTCCTTGTTGTATCACTTGTTTTATAACACCACCATCAGTTGTCAGACAAAGTGGATCTGGCATAATGATAGTAAATCGTATTTTTTTTTTTTTTTTTAGAAAAAAAAAAAAAAAAAAGAAAGAAAGAAGAAGAAGAATTACAGAAAAGTGAGCAACTTTCCATTTTTTTTAAATACCCGCATGACGCGCGCTTTTTGGTTCAGTACGACGTAGCAAAGGTTGTTAAAATAAGATAACAATAAGCTCAAGTTTAATTTAAAAATATAATCCTATCATTTTTATTTATTTATTTATTTTTATGATGTATCATACTACTTCATTCTTATTGTCTCCTTGTATTTTTGAATTAAACTGTAGGTCATTGTGACTACAGCATACAAAATGAAATTTCTGACCTCCGATATTTTTTTCTTTTTTCTTTTTTCTTTTTTTCCCTTGTTCCTTTTTTTTACATACTTTTTTTTACTTATCTGAACATTTACAGAATGAACCAAAAAAAATCAAATATGGATCTCAATCATCATATATTGGAGACTATGTTTGAAAAATCACTCTTTTCTGATTTGTCATTGGCCTTCTTCCATTCATCGTTTCCCTTTACTATGCGCTTTGATGTCCATAAGGCCATTGTAGCTCAATCACCTTTCTTCAAGCTATTACTCGACAATACTCATCGTATTACCACTATTGATACAACTTGCGAAAAGAAATTAAAAGACAACGACAACCACAGTGGTACTTTACACCTTACTATTGATCTTATCGAGGCCATGACGCGACGTGGCTTTGTTATGGCACCCTTTCAACATATTATACGAAGACAATGGCAAAAACCTCTTACTACTGGAAAGGAAAATACTTCTTCACCATCCAATGATAATCAATCAAAAAATGATCAACCGCAACATATCCTTTCTTCTCACCTACGATTTGCCTTGAAATGGTTATATACTTCTGATAGGACACCTTTGGTCAAAACTCTGACGGATGAAGATACATTACGCGTTTTGTGTGTGGCAGTATTATTTGACTTGGAAGCACTGGTGGATGACTGTTTACAACGATATACAACACATCAATTATCGATCGATACTGTTGTACGTGATTTAGAAACAATTTGCCAATTACCAAGGAATCACAAAGCTTACAATCAACTTCGAGATGCAGCTCTTCTTTTATTACTACGCTATGGTCCTGATCATCCTCGTCATCTTGCTCGATTACCAGTGGACTACATGTCAGATGTATTGAGTGCGGATTTATTGTTTGTGGGATGCGAATATGAAAGATACTGCTTATTACGAGAAGTCTTGGTCGCCTTTATGCAATCAGTTGGAAAAATCACTTGGACCAACGCTGGACCAGTGGATCAAGATAGTAAACGATTATCTGGCTTTGTACGACATCCATTACTTTCACAAGATCAATTGGATAGAAAACGCGATATTCAACGTCAACATAATTTATCAGCATCCGATGTTCGACAATCTAGTCAAAAACGAAAACGAATTCCATCTGAAGAACTTATTGATATTCCCATCAATCGTAATGATACATCTCAAAAAAAATCAACTTCTGGTCACAAACAACAACGACTTTCTAGGCTCAGTTTCTCTGCATGTGTTCCATTTGAAAGACTGGTGGCTGATGCATCTTCTGGTGGTGTGATTGACAAAGCAACGATCCTTTCTTATCTATTACGAACAACAGTGAATTATAGCAACATGACCTTTGATCAACTATCCATTGTACGCGAAGATGGTATTGTAGATGAAAGTATTGTATTTAGGGCTCTTTGGCAACGCGAAGCATTAGAACGTCTTTTATTTCCTTTCAACTATCAGCAAAGTCAATCCATGTTATCTAGTTCACCTATACCGTCCGTTGAAGTATCGACATTATCAGATCAAAACAATGAAGAACAAGATGCGATTCCTCGTTTTGGCAAATTGAATTCAGGCAATGAACAACAATCAAAAGGTGAACGAAGGGTAGCTTTGGATGAATACTTTGATGTGGATAATTCGGATGATCAAGAACGACGGCGACGTATTTTATTGGGATCACCAAGATTCCGGTTCTGTGCAACAGTGCAAATGATACTACCTTCTGATGACGATCTTGCTGGTTGGGATTTGGTCGAACTGGTGGACAAATCTTCTGATACAATGTTACCAAATTCAACAACAACAAGAAACAAGAATAATGATGATGATGATGATGATGTATCAAACAATGATGATGAAGACAAAGAAGAGAATGTGGAACAACCGTATACTCAGCATGACACAACAACAATAATGACAACCAAAAGCAGTAAGAAGCAACAATATGTATCAGGAAAAGTGTATAACAAAATAATGTACTCTGAAGCGGAATATATTCTTGGTCATTGGCATCGTGTTCGTGTGGAAGCACAAATTCTACCTCGATCTTTATTACAAATTCAAGATGATGATGATGATGGGGTGACAACTGGAAAATATCAAGAGGATGAAGATAATGATAATGGACAAGTAGTAGTCTGTCGCTTTGAACTTCAACGAGATAGAACAGCCCAAGATCATGTCGATGCTATGGATACTCCGATTGTTGGCAAGACAAATCAAGACTTTGAATCAGCATCACACCGAAGCAAGATTCGATATGCTATCTATTGCCTGAATCGACATGAAGGATTAGTAAAGAATGATCAAGTGGATGTGGAAGATAGGGTGCTAGTACCAGTATCTGAAGTGACTGAATCAGACGATCCCTTGGAACGATCATCAGGTTATGTTGGACAAATCAAATTGGATACAACATCTTTAGGAAATAGGAAGATAATCGATGTGGATATGATGGTGGCTCTGGAGATCTTTGGATTTCACAAAGTATAGTTTTAGTTCAATATTAGTCTAGTCTGTTTATGTTAATAAAAATCAAATTTATTGCGCTTTTTTTTTTTTTTTTTTTTTTTTTTGGGAAACTCTCTTGGCAACGAAAAAATGATCTACCATTCGTCAGTCGGTTTCTGATTTTGTGGTTTTTTTTTTATTTTATTTTATTATTTTTTTTTTGTTTACATATTTTATTTCCTTACAAAGCCTTGATTCCTCCCTTTAAATTTTTTGAATTTGTTTGAATAAATAAAGAAGTAAACATGATCTCTACTTTGCCTACAACATCATCTATTTTATAACTGATTGTAATAAGCTTAGCAGTACAAAAGATGATCGCCCACTAATTGGCGGAGAGCAAAATAAAAGCAAGCTAATTTTTTTTTTTTTTGTTCAAGGATTCACCTCCTCTTTCACGTTTTCCTTTTTTTTTTTTTTCTTCTTCTCTCTTTTAGACATATACTTCTGTAAAACCTCACTCTCTTTACACATATATATATATATATACATATATACCAATCCTTCTTTTCTATTCATTCCTTTATATAGTCTTATTTTGTCTGTGATGGCCACTCCACAACTAAAGTCACCTATTGTCTATACTATCTCGATCGTCTCTTTATTGATGCTATTTGTGCTATATTGGGCTTGGCGAGATGATATATTACTATTACCAGAACCACACTATGCCATACCTGATCCTATATCATCCTTGGACTTTGTTACTCGTATACCAAGCCATTCTCTTCAATGCACCACCGATACTTTTAACACTGGCACATGGGTTCATCGTCCTTTACAACTCAAGGAGAATACCATTCAAGGCATGGAACAAGCTGTCAATTATCATTGTCGTGGCAACTTCCCTCATAAATGTTATCGACGATTACATGACAATCCAAGTGAATTCAATCGAAGTGTTAAAATGTAAATATACAAAAAAAAAGGGGGGAAGCATTTAGGAGTTGATTTTTTTTTTTATTAATATCTTTTTTTGAAAAGTATGGATTATAGTTGGGAACCTGATACCTGTGCATTAATTCAAGTAGATCCACGAAATTTGACAGCACATTTAGCACATCATCCACTTTTAATGGTAGGCGATTCTATCACACAACTTCAATTTGAAAGTTTGAACTGTCTCCTTGGGCAAGATTTGGTGAATGTGAAACTTGATGCAAATATGACAGGTGGCGATCCTAAATTATGGGCTGGACAGTTGGTGCATCCTAGTCGAGTACAAGAACAAGGTGCAGTGACATTAGCTTATCTACGAAGTGACTATCTGGTACGACTAGATGATTTCAAATTGATGGAACCTTTCGATGAAGAAGGTTATCTGATTGGCAAAGGTAGTAATTTCCCTTGGATTCATGCATTAGACAAATTTAGCTACATCGTCATCAACACTGGTCCACATTGGCATGCGGATTTGAAATGGGGTCCTCATCAATCCGATAAGGAACTTATACAAGCTTTCACCAAAGCAATGGATGTCGTTTTCAAGTATCTAAAACAACATATCAAGCCTCATCAACGTGTTTGGGTTAGAAGTACTCCTTATGGTCATGCTAAATGTTCTCAATATAAGAAACCTGATACTGTACCTCATGCACCTACTAAGAAAGAAGGTGAATATCAATGGGATCTTTTGGAATCATTCGATATGGTCTGGAAGGTATGAAAGAAAATATTATTACCATCATCATCCTTCTAATTTTTTTTTTTTTTTGTATATAGAACTGGATTGAAACAGAAAAGGATGATCGATTCCGATTTTTGAATGTATCTTTATCTAATTTGAGAGGTGATGCCCATTCTAGTCCTGATTCAGATTGTCTTCATACTTGTTTACCAGGTAAATAAAAGAAATGGTTTTTGTATGATTCCAACTGATTTATTTATTTTTTTTTAAAAAAAAATAGGTCCTGTAGATGATTGGAATCAACTTTTTTTCCACGAAATAGCTCAAGCTGCTGGATCGTTAGTATCTTCGTAGATAGTTAGATGTATTTAAATGTTTAATATTTAATAAAAAAAAGAAATATTTCAAAATGATATTCCACTTGAATTGACCTAAATGGCTAGTGTGTAACGTATTAGACAATTGTCCTTGGATAATAGAAACCCAGCGGTTCCTTTTTTCCTTTTCTTACTTCTCTTCCGCATTCTTCTCTTTTTTCTTTTTTCTCATTTTTTCTTAAAAAAAAAAAAAGATATAAGAAACCATGTTACGAAATTCTACTTGGAGTAAGTTTTGAACCTTCTTTTTTTTTTAAAAAAAAAATAAGAATAAAACAAAAGAGAATGAAAGGTACAAGTGTGATGCTGAACCTGATAATGGAAAAAAAAGGATGATAGGTACTGATAATGTTTATTATTCTTTTTTTGATAGGACTAGATGAAACGAATCTTGCCAACTTTGGTTCAGACTTGGAAAAACAACATCGAAAGGAAGAAGGTGCTTTAGAAACAGCTTGGAATTATGAAGGTTCTCCTATTGGTCATGAACCGTAAGTATAAAGTTTATCAGAATAGTGATAAAACTAATATTCTTTTTTTATCAGTGGTATTTGGATCTGGCGTGTTCAAAACTTTACCTTGTTACCTGTGCCTACCAAACAAATGGGACAATTTTATCAAGGAGATAGTTATGTTATTCTTAAAGTAAGTTCATCAGGATAAACGGTAAATGGATTGACACACCATTTTTTTTTTTTTAGACTACTACGAAGTCAGGGTCCGATGCTTTGGTGCACAACATTCATTTCTGGCTTGGCAAAGAAACTACTCAAGATGAAGCTGGTACAGCTGCATACAAGACAGTGGAATTAGATGATTGTAAGCACACATATATATATATATAAATATACATGATGATTTATATATATATATATGTTTTGATTTAGTTTTGGATTCTTTGGCAACTCAACATCGTGAAGTTCAAAAACATGAATCTCGTCAATTCAAAAGTTATTTCAAAACATTGACCTATCTTCAAGGTGGATTTGCTAGTGGATTCAATCATGTGGAAGAAGAAGAATTGCATACACGTCTTTTACGGGTCCATCGTCCTGATTCTTTGGAAGGTACACGTACTCATAATGCCGTGGTCATCTCGGAAGTACCTTTGAAAGCTTCTAGCTTGAATGCGCATGCAGTATTTGTGCTGGATACAGGTGATGTAGTCTATTCTTGGCAAGGAACACAATCTCGTGGTATTGAAAAGGCTAAGGCAGCTGAATTCATTGCTCAACTGATCAGTGAACGCAATGGCAAAGGCGAAACAGTCGTGATAGGTATAAAAAAAAAAAATCACTGAAGAAGAGAAAGTCTGATGATGTTTTTTTTTTAGAACAAAATTCTGGTGGACAAAAAGCATTTTGGGATGCATTAGGATCTGCTGAAGAAGAAGAAGAACAAGTTGGACAAGAACAAGATGAACAAGATCATGATATCAAGGATGAAGGACGTGAACATCGATTACTTCGACTTCATTCTGGTATGTTTGGACGTTTGAAATTGGATTTGGTAGCACAAGGCAAGATCAGCAAGGATATGTTCGACAGCAAGGATGTATTTTTATTGGATGTATCACATGAAGTGTTTATCTGGGTGGGTCGTGATGCCAGTCGTAAAGAACGTCGCTATGGTTTACAATATGCTCAAGATTATCTCAAAGAATCTGGTCTCTCTCCCTTCACACCGATTTGTCAATTGTTGGAAGGTGCTGAAGATGAATTATTCGAAGCTCAATTAGAAGGTTGGCAAGGATGGTAAATTAGTTAGTTGCATTCAATAAATTGATTGTTTTTTTTTTTTCTGTTAAAAAAAAAAAAGGAAGAGGACTGTTTAAGAGAGAGAGTTATTTTATCGTTTGATACCTGTGATTTTTTATTTTGTTTTTTTTTTTTTTTTTTTTTTTTTTTGCCATACATATCACCTATTTATTTATTTGGATCATGACCACAGGAGTCTAGAAAAGCAAAGACCAGATGATGATGCTTATGTATGACTTTTGACAACAAAAAAGTTTGAATGAAAAATAAACAACCAGTCATTTATTTATACAAAAGATGAAATGAATAATATAAATGTATATAAAAGAGTGAATGAATGAATGAATGAATGATTAATTATATGAATAAGTAATACTAGAGGGCATCACCAACCATGAAAGCTTTCCAGCCATCCTTGATCAGATGGGAGCATATTTTTCTTGTGATGTGATCTATGAGGAGGACGATACGAATGAGGAGGAGGTGGATAATAAGAATGTCGATTGGTGTACAAGGTTGTTTTCTGTTGAACATGTTCCCATAAAACATTATTTCGTAAACTTTCTGTCCATTCTTTTTTTAAAAAATGATCAGTGGGAGGATCATTACTACTACTACTACTACTTGTGGTTGAAGAGGAAGAGGGGGATGATGGAGATGTTTTAAATAAGGCGGATAATAAAGAGGGTCGTTGAAGAAGAGGTCGTGGTAATCTTTTTTCAAAATGTTGTAATGTGCGTAGATTGTCATGACGACGTTCATGCATGATAACATGTTTTGTTGGACCAGCATCATCGACATCGTCATCATCATCATCATCATCATCATAAAGAAAATCTTCATCGTCGTCATCATCATCATAGTAATAATCATCATCAGAAATATCATCGATATCGTCTAAATCATCATCACCTAAATCATCATCGTGGTATTGATACGAATTGGTCAGTGAAGGTGTAGTGGTACGACTATGATTGTCTTTGTTGTTATTAGATGATGGGGGTGTTGGCAAAAGCCTGTTTGTTTTCAAAGAGGATGGAATAGACCAATCATTCTTGCCAGACACATGATCATGCTGGGTTTGTTTCTTTTGTGGGACCTCGTGGCAAGCATCACCAGCTGACAGTGACAAGATAGGTTGGACAAAATGGTCTTTTTGTTGTTTCTGATGCCACATCCGCCATGATAGATTTTCCAATCTAGTACCATTTTTCAGATGAGCGCTACATTTTGAAAATGCTGAAAAAAAAAAAAAAAAAAAAGAAATCAATTCATCATCCTGTTTTCTTTTCCTCTTTTTTTTTTTTTTTTTTTTAAAAAAAAAAAAGTACCTGACCACATAGATACAAGTTGCTCTAGACTTTGTACACGGAAGGAAGAATCACTTAGTTCCAGCAAATGTGATGTATCCATAATAATAAAATAATAAATAGGAAAAATAGTTTCTTTAGGATGGAAAGGAAAGGAAAGTAATACAATTAAGACGATATTAATAAATGTCAAAATAGGAGGCGCGTTTGTAGTATCAAGAAAGAAGAAAAATAGAGAGAATATATGTAATGATTTATTTTTTTCTTCTTTGTATTGATGCTCAAAATGTGTATGATAGAGAGAAAGAGAGAGAGAAAAAAAAAAGCGGAATGAAAGGAAAAGGAAAAAAAGATCAGACAAGTAAGAAAAAAAAAAAAAGAGGGAGAGGTATTTATATAATAAATCCAAGGAGTTACCATAAAAGGTAGATAGATCGCTTGACTCTCTCAAATATATATATACCAGACAATTCAGTATCATTCATAAACAAACCAGTCAACAGATTACACAAAAGATTTTTGTTTGTTATGTTTCCCGATATCCGACGAATTCCATAGAAAAATATATCATGCTTTTACATAAATAATCTAGTAATCCTAATCATCGACCGTGCGAGTCACTCTATTCAACAAAAAGGTGGCACAACATTTGAAAGCGGGCCCCTGTTGGCTTTACATCTCCGCTAATCATGCCATGGCTCCTTGATTAACCCCAATCATTTTATTGCCTTGTCAAAAGCATATGTGTTCAATCATCTTGCTAGTAAAAAAAAAAAAAAAATGAATTTATCTTTGCATGATTATCATCATCATCATCATCATAGATAGATAGGAGTATATATGTGGGGGAAAAAGAAAACAGGGAGCGTTATACTAAAAAAAAAAAAAAAAAAAAATTAGTATGACTGATTGCACAACAACAACAAAAAAAAAAAAAGAGATCGCCTGACCTTAATTTTTTTTTTCTTCTAATAGATTGAAGTTGGACGAAATTTAGTGCCTCTTGAATGAAATAGTTTAAAAAAAAAAAAACAAAGAGAAAAAGAAAGAAAACGTGGTCAAGTCTATTTTGAGATCATCCATCCCCTTGATGATTCATGGTATAAAATGGAACAAAAGGAGAAAATAGGAAGGTTTTTAAAGTTTTCAAGTCATCATTTGTATGGACAGGAGAAAAGAAGAATTGGCAGGTGATCACACGACCCTTCTAATGATTCGAACCCCTCTCTTTCTTTTTCTTCGATAGAAATACTCATATAAACAACAAAAGGCACATTGCTTTCACGCGATAAAGTGTTACAAAAGATATTGGGTGGGAAATCAACGCTTTTCTTAAAAAAATAAGTCACTTCATCATGTGTCGAAGGCTTCATTATTACCATCATCCAACGAATCACTACTACTACTACTAATGATTATCAATATTCAACTTTATTAGAAATAAAATTATAAACAAATCAAACCAAAATAAATAAATAAATATCTACAACTACAAATATGGTACAAATGATTGATAATGCAAACTATATATAAACAAACTACAATCATGTCACTGGTACAGAGAAGGAGGAAGGTATGCCTGTTGGGTTTGTTGATGAAAAAAACCATGGTCCCTATATGATGGATCAGCATCTGTATGCTGATATTGTTGTTGATAACCTTGATAGATCATATCATGTGGTTGTTGCTTTTGATCAGAATAAGGTTTTGACTATAAAAAAAAAAATAACCATCAAGATTAAAAAAAAATAATAATAATGATAATAGACATCAAGAAATTATTCTTTTTTTTTTCTTTCCTTTTCTCAATAAATTAATTACCTTTTGTTGATAGAAAAAAGACGGAGAAGGGTTTGAATAAGCTCGTGCCCTTGATGATCTTCGTTCTATTGGTAGTTGCTGACCTATATTCATGGTGTTGTCCATTTTCCCCTCCGTCAAACTTTTCCAAGCATAATAATCCACCCAAGACTGCTGATCATCATCATGAATGCCTGGCTGTTCATATGGTCGATAGCTTTGAGGATGATGGTATGCATGATGTTGATCATTGATTTGAGCACTGGCCATTGTTGAATTGTTCTGTTGATAATAAGAATTGCCACTATTGGCCAATGAAGCTAATGATGGTGTTGATGCATTTCTTGGTATCGTTCGATTCGTAGTTCTAACTGGTGCCGGAAAAGCTAATGATGGTAATGTCATTGTTCCATTTGATTGTGATGTCAAATAAGGTTGATCCGGATAGTGTATTGATGCATTCGTGGGCAATACAGTTGTATGTTGTGGTTGTTGATACATTGCTGTTGTTGTTGTTGTTGTAGGTGTAGATGATAATGATGGTGCCATGGATGAAGATGATAATGATGATATTGCTGCCGCTGTTGTTGTTGTTGTACATGGTGTGGACGTTGTAGATGTTGACATATACACAGGATAAGTTGGTATACGAAGAGGAACGCGAGTCAACGGTGCATTTAATGGTTGGGTTGGAAACTGAGGTTGAGCTGTACTAAGTAAATAAAGATATTGCTGTTGTTGTTGTTGTGCCAATATGTTATTTGTTGGGGAATTCCAAGTTGGATCTGGTGTAGCTGGTAAATTCAATCCCATGTTGCGTAATGTTGAATCAATTATTTGTTGCTGATTGTGTTGTTCCTGCATCAATGTCGCATTCTGTAGTTGAGCCATAAATGTCAGTAATCCAGTTTTCCAAGTGCTGAATTCTTCTTTTTGCACAAATAATCGAAAATCCAGAACATCCAAAAATTCCAATTCCATAATATTTAACTCTTGTACTTTCATTCCAGATATTGCTGACCAAGTTTTATTTGTATAAGTATTGTCATCTTGAAATTTATTCGCTATAAAATAATAGGTTATTCATCTTTTTTCTTTTCTTTTCCTTTTTTTTTTTTTTTTTTTAATTACCTAATAACAATGCCACGATAAATAAACGATATTCCGATCCTTCTGCACCTTGAATACGTGGATTTGTCTGTAATAATTTGGCAATGTATTTCAAAGAGAGCATCACCACTGATTCAGATAGCTGAGTTGCTGTAAGAATCTATAAATATTTCGTGTTAAATCAACCGCGGACTCTATATGTCAGATATTGCGCATAAACACTTTTTCCATGAAAATATTACCTGATGACAAAACCTTTGGAAAGCACTATTAGCACCATTCATAATAGAAGTAGTATCCCCATGATCGACACTAGGAGTAGCAAGACCACCTTGAGTTGAGGCTGAATGTAATTCCATGACAGATGATCGTCGAACATGCCATAAAAGATAGATCATTGTAGATACGAATTCAGCCAGTTGATTGATATTTAAAGGAGTAGTGTAAATATCAGTTGAACTTGGTGTTGGTTCTGCTGGTAATAAAGGTTGGTTTTCATGATGAGCATATCCAGTACTGTTGTTGACAGGCATAGTTGTTGTGGTATTTACATAATACTCTGGAACTTGGCGTTGATGATATAAAGGCCCAGAAACATCATCAATTACTTGTACATTGCTACTAGGAAGTTGTGTATGTGCTTCAAGCGGCAGTTGTTGTTGTTGTTGTGTGTACATGATATTTTACTTTGGCGAATTCCAGTTGGTAAGAATGAATCCAACAAGTAAAACGCACAAGTTGAATGTTTCAATGGGTTTTTTTTTAAAAAAAAAAAAAAGAAAGAAAGAGAGAGAGAGAGAGAGAGAGAGAGAGAGAGAGAGAGAGAGAGAGAGAGAGAGAGAGAGAAGAGAGAGAGAGAGAAATGATCTAAGATAATGTAAGATGAGAGAACATGAAGTAAGAAAGGAAAAGGAAAAAAGAAAAAAAAAAAAAGACGAGAAAAATAGTAAAGTGGAAGAAAAGTAAAAGAAAGAAAAAAAAAAAAGACCGGGTCAACTCAATTGAAACAAACGGTTTTTTAAATCTTTTTTTTTTTTTTGGTATTATTTATTATTATGGAGAATGTTATTCGCCGACAATGCGTATACATACATGAGAGGAAGAAAAAAAAAAAAAAACTATTTACAAAATATTAATTAATAAAATCAAGGTTGAGATGCTTCAGCTTGATTAAAGTTATTTCTTGGTAATGGTAAAGCCATATCTAAAGAAGTAGTATTATGTACTTGGGGTGGTGTCTTGAAAGGGTTTGCGGAGGGTGAATAAGAGGAAGAAATGATAGACAAGATTGCAGATGACATGGCCAAGGCGGAGACTGTAGTGGAGGTTTTGATCATGGATGGATAATCACCAGATGATGATGATGATGTGTTTAGTTCTTGATTGTTTCGCTCATGATTAAATGCAATTAAAGCTAAAAGTTGATGAACATGACTACTCCATACCATAGCATTATCTTGATTTAGAAATGATAATGATTGTATAGAAGGTTGAATATCATCTTGTATATTTTTTTGTTGCTGACTATCATCGTGATGAAGTCGTCGTCGTCGTCGATGTATCAGAATCGCACCTATCGCCGATACTATAATCATACCCAGACTGAGACTACAACCTAAAACGATTTTCATTTGTTGTCCTTCGGGAGTGGACCAAAAAGATGTGTCTGGATTCGATGATGATGATGGAATGGCATCAGTTGTATTATTCCATTGATAAATATTGCTGATCATATTCTTTATAGGTTGATATAGAATCAAGGTGGTTCCATTGTAAAACACTAAACGTTGATCATCATCATTATTATTATTATTCATGCTACTGAATAATGTCTCAGTATTAGGGAGGTCGATGATCGGGGTCTGAACCAAGAGGGTATGAGTGGTTGATGAATCCAGTCGAATAATACGAGACAGGCGATCATCATTGTTTGACCTTGGTATGGCATATAACCAATCAGAACCATAACTTGTAAAAACAAAAGAAGTAGTGGTATTGGACCAAAAAGAACCAAAATAACCGTCCCATTTTCCAGATATTAAATCAAATGTATATATATGATTCCAATTTTGATGTTGATTATCATTATAAAAATAGTAAAGTGTATTATTTAAAGTAGTTGCTATTGATGATGATGATGATGATGATGATGATGATGATGATGATGATGATGATGATGATGATGATGATGATGATGATGATGATGATGATAGTGGAGGAGCATCATCTATATCTTGATTATCAAATGAATTCCAACTCCAACTTGATAAATCAAAATAGTAGATGATTGATTGTTGGGTGTTATAAACAATATAATATTGCTTCCATACTGTAGTACTTAAAATATTAGAATCTATTTTTGATGAAATCAACACAGGTTTCCAATTATGTGATATATAATCAAAAGTTAGTAGTTGAACATTATCATCATCATCATCATCATCATCATCATCATCATCATCATCATCATCATCGTCATTGTGTGGCTGTTGAGAATTTACTAACTTTGTAGTTAGGAGGAAAAGATAATGGTCAACAGTAGTACATGAGATTAAGGAGGTAACTCCTGTCTGAGTTTCAGATTGAAAAGTCCATGATAAAGTGGATGATGATGATGATGAAGTATAAAACGATTGTATATTGATACTAGTGGAATTGGTTTGAGTAAAATATATAGTATTATTGAATGATGTGATACATGATGATGATGATGATAACGACGATACTAAATTATTAATAATCAGACAACAAATAATGAATATCAAACCAGTAACATTCATTATTTTTCATACTGACATATATATATATAAAGACAAAGAAGAAGAAGGAAAAAAAAAAAAAAAAGAAGACAAAAAAAAAGGTCTTATTTGAATACTGGAGAAAGGAAAAAAAAAAAAGAAAGAAAGATAGACGCTTGTTCTCCTTTTTGCATGAATCTTAAAAAAGTTTACATGAAGTGCATAAATATCAATCAATATACATTTAAGAAACAAAAAATGAAAAAATAGGTCAAAAAGGTAACACGTGAAAAAAACCAACCTTTGGGGGGAAAGTGTAACCAACTAAAATTCATCTAACTTCCAATCTGCTGAAATTTAATCCCTTCTTTTTTCAGGGGCGGCTTTTTTTTTTTTTTTGTCCTTTTTCTTTTCCCTTTTTATTTTCACTTTATATAATAATGCCGTCTTTATTTTCACCAGAGTTTTTAACTCAAGAACAATTAGAAAACCTCAAACTATATAAATATGCTGCTATTGATCGATCTTTTACAACAAAATATATTTTACGACATTATTGGAATGCTGCTATAGAATTATTCCCAATGTGGATGGCGTAAGTTTATTATTATTATTTTGTTTCTTTGTCTACAATTTTGATCTATAAAGATCTATTTAATCTAAAAAATTTATTAAACTTATATTTCTTTATAGACCCAACTTGATTACTTTGATTGGTTTATTATTCATGATTATCAATGTTATATTTGCTATTATATTCATTCCAGATATGGACGGTGAAGAACCAAGTTGGATTTATTTCAGTTTTGCTCTTGGTGTATGGTTATATTCAACTTTTGACAACGTGGATGGAAAACAAGCAAGACGTACAGGTACCAGTAGTCCATTAGGGGAATTATTTGATCATGGGTGTGACGCTTTGAATTGTTCTTTTGCTGCTGTGTTGCAAGCGGCCGGGATCGGTTTGGGTCACTCATATGCTGCTGTGATTTTATATTCTATCGCTATGCTTGGATTTTACTTATCAACTGCCGAAGAATATCATACTGGTGTACTCTATCTTGGTTACGTTAACGCTCCTACAGAAGGTGTTATTCTTTCCTGTATTCTTTTCATCATTAGTGGTTTATATGGTCCTTCTGTTTACAATCTACCTGTTAGCTATTATCTTCCTCAACTCAAGACCTACCTTCCTTCTATGATGACATCTTTATCTGTATCTCATGCTCTGATTGCTTTCATTGCTTTCATGGCTATTTTCACTCATTTACCTGTTTGGTAAGAAAACAAAAAAAAAAAATTGAAAGGGGTTTTCTTTTTGTATGATATTTAATCCATTTTTTATTTTATTATAGTTTTTATGCGATGTATAAAGCTTGTCGCAAAAACAATAAACCATTCGTTCGTACAATGTTGATTCAAAATATGCCAATTGCTGTCTATTCAATCGCCTTTATATCTTGGGTGTCATCACCTTACTCCACTATCTTATCTCATCATCATTTTATTCTATATGCCATCACAACCGGTATTGTTTTTGGTAGAATCGCATCCAAGATCATTCTCGCTCATTTGACAAAATCACGATTCCCTAGATTCACTGTCCTACTAGTCCCTCTTATTATCGGCGCAATCATTACCAATCTTCCTCGGCTCAATGCAATGTAAGTAGATCAGGAAAAAAAAAAAAAAAAAAAAAGAGGGGTTGCAGAAATGGTTTGGAGGTAGAATTCTTTTTTTTCTTTTTTTTTTTTTTTTTGCTAACACCATCCCTTTTTTTTTTTTATTACTATTATTATTATCGTTCAAAATTAATTATCTTGTAGTGATCCCATATTTACCCCTGAATCAGAATATTTGTTTATTTGTGGATACTTTGTCTTTGCTGTATTGGCTTATTTACGCTGGGCTGTAGTGGTCATTAACAGTTTTTGTTCTTACCTTGGTATCAACTGTCTCACCATTCCCAAACGGAAAACTATGTAGAATAATGATTATATGTATATTTATCCCTTATTATTACTATTATTATTTTTATTCTCATTACTTATGTCATCATATTCTAGTTATAGTCTTTGTGAATATTTTACTTTCTTTTTTTTTTTTTTTTTTGCATTCTTATTCTTATTCTTCCTATTCAATCTCCCCCAAAAGAAAAATCAATAAAACTATATCATCATTATTCGATCTTGAAGAAATAGATCACGGTTCTTACTATGTAATACAAGATCATCTCTAAAGTTCATTCCCTTTTTTTTTTTTTAGTCATCATGTGCTTTATATTCTTACCCCACCTCCTGATGGCATTCCAACTAAAAATATCCGTATAACGATACACCATCATATGCTTTATAGAATTCTTGTTCCTAACTCATTCGTCTGATCACCTGTATCTGACAACAATAATAAAATTATACTCATCGTAATTATCATGACCAATATCAATCAAAGTAGAAATACAAATTCTCTTCATTTCATTTTCAACAAAATGAATCCTAAAGTCCTCCAACTCGGTTATCATCACATAGAACCATCCTTAAATTATCATCTATCATCATCACTCAAATCTCCATTAATCATATATCAATATGCTATCATCAGATGTCGTCATGTCTAAAAAATCATCAATGCATGAAATTTCCTTACCAGGTGTAAAACTAATGGCAGATCTTTCAACTCAACGAGTCGAAAGAAGAAAAAAAAAAAAAAAGAAAAATGATATATGTTTTTTCATTAAATTGATTCATCCTGTATTCCTTACCTACCTTCCTTCAAATAGTGTTCATATATATAATGCTGTATCTTTTTTTTTTTTTTTGGATATGAACTGACCATCAGATTGGTTCTCCCCTGATAGAAGTGGCTTGCTTGCGAATGGGGACACAGCGGCCGCTAAAATTTCATATTACAAGTCTGACTATTTTTGTATTTCTTTCCCTGTCATTTTCCTTTTCCTGTTTTCTTTTCTTTTTTTTTTTTTTTGGGATTTTGTCAAAACTCGAAAAGCGACCCTTGTTATCAGCATGAGTAACAGCACTGAAGTAGAGACTATGGAGATCCATCAACAAAGCCAACGTAATTTGAAACAAGCATTGTTGGCTGGTGGCATGGCTGGTACAGCTGTCGACACTGTCTTATTTCCTTTAGGTAATGATCTTAAACAAAAGAAGAACCATAAAAGAGTTTTTTTCTGTTTAATATATTCTTACTTACTTGTTTATCATGTTTGTTCTTTTCTAGATACTATCAAAACTCGATTACAGTCTCAAGCTGGTTTCATGGCTTCTGGAGGTCTTCGTGGTGTTTATTCTGGTCTCCTTGCTGCTGTCGTTGGTAGTGCACCCAGTGGTAAAAACCTGAATAAGAAGTTTGACATTAAAACAAATCAAGATACTCAATCACTATTTTGTTGTTCTTTTTTTTCTTTTTGTGTATAGCATCCCTATTTTTTGTTACATATGAAGCTACCAAACGTGTCCTGAGCACTTCCATCGATCCAACCTATGCTCCTCTTATACATATGGTTGCAGCTTCTTGTGGTGAAGTGGTAAAGTATAATAATAAATAAAAAAAAGAAAAAACCAGGATTCTTACTCTCTTTGTTGAAAATGAAAATATACCTTTATTAATATTTCTATTGGTAGACAGCGTGCAGTGTTCGTGTACCAACCGAAGTAGTAAAACAACGGATGCAAACCAAACAATTCAACTCGGCATCTTCAGCGGTTTCCAACGTTGTTCGTACTGAAGGAATCCTTGGACTTTATCGTGGTTTCCTATCTACTGTAGCTCGCGAAATTCCATTCACTTGTATTCAATTCCCTTTATACGAATATTTCAAACGTATCTATGCAAATCGTTATGGTCGACCTGCTGAACCTTATGAAGCAGCTCTTTGTGGATCTTTAGCTGGTGGTATTGCGGCTGGTATAACTACTCCTTTGGATGTTTGCAAGACCCGAATCATGCTATCTACCAAGGTAAATATATATATATATATATGGAGGATCAAATTCTTATTCCTAATTTGTGTTCCCTTTTTTTATTTATATATATATATAGAATCAAAACACAAAACAATATACCGGTATCTTATCAACCATGAAACGGGTGGCAGCAGAAGAAGGACCTCGAGCATTACTGTCTGGACTTGGACCAAGAGTAATGTGGATCTCTATTGGTGGAAGTATCTTTTTAGGTGTATATGAAAAGGCTCTCAAGACGTGTACTCAATTACGGCTATTGGAAAACGAACGATATTAGATAGACTCTTTTTTTATTATTATTATTATTATTATTTTTTATTCCTATTTCCTTTTACTATACATTCCTTCATTTTTATTTTATTTTACTTTATTCAATCTACCCTTAGCATATATTCAGGATAATGTGTGTTTTACTTGTTTATTTGTCATTTGTATTATCATTCCCCCCTCTCTCTCACTTTTATTATTATTATTATTATTCCTTCATCCTTACACATTCTGTACAGTTTCATTCATGATAAAAAAAAAAAATAAAAATTGGACGGTTTATAGATAAATATGTGATACAGATATATTCTAAAACAGAACCCACGAATGGTAGTGTTTTCTTGTTGATAATGGATGTTGGTTGGTGTTAATTACTCTTATCATAGTGAAGGGAATAATTTTATAACAACAATCAGGATGATAAAGAAGACTTTTGTACATAAGATCGACTGATCAATGACGCATAAGATAACTGTTAATGATGATGATCAATAGAGGGGAATAATAGTTGGTGATGCTGTTGATGATGATCATCTTCATGTAATTGTAGATGATTTCAAGAATCGTCTTACAGCTTTGATATTGATAAACAGTTGTATGTGATAATATTTCTCCAGGTGATCAGCAATCAGAACCTATTCATTTATCGTCAACCTTAAAGGAAAAAAGGAATTTACTAAATCCAGATATGTCTGCGACTAACCATCAGTTTAAATAGAAAAAAAAAATTTTTTTTTTAATTTCATAGAAGGGGAATAATCATTCATGATTGTCGATAATAAGCAAAGTCTATTCTAAAACAATTCTAATTTAATCTAACACGCATTATCTTGATTCATCCGTCTTCATCCATATCATTGTCGCCTTCCAATAGTAGCTTTTCCATTTCGTCCAGAGCATTATATGTCGCAGCAGTTCCAGCCAAAGTAACCACATCCTATATACACATATAATGATTAACACACACACATCAAATAAAAAAAAAAGTGAGTTGTATGTCATCAAACACGCACACACACACACACACTTCTTATTTTGTAAGGCTTAGGCTTACCATAACCAAGTTATCACGAGCGGAATCACCACCATTGACAAACTGATAAGTGGATAATAAATAGATATAAAGATCTTGTGGGAGATAGATATTAGAAATGAGTGTCCTGTAAAAGTGATGTAAAGCGTCCAGTAAAATAATTGTAGGAGGTAATACCAAATGCCATTCCAAGTCCAGTTGTTGTTGTGCTTGTTGCTGGTAAAGCTCAACTTGAGAAGGAGAAGCTACGGCCAGTTCAGTTTCAATGTACAAACACCATTGTGCACACCTATCAATAAAAGTGGGATTCCAGATCGCAACACGCGGAGACTGCGCTTCGTGCAAAACACGAGTATAATTCACAAGGGTCGCTATGATCATTGTAGGATTCATTGTTGAGGAAAACGAAAGAACATCCTGTGCCACTTTGACCAATGTATGAAGAGAGACAGGTAATAATATATGAAGAAACAATAGAGACAAGTTTTATTGTTTTAAATTATGAGATAGGAAGAAGGAAAGAAAAAAAAAAAAAAAGAAAAAAAAAAGAAGGAAAAAAAAAAGAAGAAAAAAAAAGAAGAAAAAAAAAAAGAAGAAAAAAAAGCGGTGACCTAAATCTTTAATCCTTCCCACTAGACATATTCTGTTCGAGATCAGATCGACTGTCCTCATCATTATAATCGATGCCATACCGTACATATAATCCATAACATAGAAAACCACCCATGATCTAAATCATCATCATTACCAAAAGAAGAAAAATAAATAGAGCGAAAAACCTAGACTTTTTTTTTTTTTTTTTTTTTTTTTTTTTTTTACCTGAGCACATTTTATCAACCAGATGATGAGCGCCCATCGATAAATCACATTTCCGAATAGTTGTTCAATATGAGGATAACAACCTTGTTGAATCAAACCATCCGTAGTTGAATGAATATGTCTATCATATGAGTGATTGAATCCTATACATTGCCATCGATCTTCCATGGATCGTATTGTCCAAGGATCTTGTTCATATGCTAGTTGCCATGCTCTTGACAATTGTTGTGATAAAAAGGTCCGTCGATCAAGTAATAACCAAGTAAATTGAAGTAATTGTAAAATACTTAATCCCAAAAGCATAATAAAACACTATCAAATAATAATTTAAAATTATAGATATAGTTAGTAAGAGTATCATCCTATTCATATATCACCTTTTTTATTACTATTATTATTATTATTTACTATTACCTTGAAAAAGGTATCCAAAGGTATAACATCTAGTATCATGATGATGTAAACCATCATCATCACATAATGAGTCCATTCCAGCTGGAGCATGATTTTAGGTGAAATACCAATATGTTTGTCAAATGTGGATGGATCCGATTGAAAAAGGAAGGAAAGTAACGATGATGATGATGATGATGATGATGCGTATAACTGATTAACACTGTAAACGATCACGGATGATGCCAGCAACTAACAAAAAAGGAAAACAAACAAAATAAATAAGACACATTGAAAAAAGAAAAAAAACATGATTTACCAATAAACACCAAATACAAGTAGACATTTTCCATTTTATCCATTTCTTTTCTTCCAATATCATTTTTTTTGTTTTCTTTTTCTCTTTTTGAAGAAATACAAAGACCCAAACAAGAATAACAAAGAGGAAAAAAAAAAAAAAAAAGGAGATGCTTAAAAAAAAAAAAAAGAAAGAAAGAAAAGAGATGATTAAAAATATACCGATCAATTCCTATTTGGGGTATTAATGGGAAGAATGTCATAACGCAGAAACGCATATAAATATATAATATAATGATAAAATAGGGTAAATCACATGCATATATTTATGAATATTCCAACAAAATCAATAAAGAAGAACAGTACTTTAACTGTTTTCTTTTCCTTTATTTTCTTTGATTTAAAAAGTCTAGTACTAATACAAATCATCACTCTAAACTAAACAAACTAATACATCCTATATCCTGTTGTATATATATATCTATTCTTCGTTGGCAGACAAGTTGACAGCAGGATTGAAGAACAAGGATTCGTTACCCCAGAAGAATTGCTAAAAAAAAAAAAAAAAAAAAAAAAAAAAAATTAGTTAGAGATATTTATCTCGTTCTATTTTTTTTTTTTTTTTTTGAATGATTCCTTACTCTAGCACGGTAGTTGATATATTCATATTTGACCCATTCCTTAGGATGATGCAATTGATGTTCGTGGTGCTTTTCATACAAGTTGTAAGCGTTCAAACTAGCAGCAGCAAGACTAATATAATAATGTATAGTAAGTATCAAACCAATTATGAAACGAAAGGAATCACTTACGCAGGGATACAGACAAAGATAGAGATCTTTTTCCAGGTATCAGCAGACTCTATCAATATAATTATTATTATTATTGTTGTTGTTGACAAAAAATATATATATATATATATTTTGACTTACTGGCAGCATGAGCACGGATAGCTTCTTTTTCAGCAGCAGAAGCAGTGGAAGAGAATCGGACACCAGCACGCTTAACAGATTGAAGCACTTGGCTGTTGAAGAGAACACGAGAAGCCATTGGTAATATTATATAGATGTAAAGAAAAAAGAAAAAGAAAGAAAAAGAAAAACAGAATGGTAAAACTTTTTTTTTCAACTCCCCCCGTCGTTCCTTTTGCCCTTCTTTTTTTTTTTTTTTTTTTTTAATTGGCCACACCACCACGTCAGCGAATTCATCCTTGAGCGGAGATCAGTAAACACAAAAAAAAAAATGAGCCACTTCCTCACTTTTGTTCATTGACAAGTAAGAAATAATAATGGCAAACCAGACCATCTACTGTACATATTATTAGAATAAATTTTCCATCATCCATTCTTCTATTCTATCATCATTCCATTGTTGAGTGAAAAAAAAAAGTTTGAGCGTCAAAAAAAAAGGACCTTTAAAATAAATGTTACACAGAAGGAAGATCAAGGTGCAAAAATGTAAAGTTGTGAGGGAAGAGAGACTCGAACTCCCAACCTTCAGATCTGGAATCTGACGCACTGCCAATTGTGCTATCCCCCCAAGTTTTTTGTTTGGACCATAAAGTAGATTATATTTCCAATCGGCGGATTTTAAATATAACTACTTATTTGGAAGATTGTACAACCTCATCATCATCTACCGGATTTCAACCTCGTACATCTGGAAGAAGAACACAGGTGATCTGGAACATAGTTTAAATTTTTACCCGATGTTTTTTTTTTTTTTTTTTTTTATATCAATTTTTTATTTATTTTTAATCACGATATACAGATAAACTATTTTATTTTCAGATGGATTTTCTTTTTTTACAAGAAATAGTTTTGTGATTGTCGTATCAGCGTATTCCATAACCATATATCCATAAAATAAAAAATAAAGGATGCATTCACAAATAAAGAATAATAAAAAAATACATTAGAAGATGGAATCAATTACATTGACATGTAACAAAGTAATATGAATAAAAATAAAAAGCTTTATTAAATAAAAGTATAACTACTATAGATCACTAATTGATATATTTAAGTTATTATAAAGAAAAGAAAGAAATAAAAAAAAAAAAAATTACACGCATATCTAAAAAATAAAAAAAATAAAGGTACGGACTTTGAAATTTAGTATACTCATGTTACCTTCTAAACATTCTTTCTTTCTCTTCTCCTCTTTTCTTCTTGCTTTTGTCCCTTTTTGTTCTCCTCATTACAATCATGATACATTAGTTAGTCTCTCCTTTCTTTAGTTTAGATATAAATATGTTATTTTATTTATACGACAACAGAGAACTATCTTTTACACTTTATTCAACAATTACTTTACATTGTTTCATTTTTCTACATTAAACAACTAATATATTCTCCTAAGTGTATATACATATTTGACAATAAAAAAAAAAAAAAAAAAAAAAAAAAAAAAAAACGAGTTCTTTTAGTCAAATCTAAATTTTCAATATATCATTTGTGATACACAGTGTAGTAGATCAAAAACCTCTGGAATCTGGCGCTCTACCAATTGTGTTTTCCCCCAGCTGTTTTGTGATATTTTTTTTTTGTATACTTTTATCAGCCCTTCGTCACAATCATGAATAGTTTAGATTCTGTCATATCAGTGTGTTTCATACCTATAACATATGTGTATAATAAAAAAAAATGCATTCATACATATATAATACATCTTGTAGATGGATTCTATTGACATGTAATAAAAATAGTTGTAATAAAATAAAAACTTTATTGAATACAAAAGTATGTAAAGTAACGACTACATTAATGTATACAATAAAACCATAAAAAAAAAAGTCAATGGAAGAGAAAAAGAAAGGAAAATAAAAAATAAAAAAAAAATAAAAATTAAAGAAACAAAAAAGGGACTTTGAAATTTATTCTACTTTTAATCTTAAATTCACCCCTGAGTAAAGAGCTTTAATTTAATGCATGAAGAATATCGATATATTTATCATATAATCATCATCAAAGGAATCAATCTTGTATATCATACAAACTAATCAAGTTTATCAACAAAGAGTATACATGGTATTTAATAATCATATGATGATTATAATTTTATTTTCAAAATAGATATAACAGTGACATGTAGATACAATAATCAACTTTTTCTTTTTTATTTTTTTTAATAAACTAAGAAGAATCTCACTGACTTGTTACTAGTCTCATATTTTTATTCTATTCAATCTAAACATAATTTAACAGATTCTTACTGATTTTTTTTTTTATTTGAACATTGATTTCTTTATTTTTTTTTTTTATTTATTTTTATTTTTCCATCTTATTTTGATCTTGGACTTTTTTTTTTTTTTTTTTTACTAGTGGTTAGTGTTAATGAAATTTATTTACATTCTTTTATAATAAAAGTCATATTCTTCCCCCTTTTTTTTTTTTTTTTCTTCTCGTAGTTGTCATTATTACTATAGTTGGTTTATTATCAGTGATGATTCATCACTTTCAATCTCTATTATCAATCATCATCCATCATTTTATATGATTATTTCAAATCAACACATGAAAGACATATAAATCCATTTTATTTTCCATAATAATAATATTTTTCAATAATAAAATCTATCCACAATAACTATAATATTTGTGTCCAGAGTCAGATTTGAAGTCGCTGATATCTTTCTATTTCATCCAATGCGAAAACGTTGATATCCAATTATTATAAAAATAAAAGGGGTGAGTACTACGATACACAGAATGTCACTGATCATCTTATCATATTTACCTTTCATCCATTATCGATTTTTATAATAATTGGTCTTTTCCCTTTTTTATAATCACGATACATATAGCTTGCTATTTGATTTCATCCCCATTTAGTCATAGTTGTCAAAACATTGTAATCATATATTTTTCTTTTCCAGATCATCTTCCTGTTTTGCTACCTTAGTCGTTGACAAATGAATAAAACCGCATCTATAGATATGTACATATCAGAAACAGTTAGCGACAATGATACTTGTATAAATATAGCCAAGAGAAAAAAAAAAAAAGTGATATCTACAGGCATCTATTCCATACTAGTTGTCATTAAACCTTCAATACTTGTAACATAAAAAATAGATTAGTGACAATGATATTCCTAAATCTTCCCTTGTTTTACTTTTTTTTTTTTCTTTTAACGAGCTTTACCTAAACCTTCAAATGTCACCTACTTTGTTTCATTAATCACTACCATAGAAAGTAGTGAAAATAGACTTATGGTATACCTCTATTCAGTTAATTCCTGTCGTCATACTTGTCATTATTCATCCAACTGAATCCATCCATTTAAAACTGTTGTGTATCTATCTATTTGTTTTTGATTATAAAGTCGAGTTTTGTGAGCACCGTCGTGTTTTCATTGAACTGAATAGTCTCGCATAGAATCCAGTCGCAATCTATTTCACATTAATATGCAGAGAATAAGAAAAAAAAAAATACAATTCAGATTAGTAGAGAGGGGAGAAAAAAGAATGAAAAAAAAAAAGTGAAGCGGAACGAAAAGAAAGGTTCAAAAATATGACCAAAAAAAAAAAAAAAAAGGTTATACTTTATTTCATTTTGTTGAAGCCATTGTACTATCTATATATATCATAGTTTAATGGATTAAAACAAATTATAATCTATCCTAAACTAAACTATATATTATCTTGTTGTATTTATTATCCTGTTGTATATATTATCCTGTTGTATGTATCTTCTCTTTGTTTGCATTATTCTGCTGCTGGTATCATCCTATCCATAGTGATACTTACCTGTCTTTACCTTTCAATCTAGTTGGTGCCCTTTTGATCAAAAAGCAATGAAGAAAATAATAATAATAATAATAATAAGGTTAGTGAAATAATGAACTATTTTTTATAAAATATAACAACGAATTATTTTCCACTTACAGTATGAATTGATTATGGTTTATCTATAATAAATGAAATTAATAATCTTTGATTTATAATATTAATATTAATATAATTTGAAAGTTATATGATTATACAAAAAAAAAAAAAAAAGGAAATGGTTTGAATATATACTGTCCAATCTAATATTTGAATGACGATGATTGATAGATAAAAAGAATAAATAATAGTTCCTAATAGTATTTTTTTTTTTTAAAAAAAAGAATAGCCTAAAGAATTAGTAATAAAAGTAAATAATAAAAAGAGGTAAAAAAAAAAAGGTAATATAAAATATAATAGAAGTAATGGTTTGAATAATATAAAAGAATTAGTAATAAAAGTAAATAATAAAAAAAGGTAAAAAAAAAAAAAAAAGGTAATATAAAATATAATAGAAGTAATGTTTGAATAATGTAAAAGAATTAGCAATAAAAGTAAATAATAAAAAAAGGTAAAAAAAAAAAAAAAAAAAAAAGGTAATATAAAATATAATAGAAGTAATGTTTGAATAATGTAAAAGAATGTGATAAAAGTAAATAATAAAAAGAGGTTAAAAAAAAAAAAAGATGATAATATAAAATATAATAGAAGTAATGGTTTGAATAATGTAAAAGAATTAATAAAAATTTAAAAAAGAATTGGGAACTTTTTGTACTAAAAATATATAGATGTGTGACAAATACAAGAATACTCGATGCTGATTGGCTAAGTTTCATATAAGGTTCATAATGAACAAATCAGTCTAATCAATCATCAATGCGCGGTTGGTTAAGTGGTATAATCTTCGCCTGCCACGCGAAGGGCCGGGGTTCGATTCCCCGACCGCGCAAAATTTTTGGCCTACAAGCTTAATTACCTCAGCCAATCATATCCTTTCTTTTTTTTGCAGCAAAGGTTTTTTTCTTTTTTCTTTTTTTACTCGTTCCCTTTTTTTTTTTTTTTTTTTTTTTTTTTTTTTTTTTAAAAAAGCTATTTTCTTTTTCCAATAAAAAAAAAATAATTACTATTGCATTTATCGACTCTATAACTACAATAACATTTATCTATCATCATCATCATTAAAACATCAATATTACAAATTCATTTCTCCTTTTTCTTTTGTGATTACACAAACAACAATATGATCAACACAATCTATTTATTATACTCACTTTTGTGTAAGTATTCTATCAGTTTTGAAAATAAACGCTTTATGTTATATTATAAATATTCCTTTATTATTATTATTATTATTATTCTTAGTACTTTTATAGTTTACATTTCATGGCAACAGCAATTCCTCTTTTTTTTTTTTTTTTTTTTTGAACAAGAATCATTATGGGTCAATTCGATATCATTGGAAAAGGTAAGCAAAACTTTGGAGAATACTAAGGTAGATAAGCTAACAGAGTAGAAAAATAAAAGACTGTGGCAGATCGTTTGTATGACAGGATGATACAACAGGATGACATATACAACAGAATGATACATACAACAGGATGATACATACAACAGGATGATACATACAACAGGATGATACATACAATAGAATGATGACATACAATAGAATGATGACATACAATAGAATGATGACATACAACAATATGATACGTACAATAGCAAACTGGAGATCCATAGTTTAGTATTGGTTGGTTTAGATTGTTTTAATTTATTATTTATATTTATGTAGCTTCAACAAAAATGTAGTATTTGATTTTGAAATAAAGTATATAGATATAGATATATATTTTACTGAATTGAATGTCCCTCAAAGAACTATGGATTGTTACATGAAAGGATTGATTGAATGAAATTTATATGTGATGATGATGAATGGATGGATGATACGAGGTGATGGGTCAATGAATCAACTAGGATGATGGGATCTGGATAAATGGATAATGGGATTGGTGATAATGGTATGATATAGTGATTCCTATGATAACGAATCCAAGATGAGCTTTAGATAAAGATAAGTCTTGTGATGATAATTTCTGTTAATGATAGGTGGGCATAGTTTGAATGGAAGTGCACAATAACACCATGATACTTTTTACATTTTCGATTTGAAACAAACGTATAAAAATAGGTACACACTTTGTATTTTTAGTTTTTTTCCATCTTCCGCAAAAAAAAAAAAAAGAGATCTCAGTGAAAATGTAGATGTAATTCATCATTATCTTTTCTTTTATTATAAAAATATCCAAGAAAAAAAGAAGCACTAAAAAAGAAAATGGCTACTATATATAGATGTATAAAAGTGAGTTGAATGTGTACATGTATCAAAGACAGTGATGAGAAGAAGAGGACGTGACTATAGTGTTATGTGAGTAGGTGTATATATGAGGAAAAGAAAAAAAAAAAAAAGAAGATCTATATATTCCAATCAAGGCCATTTGAGGATTTCCAATTTGATTTGAGGATCCCAACCAGAGCAATGAGAACTTTCGCTTGCACTACCATCACATAATGATTGAACATCAGTATTAACCCATTCACCCAAAGTCTTGATGGCATTGCTGACCAAGCTATTGGCATACTCCATCACATGTACATTGTCAGTCATTGAACCAGCACCGTAATGGGTCATCACACTGTGAACCGCACGTTTAATATTGAGGACAAGACTATGCACCAATAATCCATCATCGAAGGTAGCGTTATCTGTAAGTTGATTCTTGATACGTCCAATGATACGTGTTTTCACCTATAGAATCAAATATTATTCATTATATATATATATAAAGAAGAAAAGTATGACTGTGATAAGTGATCTATTCTTTGTTTTATATATATATATATATATACATCAAATACGTACCATCTGCAAATGATAACAAATAGAAGGAGGATTACCACAAATATAATCCATGTGATCGCCTGCATCCCAAAAAAAAAAAAAAAAAAATAACAGTAATTGAGTATTCAATATGAATTTTTTTCCAATCATATTCACTTACATTCGTCCAAGGTCCATGAAACACCTTCAGGAGGCATAGTTCGATTCAATCGTTTAGGATGGTTGCAATCACCTTTGAATGGATCTTGTTCGTTGAACATAACGTTGTAAATACCAGTAGTCAAAGGTTTACCGGTAGCACGATTAGTGTAAATTTCCAAGGTTTCTTGCACAGCACGAAGAACAGCATCTTTAATAGAGTCTTCGGGTACCACAGAAGTGATTTGAACAGGTACGGTAATGGATTGGAATAAGTTGGTTTTCAAGGTAGAATGAAGTTGAGATACAGCGTCTTGTACAACAGGTGCGTAACTATCAGCGAAGGCTTGAGCAACTCCACGTCGACAAGGAGGTTCACATCCTGAAACCATAGTTGCTACAAGAGCAACAACAGCTAATGTTGATTTGATTAACATGATGATATATAAAAAAAAAAAAAAAGAATGATGAAAGAACAAGAAAGAAAAAGAAAAAAGGAAAAAAAAAAAAAGAAAAGAAAATAAATAAAAATAGGGGTTTTCACTATATTGAGAGTGAGAACCAAATTTCAAAGGAGGTTTTCATGAATGTGATTGGCTCAAGTATTTTTAACTATTAAGCGGCGAGTGAAAAAAAAGACCTCGAAACAGTAAAAAAAAAGATCAATATATATATATTTGTGGGTATCCAAGCCAGGGACAGGGAATACCAGTTAACTAAAAATACAAATACTCGTCTTTTTATTTATAAGATAAGCCTCACTACGAAAAAAAAAGGTACAATGATATGATTAGACAAATTGTATTTTATTATGATAATGATTCTTTTTTTATCGTATAAATTAAAAAAAAAAAAGGGAAATGAAGTGAGGACAAAAACTATACTAATAAACTATGTTAAGAAGGATGATGCTTTTTGTTGTTGTTGTTGTTGTTCAGTATTCAATACCCTATAAATGTAATAAAAAAAAATCCCAAAGAAGGTTAATTTTTGATCTTGATGAGGTAACCATGAGGTTCTCCGAGTATGTGTGAGATTTTTTTTTTCCAAACTTACGTTTTCTTTGCAATGTCGTTGTACATTTTCGAATACTTTGAGTAATTTCCTTCTTGCCCCAATGGTATTGACACCAGCATCAATCATATCTTGATCACTCATTCGAACCACTTGTTGCCACTGTAATCCAATAAAAGCATGTCCATACTTGTGTAGCCTTAAACTTCGAAGCCAGCTTTGTACATCTATTATTTCCAAATTAATAAAGTTTTTTTTTTTTTTTATTTTAGTGTCAAATAGATAAATAAGCCATATAAATTTTAATATTTACCTTTCATTAATTCTAAATCAACTGTTTCTGCTGCAATTTTGTCCTTCAATGCTCTAGCTGCAGATGATCGTTTACGTCGTCTTGCTGTACCAGTTAACACTTGTTCTTTGGTACTACCTGTTGATACATCACTATGATCACTTTGATAACCTGTCACAGTAGTGGAAGAGACTGATGTTTGTAATACTTCATTTTCATAGACAGTTGGCGGTGTCAAAAAGTGTCCTATACCTGTCGAAGGTACTGTCATTTTTGTTGCTGTTGTCGTTGTTGCTGTTGTTGGAATTTCTGTCGCTATAGTTGATTTCTTTGCTGGTAATAATGAGGGTGATGATGGAGGTATTGAAGATATGGGTAAAACGGTAGAGGATGGAGAAGTACTGAGAACGGCGTTCATATTGGTGACATGCATTATAGGTGGAGGAGTAAGACTGATACTTGTATTGCTGGTATGACTACTATGGTTGCTACTGTTGCTGTTACTACTGCTACTACTACTACTGCTACTACCTACTGCCGATGTGATTGAAGTTGGTGTAGGAGAAGATGATGTTGATGATGATGTTGTATTGTTCATTCCAAGATTCATGGTGCGTTTATTGTCAGATGAGGATTGAAGAGTTGATCTTGACCATTGTCGGGGACGTATTGTTTCACCTCGTAAGCGTGCTTGAGCTTGTTCCAAAGTGTTCAGACTATTATGTAGAGTTGAATTCAACATACCATTTGTTGTTGGAGGAGATGGCTTGGATGATGTGATATGATTTTGTCTTGTTGGAAGATCGTTCAATGATTCTTGTTCTTCTCTAATGGGTCCACTTTTTCTACCAGTCCAAGAAGGTAAATCCATCAAGTCTTTTTTTCTTTTTGATAAAGAGCCAAATGACCATGCATCGTCTATGGAGGATTTGCTTGAAGTAGAACGATGGTCACCTATTCGACCAACAAGATTGGATCGTTCTGTTGTATGGCGAGTTAATGGGAAAGGCCAATCAGTACCAAAGAGAGAAGGATGGTGTTGAAGAGTATCTATAGATGGACTTGGTTCTGAAGAGGTAGTATTTGTAGGAGTAGATGAAGTGGTAGATAAAAGAGGTTGTAAGCGTCCACCAAGGGAATTTGATTTGACTGATGCTAAAGCTGCTGCATGACCATTATGTGCTGCTTGTATTTGAGCTCTTGCTGCCAAGGCCTTTTCATGTAATAAACCTTGACGACCTAAACTGCTAATAGATGGCGGATCAGTTAAACGAGTTGGACCAAATAAATCACGACTATGACGACGAAGATCATCAGGTTCACTTGAGGCTGAGGTAATACGAATAGGAGATCGAGTATTGTTGATATTATTGGTACCACGTCGATTAGGAGGATACATTTGTCGTTTTCTTCGTTCATATTCTGATTCTGTTGATACTACGGAACCAGCCACAGGAGCGATCACTGAATCTAAAGTAAAAAAAAAAAAAAAAAAAAAAAAAAAAAAAAAAAAAAAAAAAAAAAAAAAAAAAAAAAAAAAAAAAAAAAAAGGTCGAGTATAAATGAATTGGAAATAAATAAATAATAATAACAATTAACTAATTACCTTTGTCCTGGCCAGCAGAAGCAAGTGAATTTCCAAAAGGTTCTTGGTTAGCCAATTGTTGAAGTACCATGATAAGGAAACGTATTTGTATTTGAGAGGCATTTTGAACCACAGAATATAAAGCAGCTGTACGTTCAGCATCTGAACGACAACGAAACCATTGATTGACATGTTGTAATTCATCCTTAAAAGTTTCATCTAAACTAGCAGCGGCAACTTCTTCTAGCATTTGTTCATATTTTTGAATATTTTCAAACCATTGATCGATAGCTTCAGCTATTAAAAAAAAAAAAAAAAAGTTAAGTCCAGATGATATACAACAAGTATTATGCAATTTGTTGTTGTCACACTCCTTAAACAGTTTGTTGTTTTGTCCAACTCCCCTTTTTTTTTTTTTAGTTTATTTACATTCAGTAATATGCGTACTAGTTGAATTTGGAGTATTATTGAAGAGTTGTGATTGAAGAATATCAGAAGTTGGTCTATCTCTAGTCATACGAGTCCTTTGTTGATGAGTACTACCAGGTAATAAACCAATGAGATCAGTTGCTGTCATTGAACGAAAGGAAGCTAAACTTGCTGTTGCAGGTGAGTGTATTGAAGCATGTCGTTGAAAAGTATTGAATAAGTTTTCTTCCATGGCGCGATGAACGTCGTGAGCTGTAGTCATGATTAAAGGTATTTTATATAATTGATATACTATAAAGGTTGCATATAAGTTAAAATAGTAAAAAGAAAGGAGGGTATGAAAAAAAAAAACAATAATAATAATGATAATAAAAAGAATGAAAAAGGGTAACAAAACAAAACAAAAAAAAAGAAGGAATGCGTTGTTGTTTTTAAATAAAAACAAAAAAAAAGATATATAAGATAAGAAAGAAGAGAGAGAGAAAAAAAGAAAAGAAAAAAAAAATAGATGGAATAGAATGAGAAAAAAGAAAAGTAAAAGAAGAAGGAAAAAAAAAGGAGGTTGAAGGGGAAGAAAATAGGGCTCAAGTAAGAAAGTTAAGAAAAAAAAAAAAAAGGTCTCAAGAGTCTTTTTTGAATATCCGCGATGGATAAAATCAGCCATGTGTTTTGAAATAAAATTCTATTGTGTACGTCTTCGTGGCAATGTTCTCCTTAGTGTGCAACTCTAGTGGAGATTAAATAATAATCATAATAATAATAGGAGCAAACAGGCTTTATGTTTTAGTAACCTGTAACCTAGTCATCATCATTATAATTTAGGTTTCACACACACATATACACATTTATATATATATATTTCAGGGGTTAATTCAAAAAAAAAAATAAAAAAAATAAAAAAACAGATTTATTTATATAAACAATCTTTTTTTTTTTTTTTTTGTTAAGCATTGACAACTGTACCACCATTAGGATGAATAACTTGACCAGTAAGGAAAGAAGAATCATCCGATGCCAAAAATACAAATGCAGCAGCTACTTCACAAGGTTGAGCAGGACGTTTGAAAGGTGGGAATGATCCAAAGTTATGAATTTCTTGTTCATTAAAAGTATTAGGAATCAAAGGTGTCCATACAGGTCCAGGTGCAACAGCATTAACACGAATTCTTCTTTCTGCTAATTGTTGTGAAAGTGCACGTGTAAAAGAAACTACTGCTCCTTTGGTTGCTGAGTAATCTACTAAAACATCCATACCACGATAAGCTGCAATGGATGCAGTATTGATGATGATGCCTCCAGCCTTAAGATGATTGCATACAAGTTTGGTCATGAAAATAGGTCCAAACACTAACAAAAAAAAAAAAAAAGTCGTTTCCTTTATTAGTGCTTGATCCATTTTTAGTAATCCGATCTCTCTTTTTTTTTTTTTTTTCTTTTTTTCTTTTTTTCTTTTTTTTTTTTTTTTACCATTGGTTCTGAATGTACGTTCCACAGTATCACAATCCAAATCTTCTACCTTCAATACTTTATGTTGTTCTGCAGCATTATTGACCAAAATATCAATACGCCCAAATTGAGCAAGATGAGCATCCAAAATTTCTTTACAATTCTTTTCATAACCAACATCACGAGCAATCAGATGAACTTTGCATGATGATTGAGCTTCAATTGTGTTTTTGGTATACAAAGCATCGGCATCTTCACTTTCATCACGGTATACAATCGTCACACCAGCCAATCCTTCAAGTGCGTACAAAGTAGCCACTGATCTTCCAATACCGCTATCAGCACCAGTGATCAATGCGTATTTGCCTTCCAACTTGCCAGATCCACGATAAGGCTTGAAGTAAGGTTTACCTGTAGCTGCATCAAATGCTGGTAGATGTTGAGTCACTGGGGCAGGCTTCAAAATGGATGCAATCCCTGATTTATTGTTGTAGGAAAGCTTTTTACGAATTTCATTAAATTCATACACATCTTGAGGAAGGTCTTCATCAAAGCCAAGAGTCATGATTATATAGTTTGTTTTTCAATGGGAAAATAAAATAAAAAAAAAGAAAGGAAAAAAAAAATAAAAATAAAAAAAATGAGACATATTTATATTCAAATAAAGGATCATCATCGTTTCATCCTTTTTTTTTTTATTGTTATCGTTGTTATTATTTGTTATTTGACCACACAGTTGTGCCATTCTGGCATAAATGGTAGCACACACTTCTAGTAACCGAAAGCAATAGGGCTTTGTAAGATTTTAATTTTCACTGACCAGCCTCTCTTTTTATTTTTATTTTTATTTTATTTTTTTCTTGTTTACTCTCCTCAATCATCTTATTTTAGAATGATGATCGTAATGATGATGATGATGATGATTGAGATGGTCGTGAGACTTTCTATGATGATGGTTGCTATGATAATGATGATATCTTCCTGATGAATGTTTGGTGATGATAGTTGTTATGATGATATTTATTCTAGGATGATAATACAGTTAAAAAAAAATGATAATGATTCTAGGATGGTGATACAGTTAATGATGATGATGATGATGATGATGATGATGATGATGATGATGATTGTAGGATGATGATGCAGTTAATAAAAACAATTAATGATGATAGGGTTGACCACACTTTTGGTAGGATTTGTTTATTTTATAACTGGATGGATGATAAATGATTGTATACTCAACATTACGGCTATTCGCAAATCCTTGCATGAATGACCTAAATATAGTAGCTGTCAAAGTTAAAAAAAAAAAAAAGTGGAACCCCTTTCAGAAACCAAGCTAAAATCTTCAAAGCCAGCCAAAGCTTTTTTCTTACTGCTTGAAAACAGTTGCACGTTTGACACGGGGACGTTGGTATAATCATTGGTTATCAAGCCCTCAGTTTCATCCTAACCCAGCATCTTGCAGGGGACCATTATTACCCCCTCATCTAAAAAGGCATCATCTGCATTAGAAAAAAAAAAAAGTCAAAAATTTTTTTTTCGTTTTTCCCGTTTTTCTCTTTTCTTTTTTTTTTTTTTTAATATATATTTTTTATTTTAATCATCATCATCATCGTTATCATCAATTTTCAACATCATCATCAGGATTATCCATCAATAATAACAACAAACAAATGTCAACAGTAAGATCTAGTAATATCACTAGCAGTGGTAGCGATTATGTGACCAGCAAAACTCTGCCACACTTACCAAAAGGGGTACGTGTTCCAAAATTACATGCAAATACTAAGCCGATTATTGCAGGAGAATGGAATGAAGATGAAAATGCGTCGCAACAAATGCAGCTGATGATGCCTGGTCAACAAGGTGGTGGGCGACGCGAATTACAACCTTTCCATGCTGGAGTCAGTCGTAGTGATCAAAGATCGGGAAATCAAGAACCACCTCCTATTTTCGCCTCGCAACCTAAACGAAGTTTTACTTTGAAACGACCTACTAAAGTACAACAACATATTTATCGTATGTCTGGTGGTATTGAACCTGTAGATTTATTGTGTGATCGTCTTTCTGTTTGGCGCTTAGCATTAAAAGATCTGGTACATAACACAAATTCCCAAAAATAGCCGCACAGACTCATTTATATTCCTTTTTTTTTTTTTTTTTTATATTTGTTTATGATAGAGTCATATGTTCAACAATATCATTGATGCTGAAACAAAAGTCGCCAGTGGATATGCTGCTTCTAACAAACCGTTGTCGATTCCATTTCGGGAATCCAATAATCAGTTCTTGCATTCGGGTGGAATTCAAGATGTTTGGATTAGTTATCGTAATTTCACCATTGAAAAAAGCATGATGCATCATGAATACGTAGGTTATTTGAAATCAGCAGTCATTCCTAGTTTGAACAACTTGAAACGTGATATCAAAGAGTTTGTCAAATCGATTGAAAAGGATCCTTGCTTGAGATCTTCCATCCTATATCATGCTCGTCAAAGAGCTGATGATATGGTGAATCATTTGGATAATGCTATTAAATACGTTTATCATTCTCCTGATAATGTTGGTGCCAATGAAGATCCTGCCTTGTTGAATTTGGGTAAGTCAAAAAAAAAAAAAGTCAGCTTGGATTTTTTTTTTCTTTTTCATCTCTTTCTTTTCTTTTTTCTTTTCTTTTCTTTCTTTTCCTCATACTTTTTTTTTTTTTTTATCAGGTGTCATTCAAGCTTTCAAATCACTCTTCAATGAAGAAAACAATCTTCATGCCAATGTTATTCAACTTCAACGGGAAGCAGCTACTGTGGAACAACGTATCATTGGTAGTTTGAATGTTATTTCGAAGAATTGGGAAAATTATTGTCTCCTACATCGTACAGACGCTAAAACAATCGTAAGCAAGATCACTGCCACTTTTGCCAATATCAAACCAAACTCGGATTGGAATGAATTCATACGTCGTAATCAATTTCAACTGGTGAATGAAAAAGCAACATACAAGACTGACGACGAAATGCAATACACCAACCAAAACCACGACCTGTGTATTCCTGTCAAGGTGAACTTTTTGAATCGACGGACCGCAATGAAGAAATGGAAGGAAGGTCTCTATGTACTTACACCAAGTAAGTGTATATATATGTGTGTGTGATTTTGATTTGAACATAATGATATTCATATTTTTTTTTTTTTTTTTTTTTTTTTTTTAGCCGGTTACTTACATGGGTTCAAGCATGCAAGGCACTTTGAAACAGATCCCCTGTCTCCAGAAATTTCCATTTTTTTGCCTCACACAACTGTGTCGTCTACCGATGAACAAGCCGAAGATCTCAGTTTCCAAATTTCGGGTCGTAAGAAAGCATTAGTTGGTCAAAAGGTATTCGTTTTCCAAGCAAATGACGAAGCTGATTTGGCAGATTGGTATTCGGAAGCTCAACGGTTATCTGAAGTCAATACGCAATATGAAACATTAGAAGTTGAAGGTGTACCTCCTGCTCTCCCTGGTATGGAACCTGAAGAACGTGAAGAAGAATATGCCAATATTCGACGTCTTACTGATAGTGAACAACAAAATCGTTTGATTGATCAAGGGAATGAACAACAACAACAACAACAACAACAAAGACCAATAGATAGTAGTGATGATGAAGAACATTACGATAACGTCACTAGCAACAAGAATAATCTTTCGACAGCAGCCGTTCTACCCGACAATATGGTATCATCATCTCAATCCAACCCTCCTCAACAAACCAACCGATCATATTCTCCCCGTCTTCAACAAGGCACCAAAACTTATTCACCTCGTCTTCAACAACAATCATCATTTGGATCAACTGGTCGTGATTCACCCAAGGTACTTTCAGAAGATGGAGAAAAGCATGCTGTGAACGATCAACCTGCAACTGGGAGCAGCTCGGTGCCGAAAAACGTCCGATCCTCACCAAAAGTCCATGATGAAGGTGACTTTGTACAACGATACAACGACAGATTATCGATGGATGATGATAATGAAGGAGATACTAGTGGTGTTGGTCTCGGTCTTGTTGGATCCGATATCAGGTCCTCTTAACTACATCTTTACTGGAGAATCAAGAATGGAATCGATCATTATTATTATTATTATTATTATTACTTTTTTATGCTATTACTATCGCCTTACATAGCTTAGTTTTTATACGTTTTGTTTCTTTAATATTTACTTTTATTAATATAAAAAAAAACACAAAACTTTAGTTTCCAAACTGTCATGTGTGTCTATCTGTGTGAATATCAAATGTTTCTATTTATTTAAATCATTTTATATCATATGAGATTTTGTATAGGGGATCAATCAACACAAAACCAATCATTCAATTCAAAAAATCATAAAGTATTTTTTTTTTAAAAAAAAATATTTTATTGAAATACATATGGGAGGGACGAAGAGTGTAAACGAAGGGTATGAAGAGAGAGAGGGAAAGAGAAAAAGAGAAGAGAATCATCCCGTCCCAAAAAAAAAAAAAAAGAATGTATACTAAGGATGATGTTGTATGTAATGTAAAATAGTAATGAATGATCAAGGTTTTGGAATTCTAAGGGTTTTGCTAATCATCAAAGTACCGCTGACGGCATAAATCAGGACCAAAGGATGTAATTCCCAATCATCAGCAAACACCAACAGTTGACCAGGTAAGGTTTCCAAATAACGATCTTGTAACACAAAATAAGCTAAAAGAGCAACCAAGGTCAATGAAGTAGGAATGGGAGTACCTTCAAAATAATTCACTTTTCCAGATGCATCCTTAGGAGCCAGAGCTACAGTTGCATTATATCTTGCCAATCTTGCAATTCCACAACAAACAAAGTAAGTCAAAACCACCGTGTCTAAATAAGTACGCATACCAACTAATCCAACAATAAATAATATGTTAATGTCAAATAATATTTTCTCTTTATCTATTCCTTCCCCATCATCAATTATTATACTTACTCGCATAGGCAAGAGCTGAAGGTGCAAGACCAAAAGAAATCTAATAATCAAAAATAAAAATAAATCATTATTGCTTTCTTGTTATTATCAATGTCTTACCAAATCAGCCAAACTATCTAATTCTTGACCTAATAAAGAAGAGTTATTCCTCCAACGAGCCACACGACCATCCATAAAGTCAAAAAATAATCCAAAAGGCATAAATGTCATGGCTGAATAGAGATCTTTGATATCATTGGAAACAAGATATCTCATAGACGCGAACACGGATTGTACACCACAAACTCCATTCATTAAAGTAATGATGTCTGCAATATAAAAGTTTCTATATATAATAATAATAAAAAAAATAGAATGAGAAACAATCAAAAAAAAAAAAAAAAGAGAGAACTATTTTTATATAAGGATACATTACCGTACAAGAGAGAAATGTCTTGGGTTGGATACCTTTTTGGTGTCGTCGCTTCCCATAATATTATCAATTGTTGTTGAAGAATATAAAGGTGATAAAATACAAAGGTAGTAATGGGAAACCGGGCAAGTTTGTTAAAAGAAAAAAAAAAGAAAAAGTGAAAAGACGATAAAAAAAAAAAAAAAGGTCAAGTTTCTTTTTTCCTTTTTGTTGGTTTTTTTTTATGTTATACAATGATATAAGGAAAAGAAAAGGAAAAGAAAAAGGAAAAAAAAAAATCCTTGTCTTCACCACAGATGTGCCAAGCGTTGCTTTTTTTTTTTTTTTTTTTTTTTTTTTTTTGCTCGTGACTCGAATGGCCTGGTACTGAGGCGGGAGCCTAAATCACCTTTTTTAGGTAAGAGCAAGAAATCAGCCATTAGATCAGAAGAGAGATCATCCACATACATCATTCAACAATTGAAAAATAAAAAGGAGTTTATTTAACACGAACTATTCTTCAAATACAAACAAAAATCATTGATTATTATCAAAAAAAAAAAAAAAAGGGGGAATCAAGAAAATATTTATTAACGGCATCAATAATTAGATAAAATGAAAAGGAATAAAGATCAAAAACTACAAAGTAAATATATATATATATATATAAATAAATAAAGTACAAATAACAATAATAATAATAATAATAATAATAAAAAGTAATAGATTTCTAAGTTTCAATAACTGGGTCGGATCAAGCTCACTAATCATTATAACAAAAAAAAAAAAAACAATAATATTTAATAATTGTAAAATGCATTTAGTATATAATAACTATACCTGAATCAAAATCAGCAAAAGGATCCACTTGAGTAGTATCATCTAATTTGGTCGAGGAAATAGAAGATGAAGCTGGAGTATTGTTACCATCATCGTCATCATCATCATCATCATCATCAGAAGTACCAAGAGTAGATTCCTTATCATCATCATCCGTAGTAGTTGTGATTTTTCCAGCAGCTTCCAAATCAAAACTAACACTTTCTTTAATATGCTTGAAATGAACAGCATCGATCGGTTTGGCTTTTTGGGAAGGTAAAATAGGAGGTCGCATATGACGAAGTAAGGCAAAATTGATAGGTTTGAAGAATGCATGAGATTTGACTTCACTTGCTCCTGCCCGTGCACCCAATCGTTTGTTTTCATTCTTGTGCAATAGTTTCCGCATACAAGATTTGCATCCATTGGTAATTTCAGGTCCTTGATAATATGGGTTGGTAGCAAAATTTGGAAAGTCCAATGTTTGTGTCATGATCCGATCAAAAGTATCATTGCGATTAGATCCTTTAAATGGTGTGAATCCATACTATCCAAAATAAAAATAAAAATAAAAAAAATAATCATTTGTATAAGAATAATAATAATAACTTACAAGCATTTCGTAAAGTAATATTCCTAATGTCCACCAATCCACAGTACTTGAATGACCACAACCTTTGATTACTTCTGGTGCAATATATTCTTCGGTTCCAACAAATGAATTGGTTCGTACATTGGAGCATGATCTTGTATCTAATAATGGTTGTTGCTATATACCAAAAAAAAAAAAAATTGTTTAGTTATAAAAAGAGATGGTTTTTTTTTTCTTCTTCTTATTTATCGTTTTACATAAAACATCAGAGGAGAAGTTGTCCGAATTATAGTAGGCGATCCTGCAGTAGGAGATTGAACCGATAGATCAAAATCAGATAACATAAGATGGCCACTTTGATGAAGAAGGATATCTATATAAAAGAAAATGTTAGTCAGAGTAAAAAAAAAAAAAAGAAGATATTTTTTTTTCAATGCAGATAAGTTTGACAAAACTTACTTTCAGGTTTAAGATCCCTAAATAATATATAAGGTTTATTAGAAATTTATTGGGATATTATGTGTGACCATGACGATCATTACCTATAAATCAATCCATGCAAATGAAGATATTCAAGAGCGGCAATGACTTCGGCAGCATAGAATCGAGCTTCTTGTTCTTTTAACACTTTTCCTGGTCGTTGTTGTAACGCTAATAATAATAATAATTATAATAATAAAAAGAATGATATAAATATATATATATATATATATATATTATATAATAATATCGTTTACCTCGAAAGAATTCCCCACCTACACAATATTCCAAACAAAAGAAAAGATAATCCTTGCTTTGAAATGAGTGATGTAAAGGTACAATGAATGGATGATGAGCCATAGAAAGAATAGCTTGTTCTGCCATAACTCTTTTGATCTTGTTACGTTTCACCATTTCTTTTTTGGATAACACTATGAATGAATTATTAGTATTGAATTGATCTGTTCTAGTTTCATTTTTTTTTTTTTTTTTTTTTTTTACCTTTGAGAGCATATAATTCTTTGGTATTATTTTCTTGTACAAGATAAACTCTACCAACGTCGCCTTTTCCAAGTAATCGAATCTTTTTGAAATGTGAAGAATCTACTTTGGCTTCATGCTTTTGTACAGTGTAAGATGATGTTCTAGTTGTGGTAGAACTGGACGACGAACTTGAACTCGTTGAATGAGGTGCTGGTGTAGACTGTGAAATAGTTTGATTCAAAGCTGTGGTATCAGGTGCTGAGACTACTCTTCGTAAAGGAGATAATGGTGTTGAGGTATGAGATAAAGGTACTTGTAATAAAGATGATTTGTTCCTTGTAGATGAGGAAGTGGTATGACCTGGCTGATAGCATGGTGCTGGTGATGAAGGAATTGAAGTCGTTGATAACATTTTTATTTGTATGAATGGTATTGAATATATAAAAACAAAACTAAAAGACAACTAAAAAAGAGAGAGAGAGAGAGAAAAAAAAAAGGGAGAAGTATGTAAAAGTTTAGCTATAAATACAAAATAAATGATAGAAAGAAAAAAAGAGAAATGAAAAAGGGATGAGTTTTAAAACTAAAAGTAAAAATATCTTAACCAATCAAAATGCCCAGTTCATTCGTCTAGATCAAATGATAATGTCAATGGTTTTTGCTGTTTTTTGGTTTTCTTTGGTTTCTTGATATTTTTGTCCTTTCGGTGATCTTCTATTGCTTGTTCTAAACTTCGTTTTGTTGATGCTAATGTATTCCTTTTCTTGGGTCTGAAAAGTAATCGTCCATTCTCATCCACTGGTGGTCCCTGATCTTCTTCTTCTTCTTTTTCCTCCGTAGTAGTAGTTTCATCTTTGGTTTCTGTATCTTTATGTATTTCTATATATATAAATAAAAAAAAACAAGTTAATCCATATAATATATGCTATCAAACATTCAATTACCTTTTCCTTTGCTATCTAGTTCTACTACTTGAGCTCCTTCTAGTTCATCATAATCTTCGTCATCTTGACCATCTTGATAATCTTGGAATTTTTGTTTCGCCTTTTCTTGTGCTTTGCTTGTTCCTTTTAATCTTGCCAAGAAGGCAGGTTCCTTATGTACATAAGTCAAACCACTTGAGACTTGATGAGGTGTCAATTCTTTTTTTGGTGCCATGATTTTATGTAAAAGAAGAAAAGAAAGAGAGAAAATTTTTTGTTTTCGTATTTTTATAACACTGAGTTCCAATGTCCTTTTTTGGACTGCTATGCAGGAATATAAGACTATTTTTGTTTGATCTCATCTTGGTACTTGAAATAAATAATGTTGGAGATAAAAATCAGTTTATATTCTCCATATGACTTGAAAATGTTCTTCAATTATCAACATGAAAAGAGATAGACAAATACATATTACCAACTTTTCAAAAAAAAAAAAAAATGCATATTCATCCAAGCAAAATTTCGAATTCCGGCAAGGAGGATGATGAGGGCGGCCTACACAAATACACGTGTTTTTCAAGTTTTAGTGCGCTTCGCTTTCGTTTTTATTTAAACTTTTTTTTTCTTTTTCTTTTTTTTTTTCTTTCTCTTTCTCTCTTTATCAACGTTCATCGTAATTCGAACTTTATCAACACAACTTTTGTTTCTTTATACTATCAAGTTTTATACCAAGTATATTATCAACAATGAGAGAAATCATTAGTGTTCACGTCGGTCAGGTAATATACTTTTTATTGCAGAAATAGTATCAAGCATAAACGCTCTTTTTTTTTTTTTTTTTTTTCTTGACGTGACATATTTAGGCTGGTATCCAAATTGGAAACGCTTGTTGGGAACTGGTAAAAAAAAAAAAAAAAAGAAAACAAAAACAAAAACAAAGCAGATATATAGAATTAAAGAGTGATTTTTATAGTATTGCCTTGAACACGGTCTTCAACCTGATGGTCATTTTATGGAAGATAATTCCTCTGAGAGTAATGATGCTATGCAAACATTCTTTAGTGAAGCAAATGGCAGAAAATATGTCCCTCGTACAGTCATGGTTGATTTGGAACCTACCGTGGTTGATGAAGTCCGAACTGGTAATTAAAAATGGATCATCATCATCGTCAATTAGAGAACTCATATTAATTCCAAAATTATTAGGTACCTATCGACAACTTTTTCATCCAGGTAACTTTCCCCTTCAGAAAAAAAAAAAAAAAAAAAAAAAAACAAACAAAAAATAAAGAAACAAAAACAAAAAAAAAAAAAAAATAAACCAGCAACTCCTTTTTTTAAGGAGATGATGGATCGTGAACCTAACTTATCTTTTATCCCTCTTTAGAACAATTGATCTCGGGTAAAGAAGATGCTGCCAACAATTATGCGCGTGGTCATTATACTGTAGGAAAAGAAATGGTAGATTCTGTCTTGGATCGCATTCGCAAACTTGCTGATAATACTAATGGACTTCAAGGTTTCCTGGTTTTCCATTCATTTGGTGGCGGTACTGGATCAGGATTTGGTTCACTTTTAATGGAAAGGCTTTCTGTAGACTATGGCAAGAAATCCAAACTTGAATTCTCTGTTTATCCTGCTCCTCAAGTATCAACAGCTGTTGTGGAACCTTACAACTCCATTCTTACCACTCATACTACCTTGGAACACTCTGATTGTTCATTTATGGTCGATAATGAAGCAATCTATGATATATGTCGTCGCAATTTGGATATCGAACGTCCTACTTATTCCAATCTCAATCGATTGATTGCTCAAGTCGTATCCTCTATTACTGCCTCACTTCGTTTTGAAGGATCTCTCAACGTTGATCTTGCCGAATTCCAAACCAACTTGGTACCTTATCCTCGTATTCATTTCCCTTTGGTCACCTATGCTCCCATCATCTCTATGGCCAAAGCCTACCATGAACAATCATCTGTATCCGAAATCACCTACGCATGCTTTGAACCCAATAGTCAAATGGTCAAATGTGATCCTCGTAATGGCAAATATATGTCCTGTTGTCTCTTGTACCGAGGTGATATTACTACCAAGGAAGTGAATCAAGCTATTGCCTCTATCAAAACAAAAAGAACAATTCAATTTGTCGATTGGTGTCCTACTGGATTCAAGGTAAGTAGTTCTATGAAATCTTTATGTAACATTTGACTTTTTTTTTCATCCTTATGCCTTTCATTTTCTTTCCTTTTATAGGTCGGTATCAATGGTAAACCACCCACTGCTATTCCTAATGGTGATGTCGCTCCTATCCAACGAGGTAAGTGGAATATTGTTTTCTTTTGTGGAAGAGGATATTCATGCAAATGTTTTTATCTCTACATGTTACTCACATTTCTCTCTTTCTCTTGTCTTTTTTCTCCCGTATTATCATTTTTGATTCCTTTTTTTTTTTTTATTACTAGCTGTAAGTTCATCATCTCCCCTGTCTTTTGTAAAATTGTCATTAACTTTCTTTTTTTTTTATTATTATTATGATTAGGTCGCTATGCTTGCAAACACTACATCCATCGCCGATGCCTGGGCTCGACTTGATCACAAATTTGATTTGATGTATGCCAAACGTGCTTTCGTGCATTGGTACGTGGGTGAAGGTATGGAAGAAGGTGAATTTTCTGAAGCTCGTGAAGATTTGGCTGCTCTCGAAAAGGACTACGAAGAAGTAGGATCCGATTCATTGGGTGATTCCGAAATAGAAAACGATGAAGAATACTAGTTGATTCAATAGTGATATGATTAGGATATATAGTTTCCAATTATTTAGTCTTCTCCCCCAATACTTTTTACTTTTCCATCCTCTCTCTCTCTCTCTTAGATAACATGTGGAAGTTGTATTCAACACTCCCTTTACTATCTATTTATATTTTATGCGAACAATAAAAAAAAAAAACAACTATAAAATTCAACAACTTTTTTTTTTTTTTGGAATTGATTCTGATTGTCTTGGATTGCCTGATTATCTACAAGGATATAAAAATGAGTATATAAAAAGGTGTACTTTATGGCATATACATATGGAGAAATGTAAGTTTCTATATACAGTGGAACTATGCATGTTATAATAGAATGATATACTGATGATGACAAGGGGTAAATATAAATAAAGACGATATAAATAATGGTGTACATGAGTGAATAATATTTTTATGATTATTTTTATTATTGTTATTAGGTAACAAGATCATTGTAGATATACTATCTATGCTAACTACTGATCATCGTTCTTCAGTCCCATCCTAGCAGCCTTGAATCTTGACATTTTTTTTGGTTTCTCTGGTTCATCTCGTTTTTCGGAATTAGATTTTTCTTTGGTTGGTAATGGCAAGTCTTCATCAAATACCTATGAACAGAATATATATATATATATATATATATAAAGAGATGATCAATACTTTATTAATCGCTCGATGTCTTTTTCCTCTTCTTTTTCTTCTGTTTTGATCATACTTCAAATTCAGGTTTCACGTCAAATGAAAGTCCACCCATAGTAGCCAACATATTTTGTCGTTGTTGTTGATAAGTTGATTTGATCTATAATATAAAAAAGAGTTTCAATTGACCATCTGTCTATCCAAGCATGTATTTTTTTTTTTACCTCTTTAAAATCCATATCATCTGTCACTTCATCCAAATCCAATTCTTCAGATTCACGTTCCATAACAACACCACGCATTGTATTGGTATCCATCTTGCTTTTAGGTGTCATTATTGTTGCTTGTGGAGTCGATGATTTGAATGGTTGAGTGATCGGTAGTTTATCTTCATCCACTTCGTAATTGGGTCGCCACATGGGTATTGGGTCAGTTAAGGATACTGAGCTTGCCAGATCACGTAAATCGACTTGGATGGTTGCTGTGGATAATGTGTCGTCTCTGTCCAGAGAGGGATAACCGTCTTCTTCCAGCTTAGGTTGATGTTGTTTCACCACACGAAAAATATCAGAAGGAGAGCGAATAACGGTTTGCATGGATTGGTTTTCTTGATCTGCTTCCTTTAATGGTTTGTTGTAAGTATCTTGTGGATCTGCCTGTGGTGCTGATAATCGGTCGTGTTCACGTACGCTTGTTGTCATTTTCCAACTCACTTTCTTATTATTGATACTACTGGTATCATTGGTTGAATGATCTGCCATCGAGATTGAATGAGGAAGATTTTCTATGTCTTTATGTGGTACATCAATTGGTGTTCCTTTTTTTGGTTTGTTGGTTTTTGATTTTGTCGTGGATACTATTGATGTCTTCTGCTGTTGTCGCTGTTGTTCTTGGAATTGTTTGAATTTTGACACCTTTTTCTTCGGCTTATCTTCTGGAGGAGGGGATATACGTTGTTGTACAGTCGATAAAGATGATGATTGTCCTATTTCTTTGGTTGATTCTTGTGGAATGACGTCGGGAATGTGTGATGATGAAATTGGAGGAGATACAGGAGATGGTTGTTGTTGTTGTTGTTTTCGTTTTCTATCAGCTGGCTTTTGAACCTTGAATTTGGGCATTGTGTTGACTGGTTTCTTGGGTTGTTCATCGTCAATAACTGAAGTTGTTTCGTTATCCTTCTGACTTTCCATTTGTAACTGTTTGAATTTAGAGATCTTCTTTTTTGTAGGTGGTGGAGGTATATCATCAATTGTTGACGTTGTTGGCATTTCAGTGAAGGTGGTAGTTGTGGAAGGTTTCGTTTCTAGTCGTTCTGCCACGATTTCCTTGATAGGTTCTTCAGTATCTATTGATTCTATCTTGTTTCGATTTTCCAAGCTCGTATCATTAAGATCATCTTGAATTGTAAAATCTTCTTGATCTACCACTCCTTGTGTTGCGTAGTCCTCATCATCTTCAAAGTGATCAAACATATTGTCAGCGATTTCAGTATCATAAATATCATCCAGATCTTCGTCATCATAATCATCATTGTTGTTTCTGTCATTTTCCATTTCAAAAAAGTCAAGCTGTTTCTCCATCAGTTGTTGTTGTTTTTCCCTTTCTTCTTCCTCTTCCTCTAATTCCAGTGCATCGAGCATTTTCATCAAATCATTATTATCGTCGAGATTCTGTTGAGTAGATGATGATGATGATGATATAGGAAGTTGTTCGATATTGTTGTTGGTATTAATAGGTGATTTTGGTGGACTATCAGGTATTTCTTCACGAATTTCCATGATGGGTAAACCTTCTTCATTGACACCTTCAGCAGAAGGAAATAAATTTTTGTTGACTGTATCCGACTTTGCTTTCATGGCATTCCATTGAGCCTCTACTAACCGTAGGTTTTCGTCAACCACTATAGAATATAATGAATAAAACAATATTTAATAAAAAAAATATATATTTAATGTGTAGTTCCTCATACCTTCTTTTCGCCTTTGAAGGATACCTAATGCTTGTTTTGTTGAACGTTCTACATAATATTGATCCCCTAAATAAACAGTAATTTCGTTGGTATGAATCAATTTTCCAGGCATAAAAGCTAACTTGCCAAAAGGAATCTAATAAAGAGAATATATGAATTAGAATTTCTTTTATTATTAAAAAAAAAATAAGTATATATATATACCATAGCAGGTCTGACAGTTTCGTCAGATAAAGTTTGTAATTGAGTTTCCAAAGCATTGTATTCTTCTTGATAAGTTTTCCATCTATTCAGTTCAATTTGTAGTTCAGTTTTATTTTGTTCTATACGAGAAGACCATCGGGATAAGTCAGTAAGTGAACTAGTCATTTGGAAAAAAGAAATAAAAGTAGAGACTTTTTTTTTTTTTGCATTGGTTTCCGACATATATATAAAAAAAAAGAGAGATTCCTAAATAAGCCACCAACGAATGAAATTTGCTCAGCGTCCATATTTGGATTACAGTCAATCCCTCTTTTTTTCTCTTTTCTCTTTTTTTCCTTTTTTTCACTTTTCCACCTTTTTTCCTTTTTCTTTCTTTTTTTTTCTTTTCTTCTTTTTCTTATCAACTCTTTTTTTTTTTTACCCTTATTATTATTATTATTACTTGTTACTTCTTGCAGCTTTATCAATTATTTTGAATATGCCTCCAATGATGTAAGACTATAATTGTTGTTTTTTTAATTTTTTAAAGATTTAGTTTGATGATATTAAACCTTTTTTTTTTTTAATACTGGTAGGGTGAAGAACGACAAAGATATTATTGATCATGACTCTGATGAAGATTCCACTGAAGCCCCTCGTAAGCGTAACAGTGGTCGCCGTAAGATCAAGATTGAATATATTGAAGATAAGAACAGACGCCACATTACTTTCTCGAAGCGAAAGGCTGGTATCATGAAGAAGGTAAGGAATAAATAATCTAATATTTATTATTATTATTATTATTATTATTGAAAAAAAAGAAGGATATATAATACATATACATATATATTCACGTTCTTTATACTCAAAACTTTTATATTTCCTTTTTTTCTTCTCTTTTCTTTTCTTTCATTATTTTTTTTTTCTATAGGCTTATGAACTCTCCACTCTTACGGGTACACAAGTGTTATTATTGGTGGTTAGCGAAACTGGTTTGGTCTATACTTTCACTACTGTCAAGTTGCAACCCATTGTCACGAAACCTGAAGGTAAAAGTCTGATCCAAGCATGTTTGAACGCGCCTGACCCAGGTATGGAAGGTGCGGGGGGTGTAATGGTAAGTTGAAAGTTCCCATTTTTGGCTGTTGGGGTTCTATGAATATAAAGGTGGTGTGTGTTCGAAACAACAAAAAAAGGTCCCAAAAAAATTATTTAGATGATGTTTTTGAAATACAGCCAACGAATAGGATTCAACATGTGATTTGATCGAAAATCTTTTATTTTTTTTTTTTTAATAGGATGAAAATGATGCTGGAAGTGTTGGTTCTCAAAAGACTGCAACTACATCTTCTACTGCCGCTGCCAATGCCAATGCTGATAATCGTGCTGCTCAGGTAAATGAAAATAATAATAATAATAATAAAAGAAATAAATGTATTAATTTATAATTATAATATAGGCTTCTCCTAAACAAGAATCGGTCTCTCCATCGGTGGTCAGACAACAACAACAACATGTTGCACATCCAGGTTATTCTCAACAACCTTATCCAACCACAAATCAACAAATGCCAGCTATGCCTCATCATCCTCATTATCAACAACAACAACAACAACAAGGCTATCCTCCTTATGGTGTTCATCCTCAACAACAACAGCAGCCTCAACAACAGCAGCAACAACAACAGCCATACCCCCCTCATCAACAGTATAATCAAATGCCCTATTACTCTGGTCAACCACGAAAAAATTAGATGTTTAGGATCTCTTGAAAATAAATATCGAAATAAAATAGTGGATGCTTTATTGTTTACTTTTTGTTGTCTTTTTTTTTTTTTTTTTTTTTGTTGATCTTTGTTTTGATTATCTATATGAATGATATGAACGGGTGAACGGATAAAATAGGATGATATTGTGAATGGATGATGTTGTGAACGGATGAATGATAAGGATGATGATCATGGATTTTTCTGCCTTTAATGTTAATAAAAATAGAGTGTTTTCAAAGTTTTTTGTCGGGTCACAAGAAAATGTTTTTCGTGATGTTATAAAATAAAAAATCGTACTTTCCCAAATGGATGTCGCATTACCACTTTTTCAGATATCGCTTTAGAGATGTCGGTAGAGTATGTCATTGATTGATGATTGATGATTGATGACTGATTGTTAGCTGATTCTTTTCAACAGGCCATATTTGGAAAAAAAAGAACTATATTTTTTATATTGTATCATATAAGACAGGGGTATACTAATGTAATATTCATATCTTGTGATGTTGATGTGAATTTGCATAATAGTTCCTTTCTTTTTTTAAAAAAAAAATACATTTACTCGGGTCTTCTTTGTTTATTTTCATTAACTGAGACATTCGATCGATCGATAACGAATGTAAATTTGCATAATAGTTCTTTTTTTTTCTTATGAGATATTTTTGCCAGGTTTATTTTATTCTTTGATCAAGTGAGAGATATAAAAAAGTGCTATTTTATTTTTTATTTTTTCTGTTTCTTTTTTCTCTTTTTTTCTCTTTTTCTCTCTTTTTCTTTTAATTTCTTTATCTATTTTGATATCAATTTTTAAACCAATTTACAATAATACAAGACCTTTACATCCATCCATACCAAATACAAGTTTTTTTTTTTCCTGGACTACAAGTTTACAAGAATCAAGACGGGCCTTTAGGTCCATTTGCTTTTTTTTTTTAATATATACCTATTGGACTTCCTTCTCTCTGTACCTTGCTTTAATAGTAAGTTTCTTTTAATGATAATAATAATAATGATACAGTATATTAATCATTCTCTTTTTTTTTCTTTTTGAAATCTCTCTTGGTGTTTCCAATTCAAAGTGAATATCAACTGTAACAGCAACATATAAAAATATGTTATCACCTCTTCGGAGGATGTATTTAATGCTTTCCTACAGGTAAGTTAAAATAAATAAATATAAAAAAAAATGGATATGTTGACTAAATAATATTTTATTTTCTGTTATTCAAAATACTCAATGGAACTACTACCACTCCTTTTCTTCTTGTTCTTTTTCTTCTTATATTCTCTATTTGATTATGCGACAACTCTCTCTTTTCTACCCCGTCATTTATTTTCTATCCTTACTATATTTTTATTTCCTATTTTTGCGACATCTTATTCTTTGAATTCCGTCATTTTTTATTGAATAAAGTGTAGACGATATTGACAAACCATGTGACTTTTTCATCAACAAATCATTTTTATTAATAAGATTTTTAAATTTTGTAATATATAAACGATGACTATGGTACAATAAAAAAAGTGAATAACTAACTACAAATTCTTTTCAAAACGTAAGTCCCAACCAATCTTTGGTCCTAAAGTAGGCAAGACTTCCACCACTGTATGCATGTCTTTATCACCACGACCAGACAAACAAACCACAATATCTTGATCCTTGGGTGATTCACTAGCAAGTTTGTGAGCATAATAAATAGCATGAGAAGATTCCAAAGCAGGGATGATACCTTCCAGTTGAGTCAATTTTCTAAAACCAATCAAAGCTTGAGCATCATCAGCCACATAATAGTTTGCACGACCTGTATCCTTCATGAATGCGTGTTCAGGTCCCACTCCAGGATAATCTAGACCAGCAGAGACTGAATGAGTTTCAATGATTTGTCCCTTTTCATCTTGCAATAGATAAGTTCTTGTTCCATGTAATACACCAGGCGTTCCTTTGCTTAATGTAGCAGAATGTTTATCCGTATCCACACCAGAACCACCAGCTTCCACACCAACAATACGTACCGTAGGATCATTCACAAATGGATAGAACATACCAATAGCATTCGAACCACCACCAACACAGGCCACCACAACATCTGGTAATTTGCCAGCCTTTTCTTGCAATTGACGTTTCGTTTCTTTACCAATCACAGATTGGAATTCACGAACAATCATAGGGAATGGATGAGGACCAATAGCAGAACCAACCAAATAATGTGTTGTAGATACATTAGTGACCCAATCACGCATTGCTTCATTAATGGCATCCTTAAGAGTACGAGAACCAGTAGAGACAGGAACGACGGTTGCTCCAAGCATACGCATACGGAAGACATTCAAAGCTTGACGACGACAATCTTCTTCACCCATATAAACAACACATTCCAATCCAAACTTGGCACATACAGTAGCAGTGGCGACACCATGTTGACCAGCACCAGTTTCAGCAATAATCCGTTTCTTACCCAATCGTTTTGCCAGTAAGATTTGTCCAACAGCATTGTTAATTTTGTGAGATCCAGTATGATTCAAATCTTCACGCTTCAACCAGATACGAGCACCACCAGCATCTTCTGTCAAACGATTGGCGAGTTGAAGTTGAGATGGACGAGAAATATAATCATAGTAAGATTCGAATTCGGCGATAAAGGCAGGATCATTCTTGGCTTCGATGAATACTTTTTCCAATTGAGTTAGACAATCCACCAAGGCTTCAGGTACGTAAGCACCTCCAAAGCTTCCAAATCGAGTTTGAAGTTCATAAAATTCTTTGATGGGTTCACTTTGAGCAATGATACCTTGTCCAGCAATATCAGATACTTCGGGTTCAGCAACAGGACCAGATTCTTGAGCAATTATTTTTTCTACTTTGCGACCGCTAACTTCAGAAGCATATTGTTCTACCACTTGAGCTAGATTCTTATTTTCTTTGATAGCATCACGAATCAAAGTGATGATACGTGATCCAATAACAACACCTTCAGCATGAGCACCAACTTGAGTAAAATGTTCACGAGTAGAGACACCAAATCCAACTGCTAAATAGACACTAGTATGTTTCTTGATACGAGCTAACATATTGGGCAATTCCACATTCACACTCTTTTGTTCACCAGTGACACCCATACGAGATACAACATAGATAAATGAATCAGATACCTTGGCAAGTAATTCCATACGCTTTTCAGTAGTAGTAGGAGCAATCAAAGGAACATAGGATAATCCATTTTCGAGACATTTATTTCTAAAACTATGAGATTCTTCAGGAGGAAGGTCAACCATAATATATCCATTCACACCAGCTTGTTTACAATCACGAATAAGTTCTTCTTCACCATAAGCCAATACAGGATTATAATAACCCATGAATACAATAGGAACCGTCAAACCCTTGCTACGAGCCTCTCGTACCATATCAAGACACATAGCAATATCAGTTCCATGTTCCAAAGATACCTATAGAAATAATAATAATAATAATAATAAAAAGGTAAAAAAAAAAAAAAAAAAAAAAAAAAAAAAGCAATCAGTATATGTTTGAATTTTGTACAACCTTTATCCAATGAGTCATGAAATAAGTAAAACCTTCTATTTGTTTTTTTCTTTTTTATCTTCATCCTGAATTAGATGTCCATATCACCTTTTTTTTTTTTTTTATTATTATTTATTTACTTACAGTATTAGCATATTGAATGACAGGACCATCAGCAAGAGGATCGGTAAAAGGAATACCTATAAAGGATGAAATATATTAAAACAATAGAACGAACCTTGTATCTTTCTTAGTTACTTACCTAATTCAATGACATCAGCGCCACCACGTTGTAAACCCAATAGAATATCTACAGTATCAACAGGAGTAGGAAAACCAGCAGTTATGAAAGTGACAAACGCGGGACGTTCTAGTGTTTCAATAAATAAATATCATGGGTTAGTCTGAAGGTTTTTCGTTCTTACTGCTTTATAAAGAAAAGTCATTTTGAACTTACTTTCTGCGTGAGCTTTTTGAAAGGCTTTACGAAGACCAGTAGACATAATACAATAATATAAATTGAGGAAATAGTAACAATAATAATAAAAAAAAAAAATATGCAAAAGAGAAACAAAAAATAAAGGAAAAAAAAAAAGTCGTTTTATGTTGTTCCAAAAGTACCAGCTGAGCTTGAAAGGTTTGACATAAGAGACGAATGATAGCTTAAAATCCTTAATTCCTCCATTACCGCTATCTCCTGGATCCGCTGCCTTTTCACTTTCCGTTTTACTTTAAACTGTAATGATCATACGGTATAGTATAATTATCGAATGAAGATGTAATTACTATGATGATGATAATAAATGCTTTGATATTTACATTAATATACTTTGATGATGAGTGGCGCAAAACATATCTTGTTTACATCAAATAAGGCAAGTGAAAATTACTATCTATATCGTTCCAAATTTGAAGCGATGAGATGACTTTTGAGTGAACTACAAAAAAACAAACAAGTCCTTCTCCGTGTGATCTTACAGCATAAAATACACTTATGAATCGAATTTCTTGCTAGAGGAAGCTAACCAATGAAAAGTCGTTATGTATGCTTACTATTTTAATAGTAAAAAAAAAAAAAAATGGGATCGATTTTTGATTTTTACAGCCAAAAATTTGAAACTCCTCAGCCAAAGTTTAGCTGTAAAAATAAATCGTCAGGGGGTTGTCAGGCAATTTTTTCAAAATATCGATAAAATCTTTTGATGCTTATTGCACATTAGTTTGTCAGGGTAAGTGATAAAATGATATTAGATGATATTAAACTATTTTTTTAAGAGGAATCTAATGGTGCTAGTTTCATTGAATGATGATCATTATTGGATGAGGGATGATGATATTGACATTTCATTTTTAATATATTCAAAAAGTTAAGTATGATAAAAATTGTTTTTAATGCAAATGAAAGAGAATGATTTAATGTATCTTTAACCCGAATTGGATGCGATGATGATGATTTTTGAGTGAATTACAAAAATATAAAAAGATGCTGTATATGCCTATCCCATGTGATGCTACAGTGCAAAAAAGATAGGCTGAAGATCATTAAATATGTCATTCACCATCCACATCATCCACACCATTCATCATCACTTTTTTTTTGTTGTTGTCAACATATACATATATATATTTGAAAAAAAAGGGTCCATCAGCGTGATAGAGGATTTATTGAAATAGAAATAACAAATTTAAACAAGGAATATAATAGTACGTATATACAAAAGGGCAAGGTAAACTATAAAACTAAACAAGGACTACCGATCAACGTAATAGTTCCAATATAAAAATAATAGTAAAACAGACAATAAGAATAACCGGTTTACAAACCACACGTTTGAGAAGGAGTCACAGGAGTGGTACCGACAGAAGGAAGAGGATTCACCCAGGAATTGACATTCACATAAGCTATTAAGAAATAATAATAATTAAAAAAAAAAAAAAGAGAGGTGAGTAACTTGAACACTGATGAAAGATCAAGAATAATAATAATAAAAATGTTATTTTTTTTTTAAAAAAAAAAAAAAAAAACTTACTTGTATAGATCATAATAGCAACACCAAATAATCCAAGGATAATATCCAATGATCGTTGAACTTTGGAGGTGGTGATCTTGAAATGGAATAAAGCTGGGAAGATGAAACAAAGAGGAACAGCACCGATAGAACCTACCAAGGCAACAAACTTGTCCAATCCATCAGCACCTACACCAAAACTGACGGCAGCACAAACCAAAGCAACCATGGATCTACAGAGATTCTTGAGCCATTTCCATTTCAAACTGACTTTTCCACGATGACGAGGACTGAAGACACTTTGTTCGATGATAGTGAGTGCAGGGTATAACATGAAAGGAGATGTGAGAATCATGGCAATGGCATATAAGAGTTGGACAGTAATAGAGAGAGGTTCACGAGGTAAATTGGCCACAATACTTGCTTGAATGGTATCACCAAAAGCGACATAACCAATAGTACCAATCAAAGTAAAGACCAATGTACAAATGATCATACCAATAGTAAGAACACGAGGAAATTTGCTGGGATCTTTCATACCTTCAATCATAGGTACAACCATACCGATACCTATACAATAATTTATTTATAAAAAAAAAAAAACAAAGTTAATATATATATATATAAAATATCATCGTTGGATTAATCATACCTTCAAAGGAAAAGACAGCAGTACCAATCATCAAGGCAAAAGAATCGCTGTTGACCATAGTGATATTTGGACCAGCACCATGTTGATGGATTTGATTTGAAGAAAAGTAAAGGACACAAATCAGACCAAAAAGAATAAAGATATCAGCAAGGAGAGCACAATAACCAAGTCGACCAATTTTTCGTACCCAACAAAGAGGAATAATAATAATCATAAAGATCCAAATAAAGTATTTTGATGGAAAAGGAGCATGACAATCAGACAAGGTACCAATGACCAATCCAACATTTTCAGAGATGAAAATCATATAAGAAGCGACAAAACCCATTTGTGATAAACATAAAAAAAATTGAATGGTATATCGAACCCATCGATTCAATAAAGTTTCAGCAACATGACCATAAGATCCACCAGTTTGACGTTGTGCTTTGACCAGACGTTGAAAAGAAAAAAGACAAATACTTGCAATTATTACCATCAATATAATAGATAATACAAGACCACCTTTGGCAAAACTAACATCAATTTTTTTTTTAAAAAAAAAAGGATTAATACAAAAAAAAAAAAAACAAGAGAAACTATGACTTACGACCCAGGAAGGAAAATAACACCAGTACCAATGAAAGCTTTTAATAACATAAATAAAGCTTTTCCAGGTGAAGCAGTACCTTCAGGGACATGTTCAATCTGTTCTTCACTAAGGGATTTTTCATATTGCGATGGTGAATAATCTTCATAATGAGCTTGAGTTTCATATTTCGCTTCTTCAATGGTATGAGGCTTTTCTGACATATTGACTAATTTATTCTATCCTTTTTTCTATATATGTATAACTAATAAATCTAAACTACAAATAATATAATATATATATATATATAAATACAAAAAAAAAAGTCAAAAAAAATGACAAATATAAAAAAAAAAAATAAAGAAAGTAAAAGAAAAGAAGAAAAAAAAAAAAAAGAAAGGGACGATCGATCTAAATTTATATTTTTTTTTTGTTTTTTTATAAAAAAAGAAAGAGGTGTATTTCAACTCCGTATAAATGGATTTGGTTGGTGCATGCCAAGTTACGGTGTATGAAAGATAAAAAAGACTTTGACCATGTCCGTGGGAAATCTCCTTCTCTTTTTATTGTCAGTGACGACATGGAATCTAAAAGAAGCTAAGATTCTGCCAACTTTATCGTGTATCTCATTCATTAACAGATGTCAACCCCGCTGGGATGATTTCTTTTTGGTAAGAATCGTTATCTAGTCATCAATTCGTAACACTATTGATAAAAAGCCTTCTTTTTTTTTTTCCAATCTAATGGTAAATCAATCCAATATCTTTTTTTTTTTTTTTTATCTTTTATACTAACAGCAGTCTAATTTGATCATTATTTAAACCGTCACCATGAATTTTGAAATAAGCAAAATAGGATTTCATCTTTCTTTGGATTTTAAGGTCAGAACGGGAAAAATGAGCCTTTCCTCTTTTTCTATTTTCTTCTCACTCGTTGTCTTCCTATCTTTCTCGCTCTCTTTGTTATTCCGCTAATGTCAATGATCCAGTTATTGGATAATCAAGTCGTGAAACAACTCAAAGGGTAAAGAAGTTTTTTTTTCATTTATTCTTTTTCATTTATTCATTTATCTCATTAATTTATAGATCTTTAGTCATTACGTCTATGGAACAATGTTTAGAAGAATTGATCAAGAATGGTAATAAGCGAAGTCTAAGATATAACTTTTTCTAAATATGTATATTATATATTTATAGCATTAGACGCCGCTGCTTCAACTATTGATATCCAAGTTGATATTGAACATTCTATGTTACAAGTCACTGATAATGGTACTGGGATTCTTCCAACAGATCTTGTTCAACTGGCGCAACGACATGGTAAGTTCTTATGTTATATATATTTACAAGTTAATATATACATATATTATTTTATAGTCACATCAAAATGTCATAGTCTAATAGAATTACATGGTACCAGAACATTTGGATTTCGTGGTGAAGGTAATATCAACAATGAATATTTCCATAGAACTATGTCTTATTCTTTTTTTTTTTTTTGTAGTACTGGCTGCTTTATCGACTATGTCTATATTACAAATTATATCAAGACATAGAACAAGCTCTGATAGTTTTATGGCTACTTGGAAGGTACAAAGTAAAGAATTTCAACTTTATTTTATTCATATTGTTTTATTTTCTTCTTTCTAAAGGATGGTCAATTGATTCAACATTCTATATGCAAGGACAATCATGCATATGGTACTACAGTCTTGATTCCATCATTATTTTATAAGGTAAATACAAAAAAAAAAAAAAAAAAAAAACATGAAACAAACCAAAAAAAAAAAAATTCTTATTATTATCATCATCATTACTTTAGTACCCAGTTCGGCAAAAGCACCAGAGAACCAATTTAGAATCACTGAAACACACACTGACACTTTTTGCCCTCATATTCCCTCAAGTGAAATTTACTTTGATTGACAGAGTACAGAACTCAAAATGCATGGTAACCAAAAAGGTAAAAACTTGTGACAAAAAAGAGAATGGTAATTTGATTTCCCTTACTTCCCCGATTTTAGATCTCTTCAAGTCTGGGCATTTTTCAATTACTTTTTGGACAACGGTTTACTCAAGTAAGTTCCAAACCTATAATACTTATCTTTTGTAATATCTTATCTAATTTCTTACTATACCAGGAAATCAAGGCATATAGTATTCACGAGGACCAACTTCAATTACATGGTTATTTTGGTGGTGATGGGGTACCTACAAAGGTAAGCTCCGATTGAACCCTCTTTTCTTTTATACTAACCTGAATTATTTTGTTCAAGGTTCACCAATACATATGCAAGTAGAAAAAAGGACATATAAGGCCATATTCTCTCTCTATGGACGATCACTAAACCTTATTATTTTCTATAGATGTAAACAAGCACTATATATCACCTGCTGACAATGATCTCTACAAAACTGTCAATACTATTATTCAAAGTTATTCTTCGGTAAATCATGAAATTTTACATGTGTGGGGTTTGGTTTCATAGTCCGTAACACCAATTATCATTTTGTAGGAACGATTGGCTGAAGATAATATTAAAAGAGGAAGAGGTAACCAAAAAAAGATATATCCAATCTCCACCCCCCACATTTTTAACAGATTCATGAAAAATAGATTACCCAATATTCTTGATCAAGATTGATTGTACATGTATTGCAAGTTATGATATTACTTTTCTCTCTGAACATGTGGTATGGAAAAACAAGAAAGAAAGAATATCTTGGACATCAATATTTTATCACTCATCTTTTATTCTATTAGATCTACCCTCGATTGATGACTTTATTAAAACGATTGACGATGAAGTATATACAATCAACCGGCAAACAATTATCCCAAGACAAAAGGAAGAAACAAGAACCATTATCAAAAAAGAAACAAAAAACAGCAAGTCTCTATTTGGAACATTCATATTCTACAATACCGTTACCTCGGAGTCAAGATACCCCTCAATTCGGAAGAACTCTGTAAGTCAATTTCCAAGGAAAAAGAAGAAAAAAGGAAAAAGTGCTGTGGTTTCAAAAAAAATATGAGTTGATTTTTCTGATTCCATTCAAAATTAGGTTGAATAATTATCCGTCTCTTCCTTCGACCATCAACAATATCGATACATCCAGATTACGCCGATATCCTGTCTCCACTCTTGATCACAGTATGGTCAGCACAGAATTACCATCATTATCTTTACCTTTGTTATCATCAACATCATCAACATCATCTGCATCATCTATATCATCTGCATCATCAACAGCATTAATATCATCTACATCATCTACTTCATCATTATCATCATCATCGACATTTACATCACCTTATTCAATCAACAACAGCTCATATGGGTTTCAGACACCTCAAAAATTACAACGTGAAGATCTGCAATCAGCCAAAGTACTTGCTCAAGTGGATACGAAATGGATAGTATGCCTATTAGATAGAATACTGTTATTGGTGGATCAACATGCTGCAGATGAACGTATCAAGTTGGAATCTATGTTGAATAGTTCATTGGATATCAAATATCTGGAACCTTGCTTAGACATCATCATGACACAACATGAGTCTGATTTGGCCGTTAAATATGCATCCGATTTACAACGCTGGGGAATATATATCGAAAGAAAAGACATTCAGAAAAAACAACAACATCATCATACCGGCCGTATTGGATCACCTCATTTCGCTCATCATCACCAGAAACGGTCTTCTTCACATTTTACATCCAACTCTCAGAAGGACAATATGGATAGATATACTCAGCAAGTTTTTGTTACTCGACTTCCTCAAATGATTGTAGAACGATGTATTCTTGACCCTCAACTACTGACTGATCTTATACGTGAATATCTTCATGATCTGGAAAGCTCAGTAGTCTCTCGTTTGGCTTGTCCTCCTGGTATGATGGAAATCCTGAAATCAAAAGCTTGTCGTGGTAATGACAAAAAAAAAAAAAAGCCAAGCCGACTCTTAATGACTCATTTATTTTATTGTATATAAAATAGGTGCTATTATGTTCAACGATCCATTATCTATAGATCAATGTACTAAGTTAATTAGATCATTAGCAAAATGTCGTTTTCCTTTTCAGTGTGCTCATGGCAGGTAATGTTTTCAATGGTTTCTTGGAATTATGTCTTACTCCATTATTCTATTCTTTTCTTTTTTTTTTTATCATGATGTAGACCGTCTGTAGTTCCTTTGATGAATCTTGGTGATAATCAACGACAATCAAGACCAATCCGATGGGAAACCTTTGTAAAATAGAATATTAATACAATTGGCAATTCGTGCTTTGTAGTGTAAATTATATATATATATATGAAAATTCATGCTTCCAATAAATTGAAACTACGGCAGGTGACTGTTGTCATCGGCTGAAAAAAAAAAAAAATTGAAGTGTTCTACTTCTCTCAGGCGTTTGTATTCTTTTTTTTTTTTCCTCTAGTTTTTGATCTTGTTGTTACTGCTCGATTTTGATTGACTATTGTTATATTTCTCTACTTGGTGAATCACAATGAAGGAGCAAGTCTTGGACAACACACCCAAGAAAATGTAAGTCTGATAAAGCATTATTTATAGAATGATTAGGATTCCTTGGTCATACACGGACGCATACACTTTCTCTTTTATCAGTACACAGTTTTTTTCTTCTTCTTCTTGTGTTGTTAAACTTCTTTTTATTTATTTATTTATCATTAAATATAGTCGGTTCATTCAATTTGGGGTGCTTTCACCACAGAATATGGTCAAGATATCCGAATTTGAAATTACTCAACGGGATCTCTATCAACATGAAAGTCGTGTACCTGTCAAAGGAGGTGTTCTCGATGCCAGACTTGTAAGTTTTGATATTCTTGTAGACATTAGAATCTAATATATCTATTTATTATAGGGTACTTCGGTTAAATCAGCCATGTGTGAAACTTGTGGTAACAATATGCAAGATTGTGCTGGTCATTGGGGTTATCTCAAGTTGGTGCTCCCTATTTTCCATGCTGGTTATTTTAGAGCTACCATTAACATTCTACAAGATATTTGCAAGGTAAGAGAATAGGAAGAAGAAAAGAAGAAGGAATGGATAAAGCATAAGTATTGACATTTTTTTTTATGATTAGACATGTAGTCGTGTTATGCTGGAAGAACCTGATCGACGAACTTATCTGAAACGATTACGCTCACCTGGATTAGACAATCATCAACGAAATCGTATTATCAAGGCTGTCAATGACAAGTGCAAAAAAGTGACTTATTGTCCTCACTGTAAGGCAGTCAATGGTATGTTCAACTTATATAAATAAACATGAAATGTGATGACTGAATTCTATCTTTTGTCCTTTTTTTTTTTTTAATACAGGTGTTGTAAAGAAAGTGGGTCCATTAAAAATCACTCATGATAAGTACCGATTGAAACGCGTGGCTGCTGAAGCTGAAGAATTTCGAAAATCTTTTGATACTGCTGCCGCCACCATGCCAGAACTCAAACCTCATATCAGTAAAGCACAAGATGATTTGAATCCACTTCGTGTACTTCGATTATTCCAACGTATTTCTCCAGAAGTAAGCATCACCAAAAATGAAAGACATAAACGAATTCTTTTTTTTAATTTTTTTTATTTTTTTTATTAGGATTGTGAACTTTTAGGTCTCAGTGAAGAACATGGTCGACCAGAATGGTATATTTGGCAATATATCCCTGTCCCTCCCTGTTGTATTCGACCTTCAGTGATGCAAGACGATAATAGCAGTAATGAAGATGATCTTACGGCTAAATTGACAGAAATCATTTTTACAAATGCGATTATTCGTGCTGGCTTGGAACGAGGAGTGACAGTGATGAATTTGATGGAACAATGGGAATTTTTACAACTGGCTGCTGCTTTATATATCAACAGTGAATTGGCAGGTGTACCTCAACAAGCAACAGGCAAACCTGGTCGTGGTTTATGTCAACGTCTCAAAGGGAAACAAGGTCGCTTCCGTGGTAATTTATCTGGTAAACGTGTGGATTTCTCTGGTCGTACTGTCATTTCTCCAGATCCGAACATGCGTATCGATCAAGTAGCTGTACCTGAACGTGTGGCCAAGGTATTGACATTTCCTGAACGGGTCAATCGACATAACATTGAAAAATTACGACAAAACATTCGAAATGGTCCTTTGGTGCATCCTGGTGCCAACTATGTGGAATTTGCTGATGGTTTCAAAAAGTTTTTAAAATATGGTAACAGAGACAAGATTGCGGATGAACTGAAAATTGGTGATTTGGTGGAACGTCATTTATCCGATAATGATGTGGTGCTCTTCAATCGTCAACCTTCTCTACATCGTCTGTCTATCATGGCACATTTTGCAAAGGTCATGCCCTGGCGTACTTTCCGATTCAATGAATGTGTTTGTTCTCCTTATAATGCCGATTTTGATGGTGATGAAATGAATATGCATTTACCTCAAACACAAGAAGCAAAAGCCGAAGCCATTGAACTTATGGGGGTAAGAAAATAATAATTAAAAAAAAAGGACAAAAAGAAGGAAAAAGGACACTGATATTTGTTTATATAGGTCAAGAACAATTTGGTGACACCTCGTAACGGTGAACCTTTGATTGCTGCGACTCAAGATTTCATTACTGCTGCCTATTTACTTTCATTCAAGGATACTTTTTATACCCGTGCCATGTTCACACAAGTTTGCTCTATGATGTGTGATGCTGACCTCAAAATTGATATCCCTCCTCCAGCTGTTTGGAAGGTAAGATAAATAAGATGATCTAAAATGAATTGACTCATATTTTCAATTTTATAATAATAAATTATAGCCTCAGCGACTTTGGACCGGGAAGCAAGTATTCAATGTTCTTTTTAGACCCAACAAAGGCAGCAAAGTACAAGTCAATTTGGAAGCAAAAACCAAATCTTATGTTAAAGAAGAAGGTCGTACTCCTGATCTTTGTCCAAATGATGGTTGGTTAGTGGTGCAAAATAGTGAAATTATGTGTGGTCTGGTTGATAAAGCCGTTGTTGGGGATGGTAACAAAAATTCTGTATTTTACGTTATCCTACGTGATTATGGACCCATAGAAACCGCAAAATGCATGAACAGGTAATATACGAATACAAGATAAAAAAAAAAAATAGATTTCTGCTTATGATTGATCTCTTTTCTCTTTTTATGATATATGTTATAAAGATTGGCTAAACTCTGTGCACGCTGGCTTGGTAAGTGAAGAATTGCTTAAATATATAAGAATCCAATTCATTTTTCCTTTTAATCTATTTTCTAACTTTTCTTTTTTTTTTTTTTTTTTCCTAATAATAGCCAACCAAGGATTCTCTATTGGTATTAGTGATGTGACACCTGGAAAACGATTACGTGAAATTAAGGATCAATCTGTCAAAAAGGCGTATGATGAGTGTGATGATGTTATTGCACAATACAAGGCTGGTAAATTGGAAACCATGGCTGGTTGTAATGAAGAACAAACTATGGAGGTAAAAAAAAAAAACTAGTTTGATGGGATAAAGATTATATACTCACTGTATACATATATATATTAGTCTATTGTATCTGGTATTCTCTCTGCTGTTCGTGGTGACCTTGGTAAGGTCTGTATGACTGAATTAAATATGTACAATTCTCCCAGTATCATGGCCCGGTGTGGTTCCAAAGGTATAAAAAAGAAAATAAACAATTTACAGATATGTTAAATATTTTATTTCTCTTATAAAATAGGGTCTCAAATCAATGTGTCTCAAATGGTTGCTTGTGTTGGTCAACAAATTATTAGTGGTACTCGTATTCCCGATGGTTTCCAAGATCGGTCTTTGCCTCACTTTTTGAAACACTGTAAGTAAACAGAACAAACACGACAAGTAAATGATACAGAATTAAACTTTATTATGATTTTATATAGCCAAAAGCCCACCTGCCAAAGGTTTCGTTCGAAATAGTTTCTATACAGGTCTTAGTCCCACGGAATTTCTTTTCCACGCTGTGTCTGGTCGTGAAGGTTTGGTGGATACAGCTGTCAAAACGGCTGAAACTGGTTACATGGCTCGTCGTTTGATGAAGGTAACAATATTATAAAAAAAAGGTGAATTCAAAAAAAAAAATGGATTGACTTATATATTTTATAGGGTTTCGAAGATTTAACAACACATTACGATTTATCTGTTCGAAATTCTGAAGGTGCCATGCTTCAATTCTGTTATGGTGCTGATGGACTGGATCCTATGACAATTGAAGGGGATGGTATTCCTGTTGAATATGATCGTAATCTGAAGCATATCAAGGTGATACAACCTGCTGATCCTGAAGAAACTGGTCTCTTACCTTGGCAGATCATCCGAATTACTGAAATGGAAATCACGAGCAGACTTTGGACTGAAAACTGTATGCCTTCATTTATTGAAAGTACTCGAAATTATGTTACCGACAAGATTGCTGGCAAGTTGGCAAAGATTCGAAAGTCATATGGATTATTACCTGGCTTGTCTATTCCTGATGAAGATTATATGGATATGGATATTGATGAAGATGTGGAAGGTAAAAAAAAAAAAAAAGGACTTTTGAAAATAGGAATAGTTACTTACCTATTACCATCAAATGTAGAGGACGTGAAAAAGGCACTTCGAAATCTATTCTTGATTACGGAACGACAGTTACGTGCATACTTGGGTGTTTGTATTTCAAAATATCTCAAGGCCAAGATCGAACCTGGAACTGCTGTTGGTGCTATTGGTGCTCAGTCTATTGGTGAACCTGGTACGCAAATGACTCTCAAAACTTTCCATTTTGCTGGTGTTGCTAGTATGAATATTACTCTTGGTGTACCCCGTATCAAGGAAATTATTAATGCTGCCAAGTTGATCTCTACACCCATTATTGCCTGCGAATTGCATGAAGACAAGGATATTCGAGCTGCTCGTGTAGTGAAAGGACGATTGGAGAAGACCACATTAGGTGATGTGGCTATGTATATGGATGAAGTATATGAAGCAAATGAAACATATATTTTGATTCGTATTGATTTGGATGCTATCAACAAATTACAGGTAAAAAAAAAAAAAAAAAAAAAAAGGAACATGGCGAAGAAATACAATGAATGAAACACTGATTTTTTTTATTATATACATTATCTATCATCTAGTTGGAAATCAATATTTATAGCATCGCTAATGCAATTCAAACTGCACCAAAGATGGGTCAATTGGTAAGAATATAAACAAAAATATATAATAAAATATTCACTCTCATTTGCTTTTATAGGATGTCCAAACAAGTCGACCTGACATCATTCGTGTGTATGTCCATGCAAAACAAGATGAATCTGTCTATTACAATCTCAAAGCATTAAAACGTGTATTGCCGTCTGTCATTATTACGGTATGTAATGAATACTTTATTACAGTTTGAAATCTCATTTTTATTTGTTAATAGGGTTATCCTTCTGTCGTACGCGCAGTGATCACTGAAAAGAAGGGTGGAGGAGGATCAAAACAATTATTCGTGGAAGGCTATGGATTACTCAAGGTCATGACAACAGAGGGTATTATTGGCGAAAAAACTACTTCAAATAACATTATGGAAGTCTGTCAAGTTCTTGGTATTGAAGCTGCAAGGTAAATGAAATCAAACAAAAGAAATAGCTTAGACTTATTTTCCTTTGAATTTATTACTTTAGAAATACCATCATTAACGAAATTGGAGAAATTATGGAAAGTCACGGTATGACTATTGATCATCGACACGTTTTACTACTTGGTGACTTGATGACAAACAAGGGCGAAGTGCTTGGTATCACTCGATTTGGTATTGCCAAGATGAAAGATAGTGTGCTCAGTATTGCCTCCTTTGAAAAGACAACGGATCACTTGTTTGAAGCTGCTTTATATAGTAAAAAAGATGCCATCATTGGGGTCTCTGAACAGATCATCATGGTAAGCGGATAACACTTGAAAAGAAAATAATAGATAGACTTATTTTTTTCTTTATCCTATTTTTTTTTTTTTTCTTTCTAGGGTCTACCTATGACGATTGGTACTGGTCTCTTCAAATTACTTCATAAATCTATGCATCCATCCATTCCCCCTCCACGACCTTTACTTCTACGATAGTTCTATCCATCCTTATTTTTCATAGTCTCCTTATTTTTTTTTCTTTCTCTTTTCATCATCATCATATCATTTACAGTTTGTATATTAACACTTTAACAAAAATAAAAATATAGTATTGTTATTATTATTATTATCTATTAGATATTCAGTTGGAAATCAATGATACAAAATTTTCTTTGGGATAATCACCCCGTTATTGTTAATAACTTATGTTATCAATATTGTCATCATCACTCATCCAACATCACGCATGTACAATAACAAAATAAACTAAAGGCATGATTGATAACAAAAAAAAAAAGTCGCTTTATGATCACTCTATAGCTTCCATTATCCAGTCGACAAGCCAAATCATCAGCCATCGTTTTCATCCCTTGATCAAGGTTTAATATCATTTTTACCAATAATCCATTATTTAAATAAAAACAAAACAACCATATCAATAGAAAATAACATTTTCATCCATATTTATTTTAGAATCAATTGTATAAAAAGTGTGTTAAATTGTAATGAGGTGCACTGCACATCGATAAATAATATAGTGACTTGATTGTTTCTTTTTTCTTTTTTTTTTTCTTCTTGGTAAAAGGAAATCCATCAATAAAATGTAAAAAAAATATAATAAAGCGGGGAGAAGAGGGGGAAGGTACTAAAACTAAACCAGTATATAAGAAGAGAGGAGAGAATATATATATGTGTGTGTGTAAATCACAGTTCATAACCTTCTACCTTGAATAATTCACCATAATCAAAATAGCGTCGCATCAGTTTTTGTACCGCTTGTGGCAAGTTCATCGAAGTCAAAACATTCTGCATCTTGGATAAGCCTTCAGTACGGATCAACTTGTTCAAATTGCAAGCAATTTCAGTAGGATACTAATAATAAAAAAAGATTAGAATTCATTATTATATCTTCTTTTTTTTTTTTTTCCTTACCACAATTTCATGATACCATCGTTCATGATAAACTGTCAATTTGACAGCTGCTAATAAAGCACGTTCAACGTTGCCACCTTTTGCGTAGATTTCCAAAAGTTTGATCCAAGCCTTGGCTGAAAATTTGTAGTCCAAACATTGTTCAAATGCTTCCTTGGCTTCATCCTACAATAAACAAGTCAGAATAAAAAGATGTTTTCTTTTTTTTATTTTTATTTACCTCGTGCCACAATCGAAGAGCAAGATCACCTAAAAGTTCCCACTCTGTACCAGTCTTTCGGTAAGGCATTTGTTGAGCACGGTAGTGAGCAGCTTCAGTGCGCCAGAAGGTATATATCCGCAAATCTTCGTATAACACCATAAAGAGATTGTCCAACCAGCGTTCACAAAGTCGTTTATTACCAAAGGAAAAGTTGACATCTTCCTTGACTCGAGCTTCCTTATCATCACTCTATTCCAAATTATGAATAATTTAGTCTTTGTCCTAATGCATTTTAAATCTTTCTATATATCTCTACCTTTGGATCTTCAGCAGCTTGTCGAGGACGTTCTAATGAAGTATCTTCCATCTTGGGGACATCAGCAGCAGCGGGAGGAGGAGATGTTGTTGTATCAGAGGCTTTCAAAGGAGTATTATCTTCTTCATCTAAATTGACATCTTCCAATTTCTCGGCTAATTCGTCGTCGTTTGTAGATTCCTTGATTTCCGATGAATTTGTTGTTTCTTCGTTCTTCTCATCATTTTGTTGTTCACCATTTTGTTGAGGTGCAGTGGTGGCAGATGTCTCATCAGAAGTGTCGTTAGCAGTAGTGGTGGTGGCTTGATGGATGGAACTGTGGGAAAAGCTGGTTTTTCGTTCTTCTTCTTTGGCTTTTTGCATTCGGTATTCCTCCTCCATGACAAATACATGTGATCGACATTTGAGTAAATCATCCCATCCAATACGGGTAGCAAGACGAGTCAGTAATGCATATGCTTTGGCAAAGGTACCATGTAAAGCAGGTGCTGGGAGACGAAGAAGATTAGGATCAGCCTAAGTTAAAAAAAAAAAAAAAATAGAAAAAAAGGGTAAGAGAAAGAAAGTATCTGATCTTTTTTTTTTTTTTATGAAATATCATACATACTTCATTTTCACGACCCACTGTATCCTCTTCCATAACACCAGAACTTGCAATTTCCGTTTTGATAGGTAAATGTGTCTTGGCAGGTGCTGGCATACGATGCATATCCCTTTCACTGTAAGTAAACATAGGACAGGAGTTCAAAGTCAACAAGGCCTGTATATGAGATCAAAATAAAATAAAAATAAGGAATAAGTTGATGATCATGTAGCTCTTTCTTGATTACTTACACTTTGATAATCACCCAAATCAATATATACTAAGAGAAAAAAAAAGAATAAGTATGGGTTATAAATACTAACTAAGAATACTTTTGTTTTTATCTAAGAGAGAATATTTACCATCAGTAAGTTTGGCCCAAGTCATAAATTCGGAAGGAGTGGTGTTGACGGCAAATTTAGCCAACTTTAATGCCATTTCATATTCACCCTATATACAAAAAAAAAAAAAAAAATATTCATGAAAGATAAGTGACACGATGATGACATCTACAGAATAAACTTTCTTGATTTTACCTTTGAGCGTAAGAAGTCGACTTGTACATGTAATAAGGAATAACTCATGGGTACCAATTTGAGATCTTCATAGAGGATTTGAACTGCTTTAATTTCTTCATTTTGACCAATATAAGCTTCAGCTAAAAGAGCACCAATTTCAGGATCCTTCTTTTGTAATTTTTCAAATAATTCAATAGCAGGACCATATCGGAAACTATCACTAAAGTATTTCATCACACCAGATGTCAAATGATTGTGGACCACAGTAGCTGTTTGTATTTCAGGTTTACTACCCAGTTGCCAACCTATCAACAGAACCCAAAAATAAAAAAATAAAAAAAATAAGAAATAAGAATTATTGTTTGCCATTATACTTTACCCTTGAAGAATAAACTTTCCACAGCCTCCAAAAACTTTTGTTCCGCTGTCAAACTTGTGATAGGATCCACTTTTCTATAACCAGCCAATCGATAATAACTATCATCCGAATACAAGATAGCTCGAAGTACTGCCGATAAATAAGTTTCTTGCCAAATACTTGATGTAGCTTCATGACTATATAACAAACAAACAAACAAATGAGAACTAATATTTAATATATAAAAATAATTAAACTAACCGTTCACCACGAACATCAACATAATAGCTTTCAACACCACCAGGAATTTTGACTTCCACTCGAACATCGACACGAGAAAAGGCATTGAAACAGCTAAATAAACCATAATAAATCAGTACATTGATATATATATTTGAAATTATTTTGATATTGTTATTACCAATAGATTCCAGATCGAATTCTCCAAGCATTTGATTTCGTGAACCAAGATTGATTTTCATCCTATATAAAAAAAAAAAAAAAAGATATAAGAATAATTCAATCTTTCTCCATTCATCTAACTATATTTACCATAGAATAAGTCAAAGAGTTCAAATAGGCAGCCAGAGTAGCTGAGGAAGAAGCATCTACACCAGAAACATAATGATAACTACCAATCTATAATAATAAAAGGATGAATAATAAATAAAAAAAAAAAAGAAAAGGTTGTCACCAATATGAGTATATTTACTTCTCTCACACCAGGTTTTGCATTCGTTTTTATAATATGACAAAGATCAGGAGGTCCTAATTCACGAAAAGTGCCTATGAAAATAAAGTATAAAAAGATGATGAGTATTTTCGAAATATCTTATTTATTTGATATAATAAACTTTTTTTTTTTTTTACCTAAAGCATCAGTTCTTGCAATAATGGATTCTCCAAGTTCAGTTTCAAAGAATTCTGGAATATCTTTCAAGGTATCAGCCATTAATAAATACGATGATAGTAATTAAAAAAAAAAAAGTTGAGAACGCGTTGAACAAGAATAGAGAGACAAAGGAAAAGTAGGACAAGAGGCACCGCCAAAATTATATTTTTATCTCTATCTTAAACAACCAATCAACAATCAACAAACTTTTCATTTTTGAAGACCGCTCCTTTTTAATTGAAAGAGCAAAAAAGTTTCTTTTTTTTCTTCCTTGTTCTTTTTCTTTTCTCATACCATATCAATATTTATCATTTAGATAATATTTGAACAATATTCTTATTTCAAATGAAGAAACATGTTCATATATGTATTATATGAATGACTATGCGATTGACTTGATTTTTATCTCTATTTTTTGCTGTGAAGGTAAAACAAGAAAAACCAACAACCAAAAAAAAGGGCGCTAGAATTCAACTTCTTTTTTTTTCTCTCTCTCTCTTTTTCGAATTATGTATGAAACAGGAAATATCATGGCTATGCAAGGGGGGGAGGGTTATATTAGTTTCCTTACATACGATATCTAATTTTGCGAACTGGTGATGACGACGATGACTGATAGATGGAGCATAAAATGAAAAAAAAGAAGGATGAAAAGAAAAAGGGAAGGATGATTGATAATGGATGGATGACTAACTATTATCAGTTTTTACAATTTTTTTATATAAATATATATAACCAAATATCATTTTATACAAAATATCCACATGGCAAAACAATGGAACAAGGGGGGTATGACAACAATAATAATAACAATAACAATAACATGGAAAACATTTTGGAGATCCTTATTCATAATAGAATATTATTAATTGTTAAATACCATGATAGTTCAGTAGTAATAGAACATTTTTTTTTATTTGTTAGTTTAGTTTTTGAATGAATAAAATAGTATTTTTTTTTCAAAAAAAGGAAAAAAGTGATACGGATGATACTAACAATAGGAAATGATGGATGCACACGTGATAGACACTAAAGATCCTCTTTATTTAAAAAATGTATTTTGTAGATCTATGTTTTGAAAACAAAAAGGAACGCCAGGGATTTAAGCTGAGTAGAGAGATAAAAAAAAGATTAGTTTAGATAGAAAAGCTGAGTCACTTTCATCATTACCATCATTTGATTATAAAGAAGGAAAGCGGGACCTTAATCAAACGCATGAATCGGTTTTCGAAATAGAATGATAACTCCCTTCTTTCTCCCTTACAGTTAGTAATAGCTTTTTTTTTTTTTTTTTTTTTTTTTTTTACTGTATGGATGAAACACGGATTAGACTTTCTATTTTACTTCGCATGGACCATCTTTGTTTATAAGTTTCCCAGATTTCTTTTATGGAGTATGATGGAGTTGCATCGGGTCGGTTCCGCTCTCTATCCCAACAATTTAAAGTTTCGTTTAACTTTATCAGTTTCATCTTTTTGGCTTAGTTAAAAAGGAATTTATAATTAGACAAAAGGGGTAGAATAGTAAACTGGCTTTCAAAACCCTTGGTTCTTTTCAAAGTAATACAGAAAACTATCAAAAAGGTAGTTCCGAAGAAAAAAAAAAATGATTTCCCTCCTCCGTTTGCCACATCGTCACAGGTCAACCCTCACTCCTTTTCTCAATTTTGTCCTACTACTAGGCTGGTTTTTTTTTTTATTCCCCTTTCTTTTTTTTTTTTTTTTATAATGAAATGCTCAACAACGTTTCTTATGCTTTTAGGATCATCATCATCATCAATAGAAAAAAAACAAGGGGTTCATATAGAGTAGATACACATAAAAAAAAAGGGAAGATATAATAAAAAAAAAAGGGGTCAAGAGAGAAAGACATGACTTGAAACACTGATGCTGATCCTGAAGGCGCGCGCTTTCCAGCCGATCTTAGTATCAACCTTTTTTTTTTCAGTTGATTCTTAAACGATATCTGACCAAATCTGGATGAACTCTTGGCTTTTTCTTAATAGTAAGTTTAAACTTGTGCATCATATTCTTTTATATACTAATCATTCATTCATATGTGTGTATTATTATGTGATTAAAATGAATAGTTTTGACAAAACAATAACAAAAAAAAAAATAATATTAATAACATGATCATGATCATAATAAAGAGTAGCATTTGTTCAAAACAACGAAGCATTTTTTTTTTATTCCGGGGCGCTATAGTTCAGGCGTAAAAAAAAAAAAAAGAGAGTTCTTAAAGCACACGAAAATGGATCGGGGTATGGTTCTCATATTTATGCAGTCTTTGTCTAAACAAGGAAAGAAAGATTGAAAGGTCTGCATGCAGTCATGCATATCTTTTTTTTTTTTTTTTTGTATTCCAAAAAGATAGTTGATCATGTAGTAAATCAATGACCTGCAAATGATGTTAAGTGATAATATTATAGTATTGAAATAATTTTGTTATTAGAATAATAATAAAAGGTAAAGAAATAGATCAAGTAAAAAGATATGATAAACTCATGATTATCCAAAGTAAATGATATTAACCAATCATCATTTTCTATTCTATCCACTTTGATTCTTCCTTTTTAGTTTAAACAGGAGTCAAGGGGGGAAATGAGTCCAGGGGATCACCCTCTTTTTTTTTTTTATACAACGACAATGGAGTCGTTCTTTTTTTTTTTTTTTTTTTTTTTTTTTTTTTTTACCACATGACTGATTGAAAAAAAAAAGCCTCTTCTAACAAAAAGAAATCTCTTACTTTTTTTCATTCCCAGTGTGCATTTAAAAGAATGGGATTCCCAATTTTTTTTCTTTTCTCACTTTCCTTCCTACTTTTTTTTATTTTTTTTATTTGAATGACTGATTTTTCGTGGTATTCTCGTTCTACCATGTCTTTTCCTTCTACTGATATTATGACTCAAGCTAATGCTAACAATGAAGTAATGAACCATCAACTTCAACTGTTTTATCGTCAATTACCACCTATTCCTACAACTAACTCCGCTACTGAAACCACTACTGCTGCTGCTACTCCTGTTCCTCCAAGCCCTACTTCTGGTCTGGGTCCTACATCTTCGTCCTCTTGGCATGAACCTATTGTGGAATCTGTACATCATGGTCATCCTACTCCTACTCCTTCTAGTGAAAAGAAACGCTCTCGACAAATTTCTTCCATCACTCAAGATGTTCGTGTGGAAAAAAATACTCAAGGCAAACCTCCTTATTCTTATGCTACTTTGATTCGTTATGCTATTGAAAATAGTCCTGCTCAAAAATTGACTTTGAATGATATCTATAGTTGGGTATTAGAACATTACTCTTACTATAAAACTGCTGGTTCTGGTTGGAAGGTAATATATATATATATATATGTAGGAATGATTCATCATGATTTTAATTATCCTTTTTTTTTTTTCTGTAGAACTCTATTCGTCACAATCTCTCTTTGAACAAAAGTTTTATTCGTGTTGCTAGACCTATCAATGAACCTGGTAAAGGTTCTTATTGGATGATTGATTACAATGCTGCTGAAAACGAATTACGCGCCAAGCAAACCTATCGTGGTCGAACAAGTCGAGCAGCAAGTGATGCTGCTACAACAACGCCTCCTACTTATCGAAATCCTCCATCTTCTTCAACCATGCGTCGACATTCTGATACTCGTTATTTCACCAATGCCACTATGAATCCATCTACTTCAGCTCCTTTTAGTACCACATCTGCTGTTACTCCAACTCCCACAACCACCACTACAACTTTACCAACAACAAATGCTTCTACCATGGCTACCCCTGCTGATTATTATTACTATTATCAACCTTATAATGGCTATCGGTCTTCCAACACGATAATGCGGGATTATGCAAATGTGCAGCATCATAGTAGTTGTCATCTTTATAATGGTGGTGACATGCATCATCATCATCAACAACAACAACAACAACAACATCATCATCATACTCACCAACATCATCAACAACCTTATTCTAATGCTTCTTCTGCTATTGCCACTACTACTACTACAAGTTCGTCGTCATCATCGTCATCGCTATCATCATTAGCATCATCAACGTCTGATCGACCTTTATCACCAACACCATCCAACCTTTTCCCACCTGAATTGTCGGTAACATTATCAACCGTTGCTAGTCCACATTCATCACTATCAGAAGAACACCTTGGTTCTCCTTTACCTCAACATTTCACAATGTCAACACCTGATGATCAAGATAAACCAAGAAAACGTTCAAAATGTCATCATCATCAACAAAAATCTACTTTGGAATCCGATCCCTCTATGCAATGGCCTGTTGTTATCTAGTTTTATTCTTTCTACCTTGTACCTTGCTTTACCTTTTTTTTTTTTATATATATACATATACTTATACATATTCATTACTCATATATTCCCTTTTTTTTATATATTTTTCTTTCACATACAAAACCAAATATCTATCCATTTTGTTGATTTGTTTTATACTTATATCCCCTTTTTGATAACAAAAAAAAAAAAATGGAAATTCACAAAATAATCATCTTCTTTTTTGTATATAGTTTAGTATTGTTTCTCCTTAAAAACCCAAAAAAAAAAAATATAAAATAAAATTGGATTGCCCACACTCCCCCTTATCAAACTTCACTGACAAATCGTCATCATTATCAATAAAGGCGTATTTTTTTTTTTTGTCCACACTCATCGTCATTCATTTGTGTCACTTTTAACAATGATCATCCTCGTCATTACTATCATCATCATTTTTAATCTTCATAGGCGGCGATAAATGGTAACTATCATCATCAAATTCTTATCAAGATATCATCACCACCAGAAAAACTAAAAGATGCATCCAAAATGCATACAGAAACAAAAAAAAAGAAGGAACATCCAATGAAAATTAACTTAATTTGCGCATTTTTATGATAAAAAGATTTCTTTTATTGTAAATACAAAAAGTCTAAGTAGGAGGAGATAAAACTAAACTAGGATCCATTTTTGTTCATTGACTAGGTTGTTCATGTTGTTGTTGTTGAGGTACTTCTTGTCCAGGTGGCATCAAAGGTTGTCCCTAAAGAAAAATTACGATGGGAATTAAGTTTCATGCATGTAAAAAGAAAATGACATGATGATTGCATGACCCAGCACACATACATCAGTACATCAACCTACATATACATTCGCTTTTTTTTTTTTTTTTTTTTTTTTTTTTTTTTTTTTAGAATAACTTACCGACGATACTTGGGCCATCAATTCCCATACGGTCATCTTCATTTCTTTCATTTTTTCCTTTTGCATTTCCATATCTTTCATCATTTGATCTTGTTGTACCTTCATCTGTTCATGTTCCTGAGCAAATGTTTGTCGTACATGTTGTCGCATTTGTTCCAAGTAAGTAGGAGGAGGTCCTTGAGATTCAGTAGCGCCACCACCACCACGGAGTAAAGAACCCAAATTGCGTTGTGCAGGTTTGCTTTTTTGTTCCGCCAGCCATTGTTGTCGATGTTGTTCATTCATAGCTGCTTCTCGCTTAGCCCATTCTTCTGGAATCGATGAATCTCCAAAACTCTTCAAGACAGGTCGAATATCTTCAGGATTGGTTAATGCCACAGCTAAAAAAAAAAAAAAAAAAAAAAATCAAGCAACACATAAAAAATCAATTAAAATAGCTTAAAAAAAATCCCAAATTTTTTCTTACCTTCCAAGAAAGGAATATAATCCAATAATCCATGATCATTAGCTTGACCCTTCCAGGGCTTCAGAGCTACACCGTTTTCAGGTTGCATAGAGAATGCTTGAGGGTTGGAATCCATAATGATCACCTTGCTCAAATCACGATTCAAATGAGATAAATCCTTGATATATTGTCCATCCACGTAACGAGTTCCATCACGGTAAAGTCGATACATTGCATATTGATAAGGATCTAATTTGTCAAGAATAGGCATAGCATTCTTGGATAAAGAAAAAAACAAGTTAATATTTTTCATCTACAACTTTTTTTTTTTTTTGAACATACCATAGCAGGTTGAGATGTGAAAATGACAATTTCATAGAATTGAGACAAGTAAGATAAAAAGTAATCCACACCAGGTCGTTTCGCATGTCGCCAACCATGTTCTTTCTATATATATATATAAAGAAAAACAACTTTATCAGTTAGACATTCTTATTCGATTATTTCTCCCTTCTTTCAATCTCTTCAAATACCCTGATATAATTTTTCATATATGATTTTTCTAACTTACGGTCCAAGTAGAATATACCAAGGTTTCATCCAAATTGATCACCAAAGTATAAGGACGACGATAAGGTTCGGGTAGAGGATCAGGAAGAAGTTTGTCCCACATGGGTTGATGCATTTCCTATATGACAAAAAAGTCCATATCATTTTAGTTCTAATGTTCCTTTTTTTTTTTTTAATATCTTTACCTGACGGAATTGACGGAATCGGTCTACAGAACGATGGTATGAGGCTATAAGAATGTTTTCAGAAGCATACTATAAAATTCACCCAATAATAGAAAAGGTTTTAGAATATAAAGTTTTCTTCACCTATTCTTTCCTTCAATACCTTATTTTCTCTTTCGTCAGGGAATGGCCGGCCATAATAAAATAGTCCTCCGATCAAGGCACCAGTAACAGCACCAGAACCAATGGCAATGGATTTCCAATGATTTTCCTTTTCACCAGCGGCTTTAGCAGGTTTTTTGTCGCCTTTGGGTAAAGTGGCCTTGAATTGTTGACTTGCTCCACCTGTCTTTTGAGCTAATGCTTCTTCTGCCAAATTGTGAGCTGCTTTCATGGTTTGTTCATTAGATGGTTGACTGCTATATGTACGACGAAGTCCATGTTTCACGAATCGAGACGCTGTATTTCTAATCATTCTAGTAGAAATATATGTATATATACACAAAAAAAAAAAAAAAAAAAAAGAAACAAAGAAAAGAAAAATGAAGTGAGAAAATAAATTGAACTAAAAAACTCATGGTGGCTGATGGATGTCCCACCAACCCGTTCGGTGCTTGAAAAAAGGAAAAAAATTGACATGCATACTGTGGTAGTAGGTTGCAACCAATACATGATAATGGTAGAGAAATATTTCAAACAAGTTGTTGTTCCTTTTGAAAAGAGATGATGGCAAAATGAGAGAGTAGAAACGGTGCAAGAGAAAGAGTGAAAGAATCAATAAGCAGTTGATCAATATCAATCGTAGTCCTATTTGTCTTTGCATTGACGTCTTGACTATGGTTCACATATTTCAACATAAACAGTTAGGATCATCCACTATCTATGATCCATCATTTATTGCATCATCATCCACCTCCACTAACATAAAAACTATCATCAATGAAATAAGGTCATCTAGGGGAAAAGTATTGATGATGTCTTCATGTTGTATATATATATATATATATTCTTTTTCAATCAAGTCATCTCTTATGTTTACTCCTACTATCATAGTTATCATATTACTAATGTCACCAATTGTTGATTGACAATCGTCATAATATATGTAGTTAATATAAGAACCATTATAGTCATTGTAATCATGCATCATAAGAGCACCAAAGTTTGATTTGAGGTATATACATATCTTTATTATACATCCATAAAAATAAATAAATAAACGAACAGACAAACAAATAACCAAAACAAAATAGAATAGAATGATAAACTATATCACTAAATCTATTTGGTAGTAGGGAAAATCTTGGGAGCAGCCTAATAAAGGACAGATCATTAAAAAAAAAAAAGACAGAGTATGAGTTTGACGATTTTTTAAAATGAGATGAAGAGAGGGTTTCTTTTTGATCAATCCATTGATGACAGGAAGTTGATCTGTTCTTACTTACGCAGGCATCAAGACAATTCAAAAACTGAGCTACTTCCTCAGCACCTATAAAAAAAAAAAGATCATTTTGTTTAGCCCTATCCACACTATGCATATATTTTGAATCGTATTTAATTTAATATATATATACTTACAGTCTTCATTAGACCCATTCTCTACGCGTGCATTGCAGTCATCCAAAGGCTTTCTAGCACTCAAACAAGGCTTTATGCAACCTAAGAGAAGAAGAAAAAAAAAAAGGTAAGAAAATAATATATACGCTTCTAACAATATTTTGTTATTTTATTACCTCTATAGATCTGTTCCATATTTGGTTCTTGGATTTGTTCTTGTTTGGCAGGGTGATGTTCTTCCACAATGTAACCATATTGAACAGCATTGTCGTCATTGTCTACAATGATGGGATTAATATAAGGATCTTCAACATGAGTCGCTTCTTCAGCATACACAGTGGGAAAAAGGTTAGAAATAATATCAGATAATTTCATTTAGGTAAGATACAATAAATAAATAAATAAATAAGAAAATAAATAAGAAAATAGAAAAAAAAGGATGGAGAGAAAAAAAAAAAAGAAAAAAAAATTCCTGCTGATAAGTCATGGATTCTTATTGGCCTCGTATATCGGTCTTCCATTTCCGCTTCCCCGCACACTTGATCAAAGTGTTTTATCACCCTGGATGAAACAATTCCACCAATGCATTGACTAAACCAATCATCAGGATGATCAAATCATTTAAATTTGCATATCATCATGAGTCCATACATTCATTATTGACGAAAAGAAAGAAAAAAAAAAGACTCTAGTTCTTTCTATGGTAGGTGATAAAATCGAATATGTAGTTTTGTTATCAATATCCATTTCTATAACGGTGGACATAAAGTGACATTTATCTCCTTTTCAAAAAAAAAAAAAAATGAAGGTAGGTTTATTGTATCAATAGATGTCAGATTCCATTTCAAACGGAGAATGGAATAGCTTTGGTACATTTGTAGTCATCATCAACATTTTTTATGGAAAATAACGGAAGAGTCAATTCAATGTCATCTTTATTCAATAATAATATACATACATCTAAAACAAAAAAAAAAAAAAAGATGAGATAAAACTATATATGAGGGTAAGGAAGAAATAGGAATATTCTAATCTAATCCTTGTATTGATTCAAAAACTTGGCATGGAAGGCTTCAATATTGGAACAGAAGGCATCAAATAGATGTTCTTCTGGTAAAAAGGTAGATCTAAAATGGTAAGTGCCTTCTACTTGTCCAAATCCGGAACCTAATCCATTAAAAAAAAAAAAGGTCAATTTTTTTTTTATTTTTGTATAAAAAATCCCACGGTCCCATCCAATCACAATGCGTTCCTTCTATTTCCTTTTCCCCGTTCGGATGATTCCAAATCATTTTCTTACCTGGGACCACACATACACCAGTAGCTTCCAACATTTCTTCAGAGTAAAAGGCATCAGGAGCTAAACCTCGACGTTGAGCTTCTTGAATAGCTTTCTTGGGCAAAGTGATAGTAGGGAAGAGATACATAGAACCTTGAGCAGGTTGACAGGATACACCTTCCATGGCATTAAAGGCATCCTCCAAACGTTGCGATCTTCGTTTTAGTGATTGATAGATGGCTTCATATTCTTCACGATAGAGAGGATAGGAAGGATCATTGGGTTGGGGTGGATGACACATCAGATCGACCAAGATTTGACCATGAATATTTGGACATAAAGAGACAGAGGCCATTTTGTAGATTTGATCCAAAATATCTTGATTCAAATTGATACATTCAAAGTAACCGCCACGACGACCACATTCACCAACCATACCTTTGGAGATGGAATGGAATGAAACGAGTTCCACTTGCTTCTTGACATGTTCCAATGGATGATCCAATAAAGCCTTGCGGAAACTAATAAAGGGTCGTTCTTTAGTATAGATATTGGTTTGATAGACTTCATCAGCTAAAAGTACAAGTTGCTGATTGTAACAAAAAGTCAAGATTTCTGTCAAGTTTTCTTTGGTGAGGCATTGACCTGTTGGATTTCCAGGGTTGATGATCACAAGCGCACGTACATCTGTACCATTATGTCTTGCTTCCTTCACTATTCGTGTCAACTGTTCGATATCCAAACCCCATTGTTGTCGTTCATCCAAATAATAAGGCACTGGTGTTGCACCTACCAGAGAGAGAGTGGCACTATAGAGTGGATATTGTGGAATTGGAATCATGATACCAGAATGACTGTCTTGAGTCAACATAGTCAGAATAGTTTGTACACCAGAAGAAGCACCTTGAGTTAAATAGATATGGTTGATATTGGCAGGAGAACTATTATCACGTTTTTCTAAAAAGTTGGCTACTGTACGTCGAATGGCTGGAACACCTTGAGAATGAGAATAAGCACCGATACTTGGTCCAATATCCTTGAGTAATTGCTTAGCTCGGGTGATGGCATCTGATGGATAGAGTTGTGATACCAAGTGAGCCTTGTCATCCGATAATAAATCAGGGTTTTCACATAATGAAGCTACCTGGATGATCATACCACCAAAAAAAAAAAAAAAAAAAAGTCAACTCATATTTTTTTCACCCTTTGTTACCTAGTAATATTATATAAACTTACTTGACGGAAAAATGTGATTGGTTTTTGATTAAGTTGTTGGGGATTTCCAATATTGCAGTTGACAACTGTATCAAAGGGAAACTTTTTACCAGCAGAGAGTTCATCCCTAATTTCTTCAGCACGGATGGCAATACGACCGCGTACAGCATATTCAACTTTCTTGATATAATTGTTCATACTATTAATAGTCAATACTTTTTCACCAGGGTGAGCTAATTAACAAGTTGAGAATCAAAAAAAAAAAAAAGTGAGTTAAATATTATACTAAAGAGTAGTTTATCCAAAAGTTGAAAAAAGTAGTTTTATTTTTACAAATAGTTTACCTTTATATTCTTTAACAGTCATGGTTTAAATATATATATATATGTTATAAAAATGGAACGAATAATAAATGTGAAAAGTGAAAAAAAAGAAAGAAAGATAACAATGATTTCAGAAAGAAAGAAAGAAAAAAAAAAGGGGGGGGAAAGGAATGATTCATGGAATTTATACAGGGAAATTGAATAGCCGCAGCCCATGGGGTAAGTTAAGTGTTTTTGTGCGGCGATTCCTTCCTAATGCACTATTGATCAGGTACCCAATCACTCTATGGGCACTAAGACAAAAATGGATGAAGTTAGTTCAATTTAAATCATGTCAATAATAATAAAAAAAAAAAAAAAAAAAAAAAACTTGACAGATATTTGATACAATTTATAAAGTTTTAAATTTTTAACATTGTGGCATCATAAAAAGAGGAGATCAATCATAAACCTTGTTTTTATTTATTATTCAATAATAGAAATATATAAGACTTTTCTTTTTTTTTTATTCATATAATTAAACTATAAAGAGATACACTAAAACTACTATTAGTACTGACTACTACTATTATTATTGATATTCACTATGTTGATAATCTTCAGTCATCGGTGGATCATTCAATTCCAAATTACTATTAGTATTATAATGGAGTCCATGGGCCACTAATTTGTCATTCAGTTCTATACAAGCGTTTTCCCATCGTAGTTTTTCTTCCCATAATTCACGTAGTTTCTTGTAGGCCAGCCCGCTCAACACTTCAAAATGATCACATGATGCCTCTAATGCTGCTTGCAATCGTTGTCGTTCCTGTCGTTCCTGTGCGATTTCCTGTCGAAGGCTTTCCACTAGTAATAACGAATCTGTATTATCGGATGATGTTGAATTCCTGTTTTGTAAAGTTGTTGTTGATGTAAAAGAAGAAAATGGTTCATGATCTTGATTGATTGTTGTTAATCCATCCCAAGGTAAAGTTTGAACTTGTACATGTCGTACTTTTTTCTTTTTTCCTTCCATTTGATCATTCGTCCAAGTGGTTGTTCCAGTGGAAGATACTTTCAAAGCACGAATATGTTCTTCCGTCAAAAGAGTTGTTACTACATCCATAGGTTTGTCGATACCGTACAATTGACATTGTTTCAAACGTTGGATCAAGCCAGCTTCAATCACATCCATTCCATCACATGCCGCTATCATATCATCGACCATTTTCCTCTTCATCATTTCCTTGTTGTTATTATCTTTATTATCATTGTCTTTAGAAGTGATAATGGACTTGTTAAGTGAAGAAGTAGTCGTTGTCGATGAGGTAGCAGTAGTACCTGTCGTTGTTGTTGTTGTTGCTGTTGTATTGATTTTGGTTGGATAAGGTGAAGGAGGTGATTTGATGGATAAACTTCGAATAGATGCAGCATAAAGACTTGAATCACGACGTGTTGGTAAGACAGGCTCATTTAAGGAAATCTTGCTGGTAGTTGCCATAGTTTGTATAGTACTTGAATTAGTAGTAGTAGTTGAAAGCGGAACACCAGTATTACCACTATTAAGATCATGATAATGGAACATTCTTGGGTTGTGAGCAATGATTTCAATATAGTTTTTCCGGTGGATGGTATTAGGAGCGCCTTGTTGATATAAAGAAGTAATAGAAGAAGTGGCACCAGTAGAAGAAGCAGATGGAGTTGAAGTAGTGGATTTATTTTTATTTCTTCGTCGTAAAAAGAATGGAGTAGAAGTCCTTTTTGTTGGTGTTGAATGTGTTGTTGTAGGTGATAGTTTCTGAAATTCTTCAGGACTTGTTGTATTTAAAAATTCTACCAAAGCTTGAGTTCCTGTTTTTCGTCGTCTTGGCCGCGGTGGTGTTGTTTCCAAACTCCAATCGTCAAAGTCATCAAAGTCGTCATCTTCTTCATAGGTATTGATTGTTCGTGCATCTTTAGGTTCATAACCACTCTTGTATGTCATGAGAGGCATACGACTTGCGTAGACGCGAAATAAAACAAAGGATAAGAAGAAAGAAAAATAAAGTGGGTGTGAAAAAGAAAAAAAAAATTAAAATAAAGTAGGAGATCAAAAAAAAAAGTATAACCACGTTATTATTCTTTTTTTTTTTTTTTTTTTTTTTTTTTTTTTTTACTTCTTTCCTTTTTTTTGCCCATTCTTCTTCAGTTTTTAATAATGTCAACATTAGAAACACTTTTGAAGGACTTTGTATTCGAACGTGTTCTTTCACATAATACTCGTACAAAATTGATTTATTTACTTGGACGGGTCAAAGGCGAAGCATGTATATTAAGTTTGGAAAAATTAGCTTATGACGATACATCTATACCAACACTAAGTCAACATGTGAATAAACTGAAGGATGAAGTAGAAAACAACATCTATGGCTGGGGTTTAGGAAATATACAATTAGACAAAGTGAATACACAGATCAAATACATTTATCCAGCAACTGAACTACACATTCGCAAATATCAAGAACAAGCACGATATATGATCAGGGAAACACCAACTGTTTATACTCAAGTTACAAAACCATACATTGATTCTATTCCAGCAGAACGTATCGATTGGGTACGCAACATTCTTCAAGGTAAAGCTGAAGTAGATCGTGTATTATATCATGATAAGGATCCGAAACATGGGTTTGTGGTATTACCTGATATGAAGTGGGATGGACAACCTGATTCTATGTATTTGGTAGCAATTGTGATGAATCCTGATTTACTTTCTTTACGATCACTTACAGCCGAACATATACCTTTACTAAAACGAATTCGATCAACATGTCAACGAATTGCCAAGGAACAACAAGGATTAACAGGGAATGATGATACTTTATATCCACAAGAATTCCGACTCTTTCTTCATTATCAACCCAGTTATTATCATTTACATATACATATTACGGCTCTTACTATGCAGGATCCTCCAGGGGCAATGGCAGGACAAGCTCATCTTTTGGATACAGTTATCGATAATTTAGAACTTTATCCAGATTATTATCAAAAGGCAAGTCTCTCTTATGTTATTGGTGAACAACATCCTCTTTATTCAAGTTATAAAACCTGGGTGGAACAAATAGAACAAATCTAGTTTTTACTCATCGTCACAATAGAGTAGTATTATTCTTATTAATCTATTTTTTTTATTATTTTATTTTTATTTTTATTCTATCTTTTTTTTTTGTGGTGTGCTTTATTTTATTAAGAGTTTATGAATAAAAACGAAAATGAAGAAAAAAGATGACCTGATCGGGTAATTTTAGTCCGATTCCTCTACTTTATTATTCTTATGTTATTTATGATTATACAATAAACAATATTTATTCTTCAAAATAAATTTGGGAAATTGGTATAGGGATCAAGGTAACTAGGAACTTTTTTTTTTTTCTTATTTGATACTCCTTAAAGTTTTAAGTGGTAACTACTGTTATCGGTACCTCTGACAGCAATTGTATCACTTTACATTCTTTATATTATAGATGAATTTAAGTCGCCGCGAGTTCTCTGATAATGTTTTTTTTTGTTGACTTGAAAGATGGGATGATAAAAAAATTACTACTTTTTTTTCTACTTCTTTTTTTCCCTTTCCTTTCCTTTTTTTTTTTTCTTTTTTTTTTTTTAATTGTGTGTTTGAAGAGAAACCAACTTGATCAAACATGGATGTTGTACTGAAATATGCTGATGACTATGTCTTTGACTCTTTTTATAATAAGATGTTATCCATCAGTGTTCTGAACAATGCTACAACTTCTGGTATGGCCTCTGACTTGATGGTATCTTCATGGACTCAAGATAATGTCTATCGTCAATTCCTCACTGTATTCATTATTGTATGTTCTGGTGGTTGGTTCTTCTATTTGGCTGCAGCTTGTCTATCATATTATTTTATATTTGATCATGAGATGATGAAGCATCCAAAGTTTTTAAAGAATCAAGTCCGTCAAGAAATCATTTGTGCTGTCAGTGCTATTCCTGGATTTTCAAGTAAGTTTGAAATATAAAGGAAATATGAAATAATATGAAAATGAATGCTTATATATTATATTATATATAGTTCTTACTGTACCATGGTTTGTTGGTGAAGTAAGAGGTTATTCTTTACTTTATGAAGGTACTCCACAAACAACTCAAGAATGGCTTTATTTGATTGCAACCATCCCTGCGTTCTTATTCATCACTGATATGGGTATCTATTGGATTCATCGTTTCTTACATCATCCTCTTCTTTACAAACCTCTTCACAAGGTAAAAAAAAAAAATCGAATGATGGATAATTATTTAACTTTTTCTTTTTCTTCTTTTTTAGCTTCACCATAAATGGATTGGTAAGTAGAATAATGATCAGTCGGAAAATCTTGATTAACCCGAGTTTTTCATTTTTTTTAATGATTATTTCTAGTTCCTAGTCCTTTTGCTTCTCATGCTTTCCATCCTCTTGATGGTTATCTTCAATCTACACCCTATCATCTATATGCTTATTTGGTTCCAATGCACAAATGGTTATATATGGGCATGTTTATTTTTGTCAATGTTTGGACAGTGTTGATCCATGATGGTAAAAAAAAAAAAAAAAAAAAAAAAAAGTCTAGAGAAAAGAGGGCAACTATTTCTATACTTGTATTGTATTAACGTTACACCATTTATTTTTAGGTAACTTCTTCTCGCATTCGGATATCATCAATACTACAGCTCATCACACTGTACATCATTTATACTTCAATTATAACTATGGTCAATATTTCACCTTTTGGGATAAACTTGGTGGTTCTCATCGTCAACCTACTGCTGAACAATATGATGCAGCTTTACGTAATAACAAGAGCGTATGGGCTGCTCAATCCAAGGATGCTGATACCATTGAAAGGGAAGATGAAGTCAAAGCTCAGAAGTACAAGCAATATTAGATACTTAGGTAATATAGTTAGTAATTTAGATCTATTCATATTTTGTATTTTCCCCTCCATCCTATTTTATTTTGTTACAATGATAGTTATTGGTTTACTTTCTACTTTTTTTTTTTTTTACAACATACATTATACTAATTACTAGTGACTCTCCACTCTTTAATTCCATTGTTTTATTTATTTATTTAATATTTTATACATATTCACTTGGAATAAAATATTTTTCTTTTTTGTTCCTATCATCAATTCTGTCATTTCTTTGATCAACTTATTGGACTCAGCTAATCTGATAAAATGACGGTGTTTTTTTATTTTTTTATTTACATCTGATAAGTTTTTTTTTTCGCTCCCCTTTGTTTTCCCTCTTTCTATCTTATTTCTACTTTACTGTATCTTGAATTCTACATTTTTTTTTCTTTTTTTAATATTCACTTCATATATAGATAGACATATACACATACACACACGCGTGCACATTATGGAAGTGGATTGCAAGGTTGTGTTGGACCAATGGTTGACTTGTCCAGAACAAAAGGTTCTACCTTCCTTTTTAGCATCTATTCTATTATGTAAGTAAAAAGAATACAAGTTTATTTATTGTATCTTAAATTCATTCTTATACGGTGTCATATTTTTAGTCGTCAACAAAACTCCCAATGGTATTGAGGTGCTTCTGCATCTATTGGATCAGTATTGGAACCCTTCATCAGGAACAGTGATTTTCGAAGACTCCATAACTATAAGTGATATTCGTGTCAAATGTAAGATATTCCTTAGTATGTATGTTGTGATAGATAATTAATTATCATTTTGTATTTATTTCTTTTCTAATTTAGGTATTGATTTATTGGCCCAAACAATTACTCCAAGTATCTCATTCCTCAAGCCCGCCACTGGTAAAAAAAAAAAAAAAAAAAAAAAAAAAAAACATTACCATTAATTGTAAAGTATACATATTTATATTTATATCTTTTATATACTTGTATTAGTCAATACTATTTTACAGTTTATGGATGGGAAATTGGTAGAACCATTGACGGTATCACGATTTATAGATATTATTTCAGTCTTGGTTGAACATGATTTATGTACCACACAGCATTGTATGACCATATGTAACCAGTAAGTACTAATTGGAATGAATTCATTATAACTTACTCTTTATCCTATTTAGACTATTCTCTTATATTCCTGGCAAGAAATGGAACCAACCCACTCGATTCAAGATATTCACTATTCTTGGTCATCTTCTTCAAAAATATTATAAAGGTAATAGAAAGAATAATGACAAAATGGAATACTTTTTTTTTCTAACTTGATTTGTGTTTTATATGTATATATATATATAAACAAGATATCAATCGATCGTCAATGAATTTTATTGATGGCTTTATCTCTATTATGGATGGGGAAAAAGATCCTAGAAACCTTTTGCTTGTTTTTGATCTTATACGATTTGTGATTGAAAAGTTAGATATATCAAGACATGTCGAAGTAAGTCGTCTATACTAAAAAAAAAAAAAAAAAAATGAACACTTATTGATTTATTCTCTTCAAGAATATATTTGATGTAGTATTTTGTTATTTCCCTATCAGTTTTACGACGCCACCAAATGATCCTTTAGCTATCACATCCGATCAACTGAAACATAGTCTAAGGTAATATAAAACAAGGATGTGAGGGTAAATTGAAACTAAAGAATTTGTATGTATTATTTATATAGACTTTGTTTAGCTGCATCTCCTTATTTTGCTTATTTTGCCACTCCTTTGTTAATTGAAAAATTAGTATCAAGTTCTGGCAGTGCCAAGGTAATAATAATAATAATAATAATAATAATATAATAGAAGAAACTTATCTTTTTATATTCACTTATAATATATATATATATATATAGAAAGATACTATGGATACCATTCGAATGTGTGCTCCATCTTATGGAGCTCATGCTTTACTACCTCATGCACAAGATTTATTTGGGGCACTGGTGAAAGAAGTCTATCAAAGTTCTGATCTAGCAATGAAATCCATCGCTCTAGAAACAATACATCAAGTGGTAGCAACTCTTGCTACAGGAATTAGTATCGTCAATATCCGTGATCCTGTGGAAAGAGCTATAGAGGATTTATTACATCAAGCTGTGGAAAATCTCAAACAACCTGAATTGAAAAATGCAAGATCTGCTTCATTGATCTTACGATCTGCCGCTTCAGCTTCTGGTAAACTATTCAAAAAGAAAAGATGATCACGAACTCACCCTTTTTTTCTCATTTTATTATAGATCCTGCCTGTACCTTGGTTGTTAATGCCGTATTACCATTACTTTATCATGAACACAAAGTTACCGACATGGTGAGTCGTCAAAAAGCCATCTTGGGTATCCTGATCGATATTTTGGAAGCAAGCAATAGTCTTTATGGATCTATAAATAGCACTACACAAGGTAGATAGGAAAAGAAAAAAAAAGAACACCTCAGATCTATTTTTCATTCTCTCTTTTTTTTTTAACATAGATCGTGATCTTCAAACTCCTTTGACTCTTTATAAACAGCAACTTTTACAAATATTTGTGACATCGCTGATCAACGAACGACACTATTCCTTTGATCATCAGTTACGATATCAAAGTCTTTTGGGTATTCGATTGATGGTGATTATGAAACGATTTTTGTCAATGGAAGAAGTAAGTGTTTATGAAAAAAAGGAAAAAAAAATATACAAATAATAGGAAGAGATTGGGATGATGATTGGTTATTAACGTGTTTGTACACTTATATACATCTTCTCTCTCGTTCAATATAAATAGGTTGATGTTACTGTGGCCCATTTGACTCGTCAAGCTTTAGATAACGATAAGGATATCAGGTAATTAAAAGTATTGAAGGTTAATAGAAATAAACAAACATTCACTTTGTTTTTTTTTTTTAATCATAATAGAAACTTGGTGCTTTCCACTTTAGCAATTGTATCCATCCAGGCTCCTGACTCCCTTATTCGACATACATTACCTTATTTACTAGAAAATTTAGAGGCCTCTCATCAAGATGAAAACAAATTCGAAGAAATACTAATAGCCATCCAAACGTTGACCGTAGAACCAGTTCTTGTATGTGCAGTGACCAAACCGCTACTTTCTAAAATGAGTGCTGCATGTCGTAGATCAGGTACGTGATAAAATAAAAAAAATAGCATTAAAATAAAAAAAAAAGGATGCTGATCATTTATATATGCATGACTGATTTTATAAATATATTAGATGCAATCGACTCAGCTTATACTCGTGCCCTGGCAAAAACTCTTTATCAAATCTTGGATCAAACTAAAATTACACCGCAGGTTCTACATGTGAACCAAACTATAATCTTCCCTACCATAGTCACCGAAACGGTCAAAGCTAGTCTGAATGTTGTTGATCCTCATAATTGTTGGCATTTGAATTCTTCTTTGTTGAGTATCCTGGCTCTCATTCTTGCTGTCATTGTGCGAAGCTCAAGTTCAAAGTAAGTTGTTCTTACATCTTTTCCTTTTTTTATCTCATGATTGAACTTGACTTTTCCTTTTCTTTTTCTTTTTTTTTACATATACTTGTATATAGTGATCAAGAACAAATGGTAGCGAAAGCATTCAATCTATTTATAAACGATACTAGTGGACAAGTTGTCAGTCATCATCTATTTGGAACTTGTGTAGTAAGAAAAATGAAAAGAATAAAAAGCAATAGATGTATACAATGAATAACGTTAAAAATGATATGTTTATTTTTTCCATTTTTTTTTTTAATGGCAATAACTAGGCATCAAATGACGATGAAGATCGTTGCGAAAAGGATATGACCATATTCTTCCCGGCCATTCTTGGAAACTGTTGGAAAGAGGTACAATAGCAATAATCATATGTATGTACGCATTTCTAAAATCTTTTTATCATTAGGTACGACTACCTCTTTCGAATGTAAAGCTATTTTTGAAAAATCTTATCCTACACTCGACAGAAGTGACCTGTGAAACAAGACGATTATCCTTAGTTAAGACTGCTGCAGTTATTATCAATAAATGGGTGAATAGTAAGGGGATACATTAGCATGCTCGATATGGAACTTAGTTTTGTTTATGTTTTAGATGATATAGTGACTTTTTTGAAACAATGCATACAAACTGAACTTGAACCTCTTTTATGTGGCCAAGATATGTCAAACAGAAAAACCACACTGACTGTCTTTGTTTGGGTAAATACAAAAAGGGGCAACATCAAAAAAAAAAAAAAAAAAAAAAAAAAAAGGTAGAAATTAATTTATAATTTTGTTGTAGCTGACCAAAGGATTGGTGGTTCGTGGTCATCAACTTGGCTTTGAAATGTTGGATAGGCTCATTGAATGGTGCTACACAGATGATCTGGGATCTGAAGCTGCTACTGGAATTGCAGTCATATTACATCAAGATGAGATGATACTCAATCGCAAATCTCATGCAACTATTTCAGTAAGTAAAATAAAATTAAAAAAGACACCTTTTTGTTTTGTGAAGTCCTACTAAAAAAGAAGATCTCCGTAGATACTTTATCGCCAACGCATCTTTCATCATTGTGCTCCAAGGTTGATTGCTCATCAAAATGATCTTTACTGTTTGGTTGCCCTTTCACATATTCTCGTCCATACTCCAACACAAGTGCCAGCATCTGAAATCTCAAAGGTAAGGAAAAAGAAATTAAAAAAAAAATAGATCCAGTACAGGATAATCATATTATTTATAATAATGATGATCAACTCACGTCTTTGTTTTCATTCTTCCCCCTTTTTTTTATTTATTGAGCAGTTGCTCCCAGCGATGACTCAGGCATTACGTACCGTAGATCATGAAGAACTAGTATTATCAATGATGGAAGTAGCACAATCTATAATACCATTTGAAAACAGCAATGATAGTCAACAATTGAATTCATTATTGGACGCGTTATTGGCATTAACCATCGATCATGACAAGACGAAGATACGACGAAATGCATTACGATGTCTTTCTCGCTATGCACAGGTTGCGCAATCAACAAAAAAAATAGAAATGCTCAGGCTGTATGTTCCAAAAGTGATTAAAAGGTTAGGAATGGCTTTGGATGACAAGAAACGATTGGTACGGAAAGAAGCTGTAGATTGTCGGGAACAATGGTAAGTAATAACCAAAAAAAAGGAGAAATACTGAGGCTGCACACGTGAGGTCTTGCAAACGGCGACTGAAATCAACGGTTACCCAGTTTTTAACATTGTTTTTTTTTCGTTTCTAGGTACATGCTTTTACTGCTCCTTGATAATGGAAAGTAGACTTTATTCTCATGTTATATGGATCAAGGATAATTTATAGTATCTTTAGTGTATATAGTTATAGATTTAATTTTAAAATACAAAAGGAAAACAAAAATAATACCTTATCAATAAATAATAAATGATGATCAACCCCATGTCAATTATATTAGAAATGTTTTTGTCTCATTATTAATCTGAATTTGTTTGTATATGCCTGTTGAGTGAAACCGGGAAAGATATCCAGTTACCATGATCGTCTTCGTAGTTGAAATCATGGAGAATGATAATGAAAAAAAAAAAAAAAAAAGTGGAACATGTGTGTATGTATTTATTGTGATGATCATCATCAGACATATCTGCTTGCATCCAAACTCAAAAAAAAAAGAAGGAGAGAGCTTTGATATACATATCATTAATACCTTTTTTTTTTTTTTTTTGCATTATTCATCACAGATTTATTTGTGAGTCAGTCCTAGCGATATTGTTGGGGTTCCCCTGGAGAAAAAAAAAAAAAAGGAGGGGCGAACTGAGCTTCATATGAAACCTTGATAAAACGGCTCAACTTTTCTCGCGAATAAGTAACGGACGGGATTATTGGTAATTTTCCTTTCCCGGGTAAAAAAAGAGAATGGATGATATTTATCCATACTTGTAAAGAGAAACCAAGGGGGGAAAGAAAGGATGAGCATTTTTGTTACACCAAACATGGCCCACACATGTATATATTACATAGATACACATAGAATATTTTTAAATCCCATCCGCCTTTTTTTTTGTTGACATTTATAAAATAAAAAGATCAAGGAGAAAAAAAAAAGGATCTCTTTCTTTTCTCTTTTTCTATCTTTCTCTTCTATTGTTGATATTATTGATGTATTTACGCGTATTCATCATTTTATTGTATGTGATAACCCTCGTATTTGGTTACCCTGCGTCTAAATTCCTGATCGAAATTGAACAAGGTATATCATCTGAATTCAACAAACAAGTGATGATCAATGAAGATATTCAAGCACATTATGAAAATATATTGGATGAAGTGATTTCGACACATAATGAAGATTTTTTATTGACCATGACCCATTCGATGACAAAAGATAAATTAGTTTCTTATTATCGACCTCAAATCAATTTGCTATTGAATGATGATGACTATATTGATGGTAAAAAAAGAAAAAAAAAAGCTTTGGATGAGATGAATAAAAAAAAATACTCAGCTCATTTTTTTATTTTTTATTTTTTATTTTTTGTTAGATAAATGCTTATATCGATTACCACATTTACTTGGAAAACAACTTTTTGACATTCACGCTGATACTTTTGCCATGGTGGCACCGATGGTGCAAAACTATATGAAGATGCATTGGCCAACCCCTGAAGACTTGGATGAAGAAGAAATGACGGCGATCGAAATCGAAGACCATCTTGTACAACTTAACTCGCATTTGATGACCCGTGTCAACCATATTATGATGGACCCAAAGGTCATTTCGTCTCACCTTGCTCAACAATTACATGCTTGTCAGCAACAATATCATCCTTATCAACATGGCCATCTATGGAAGAGATGGATGATACATTTATTTGGAGTTTATGATAATCACAATGTGTGGAAGTCTGAGGATCGTGAATGGCAAGATCATTTCTTATTCAAGTACTTGATGGATATGCAACAAGATCTCAAGGATCAATTGGACACTCGCATGGAAGATTTAGTGCAAATCTTACAGGATGACTTATATGACGAATTCGTGGACTATTGATTCTTTATATATATATATTTCTAAATCTACCCCTTCACTTTTTTTTTTTACTATCATCATCACGACCAATCTAGTTGATATCTTCATTTCTCGTCTTTTTTCATTCCTTGTTTATAGTTAATCATTCATCATCATCTTGTTTATTTTTTTTTCTTCCTTTTGTATATAGTGTCTTAATAAAACAACTTCTTTTTTACTCTTACTCGTCACAAGGGTCATCATAATAAAAACCAAGGAATCATCATTGGCTAAGCTTGTAGTTTTAGTAATCTCTGTTGGTTGCACGAGAGAGAGTGTGTTGATAAACAAACAAGTTGATCATTACATACTTAGCTGGTCACCCTCCTTTTTTTTTTTTCTGCAAGTCGAGGATGCATAACGAACATGATCTTTTCCACATCTTATTTCCCCTCTCCCTTCTAAGCAGGGACCGTTCATTTTTCCTTGTTTGTTTCATCCATCAATGATAGAAAAAAAGTGGGATCAAAAATCATCTTTATTCTTTTTATTTTAATTATGCCAATCTTGTCATCTAAGGTGCAATGAACGCCAAAAGATTTTATCGATTTTTCGAAACTTTGCCTGATGATCTTCCCCCCGTTGATTTTTTTTTTTAAAAAAAAAAAGTGAACACACTTCCCTAAATATCTCTAATCATCCTTCAAATGTCATCTTTGAGCTTAAATCTATCATCATACCATAAAACCTACTACTGATGAAACATGTGCATATCATCTATGATTATCTTTTTCATTAAACTATCAAAGCATATTTTCCACCGAAAAAGTCGCACCAAAGTATCAAAAGGGAGGATATACATTCCCAGTATATCCTTTTTTTTTATCCTTACGTTTTGTAAAACCATTTCATCAAGAATTAATGTCACAAGGGGAAATATGTGTATAGATCATGGATTGAAAAATAATAGGTTCCTTCTGTTGTTGATGATTTTTTTATATTTCTTTTTCAAAAGATAATGCAATTTATAAATAGTGGTGAGGATGATTCTATAATGATCCTTTAATGATGTTGTGGCAATGATGGGGCTATGATAATAATAGATATTACATGCAGCAATAATAAAAGTTACTTGGTCATGCAAATGCCACGGGAAATGTAACTGGCTCATTTCCTCCCTTCACAGGCGGAATCCGAAACATCCGAAACTTTGAATATAGGCAGGCATTTCATTGAATTTCCCTTTTTTTTTTTCCTCCTCTCACTCCCAACATGGTAAGGATATAGCCAACCTACAATAACAATGTCAACAAGTACCATCTCCTTCGTGTATTTTTTTTTTTGGATTCAAGGATATTCAACAAGTGGATCACAATCGATATACAACATTATCAAAGTTTAGGATGGATGGATCGAATTTGGATGGATGGATGAATGAATGGATAGATGGATAGATCATACTATCACCCACATCTATTCATCCATCCATCCATCCATTCATTCATTCATTCGTTCATTTTAACGTAGAAATATATCTTAGATATTGCCAAATCAACAACATTATCGAATCAACACAATAAAACGAAAATATACATCGATACACCCAATCAACATTCCGAATGGACTGGACAATGTGAATAATGATAATTGACGACCAGGTTGAACTGATTTACAATACGGCAATTGGATATTCAACATTCGTCTCTCAATATGAACATAGAAAACGAAAAAGAACATCACGAAGGAAGAGGGGGATGGTTGATCATGTTGTTCATTACTCGCTCTTTTTTTTTTAACAAGGATGCTAATGATATTCTCTTTTTTTTTTTTTTACCTTTAATAGGCTAAGAAAGACGTTGCTGCTAAGCCTTCCTCTTCCTCCGGTGGTAAGAAGGCCAAAAAGAAGTGGTCCGCTAAGAAGGTCAAGGACAAGGCCAACAACATGGTTGTTTTGGACAAGCCTACCTATGAACGTCTCTTCAAGGAAGTCCCTACCTACAAGCTCATCAGTCAATCTGTCTTGGTAGATCGTCTCAAGTTGAACGGTTCTCTTGCTCGTATCGCTCTCAAGGAACTCACTGCTCAAGGTCTCATCAAGCCTCTTACCATCCATCACGCTCAAGTTATCTATAGTACGTATCATATTAAAAAAAAAAAAGGATGATTGGATATATGATTGACCTTTTTCTTTGTTTTCTTTATTAGCTCGTGCTACTGGTGATGAAAAGAAGGCTGCTGCTGCTGAATCCGACGAAGAATAGATCATTTAGTCTTGTGTATATTGTTTTTTTATTGAAGCTTTTTTATGAATAAAAGAAACTGAATAAAAAGAATGATGTAGTACAGTGTACTATAAGCTATATGTGTCTATGAGTGGGAATAAAGAAAAAAAAAAGTTCTAAACTACAATGTATTGTGTGTATCTTGCCAATGCCATGGACCCGATTTACCACCTGTCTTTTGCACTACGCGAATATCTTGAATTTGCATATATTTGCTAGCTGCCTTGCACATATCAAACACAGTGAGTAAGGCCACACTAGTTGCTGTCAATGCTTCCATTTCCACACCTGTTTTACCGGTTGTTTCTACCCGCGAAGAACATTCCACACATGAATCGTCCTTATTAAGCCATAATTTGACATCTATTGAGCCCAGTAGTAAAGGATGACAAAGAGGAATCAATTGACTTGTATTCTTGGCCGCTTGAATACCTGCAATCTGAGCTACCACGAGTACATTACCCTTGGCTGTGTGTAGTTCATTAGTTTCCAAAAGTGAAAAAGCGTGGCTGGGTAATAGAATCCGTCCTTGAGCTATTGCTTCCCGCTTCGTTGAAGTTTTGTCCGTCACTGATACCATACGTGCTTCGCCTGTTGTTGGATCCGTATGTGTCAAGCGAGTTCCATTGTCGTTTTTTCTTATCGTTGTATACCATCGAGTGTTGTTGTGTGGCAGTAATCGTGTTGACACTGTTATTAAAATAAGTATTAATATCGAAACTAAAGAGTTTTCTTAATCTAATTCAAGTAAGTACTGACCATGTCCAACAATTCTAGTAAGTATCATTTTTTTATTTAAAATATAAGAAGAAGTAAAAAAAAAAAAAAAAAAAAAAAAAAAAAGAGGGGAATCCAAAAATCGAATAAAGTCCTGAGTATGATTTTCAACCGCCAATCAAAATCATGGGTCTATTTTTCCTTGATGCCAATTCAAACATGCCAGCATGTTGTTTCTTCTTTTTCTTGACTGCCTTGCCTACCACCTGAAGTAATTCTTGTTCCACATCACCATCCTGTTTCCGTAAAATATCACGTAAAGAGACTTCCGCATTACCAAAGAGACACACCTTGAGACTACCATCTGCCGTGATCCGAATACGATTGCAAGTATGACAAAAATGATCTGTCATTGAAGTAATAAAGCCAACAGTTCCCTGATATCCAGATACTTGATAGAGCTTGGTTGTATCGTGAGCATCATCCTTGCATTTCATCATCTTTCCCAATGTTTGTTCTATCCGATCCACAAGTTCTTGATATGGTACTAATTTTTCTTTTTTCCATCGGTTTCCATCAAATGGCATATATTCAATAAAACGTACCTTGATAGGAAGATCCTTCGTCAATGTCACAAAGTCAAGCACTTGATCATCATTCACTCCACGCATCACCACACAGTTGATTTTCACTTGAGGGATCCCGATTCGTATGGCTTCATCTAATGCACCCATTACCTTGTCGAATCCTATATATACATATATATATATATATATACCCATCAATATAAATCAATGAATATAATAAATAAATTAAGGTTAAATCATCTATTTATGTTTCATTTGTAACATCCTTCTTTACCTTTTCGTCTTGTCATAATCTGAAACATGTCTGGATCTAGGGTATCCAAACTAATATTGACGGAATCCAGGCCAGCCATATGAAAATCCTGCAATTTCCTTTTGAGCGCAATACCATTGGTCGTGATTCCAAGACTCTGCAGACCTTGTGATTTAAGTTCACCAATACCTTGAATAATGTTTATAATATCTGGTCGTACCGTAGGTTCACCTCCTGTCAATCGAATCTTGGTTACCCCTTTTCGTACAAATAATTCTGCTAACTTGAGAATTTCGTCCGTTGTCAAAAGTTGTTGTGATGGTGTCAATGGGACACCTTCTTCGGGCATACAGTACGTACCTAATATATATAAAAAAATAAATAAAAATAAATGTTTTAGTCAATAAACAAAAAATGCAAATACAAGAAAGGAGATTACATCGTAAGTTGCATCGTTCCGTAAGAGATATACGAAGGTAAGTATGTTGACGATCAAAGGAATCTACTAGATATTCAGATACCGGACGAGAAATAGAATAAGAACGTACGGAAGTTGTTGTTGAGTGAAAAGGCAGCTAGAAGAAGAAGAAGAAGAAAGAAAAGTAAACATTAGTTTGATCATATTTCTTTTTTTTATAATGAATATGCCTTTACTTACTTTGGTAACTTTGGGAAAAACTTTTGTTAATATTGATAGTTTGAAACCACCAATGACCATGGTTCAGGCAAATAGAAGAAAGAAAAAAAAAAAAGAAAGAAAGGAAAGGAAGAGGGTGATAAGAAGATAGAAAATGAAGTTGCGGGGAAAGAAATAAAAGTGGGGCACAGAATGGATGATCAAGAATCAAAACTATTATTTTACAATTGATATAAAAATGATATTAAAACAAATAGTCAAAACTGATTCCCAATAATGTTGTTTACTTGTTGAATGATGAAACATCGAGAACTATGTATGCTGAAAGGAATAGAGACTTTTTTTGAAAAAGTTTGATCGGGCGGTGATTCATTTTTTTTTTTTTTTTACCTCTATTTGGGTTATCAGAATTTTTTTTTTCTTTTTCTTTTTTTTTTTTTTTTTTTTTCCTTTCTTCTTGTTCTGTATCCGCGAATGCGATGCCTTCGTATCCTGATGACGATGAAGAAAATCTATTATATAATACTAATACGACAGCAGCAATCACCAATTATGGTTGTATAACCTCTTCACCTTTATCGTATCCTCAACGTGGTCCTAGTAGTAGTCGATCTCTTGAAGAATCTTCGTCAAGAGGCAGTAGCGATATAGACGACTCCCATAGTACTAGTAGCCGACTTGCCAAAAGAAAACAAAGAAGGCTTCAACAACGTCATCGTCCAAAGTTATCCAGTCGTTTATCCAATGTCTTACGTGCCACTTCTCCAACTTCTGATATACTGACAGGTTATGCTGAAGAAACAAACCATGAACTAGTTCTTCCTGTACTGGATCCAAAGTAAGTATTTTTTTTTTCTTTCTTTTCTTTTTTTTTTTTTTCTAAAAAAAAAGCCACCTATTAATCTTTTATCCTATTATTTATGAATAGAGCTCAAGAGGTCATAGATTCCACTTGCCACCGTCACAGTCTTGATCTTTGGTTCAACAAGAAAAACAACGTCAACTTGAGTACTATTCGTTCAAAATATAGAACGGCACGAAAATATGCAAGGTAAAAACATAAAGACATATGTTATACATATCTATACAGTCATATACATATGCAGTCCAAAAAAAATTTTAATATCCCGCATTGATCGCTATCTTTCTTCTTTAATACAGAGACGAAACATCCGATATATCTTTACTCCAACAACTAAAATATTACATCAAATATGATGAACGTATGTCAGCATTACGACAATTCTTATTATCCAATAGAAATATCATTCTTTTCGTAAGTATACTGATTTTGGTTTAGAGTGATCATATTATGTTCAAATCAACTCATCACGTGCACCAATACTTTTAGGTCAATTTCGATATGATGGTGGATTTGGTCTTTTGTTTAATGTATCTAGTGGAAATGAAACAAGAATCAGATGTGGATTTGGACCCTCCTTGGCTTTACAAATGGCGATCCTATGATCTTTGGCGGTTTTGTCAACTTTTATCTTTATGGGATTTGGGCTCCTTTTTTATGCGTAAGCGAAATATACTCTTCACTATAATAAATACTTACATTCATTTATAGGTATCATAATGATTGGTCATCCATTATCGGTCCTATTCAGTTTTCGATGTTGTATTGAACTTTTGACCTCTGTTCCTTTTGTGATCTCTAACTTTATCCATCATGGCCAATTCCTCTATGGTAATAACTGTTTTTTTCTTCTTATTCAACAATATAAACTTGACCTTATTAATCAATTGATATTCTAGTTCCATATTTCCTACGAAGCTGGGTCTTACTTTTACGAATCAAAAGTGTGATGAAGATAAAGACTAATTTACAAATGACAGGTAATGAAAAAAAAAATCTGTCAATGATGATGAATTTATATTGATTTATGTATCCTAAATCTAGATAAGGTGATTGATCCACTCAAATCCAAATTGATACATCTAATTTGTACTCTGGTGGTTCTCCTGTACAATGGTATGTCGGCTTTCCAATACTGTGAAGCAACTTTTGCTAGTGTCAATTATTCAATCTTGGATTCACTGTAAGTTTGACTATCTATTTAGATTATATCATTTTTTATTTATTTATTATTTTTATTTTTATATTTGGATAATAGATATGTTGTCATGGTCACTTTATCTACTGTTGGATATGGAGGTAAACATTCGGGTGAGAGAAATTTGAAGAAGAACTAACAATAATATTTATACATGTATAGATATTACTCCTAGAACAGAAGGAAGTCGAGTAGTAATGATGACTCTGATTGTTGTGTCTTTGGCTGTTTTACCTAGTCTATTAGCAGATGTGGCAAGAACACTACAGAAAAGAAATGGTAACAAATTGAAACGGAAACTTTATTATTCAATCGTTCTTATTCTTTTTGTTTTCAATTTTATCTCTGGGATAGATGGTGGTGGGCATGTCAGCGCAGGATCATTACCTTTTATCTTAATTGTAGGATCCTTCCGACCGGAACAAGTGAATGATATTTTGGGTGGATTCTTAGATCGAGTAAGTGAATCAAGAAATGGAACGAAATGGTGTATATCATAAACTTACTTATATTCTTTTATATATATATATATAAAATAGGAACATGCTGAACCTCATTTGAATGTGATATTTCTGGATGTCAATCCACCTTCTGAAGAACTCAAATTGATGGAACGAAATTCAATGTGGGGACACAGAATTCAGTTTCTACATGGTTCTGTTTTGGTAAATAAATAAAAAAAATTAACAATGATAAAGATCTTATTCAATTCTCTTTGTTTACATTTTTTTTTTCAATAGAATGAAGATACTTTGATCCGTATAGTAAGTATGATGAAAAAAATATATAAATTGAGAAAATGATTTTCTAATCAATAATTTGATCTATAGAGAGCCCGTTATGCAAAAGCAATCTTCACTATATCTGGTAAAGTACATCGTTCTATATTTTAATTCAATATTTATCCTTTTTTTTGTATGAAATGGATAGATGACAATGCATCTGATCATGCAAAAGAAGATGAACGAAACACTGTCCGACTATGGTCTCTTTACTGCTTCACCGTTATCCACAATGTCCCGATCTATACTTATAATCTTTCTCCAAGTACAGCTATTTATCAAAAGGTGGCTAAAGAAATCATATGTGTTGGTGAATTCAAACAGTATCTTTTGGCAATGAATTGTAGATGCCGTGGTGTGTCAACATTGTTGACAAATCTCCTACATCAACGTCAACCTTTGAACCGTTATGATGAATCCTGGCAAGCTCAATATGATGATGGATCTTGTAATGAAATATATATGGCTCCCGCTGCAAAATGTCTTATTGGATTGACTTTTGCTGATGCATCATGGGTAAGTTTTTTTTTTTTTTTCTGCAATGAAGTTTCTGAACATTAACATCTCTTATTTGAATTTGCTAGATTGTATACAGGGAATGTCAAGTGATCTTGTTTGCTGTCAAGACAAAGGTAGAAAACTCGGCTCGATATGAAATCCTTCTGAACCCGCGTCATTATTACGTGATCAAGGAAAATGATCTTTGTGTTTATATGGCAGAAAGTCCAAAAGAAGTCCGTGACATTAGGAAAATGGTAAAATTTTTTTTTTTTAAAAAAAAAAAATACTATTTGTAGGATTACTAAATATTTGTTGTTAATTATTTTAGAACTCGGTTTATGCATGGCGAACAATTCATGCAATGCGAAATTCTAGGATTACTCGACCACAATCACCAGCTCCATTGTTTCGAAGCAGTAATATCACACAACAATTTGTATCTCAACAGATGGAACAACCTATGAAGGATACTCTTACTACTACAGCATTCCAATTACCATCTCCTATGATCAAGCAACAACAACCTCAGTCAGTGCTACCTTCAACATCTTCGGCAGGTGTTCAAATTACTTTAGCAACCCCAACACCTCCTTTGAATGGTACGTCGTCCTCAACTTCAACTCCAGTAGCTACTATCCCACCTAGTCAAACTCGACGTTCTGATTCTACTAGTACTTCCTCTACCTGTTCTTCCAAGTCAACATCATCATCATCATTGGCCCGCAACCATCAGCGTCATCAACATCATTACCGTATTTGCAAACTACCTTCAACAAGACATGCACTTCTAACTGGTAGTCGTACCTTGATTGCACGATTAGGCCAAGCTTATGACCAAGAACAACCCAGCCGAACGACTGAACCTTCCCTACCTTTATGCTATCTTTTGGACCAACCTGTACATCTCCATGATGTGGTAATTGAATCTGCTGATGGTATCACTGGGCATATCCTGGTATGTTTACAAGACAAGGTTACCAATATTTTTAAATTCATATACAACTTACGGTAAGAAAAGAAGGAAAAACAAGAATAAAAAGATAATATATTATTATACGTTTAACTGATCTTTTTTTGATTTGATCCTTTCTTTATATATAGATCTCCTTATTTGAAACGGAATGATCTACGAGATATTATTATTCTTTGCAATACTCTACCAAAGCCAAAGATGTTTGAATTACTCAATCGGTTTCCAAAGCTTTATTTCATGGTTGTACGTTTACTTTTTTTACTTTTAAATTCAAAACGAAACACTGATTTTTTTTTTTTTTGATGAAATACAAATTAGGGTAATTCCCGATATCCTGATGATTTGCTACGTGCAGGTGTGAAAACTGCTCAACAAGTGGTAGTGATGAGGTAAGCTAAACAAAGGATTTTATCAAATGAAATTGGAACTACAATGATACTAATACTCTTTTTTTTTTTTTTTTTTTTTGTGTTTGTCATAGTGAAAAGGAATCTTCTGAAACTTCTGAAAAAAGTGCTGATAGTGCGGCGATGTAAGTCAAAATAACAAAAACTGAATCGATATGATACTAATTCAAAATGAATAAAATAGCATGACAAGCCATTTGATGGATCTACTTATGCCCGAGCAACATCCGGAGACTTTCCGTATCGTCAACCTAAGTAAGTCAAATTAGAACAATGATATTAGATAAAACAAGAGAAAGAAAAGTTACTAATTAAATATATATATATATATATTTGTGTGGACAAATAGATGAAAAATCCAATATTCGTTTTATGCAATTACTTCAAGGTAAAGATGTGGCAGAAGAAATTGATGTATTCTATACGCCAGCATATGCAGCAGGGGAAGTGGTGGTGGACAGCTTGATCAGTAACGTATTGTTGAGCCAAACATATTACAAACCAGATATTGTATCCATCATCAAAGCACTTTGTGGCATGCCGGGACCAGCTTATCAAGGGGATGCAATCACAGAAGATATTTCGACTCTCTCTACGGCATCGATGCATGCTCCTCATTTGACATCCATACCGATGCCAGATGCCTATGTGGGAATGACGTTTGCCAGTTTATTCGATGGACTCTTGTTGGATCATGGTATTCTAGCCGTTGGTTTGTTTAGAGCTCCTGATGAAGATATGGGTAACGAATTACCTTTTGTTTATGCCAATCCTGTTCCTTCTTTGGTTTTACGATCCAATGATAATATATATGTCTTAGCAGCTAGGTAGATTTACATATCCTTCTTCCTCTTATTTATTTATTTTTGTTTATTGATACCTTGTCCATCTTTTATTTATATATATCAACTTCTTCTATTCTCCCTCCCCATTATATATTTATTATGTTGTAGTACCTTTTTTTTTTTTTATTATCATATGAATTATCTCGTTTTGTTAAAATAAAACATATTTGATTATTTGTCTTCTTTCTCAATCTCAACAAAGCCATATTTTTTTTTCTATAAATTTCTTTATGTGAATAGAATATGAATAGGTGAGTATACGAAGAGATCAATTGAACATCACAGATCGCTTTTCTCCTATCTAGGCTAGAAAGCATATAATGGGTAGATTTACCTTTTTTTTTGTAATAAACATAATTATTAGGTCAAATAGGCAGAATTTAGGACTTCTATATAGAGTTGAATAAAAATTGGTTTTCTAGGTAGAATTTAGGGTTTCTATGTAGAGTTGAATAAAATATTGGGACTTCTATGTAGAATTCCTAATTTGGAAGGAGCATATTTTGCCCACAGGCTCGCTGAGCGAAAATTATGCATTGCCAAATAAAAAAAGGACGTTTGTTTATTTTTTACTCTTCTTCTTCTTCTTCTTCTTCTTCTTCTTATTTTTATTTTTATCACATTATTGTTCTTCTTTTTTTCTTTCTGTTATACGTTTACCTTTTAAGACAAATCAGAGTAAGGTATGGAAATAATAATAAACGATTGTTTATACATATATTCATTGTATTCATGAACTGACTGAATCCTTCTTTTTTGTAGTATGTTTATACCTTTTAGTTAAAACAAATGAACACAAGTACCTTTAACCTCTTATATGCTGTATTACTTATGTTTAATAAGGTAAATCCATTTCATTATGCCATCAACGTTATATGATATTGATCTCTTTTTTTAGAGACAAATATGACGATTGAAGTAAGACAAACAAAAAAAAAGATAATGATACTGTTTTTTTTTCTAACCTTTTCTTCTTTTTATACATAAATCATTCCAACCTCTTTGCTATATCCTTTTCTCTATGTGCTTTTACAGACATTCACTCTTATTAGTTGTAAGTTTCAAAAACAAGTTCTTTTCCTCTTCTTATTTCTAACTTCACTTTTCTTCTTTTTTCTTTTATACACGTTCTTTCGACCTTGATGTTTTTTACTACAACATCTGTCTATCTAGGATTATCGTTCTTTCTTCTTCTTCTCATCCTTCTTACTTGGTACCCTGGATAATGACTATTACTGAATATACGTCTGACAGAAAGAAAGAAATCTAGATACACGAAGATTGATCATTATAGTTTCATGTCAATGGGATACTACGAGAAGTGGCTATCCGTCTGGATCAGCGAAATGGATGAACAGGATGTATTATAGGATTCAATTGGATTCGACTTACAATCAATTAGAGATATCTTCTTGATCTTTTTATCTTATTCTGGCTTAAAGCGTTGGTGATTCTTTTTAATATCATACTTAGTATATCAATTATACACATATACATTATTTTTGTTTAATAAAATTATATTCATTGTCACTATTTACAATCATCACTTTTCTCTAATGTTATCTATCATTTCCTTTTAAACAACTGTTTGTGTGCATGTGTTCCTTAAATAAATTAAATGATATGAAAAAAAGAAATATATTATGAAGTCGTTCTCTTTTTCATATATTTTTTATCACTTTTTCTTTAATATTAAAAACTAACCTTACTTCTTTGTAAATACTTTATTCTCATTAGTACATTACAACATATTCTTTCTCTCTATTATATATTACTTTGGCACATTGCCTTTACTTAGTCGGACTTTTCGTTGCATTTTTATTTATTTCGTTTCCTAACAATTTTCTTTTTCTACCTTCTCTTTCCTTTTCTCTACACCTTTTTTTTTTTTTTTTTTACTCCTGCGCACTTTGTTCGTGTCTCTATATTGGCTCATGATAGGTAACATATAAAATACAATGACAAGTAATGGATTCTTATTTTATTATTGTCAATTTAAAAAAATAAATAAAATAATAATAATAAAATAAAAAATAGTATAAAATACAATTAGTTACTTGTTTTATAGTTAATTCATTCTAGTGTCTACAATTTCAAGACCTCTTCTTGGTTGGACTCTCTCTTTCTTCGGATTCCATTGCACAGCCAATGCAATTCAATTATGCACAAGTACTTTTGAAGGTCCTTTTTACTGCTTGGTTAGTCTTCCTTATGATATTTCAAAATTTCTTTTCTACTTGTTCGGACTCTATCTCTCTCTCTCCCATCTGTCGTTCATTGTGGTGATGTTCTCTTCAATATCTCTTTGCTATTTGGTTGGACTCTTTCTCTCTGTTGCTTTTTGTATCTGTAGATATTAAGATTGTCGTCTGTAGAGCCGAACTAGTAAGTTGTACAAAAAAAAAAAAAGAGGATCAACCGATATTACATACAATCACTTGCTTCTTTCTTTTTTTTTTAGATCCTTCTTTTTATTGTATTGTTATTGATACATTGACACTGGCGCATGACCCAAGGTAATATGTATATGTAAAAGAAGAAAAAAATGAATAACATCGACGGATTACTACTCATTTTGTTGATTCTTTGTTGTCTGTTAGGTATCAGAATAGTGGTCTATACAGTCAAATGTCGGATGGTCATCATTAGTTTATACTTAGCTTTTGGTCAGACGAAGATCATGGTGTATTGATCTTTGTTTGTTTACAGGCAATGGACTTGGTCGAGGATGATCAGTCTCTAGAGTCGTTTATGAATCTAGTGACTGAATTTTGTGCTCAAGTAGGTGGAGGGCAAAATGCAACACGTAGGAAATTCAGTTATTGTCTGTTGATCGTGTTGTTTCTTCCTGGAGTCCTTGTTAAGTCCTGACATTTGCGGTATTTGGTTTGGAAAGATCATTGAGGATCATATCAATGACTGATAGTGGAGCGCTATACGTAAGACGATACAACTATCTTTCTTGATGATCTGAAATTGTCTGATATCTGCATTTGGCAAGCCTTTGTTTCTCTCTGAGCTAACTGTTGTGATGACATTGGGTTTACTGGTGGTACAAAACGCTCAATGGTGCAGCCAAGGTAGCTTGTACATAGAAAAAAAGAAAAGAAAAAGAAATAAACATTGATGGATTACTACTCATTTTGTTGATTTTATTTGTAGTTTGCTAGATTATCGTCTATATAATGAAGGTGATACAAACATCCAATGATATAGCCAAGGTAACTTGTACATAGAAAAAGAAAAAGAAATAAACATTGATGGATTACTACTCATTTTATTGATTTTATCTGTAGCTTGCTAGATTATCGTCTATACAATAAAGATGATGCAAACATTCAATGATATAGCCAAGGTAACATTTATATGGAAAAAGAAAAAAAAAAGAAAGAAAAAGAAAAGAGAGCATTGATAGATTACTATGCACTTTGTTAATTTCATCTGTAGATTGTAAACCATACAACAAAACCAAGGTCGGATGCCTTCTACGTTGGAATGGCTCTGTTATCCAATTGAAGTGTCTGTATCAAATAAAATAGTCCTACCCAAAGTGCAAGTCATGATCGTTGTCCTGGTGATGGCATTAGTTGTGATTCTGGTCGTGTGTTCATGGATATTATCGATTATAGTGTAGTTACTTATTATAGTTATGTAGTATAGTTATGTAGTATAGAATATTTGTAGTGATGAAATAAAATTATGATTTCAATAGTATATTTGTACTGATCAATGAAATTCCTTGCTCTGGAGGTCGACCATACCTATATTTCAACCGTAATAGTGTCCTACCTAGATTTAGTATATTTTTGTCATAGATTTATTGAAGTCAAATATTTTTATTATTTCTAGGCCTAGCTATTTAGGGGGGGGGGTCCTAGAGGTCCTAGAATGCATATCTAGGCTAGAAATTGTATAGGAGTCCCCTAGACGTCATAGTAAAGTTTTCTGATGAATGGATATGCAAAACCAGACATGGATGGGATAGGCGCATTACATATCATTTTTTTTTTCCTCCCCACAGCTGGTCATTATTGTGGTTACTCTCAATCATCATCTATAGTTATCATCATAGGAACACTCTTGAATACATAATACGAAATCTTTCTAGAGATCAATCATCATCCGTCATTCTTTCACAGTCAATCTTTCACATAAATTAATAACATCAATCAAATCTTCTTTCAATATTAACCGCCAAAATGAGTTCTCTACAATAGGCCAACCAAAATAAACGTCCATATAATTTATTTATTCATTTTTTTTTTTTTTTGTTGTTTCTAGATGGGCAACAAAATGATTTATTGTTCAATTAAAAATGAGATGATAAACAATATCTATATGTGTATATAAGATGGAGATCCTGATACAAACGAAGGGTAAATAAAAAAAAAAAAAAAAAGGAGGAGGAGAATATCTACAAAGTAAAGAATCCAAAAAGACAACCACGTTTCCAGTTCATCAACCATCCCAACCTTCTTCACCAGTATATTCCAATTTCTCGACTTGATAAAATGCAGTCATTCCAGCCTCAAAGTGCGAAGCCACATGACAGTGGAATAACCATTGACCTTCATTGTCAGGCATCATATCCAGTACTTCAAAACTGACAGGCATGAGATCCACCACGTCGACACGATGACCATGATACAATAAAGTAGCTCCATGCCAATGAGCAGTATGTACATCATCGTCCTCCAACCCAAATGCCAAAATATACCATCGTACTGGTCGTCCATAGAATACCCGGAGATCCGCATTATTGTTCAAGATATAGCCATTGATATGATACATTCGATTGGATTCCAAAAACAGATCATCCGTCCGCATCAGTTGTTCCAAGTCATTGCTGTTAATGTTGTTATTATAATGTTGAGCCGAGTATGGTAGGTAATTTGATAATCCTTCATCCGTTGTCATCATCATAGTAAATACTTCTTGTACTCCAGGTAATGAAGCAACCATGCTATTAGCCGATGCCTTTACAAGATGTCCAGGTGCATATACTACAATGGGTCCCACCAAACCAGCGTTCAGATCTACCAACGGATTTGCCTTTGATACATATACCCACAATATTGAAGATTGATTGGAAGGAAACACTAGATCCGCAGGAATGTCCCAAACATAGTGATAGCCTTGATTTGGTTGTACCGACCTACCTGGAAGAGATCCATTTGTTGCCTTGATCGTATGAGGATGGAGACTACAAGGTTGACTTGCACGGTTAAAGAATTCTACTTGAATACGATCCCCAGCTAATATATATATATATATATATTAAAAGAATTAATCATTCAACGTGATGTTTTATATATTATATAGAAAAGAAAAAGAATAGTTTTTTTTTTCTTTTTTACCTTCTGCTTTGATAATAGGACCAAGGAAACCAAGAGCAGGATCATGAGCTATAGGAATAGAGAAAGAGGCATCGGTATATTGACGATAGACTGCTTTGCGATAAACAGTTCCCAATCTGGTAGCATTGCGAGCTGTGTAAAGATCAGACATAAACGATTGATTCAAAGGTTGATCACGAAGATTGTCCCATTGTTGAGGTGCATAATCCCAGTCCACTTCTTCTGCTGTAATATAGTATTGTCGAGTGATTGCTGTCACAGTATTTTGCAAATTCCATATCCAAAACAATAAAAATAAAGGTAAAAGATGGACAATCATGATGATAACATTGTATTTAAAAATAGAAAAAAAAAAAAAAGAGAGAGAGAGAAAAGAGAAGGAAGAATGGAGGGAAGCCGAAGAAAGAATAAAAAAAAAAAAAAAAAAAAGGTGATAAAAAAGTTGCTGTTGCGACGGAATTTGTGAATAGTTCTTCAATCTGATTGGCCAAGTCGCTTCCTGATCTTTTTTTGGAAGAAGTGACCTAGAAATGCAAAAAAAAAAAAAAAACCCTGAAGTGAATCTACTCAATCAGACTCAAGTACAATCGAAATCGACTTTACCCAGTCCTGCCTTATTTATCATCTCAATATAATGACCAAATTATAAGATATACTACTGTTTTTTTTTCAAAAGAATTACACCATCCATTTTCTCTAATATATATATATATATAAAAATAAATGCGCTTCACATTTTATTCAAGTATATAAAAAAAAAAAAAAAAGACTGGGTACAGATGCAATGATACTAAAACAAAGAATCAAAAGAATAAAAGGAGATGATAGAGATAATTAAAAAAAGGAAACTAAATCTAATTGAGGATATTGTTGACACGCATCAAGGAAGGATTCAATAGGGGATCCAAATCAATCTTATTGTTATGCTGTTGCTGTTGTTGTTGATGCTGCTGTTGTTGCTGTTGTTGTTGTTGTTGTTGCTGTTGCTGCTGTTGTTGTTGCAATTGCTGCCTTTGATGAAAATGAGTAAGAGATTGAAAAGTGGGAGTGCTCATATTGTCAGTTTCGGGTGAACCAGGTGACGTTGAGCCACGTACAGAACTTGTTTTGGAGCTTGTTGAAGTGATACTAGATTCATGATTGACGTTTATTCCATTACTATTATTGTTATTGTTGCTATCATAAGAATGTTTCATACGTGATGGTGTAGCACTTGTCGTTGTTGTTGTTGTTGTTGTTGCTGATGCTGTCGCATAAAATCCACCTGCTCGTTCAGTATCCAAAATATCTGTGGTATAATGTCTTGTTTGTTGTTGTTGTTGTTGTTGTTGAGTAGAATAAAAAGGTACTAGGGTATTGAAATCGATTTCCTCTACACTTTGTTGTCCTTGATTCATGGTTTGTTGATTATTATTGTTATTGACAAGACTATTGGTACTATTCAAACTGGCACTTGAAGATGATGAACTTGCTGTGGAAAGATGACTCACAGAAGATGTGCTGTTAGAAGGAGCCAAGACATGTCGTAATTGTTGTTGTTGTTGTTGTTCTTGTTCTTGATGCCAATATTCTATGCTTCCCAAAAACCCACTGTCCAAGATTTGACGACCAAAGTTTGTATTGTTCAGTTGATCGACATCCACTGTCCAATAGCCACCTTTTGTTCCTTTCTTGCCACTATCTTGTGTCCTAGGAATCTTTCGGAAACATCGATTCAAAGATAAATTGTGTCGTATAGTATTCTATAAAAAAAAAAAAAAAAAAAAAAAAAAAAGAAAGAAAGAAAGAAAAGGAAAAGAATTAACTTCCGATTGGCTCGTCTTTTTATTTTTTTTTTTTTTATAATACAAAATAGGAAATCAAGTCTTTGAATTTTTTTTTTTTTTTTTTACCTGCCATCCTGTTTCATTCGCTTCATACAAATGAGGATATCTTGTTTGAACCCATTCATATATTTCTCGTAAAGTCATTTTTTGATCTTGAGATGTTAAAATGGCCTGAGCAATCAAAGATGCATATGAATGAGGAGGTCGTCTACGTTTACGCATTGGCCGGGACTTTAAAACCTCCGTCAAAATGGCTTCTCTTTGATTATGTTGTTGAGTAGGTGGTGGAGGTGTTTGTAACTGTTGATAGTATAAGTTTGTATTATTATTATTATTATTATTTATAGTATTATTAGTATTATTATTATTATTAGTGTTGGTATTATAAAACAATGGAGATGGATAAGTAGTAGCAGAAGGATTGGAAACAAAAGCATGATGATTGGCTGGTTGTTGAAGTGCATGATGATGATCAGGTTGAAAAGCATGTACATGAGGCCTAACTCGAAAACCATCAAAGGATTGTCCAAAGTCCGCCCCGGGATAAAATCCCGAGGTTGACAATGTTCCCCCTCCATTACTGTTAGGAATATGATTATTATCCTTTGACGTTTTCCAAGTAGGCGGCAGCAATCGCATCACGTCTTTTTCCATCATGGAATGTGCTGTGTGATCTTGTTGCTGTTGTTGTTGTTGATCTAATAAAAGACCATCATCATTGGACGATGGATCATATCTCATACCTGGTAATTGAATACTGGACATGGCAAGCTTTATTGAATTAGAAATAAAAAAAAAAAAATAAAAAAAAAAAAAACAGAAAACAAAAAGTAGGAGAAAAGAATAAGAAAGAGAAATCTCCACTTTTTTTTTCAATAAAAACCCATCCAAAGTACCTGTTTATATGTATATGGAAATAAATCATTTAGGTCTTTTTTCGAACGGAAATTATAAGAAAGCTTATCCTGAAAGGAAAATTTAATGATCCCAATGTGGTAATCCTTTTGGCCAAAAAAAAAAAAAAAAAAAAAAAAAAAAGTGCTGTCATCACGTAATGATTGACCATTTATTTTCATGGATGGACTGGTGATGGATTATACTTGATGATGGTGATGTCTATTTCTTTGATGATAATGAATGATTGATCAATGGTGAATGATTGATCAATGACGAATGATGGATGTAAAGAGTGCGATGGATTATTAGGTAGATGGTTCATAACTAGATGATTCATAGCTAGATGATCCATAACTAGATGATTCATAGCTAGATGATCCATAACTAGATGATCCATAACTAGATGATCCATAACTAGATGATCCATAACTAGATGATCAATATGTAGATGATCAATATGTAGATGATCAATATGTAGATGATTAATGCGTAAATTGATTTATGGTAGGTACATTGTAGATTCGGATGTCACATTTGAACATTACATTCAAAAGAAATGAAATCTTTTGTTGGACAAGTTTTAGATCGCCGATGTCAATTGACCCTGTCCGATTTTACTTGTATGCAATGATGCTTGGGAAGGGGTATTAGAAACAGGATTCCTTTTTAGGGATAGAATTAACTTTTTTTTTTCGCATGGACAATCATTGTAAAAGAGAAACGAAAACTTTAACAAAAAAGGGAAGTTTAAAGGTTGTTTCTGATATTCTATTCTTTTCTACAAATATACATATATTTGATTTCCATCTTTTTCGCTTTCCCTCCCGTTCTTTTTTTTTTTTTTTTATTCTTTCATTCATTATATCTAGTTCTCTCACTTTTATATTCTACTTTGTCACTACATGGATTATAACGGTAACGGATCGGATGATTAAAAAAAAAAATGGAGAGAAGAATTTCAAACATCACCGAAGAAATAACACCCCAATTTAAACTGACATCACTTTGTATACATTAGGTACGTTCTTACTAGGTTTTTCAAATGATGAAATGATTCCTACGGTCAACATGAGTACATCTTATTATGGTTTTACAAAAAGGGAACACGATGATTTGGATCCAACACCATTATCATCATTACCTTCATCCGATATGACATCCACAATAAAAACAACGAAAAAAGTAAATCATGGTGGCAGGAAAAGAACCATCATTTTCGAAGAGGCTGATGCGGAGAACCAAAGAAAAAACTTTTTAAAACGAAATCGAATCGCAGGTAATATATATATATAAAAAAAAAAAAAAAGGATCGATCGAGATATATTAAAAATAGGGAAATTAAAAAAAAAAAAAAAAATACAGAAAACAAACTACATTGATATTCCGCTGAACTTTTTTCTATTTGGGAAAATACTTTTAGCTTTAAAATGTAGAGAAAAGAAAAAAAAATGGATACAAGATCTTGAAACAAACTATGAAATGCTATCAACACAGAATCAACATTTGCGATCAATGATCACAGTATATCAGAAAGAAATCAATACTTTGAAATCGAATCTATTGTTTTGTAATGGTCAAAGTTCATATATGGTAATACTAGTAGAATATCATCAAACAAATGAAAGAATATTAAAAAAAAAAAAAAAAAAGAGTGACATTGTATGTACAGACCATTTCATCTCCTTTTTTTTTCCCCCTTTTTCTATAGCAAAGCTATGCCCAGCATAATCATCATCATCCGATAATGAATCCTATCAAGACGGAAGATCAAACGGATACCATACTATCGTTACAAACTTCGATACCTTTGTCAAATTCATACATCACTATACCTGCAACAACAACAAAATCACCAGCATCATCACTATCATCCTCTCCATCACCATCACTAATCAATGATAACAGTATTATTAGTACAACCTTTTCCTCTTTTCCTGCTTACCTTCATGATTAAAAAAATAAATAAATACTCTACCCTTGAATACTGATTCTCGTACAAATGATCAATGTATTGATTACTTTATTACAGACACTATGTTTTGAGTGGATGCACCGATAATATCAAAAGTGATTTTTTGGAATCCTATCCCTTCCTAACCTTTAAACGTATATTGAAATGTCCCTAAAAAAAAAAAAAAAAAAAAAAAAAAAAAAAAAAAAAAAAAAAAACCAAAGATAGTTAAAAACCCAAAAGTATATTTTATTCATATCAATCAAACAAACATCGATCATGCAGTGGAAGCATATTCATATAAGATGAAAAACCTAACCAAAATCACAATCTAAAAAAAAAAAAAAAAAAGTACATACAATAAACTATATATAATAAAAATAAAATAGTATAATAATAATAATAACAAGACTAGACTATGCTAATATGATCACAACTTGCTGAAAAAAAAAAAGAGTCCTAAGCACTAATCTTCATTTTTGCGAATTCTTCAGCCACCTTGATAGCATCATCTAAACCAGCAATATTATCACCAGATCCTTGGGCAGATTCATCCTTGCCACCCTTTTTCCCACCCACTTTTTCAGCAACTACGCCAGCCCAATCGGAAGCCTTGAGACCATGATTAGTGATGAGAACTTTACCAACAAAACAATTATGTGCAACACGACCAGAGGTAGCATCAGATGAGAAGAGATAAACAGCCTTATCCTTGAGATTTGACTTGACATAGGTGATGGCAGCCAATAAAGCCTTGCTATTATTACCTACATTCAATGATAAAACCACATACTTGGCATCAGCGTTTTCTTCAAAGTATTTCTTGACAGCTTCCGTCACTTCCAAAGCTTGTTCCTTTTGTCGAGCCTTTTCCAATTCGTCAAATGCCTTCTTTCTCTTGTTATATCGTTCACGGAATTCAGCCTTAGCAACCACAGATACTGTTAATGTTTCAAGATCTCGAGCCATGTTCTTGAGTTCAATTTCAACTTGAGCCTTGTCAGTCATCTTTTCCAATTGGTCTAAACGTTGAGCAAATTCTTTGGCAACACGGTCAGCTTTAAGAGCTTCTTCTCCAGTCACAGCAATAATACGGCGAATACCCTTGGCAATACCGCTTTCTTCAAGAATGGCAAACAGCTTGATATCTCCTGTCTTGGTCACATGAGTACCTCCACAAAATTCAACACTAGTAGTAGCCCATTTAGGATTTGACACATCGGCAGTTACTTCATCCACATCATAACCAATAGATACAACACGTACTGGGTCAGGATAAGTTTCACCAAAGACTGCACGAAGTCCATGAATAGCTTTGGCAACGGGTAATGGAACTTCTTTGGAGTAAACTGGTGAGTTCTTGATGATAAATTCATTACAGATCTTTTCCACTTCAGCAAGTTGTTTGGGAGTAACAGCCGACTATATATAAAAAAAATTGTAAGTGAAAGAAAAAGAAAATCATCCATTTATTTTCATATACCTTGTGAGAGAAATCAAATCGAAGTTTTTCGGGGGCAACAAGAGAACCACGTTGATCAATAGATTCACCTAATACTTGACGAAGAGCAAAGTTCAAAATATGGGTCGAAGTATGGTTGTTTTTTAATGGGAAACGACGTAACTAGATTCAAAGAAAAGGACAAAGTAACATTAGTCCAATGTCATTTTTTATATCCATCATTATTTTTTTTTCGTTCTCTTTTTTTTATTATTATTATTGCTTACATCATCAAAGGATAATTCAACTTGATCATCATATTTGAAAGAACCATATTTCAAATGTCCCACATGAAGTACATAACCACCATATACTTGACAATCTTCTACCACAAATTCAGTATTTCCATCCAAAGAGATGATACTACCAGTATCATATTCTTGTCCACCTGATTCAGCATAGAAATTAGTCTTGTCCGTCAAAATACCAAAATTAGCACCTTCAGGGATATCCTTGGTATCAGAGAGGAATTTATGCTGGTAGTAAATGCTTTTGATAAGACCTTGAACATTACCACCACCTATGAAGAATATATACAAATAGATATAAAAAATTAAAACCCAAATTGAATCACATATTGATCCCCCTTTTTTTTTTTTTTTTTGTTGAGATACATTTTACTTACTATATTTGAATGAATCATCAGTCTTGGGTACTTGTTCATTCTTGCCCAATTCAGCCAAATCATGTACATCCAAAGCGACAGATTCTTGAGCATTAGTAGCCTTACCACGACGAGAGACTTCTTTGGCAGCTTCTTGAGAGGCTTCGAATTCCTTTTCATCTACGGACATACCATTTTCTTCAGCCATCACCCGAGTCAAATCCACAGGAAAACCATAAGTATCATATAAACGCCAGACATCAGCTCCAGAAAGTGTCTTACTACCGCGTTCTTTGGCAGCAGCAAGATAGTTTTCGAATAATTTTTCACCACGATCCAAAGTCTTGGCAAAAGCAACTTCTTCTTCGTCCAAGATAGATTTGACTTCTTCGACCTTTTTCAATAATTCAGGGAAAGCTTCACCCTAAATGGTAAAAAAAAAAAAAAAAAAAAAAAAAAAAGTCAGTTAGTCGGTCATCATCAATGAAAAGTATGCTAATAATTAATCTTTTACCATTTGTTCAACTAAAGTATCCACAAGAGAAGAGAAGAAGTTTCCAATAGGAACGTTAAAGTATTTGCGGACATAACGGGCACCACGACGCAAGATACGACGCAAGACATAACCACGGCCTTCATTACTAGGAACACCACCATCAGTAATAGCAAAAGTCAAGGTACGAATATGATCAGCCACAACGCGGTAAGCAGTATCAATACCATCAGCATCTTCTTCACCCAATTTGCCAGCATAATCACGAGCACCAGTCATTTCCTTGATTCTGGCAAAGAGAGGCATAAAGACATCAGTATCATAGTTAGAATACTTGTTTTGAAGTATAGAAACAAGACGTTCCAAACCAAGACCGGTATCAATATGTTTGTTAGGTAAAGGACGGAGTTTACCACCTTGTTCACGATTGAATTGAATAAACACAACGTTCCAGATTTCCAATACATTAGGATCATCCATGTTGACAAGATGAGCAGCATCACGACCACCAATACGATCATAGTGAATTTCGGAGCAAGGACCGCATGGACCAGTTTCACCCATTTCTATATATATATATATAAATCAAATCGTTAGTTTACTAACTTTTGTTCACCCATTATGCCTTGTTTTACTTACCCCAGAAATTATCCTTAGAATCACCAGGTAAAAGACGCTTTTCTTCTACACCAAGATCCATCCAAATCTTTTTAGCTTCAAGATCAGGTTCAAGTCCCAATTTGTCATCCCCACCAAAATAACTGACATAAAGACGATCTTCAGGAAGTTTTAATACTTTGGTCAAATATTCCCAAGCGTATTTTGTAGCTTCAGCCTATAGTGAGAGAAGAAGAAAAAAAAAAAAGAAAAGAAAGAGAGAGAGAGAGAGAGAGAGAGAGAGAGAGAGAGAGAGAGATTTGAAGTTATTGCATGTTGTTTTCTTTTTTTTTTTTTTTTAATATAAACTGAAATATGTAATAGGTACCTTGAAATAATCACCAAAAGACCAGTTACCCAACATTTCAAAGAAGGTATGATGATAGGTATCTTTACCAACATCGTCCAAATCATTATGTTTACCACCTAGTTAATCAATAATAAACATGAATATTTTAGTATTTATAAATAACTCTGTAGATTAAAGACTTTTACCTGCACGAATACACTTTTGAGAGTTGGTGGCTCGTTTCAAGTTGTAAAGAGGAGAAGAAGGATCAACGGTACCCAAAAAGATAGGTTTATACTAAGAATATTAATATTGATAAAATAAAATTGAAAAAAAAGTTAAGTAAATCAATACGATTTTGTTTTCTAGTCAATTGGTTTCATTATCAGAGAGTAAACTTACTTGATTCATACCAGCGTTGGCAAATAGTAAAGTAGGATCATCATGAGGAATCGTAGGAGAAGAGGCATAAAAAGTATGACCATTCTTTTCAAAGAATTCGATAAAGGAAGAGCGAACCTTTTTAGCAGACCAAGATTCAGTCATATTGTTAAACTGGAAGTTTTATAAGAAAGAAAAAGGGAAAGAGAAAAAAAAAGGTGTCAAAACATAGGCACTTAAAAACTTTTTTTTTTTTTTTTACGCTTGAGGCTGTCTCCACCAATAAGATGCGCCAAATTACTTACCAAATCTAGTCAAATACAATGTTAAGGAGAATGTTCATTATAATAATGACTCACAGTTGACCATTATCTATATATAATGTATCATCGTTTTTGATTTTCTTTTTTTAAATATATTGTCAAACTTAGTTTTGTAAAAAAAACAAAAATATTACAATAACTATGTTATGCGGTGAATGAAATTGTTTTGAGACAATTTTCGCCATTCTTTTTTTTCTTTCCCTCTTTTTTTTTTTTTATAAATATATCCTTTGCCTATCTTTCCCTTTTCTACTTTTATGCCTGTTCCTATCCGTACAATATCTACTGTTGCCGTTAGTTTAGGCTTATCAGGTGCTACATATTATATTTATCAAAACCAACCAAGAAAACAAAATGATACGTTTGACAACAATATACAAGAACAACCATACAATGACTCGCGTCCTTTCAAGTGGTTAACACCTGAAGAAATTAATACACGCTTACGTGCTAAACAGTTTGCAAATAAGGTTAATTTAAATCACGTCCGTGCAGTTTATACAAGTCAACTTGCTTCCAATAACCCGGTAGAAGATCATTATAGTACTTATCTTATTGGTAACAATGGTTTATACGCTGGTGTATATGATGGTAAAAAAAAAAAAAAAAAAAAATTATATTTTAATAAGATGGTTTTAACTAATTTTCTCTTATGTATAATATAATAGGACATATTGGACCTCTTTGTTCAAAATTGATTCGAAAACAATTACCTAGTTACGTGGCTCGTCAGTTGGAAACCAAAACAGAAAAAGAAACGGTGGAAGAAGCTATTAGTACTGCATTTGTAGATTTGGATCAAGATATTCAACAACGGTTTTACGATCTTTTCCCTAGAAATGTTCAACGCCTCACTGAAAAAGATGTCCAAGATGCCGTCCGAAAACATGCTAATCCTGCTGCTGCTGATTTGATCATCAAGGAAGCTATTCATGGTTCTTGTGCATGTGCTATTTATTTGGATGGTGATGACCTTTATGCTGCTAATACTGGTGATTCTCGTGTTGTCAGTAAGTTTTTATTTATTTATTTATTCTTAACCAACATCATTATTATCAATATGAATTAACTTCTTTTTTTTTTTATTAAAATAAATTAGTTGTCCGCCAAGAAGAAGATGGTACCTGGTCTGGTCGACGATTAGTAGAAGAAGAATCTCCAGCTAATCCTGCATGGCGCGAACATATGATTTCTCAACATCCACCTGATGAAGCAGAAGATATTATTAAACGAAATCGTATATTTGGACTGATTGCTGTTGGTGGATGTAAGGCCCACTTTTGTTTTTTTAAAAAAAAAATATATATTTAATACTTAATCATTTATTTTTGATTTTTTTATGTAGCCTTTGGTGATATTATGTACAAGGTTCCTCGCGATTATCAAATCAAAGTTTTACCATTTATTCCTTATGAAGCTTACAGTACTTTTGCCAGATACCATCATCGCATTGTAGTTAATTATCGTACGCCACCTTACTTATCTTCCAAACCATTGACATCTCACCACAAACTTCAAAAAGGGGATAAATATATCATTATTGGTACGGATGGACTTTGGGATGAACTTAGCTGGGATAATGTACGAAGTGAAGATGGTGATCAAGTGGCTGCTCAACTTATTAGTATCTGGGATTCCGCCAAAAACAGCAAAGAAGCCAATCCTGCGACACATATGATACGTGAATCACTTCTTTATGATGCTGTGTACAAGAATATAGGCGTACGAGTACCTGTGACTGATGAAACTTTAGAAATGTCTAAACGTCTTACCCGTCAACCCTCTCGCCGTTATCGTGATGACATTACTGTTACTGTGATCGAACTCAAAGATCAAAATGATCATACTGAAGCTTCTCTCCAAGATGTTGGTCCTGTTACTTCTGTTGAACAAATCGAAATCGAACCCAGATTGGTGATTCCCAAGAAATCAAATTGGTACTCTGGATGGTTATGGAGTAGATTGTAAATTATTTAGTTATTTGTTTAGATTGTCGTATTGTAGTTTTTTTGATTTTTTTATTCGTTTGACGGAAAATAAAAAAAAAAATCTTATTCTTTTTTCTTTTTTTGAATGTACTCTTGCCTCTTTTTTTTTTTTTCTATTCATCGTTATGAATGAAAATGATTCTATTACTACGATTCAAGAACACATTGAAACAAAGAAAAGAAAACGGGGAACTCGTGCTTGGTAAGTGAATAGAAAGGAAAACAAAATAGTAAACTTGACGACTTTCTGATGAAACTTTTATATAGCGATTTATGCCGTAAGAAAAAAGTCAAGTGCCATTTCCAACCAGGTCAACCATGTTTGAATTGTATTGCCTATGAAGAAGTGTGTATATTCACGAAGGAGTAAGTAAAGGATGTACACATTATTTGTAGTTTTATCGGTCTAACCATTCCCCTTTTTTTTTGTTTACTTTTAGGTCAAAGAAAAGAGGTCCACCTCGAGGGTAATTCTAGAACAAGAGTAAAAAGTTGAGTGTCTTCTTATTCTTCATTTTAATGATCTAGTTTTATTTATTTTAGGCAATCAAACGATCTAGAAAAACGAATACGGTCAATAGAATCTATGACACAGCGAATAAGGAACAAGAAAGCGTCAGAAAAATCTATCGATCACCAACAAATCAATAGTAAGAAAACGGTTACACCACTAGTAAGATCAACCAATGATATTCAAAATAGCATGAATGACAATGATAATGACAGGTTTATGGAAACGAAATATCAACGACAACAGTCCAAATCCTACGCAGCTTTCTCAAAACATATGCAAAGACTGGATTCATTACAATCTCGACAGTGGCCACCAGGAACAACATACGACAGTATATACTACTTGGGTGAAATGGCAGAATTACAGTTCCTCTCTGGCAAAATCAAATTAGATGACAATAGCAAATGGAAAGGACATCGCATCAAGCGTTTTGGTGATAAGATTGTACTCGTGGCTGACGGTGTGAATGAACAGAATCTATCTGGTATCAAAATACCTCATTTTGAATGGAATAATGTGGCGCCTAATGCTCTTGGTATTCATGGATATATATACAATGTTACTGGCGTAGATCAACATACTTCTACTAGATTATTGAAAATGTAAGTAATTATATAAATAATAGATATATCACTTTACTAATTATTCGCTTTGATTATATGTAAATATAAAACTGCTAGTTACTTTGCTAATGTACATCCAATCTTACCAGTCATCAATAAGATAGAATTTTTGAAGCAGTATCGTGATCAAACTGAAACTTATCCATCTGGTGAACTATTAAATGCAATGTTTGGTGCAGCGGCAAGATTCGTAGAATGTGAATATCTTGAACCAGATCGACTAAAAAAAGTACCAAAAGATACTATATGGGATGTACCTATGGGATGGTCTGATCATTTCTTCAATCAAGCTCAAGGTAACTTTATGGAAAAAAAAAAAGGATTAGAACTAATCTCAATCCCTGTTTTAATGTAGATATTGTCTCAAGGTGGACGGTCAATCCAACATCTTCAAAGATTCAGGCTATTGTATTGATACACAATCATCGTGGTAATCTTGATTCAAAGTCATCTGCATGCTGGCTCATGGGTGGATTTGTAAGTACTTCTTTTTTTTTTTTTTGTATATTGGGCGAGAAAAAACAATCAGTTTATTTTGTTCGTTATTCTTTGATGATAGGCAATTCGATTGGCCCAAATGCTTGGACTTCATAGAAATTGTGATGATTGGGATATATCTGACAGTGAAAAGGAAACTAGAAAACGACTTTGGTGGGCCCTTTATGTTTCTGATCGCTTCCAATCTGCACTACAAGGAAAACCATTAAGTATACAAGATGAAGTATGTAATCAATGAAATTCGATATTTGTATTAGAGTAAAAGGAAGTACTGACCCTTTTGCATTTATAGAATGATGTTGGTTATCCAAATGCAAGTGCTACTTGGAAAGAAGTATTAGATGAAGGTGATACTGATATTATTGGTCCTCGATTTCCATCGGCAACTTACCAACCTCAAGATACAAATGGCACTGTCGAAATTTATCAACTATTTATTCAATTTGTCAAACTTTCTGAAATACTGGGAAGAATCATTCAAGGCCTTTATTCTCCAAAAATGCAGAATGCTTGGTCTAAAGGTAGCATGGATGGATTGGTTACAAGATTGGATCATGAATTGACTGAATGGCGATTCTCATTCTCAAGAGCTCTACGGCAATCTAGAAATGAAGATTTCGATGAACATACAGGATACTTTACTCCAGTTACTGGTAAACCGAAATATATACATATATATATACATAGCACTCAAGACTATTTTTTTTTCTTTTCGATTTAGCATCAATGCTACTATTTTATTTTAGCGCTTTGATTCTACTGCATCGACCATTTATTCAATTTAGTGCAACAGGGAAACCTATCTCAAAATCATCCTTCTCATCCTTCCAAATATGTACAAGCGCGGCAACAAGAGGCATTCGTATCGCAGCAGGACTTTCGATTCACGACTTTTTACTATGTCCTTATTCTTTCAGTTTATATCCAGTGATGCAATGCTGTTTGATTCATATTTACAACACTCGTAGTACAGACACACAAATATCAAGAGCAGCCAAATTGGATTTGAATAGAGGAATGGATTTACTGGATAAACTACAATATATGTCAAGTTCGGCAAAGAAACTCAACATTTTACTACGAAACATCATCGACAACAATAATATACCACCTTCCAATCGAGACACTAGTTTATCTCCTCTTGTGAATGTTATTAATCGAACATCTACATCATCATCATCTGAATCACTACCACAAAATAAAGAGAACACGATTGACCAATCAACGTTCCATACATCAACAACTACGCCATCTGTTTCTTCTTTTCTGGATACAAACTTGATTCAAAATTGGCAAAACCGACAAACGAAGTCATCCTCTTGTAAATATAGATGGTTATGAAACAAACTTTCACTAACTGTTTTCTTTTTTTTTTTTTTAACAGTCGCTGGAAATGAGGATCAGTATTATCAAGAAGCCTATACACTTCAACAATTTGGATTCACAGCACCTACCAAAGAAAAGAACGACCAAAAATCTACATTATCGAAATTCCAAACTTTTGAGAATAATGATGACAGTCTAATATCTCCTCTATCCTCAACAAAATCACAATCAGACAATATATCAGCAGTATCATTTGCACCAATACAACAACCGACTGATATACTTGACGACGTTCTATTCAAATACGACCAAAACAATCCTTTCTGGAATATACCATCATCAATGAATTGGGAAGAATGGAATGAATGGTTGGAAAAATCAATTGATCCTATGTAATATTTTTATTTTTATTATTGTTTTATATATTATCAACATCATCAATAAATATCTTTTATTAAAGGTTGTATTATCATATCAATAAGATTTTATTAAAAGTTGTATTATAATATCAATTAGAGTTTATACTTCTCCTATATCTTGTGAAGAATTGTTTAATGTTCAAAAGGATGCATGAATTCTGTCAAACAAATACTATATGGTGGAGAAATAAAAATTGAGACAATGGAGGATGTACATATGGATGAATGGAAAAAATAGTGGTTAATATAAATAAATCATCATAAAGATTCATTTTTTTTTTAACTTACAAAACTGCAAACATCGACGTGTGTTTGATACACGGATCAATCATCATATCAAGGAGGAGGTCGAGCCAGGTGACCCGGTCTTTTTCCAGTAGTGGCCAGGTTGAAGAAAAGAGACCGGATATTTCTTGACGCGTTGATATCGTGCTGCCACATAGTATTGCAATGACGACACATTAATACTGCATACATGCGCTTGGATTCTTCGCCAGGACCGGTGATCACGTCGTTGGAGAAAGAATTCTATACCCACATTTGGAACAAACTTGCGAAGTTGAAATATTCATCCATATTGATATGTATAAGCCGACCATCCTTGTCCGCCTTTTGCAGTCAACGTCGACATTTATCTGCTAAAGCGCCTGCACCTTTTTTGCTTCGCCCAAAAGTTGTATCCCCGAATATCACTCTACAGGAACTTTGGTATTATCGTTGTCAATTGGCGTTTACTTCCACTTTCTATATGCATCAATAATAAAATACATAAGTGTCAGTATATATATATATATATATATATATTGCGCATTCATTTGCAATCAACTAGACTTACCTTGTTTTTATTGTAGGAGGAGGTTGTACATTTATTAGTTCTGCTTATCCTTCTTGGTCTTCTGCGTCTTCTTTGATAGTTACCATAACTACGATTTGCCAATCTTTCTTCTGCACCAAGAGGAGCTTTGTACTTTCTTCCCCCGTTCACAAAGATATTTTACTAGTTCTTCATCCATCATCTGTCTGCCTTGATAATTTAGGAACTTGAGACCTTGTAGATGTTCTTGACCATAGAGTGTTGTTAATACTTCCAACGCTTCTAGTGTCGAGTTGATGTACTCCATAATCCCAATCATTCTTGTCGTTCTATTTGTTGTAATGGCGGCTTCAACTGTTCGAACTGCTTCTGACTTTTCGTTATTGATTCTGTTAGTAGTTCGTTTGAACCCGGCACGCGTATAGTATTCTGCGGATGATGATTTTCTAATTTCATGCCCTTCAAAAAAAAAAAAAAAAAAAAAAAAAAAAAGAAAAGGCCAATTAATAAACGACTTTACTTGAAAATGATTCTTTTTTTTTTTCTTTACTCTTTTTGCGTCTTCAAAGCTGCGTCTTAACAAGAGGATATTGGATTCGGGTTCTATGAATAGAAAAAGTTTAAGTCAAAGAATAGAAATGTTATATTATCAAAACTTACTATGGGTCATATAATGTTGCCCATCCTAATGATATGTTCACATCTAGTCCACGATATTCCTTTTCTTGTAACAAGATCTTGTATTTCTTATCAGGGAGATAACGAGCAATTTGCTTGGGGAGAATGATATGCCTACACAAAAAAGAAAGAACAATGGCATTTAATGACAATAATAAAACAGTAAGTGTCATTTTCTACTATTTTTTTTCTTTTCGTTTTGATTGTTTTACCTATATTCATATGTGTCATCTAATCAAATGAGAAGAAGAGTATAGAAATTCAATTTTATGTAAGTTAAAAAAAAAATTATCGTTATTTTCCACGGTTACCGTACCACTATAAATACTAGAGGTAATGATTTCTTTTTTGTAATTTTGGACGATCGTTTCGAGTCAGCACGTTGGAGACGTAATTTGGCATCGGGATCCGGTCGACTTAGTGTTGCTTTATCTTCGGTAAATTGTCGTTCGTATGCAGATCGTTTCATAAGATAAGTAAATTGTGCAAGTCAATGGATAAAATGATAAAATATGAGAAACAAACGGAGAAGAAGAAGAAAAAAAAAGTTGAGCGTGTTAGAAAATTTTCTCTGTGAAGCGGAATTTCAACAGCATAAGCACCCCCTCTTTTGGAACTTACACAATGGACAGGAACAATTGGCCTTGGCAGTCCACAAATGAATGGTCACCGTTTTCTCGGTAAACGATGAAGTGCTCCATTAGGACAAAATGCCAATGATTTCTTATATAATGGAAATTATTTTTTTTTTTTTTGTTTACGGATGATCAATAGTATATGGCCAAAAAGAAAAAAAATTCAGACCATTTTACAGGATACCATATTAAAATGCATGATCTTCTTTTTGGCACTTTGTTCGAATCCTTTCTTTTTCTTTCTTTCTCTCTTCTCTTTTTCTCTACCAGGTTCATACATTAACTCGTCCCTTTTTTTTTTTATATATGTTTTCTATTTAAGAAAAAAAAGAACATCAAACATCATCTTCATGACCTTATCTTCTCTCACCAAAGACAATACCAGTATTCATCATCCACAAAAAAAAAGACAGTAAAATGATGATCATCCGCACCATTGATCGATTGGAAACCAAATTGAATTACTTGCAAACAGATTGTACCCTGATTGATATTGTAGTAAAATCATTGCAATCCTTCTTTTTGGTCAAATCTTTGACAACCGAAGAGCAATTGATTCAAGTAGACAAAGAGCTTAGTATTGCTCATGATAACGTCTTGGTTCAAATAAGAGCCTTACATCGTAAAGTGAATAAGTTAGAGAATATCACTAAATACCTTTCACTTTGATTTACTCCTTTCTTTTTTTATTTTTATATACAATAAAGAAATTTCCAATTTTAAGTCCATCAAGTTTTGTTTATTTCAATACAACCTTAAAAAAAAAAAAAGCGCTCTGATCAAACTTTTCCTATATTAGGAAAAACAATCTTCCTGCAAATTTCACGTGTTACACATATCATACTAGTCTGTTGTCAATATTACCATCTCACAAATCATCATAGGAACCGTCTTTCAATGTATTTTTATTTTCCCATCAATCATATGCTCATCTTCTATTTTTTTTTCTTCTTTTCAGACATCAATTGAATTCTCTCTTTCTTTCTTTTTTTCTTTCCTTCACTTATATACTCAAACGAATAAAAGAGAAAAGAAAAAATAATTGTCTGGTGGTTTCCTTTTTTACGGCTGCTTCCGTTCTACGTTTTTCGATCATCATACATACACTTATCCCTCAAAATCAGATTTTTTAATATAATAAATAGGAATCCTAATCATCACCTAAATATAAATAATTCAAAACTACCATTCAATTTATTTACATCGCTTGTATGAATCATATATCTATATGTTGATAAAGAAGAAGAATAACTGGAAAGGAACATAAATAATAACAGAATGACTAGAATGGTGCTACTGTAGGTGAGAGAAAGAGAAAGATATAAAAGTAAAAAAAAAAAAAAAAAAAAAAAAAAGGATACCTGAAATGTATTTCGTTAACAAAGTTTGCCTATAGTGATTTTCAATCTCCGTGGACATCTCTCCACTCGCTGTCACGACAAAAATATTTTTTGAACAATGAAAAAAAAAAATGATAGGTAGAGGTCTTCCCGTTCTTTACCATGTATGACGACGACGAAGATCTAGCATTAATACAACAGTACGAAGAAGAAAACCGTCAAGCAAGGTAATTAATATAAAAGAATATAAAGATAATCGATCCACTCATTATTATTATTTTGGTTGTCAAAAATAAAGAAGTGATGACGAGATAGATAGCGATTTGGAGGATGTTATATTGAGTGCAGTATACTTTGGATCCAACTCTGATAATAGTAAAAATACAAATGCACCACCATCTTCACAGCAACTAATACAACAAACAAATGATCAAACATCCAATGACAAGCCAACAGTTTATCCCTCCTCCTTCTCTTCCAATTCTTCTTCAATCATACCCCATACAAATTCTGCGGACTCAGGTAGTTGTTCTCAATTGGATTCCTCAAGTGACGATGACGATAGTAGTATCAGTAGTAACGATGAATACTATAAAAAGAGTATGAACGATAAACAAACACAACAGGAAACAATTCCTCCAGTAACACGACATATTGATCTTAACCTTGATAACAATCAATCACTTGATACCGATGAAGAAGAAGAAGAGTTGAATGAAGAACTACAACAACTCATTGATGAACAGGTATTAGAAATAGAAGAAGAAGGAAAAAAATGCGATCATACTAGCTAAGGAATGGATAGTGTTACTTTAACTAAACAATGTTAATTATCGTTCTCACTAGATCCGAAACCGACAACAATTACAATTTCGACGACGATCAAAATTCAATGACAACAACTATAAACAAGGATCTGGGTCTTTTGAACAGAAGCGATGTCACAAATGTTTTTCGGTTGGTCATATTGCTAGGAATTGTCCATACGTAAGTATCTTTTTTTTTTTTTTTAAAGAGAATCATATTTATATTCTCTTTGTTTAGTGTGAAGATTGTGGCAATTTGAGACATAACTCTCAAAGGTGTCCTGGTATTAATTTTTGTCGCCGATGCAAGCAACGGGGTCATAATGCTATTGTAAGTACAACGTAATTTATTAACAATAGAAATTGATAAATTATACTCTTTGATTTTAGGATTGCGAGAATAAAAAGTGTCATGATTCTTGTCGTCATTGTGGAGATCGTCTTCATACTTCTGATTGGTGTCCTACCTTGGTCCATGTATATATTACGAAAAAAACTCCAACAAAATCTGTCCAAATTATTCGATACTGTTATCATTGTGGACAAGATGGACATTATGGTGATGTAAGTACTCTACTATTGGCAAAAAAAAAAAAATATTGACAATCTATTTTATTAGGAATGTCCTACATTATCATTTTATCATGATTTACCATCAGTATTCAGTGCTAGACATTTACCAGTCAACAGGGATCATCATCGACCAGGGAAATCATCTCATAACAAATCTTCTCGACAACATTACGAAAGAAATATATCGAAGAAACATCATTACTCAGACGATAGTGATGATAGTCAATATCCAAAAAAGAAAAAGGAAAAAAAAGATAAACAATCATCAATCAAAGAACGAGGATCTGGTAACAATAATTGGAAAGCATTATCATCATCATCATCATCATCAAGGATATATCCAACAAGTACAGGTGTGATCTCAACAGATTTTCCACGTGGCAATTCTTCAGAACTTCCAAAACCTCATTCTCAAGGTGTGATTGAATATGGAGAATCTAATAGAAGGCCAAGGTATAAAGGTGGTTACCAACGACAATGATTCCCCTCTTAGTTAGCATATTGCATTATTTAGATAGATAAACTTTGTATATATATTCATTTGTCCCATCCATACATCCATTATTTGATATTTGGGAATCCGCGGGGATGTGACACAATGGCGGATGTACAAAACGAAATAAAATAAAAAAAAAAAAAATTGAACCATCTTTTTTTTTTTAACTTCTTTCTTTTATCTATTTCTTTTATTTTTTATTTTTTATTTTTTTTTTTTTGTATGACCAAATCAAACCAGGATGTGTATTCAACCAATAATAACATAAGTCAATCTTTTTTATCACCTCCTCCACCATATACGCGTAGAGCAGATGATTATCAACAAGAGGTAAATAATAAAATCGCATGACTAGAAATATTTTATTAAATTCAAAAGTTTTTTTATCTTATTATTATTTGTTGTCAAAAAAAAAAAAAAAAAAATTGTAGGAAGATGATTCTGTTTCTAAAATGCGAAAAGTGATTCAAGATACCTATCAGATGATGCAAGATTTTCAGTCTAGGTTAGTTAGGTAAATATATTATTATTATTATTTGCATAAGGCTTCCCTTTTTTTTTTTTTTTTTTTTGAGGGGGATGACTTTTTTTTTTCTCTCTTCTTTTACTGCTTAATTGACTTTAATATTTTCTCCTTTATATATGATAGCCTTGAATGCACCAATCAAGTCCTGATCTCTGGTTTAAACCAAGGGTCCCTTCAAACAATGTATGTGAAATTCTCTTCCTCATTCTTATTAGGTGTTACTCATTTTTCATACAACTTTTTTTTTTTTTTTAGACATCCAAACCCAACATCACACTTCGTTTTTAATCATCATGACAATGACAGACTTATCTCAATGAATTCCACCGTACAGAATCTACTACAGGAAGCACAATCGAGCTTGAATCGTACGTTTACAACGATATCCGATAAACTCGAAGTGAACGAACATTTAACTACACCCATAATAGCAATGACATTGGAACAACAATCTCGATATCGAACCAGCCAACGTAACCTCGAGACAGCTTTGGATCAATTGATGAATGAAGTCAACACGTTCACCACTACCACCACTTTGCCTTTTCCATCGTTTCAGCCATTAATATCCAATAATAAAATCACCAAGCCATATCTAGAACAACATAATTATCATATCTATCATCATCATCATCACCATTATTATCATCCAACACCTTCTTCTCAGACATATATGAACGATCTATATGAAACTACTTTTTCAAACGAAGACGATGATAATGATAATGGTTTATCCCATTTTTCAACAACGAACGAACAGCTTACTCACCAAGGCATCATAGATACCAACAACATGTTTACTAGTGCAACTTCCAAATCATTACAAATGGTACAATCATGGTTATCTCCTTTCCAACTTCTTAATACATCATCACCAACAACAAGAACAACAACATTAGCTGATAACACCCATTGTACATACTTACCTACTACTACTACATTATCATCGAAACAGCAACAACAAAACCAATCGCGCCACGCTCCGTTGTACCGCGTTCTGTTGACTCTTTTTGTGGTGGGACGGTTACTTTTACACCAACGTTGTGCGTCCATCCTTGGTCGCTCTACCCTTGATCATCACCATTCTCTTTTATGGCGTCGTTATCATTTGTATATTTTTGGATCTTTACCTACCACCCCTTTTACCTCCACTCCTCTTCTTCGTCAGTATTTGTTATCTTTAGTATATATCACTCAATTCTTATACCATCCTTGATCTTTTTCTCTCCTTTTTTTTTTTTTTTTTTTACTCATCCCTGTATACATATACATAGTTTAGACCTCTTTCTCCTGTAGACATATAGACTCTTATTTTGTTTGTATTTTTAATCAATAAACACTTTTTTCTTTTGAAACTTTTCTTTTTATAATCAAAGATGTATGTGGAAGATTTGTTTATTTGTTTTAGTGTACAATATAGACTAGATTTCTTGGTTGGTGTGCAAGAAGATAATGATATATAATGATTGATCGTTGTTGTTTTTTGGATAAGATTTCTTGTAATAATAGGATGAAGTATAGAAAATGCATGATAATGTAAAAAAGGTAAAAGTGATTTTATTATAGAAGAATATAAAGAAATCGCTATAATAAAGGCGGGATAAAAGAGAGAGAATCAAAAGAAGATGGAAAAGTACCACTATTTTATTGAGATAAGAAGGGAAAGGTAAAAGGTATAAATGCTAGCTATTTTTTTTTTTTGAAGACAAAATAATACACAAAAAAAAAAAAAAAAAAAAAAAAAAAAACTACAAGGTTCTATCATGCTTGTTGGTATGATTCAAGGAATTGTTTCCATTTTGTTGTCGTAATAATAATCCTACAGAATGTTGCTGTTGAAACTGTTGATGTTTACGTTTTGCTTCGTACTGTTGACGCCATAACCTGCCTTGTCCTAATTTGAGCCGAGTGATCAGATCCATTGCTTGTCCTTTGTTGAGAGTTTGTTTGATATCTATCTTGTATCGTTTCAAAATGGCACGTTGTTTGTCCGTCATGGCATCCGATCGGTAAGAGGCAAACCGACTAGATGCAATAGTCTTCGGATTACTTCCTTTCAATAATGAATGTCGTACCCATGTATCTGCTCCTTGGATGGCTGAGATTATGTTGTCTGCTTCTAAAGGTACCTCTACTCGACGACGAACTATCCATTTGCTCCCTGTTGTTTTATCGCTATTGTCATGATCATCCATAGATTTTATCTTTGATATTGTACGTTGAAATGCACAAGTCCAATGATTGTCGCTTTGTCGTGTCAATGTCACTAAACCCTTGCCTAATACTGATAATGCATATTGATCATTGCCGATGGCTACCCATGCATTGGTAGTGATCTGTTGAATGTTCTTGGCTAATCCAGAACTTGTTGTCATGAATTCTTGCAAGTCGTCATATTCCGTGATTTTCAATCGTATTGCAGGTGATGTCGTATCATTGGTATCATCAACAGCTGTCATTTCATCCTTGATCTGCTGTAACTCAACCTGTGCAGCTTTTTTCTCCAGGGCTAATACATCTTGATCTAAGATAAAGAATAAAAAAAAAAAAAAAAAAGATAAGTATGTCAATCACTTTTATTTTTATAAATCACTGACCTTGGATCACTGTTTTTGGATCCAATCCCATCAGAGTCGGAAATGTCACCAGACCAGATCGTTTAAAGTTATCCACAAAATCAATGACTAAACAATCAGACTTGCTAGGAAATAATCGCATACCACGACCAAACATTTGTTGAAAAAGGACAGCTGAACGTGTAGGTCTTGCCATAAGAATACAATCAATAGACGGGATATCAGTACCTTCAGTCAATATACCACAATTCACTAATATAGGATATTCGCCTTTTCGAAATCGGTCCAAAATATTATAACGGGTTATAGTAGGTGTTTTGCTTGTCAAGTATTCTGCTTCATATCCATGTTTTCGAAAGTGATTACATAAAGCCATTGTATGTGCTATATCCACGGCAAAGACCAAAGTTGCTTTTCGTAGTCGATAAGTAGGTTCATTTGTTTCATTTTGAGCATATTTGCACCAGCTTCTTACAATGATATCGTTGCGTTTATCCACATTGACAGCTTGAGACAATTCACTTTGTTTGAAGTCATATTGTTGAATACCGACATGAGATAAATCTACTGATGTTTCTACTGTGGTAATTTTCAAAGGGGATAGCCTATATGGAATATATATACATAAGAGCGTGAGTGGAATAAAGAAAGAAAGAAAAAAAAAATAACCGCATACCATCCAGATTCAATCATTTCCATAAAATCCATATGAAATGCAATATCACCAAAAGCATTGGATAAACTAATACCATCATGTCGTCGAACTGTAGCAGAACAACCCCAAACGAAGATAGAAGAGTCGGGATGAGTAACACCAAAGTGATCCAGAATTCGGGTATATGTACTTGCAGCTGCATGATGAGCTTCATCGATAATGATAGTTTTGAATAAAGCTGGATCATAATTATCTAATCTATTGGAACCTGCTCTACCAAGGGTTTGCACAGATGCTACAACCACATCCGTAGTTTCAATATCAACCTTTCTACGACCTTGTTCGACAGATACAGTCTATAAAGCGAAAGAAGAAGAAGAAGGAGAAAAGATCAGTCATAGTTGTCTTTTTTTTTATAGTTATCCCTTACCAAATAGGGATTGAACCGTTGTATTTGTCTTTGTGCTTGATCCAATAATTCTGTTCTATGAGCAATGACAAGTGTCTTGGTGGCAATCTTTGTTGGATTAGGAACACGAGGAATCAAGTTGGCCATCACTACCTAAACAAAAGAAGAAGTTTAGTCTAAAAAATATTATAATGTTTTAGTGTTGTTGACTTGCCGTTTTCCCACTTCCTAAATGAACAAAGGAAAATGAATGTCAGTTGAAAGTAAAAAGACGTCTCGTTTTTTTTATTGTTTGTTTGTTTACCTACGGGTAAAGAAACCACCTGTCTCTTTTGACCAGCTTTAAGCTTCTCTAGACAAGCAGTAATACATCTTTGTTGATATTCGCGAAGTAATGGGCTTGAAATATTGATATCATTGTGTTGAGGTTGATCTAGTATGGTTGTCAAAGGAGTTTTTGTTGTTGCCAGTAAAGATCGTTGTTGATATCGTGTAGTCAAACCAGACGTGAAAGACAGAGGTAAACAACGACATTGTGCAAATTTAAATGATAAATGAGAAGATAGTTTTGTATGAATTAAAAACATTATAGAAAAGAAGAAGAAGAGGAATTTGTAAATTTTTTTTATTTTTATTTCATTTTAATTTTATTTTTATTTTCAGCATAGTTGTTCTAATGTGTACATATGGATCTAGCTATAGTACGTACCCCATCTACTCTATCTAATAGTTTTTGTGTATATCGTACACTTTCCTTTCGTTTTTGCCTTGCTGTATCAAAATCCATAGGACATTCCACCGCATCCAGTCGTATTAAAGCTTGCATAAGTCGTTCTGAACAATAGATTCCTTGATCCTGTACCTTCTTTTTACTATCATCATCTAGTTTCTGCTGCTTGTTGAATACTAATTGTTGTTCTGTCACCAAAGCTTCATAGGCATCGATCTTCGATATAAAGTTGGTAGAAAGGTCATCCACAATATCGTTGATTCGTTTCACTAATCCATATTCTTCAGGATTACCAGAAATTGTTTGTTGTTCTACTTGCTTTTGCTAAGTATATAAAGAAAGAAATACATCATAAACTTTCCATATTATATAAGTCAAATTTATATATTCTTACATCAACTACTTCTCCATTGAGTACCACCACACAATAAGAATGAATACCAACGCTTTCGAGAGTAGCAGTTTCGTCCTTGATATGAGCTATAAAAAGAAATAGAAAAGAATCAATTCATTAACTGAAAATGTCTTTTTCTTTTTGTTAGAAAAACTTACCACCAGATACTTTCAAATTCATAGTAGCAATAGGTACATTAGTAAGTTTTCTACACTTTTCCTTTAGATCCTTCACTGTAGCTTGTTGAAGTCCACCTGAAAAATCCATAAAGTCCAAAGTATACCATTTGTTTTCCCAAGAGAGTCTGATCGTTTTTTCTTGTTCATCTCGAGCAAGTTTGTGGAATCCAAGGAACGATAATCCACCTACCACTGAGGCTCTCCCCAGAAGGATTAATAATATAAATATGAGAGTAATGATGAAAAAGAAGAAGAAGTGTTAAAGGAGAGAAAGAGAGGAAGAAGAATCAGAGGATGCAAAAGAAAAAAAAAAAAAGAAAAGGAAAAAGAAAAAAAAAAAAGAGACAGGAGGGAAATTTCGTAGTTTTCCGATCTCTAGCGGCGTTCGAACGTTTTTTGATACCTCCCCGTACACAGAATGAAAGTAATAAAATGTTATACCAGAAGTAATAGAAAATGTCGCAACCAAAATGAAGTATAAAAGAAAAAGAATAAAATGAGTAAATATATCATCAAAAATATGTGTTTCATCATCCTTACCAAAAGATATCTATATAAAGAAATATATAATCCAAGCCAAAGCCAAGAGAGGAAAGGAGATCATATAAAATAAAATAAAATAGTAATTGTAATAATCAGTATCTATCCAAAAAAAAAAAAAAAAAGGAATAAAGACTGTTATCTCGGTTTATTTGTAACGCCAATCAAGCAGGTGTCCTTAGCAGGTGTAATATTCATGCGATATATGAATTCGAGACCATTTTTCTTCCAGATGGAGTCCACAACATCCAAATCAATCAAACAATCAAAGACATCGTTTTTCTTGTGGCGTGATAAAGCATTGCTAGTAATCCCCTTCTTGGCCATGTCAAGTTTCTTACCAAAAAGTTCATAGAAAGACGTCGCACCAAGAGACAAGGAACAAGTAGATGCCGGTGATACAATTGGACAATAGCGCATACAAAATTGTTGGTAAAAAAAAAGACGCAACACCCCGTTTCCAAAGATAATCATGTTCAGTCGTTTTTGGTTTGTCCTCACCAACAGCGAAAAGCTTGAGATAACAGTAGATGATTTGCCTGGTATGAATTTCGTTGTCTAATAGATCCAATCTCTTGATATAATCCTTCAACTGTGTTTCATCAATGATGCTGGTCTTGTTCTGATAAAAGCATATGTACTAGGAAACCTCCCAAAAGATACAATTCTGCAAGCAGAGACGTCATTATTCGCTTATGGTAGCTGCAAGTCATCCAATTTATATCCTGTAGCGTCAAGATCATCATGTATAGCAAATAAATCTAAATCATCATTGAGTTCCTAAAAAAAAAAAAAATCAGATCACCACATCAACGCATTTCCAACATGCTACACGAAGTCATTTACCAACTTGATATTATCTTTACCTTTTCTGAGTTTCATCGATTGCGTTCTTTTCTACTTTTTTCTTGTTCCAGTTTGATACGATCTGTCTTCAGTGCGTCCTAAGGGGAAAAAAGTAAACGTCAAGTTAAATGTTGATAAAGACAAGCAAAGACGTATGCACACAACCACGACTTACCATAACTCCACGTAAATGTGCGATTCGATCTTCATAAGCACAACGTTGGTTAGCGGTCACTTGATCACCCTTCTTCTTCAATTTCCACTCGTTTTGACGCATGGCATTTCCAGTATGGTTCCAACATGCTTTCCATTCTTCAACGGGTCTTCTGTAGCCTAAAAAGGTAAACAAAATATATATTAACATCAATTTTTTTTTCCTGCTTGTATTGATTTCAATGTGATGCTGATATACCTGCTTGATATTCGATGATTTTAAAGCTACAGCCTTTTTTTCTCCATATCCTGGTGTCGTTGTTCTCTTTATTTGTTTTGTAGAGGATGAAGATCTTTGAGTAGATGCCTGCAGCGAAGATGATGATGCTTGTTGTAAAAATGATGATGCTTGCTGTGAAGATGACGATGCGTGCTGTGAAGATGATGATGCTTGCTGTAAAAATGATGATACTTGCTGTAAAGAGGATGAATTGGATGATATAACCTTAGATACAATACTATCAAACGATTGTTGCACTGTTTCTTTCCATGTGCCCAAGAAAGAAAATTTTAGATGGAACTTTGAAGCAAATGATCCAGGTGATTTCCCACAACTGTTATTGATATTTTGCAGCTAGCCTCTTGGTAAACGTTTTATGTCGAGTAGGTCAGATTTCAGTTTGGTGTGATCAGAATGACGCGCGACTTGAGAAGTGATATTTCGTTTTATCTTGTCCACAAGAACTTGTTTGACTTCAATTGAATTGGTAGTTGTTAACAAAGGCTTTTTTTTGTTGATGGTTCATCCTTGAATTGTTTGGTTCGTTTGTGACCCATTACAGACCAGAATGATTTGAATAATAAAAAAAAAAAAGAAAAGAGAGAGAGAGAGAGAGAAATATCAGACGATAATAATAGGAGTGGAAAAAGAAAGAAGAGAAAAATAGGGGAGAAACGATATTTTTGTTTCAGAAACTTCAGACGGACTTTGTAAGTGCACACAAATTGCATGAAGATTAGTCCATCTTGACCTTTTTTTTTTTTCAGGAAGTGATTATGTGACACAGATTTCCGTTTCAATGGAAGAGAATACTTAACATGACGCTCTTCATGCAAGATAGTATCCATTTTGAGCAGAGTGACCAAACGAAAAAAAAAAAAAGATAAACAATAAAGATAAAGGAATAGGAAAAAGATAAGAGTATACATAAGGCGGGTATCAGAGGGACTAGATAGTTAATCATACGCTTTGATGTAGAAGTGCAGTGTCCATCCCTTCCAAAAAATAGTAATGTGAATTTAGGAACATGATAACTAAATCTAAAAAATACTGTACATCGTGTTACAAAAAAGATAAGATTTTATTATTACAATGACGATGATGATGGTGATGATGATGGTGGATGATCTCCCAAGGTAACTTGACCTTTCAACTTATAAAATCGAAGGCGAAGTAAAATACCCACATTGGCAATGACTACAAAGAGAAAAATCCAGTTGGAAGACAAGTATCGAGAAGGGATGATCCAACTATTGGTAATCATATAATCTGTTTGGATACCGAAAACAGCCGTCACCCATACCAATATGAAAAATATGTACCCAGTGATACGATGATATTTCCAAAGCTTCTTTATAGGCAATGCTAATCTATGAGGAGTAGATGCACAAAAAATACCAAATATTACTTGAAGTAATAGGTACGATAAAACAAGGATGCCTAATTTGCCGTGCCCTCTTGAATCAGCCGTCATCAATACCAGAAAGAATTATTCCAAGTGAGTTGGTTATCCTTTCAAAAAGCAAGAAATAATATAACCACTTACGAGATGAAATGATCCTTATTCAAGAGTACTTTATTGTAAAAGATGGCGGAAAATCCAATGATGGCAGAAAAAAAAGCAGATAATTGTAAGATAGCGTGTCGTCCAAGACCTTGACGTTTTTCTTGCTTAGTTTGAGTAAGTTGTAAAGTGACAATTCCTATATGTAATAATAAAAAAGGAGAGATCTGTTGTAGAAATTGCTTTTTTTAAGTGTTTTTTTTTTTGTATTTCACCTTCAGTCATTGTAATTATAAATAAGATCATAAAAAGAGGATGAAGAGAGAATACAGAAATGGGGACCTTAGCAAGAATCGAGAAAACAATGATTATCAATAAAACAAGTGCTAATCGAACTATCCATAATCCATATCTATCTCTATTATCGTTTTTAATCACTGTTGGAATTTTGAGTAAAGGAGTTTGTTCATCATGAATGATAGTCGTCATTTGTTTATTGAATAAAAATGAAGTGAGAACGGGGGGATGTAAAAGGGGGGAATGAAATGATAATGATAAAAAGAGAAAAAGGAATGAGAAGATATCTATGCTACAACCTAATATAAATGTAAAATATCCAACATATCGTCATCAGCACTTGAATTGGTGTGATCAATAAGAATTGTATAAAATGATGCTGGGAATTGTCGTACAAGAATGTCTATTTCCTCTACCGCTAATCTTCTTCTTCCTTCATCCTTGATGATTTTGGTTTCCTTGATTTTGCCGGTTTTTCTTCCCTTTCATCAACCATAGGTGTATCACTAGGATCAGATACAGTAGCTACAATATCCTTCAAAAAATCAAATTGTTCAGTTGTGTCGATAGTCTTTTTCCTATCAAAAAAAAAAAAAAAAAATCCGGTAAGTATACTGAAGAAACAAAAAAAAAAAAAAAAAAAAAAAAAAAAAAAGGAAACAAAAAAAAGAAAAAAAAAAAAGACATACAAATGAGCTACAGTTAATCGCTTGGCACCTCGTTGTCGCGCTTCGCTACAGGCTTGATCAATCAGTGATTGCATGAAGAGTTCCAACGCCTTGGCTAATAAAGTGAATCAAAAGAAAGTGGTGAGTTCAAATTTGTATCTTTTTGAATCGTCGTGTTATTGTATATTATCATTGTAAATATTACATATTAATATCGGTGTTGCCTGTGCTACTTTTCCAACGTCTTCATCAAGTTGCATGATCTTTTTGATACGTGCCTATATAAAGGAAAAGAGAGAAGAAAAAAAAAGTTAATTACCGTAAATTCAATCAATCCTATCTTCATGATATTCGTTTTTCCCTTTTTTTTTTTTTTTTTTTTTTTACTTTGTTGACCACTTACTACTGGGAACTTCGTCTTATATTTCTTTTTCATATTGTTTATAGGATAAAAGGATAGAAGAATGAAGGAAAAGAAAGAAAAGGGAGGCAAAAAAAAAAAAAAAAAAAAAAAAAAAAGAGAATTTATTTTTCATTGGTGAAACGTCACGCTACCCGGGATTTTTTTTTTTTCAGGCCCAAAACTAACTACAAAAAAAGAAAAGGAAACTAGTCTAAACTAATAGCTATAAAAAAAAACCACAAAAGAGAAATCACAATTTGGCTTGAGTCAATGGCATCATTTGTTGATATAAAGTCTTGAGTTGTTTCCTTTGAATTTTTCCTGCTGCTGATCTTGGTATTTCATCAACGAAAAGAACACCTCCACGCAAACGTTTATGCGGAGCAACTCGATCGCTAACCCAATCCATAATTTTCTTGCCCAATAAATCATCCTTGGGTACCCGAGGAACTATGAAGGCCATTGGTAGTTCTGTTGCTTGTTGTTCATTGTAAATACCGATCACTCCAGAATCTAATACGAAAGGACAATCCGATAATACAGACTCCAATTCTACTGGTGCCACCTTCATAAAATAGGCAAAGAGAGTCAGTATATAATACATCATATTTTATATCTTATTTCCTCATACCTGAAGTCCTTTATATTTAATCAGCTCTTTGATACGATCCACAATATAGTAGTATCCATCTTCATCATATAGAGCAATATCACCTGTATGGAGATACCCATCTTCATCAATCGTTTCTTTGGTTGCTGTCGGATTTCCATAATAGCCCATCATCAGCTGAGGTCCTTTAACAATAAGTTCGCCACATTGCCCCACACCCAGATCTACATCATATAAGAATTCATCATTATCGTATTAATATCATTTCATGATAAAAAAAAAAAGTTTTAAACTTACCTTTGCCATTTTCGTCCACGATCCGTACATGAGTATATGGTATAGGTACTCCAATGGACGATGGTTTGTCAAGTGAATTGAATGGAAACTGTGTTATTATTGGCCCACATTCAGTAAGACCATATCCCTACAAAGAAAAGAAGGAAAAAAAAAGGTAGAAATTAGATTATGTACGTATATCGACTTTCCTATATTACTTGAACCACTGGAGCTTTATACTTGGCAACGATTCCTTCCACTATTTTACCAGAAATAGGAGCAGCACCAACTGTGAAGGAAGTTATACTTGACAGATCATATTTTTCAGTAATCGGACTGTTCAACATATGTAGAAGCATAGGCGGTACAGCAGCAAAATGATTAATCTTGTAAGTTTCAACGGCTTGACAAACATTTTCTACAGAATATTTTTTCACCACCACCAGGGTACCTAATATAAGTAAAGGTAATTGTAACGATCGAAATAATCCAGCAGCATGATACATCGGCATCACTCCTAGGCCTATAACACCAACAAGAGCGTTAGGTTGATTTGGATCCTCTCTTGCTTTCTTGGCTTCAATCATATTGGAGATATATTGATAGTGGCTATATTGAATTATAATAATAATAATAATAATAATAATAATAATAATAATAATAATAATAAGAGTTAGTATGTATATACTGAAAACATATATATTATATTTTATTATATATATATATATATATCTCATTACCTAACGTGTACACATTTACTTCTGCCAGTTGTTCCAGATGAGAATAAAGCAAATGCTGGTGTATGTCGTAGAGCTTCTTCAGGAATAGAAATCATAGGAGTATCACTATTGTGTATAACCAAAGCATTCACCCAAAAAGGTACACGATGGCGAGGATCATGTTCTATAGAGTAAACATGTTGTATGCCTAGTTTTGTCGCATATTCCAGAGCCAAATCTAATTGATCAGGATGAGCTATGAGTATTTTTGGTTTGGAAATAGATAATTGGTACTCAAGTTCTTGACCAGTGTAAGTGACATTGATAGGAGATACAACACCACCTAGAAAAGAAAAGAAAAAAAGATTCTCAAATTACTACTAGTACTACTAGTTATGTTCAAGATGTTTTTTAACACTTACATGCAGCCAATGTTCCCGTGTATATAGCGTTTGTATATATCTATAAAAAAATAATAATGAGAAGAAAGAAAGAAAGAAAGAGAAAAAAGAAAAAAAATTTGTTGTTTTACATTATTTGAAGAAAAAACACTGAGGCAATCTCCTTTTCGAAATCCCATTTTTTGGAGCCCGCTATTCAAACCATTAACTAACTTTTTGAAATGACCAGCAGTGATAGTTGCACCTGTCAAAGAATCAACATATAATGGATGATGAATATTGGTATCATCTAGACCTGATAAAAGAAAATGTGCTAGACTATGAAAAGGATAAATAGGATAAGTTGCCATATTTTTAAAGTTCGGAACAATAATAATAATAATAATAATAATAAAAAATAATAAAAAAAAAAAAAAAAGAATGTACCCCATATTTATACTGTACACCAAGTGCATGAAAAAAAAAAAAAAACTCCCACATTAAAATACACTATTATATTTTTACTCTACCTGTAGTAAATCTTCTTATGGGAAAACATATTTCCTGTTCAAGCGGGAAAAGCTCAACTTTAAAATGCAAACTTTTTTTTTTCATCCCTTTGTCCATTTTACTTTTTTCTCATATCATAAAGATATGACTAATGTATAGAGGAGAATAAGATCATCCACTCTTTTTTTTTTTAAAAAAAAAAAAAAAAAAAAAGAATATCACATATGTGAACGAATTTTTCAACTTTAAAGTATTATTTTATTCAAGATATCTATTCTCTTTCTTTTTTATAAAAAAAAAAAAAAAAAAAAAAAAGGAAACTGGTGCTCACTACATATATATTTTTTATATTACCTTTTCGTTTTATCAAATTTTAGTATAAATACCACACCTTTTTCTTTTCTTTTCAAGTCTCCCTTCAATTATATTTTTTGTAATAAAAACCTCTTATGGTCCCTACTTAACATGTATTGTGGATTATTCATTCTGATTCGTTCATCCCTTTCTTTTTGAAACTACTTTATTTTTCTTTTTTATTTTATCTACTTTCCTATACGTGTGCTTGCGTAATCAAGTACTAGTACTCACTATAAACCTTTTAAACAATCAATCATCCTATTTACTTTTTTTTTTTAATACCATGTTGGATCCTGTCGTATCAGCGTATTTCGTAACCATATGCGTAAATTAAAACTAAAGAATGCATTCACAAATAAAGAATAAAAAAAAAATACATTGTAAGATGGAATCAATTATATTGACGTGTAACAAAGTAGTTGGAATAAAAATAAAATGTTTTATTAAATAAAAATATAACTACTAAAGACTACTAACTGATATACTATAACTAAAATTGTTATAAAGAAAGGAAAGAAATAAAAAAAAAAAATTATAGCATATCTAAAAAATAAAAAAAATAAAAGTACGGACTTTGAAAGTTAGTACGCTCATGATCTTTTTGATACTATCAAGAAAGATATACAATACTTTACTTTTTATTTTATTTTACTCAATACTTTATACGTGTACTTGCGTAATCAAGTACTGATGCTCACTATTTAACTTATTATCTTTCAATCATCCGAATTACTTTTTCAATTTTGGCCCTAACAACCAAAAAATCGCTTAACACAATCATCCGAATTACTTTTTTTTTTTTTTTTGAACCTAACAACCAAAAAATCACTTAACAACGCACTTAACACGTAACACAAAAAAAAAACGGTACCTGAAAAAGGAGAGAGGAGATGCAAAAATGATATTGCCTTCTGTGAGAATCGAACTCACGACCTTCTGCTTACTAGGCAGACGCTCTGCCAACTGAGCCAAGAAGGCAGATATTTTTACCGAACTGGTATGATAATTATAAAGCTAAACGGCTGAGTTCGAATATTAGTTTGTGATTTATAATGGAGAGAATGGTTTTATGCGCATATTCGCTCGCTTAGCTCAGTTGGTTAGAGCGTGGTGCTAATAACGCCAAGGTCACAGGTTCGACCCCTGTAGTGAGCATTCATTTTTGTCATTTTCTTCTATATTATCTGAGCTTCAATCGATCCAATCATATGTTATTATGAAAAATAGAGAGCAATGCTGATGATGATGATGATTTTTTTTTTCTATATGTACTGGGCATCAGCACCGTTAGCATCAAATATATTATATAAACTGGGAGTGTTATGTTTGATGGTGATCGATGTGCTTTGATATTTTTTTTTTTGGTATTAGAAATGTGCTTTGATATTAGTGAGCTCCAGTTCTACAATAAGTAGATAAAACAAAAGTATGTTAAAAAAAAAAAATTGTGGTTGAAATAAAAAGTCAGATGAGCCCAATTTCTATTTGTTTATCTTCTTTTTCTTTTTTTTTTTTGTTTTTATCACTTTATTTTACTTCTTTTTTTTTTTTTTTCTCCTTTGCATTATTTTATAATATTTATCTCATTACTTTTCTTATTGTGTCATTTCCTTTAGTAAAAGAAATACTTTTTACATTGAAATAGAACTCATTATTCATTAACATCTCTTATATTATGCTCACTTGAACTCTCTGTTTACATATATTCTGAAGATTAGCTGAATATCAAGACTTTTTTTTTTTAAGGACAAAATTACCTTTCTACTCGTATATGTTGCTCACAACAATTGAACAATCTTTTCAGCCTACTAAATGTCACCAAGGTAACTCAAGGAATTTCAAACTACAACTGGATGAATTAGATCAAGTTGAAAAAAAAAAAAAAAAAAAAGAGTAACTGAACCCCTTTAGTGATTAACTGTGAAAATAAATGAAAGGTCTAATCATCAACTTGTATAGGTATCCGAAGAAGGTAAAGTGGCAGTCAATCAATATTAAAAAACACGACAATCATTCTCTACTACGACTCGACAAATGTCTGAAACAATTATTAGATGCAATATATCATGTATCGAACTCAAAAGCAGCTGTCACCAAGTATGGATACATTAAAAAAAAGAAAACTCAAAATGAATTGTTTGAATTTGTCGTATTATCTTTTTCACCAATAGTTCACCAATCTTCTAACAACTGTACTCAGTGATTATTTGAACAAGTTTTACGCTGATTTACCTTGATGATATACCGAAATTCGTAGTAACAATAAGGAAGACCATTATAAACATGTATGATTCGATCTTGGATTAGTTATTACGCGAATATCAACAAGTGCGAATTTAATAACGAAATTAAAAGGACAACCCCTTTCACCTGTATTACTGGAAATCATTTGTACTGTAGTTTAGATATAATTATTATCATGTTTTTTTTTAAAAAAAAAAATAAAATGACTAACTCTTTTATTATCGTCTTTTTTTGATAAATTTAATGTATATTTTAGGATAATGATTGATCGATTATAAAATAGTTCATTCGTAAAAGTGATTTGAAAATGTTCTTCTTCCTTTTACATTCATAATCAACAAAATAAAAGGAATCTATATAGAGAAAATCAAGTATAATTAATTATTTTGAAACAAAAAAAAAAAAAAAAAAAAACAACCTAAAGGAGATGATTACTTAGAGTGATGATGTCCATAAAAGGTAGAGATGTTTTGAATGCATCCAAAACTGGTTCCTTTTATTGTCCGCCGCCTGCCTATTCTTTTTTCTTTCTTTCTTTTTTTTTTTTTTACTTTTCTTTTTCTTTTTCATTCCTACTTAATTGTTATTTTTTTTTTCCTTTTAATTGATATAATGACAACTCAGGTAATATATATATTATATGAAAGTAAAAAAAAAAAAAAAAAAAGGTGTCATACTAATTCTTATACTTTATTGAATTCAGGTTGCACGTAAAAGCAAACAAAGAACTCCTCGACAAAACTCCAATGTATTTGCAGTATTTGACAAGCAACAAATCAAGGAATTCAAAGAAGCCTTTAGGATTATGGATACTGGAGGTGATGATATTGTTGATGCTAAAGATCTTCAAATCACTTTTGAACGTATCGGTAAATTTTTATTATCCCATTTATTCTTCTTTCTTTTCTAATATATAAATATTATATAGGACAACCTGTATCGAATGAATTGATTGAAAAAATGCTTAGTGAAGCACCTGGACCGATTAACTTTACAGTATTTTTGACATTGATGGCAGATAAATTGACAGGAACGGATCCAGAACAAACTATTACAAGTGCTTTTGCTGCTTTTGACAATGATGGTACAGGAACAATCGATGCTGATTATTTACGGGAATGTATGACCACAATGGGTGATCGGTTTACAGATGAAGAGGTAAATGAATGGATCAATGAAAAAAAAAGTAGACTTTATTCACTTATCGTATTTGTATATCATCAGGTTGATATCATGTTCAAGGGACCAGCATTAGATGATCAAGGAAAATTCAACTATCGGGAATTTGTTCGTGTATTGAAGCACGGTGAATGATCATTATCTTTATCGGTACTTTAGAATTTTTTTATATATATCTGTTTATATATTATCTGCCTCTTTTATTTTACTAGTTTTGTATATACCAATTCTTTTTTTTTTTTTTTTTTTTTTTGTGATTACCAAATAAAGTTTTTTTTTTTTTTTTTACTTACGTTTTTGAAAACATTTTCAATTTGATTTTTAAAATAGGATAATGTGAATTCATGATGTATGACATATTGGAAACTATACATCATCTAGACAATAAGAATAATAATAAAAGTAAAAATGCGATTTTTATTATAAAATATATATTAAAAAAAAGTACAAATAGAACGATGAATATAGTGACACTATCTAAAAAAAAAAAAAAAGACAAATATAATGATGAATATAGTGAAGGCAAGTGATTCTATCTAAAAAAAAAAAAAAAAAAATTAAACTATATATTATTGTGTATCATTGTTTTCTATGAGGCTTTTGAGTATATGCATTGAAATGAGAGTTATTTGAAGTAGCATCGTCTGGCTTGTTGTGGATGTCCGGAGTGTCTGGTTTTGTTGATGTGACCTGATTGGGCTTGAGCACAAGTTTTTCTTGAGATACCGTTGATGCGACTATAGTAGATGCTGATATGGATGAAGTGTTTGTTAATGGTGAATCTGTTTCATGGAGCTGATTGTCACGTACAGGAATCATGGTATAAGTTTCGAATGGTGAACCATCCATTGCAGCAATTGGTGTAACTGAATCCGAATACAGTTGATGAGGTGTTACAAGTCCAGCTTGTGGCGTATAATGATATGGTTGTTCGTACTGCTGTGATGAATTGTAGTTGTATTCTGTGTGATATTGTTGTTCCTGAGATGGTTGAACAGCCACGTTGAGATTAATTTCCATTGGTTGCTGAGGTTGCTGATGTTTCGGTGGCACCCGAGGGCCAGTTTTATTTTCCTTTTGAAGCATTTGTATAGCTTTTCTCCGTCTTCGGACTGTGCGACGATGCATAAGAATCATAGTAATAAGCAACTATAAAAAGTAAAAAGGAAGGTGTCCATGGATCAATGTCAAAAACCTTATTTCAATATTCATATCCCTATTTTTTTTTTTTGATTCCTTACAGTGAAAATAAAAGCTATAGAACCGATGACAATACCGACGATTGCACCTATTCCTAACTTGGTATAAGTTGATTGTTGATTATCGTATTGTTCAGTTGTATTGGAGGTTGAAGAAGTTGATGTACCACCAGGGAAACCAGAAGGAAAAGGTATAGAAGATAAATCAGAAGGGAAACCAGAAGGAAGAGATATAGAAGGGAAACCAGAAGGGAAAGAGAAGGAAGAATGGTTTTCGATATATAGAGACACAGTTGCTGTAGATGCTGGTGTATCATTCCCTGTCAGTAATAAAAAGATGTCGTTCGATGGCATACTGGAAGGTAGATGGAACCATGCAGTTGTTGATGAGGCTGGAATGTCTTTTAAGAGAACCGACAGTAAAGTATAATTGTTGGGAATACCTTGACAAAGAGACAATTTTAATGAAGTTACTTCTCCAGAATCAGTCCACATAATAACGCCATTGGAATCTGGAGAATAAGGAGAACCTGGTGACGGACTGAGAAGCCGGAGACAGTATATCAGTTCGATGAATAGAGAGAATATAAGAAAGGTTAAAGTTTGCATGTCCAAATTAACAAGTCTCAATTAAAAAAAAAAAAAAAAAAAAAAAAAAAAAGAGAAAGAAAAAGGGAAAAAGAGAAAAGAAAGATTTTTTAAACGTGTAACCATATTTGCTCATTCTCAGACGACAGTCTCACTAAGAGTTTAGTAGGGCTTGAGACTCAGAAGCAGACACGACATTTTTCTATGATACATTAATAAAAAAAAAAAACATAGACACATGTTTTATTAATAGCGGTATTATGGTACGATTAGAGAGGTCTAAATCTCAAAATGAGGTTGTGGTTTTTTTTTTTTTAATTCTTTTTAATTTTTTTTTTAGAGTGAAATGAACTTTCCTGCGATTTTCTACCCATTATCGACAAACTATCTTTTTGATCCACTAACAAAAGAAATAATCATAGGTAGTATATACATTTTTTGTTAATGATGCTTATACGGTATGATGATAGATATAAGCTTAAAAATGGGATTTGAATGGTGATTAGAGCTGTACACTCACTTTTTTTTTTGATTTTTTTTTTTTGATTTTACAGCCAAAATTTTCAAATTCCTCAGCCAAGTTTTGGCTGTAAAACTGAATCGTCGAGGGGTCGTCAGGCAATTTTTCGAAAAATCGATGAAATCTTTTGATGCTTATTGCACATTAGATGGCAAGATAAGTGATGAAATGGTATTAGATGATATTTAGCTACTTTTTTAAGAGGAATCTAATGGTGGTCATTTTATTGGATGATGATCATTATTGAATGAGAAATGACAATATTGACTTTTATTTTTTAATTTACTCCATAAATTGCGAGGTAAGGTATAATGTATCGTTAAACCAATTGAAAAAAGATTGATTTCATTTATGTTCAGCCCAAGTTTGGAGCGGTGATGACCATTTTTATTTTAATTTATGTAAATGGACAGGTAAAACCAGGAATGGATGAAGATAAAAACCCAATCTGAGATTCAATATTTCTCTTTCTCTTTCTTCCTTGTTCCTTTTTTTTTTTTTTTTAACAACAACAACAACCTGTATTACGTAACCTCTCGAATCGTCGTCCGCAGTATTATCACCAGCATCATTCTTCCATTACAATGTCTTTGACGTCAAATCAAACTTTGGATCCTGAACAAAAGTTATTGATGGAACAGTTTTTAGCCAAACCTATCAACTGCAAACTGTTTGTCCAAAAGATCAATATCATCAACAATCAAACAGAATCAGAATATCGAAATGCAGAAATATTACAGGAACGCACCACTCCTTCTCGCGGCTTAGAGTTCTATGTGCATTATGTGGAATTCAATAAACGATTGGATGAATGGGTATCTGTCACCAGACTGGACTTCACTCGACCCATCACCTTCCCAACCATCAAAAAGAAAACAACTGGCAACAAAAAAGGAAGAAATTTGAAGGAAACAACTCCAACCTCACAGCAACAAGCCTCAAGCTCGTCTCCATCCTTACTGGATTCTAGTCAACCAAGCACACCTATCACCAATATTGCAACCATGAGCCAAAAACGGAAATGGGATGAACAAGAAACTACTGATGATACAAAGGATGCAGATCAGGATGGAGACAACGAAGCACCAACTACAGTTGTACTTGCGGAAGATGATGATGATGATGATGATGGATCAACAACAAATAGAACTGTGAAACGAGAACATGATGATGGGTCTACACCTCCAAGAACTTTTTCAAAAAAAACAGAAATCGAACAACTACGAACGTCTGGGTCTATGACACAATGTGTATCGGAAGTGGCAAGAGTGAAGAATTTCAATTCAATTCAAATGGGCAAACATGAAGTGGAAACTTGGTATTTTTCACCTTATCCTGTGGAATATGCTTATTGTGATACATTGTATATTTGTGAATTCTGTTTATCGTATTATGCATCACGACGACAATTGGAACGACATCGATTACATTGTCAGTTACATCATCCTCCAGGCAACGAAATCTATCGACACAATGACATCTCATTTTTCGAAATTGATGGACGCAAACAACGAACATGGTGCCGAAACCTCTGTTTACTTTCCAAACTGTTTCTAGATCACAAGACTCTTTATTACGATGTTGATCCTTTTTTATTTTATTGCATGACAGAAAGGGATGCTTATGGATATCATTTGATTGGTTATTTTTCCAAGGAAAAGGAATCTTCTGAAAATTACAATGTGGCATGTATTCTGACATTACCTCAATACCAACGCATGGGTTATGGCAAGTTATTGATCGCATTTTCTTATGAACTGTCCAAGGTTGAAGGCCGTACTGGTTCACCAGAAAAACCATTATCGGATTTGGGTCTATTGTCTTATCGTGCTTATTGGACAGAAACGATTGTGGCATTTTTACTTTCAGCAACGGATGATATTACGATTGAAGATATATCACATCGAACATCCATTACAACTCAAGATATCCTTCATACTCTACAAAACATTGGTGCTCTTCGATATTATCGTGGTCAACATATTATATGTCTTGGTGAAAAAGTGGTGGAACAATATGAAAGGAATCAACAAAAGACAACAAGGAGGACCATCTTGGGTGAAAAACTGGAATGGAAACCAATGCATTTCTCATCTTCTCAACTGCGGTACTTATAATACTTTATTTTTTTTTTTATTTTTATTTTTATTTATTATGTTTCTTTTTATTATTATTATTCCCTTCTCAACTTCAAAATAATAAAGAACATATTATGTTATTGTATATAATATATGATGATTGATATTTTATTATCATTCCCCTTTCTTTTTTTTTTTATTATATTTTATCCAATTGTATGCTATAAAGAGTACGGAGTTTGCGTTCAACATATATGTAAAATAAGCCACTTGATATATTTCGATTTTTCTGTTTTCTCTTCCTTTTTTTTTTTTTTTTTTTCCCTTTTCTTTTTTTTTTTTTTTATACTAACTTTACAGCATGCATATTTCTCGTTGTTACTTTTGCTCAGGACCTTGTTATCCTGGTCATGGTACCATGTTTGTGAGAAATGATAGTAAGGTAAAGTACATATGATAATTTTGATAAACAAAAACTTATATATCTTTTTATGATCTTTTAACATACTTAGACCTTCCGGTTCTGTCGATCCAAATGCAACAAAAACTTCAAAATGAAGCGTAATCCAAGAAAGGTGCGTTGGACTAAGGCTTTCCGTAAAGCAAGTGGCAAGGAAATGGTTATTGTAAGTAAAAGATAAATGGTTTTTTTTTAAAAAAAAAATACTCATATATACTTAAAATAATATAGGATTCCACCTTTGAATTCGAAAAACGTCGTAATGTACCAGTTCGTTACGATCGTAACCTTATGGCCACCACTCTCAAAGCTATGAAACGTGTACAAGAAATTCGATCTAAACGTGAACGTGCATTCTTCAAGAACCGTATGGCTGGAAAGAAGGAGATCGAAAAGGCAGACGACATTCGCCAATTGGAACAAAACATCGAACTCGCCCCTCTCGAAGCAAAGAAACGATATCAAGCTGCCAAGGTCGAACAAGAAACGGTGCAAAATATGGATATGGAAGAATAGGAAACCACATTATCTCATTTTTTTTCTCTTTTTTTTCGAACATCCTCATTCTTATTCACATTACAATAATATTTTACATCATTCTTTTCTCCTTCCACCGTTATTATTCATTCTGTCTGTTTTTTTATTATTATTATATGTATTACTGTTTTCTTTACCCTTCAATTTTTTTTTATATTATAGCATTCATTATATACTTAGTTTTCCTCTTTTTTGTGCATAAATCAATAAATTAGTATATTTTTACTTTATCAAACCCTCCATGTATCGTTTTTTTTTTTAATATTGTTTATTTGTTAAATGAAATCGTTTCCTTCTTTTCCTTTCATTATTTGTTCCTTTTGTTTCAGTTTAAGCTTGGTCTTTTTCATTTTTGAAATATCCACCGAATAGACCTTTATATCTTCCTTGTCATGTTTCTGACTTTTATCTTTTATTTTTGTTCCTGTTTACCTTTTACTTTTTTATTATGTGTCGCCCCTTTCTTCTTCATGTGTCGGCGAACTAGATAGTATCCTTTCTTCTTTCACTCTCAAAAAAAAAAAAAAAAGTACCGTGTTTTTGATTCATATAACAAGTAAAAGAAAAAAAAAAAAAACTATAAAAGGATTCTTTCTTTCTCCCAAAGTCGTTTTTCTTTTTCTTTTTCCTTTTATTTCTACCGTCATATTTTTACTTAAAAAAAAGCAATCGACTGTATCCAAAAAGGAAACATCCAAAAACTTAATCATGAAGTCATCCATTTTTGCCTTCACTACTATTGCATCTATTGTGGGTTATACAAATGCCGCTGTCATCGTAAGTTGGTTACTATATATTCGTTCATGCTTTTATTCATCTTTGATTATTATTACTTTACTTTAGTTCAAAGATCCTTGGGCTCAATCCAATACATGGGTAAGTATTTACATCATCCAATCATTTGTAATACTAAACACATTATCTTCTTTTTTTTTTTTTCTTTCGCATCTTGTAGAAAGCTGGTGACAGAGCTAGCATCAAATGGACCTCTGAACCTGCAGATGCAGATAAACCTTGTGATATTCAAATGTTAAACGGTGACACTCAAAATGCAAAGTAAGTGAACCTGACTTTTTACATGAACAAAATGATGAATCAGTTTCCATTTTTATTCACTCTTTTTTTTTTTTTTTATTAATAGTATTGTTGCTACTGTCACCAATCCTGCCACACCCATCAAATGTGGTGCTAATCAATTCGAGGTAAAGACTCTGATCACTAAAAAAGGAAAGCATTTACCAAAAATAGGATTCATCTTTTTTTTTTTTTTTAAATAGATTGTTCCTTTGAATGATTTCAAATCAGGAAAATATTGGCTTCGTATAGGTCAAGCTAATACGAATACCTGGTCCTATTCTGGTGCTTTCAATTTTGAAGGGAAAGGCACTGCCACTCCATTGAAATTAGCTGGTAATCACTCAAAAAAAAAAAAAAAACCAAGATACTCATTACCTTTTTTTTTTTTTAAAAAAAAAATCACCATCATCATCCAACAAAGATGGTACAACTCGTTATCCTCCTGCCGAAGCTCCCAAGGATGATGGAAAGAAAAAGGATACGCCCAAGGATATGCCCAAGGATATGCCTAAGGACATGCCTAAGGATGCTCCCAAAAGTGCCAGTCCTTCATCTAGTGCCAATGCTTCACCCAGCAACAATGCTGGTATCTCCTTACCACCTTCTGGACCCAAGCCTACGAATGGTATGCCTGATAAATCTGGCGAGAAAGTCAAGGAAGAAATCCCTGCTGTCAAGAAGGATGCCAAGAAACCATCATCTGATGCCAACTCCTACTTCGTCAGTTACGCTATGGTCATGGGTTTGGCATCTGTCGCTGCTGCTGCTCTTACTATCTAGATCAATCATGCAAAGCTAATTTTATGATTATTTTTTTTTTTAATATTTGTATCTTTTAGTTTAGCTTATTCTTTTTTTTTTTCCACATCTGCTTTGCCTAATATTTTGAAACTTAATAATAATAAAAAAAAACACTCTGGCATTTTCCGTTGGAGTATTTCAACATCGAAAACGTTTAATAATACATCGAAGAATGGATCATAGAAATTATACAGTATTATACCTAATATGAGTTGATTCACCTGTGTTTGATCATCATTTTAAGTATTACTAATTTTGTAAAGACACGATACAAATCAAAAATCAATATTCATCATCCATTTATTAAAAAAAATATATATACAAAATAAAGATCCAAATGAATATCAGATTGGATCAAAAAGGGTGAGGAAATATTTTATTGTGTATATGAACAAAAACGTGATTATAGTACAGAAGAAGAAGAAGAAGAAGAAGAAAGAGATAGATAAAATAAATAGATAACAGATAAATAAAAACAAGAGATAAAAAAAAAAAAAAGAAAAAGAGAGAAGGGGGGATAGCCTAACAAAGTCAGTTCAAAAATAAAGTTTTTCTGGTGAGCCTAATTTTGCGATAGCACCCTTGATACGCCCTTTACTGATTTCATCATCAGTCCATCCTTTTAATCCTTTTGTAAATTGACCGCCACCAATTTCCAAATTTGCCTGTTGACTGTCATCACTGTCGTCATTTTCTTCATCATCGGTATCCAATCCACTGGTGTCACTATCTTTATCATCATCTTCCCCATCTTCAGGTGAGCCATAAGTAGTTGAGTCCGCTTCGCTATAACGTCGTCCTATTCCAGATCGTCGATCCATATCACTAAAAACGCCAAATACTTCATCGTGTCCAGTTTCAGAGGATGAAGATGATATACCTCCAGGGGAATTAGCTGTTCGATGTGATGATGCTGAAGAAGATAACGTAACTGAGCTATGAGATCTAGTGGGTATTGTTGTATCTTTGGGATTGGGGGTACCACTTCTACTATGGTGGATAATTGTAGCTGATGATGTTGATGACGTTGATGTTGATCGTGTCTTGGAGTTGGATTCTACTACTGCGAATGATTTTTGTCGTGGTCGTTTATTCCAATGTAAACAGTTTTGTACAGAACCAAACCAATCTGCTGTTTGATCATCCTTGCAAACCTAATCATCAATCAAAAGTTTAGTTTCTTTCCATATTTTGTATTTATAGAGATAACAACTTACTGTAGGGAAAGGATATTTGGATGCTGTCACCTTGATATGATCTCCCTCTACATGATTAATAACATAGGGGTAAATGACATTAGTTTCCTTTTGAATCCAAATCATTATATTAACTTTTTTTTTTTTTTTTCACTTACGTCTTAGTTCAACACGACCACGGCCATCAAAACCAGCCCAAGCAGTATTTCTTGAATTATATGGGACACAAATACGTAATTCCATAGAATCTGGTACCAGTGTAGATCGGAAAGATAGTGTATGAGGACAAATAGGAGTAATCAGAATTGCATGGATTTCAGGATGCGTCAGAGATCCACCAGCAGATAACTATGATAAAATGCCAAAAAAAAAAAACTGAGTTAGATACAAATAGTCCCTTAGATATCACTTCCCCCCTCTTTTTTTTTTTTTTTTTTTTTTTTTTTTTTTTTTTTGTTTAAACATTTTTACCGAATAAGCTGTACTTCCAGTAGGAGTAGAGATTGCCAAACCATCTGCTTGTACTGTAGTCAAATGTTTGTTATCACCAAATAGTTCCAATAAACTGACATAAGGACTTGGACCACGATCCACCACTAATTCGTTGATGACTTCGTATTGTTCTCTTGGCACAGTGGTAAAGCAAGGTACTTGTCGATGTTCTTCGAAACCATTGTCTTCATCCTTGTTATCATCATCATCATCATCGTCATCATCTTCGAAACCAGACTTATTGCTAAGTGATCCTATATCATCCATACCACCATCGATTTCACCAAATTTATTGAAGTGATTCTTCTTTTTGATATCATGATCATTGTTGCTATTTTTGCACCATCCACCAACCGTAATTTTTCCAGTTTTTGAATTCCGTTTGATATTGCGTAATTTGATAGCCATACAATCAGTACCATTAGCATCGATATCATGAAGAGGGACTCTACGATAAACTGTGCAAGTCAATCGTCCACGAAGATTGATCCTAACACCATTTTCCATTGCTCTTGATAGATACTTGTCATATTTAGTAAAATCAAAAGGAGTCAAAAAACCAAGAGAACCAAGATGAAAAGGTATAACAGGAGGTACATAGGTTTGGAATAACCAAGAAGTGAATAAAACTGTACCATCACCACCAAGCTAATAAAATAAAATAAAATAAAATAAAATAAAAAGATATTAAAACTAATGAATTATTGATTATATATATATATATTTTACCGTGATGATAAAGTCAAATAGTTCAGGTTTGGTTGCACATAATTCAGGATTCCAAAACTTGAGTTTTTCAGCTGCATTAGGATAATACTTGAGCACCTTTTTGTACTTAAAATTGAGCGAATATTGTAATTTTTCATCCACATATCTAAAAAATAGTAATAGGATTATTAATAACCAAAATAAATAAATAATAATATATTCTATTTTTCAACTTACACAGTAATACCACTTGATTGTCCATAACGAGGGGTTTCTATTAACCAAAGAGCCAGTTCTCGAGTCTTAGGAATGAGAGAACTATCCTTGGGTTTTGTAATAATCATAACACTTTTTGGATTATCCCATTTGACCCGCGTTTTCCCTATTAATATAAATGAATTTAAAATTTATTATTATTATTATTATTATTTTCCTTACCAATACGTTTTGCTTCTGCTCGTACTTCTCCAGCTTTATTAGTAAGACAAGAAGCTGAGGACATACCAGTATGAAGAGTTTTCTTTGGTTTAATAGTTGAATCCAAACTAGTAGTTTCTAAAGACTTGTTAATTGCATAAACAAGATCCACTTGAGTTTCGTTCTTATCAACTTCTCCAGATATAGGCATGGAAGTAGAGTAGAAGTTAACAAATGTTATTTTAATAAAAGAAAGAGACTTATCAAGACAAAAAAAAAAAAAGAGTGGGGAGAAAAAAAAATTCATTTGGTATGAACTACGCCGTTTCGGTATATGGATAAATGCGGCGCCGGTCCATCGAATAAAAAAAATAGTTTTAACTGTGACGGTTTTGAAATAGCATTGAATAAGTTGCATTAAAACATTTTTTTTTTTTTTTTAAAAGAAAGAGTAAGAGAAGGGAATATGTATAAAAAAAAAAAAGAGAATATTTTGATTATTCTTTCCCTTTTGAAAGAAATAGACCGATGATTGACCCGATTACGGTAAAAAAAAGAAAAAGAAAGGGAAAACTAGGTCAAAAGATTGAATTCAATCAACGCCACTATTCAAAATAGGAATAAAAGGATATGAATCAATAAAGGAAAGTGAATTCAACTGTTTTTATAGGGAAAGAACCCCTAAGCCACAGTTAAAAAAGAAAGTTTAGTTTTATTATAGTTTCTTTTTTTTTTTTTGAGGCGCTTTCAAAGCAAAAAAAGGGAAATCCAGAATCAAAAAAAAAAAATAGAGTGTAGCTTTTTTTTTCTCTCCCACTAACATGTGGGTATGGAATATTGTAACTCAAATTTCCTTCTCAGCACTATTTCCTTTCTTTCTTTTTTTTTTTTTTTTTTTTTATCTTTATTATTAAATTTATTATTTTCTTTATTATTATTATTATTACATTATTATTTTTATGTACTTTTCATTTCATTTTTACGTTTAGATCCTCTCTTTTCTTTTTTTCTTCTTCTTCATGTCCAATCCATCTCCTCTCCCTCATCCTTCTCATTCTTCTCTTTCTTTATTATTAAATAACTCTGATGACGTTGAACCTACTACTAATCCTTCTCCTGTGAAACGTTCCTGGTCCAGCCTTGAAACAACCGACTCAGCCATATCAAAACTACCACTTTTGTCACCTTCTCCTATTCGCCGTACTACAACTGCTGACTCTTCCAATAACGCCAAGACCGATGTTCAGTCTTCTATGGATAAACAATCTTCTCAACCGTATAGTAGTAGTGGTGGAACTTATACAACTTTCTCTCTGAAACATCCTATTGAACAAGATATTTCTTCTTCAACTTCTGTTACTACCAATGCACCTTCTGTTACTGGTATGATGACTACTTCCTCCACAACTACAACTCCTACTAGTGGCGCCATCGTCAAACCTTATGCTTGTAATGAATGCGAACAAACTTTTAGTCGACCTCATAATCTAAAATCTCATTTGGCAACTCATTCAAGTATACGACCTTATAAAGTAAATAAATATAAAATAAAATAAAAATCTGATCACACTGACGAACAAAATTTTTTTTTTTTTTTTTATATATAGTGTGCAACATGTAATCAAAATTTTCGACGACTTCACGATTTGAAAAGACATGAAAAACTTCATACAGGGGAAAAACCATATGTTTGTAAACATTGTTCAAGATCATTTTCTCGTTTGGATGCTCTTAATCGTCATCAAAGGGCAGAAAGTGCAGCAAGAAGATGGAGTGATAGTGATGTATCACAACAACAACAACAACAACATTCACCTACAAGAAGAACATCAAAAACACCGCCACCAGCCTCATCACCTACAGATAAAGATATACATCCTTCTGATACCAATAACAATACAGACTATTCCGCAGTAAATAAAACTCACAACAATGATACCCCATCCAACACTTTGAACAATGACGGTTATTGCAAACGAAAGAAAAGGAATATCAAATCACCAAACGTTCGAGGTCAACAACATAAATTTCGATCATGTCGACCCATTATTCCACAAATCAATATCCCAGATCCTGCAACACAATGGTCTCTTGCTACATCGACCCCTACAACAACAAATTCAACTGTTCACAATACTACATCCTCCACTGTTACATCTTCTCCATCTGTCACCGTTCCTGTTACAACAACAGCGATGATGATAAAAAAATCATCCTCTACCATTTCTAGGAGTGATTCTTGTCCTTCTCCTTATTGTACATCACCATCTATATCATCCATTATTTGTCATGATACAAGTTTACCTACACCTGATACAGCACATCCACTCTCAGCAGTAACACCAACTCAACAACAACAACAACAACAACAACAACAACAACAACAACAACAACAACAACAACTTTTACCACCTCCACCTCCACCATCATCATCATCATCATCATCACAGCAACAACAACAACAACAACAGCAATCAAGGACAGTATTACCACCTGTGATTCGACAGAAATCATCTCAAGATCATCATTTGATGTCACCTTATTCACCATTTACACCTGTAGCAAGTCCTCTACCTCATCCATCCCATACTGCTTTGATCCAACAATGTCGAGATCTGGAAATGAGATTGGCTACTTTGGAAGAAGAAAACAATACTCAAATAGATACCTTAAATGGTAAAATTCATGACTTGGAAGTAGAAGTAAGTAAACAGATAATAGAATAAGGAGAAAGAGGGGAATCCTTAATCTCTTTTTTTTTTTTTTCGTTACACAGAATCGATTATTACGATCCTTGGTGATGGATTCACAACAAAGATCTAGTTATGATGATGGTAAATCCAACAACAATAACAACAACAACAACAATAAAACGTATGCTACTGAATCTAGTGCAGCTGTATAATGATTGGATGGCCTGAATGGATTTGACTTTTTATGTTTCCCATGAACTTGCGTAGACCAATTCCCCTCATTTTTGTTTTACTCCCTCCTTTATATAATATATCTTTTTTTTTTTGATTTCCTTTTCAACTGTTCCCTTCCCTTTCATTTGACCCTTCACTGTCTTCTTCTTCTTTTTTTATTATTATTATTGATTACTCTTTTTTTTTTTATTATTATTATTATTTGGTTTTTCTGCTGCTATCATTGTCATATAATAAAGGCAAGTCTTCCTTTGTTTTTTTTTTTTTTTATTATTTACTTGATTTTACTCCTAGTCTTAGTGTATAGAAATGTGTTTATATTATATGATTAGAGGATGGATTTACATATTGATTGATAATGATGATGGACATTTTGTCAAAATAATAATAAAAAAAGAAAACAGTTGTGTAATAGCTAGATAGCTGACTACAATGCATGATTTGCCTTCGAACCCATTGTTATACAAATCCACGATGAAATCAAACAGTTTCAGAAAGTGAATATAAATAAGATTTTTTTTTTCTATATTAATCACTTGTAGGTGGCTTCCATTTTTTTTTTTTCTAACAGTCCTTATGATGAGATTGAAAAGTGGCAGAGGAGAAGTGGAAGCTAACTAGTCTAATATCAAACTGTGTATTATACATATGTGGTTGAAAACACTGTATAATTCAGTGATAGACACAATCAGATTAAGAGAATGGATATATAGAGATTTTTTATTGAATGTTTTTGATAAATATATATATATATATATATAAAGAGACAATCACGTGGAGGGTAGAATGGTAGAAACAAAGTCAAAAAGATATCAGACGAAGAGCACAATGGAAGAATGATATGTAAAGAAGAGTAAATAAAAAAAAAAAGAAAAGAAAAGGATAGATAGTAAAACAACAACAAAAATAAAAATAAAAACTAACGCTAAATGTAGAAAGATATAAAGGGTAAGATCAACATTCCTTGATAGTTTCTTCTATAAAGTCAGCCACGCGATCCCGAGCCTTATCATCTAAAGGACCATTTCTTGATATGAGAGACTTGATATCATTGACGTATTCTTCTATATGGGCAAGCATCCTTCCAGGTGGAATATGTCGATCAGATCCTGGTACTTGTATATTGAGTCCTTCAAATACTTCTGCTACATTCCTCTTGAAATCATCAGCTCGCCGTAATTCGTAGTTCATACGTCCGATTTCACGTTCCGCTGTCTGTAATTTGGATTGTAGTTGTTGTACGTTGAAATCAGGGACTGGTATAGGTGGAGGTGGTGGAGCCGTTCTTCCTATAAATATGATTTCGTTTGAAAAAAAAAGAGGAATCAGTAAGGTTTGTAAATCACATAAAACTATTATAAAGAAAGAATAATTTTTTTTCCTGATTTCCTACCTGCCATAGATGTTTCCATTGCTTCAAGTACAGTTGATCTTATCATTGCCAATGTTACCGGATCCAATCTATGTAATTTAATAGAGAAAATTGAAGTGGTTAGATTACTGATTTTATAAAAAAATTTCTTTACTTTTCTTCTGCTCCTTTTTATTTTCTTACCCTGATTGTTGTTGTTGTTGTTGACTGTTTTTCCTATCCATTAATGCATTTCGATGTAATCCATTGTTGTTCCCATTGTTCATATCCATCACACTACTAGAAGTTGATCGACGTTGTGACCTGATATCATTTTGAATCTATAGAATAAATACAGTTAAAATCAAATTGTATAAAATAGATAATTTTCTTCCTTTTCTTTTTTTTTTTCCACTTACTTCATCCAAATCTTTAACTTTGGTGGTATTTGACGATTTATTGATATTGGTGTTACCGGTTAATTTCTTGTTCTGTTGACCGGATGGATTCAGTGATGGTATTGACGATGACGATGATAATGATGATGATGCTGCTGCTGTTGTTGCTGTTGATGATATTGACGATGTTAAGGATAAGGTAGATGCACCGGTTGATGATGAAGTGAGAGATGAATTTCCTGGTCGAAGTAATCCGTTACTGCCATTATTATTGATACCGTTTCCATTGAGACTTGATTTCATTGAAGTTGTAGAAAGATGTGCTTTGTTGGGAAGTTTCTGTTTCACAATGCCATTCACAGGATTTGATGATGGTGTGGACGAAGATGTTGACGATGCCGATGTTACTGGAGAGGAGGATAATATTGGGTTGAATGATGAGGCAGAAGAAGAAGATCCAGTTGATGAAGATGTTGTTGTTGAACTTGCAGCACTAGCAGTCGTAGTAGTCGATACCGTAGTCGGTGAAATGGTGCTACTAGAATTGGAAATTGAAGACAATGGTTTGTTGAGATCCAGAGCAAGAGAGGGAGAAGAACTAGAACTAGTCAAAGGCAAGGCAGATTTGATTGTTGGAGAGACTGGTTTTGAACTTGTGATTTCCATTTTGTTCCTTTTGGCTTTCAATCGTTCGGTCAAAGAAAGAACATTAGAACCACCAGATGAGCTGCTACTTGAAGTTATTGATGTAGTTGGACTTGATTCTTTCTTTTTATCGCCATCAGTTGCTATTGAAGATGATGTAAAAGAATAGGGTGAATCTTGATGAAGACGATTTGTAGTTCCATTAGTGAGTTTGTTTTTGGTATTGCTGGTACTAGTAGTTGTTCCCATATCATCATCAGAAGAATGTTGATCCTCCATAAATAGTTTGATTGGTCCTTTTCGAGTAGTAGTGGCGCGGCGTTTACTGGTCTGATTTTGATTGGACTTTGATTTCATTCGTTTCTTTGGTGTCAGGCCCATATCATCATCAGAATCATCATCCATGTTGTCTTGATCATCATCATCATCATCATCATCATCATCATTTTGATCACTATCCATTTCTTCATCTTCATCCTTGACAGAATTTTCATCATCTTCATCATCTGTGTTGTTGTTTTCGTCATCATCATCATCGTTGTCGTTCTCTGATGTATCTTCCTCGTCGCTTGAAATGTTTGCCTGCCTTCGTCTTCGTCGTTTTGATTCTTTGGAAGAGTTTGCTGTTCTTGAGTTGTTTGTTGATGAATTTCGTCGATTAAGAGGTAGTGGTTGATGATCAGGACAATAATATACATATTTATCAGATACTGAAGAAGCTGGGATAATATAATGAGACTTGATAGCACACGTAACATGATGTTGTCTTTATATACATAAATAAATATAAAACAAGTTAATGATGAGAAGTTTTCTTTTTTTTTTTTTTTTAAAAAAAAAAAAAAAAAAAAAAAAAAAACTTACTTGGAACAGCCAGGACGCTGACATTTGATGCATAATCCTTTTGTTTTATGACATATATCACATTCCTGATATAGAAAGCAAACAAAAAAAAAAAGTGTGTGTGAGAAAAGGAAGAAGTGAATTTTTATAAGACTTACATCTACATCTAATTGTCTCTTATTGACGGCATAAAGTTGACTTGTATGATCGATATTCTTGTTCCACATAGCACAAACCACATGCATGAATCCACCAGGTATGATCGTATATTTGAAAGCGCCGGTCTGCATAGGACAACAAATCACATTCTAAATAATAATAAAAACTAAGTACATTTATATTATATATACCTATAATATCTAAAACTTACTGTTGGTTTCTTCTTCAATTTGCATTCACATCTTTGACAAAACCAATCACCTTTAGGAACAGATCCTACACCATAGCATCCTATAAAATAATAAATAAATAAAAAAAAAAATTCAATTTCTTTTTTTTTGAATTATTATTATCTACTAATGACCTACGTTTATGTACCGGTATGTTGCAATCTACATAATAATAATAATAATAATATTGAATAATCTAGATTTTATTACCATTTGAATATAATTTACCTCTACCATCACAAAAGATAATCGGATTTTTTGGTCCCGGTCGATCCGCATGACAAACAGCACAAGTATCCTAATAATCAGTAAAAAGGTCAATAAGTTAAAATATATCCATTCAATTTGATCTTTTTTTATTATTATTATTATTATTACTTCATCGTTTGCCATCTTGAATATTATTGTTTATATTGAAGCTAATTCATATGTCATCGATTAGTATCCTTAATTTTGTTACCATCCATCATTAGAATCCCCGTTTTTTTTTTCTTGGGTCACACTTACCTTTGTCGCGTAGATAGTAAAAATAGGACGGTTATTGGAGTCGGGAAGTTGTATACACGGTTCCAATAGGTCAAGTGTTGGTACAAAAAAAAACAAAGTGGTTCAGTCAAATATAAATTTTATATTCACAAAAAGAAATGACCGTTATTGTATTATTGGATTTAAATAGATGGAGAGATGGTTTGATACAAAGGGAGCAAGCAAGGAAGTGGAGGGAAATAAAAAAAAAGTAAAGTATAAAAGGGAAAAGGAAGAAAATAAAAACAAAAAAAAAAAAAGAGAGAGGAAGTGAAAGAGAGAGAGAGAGAGAAAAAGAAAGAGAGACAGAAGAGTCTAACTAACTATGAAAAGAGGAAAAGAAAGTTTTGAAGGTAAGACAAAGTAGGATAAAGAAAAAAAAAAGACTTGCTTGTAAAGTACTGAATTCAAAGTCCGAAGACGTACCCACAAAAAGTATAAAACAAAAAAAAAAAATGGATGAAGGGAGGGAAAAAAAAAATGAAGAGAAAGAAAGAGAAAGAAAAATTTGAATCAGGCAAACGCCCCTTGCTCCGGTATTTAAACCACTTGGATATCAGTCACACCGTCTTCGTGACGTTCCATATTCAAAAGGGGAAATCCTTTTTCTTCTTTTTTTTTTTTTCCCTCCCTCTCTTCACTGCTGATGAACCAAAAAAGAACAAAAAAAAAAAAAAAAAAAGATCATATCATGATAACTATTATAATTATAATCATTCATTCTTTTAATTGATTCATATATAAGTTTTGATTATTCATTTTATATTCTTTCAACCATCAATATTTGATCCCATATCGTATCACATAATAACTTTCATGTTGAAACCAAAAAAAAAAAATATAAGTTTATTCAAATACAAAAAGAAAAGAAAACTAAAAGGATTGACCAGTTGTATACAAAAATGTTCTTTTTTTTCGTTTTCGGGTTTTAAATCTCATTCGCAAACTCCCTTCCAACCTTTTCCATCCTTCCCCTCCCCCCCAAAGAAAAAGTAAAAGACAGAGAGAGAGAGAAAGGTATATTGATATCCAAATGTAATGTTGTTGTAATCCATTATTTTTCATCAATTGTATGTTGTATTACTATCATTCATCTTGTTTTCTTCTTTGGTAGTATAAATTCGGTTTTCTAATTGAAGAGCAATAGAATCCAAGGTTGTTGATGATTCGGTGTTCGAGTCGTGATATAAAAATGGCCATGTTCCTAGATCAGAAGCAAACCAATAATCTTCGTTGGTAGCACGAAGGATCCCATGAACACAACGTGTCAGTGACCGATATTTCGCAAAGTTAATGAGTTTTGTACTTGTAAGCAAAGAAGTGGCTGATGATGACGTTGATGTTAATGTTGCTGTTGATGATGATGATGATAATACTGATCCTGATGATGATGATGATGGTATTGATAGGGATGATGATGATGATGATGATGACAGAGAAGATGACGCTAATGAAGATGTTGATACTGTCGTTGAAATGGTTGTAGTTGTTGATGGGGGTGCCATCGCTGCGGAAGTTAGATAAGTAGGATTGCCGTCCATAAAAAAGGTGATGTCTTTGAGTAACAATGGAAAAAAAGGTACAAATGGTGATTTAGCTTTGCTTAATATTTGTCGGTAATATCCCATATTGTTTGTCACATCTAAAAGTTTCACCAGCTGCTGATACATATGATGTTCACGACTGGATAACATGGACCACTCTTTCAATTTTTGAATGCATGGTTGTATAAGACTGGTAGTGATGATCATACTAGTATGAAAATTATTCCATTCTAAGCATAACTAAAGAGGTAAAGTAAAAAAAAAAAGTTAGTCAGTTTCTTAACAAAATACAGGGGGCTGATTTTCTTTTAACTATCTTACGTTGGCAATTTCCAACATTTTCTTCAGCATCATAGAACGGTCCTTGGAAGTTGACTGTCTACAGATTTCATTTCTTGTCCAATAGCTTAACTACAATATATAAGAAATAAAGAGAAATAATCATAATAAAAAAAAACAAAAACATCAGTTGATCATGTCGGCGTTTGGAAAAAAAAGAGTGGAAGAATGTCATATCACTTGCCTTGTTCGACCTTTTCGTCATCATATCAATATAGTCTTGATCTTTGTTGGACCGAGATTCAGATATGTTGTTGTTCTTGTTCCGGTTTCTCCATTTACCGTGAAGATAATCATCAATGGTAATGCATTTCAGTAAATAAAAATCCATCAAGGTCAAATATTGAGATACTTGTTTTGCATCCAGGAACAAAATAAATGATGATGATGATGATGATGATGTTGATGGTGATGATGAACGAGCTGCTGAAATGATTGAGTAGATGAAAGAATGGTGATTCTTGCTATGTTGTATCACCTAAAAATAAAGATAAAGTTTAATTTTTTTTTTGTTTTGTGGGTGCAAATATATATATATATACCTGAGTATGTAACAGTTCCTTGATATTATTTGCTTCCATCATGAAACCACCTCGAGTAATATCTCCATTGATAAATGCTTGTAATCGTGTCAGTAGAATTGGATTGACCTTGAAATCATTGTATTGTAATTTGATCCATCTTGAAATAACATTGAGCACCCTAAAAATCATTAAAAAAAAAAAAACCTTTAGTTATTCATTCACTTATTTTTTTTTTCTCCTTACTTGATTTGAATACACCGTTGCCATTTCCTAAAATATTCTGTTTCCCCTGGTTGAGGTTCAATATGGAATCTTGCCATCAGGTTTTCCAAAAACTCTTCAGAGGTAGTAAAATCAATATGATTCAAGATATAAGCATCTACATAATTAAAGTCTAGAATAATAATAATAATAAAGAAAATATGGTCAGCTGAAAAGAATAGTTGTACTGATATTTTACCTTGAGTAGTTTCATCTGCTAATTTGATAAATAACTTTTCAGCAGTACCAGCTTCTACTTGTAATCTTCCGTTAGTCATTTTCATCACCAAGACATCTTGACCATTTTCAGACAAATGAAGTATACTCCCTTCATTGGATTTGAGTATAGAATTTGTTGCAAATGGACCATATTTTGTATAGTACTATCGTATGTGCAAAAAAGAAAAGATCATTGTACCCTTCACCTATTTTTTTTTTCATGTGTGTATGTTACTTACTTCATTGTCTTGTATGGCTGCTGCTTTTCTTAGAGATATTGTTGATGCGTTTTTCTTGACATGCCGTAATAAATTCCATGAACTAATAATGTATGCATAAACGTATAAATATTTGCAAATCGACCAACTTTATTTGTTTTGTTTTTCTTTTCTTTTCTTTTTTGTTCCTTTCTTTTCCTTTTTTTTTTTCTTTACCTTGAATCTGATTTACTAGGAGTGGTCATGGAAGGTAAATGAATATCGTTTGTTTCCCGTAAATTGATGCAAGACGATTTATGATGAATATCCCGAGGTAAACGTTGAGGAGTGAGAGGTCGTAATAAAGATGACAATGACTGAAGACTGTTACTACTACCACTGTTGCTGAAAGGTGTTTGTAAGGTGGATGTTGATGGTGATGTTTTCATTGGAGTTGTACTAGATTGCGATTTGATGATTGGTGTATCTGGTCTAGTATATTTTCCATTGTTGGTAGTATTAGAGGATGGTGTTGTTGGCATAAAAATAGATTTCAATCGTCCCAAATCACCATCAGATCGATATGATTTCAAGCCTTGTCGATTTTTCACTTTGAGTAATTGTTCGCGAGTAACAGAAGAAGTGGGAGGTTTGGGTGTGAATGCTGCTGAAGTTTTTGTCGGTGTTGACACGGATGGAGGCGTAGCGTGAGGGTACTGTGTACTCTGAGTTGAGCTAGTACGAACAAATGTGGGTTCAGCATGTTCTGTATGGATAGAAACAACAGTCGGTGATACACTTCGTTGATGAGTGAGATGTTGACGACGACGACGAGATGGTTGGCATTGTTGTTGCGTACTATGAGAAGTGATTTTCTCTGTTATTCTACCTGAATGGCATTCTGTTTGCGTTATATGGTCCTTTTCGTTTGTCGTCCAGGAAGGTATTGGTTTGGATGCTGAGAGTGGTGGTGAAGATAACTTGGATGATTGTTGTTCTGCTGGTATCACTGTCAGTGAGAGTAGTCGATCATGAAACATTCTAATATCCGTGTTTTTTGTTGTTGGAGAACTAAACAGTTGTACTGAGGAACGTTTTTGTTCATTATCCTTTGAAATGTCGTTTACTGAATTCCATTGTTGTTGTGAAGTTTCTTTTGATAACGGTAAAGGTTCAAGGAAAAGAGAATCATGACCAGAAGAAGAACGAGAGAATGGTTGATGGGCGGAAGGATTCTATTGCGGAAATAAAAGTTAAAAAGAAAAAGAAAAGGAAAACTCGGTTAGTAGAGTAAATGTGGAGTTTTAAAACAATTGTACCTTCTTTTTTAAGGATGTTACCTCCTGAGGGTCCAAATCGCGCGATGAAGCACTATTCGTTGTATCAACACTGTCCAAACTACTACGCTTGGAAATATATTCTTTTTTGGGCGGTGAAAAATGAAAGAAGTCTTTGATTCCATTTTTACTTTTGGATGAAGAACGTCGTCGACCACTGAAAAACAATTTTATACTTTTAGCGCTTTTGATACTAGGTGTACTACTTTTTGGTGCCGATGAGTGATGATCTTCATTGATATTTGTTGATGATTCATCCATGATTGATTTTAAAAATTTGATGTGGATGATGTCTTTCGAGGATGTCAAAATTCAAAAAAGAAGAAGAAAAAGAATAAGAAGAATCAATTATGTTTAAAATATGAGAAAAAAAAAACATTTCCAGGGGTTGAAATGGAAAAGTGAACAAAATGAAATGGAAACAAAAAAAAAAAAAAAAAAAAAAAAAAGAGGGGAGAATTAACCTACCATTTTCTCTTTTTGATGTTCGGGAAAAAAAAAGGTAATAAATTGAGTAAAACTTGTTCATTTTGAGGGAAAATCAATTGAATTTTATTGTTGTTTACCTGGTCCAAGCATGAAAATTCAATGGAGTTACTAAATAATATCATCTTTTATAGTGAGAATGACTAAATAACTTTTTCATTGTTTCTGTTTACCCCTATGATTGTTTCGAACCATCAATTCAAATAAAGATTGAGACCATTGATTTTGATTGTAAGACGAAAAATATAAAAGTAGAGCATCTAGTAATAGATGTGCATGAAAGATGATTGAAGTGGTTAACTAGCCGGTGAATAAATAATAATAAAAAAAAGGTATTAGTTATTATGCACTGCCTTTTTTTTTTTTTTTTTTTTTTTTGTTCATACCTGATTCTTGATGGTATTTTGAAATGAATAGGTCATAATTCGTCCTTTGATATCACTGATGGATTTTAGAATTGAATTCATATTTGATTCCATCAATTCAGTCAATGACGATAAATCAGTTTCTTTGGTTGTACTCCTGATATTTGGGACAACCAGCCAATGAGGTTGATTCCATGCATCCTTATTCCTTTTGATTTTATTATTGTATTGATCATGATGATTGTTCAATGGGGTGGAAATCATAGTACGTAGGACGGATAGTAATATTGTAGAAGCGCTCATCATTTTGATTGTATTCGACACCATACTATTGGAATGACAATCCTCCAGATTCATCATATCCAACGTTATGGTAAGGATGGTTGTCATAGCAATAGAAAAGGTTTTCCATAGACTTTTTTGTATCTGAACCAAAAAAAAAAAGAGAATGTGTTATTTCAGAGGTGGACTCATCATCAATTGCCTGATCTTTTTTCAATTTCTACTATACCCTATTACTGTCATCCCAATACAAATGAGGATTCAATGACTTCATTTTATTCAAAATAAATTGTATCTCCTTTTTATTATCCATAATAATCATTTAATAAAACTGATAAAACCGATAGAGGAAAAAAAAAAAGGGTAAACTAAAAAAAGAAGAAAGTAAAGAAAGGTGTGAAAAGAAAGAAAAGTCGAAATTAAAAAATATTTCTTTTACCTCGCCACTTGTTGGATGTTTTCTCTTTCTCCCCCTTTTTTTTCTTCCATCTATATCAATATACATATGGTAATCATGATTTCTCGGATGTGTGCTCATATTCATTACTCTCTTTGTTGTCCCCAAATTTAAAATCCTCTATTTAGTAAAGGGGTAAAAAAAAAAAAAAAAAGTGTGTGTACCACCATCAAAAATCAAGGGGGGGATAGTTGTTTACCTTTCTTCCAATTGCATTATCATTGAATGCTTAATTAGGATGTTACCAGATTACTTTTGCACTTTATTATCAAACGTCTTTTTATCATCCTTCTTCATGTTTCAATACGTATCATTCATTCAGAGCATCATCAACATATATGATTCATCAATGATGAACACATCTGTTTTATTTTCATCGATCAATTAGACCAATCACAATAAATACTATACTACGTTAAATAATCCTAAATATCAACATTGTAAATCCGTTGATAATTAACTATCTGTATAACAAATAAAAATAATAACTATCATAATAATAAAAAAGAACAACAACAACAATAATAATAATAATAAAAAGAGAGAGTGGAGACATCATATTGATCAGTAGACATACGGAATAAAAATATATGGCACCCTTTCACAGTAGCGATCCCAGTCCTTGCCATATTTCTTTGCACAACGTTCCATATCACGAGACACCCGATGGGTCAGGACACATAAAAAGAAGCAAAAATAAAAGTAAGGTAAGAAAGAACCAAAACCAGTGATCAAACCCCAAGAGAGTGCCATCAACAAATCCCCTGTGTAATGCGGCTTGCGAGCGATTCCCCACCATCCAGACGTCAGTAATAAGTTGCCATGTTCGGTCGTGATATAAGTTGGATGTTTGAGATGACCCCAGGGTAGTTGTGGAAATCCATTGCGCATCATGAAAGTACCTACTTGCTCCATTCGAAACCGATTCTTTTGTGAATTGCCAGTATCAAACACATAATAACCAAGGAGTAGACATACAAAGAGGAAGATTGTATAAGGAGTAGAGTGTGTGATGGGTGTACCAGTGGCCAGTTCCGTTTTCAAGAGATAGATAGATGAATAACAATAAGTGAAAGGCACTCCAGCCATATTCCAAAAGATCAACATAAAACCTAAAAAAAAAAAAAAAAAAAAAAAAAAAAAAAAAAAAAGATGATTAAAATTATCACCCATTCATTTTTATTTTGATTTTCTTACCATCCTTTTCATAAAAGATATCCCATGATGGAGGAATACATTCTTCACCTTTTTGACATGCATTGGAGTAAAGGAAATGGGCAAGTAACATAAAACAAATAGGAGCAGTCACCGTACCACTGTTTTCGTATTGCTTGATCATACATGATAATGTAATATAAAAGAGAACAGGCCATGGTACTCTGATTTCTGCCCACCTAAGTAAAAAAAAAAAAAAAAAGAAATAAAATAAAATAATAATAATCAGACAAAAAAAATCGACTAATATACAAACTTGTTACATTTTAAGATCAACAGGACCAATACGAGGATTGAGACAAGCGCCCATAAAATAATCATAAAAGAAATTGCCTGACATTCTATGATTTGTTCCTTTTGCAGTGCTAATGACATATACCAATGTAGACATGATGAATCCCCAAAGAATAGCCACTGTCATAATCCCCCCAAAGTTATCCACAATGAGTGCCAAATCAAACCATTTTGTGTACTGTAACACCCCTGATAATGCAAGTGTTACATACCAGGAAGACAGCCCATTGCATATGTACTTTAACTAAAAAAAAAAAAAAATAAAAAAAAATAAAATAAAAAAGTATGGGTAATTAGTTTTCAAAGCGAAATAATAATCTATCCAACTACCTTTTTTTTTTTTCCTTACCTTTTCACCTTTCAAAGAAGGTACTGGTAAACCTTCCACCACAGGTCCAGGCATCACAGCAGCAAGAATAAATGAAAACAAGACATAACCACCATAGATAAAGAAAGCTGTCCACGTGGGAGCTGCACCCAATTTAATATGGTCCCAAATATCATGAACCAAAAAGTCTTGCCAAGAAGCCATAGAAAACAGATGTTCAGGAGAGATTAGTTTACCTTGATAGTATTCCAGACATACCCAAAAATAATACATCAATAAAGGAAATCCAATCATCATTGCACATACACCAATAGGACCACCAAATTCAAATACTACTTCTTTATCAATTTTCCCTTCCAGTGAAGTCACTTTGGATCGTGAAGTTGCGTTGCCTGATACTGTAATAGACGCATATTTTGTTCCGGTTGTTGCAATTGCTGTAGTACTTGACGAAGATGTATTAGTCTTATCATTCTTGTCCATGGTCTTGTTAGATATGTGTCAGAATAGTCAAGACTAAACAGTGGATAAAAAAAAAGTAAGAAGAAAAAAAAGAAAAAAGAAAAAAAAAGAAAAAAGAAAAAAAAAAGGAAAGAATGTCGGATCAAGATAAATAAATATGTCAGGAAGATGGATATGTAATGAGGCGTATCTATTTATTCTTTATATAGTCAAAAAATGAGATGGAAGGCGTGTGTAACTGATCTATATCTAAACATTCTACAAATGTGATTTTTCGTCCATCTAAAGTTGTTTCAGCTATATTGATGAAGAATCAAAAGCAGAGTTATTAGCAAGAATAAAAATAAAAATAATAAAAAAAAAAGACTTACTGTATGAATTCACATTGTAATAACGGCAAATGGCGTGTCCAATAAACCCTATAGTGTAACAAACATTAACACATGTATAAATAATAATCTCGCATGATCCATTCTTTTTCTCTTCCACTATTGTTCATTACTTACGTAAATAACTGTCATCTATTTCCCAAATTAAAGTATTATTGTTGTTGTTTTTTAATAATGTGACATCTTGTTCTTGATGATATTGTCGTTGTTGTGATAAGAATTGTAAAAGTTGTTGTTCGTAAAAAGTAATCCAACCTTCTGGTATATGATGCTTTTTCAAGCCAATTCGCATTTGACGAGTCAAAGAAGGTAGTGTTGTCTTGTTGTCATCTTTAGTATTATCTTGATATTTTATCATTTCCATATCTTCTTTCATATTTTCTGGTAAAGATTGCCATTCAAGGTACTTGGTGTTTGGTGATGAGTTTTGTTGGTGTCCAGGAGGTTTGAGATCTTCTGTGTAGAGTACAGCTAATGGATTATCCTTCAAATTATCTAAAACCAATAAATATATCAATATGATTCTAAAAAAAAAATTATTAATATAAATTCTTACTTACTGTTTTCCCAACGTTTCCTACGGCGACTACCTTCTTTCCCAAGAAGAATAGGACGATTAGTTTGAGATGGTGATTGTCTTGATGATGTATGTTTTGTTTTTTTATATTGCTGAATAGGTTCTGGTGATATTGTTGTAGTATGAAACTGAGCCCTTTCACGTTGAAGAGCTTCCCAATGAGCAGTAGACTCTACAAAGAAGACTCTAGTTCCAGTTGCAGTTGTCATAAAATAAAATAAACTAATAAAGTTAAGAAGAAAAAGAAAATATTTTAATAAAAGAAAAGCTAACAATAATCGAATAGGAAAAACCATTTCACCTACCGCCTTTTTGATTTCCTTGTCCGCCTTGCTTTTCCTTTTCCCCATCAGTCATTTTTCTTTTTTTTTTTTCCTTCCCTTCTCTTCTAATAATCCTATCTTTTTTTCTTTCTTCTTTTTCTTTCTTTCTTTCTTTTTTTCTTTTTCGTTGTCATTTTATATACTTGTTATTATTATTATTATGGGTCAAACAAAAAGCAAAGAAAATCGTTTATTATCACAAAAGACTCATTGTAAGATAAGTCTATGATTGTTATTCAATAACTAAACTTTTTTTATTTTATTTTATGCTGAAATAGTTTCTAAGAAGGAAATCAATCATCTTCGACATAATGTACAATCTTCTTCTACAAACCTTACAAATTCAAATGGTATTACTGAAGATGTATTCAAAGAGGTAAATAAAAATAAAAATTATATATAATAGGAGGAAGACAGGAGTGGACAAGGGGAAAAATACTTTTTGAAATATTCAATTTTTTATATATATATATAGACAGTAAAGAAATATGTGCCTAGTGTATCTTCTCACGACGATGTTTTTTTGAAACGACTTTATGCTGCTTTCGATGTGGAGAATAATAAAAGTATTGATTTTGAGTAAGTATATATATATATATATATATTTTTTAAAAAAAAGGTCATGTGTTCTTTGATGATAGAAATTAATACTCATCTTTTTTTTTCATTATATTCTTTTATAGAAAATTCGTAGATGGACTTAGTGTGTTTATGAAAGGAACACCTGAAGAGAAATTGGAATGTAAGTAGGGATTATATATATATAATGAAAGAGAGAGAGAGAGAGAAGGGGGAATACTGACAAGGGTTATACTAAAGGAGGATCTATAAAGGGATATGATTGAATACTAAAATGTATCTTTTCTTTTTTAGTATCCTTCAAACTCTATGATGTGAAGCATGCTGGCTATCTCACGAGACCTGATCTGGAACGCGTCATGATACAATTGGTAAGAAGCAATGCAGATTTTTACTGTCTAGTGAATGATAGGTCACTCAAAAGTTTATTATTATTCGCATATCTCCTTTTTTAATACATTTTTTTTTTTTTTGTTATCTCTCTTTGTTTTTAGTCACAGGCTGCTTCTGATGATGATCAAACAGCTGAAATCAAGTCCATGGTTGGTCGAATGTTTGATGATTTGGATGTAGATGATGATGGTCGATTGGTAAGGAAATCTTCCTCTTTGTTTTCTGATTGATTGATTGATTTTTTTATTTAGACTTTTGAAGAATATAAATTATCAGTGATGAAAGAACCACTAGTAGTTGATTTTTTGGAACAGTTCCTTGCTGAGCACCATCTTTCTCAACATCCTCGTATACCATCTCGACCATCATCTGTTAGTTCTTATCGTTCAGGTCGATCATTAACACATCCTCACAACAAATTATCACTGGCAGGGTTTCCATCAAGCTCTTCACCTATTCATTCATCCTCACGTTTATCAGTAAGGGTTTCTCAAGCTGAATTATTGGAATATGGACATCACAGTATCAATAGTCTCTCCTCTGGTCATAGTCCTACTTCTCTTTCTACTCCAGGTTCTCCCAATAGTATTAGTCCAAGGAATAATCACAACAATAACAATAATGGCAGCCCATCCATTACACCACGTTCACCACATCATCTTAGTCGTCCTACAAGTATGACAAGTTTGGATGCCGCGTTATCAAGTATGGAATTAAGTCATGCAGATGAATCAAACAAGGCAGCCACTATCAATACCAACAACAATCACCATAACAACAATAGACCACCAGTCGTATCATCCACAACATCAAAAACAAAATCCAATGAATTAAATTCACCTACTGGCAAAGTTCTCACTAATGGTACACAGTGATCTTTTTTTTTTTTTATTCTTTTATCTTTATTCCTCTTCATTCTGATGCTTTGGAAATGATCCTCTTTTTTTTTTTTTATTTACTCTTTATTATTATTATTATTATTATTATTATCATTATTACTACTATTATTATTCACAATCTCTCCTCTTCCTATTTGACACACTTAGTTGATCCTGTATAGTGTGATCTTTCTTTGTTGTACTTTTTTTTTTCATCTTTTATTACTCCAATGATTCTTACTTGTTGACCAAATCAATCAATCAATCAATCAATCAATCGATTCACCAATAAAAAAAAAAAACAATATCAATCAAATCATACAAATATGTATTTTTTTTATGAATGGATATGACAAATGAAGTGAATTTCTTTTTTTTTTTTATTAAAGGAATAGGTAATAATGAAGATGAGTATGCTAATGTAAAGAGTATGTGCTACGTGTAGTGAGTGGTGGTATCCAAAAAAGGAAACGTCCAGATCAACTAAAACAAAAAAAAAAAAAAGTAACTATGTATAACAAGAAAAAACGACTAACTAAAAAAAAAAAAAAAAAAAAGAAATCTATTCTATGGATCCAAAAAAAGTAAAATATCATGATCGTAAATCAATACCTTCATCATCAGCATTACGAGCCACACATTCAATTTGTTCTAATATTCGTTTTCTCCAAGTCCAATTGAATAAAAAGCCTGCATGTTCCAGTTTAGGCATCAGGTGACAATCCACACCACATCGAGTCAAATACTTGTATACCATCGGACTTCCTACAATTCCATCTGCCTCTGAGAGAAATACCGTCGCATTATTCAATGGATTTGTTTGTTGTCGAGGGTTAGACATAAGGTCGGCAAAATAGATACATTGAAACCATTGAAAATGTCGTGAGATGTAATGACTGATATATAATTCTCTTGATGCACCATAAAATGTCACATACTGATCCAAAAAAAAAAAAAATAAAAAAATAAAAAAAAAAATAAATCATGTGAGTGATCTTGATAGATGTTTTTTTTTTTTTTTTTTTTTTTTTTTTTTTTTTTTACCTCAAATATGCGCTTGGGCATTCGATGAATAAAGTTGAAACAAACTTGAGGATAATGTAGAAGGAAACAGATAGGATCAATCAATACCGTACCAGCAACAAAGGTAGGAGCATAGGTCATCATCCAGCTTGTAACGGCAGTTCCTAAGGAATGAGACACAAATACAGCATGTTCATAACCATGGTCTTGTAACATATGCTTGATATCCTTGACCATATCTTGAGCTTCAGGTACGTTATCCACCATATGCATCGAAACATGCGGTAATTCCACAAAAAAGATCGGTCGATCTTGGCCGACCAAGTGATACAGAAATTCAGCATAACCCATCAATCCAGCTCCAATGCCATGAATAAACACCAGTGGAGTCCTTGAATTATCTTGACTATTATGGTAATTATCATGTCGTACTGGTGATGCACGGTACCAATAAGCTATATGTTGATCTTTTGGTGGTGTTGAAATAGAAGACGAAGTAAGTTGTTGTTGACATGTCACAAGAGAGATTAAACATTGATGTAGATTGTGTAAAATACCACCCCAAACAATATGATGATTACCATAGACTTGAAATTGCCACCACCATTGTAAGAAGATGTTGTTGAATATGATTGTCCCAAGATAGATACCAATGTAAAGTAAAAGTGGTCGGTGAACCGCCTGGACAGGATCAAGATTCAAACGAATACATTGGAGAGAAGGATTGTAACCAGGAGCGAAGGCGATATTGAGATGTTTTTCTGCAGTGAATACCATCCATTCCAATTCCTCTGCCCATTCTGAATTACTTTTAACATGATCTACATGATCTTGCCAAAAAGCCCAAGAAAACCTATTATCAAAAAAAAAAAAAAAAGAATGAATATATATAAAAAAAAAAAGTAAAAAAAAAAAAAAAATTACCAAGCAGTGACATTTTCACGTTGTATTTGATCAAAAGTAGGATGAGATATATCATGAGAGTAATAAAACCAACCCACACACCAGGATTCACCATCGTCAATAGCACGTAAGCATTGCCAATAAAGTTGAGTCCGCTGATCACGAGTCATAGGATGATTTGGTTTCTTCATTGCTTGAAGTCTTTGTTTTGTAGCCAAAAAGTAAAGATAAAAGAGAGCTTCCACCATGAGCCATATATTTATTACAAGTTTTATTGATGACCATATCCATATATTTTTTTGTTGTTGTTGCTGAAATATATTCAAAAGATTGATACTTGTGTTTTCTGTCAAATCATCAGTGGATAGAGTTGCATCTGCCTGATGTGTCAAAAATACTATTAGTAACAAGAAGCATGGTAGGACAATGGCCAAATATAGGAATGATGGTTGAATCATGATCAAATAATAAGTAAGAGGATATATATTAAGATAAAATAAGAAGAAGAAGAAGAAGAAGAAGAAGAAAAGGAGAGGAGTGGGTGGATGAAGAAAAAAAAAAAAGAAAAATCACTATCTAATCACAACTGTATAACGATTGTTTGATAAAGGGGTCATCAAAAAAAAAAAAAAAAAAAAAAACAAAAGGAAGAAGAAAAAAAAAAAGAAAAAGAAATAGTTTATAGATAAAAGGGGAATGGGAATAAAGGAGTTTTCTTTCTTTTTTTTTTTTGTCTAAAAAACTAAAAAAAAAAAAAAAAAAAAAAGACGAGTAAAATAGAAAAGAAAGAAAAAAGATGTCAAAAAAAAAGTTTTCACATGTGGACAAGGGATTTCATTTGACAAACTTGGAGAGAAAGTGGCAAGTCGGACATTCTATTTTCGATAAGTCAGTTCTATTACAAATATATATATATATAAAACTAAGTTACAATGTCACATTCCTGGATTTTTTTTTTTTTTTTACCACGTAACCTTGCTCTTAGAGAATCCAATTCAGGTATAGGTCGATCAAATTGATACTACAATCAAAAATCATTTTGAATTATATTTCTTTATTTTCTTTTCTTTTAACTTACATTGAATTGAGATGAAACCCTTGGTATAACATTATCCAAAACAAAGGATACATTCATCAGTGCAGCAGATCTCTATAAAAATAATCAAAATGAATATTTTACTATATTGATAGAAACATGCCTCAAAAAAAAAAAGGAGAATTACCTGATCCTTACTAAGATCCCTTTTCTGACTTTCATTCAACATGGATCGTAGATAATGTTCCGTCAATCGAGATACACAATCGATCACTGTTGTATATAACTAATAATAATAACAATAATAATAAAAAGACAATCAATACTTTCTTTTTCTTTCTATTATTCTATCTTTTTTTTTTAATACCTGAAGTTTAGCTATCAAACAAATGTCATGAACAAATTTCACCAAAATGTTATAAAAACCGACTACACTAGAAGTCACCTTGACATCTGGACCCAAATTCTGACTGGATACTGTAGTATAATTATCATTTTGAACAAATTTGTCAATCTTGCTACCGACCTTCTTTTCATATGCAAACACTGTTTCTTTGATATTATCCAAAAACAAATCTTCCAATAAAAATTTGAGATCAAGACCAACCTTACGAAGCTAATCATAGTAAAAAAAAAAAAAAAATAATAATCAAATCAAAAATATTCAGGAGACAAACTCCTTGATTTTCATTTTCATTCTTACCATAGAGCATTGATCAAGAGTAGATTTGAAACAATCAGCAATCACTTGGCATCCGAGTTGATTTTGATAAAATACTTGTCGTTTATAGATTTCTGCATAGATTTCCGTTTGTTCTCTTACCCATGTCACAAATCCTAATAATAATAATAATATAAATAATCCTGATATATATATATCATCTTGATTTTTACTTTACCTGAGGACATTGCATTCAACTTGAAAGAATCTCGATACCATTCACATGTATTTCGTATCAAAGTAAATACTACCAAAGCCAGTTCGTTGATATAAGTTGTAGTATCTCCTTCGAATGTCAATTGTCTATAAAATAAAAAAATGTTCATTATCAAAAATACATATTTATTTTTATGTGGTTTTACCTGATTCTTTTTTTGATAATAAGTGAACGTGTTGATAAAAATACCTCCCGAGCCTATTTAAATGGATATATATCAGTTGTCCGAAATATTATTCAATATCCTTTATATACCTTTTCCCCTTTGTCAAGTCGTAATAACCAATCCACATATCGTTGAAATTGTAACTTTGTCAACAAAGGGTTTCCAAGATCATTACAAATAGTTGCACCAAGAGAATCTGTATATTTCGCCACTTTATCTAATGAGTCCCTGATTAATGGAGGAGGATTGTTGGAATAAATCGATAATATTCCACGTGCTATTGAATGTAAAATAAAATAAATGATGAAATCCTAACTAGTTATCCTTTTGCTTATCTTTACCTTTTGTAATACATGTTACTGCTTCTTCAAATCGACGCAAGGCAATCATTACTTCGAGTTCATCAGGGAGTATTTCCAACCATTGCTGATCTTCGTCATCCAATTTGATGTCTTTGCTTTGACCAGGTTTGACTTCACTAGGAGGCTTCACAACATCCTATAAAAGAAAATTAAGTTTTTTTTTCTTGTTCATTTCCACCCATCCTATACATATGAATATCTTACCCTGAAATTTGATTCACCATTTGTTTGTCCCAAGATATTCAATTCATTATCATCCAAGAGCCGAGTAAAAGAATGAAATAAAGAAGATCCTTCTTCTGGTCGATCAGATCGATACGCGAATATTCGGTTACCCACATATACATCAACTCCCGCTACGATGCCTATAAGTAAGAAAGATAAATTCAGTAACCCCTTACAATCAGTCTTTTTTTCTTTTCTTTTACCATTTGAATTTGTTCTTTCGATCATCCGTATATCAAGAATGTTCCAACAATACATGGCGACAAGTTTGTTTTTGGTGGACATGGATCGATTCTTTCTTGCTGCTACCAAGAGACAATCGTTCAATAAGAAGAGATGTACATGTCGTCGAGCTTGTTCTGTTCTTGGATCCAATTCAATAAAATGAGCAAATTCACGAATAATATGACGACTAGGAGCGTATTTCACAAATTTCTATCATCATCCAACCAACAAAAAAAAAAAAAAAAAGAAAACCCACATCATCAGCATTTAATCATCCATTTCATTCCTCTTATAAAATGACATCTATTCCTTTTTTTTTTTTTTTTTTTTTTTTTTTTTTTTTTTTTTTACCTGAGATTCTTCTACATTTTCCCATAAAGCCGTTAGTTGTGCCTTGTAAACACTTTGGGTATCTGCTGTCTTCAAATCACTAGGTTTTCTTGTTGAAAGAATGATTTCATCATCCTCTGATAATAATAAATAATGAGTCAATGATGATTCGATTTCAAATTATACCTGACTTACTAATCGCGTCACCTTGATCCAATTGATCAGACATAGTCAAAAAACTTTGCCAAATCCCACGTACTTCATTCAAATACATTTTCAAATGCATAACATCACCGTCCAAATTGGCAATTTCTTTGGAAATCGAGACGAATTCAGTATAATTGCGATACACATTACGTTGCAAGTCGCCACCTACAGTTTGCTTGGCTTCCACTAGAGCTTTGTGAAACCCTCGAACATCTTCTTCACTAGCATTACCAAGGAGCTGTTTGACAACTTGAAAAATATATATATATATATATATAAATGAGTCACCTTTTATTTGTTTGTATTCTTTACTTACTTTCTTGAGGTTGTAAATGTTCGTCAGCAAACCGATGTAAATCTATTGTAATAGGACCTGAAGCCATGGGCATATTGGTAGATGGACGTGTTACTTTGGGAGTTCGACTTGAAGCAGATGAATGAAAAGGTTGGGAATACACAGATGTTGTTGTGGGTGAAGGTGATGAGATGACGGTGTGAATACTATTATTGCTACTACTACTGCTGGTACCTCTTGTTGTATTGCCTTGACGATCTCTGTCTCTCCGTCGTAAAGCATCCATACCTACTGTTTTCTTGCGTAATACATTGGCCATGTTTGAATATGTAATCAAAAAAAAAAGAAAAAATTAACACAAAATTAAGTATAAAGATGAAAGGAAAAGGTCAAAAAAAAAAAAAAAAAAAAAGGAAATCTTTATTGATGCCACGTCTGGCTTTAAAAATAAAAACGAAAATCAAAAAGAAAAAACTAAACATAAAATCCAATAAATAAAATACATACTATTACTGTGATTTCAACCAACGTTTCAAATTGGCTAATGTGGAATTCTTGATAAAATGAGACAAGGTCTTGTTATTTCTTTTGGAAGCATATAGTCGGAGATAAGGTTGCATATTGATCTTAACATTGTTCTCCAAAATACCTTGAGACCGATGATTATCTTGTTTATGTTCATTTCTTTCCAAACTTGTTGTTCCATGTTGATATTGTTGTCGATAATGTTGTTGTACAGATGAATAGGATTGTACACGCCTGATCGATTTTTTATCGTTCTGATCATCAGCATTGATTCCTATCTGGGCGTCATCGCGTAGAGTATCAGAGCTCATCACCATTTTGATCACCCTAGGTTTTGTTGTTAAAAGTTCGTTCTCATCATTTTTGTTACTGAAGGTCGGCCTAGCAGTGGAATTGGTAGTGATAGTATTGATTTGTCTTCCAAGATCCTTGTTTTTGCCTTTATTCCGTTGATGATGACCTTGGGATGGAGATGTATTCAATCTAGTTTTCTGTCGTGATTTTTGATCGTTGTTGTTACCCATGTTTTTTGGTAAAAGTTCAATCACCCAATAAGATTCTTCAAGACCGTTTATCAATGAATGTTCCTTGGCCACAACTGGATGGAGATGTTGTTGGTATGGAGACGACGCCAAAGAAGAAGAATTAGTTGGTGAAAAGGATGTGGAGATATTGGACGTTACTGTTTGTGGCAAGACGGTATAGGAATACAAGTTGTAATAAGGCAGTGTTGTCTGGCTTGTGTTTGTAGTTGTAGAACCAAGGGGTAATGTTGATGAGGACGATGATGGTACAATGTTGTTAGCTGTCATAGTATGCTTTCCATTCCCCGTTTTGTGAATAGCAGAAGAAGTAGAAGGAAGGCTATCGTGTCCCCTAGCAACATCGGTATCAGTAGTGTTAGGAAGTGCTCTTTCATCGTCTTCATCACCGGAGGAAATACTCTGTACCATGGCCATAACACCTGCAGCGGCTGGAGGGACGGGTGAAGGAATAACAATTGGTGGTGAATGTGATGCATCATGAGCAGATCGACGTTTGGAAGGATGAATGGATGTTGCTTGCGGTAGTTGATTTTGTACTGAACATAGATAAAGAACTTGTCGAAGTGAGATGATTTCTCGATCCAAAATTGGTTTTTGTCTTCCTATCGCAATATCTACGTTGAGATGACCATCTGTTGAAATATCATCATCCAAATCAAGTCCAAGATCAGGTGTTTCCAAAGTCCAATAGTGTTGTGAAGGTTGTTGAGTTGATGATGTCATGTCCAATAATTCTAGAGATCGTACACGAGATGCCTTTTCAGTATAAGGATCCCAACCACGAGATGGAGAACTGTTGCTGTTGTTGTCGGATAGAGATGAAGATACCATATAGGGCGAGCGAGTCAAGACCATGTTTTTATTGAGAACGGGCACATGGATATTGGGCGTTAAATAAGGTAACAAGTAGAGTTGATTTCCACATCGAACGTATTTGGTGGTTGGCATTGTTGCTGTTGCTATTGCTGTTGTTGCTGAGGAGTGATTATCCGCTGAGGGAGATGGAGGTGATTTATCGTTGAATTGCCAAATACAAGAGCTATTGGCAGTATCCATCAAATCCATAGAAAGAGTTGAGAAAAGAACAGGTGCTGTTTGTCGATGAGATTCATTGTTGATTTTTGTTGCCACTGCTGTTGTTGGTGTTGGTAAAATGGGAATAGTAGAAGAAGAAGATGGGGAATCATTGGTGTACTGAGATGAGGAGTTGACATTATTATTATTGTTGTTGTTGATGAGTTGTTTTCGATTCAATCGCCAACAAAGATATCCATTTGTACTCACACTCCGGAGCAAGAAAGGGTGATTGATTGGTATTCGATGGACAAAAATCTTGATCAATTGATGAATGGAATCACGCATAGGTGAAGGTAGGAATTCGTAGATTGGTCGAATATCGTCCCTCTTGATGACTTTCCATGAACTAACTAATCGTCGTAATCTTTTCTTGTTTGAGTCCAAATGATCCATAGTCAGATGTGAATGATGAGAATCTATTTGAGGCAATACTATACTAGAAAAAACAAAAATAATGTCAGCGTTGAATATATATATATATATATATAGCATAGAGAATATCATTTCGTTTTACCTTGGTTATTTCGTAATTTCATATCAAGTAATGCAGTGGTATGATCTTTGGCAACATGTAATTGATAAACGCGTTCTGCATCATTGTTGACTTGATAACTATGTTTCACATGATATCGTTGACCTTAAGAAAAACAATAAAAGAAAAAAAAAAGATGATGAAGATTTAGTAAAACTAAATAGATTCCTTTTTATTTTTATATTACCTAGGATTAACTTTTGAGGCCAGAGGAATCCAAAATCATGCCATACTTTACAGAGTTCTTGCCATGCCCGATCTTGATCATGAGGGAGGTGAGCAATAGCGGAGTCAAGGGCCTTTTGAAACTTGATGGTAGGACGTAGAATATGATTGACAGAGAAATAGGCTTGAGAGTCCAAATGCAAATGATGCAACGTACGGTGACCAGGTTGTTGTTGACGAGTATGAAAGAGTAAATGAAGTTCAGATAAAGCATGCATTGTTGTATCGTCATTGAGATTAGAAAGAACACCATTATGTACTAGATTATTTGTCCAAGAACTTTGAGTCACTAATATCGAAATTGAAGGTGTTCCTATGAGTCGTTTGATAACAGGCATTTCTTTTTGTACAAAACAGGCTTCAGTCGCAAGATCACCAAGAGGTCGAATTCCATTTTTCCAGTCTACGCGTGCTAGAATATCTTCCATAAGATCAATATCAAGTTCCATCATGAGTTTCGTTTACTCTTTGACTACAAAAGTGAGTCAGAAAGAGAAAAAAAAAAAAAAAAAAAAAGAAAAAAAAAGGGAGGAAAGGGGGATGATTTTTATTTTTATTTTTTTTTTATTTTTTGAAAAAAAGGATCATGTGAGTATACAATGGGTAAGAAAATGAAAATCAAAGAAAAGCCAAAGCGGATATTGAATAAAATGTAGAGGTCAAATCGAAAAACACTTGAAAAAAAAAAGTTCAGCATTTTTTTTTCTCTCTCTCTCTTTTTTTTTTTTTCTGTATGACTTTCTTTGAACCATATGGCAACATCTATTACTTCATTGAAAAAGTTTGAACATCAAGTCGCTGGACATGACAATCTTCTTCAACTACCAACTGACGACCTTATTGTGATCAAACCTGCCAGTCAACAAGAACGCGAATTTTATGAACATAGTCAACAATATGATGAATTTATGGCATGGATTCCTGAATGTTATGGAAGTCTTCATGCCTCCACTGACACTGAAATACAACTTTTGGACAAGAAACTGGATGCTGTCACTTTACAATCAAATACAACTATTAATACTTCTTCCAATGAGAATCATCTTGATGATATCCTTTTTTTTTTCTTATTGATTTGTTATGATTTGATCAATATGTTATCTTTAACCATTCTTTTTTTACTTTTTGCTTTTTATGTCAACACAACACTTATGTTTAGAAAATATATTGAATGGATTTACTAGACCTTGTATAGTGGATATCAAACTGGGTTACAAGATATATGAAGATTCAGCAGACGAAGTGAAACGAAACAAGATGATCAAGAATGCAAAAGGAACCACTATTGAATCATTAGGATTAAGGATTTCTGGTATGAAGGTAAATAAATGATCATTTGGAATTGTATCTATCAATTGAAAACTGAGTTGAATTTATTTGAATTTAGACGTTTGATTCAATAGAACGAGTTTATACAACTTATCCCAAACAATATGGACGAGAACGAACTAAGGATAACTTTTTAAATGCATTACTGACTTATTTTTACCCTACACATCGATTGGATGACGATATGGAAGACGGTATACCACGACATTGTACAAGAACAAAGGATACAACATTAGAAGGAACAATTACGAGAAAATCACTGACGAAAAAGAAGATTGAATGGATTGTGGAACATTTTATAGATACGGTGATGGAAATACAGGAATTCATTGAAGAACATGCAGAACTACAATTGATTGGATGTTCCTTGTTATTAGTGTATGAAGGCGATGCCGCGGCAGCTCATCGAGTATGGAAACGGATGTTAGAGGAAGATCGGCGAGAGCAATCTACAATCAACGATATTAACGATGATGAAGATAATGTGGAACCGAAATTATGTGATATCCGACTGATCGATTTTCATCGTTCAAGCTGGCGACCTGAACGAACGGAACAAGATCCGACTTTTGTCAAGGCATTATCCAATTTGGTCACTTTATTGCATCAAGTCATTGAACAATCCCCTCTAGTTTAGCTGATGATCACCCCTTTATAATCTTGTAGTTTGATTCCATATTTTGACAATAGACTTGAATCATTTAATAAAAAAAAGTTTTGATTCCCTCCTTTTTTTTTTTTTTTTTGTATCATTAAATGATTTGATTTTGTATATATAAGGTAGACAGGAAAGTTGATAAAAAAAAAAAACGCTTTATTAAAAAAAAGAGGATGAAAGGATATGATAATATTACATATAATAAAAGATATAAAGAATGGATAAAGGAAAAGAAAATATATTAATACACTAAAATGTATATAGATTTGATATATAGAAGATATAAATGTAAAAAAAAAAAAAAAAAAAAAAAAGATAAAGATGGAGACTAACTAAGCCCGAACTTCTTCGACCAAGATCTTTTCAACAGAGGATGATTCCAATTGTAATTTGTTTCCGATATTATCTTTGTTCACTTTTGCCAATTCTTGTTCTTCTACTTCCTTATAATATTGTTCAATTTCTAATTTCGCTTTCTTGACGTCGACAAAGAAAAGAATGGCAAGGCCCACTACAAAGAATGTTAACACCACAGCCCATCCAGTATAAATATTAGAAGTCTTTTGAGTCAGAGCACCAATGATCACAGGTCCCACCCAAGCCGAACCTTTATTGACAACACCGAATAATCCGAAAAATAGATTTTCCTTGCCTTTAGGAGTCAATTCTGCCAACATGGTTTGTTGCCATGCCCAAATAGGAGCAGTAAAAAGACCTATTTAAAAAAAAAATAAAAATAATAAGAAATATGAATTAGTTTGATTTATTCATGATATATATATATATATATTTACCAGACCACACATAGAAGAACCATAATTCCCAAGTATTTTTGAATCCAAAATTATCCAAACCAATACCAAAGCAACCCCAAACAGCAATAACCCCTGAAAGAACAATGATGATGATAAGATTAAGTTTGGTACGTACACCGAATTGTTTGGAAATATATAAGAAGAAGAGACAACCGATGATAGAAGTAACGGCAGAGGCCAAATTCAAAATGGTAGTTTGGAGAGCACTAAAATTAGTGATATTGCCTTGAATAATACCGATCATTTGATTTGTTGTGGATACAGCATCTGAGAACAAAAAGTAAGCAAAGATATAGATAAACAGATATCTGAAACGACGTGCTTCTCTATATATATGTATATATAAAATGAGAATCGAAATCCATTATAGTCATTTTATATCATATTTTAACTCTTTTAACTTACAAAACAGCCTGAATCACGGATTTCCAACCAATAGTTAAATGATTTTCACCAGGAGGAAGATCAGGACCACGACGACCACGAGGTTGGGCAATAAAGTAAGGTAACATGAAGATAACAAAGTATCCACCACAAACAACTGTAGCAATATAATTGAAAATAGGAGCATTACCAAGTACAGCTTCAGTACCTTCAGGGAAAGTATAATTAGACCATGGATAGTAAGAAGCACCAGAAAGAACACCTATCAAATAGAGAGAAACCAAATTATGTAAAAAAGAACAATCCATCACTTTTTTTTTTTTTTTTATTATTACCTGTTACCACTAAGAAACCAATATTGGAAAAAGTAGTAGAGATAGCAGAAACATGATTACGCCAGCGTTCAACTACTGCCATCTTTTCACTTTTTGACTTTTGAGGATCAGCACGAGCTTGACGAACTACAGGTAAATTGTCACTATTATCATAATATGATGATCAAAAAGGAAAAAAAAAAGCGGTAAATAAAAATAAAAAACAGCTTATATTTTTTTTTGTATACGATAAAAAGGATGGTTTTTACCTTAAAGTAGGAAAAGCAGCACCATAAAATACCAAAGTTGTACCATAAGCAATTAAACCAATAAGATCCAAAGCCAACATACCATTCCAATGAGTTCCATCATCATTTACCAAAACAATAGGTAATATTTGACAAGCACAAGTAATAATAGTAGAAGTTAATAAGATATATCGATTCCATTTTCCATAATCAGCCAAAGAACCAAAAGAAGTGAATAAAGTAAATTGAATAGAAAAAGAGATAGCTTGAAGATATAACATCATAGATTGTACAGGAACACTACCAACACCCCAATTAACAAAACAAGGACCTTGAGAATCAGGACAACCTTTTATTTCTGGATGTAAAGGATCAACAAAACCACCTTGAAATGCAAGTGATTGTAAAATATTAGTCATATATGAATTCATCGTGAAACCATTATTCTATAAATAAAAAATAAATAAATAAATAAATAAAATAAAAAAATGGATTACTATATGACAACAATAATAATTTTCTTTTACTTACTCCATTATAATAAAGGTAATAACCCCATAATTCCCATTTAGTAGCTGGTGGTTGACTTTTAACTATTTTTCCAGCTTCAGTAGTATCATCTACTTGATCTTCTGTTGATGCAAAAGGATCTGCTCGAAGTTGATCTTTTAAAGAATAAGAAAGATCAATATCTGTCATCTTGATGAGAATGAAAAAAAATAAGGAAAAAAAAAAAAGAAAAAAAGGAGGAAAAGAAAAAAAAAAAAAAAGGAAGAAAGAAATAAAAAAAAAAGAAGACTTTTTTTTTACTTGATATTTTTTTCCGATCCTTTTTTTTTTTCTATTTCATAATCCATACTTTTGATCTTAAAAAGGAAAATTGAATTATTATTTATTATTATTATATATATTGAGAGGGGTCCTTGAAAAAGTCAGGGTGAAAAAAGAATCAGGTTCAAGTTTAGATAAGATAGATGATTGATTGGTATCATCATCATTACTTAAGCCTATTCACAAAAAACTGAGAATATAATTACTTTTTTTTTTTTTTTTTTTTATTCTCCCCCCACTTCTCCGGATTTCTCTTTTTTTTTTTTCCCCACGTCGAAATGTATGACAAAAAAAAAAAGAGTTCTTGATGGCTGATATGACCAATTTATTTACATTTTTATCTATAAAAAGATTTCTATTTATAATCAGTTAACTAGGAAAGGAAAACTTATTATTTAAATCAAAAGAAACCTATCTTTAAATCCTCTTGATTTGATAGTCTTCACAATCAATCATCATCTTTATGTATTCGGCATTTCAAATATTGCGTGTGAAACGCTGATACACACGAAAAAAAAAAAAATAAGCTTTATAACTGAGAAATAAAACTTTATTTTCTTTTACCATTTGTTGCAATAAAAAAGGATCAAACCTTTCTCACCCTGACAAGGGTCGTCATATTAAAAGAAGACTTTAGATGAGATTTTATTGGATTTCTGATGTTCAAAAAAAAAAAAAATGGATCTTTCCTACTAATGAGAAGAAAGGGTCCGATTTTTTCTTTACATAGTAATAAGGATAGATCAATAAAAATGTAGTTAACTAGGGAAGAAGAATAATTATACAAAATAATAATGATAATATTAGTAATTGAATGACATCAAAAAATAATAAAAAAAAAAAGAAATAATGTATATAAATATATATATATATATTCTAAAGGGCTAACAATTCAAAAAAAAAAAAACAATATATAAATATATATAGTTTAAGATCATAAAAAAGGGGACCCCGGGTCATCATATTTTATTTTATTCCCATCAAACCATTTCGTAGACCGTCAAATTGAAATTTGAATATCATCATCATCATCATAAGGCTTCTTGTTTCGTCATCTTATTGCTGTTCACTTTGATTTGATTGCTTTTCATTCCCAATGTTGTTTTGTATTGTCGTTGTTCCGTCACTATGTTCCGTTGTACAATGGTTTATAGAGCTGCTAGGCATTTGTTGTTGAATATGTCTATGAAAACTTTCAGTAGATGGTCTGATATATAAAAAAGGTGTTTTTGGCAAGCGTCGATCTAATGTAGCGTCAAGTTCATGTATTCCCTTTTCATCATCTTGTTGATCAGTAATATTGATTGTTGTTGCTGGTAATGGATCAATCAATGAATTGGCTGGTAAAACAGTAAAAAGATGACCAGATTCATCTTTCTTGTTATTCAAAGTTGCATAAGAATGGAAGGGATCAGGGTGTTGTTGAATCAGTTGTTCCAAAGTCGGATCAGCTAATCCTTTACTTGCTAATACTTCATGTACATCCGCTTGAGCTCGTACCAACCAACCAGTTTGATGCAGAATCTCTTGATGATAAATCTGTTCCAAGTCTTGTATGCGTTGATTATATGTCGTTTTAATATAATCTAGTTCATCCACTTGTCTTGTTAAATCTTGTAATGTACGTCTGTATTGTTGTAGGTCACGTTGTCCTCGTTTAGCTTGTTGCAAGTTTGCTGCTTCTGTTTTCCGGATGTTTTTACTGACCATTTGAAGTGCCATATTGTAGTTTTTTTGACTTTCCTAATAGAATAACATATTATCGTTTGTTAATCTTTCTTTCTTCTTCTTCTTTTTTTTTTTCTTTTACCTTGATGGTTAATTCATGCTCGTGAATCATCTCGCTAAGCGGAACTTCAAATGTCTTGTGCATTGTATCAGCCTGAAGATAAAGAAAAAGAAATGTAAAATAGTCAATATATCATGATTCATCCCATTCCTTATCTTAAATTCAATTACCAATATTTGATGATGATTTGAATATAATAGTTGTAAACCGGCTGCTGCTTGTAATCCTTGACCTATGATAAAGGAGAGAATAAGTTATGCATCTAAAATCAAACCATCCAGGTCCTGAGTTTTTTTTTTTTTACCTGCATCCATAGCAGCTTTATTTTTAGCAACTGATTCCAAAGCAATACCAAAGTTCGCAGAAGCATTGGAAAGCTGAATGAGTTGTTCTCGATAAGTTTGAGCAGCTGCTAATAGTGTACGATGAGCATCCATGGCAGACTGAAGATCTTGTTTCGAAAGCTGATATGAATTCTCTGTTAATGGTGGTGTAGAATGAATAGATGCTGTAGACGATACATTTTCTTCTTGGTCTTCAAGTTCGGTAACAAACGTACTGGCGTATTGGTAACTGGAAGTCGACATAATACTCATAGCTTTATTGGTGCCTGAAGAAGTTGATACATTAGTGAATAAATTGGGTGTGCTATTGTTGTTGTTGTAGTAGTTGGAATGACTATTTCGAGGTAATGATAATGAATCGTCTTGTTTTTTAATTGTTGTTATTACAGGTGGACTCATTGGTGGTGTAAATAAAGTCATGGTATAGACAAAAAAAGACAAAAAAAGGGTGGAGTATAAAAATTGAACAAATAACAAGTCTTAAGAAAAAAAAAAAAAAGAAAAGTTAAAAAAAGGAGTGATACTTTTATTGGGTTACACAGAAATTGATTGTAGGCGTCAATGCGTAAAGAGAAGTTTTATTGATATATATAAAACGAAAATAAACTAAAAATTAAACGATCAATTTGTCAATGGCTGCTACTAATTCTTCACCTTCCCTAACAAAGTCAACAGGATTGGCTTCCATTACTTGATATCGCGTTCGAGGTGTATCCTATAGTTTATATAATAATATAAAACATTATTAATATCTTATTTTTTTTTAACTAAATAAATAAATAATAAAAAATGGATGACTTACATTGAAGATTTGTTGTGTAGCTTTGATTTTAAAATTGAAAGATTTGAAATTGGCATCATCAAATACTTGTCGAAAGGCGGTTTCGTCAGTTTCACGTAATGCTGTCACTTCATTAGCATTCTTGCCCATAATCACTACCGCAGTATCATCGAATGATTGAAGATATAAATGAGATGTTGCATCTTCAGCACTAAAAGAAAGGACATATTTGTAATCAGGAGCAGCAAGAGTCTTTTGGCATTTTTCACATCTCCAACCATGAGTTTCTTGAACCAACTTTTTGCGACAATCAGGACACCCAGGATAACAGAAATTTTCATTCTTGATAAACATGATAGTGGCTCGAATTTCAAAGTAATCAGGCTAAAAATAAATAAATAAATAAACAAAATCATAAATAATTATTAATATAACTTGTTTCTCACTCTTTTTTTTTTTTTATAGTTATTTTATTTTTTATTTTACCTTTTCACTTTCGCCAAGCTTCTTTTCTTTGGCTTCTTGAATAGTCATTTTAGGATAGAAGGTAGGTGCAAAACTGCTACCATCAGATGATTGCATGGAATTAAAGTTGGAATAAACAGCATTTTGACCATAGTTGTTAAACCTAGAAAAACAAAGTTATCATCTAACTGTTCCGATAATAATAACAATAATAAAATCTTTAAATCTTACCATTGTTGTAATTTTTGAGCTTCGGGAATACCAGGGTCTCTTTTGATTATACCAGTGCTTGATAACGAAAGGGTACGACCATTGAATTCATTGACACGACAACCTTTACAAGCAACAATAGGAGATCCAGTAGCATCAAATGTTTCTGCAACAGCATCCCAAAGAGTCAGTCGAATTTGTTTTTGGGTTTCATCCACAAGAGTCAATTCCCGTTTTTTGGTCTAAACAAAATAAAAAATAAACCATAATTATATATATATATTAGAGAAATTGGATTGATGTGAATTACTTACAGGTTTTCCAGATGCTTTAGATATGATTTCTTGCATACCAGAATCGTCCCGTACAACACCAAGGACATCTACAATTAAAAAAAAAGAAAAGGAATCCACATAATATAAAAATGAGTCCTTGAACTACATATATGTTATCTCTTCATTTTCCTTACCAACAACGCTAGTCTTTTCATATTTATCCATATCAGCAATCTTGACAAAATTAAAGTTCATAACAGGAATTGTTTGTTCATCAGAGCACTACAAAGAAGTCATCCAAAAGAGATATCATTGTAAGTATATAAATTTATTATGTATTTCATATTTTTATTTTCTTTTTATTTACCAGTTCAACTTCAGTAGTATGATCAAATGATAATTCATATTCATTATCCAAAGTGGAGAATTGTTTCTTGGCCATAGTAACTCGAGCATGAGAGATATAATAAACCTAAAACCATGTAATTAATATTTCATTTCCTTCTTCCACTATCTTGACGTTTGATATTTTTTTTTTTAAAAAAAATTCTTACCCGTCCTTCTTCGAAAAGAGGATAAAGTCTATCTACTTGTTCTTTAAATGCTGTTGCTTTGATTTCACCCTATATCAATACAATCATCAATTTATATAAGTATACTTGATTACTTCTTTTTCAATCATCATTTTTATTTATAGTTATTGTGCTTACTGATTGATCCAACAAGTTCACACTGAAAAGTTTGCCTTCTGATCGAGGATTAGACCATGTTTTAATATCGGATTTTTGAGTGACACGAGCCTTGATGACCCATCTATGATTTATCGAAGAAGAATAAGAAAAAAAAGTTAGAGATATGTCTCAACCGATCACCGTTGTCATTGAACCTACTTGTTTTGATAAGGATTCAAGCCTTTGATTGGGAATAGAGATGATTCTAACTGCATGTTGACATTTCCAGGAGCGTAACTATTGTTGCCACCATTATTTCTTTGCATAAACAAAGGTTGACCAGCTTGTTGTCGCTGTTGTTGTTGCTGCTGCTGTTGTTGTTGTTGTTGCTGTGCTGGAGGCGTGCTAGTAGGAGTTTTTGAAACATTTGGTCCTTCAATATTGGAAGGATCACCAAGACGACTAGTAGCTTCATTTGACACCACTTGTAATTGTAATACAATAAGGATTCTTTTATTATGATCAAAGCGAGAGAGAGGGAGAGAGAGAGAGCCAAAAAAAAAAAAAAAACGAAAAGTACTATTAGTCTTGACAATACTATCAATAATACTATCATTTACCTTCGATTGCTTGCTTCATTACATACAGATTCGGTAAGGCGAATGATGGAGAACTTTTTCAATTTACCTTCTTCAATCAGTGCAGTATGCATTGTGGCCAACATCGCTATAATAAGAGCAAGGAACAAACTTAGTAACAAATACTCGATTCTTTTTTTTGGGTGTTTTTTCAACTTGTTACCTTGCATAAAGTGGACACCATCAGAGATAATGATTCTACATGATAAAAAGAATAACAAGAATTCAATTTTACCAAGAAAAAAAAACTTTTTTTGTTTGATGGTTTACCTGTAACGTGTAACACCTGTTTGAGAAGCCACTGGTTTAATATTGATGACTTGAACAAGACAGTTGTTGTGAATAGGATTAGATTGATCGTTATCATACAAGATCTTGATAGCACCTTGAGTAATTTGATCCATGGTGATATAAAAAAGAAAAATAAAGTGAAAGAAAAACAATAAAGATTCGAGGATTCGCGCCCAAAATACGATTTTTTGGACTACGGAACGCGCGCCTACTATTTTTTAGAGTCCGTCCTATATCGCGTACGGGTGTACTTATTTTCCTCTTCATTCATATATAGGATACTTTATCATATGGAGTGATAAAATAAAGAGAATCATCACTCATTAACTTATGTACCTACTATTTATGAGTCAATTTTGTGATCAATCATTCATCACTCATTACTTATGTATATACTATTTATCAGTCAACTTTGTAATCAATCATTCATCACACATGATTCTATTCATTAATCATCAACAATATCATTTTATACACCAACGTTTATGAGGTAACTATCATAAAGAAGACCATAGATGAATAAAATTAGACTGAGAGTATGTTGTCTTCCCCAATGTTGCTCATTTTTCTCTCAAATGTTGAAATCCTGCAAAAAGAAAACTGAGAGTACATGCAGCGTAACTCTTTCTTTTTTTTTTTTTTTTTTGTGAGAACAACTGTATTTATGTCAATTTTCTTTTTCACTGTCTTGGAAGGTGACTTCTACTGTTTCATTTATATATATCAAAAATCCAAAAGTTTAATCAATACATCAAAGATCAATAAGGATGAAATTCAAATTCCGTTCATCAGTTTCTACTAAAAAAACTGCTTTTCTTTTTTTTTTTGTTCTCTTCTTTTCTTTCCTCAATCACTCCTTCATACCCTATTATTTTTCTTTTTCGTTTTCGTTTTCGTATGTTCACCACTGGCAATAGTAGCAATAGTACACATATTGAAACTGATGAAGATATAGCGAGGCGATTACAACAAGAGGAAGAACGATTGCATCTGCAATATATCCGTATGACAGCTTTGGTCAAAGCAGACGAAGCATTTGCTGAACGATTACAACAGGATCTGCAAGAAAACCATATCAAGAATGATGAAATATTAGCTGAAGAGTTGCAACAAGAAATGTTGAAAGAAAGTAATGCACTGAATTCAACGACAACAATTACGACTGCTACTAGTACGACATCCCAAGGTGACAACACCAAGACCACATCCATAGAATCTTTTTTTGGAACTTCGGTGGTTGATCTTACGGAAGAAGAGGATCCTGACATGATATTGGCGAAACAGTTACAAAAAGAAGAAGAAGAGAATAAACGGCAGATATCAGCTATGTCTACTTCGGCGAATCCATTGTACGCTCTGAACGATGAACAGGACCCCAATCCAGATCTACATGGTTTGTTCTTGGCTTTCAATGATCTTTACTTTTCCGGAAAACTTGGTATGGTCGAGGTATGAAAGGCATATATTAGACTATTTTTTATGATATCAACTTGACATTTATCTTCATTTCTAGGTGAAATGGTCCAAAAGAATGACATCATGGTAAATATGGAAAATTGCAATGCATATTTGAAACTGAAATTATATCATCTTCTTGTTCTGATTACTTTTAATAGCGCAGGCACATGTACTTTCCATCCCACTGGTGGACTCTGTACAGTCACTTTATCAGAAGCACTTTTGAAATTTCGACCACGAACAGATATGATCAACACTTTATTAGTAAGTCCAAAGATATCTTAATAATACGTATTTGACATAACCCTTATTTTGTTTTGTTAGCACGAAATGATCCATGCTTTACTCTTTGTGACTAAACGATATGACAATCATGGTAAATACAAAAAAAAAAAAAAAAAAAAAAAAAAAAAAAGAAGGAAAGTCGTCACCTCATTAGGGTTATTTACTTTTTAGAATCTCATGGACCTGAATTCCTTGCAGAGGCAACAAGAATCAATAAACTGGCGGGAACCAACATCACTGTATATCACACGTAAGGATTTCAATGACGAATAAGGAGTGGATGATGGATGTGGAAAAAGGCAGAAGGATTGAATGATACTTTTTTTTTTTTTTAATTCTAGATTCCATGATGAAGTTCGACATTATAAGACGCATGTATGGCAATGCAATGTAAGTGAAAAATGAAAAAAAGATATCACAATTTTATTGACATTTTTTTCTTCTTTCCCAGGGGCCCTGCAAACATCGAGCACCTTATTTTGGAAAAGTCTCGAGAACTATGAACAGGTGATGATGACATTGTAAATGTTATTCCTATACTTACATCTTTTTTTTTTCATGTAGACCTCCACAAAAGGCAGATAGATGGTTTGCAGAACATCAAGCAACATGTGGTGGTACATTTGTCAAGATATCCTCTCCAGAACCTACTCTTACTGGCAAGAAAAGAAAAAAGCGTGATGATGATGCGATTGGAAAGAAAATGACGGATTATTTACTTTCTGACTCCCAGAATAATCATGACAAAAACAAGTCAACTTGAAATGCTTTTCTCCTATTATCTTATTTACCCATATTCTCTCTCTCTCTGTGTATAGTTTTAGTTATCATCTTCTTTAATCTCTTGTATTCTTGTATATAGCTCAATAAAAATAGTTACTTCTGATATTCTTTTTTGATCTTCGAGTTGCATAACAGGTTGAAGGTCTTTGTTTCAACTCTTTTTTTTTTTTTTTTTTTTTTTTTTTGAAACCGAAAATCATGATGGTTTCATTTTCATTGTATAGAATTATTTTTTCCCGAAATGACACCTTTTTTTTCCTTCTTTTACAACAGCAAGAGAAAAAAAAAATTCCAACGTAAATAAATGGGACCGAAATCGATTCTTCCGACAAATAAAAGATCATCGGATCAACAAGAAGAGTATGATCCAGAAACTATCACCACACAAGAAAGATGCACGGATGATCCAGTATGGTTAAAATGTAAAAGTAAGATGATCAAAGGAGCCGGAATGGCACAAAACACACTAGGCAGGGTGACGGGGTTAGATGATTGGGAGCATCGGGGCCAAGCGTGGGAAGAATGGGGTGACCACACATTACAACTTGCTGAGCGTTTAACAGACCAAGGTGCACCTAGTCGTCTTCATGGTGAATATAATCGATGGATGGGGTATTTAGAGAAGATGATTGGACATGTGGCTGGTGATGAGGAAATGCAATACCATGCTAATACAAGAACTGAACAAGCAACTCAAGAAATCAATCAATCTAGACGAATATAAAAAAAAGTTTCTTAAATAAGTTAATATCGCTGATTAAAAAAATGAGATCTTCATCTTAATAAAAAAAAAAAAAAAATAGAACCCCACTTTTTTTTTCATTTCCTTTCTTCTTTCTCTCTACTTTCTTTTTATTTTTATTTTTATTTTTATTTTTTTTTATATATATATCTCTTCTATCTATTCCACAATGTCGGGTTTGATATCTTTTTCATTATGGCGAGGTACAAGTCTAGTCAACAGTCGCATGACAACTATAGCCTTCTTGCAGAAACGCGGATTCAGTCATAGCATGTTTCTTCACCATCAAAACAACAATGGTGACAAACCCAAGGAAGGATTGAACACCAAGTTCCGTCGATTCTTCCAACCACTTTCCTTTAGTGATCCCAGCAATGAAAAGTTACGACAACAATGTGAATGTGGGATGCCTTCGACGGTGCAACGTAATAAATTCGACCCTAAGGATTCATCGTTGGAAGGCTTATTGGAAAACAACCGACAATGGGCAGCTGCTGTGATACATGAAGATCCTGAATTTTTCAAGACCATTGCTTTACAACAAGAACCCAAGATCTTGTGGATAGGTTGCTCTGATTCTCGTGTCCCGGCTAATCAAATTGTTCAGCTGGGTCCAGGTGAAATCTTTGTTCATCGTAATATTGCCAATGTTGTCAACCATGCCGATCTTAATTGTCTTTCTGTTATTCAGTATGCGGTGGAAGCATTGAAGGTGGAACATATCATTGTATGCGGTAAGGACCTTGTATTTTTTTTTTATTTTTTTTTTTTATTGATAATATTTTTTCTTCTTAGGTCATTACAATTGTGGTGGGGTTACAGCTGCTCTTTCCAACAAATCTTTTGGTTTGATTGATAACTGGTTACGAAGTATCAAGGACGTATATCGATGTAAGTCATGAAATAAAGTGGTGATTTCTAGTTATCAATACTTCATTTTTTTTTCTAGTACACGAAGCGGAATTCGATGATCTTAAGGATGAAGGACAAAGGATCAAGAAACTTGTCGAGTTGAATGCAATCAATTCAGCCAAAAATGTATGTCATTCAGTTGTTGTGCAGAATGCTTGGAAGAGTGGACAGCCATTGACGGTACATGCATGGGCATATTCGATCGAAGATGGGTAAGATCCAAAAAAAAAAAGATAAAGGGACTGATCGTCATGATTTTTGATCTTTTTCAATCATATATATATATATATATATATATAGACGTGCAAGAAAATTAGACTGGGTGGTTAGCGATAACAAGAAACTCCATAGTATATACAAAATTTAGATGAATGGATGAATTAGATGGGTAGATACCGGAATAGATGTAGAATAGAATTGAATAGATCGCTCTTCCTTTATATATATATATACATACAATAATTGAATAAAAATATATCGACACTATTTATTTAACACTTTTTTTTTTTTATTTATATATATTTTATCTGCAATTTGAAAAAAAAATGAATGACAAAAAAGATACTGTCTAATTAATATGATGAGGAAGGATGACAAAACAAAGTAGAGACATAAAAAAACTACATTAAAGTGGGATCAAGGGTATCGGGATGAGTCAAGTGGAATGCAAAAGAGCCTAACGAATCTTCAGAGGAATCCGGTGACATACCAAGATCAGGACTAGCAAGTAACATAGGACTTGGTGGTAAAGGAGTATTAGCAGCAGTATGGAAGGACATTGGAGAAAAGATGATATTGGGATCATCACTTTGTTGTTGTTGTTGTTGTTGTTGTTGCAAGGGATTACCTAATTTGGAGCGAGAAGGTATGATGGGTTGATTGGGCCACTTTGGGTAAGAGATGGATGGTTGATTATCTGTTGAAGAGGGATATCCACCAAAAGAGGTTGATATGGTACCACTGGATGATGACACTGGGGTGGTGACGAGCATTTTAAAAGGTTCATTAGTAGTTTGTTGTTCCTGTTGAGCTATTGGGAAGGAGGGTGTTGAAGTCGAACGTCGATGTCGTTGTAGTGATTGATTCATTGATGGTTGTTGTGGAAGTGGTATGCCTTGGGCTTCAGATAATCGACGAATTTGAAGTTCTTGTTGCTGTTGTATTTTTTTTGATTCTTCAAAATTAAGAAGAAGATTGGAAAAGTTTTCTTGTAAAGTATAAAATTGTTGAATAAGATCGGTTTGTGACATTTGAAGCATAGCAAAAGAATTTTGAATATCACCCGCTTCTCGTTTCATCAGTTCTGAATCCATTGCTTTTCGTTTGATTCCTTGAAGTAGATCTGGTCGTCCTTTGATGAATTTTGCATGTGAGAATTCCCAAATTTCATTTTCATTGGATCGTTGACCCCTTGGTGATTTACTGATTTTATGGAATCCATACCTATGAAATATATCAATGTCAGTTTGCCTAAAAAAAAAAAAAGATCACTTACATGTTCAATAATCGTACAAAACTTGAAAAATTGTTATGTTTGAAATGAGCAGGTAAGACTTCTTTGGAAAAAAGTTTGGCATTACATACAGAAAAAGAAGCACCTGAAGTATTCCACGATATCAAGTTGGCATGAGCATTGTCTTCTAACATACTATATATATATAAGAATATAAGTTATTATTTTTTTTCTTTAATAGTTGATGACTTACTTGTATAATTTTTGAATAAAAGTACTGACACTTTTTTTGTCGATTTTCGATGACGAGTAGGAGTAGTTTCAACAGGTGGAGTCAAGTCATACATGTCACTAATATAATCAGAAGTATAATCAGAGTTTGATAACGTATCACTATTGGGATTAGGTGAGAGAAATAAAGGTGACTCCATTGTTTTAGACATAGATAAAAAAAAAAAAAAAAAAAAATAAAGAAAAGACCAGATAAAAAAAAGTTAAGGATCCGTAAAATGAAAAACTTCTTTATGCCATGGGTTATCGTGCAACCTTCCGGCGGAGACTGATATTTATACAGAATGGTTTCAGCCAACAAAAAAAAAACTTCAAAAATCAATCCAATCACACACACTAATGTATAACCAAAAAAGCGTTTCCCTCTTCCCCTTTTTCTAATCGAAATTATTTATTGACTATATACAAAATCCAAATCAGATCTAAAAAAAAAATAACAAATTCACCGTTTTCGTCGTTTGCTAGCTATTTCTAATGCTTTTGTTGTAGCAACCTGTAATGGTTCAAGTGCCTATTAAGAAAAAAATAAAAATAAAATAAAATAAAAAGAATTTTAATTGAAAATTAAATGAGTTAAAACTTTCCTATATGTCTTTTTTTTACCTCTTTGCCACGATCCACATCCCCTTGATGACTATTCACTGTAATCAACACCTCCTTGAATTTTCTTTGTTGTCGTTTCAGACCATCTACCATCCGAGCATTCTTATCTGCACGATACGGATCATTGGAAGACCAAAAGTGTCGAAGAATTTCATTGGTGGCCGAATGGTAACTTTGAATAGCTACAAGTGCTGCTGCTGGTAATTTTTCGTCTATTAAAAAAAAAAAAAAACAAGTGAGATCTTTTTCTTTCCTTTTCTTTCTTTTTTTTCTGTCTATTTTTTTTTTTTTTTTTTCAAACCTGAGATAGCTGCTTTTTCATAATGTCTACTTCTTTTTCTAATTCTATCCGTTAATCCCTTACAAACACGATCTGCCACCTTGGAATTCATCACATGCTATGAAATAATTATATATAAAATAAGAAATCAATTTGATATATTTCTATTTTCCATTTCCATTATTACCTTGGTCAATTCTGGTTGCCATCCTTCGAAATGACGTTTATATCCTGATATTAACTTTTCAGCTTCCTATATATAGATATTATGATTAGTACTGTCAATCATTATCCTATTTGATTCCCAATTTCTTTTTTTTTTTTTTTCCTTATTACCTTGAGATCAATTTGATTTGTTTTTTGTTCATTGCTTTGACTTTCAAAGTAACGTGAAGTATCTTGAATATCCAATATAATCTTTTCAGGCGGTGCATCATTTGTCAAATCTGGCAATAAAATTTCACTTTCGATATCATCCTATGAAACAATCATGTCATTTCACGCTAATAATAAGTTCATCATTCTAATTTTGAATAACATTTCCTATCACTTACATTATCGTTCCTAGGTTTCAGTTTCCTAATTCATATATACAAAAAAAAAGTCAGCCCACTATCTTTCTTTTTTGTTTTTGGACAACTCAAAACTAAACAAAAACAAAGAAACTTACGAGGGTGGCGTTTCAAGTACTCGACTTGCATGTCTGTTGAATCGTCGAATTAATGGTAAGATTTGGGCATTTCGACCTGCCACCATAGTGAAGTCTGGAGCATTGCCACCCTAATTGTATAATAAAAACAAAGTTTCATTCATATCGTCTTTTTCCTTTTTTTTATAAAAAAATCTACAAGCTTACCTCTATATGATCTTCAATAGATGCCTCTAAATCAATAGTTCTTTTAATTCTATCCATTTTTGAGATATCAGGAGCTTTGGCGTTTTCTATTTATCAAAAATCATACGTAGATCATATATTAATTCAAGATTCCACCTTTTTTTTTTTTTTTTTTTTTTTTTTTTTACCATCATCTTCTTCTTGTAGACATTGGTCAAATATGTCATCATAAGGTGTGAGTTGAGATCGGCTACCAGTACGTGATCGATGAAAGAATTCAGAGGCTAAAAATCTTTTCCAAAAGTGTTGTTCCGATAACTATAGAAGGATGTGATAGAAAGAAATATATATATATATATATATTAATTGATCTATTCAAATGTTTCTTATATCAACTCATATTACTACCTTGTCTGGTACATTAGCATCATATGCACGTTTGACTAAAAACAAATAACAAAAAAAAAGTTAGTATCTAATTTTTTATCCGAGTTCTTCTTCTCATCCCATTTTTCCTTTGATTTACCTGAGGGGTATTCCGTAAATATATTATGTATTGTTTGACTGGTCAAAGTATACTTGACATCCGAACCTTCTTGTTGACCAGGTTTGAGTTCCACCATACGTGATGATCTTCCTTTGAGACGACCTTCTCTTGAAACAGCATCCAGTTTGAGTTTTTGTCGATATCGTTTCACATAAGCACTAGACCAGAATTCTTCTTCTGATACAATTTTACCAGATACTACAAGTTCCATATGTAATTTTTGTAATTCACGACTGCTGGATAAAAGTTCTTTGCGATCTTTGAATTCCTGTTTACGACTGAGAGACATTCCCGAAGAAGCAGGGGAAGGTGTTCCTGTTGCTGGAGTGGCTGCGGTAGAAGAAGGAGTGGATGCACCAGTCGGTAGTTGTTGTGGTGTGGATGGTTGTAATTGTGGTGTAGATGCTACTGACGAATTACCTAGAGGTGATTGTGCTGCTGATGGTGTAGTTGCTGCTGATGGTGTTCCCGGTGATCCTATTCCAGCGGATGGTGTTAATGGTGCTGGTGTTCCCATAGCCGATGGTGTAGCTCCGCGTGCTTTCGCCCATAATTCAGTCACTTGTGCTTTGATACCTTCGCGTTCAATCAGACCTTTGGGAGAGATAAACTGAAACGTATAAACCTTTGGTTCAGGATGATTGGTGACAATCTTGAATAGAACTTTTGGTGATTCTTTTGGCGTTTGTTGAAGAGCTAATAATAATAATAATAATAATAATAAAATGATAAATTAGTTTCTTTTTGAAGAATGGAAATAAGAAAAGAGAATAAATATAAAAGCAAAGATTAAACTAATCTTTGATGTGTCAATAAAGGGTATTATATTTTGCTTACAGGCTATAGTATCATAATTGATAGATGGATTCAATTGAGGAACACCATGTTGTTGCCATGCCACACGTTGAGGAGTAACGAATAAAGATCCTTCCGCTTTTTTGTAACGTACATTTGAACGCAACAAAAGTTTTTCGTTAGCGTTCCACATAATCAAAGAAGAAAAGAATAAAAGAAAAAAAAAAAAAAAAAAAAAAAAAAAAGAGCCAAAAATTTATTCTCTGGGTAAGTCAACAACACTTTGGAGATCCAAACACCGCACTCATATACTTATATGTGTTTGATCAATATTACTATTCAAATAGAAAATATACAGTAAACCAATATAACATTCCTTTTGAAGGAAATTTATAAGTAAAAATCCATCACATTGTATATCATCCAGTTTACATGATGTAAAATATAATTTTTCTTTATTGAATCAAAGATGAATTCATATATGATATTTTTCTCAATTCGTTATCTTAATCTCCATGTTTCAATGTTCCAAATTCACTAGTAGCATGTATGGGTATCATCAAGGTTACTCTATTATCATTAAGCGATAGTCAATAAGGTGATAATATTTATGTTTTCGGAACAAGTAGGAGGTGCCGATTTTTTTTTTTTTTTTTTTTTTTTTTTTTTTTTTTTTTGCAGGCAGGGTTGATGAAGATGCAGGAAGTAGATACATGTTGAGAGATCATATTGATTTTTTTTTGATGATATATAGATTAATACTATATCATCATTGGAAGAAGAAAAAAAAATAAAGTTGATGATTAGCATTCTATTGACTTTGCTGCCATTTTGACAATATAACGATGATGATGATGTTGTTCAATATAATACTACTACACTGATCTTGTGGACTAAAGTCTTGATTTTATTTCTTTTCAATTTCAGAGATCCCAATTATTTACCGTATCGATCATTAATTTACTTATTCTTTCTATCCGATGGTTGATCAATATGATCAATCTATTTTATCAATTAAAGATATTCCTTTTTAAATTCTATTGTATCCTAATCATCGTAAAGTATATTATCTATTGATGATGTTGGTAATGATGGATGATGATTTATTTTATATTAGTATCAAATATATATATATATATAAAGAAAGGGGACTTGCATTAGAGCTACTTATGATTTTGGAATGCTAATAGGAATGACTTTTGTTTCTATAGTGACCTCCTTCAAATGAAAAAATAAAAAAAGAGTTATTTAGTTTGATATCTTTTTAGTAATCGTGCCATTACCCCACAAAAATGATTATTGAGCATCAACACTCTTTTTCTTTCTAGATGAATGATTTACATACATAACGTTTACTGGGTCTAATACGTTCCCCTTTTCTTTCTTTTATGCAGAAATCAAGAAGAAAAAAAAATATTTGTTTATTTAAACTGTGAATAACAAATCATTTGTTTTCTCCCCTGCGTTTTGTTTTTTCCCTTAAAATGACTATATATCACTTTTATATCTTCTTGGCAAAAAAAAAAAAAAGATTATTTCAAATAGAAAAAAAGATGAACTACCACGTGGAAAAAAAAAAGAAGATATTTTTTATTTCGATATTATCAAATGCGTCTTTTTACAAAATAACATTGATTTAAAATAAAGAATGATTTATTTTCTACATACATAAAAAGAACCTGTTTGTTTGCTTTAGTTCCTTCTTTTCAATCGTCGGCGATATTGAATCTTTTTTTTTTTTTTTTTTTTTTTTTTTTTTTTTGGTACTTTTGCATTTACTCATTTCTTCTTCCGACTTTTTTTTTTCTTTTCTTTCCTTTTCTTTCCTTTTTTTAATTTCTTCTTTCTTTCTTTAGTTTATTAATACGGACAAAACCTAATAACAAGAATGTTATCTCCTCATGGATCTACTTTACAGCACACCATGAACACGCAACTCACAATAGACAAAGTTCAAAATTCTTTTGACGAAAACTCTCAACCAGGATCGACTGAACAATCTATTGATCAACAAAGAACAATACAACAAGGTGAAAAGGACATATTAGCCTTACCATATATTTTCAAACCTACTGATGACATTTCAAGAACTGGTGTAGACAATTCCTTACCAATGTCAAACAACTGTCTCCAACTTACAAAGGGTTACAACGCCTCCGTGTTACACAATGACACCTCTGATTGTTCTTCTCATCTCCAAAAATGTAATCCTTCAATTCCTCCTCCTATTGTTGAAAATACCTGTGGCGTATTCTCTCCACCACCTTCTGCAAAATCACTCACTACTGAATTCAAAACTTTTCCTGCACTCGACACCATCAATGCAACCAGTCAAGATTCTACTTTGCATGCTTCTGGTATATCACGTGTATGTTCACCAAGGATAATCAATAACAACAATATGACTCAACCGTTACAACATCAACAATACCAACAGCCACAAAATAAATCTATGCGCCCTTTCAGCCAAATACAACAACAATCACATGGTTCCCCATTCTCTTCAAATGATCAACCTTATACAGGACGTCCCAGGTCTATGTTTTTATCAACATCATCCATATCATCAGTATCAACATTCAATGATTCTACTGTTTCTGTCACTCTGAATCCACCATCATCTAAATTTACTACTGGATCTTATTCACCTTCCTTTGATAGCATCACAAAGAAACGATACAGTATCATTTCTGACAACAGTTACTATCCTGACAGTTCCTCCTATATTGCTTCCATTACAGAACCAGCACCCAATCCACTCTCTTTGAAACCACATCATCCACGATTCCCACCTGCAACTTTGGAAAATCTCAACAACTTTCGTCGTGAAGCCCAAGCATCTCCTCATAATCCTGCATTACAACTCAATTTCGCCAAATATCTAATGGAAGCTGTGGATCAAGTACGAATTGATGATGCCGTACGTTCTATCAAAGCCAAGAATGCAATGTTATCTGAAGCTCAACGTATTGTCAAGACACTGGCTATGCAATCCAAAATTGGTAAATCTGGTTTCGCTGATGCACAATTCTATTTGGCCAATGCCTATGGTGCTGGTCTGATGTTACTCAATGTTAGTCATGAAAAAGCATTCAATCTTTATCTTCAAGGATCCAAGCAAAGTCATCGAGAATGTACCTATCGTGTTGGTGTGTGTTATGAACTTGGATTAGGCACTCGACGGGATAATGCACGCGCTATTCAATTTTATCGCAAGGCGGCTAACTTGGGTGATCCATCAGCAATGTACAAACTAGCCATGATCTTACTCCGTGGACTCTTAGGACAACACAAACATCCAAAAGAAGGTATATCCTGGTTAAAACGGGCAGCTCCTCTAGCGAATGCTTATCATCCTGAAATCTTGCATGAACTTGGCTTGGCGTATGAAAAAGAAGGTATTCCATCGGTGATTCCTGATCAAGATTATGCTCGTGAATTATTGACCAAGGCAGCTAGGTTTGGTTATGCTCCATCTCAATATAGATTAGGATTGGCTTACGAAAATGGAATGATGCAATGCCCAATTGATGCACGACGCTCTATTGCTTGGTATGGGAAGGCAGCAGAACAAGGACATTTGGAATCAGCTTTGGCTCTCTCAGGATGGTATCTGACTGGTGCAGAAGGTATATTACCGCAAAATGATATGGAAGCTTATTTATGGGCAAAAAAAGCAGCAGATCGTGGTTATGCAAAGGGACAATATGCTTGTGGTTATTATTGTGAAACAGGAATCGGGATTGGTCAAGATTTAGTACAAGCACAGCGTTGGTATCAATTGGCAGCTCGTCAACGTTATCCAAAAGCAATTCAACGATTAGCAGAATGGAACAACAACAACAATAATGAAGATCAATATCAAAAAATAATATCAACAAAGCAGCAACGAAAGAGACAATCACAATTACAACAACAGCAGCAACAAAATCGTTCATCATTACAATCATTATCTCCTTATGATCCTGACACACGCCGTCAATCTATAGTATCACAGCAACTACAACAATCATCATTGATGGAACAACAACCACAAATACAATTAGAGGAAGAACGTATGCCAAAACAAGTCAATAGATGTTATATAATGTAGTCAAAGTGTTTTTTTATATTCAATAATAAAAAAAAAAGTACCATTTCCTTTTTTAATCCTATGAGTGAGGATCGGTGTTTACAATTAAAAGTCTTTTCAAAAGTTTTTATTTTTTTTTTCCGTACTTTCTTTCTCTCTCTCTCTTTCTCACTCTCTCTTTTTTTTTTTTTTTTTTTTTTTTTTTTTTCATTGGACTGAATACAATTAACTTTATCATTCAAACTATTAGAGAGACACTTTTTATTATTCAGACAATTCGATGCCACGCAAAAGCCAAAAAGAAGAGGATGTGACTTTTATGGACGACTACAAATCAACACAAAAGAAAAAATATATGACACCTAGCAATGTACGATTAGCTTCTCACAATAAGACACGAGTAGCTTATTTCCACGATGAAGGTGTTGGCAATTATCACTATGGAGTAAATAACAATCTTTATATGATTTTCTTTTTAATCATTTTATTAACTTATTTATTTATTTTTATAGGAACGACATCCTATGAAACCACACCGACTTACTCTTACGAACCACCTTGTTTTGAACTATGGATTACATAAAAAAATGGAAGTTTTTCAACCTAGACGTGCTACTGATAATGAAATCTTGGAATTCCATGCTCCGGATTATGTTGACTTTTTGAAAAGGTATAAAGTACTTCCTTCCTTTTATTAATGATCAAGACTAATACCTTTTACATTATATATATATATATATATATATATGTTAGAGTGACTCCAGACAATGCGGAAGAGTTTGAACAAGTATTTCAACGATTCAATGTTGGAGATGATTGTCCTATTTTTGATGGTATTTACGACTTTTGTCAACGATATGCGGGTGCGTCTATTGAGGCGTCAAGGAAACTGATAGCAGATGGAGCGGATATATGTATCAACTGGTCAGGTGGATTACATCATGCAAAGAAAAGTGAAGCCAGTGGATTCTGTTTTGTTAACGATATTGTACTGGGTACTCTTGAACTATTACGGTATTTCCCTAGGGTGCTCTATGTGGACATTGATATTCATCATGGTGATGGTGTACAAGAAGCATTTTATTCAACCAATAGGGTGATGACGGTATCTTTCCACAAATACAACGGCGACTTCTTTCCTGGTACTGGACATTTAGACGAAATCGGCAGTTCTTTGGGCAAATATTACTCAGTCAATGTACCATTACGAGACGGTATTGATGATGATGCTTATATCTGGCTTTTCAAGGAAGTAATGGATGGCGTGATGGCAACTTATCAACCTTCGGCAATTGTACTGCAGTGCGGTGCAGATTCTTTGGGCTGCGATCGACTTGGCTGCTTTAATCTAAGTATAGAAGCTCACGGACGATGTGTACAAATCATGAAGGATTACAAGGTTCCAATGATGGTAGTTGGTGGTGGAGGTTATACAGTGAGGAATGTTGCTCGGTGCTGGACATATGAAACTTCGATTCTGGTGGATCAAGAACTCTCTAATGATTTACCTCCAAATGAATACATTGACTTTTTCCGACCGGATTATCAATTACATCCTTACCTATCTGGACGTGTGGAAAATCAAAATGATCGACAATATCTACTCAAGGTACGGGAACGTGTGATGGAACAACTTCGTTACTTGGACGCTGCACCTAGTATTCAAATGCAAGAAATTCCTCCGGATATCCAAGGTTTCTTAGATGGTGATGAGGAATTGCAAGATGAAGAGGATGATTTAGAAAAAGATCAAAGACCTACCTTTCCAAAGAATAGACTGGTACCTGATGCCGAATGGTATGAAGATGATGATGATAATGATGGTGAAACTGGTGCCTCTGATATGGAATTTTGATTAGTTTTATTATTATGATTCCTCTTTTTTTTTATTCATTCATTTATTCATTTTGATTTTTTTTATATATATATAGTTTATATTATAGTAATTATTATCTTCCCAATTTTTTTTTTTTATATTTATTTATTTAATTATTTTTGTATCATATTCTTGTTCTCTCTCTCTCTCTTTTTTTTTTTTTTTTTTTTTTTTCCTTCCAAAAAAAATTTATTTTATTATTATCCCATCCTTACATTTGTACAGTTTTTTTTTTTTTTTTTTTTTTATCGAATCAATAAAATAATATTTGAATTTTTTTTTTTGTCTCATTATCTATCAAGTATATCTGTCTACTATCATCAATCAAGTATCCTCATCATCCATCGTCTGTTTTTTTTTTCTGACTCATGTACGTGAATAGAGCCTCTTCTTTTGGATTGATTGATTCCTCTCATTTGAATCTTGTCATAGTGATTACCTGTAGTTATTACTTCTTAATATCCAGTACTACTGTCATTACAATGTTGTCTTCATTCATCATGCAAATACGTTTATCCATTCATCCATCTTTCACAAAAACCAACAAGACCACATCTAGGCAACGTTTGATAAGAAACTCCAAGAGCGTTTACTATTACAGATCAAAAAAAAAAAAACCTAGATATATTGTAAAACATGGTATTTTATTATCAGCAATAACAAAATCAAATAAAAAACAAACAAATATACAAATATGGAGGAGGTGGAGATAAGTAACCTAAAAGAGATCCAAAACTAAGTAATAAAATGGATGGGGTTTCCAGCACGCCCATTTTCATCTGAAGGGGGATGTGAAGATGAAGGGGAAGATGAGCAGGATGGCAAAGTAGGCTTGACAAACGAAGAAGATGCATTCATTGTGGGTATGAGAGTCTTGACAACAGGGGTATCAATGGTAAAAGGATGACCTAGATTTGTAAGTGTTTGATAGATTTCCAACAAACAATACGCATCACAGGCTATAACAGAAAAAAAAAAAAGAATATTAGTCCCTCTATCTTTTTTTTTTATTATTATTATTATTATTATTACCAGCATAATGGATTTGTTCTATTGTCAATGGTCTTTTTTCCCAGTTACTAAGTTGTTGCTTTTTGTTCATGGAAACACCCAAGAAATGAGTTACCACACCAGCCAAACCACCTGTGATCGGCTGTCCCAATTTGTTGTTGTTGAAATGTCGAATTTTGTTCATATCTTTAAAATTGGATATATGCCAACTCTTGACCCCTGGCATACAAGATCCCAATAAACTAAGATCTCCACCAAATTCATAGGCTAAACATCACCACCCAAAAAAAAAAAGAAGAATGTTTAATATATATAAAAGTATATTCATCAACCCATACATCCATTCTATTTGTCCCATCTTACTTTCCATTTCTTTTTTCTTCTTCATCATGTCATGATTTACCTAATTTCAAACAGGTTTTGGATTCGAATACTTGACGAAGAATACTTTCCGTCAAGCTGAGTAAATAAACATTGGATGGCTTGAGTAACGTTTTCAGATCCAAAAGATATACAGTATTGTTATCGGTGGCAATTTGAATCAACGCTGTTTGTACTTTTCCAGATTTTGCAATTGTAGGTACCCATTCAGAATCCAGACCACAGACTTTGCTATTTACCAAATCATGCTTCATTGCGATGACACCTGGTTCATCATCCACAATAATACATTCCACAGAATTTGGAAGAGTATAGATCAAATCAGTATTTGTATTGATGCGTGACTTTTTGTTGTGATAGGTAGACAAGCTATGAGATATTTGTTCGCCTTTGATCACACCAAGCATACGTTCAGATGGTTGTAACGATTGATAGAATTCAAAAAAAGTTATTTGTTGCAAGTGAATAGCGAAATACTGTGCTCCAATAGCATCACCTAGATCTACCAGTTCCTTAATTGCCAGTTTGCCTAAAGCGTCGCTTCCTTCCACCACTAATTCTACTAATCCGTTGTAGTTTGAACTTGCTTCAATCGTATAATTGTTTTCCATTGCTTGCTGAGCAGATCGAGCTGAGATAACCCATCTCAATGACGCATACTGTTGTGATAGCCAGATAAAGTAGTATTTATCTTCGGGAATGCCCAATTGTTCCACTAGTTTCAAACCACAAGTCAAGAGTTCCTTTTGAAATCGCCTTTCCCTCATCCGTTGTAATGGTGGTAAAATCGTAGTGTCCTTTTCAACGTCCTTGAGTGTCTCTAATTAAGAGAAGGGAGAATGAATATATCATACCTTTTTTTTTTTTTTTTTTTTTTTTTAATATTTACCTGGATTGACCACACCTAAAATACCAGCAAAATTGTATCGTAACTGAATATTGATATAGGATAGCAGACTATATTGAATAGTAGGCTTGTCTTTAGCATAAACAGGAAGAAGACCACCTTGACCAACGTTGAACATGTATCCTGCAAACTGAGCAATTGGAAAATTTCCTTGTTGATGTAATTTGAGAATACAAGAAATAGCTTCATTGTAATATCCTTGTCGTAATAACAGTCGACACAAAGTAGTGCCTTTGTCTTCATATTCGCCACCAGACATAAGAAGAGGTATCAACTTGAAGGTGTCAATTGCATAATATATAATAGATATAGCGTCGATGGTGTCAATCATGTTGATAATGGACGTTTGGTGTTCCTTAGTCAAGGAATAATAAGTCATCTTTGAGGTATCAGGTGGAATATTTGTTGCACTTTTGACATTGTCGGTATCACTACAGTTATCACCATCATCATCATTGTTGTTGTTGTTGAAATCATCAAAAAAGAAATCAATATTGTTGTCAGTTGTCGTACTGGTCTTTGAAAGCTTGATTGGAGTTGCTTGTTGTTGATTACTTGTTGTAAAGTTGGTTACATCATCATCATCATCGCTACTTAGATCAATTAATGGTTTTTCCTCTTCTTCCCCTTCTTCATCATCCGTAAACACAATCAAATCCGGTTCTTCAATTTGTTGTTTTCCAGAGTGTTGTAGAGTTGCAGTATTTTCAAGATATATTTCCAATCCACGGCATATCGCTTGAACCAATAACCTTTGAAATTTTGGAGTCAACTCACGGTTCGTTTTTCGATGTGTTGTGAAGTAACTACCCAAAGCCACCAATACAGACTAAAGAAAAATATATATATATAGCAGAAGAATGGAGATTAGTTTTGATGATGATAGATATTTAGACGAAAGAATCATATATATATATATATATATATATATGTAAGATATGAATATTACCTGGATCCAAGAGAAGGGGTCACTATTACAAAGAGCAAGACTGTCGGCCAAAGGTTGAAATAAATAAGGAGTGACACCACTATCCTTTAAAACAATAAATTGATCGGAATGCTTGTAAGTTGAAATAAGTAACAAGACAAATTCTTCAGGCGATGCTGTGACACTGGTTGTTTGGGTTAGCGTTGCTGACTCAGAGTGATCAGGTTTGATAGTCGGTTTTTCTGTTGGTGAAGGTGTACATCTTGTTGGGGGAGTAGCGTTTGGATACGACGAGGAACTTGTGATTGAGGTAGTAGGAGAAGACGATAGAAAACGAGAATTTCGTTGTTGTGTCTGATGACGATCTTGATAATTTTGCTCTTTCCAAGTGGGAGAAGGTTGTCGCGTCCTCCAACTAGTTGCTACATATTGTTGTTGCTGATCTTGACCACCTGACTTTTCAATATAATGTTTAGGACGCGAGATACGTTGTTTTTGAACAGATTTGTCGAGAGAATAGTTTGACTTGAATTGTTCTTGTGTCCAACCTTGGGAAATAGTTGAGGAATGTACAGAAGGGTATTCAGATGGTATGACAGTTGACTCGGTATCTTTGGAAGTAATGACCCATTCCTCGTCAGAATCGGACGCCATATCAAATGTGCAGAATATGAAACAATAAAAAGTCCAAGAAAGAATAGAAAAAGATCAAAAAGAAAAAAAAAAAAGAAAGTTTTTTTATTTATTATTTTCTGAAAGAACAGCAGCGGCAAATGAAAAAAGGATCAAAAATGAAAAAGGGAATATAGAGGGAAAATTTAGAAAAATATATGCATGTAATGTATGTAGTAAAATGTGTATGAAGGAAAAAGGGGGAGAAAGTGATAAAACAAAAAAAAAAAAAAGATGACCTATCCTATATTATGGTTTTTTGTCATATTCATCGAATCGGGATGCCAATCGTTGGAAGAAGCGTGTACTAATACTTGGTTGATTGTTGTTATGGTCGTAATAGCGGGGTTTGTGGACAATAGAAGAAGGTGATGAAGTAAATCGTCCTCTTGTCATAAAATGATTGTTGCCCTTGATACCGTTCAAGCCAATATTATTACTGTTATCATTGCCAAATCCACTGAAACCAGTCAGGAAGTTAGCAGGTCGTAAGGTATTCATAGTTGGTGCTACATGTGGTGGAGGAGATGATGCTGTTGATGATGTTGTGGAGGATGATGTTGATATTGATGGTGATGATGAGAGAGTAGTCGCTGTGGCTGGAGATAAAAATGATGATGTTGATGCTGTTGTTATACTGTTGCCAGTCTGTTGTGATATTCCATAGTCATCTTTAAGCTTGAATGATTTTGACATATTTGTTGTAGCTGAAGAGGAGTTGGCTGTACTGCTAGATGTGCTTGCGGTGAGTAATCCATGATCACGATCTGCCAATAACGACTTTAATCCTTCTTGAGCTGTTTTCTTCTTCTTCTTTTCGGTTGCTACATTTGGATTATCTACAGTGATGATCCGATGTCGAATTTCATTCCGTATACTTAGATTCCGTTCTATTTCCTTTTGCATTTCTTGTCTAAATTCAACAGAAAAAACGGCACCCTATAATAGATTATAGAATTAGTAGCAAAGAAAAGGCGTAATTGAATGAAAATTTTTACCTTTGTCACTTCGGTTTCTTTACTACCTGAGATTTGAGTACCTTCCCAATTGGAAGATGATAAGGAGGTGCTATATAAATCGTTTTCAAGGAGATCATCATCATCTAACCTGGGTTCACTAAGATTGTGGATCGTATTTTGAGCTTGTTCCAATAAAGAAGCATACTCTTGAGCTTGGGCCACCATAGTTGAAAGACGTTCTTCACATTCTTGTTGTTGATGTTCCAGTTCAGCTATACGAGCCCGTAATTGATCATTTTCCGTAATCACCTAGTAAATAATCATAATGAATAAATGATATAATTTCTTTTTTTTTATTATTATTACTTTTAATAGATCGGCCTGTATATTTTTAACCAAGTGTGAAGTAGTAGAGCTTGATTGTTTTTGAGAGGTGAGAGCTTTTTCCAATAATGATTGAAGATTGGTGTTCATTTCTCGAGTTGTAGTAAGTTTGTGTTCAACTTCAGCAAGTCGTTTCGCATAGAGACTAACCCGTGACTTAGAGTCTATCTATAATATATAAAAGTGTATTATTAGGCAAATATAAAGTTATAATGATTTTTTTTTATTTTTATTTTTTACTCTTTTTTTTTTTATTTTTTTTTTATTTTTTTTTTTTTTTACCATTTCAGCGGCCATATCATTAAGTTGTCCAGAAAGTACATCCATTTCATTTCGAAATTTCGTCAGTTCCTGGCGTGCCTGATTCAACTCGTCTGTAAGTTGTTGTCGTTCATCGTCCAATAAATCCCCTTGGTGATGCAAGTTACTGTCGTTTATAGATTGGTTGTTATGTGAATAGACCAAAGCATCTTGTAATTCTTGGTTTTCTCGTTCCAGATGAGCCAACTAGAATGTTTAAAATTAAGGGAGATGTATTTAAATATTGAAAGTTACCTTTTTTTTTTTTTACCTTGATTTGAATTGCTTCGTTTGTTTCTGAGATGACTAGACCAAGTCGTGCAGCTACATCGAGATCGTTAGCTACACTTTGTCGTTCTCTTTCTTTTTCAATAAGTAATTTTCGTAGTATGTCGATATCGTCAACGGCGTAGACTTCCTTTATAAAAGAAGGTTTATCTAGAAAAAGGAGAGATAAAAGTAGTAGATAAACGAAAAAAAAAAAATATAAAACACTTGTGTATTACCTTCAGGCATAATTCCAAGACGTGCCAGACAAGGTTCAAGTTTCAGTTGAGAATGAATAGTCATAACAACCACATTCAAGAATAGGATATTTATATATATAGAGGTATATATATATATGTAATATATATAAAATAAAATAAAAAAGAAGAGAGAAAAAAAAATCATCTGCAGATTTTACTTTGAATAAAGTGTGCAAAAAAAAATATGCTGAGATTCAAAATGGTAATTTTCTTTTTCTTGTATTTTTTTGTAGTAGCCTTCCTCTTTTTTGTTTCTTTTGTCTTCTTTCCATAATACATACGTACATACGTATTTATATATGTATATAGATTTAAATAAGGTAACTATCTATTTATTATATCTATCTATGTATTTAAAGAATATCAATCTCATATCCATTCTTTTCATCTAAGAGATGCAATGGCGTGCACTGGTCTTATTATGGACAGGACTGGCCATGATCTATCTTGTCAGTCTTCTTCAAGAAATACCCTATCCTCATCCTGCCAAACTATTTATACCTCCAACTTCTTCTACTCGACAACGACAACTTCCTCCTCCTGATGCTACTATATTAACTGTTTCCAATACTCATATTTATCATACTTCCATCTGGTTCGATCTATCACCAAAAGATTATTCTTTACGTTTAGGTTCTGGTCCTTTTAGCAATGGTGGACTTGGATATTTGCAACAACAGCGTCAAAAACTTTCTGTTCTACTTACAAATTCCTCTGAACTATCGACTGCATATTCTTCCTCTCTACCAAATTGGGAATTGATGCATGATCATGTCCTCAATGGCCCTATTTCTCTATATTCATCACCTGGAAATGGCGGTTCTCCTACCACTGACCTTCAATTTGCTATTCTATATCATGTCTTGAATGATGATCATATACAACATTGGATACGCATTTATTATTTTTCAAATGATCACAACGCCATCTTTCCAGCTGGTCTGGAGTTCAAGGATGTGTTACTTCCTGGTAGTACTTGGATTTCCTCATTCTCTTTGGAATCAAATGCTATTCTTTATTCACGGTAATAAAAGAAACAAAGAAATATGAATCGGATACTTTTTTTTTTTTAAAAAAAAAAAAAGACTGACTTTTACATTTTTATGTTATAGTGATCCAGACTGGTACCGATTTCGATGGGTTACTTTACCTGATCATTTTACTTCTGCCCCACATTCTGAAAATGCGGATGCCATTATCTTGACTCAAAGTGAACCAGGTGACAATAATCAACGTAAGTAATCAAGGCATGTGTGATGCTTATCTAATCTATATACATATATATATATATATTTATATATAGTATTTCAGCAAGTTGACGCCATTGAAGAACATCAAGGGTTGATCTCCAGAATGTATTCACCAACGTAAGTTATTCAAAAGTAAGAAGATTGTAGATCACTAAACCTTACTTTCTTTTGATGACATTTAATTAGACCGGGTGCCATGCAGGTATTTACACTTAATGCATACAAAACTCAGTTTAGCTTCTATGTGCAAGGAGTCATTGCTGAAAACGCTACGACGAATTTGGATCATTCTTCAAAAAATCAATGGGTTGGAAGAAAAGCATATGAGGACGATGTAAGTCAAAAAAAAAAAAAAAAAGAGAGAGAGAGAAATTACAAAAAAGAGGAAGAATTAAGAACTAATGAACATTTTTCCTAGATTGATGTTTTTTCACATGAAACATTGGAATACATGGCTATTGTTGATGGTGTTCATATTCAACATGAACGAATTCAATTGGATATGCCTGATTTATTCATCAGTAAGTCGGTTTAAAAAGGGATGCAGAAAAAAAATGACTTTTTTTTTAATTAATTATTTTGTGTTAGCTCGGTCGCATGATGCAAAGGTGATTGTTATGTCCTCCATCAATTATCCACTGGTCTCTTGGTCCTATAGCGATGGAACAGATCTTTCAAAGATTAACTTCAATACTTCACCAGTAGCAGCAGGATTAGAAAGCAATATTTGGATTCAAGACAGAGTAATGATGGATGAAATGGATGGTGATCTGAAAGGACTCCAATTGGACGATACAGGTCATTATCTTGCAGCATGGACCTCCAGAAATGAAATCTTCATCTTTATACGACAAAAATTACAATCACTCCAACTTGAAGAAAAAGACAATCAATTGGAATATGGTATATCATTGGATGAAGAACGCTTGGAAAGTTGGATCCTCAGCAGGGTGATTACCAAGACTGTGGGGCAATTGACAGATTCGGTAACACCTAACAATAATAGCCAAATCTAAAATAAGAATTATGCTCATTATTTGTTTATTCTTTATTTACAGATTGGCGCCGTGGCATTTATCACAACAAATAATAATAGCAACTATATTAGTACGTCATGACACACTCCTTTTTTTTTTTTTAATAATATCCTCACGCCTTTTTTTTTCCCTTTCTATTTGAATAGTGGTCGGTTTGAATAATGGCGTTATCCAATCATATAGTCTGGACAAGACAGAAATCCAAGAACCTATCGATATTTGGTCATTCCTAGTGGAGCAATGGCATATTTGGCTACGTAAGTTTAATCTCACTTTTTTTTTTTTTTGCATAAATCTCACTTTTTTTTCTTTTCTTTTGGATATTTGTCATTATATTTCTTTTAGCCATGTCGTTTGTCGTCATTTTATTTGTAATCAGTGAAAATCAACAAGCCTCAATAATCAATAATGTACAATAACCATAGTGTATTTGTCCTCGTAAAAATTGATAGTATAATATATAATATATATGATTTTTTAATTTTGCATAAAGAATAAAGAATTGAATAATGATAAAAAAAGTCGAAGAAAAGGGTATAGGTAGATCGATAAAAACAGTATCAAATCAAGGGAAAAAAAAAGGTGGTAGGGTATGATATGGACAAACTATCAAAGTAAGGAATAAAAGATATAATAATAATAATAAAAATAATAATAATAATAATAATAGATAAAAAGGAATAAATGTTACATGGTGGACTAAGTAAAATATAAGGAAGTATATATAAATAGAGAATGATATGTATACGATAATATGCAAATCAAAGAGGATGGGTGTGAGAGTATATTTGGAGACGGGACAAAAAAAAAAAACAGGGAGGGAAGTTTCAATTGTGGCAAGAAGATTTGTTGAGTAAAGGAGTGGTTTCTTGTTGTTGCATTTCGTCCACGCTGGTTTTGCTATTACTGTTGTTACCGGTATTGCCGCTGTTGTTATTGGTGGTGCTGATGATTTTGGAGGTACCAAGAATAATGAAAAATGATGCACACAACAAGATAAAAGAGAACAAGATCAGAATAATGTAGTTGAGCCACAGAATCCATACTGATAATGTTGTAGATTCGCGAATCAATGTAACATCCATGTTAACAAACCATAAGAGATGATTGCCTACATGTAAAATAATAATAATAATAAAAACAAATCAGTCCGTCAATGAATCCACAAACACTTGTCCCTCCTTTTTTTTTTTTTATATAAAGAAAAAAAGAAAAAAAAAACAAACAGGAACATAATATATTCACCACAAAGTACTTCACTTACCGAATAATGCCCAACTGATCTGACCAATGAATACCACACAAGCAAACCGACTTAACCAAATACTAGAACGTTGCTGACTAACACAGTTTGATTCAATATCGAGAGATTGCAGAGTACGTTTCTTAGTCAAACAAGTTGCTATCACGAAACCAGTTGTGATCAAAGACGAGATAACCGAACCCACCAAAAAGATAAGATAGTACATTGCAACAGAAGAAAAGGTCCACCATTGATGAGTACGTTGATATTCCATCTTGATCAGAGCTAAAATAGTACTGGTAGCTAAGTACACGTTGTAGATATTGATAGGAAGTAATGATAACAGAGCCAAAGCCAATCCAAGGATTCCAAGGAACCCTAGAGAAAAACCCAAGGTTGTAGGAGAAGAACGATGTTGAATTAAAGTTGACATGTTATATTTATTGGAATATGATCAAGAAACTAAACTATGATAAAAGGGGATGGAGGAATCAAAGAGAGAAAAAAAATACAAAAAAAGAAAAAAAGAAAAAGGAATAAGGAAAAAAAAAAAAAAATAAAAGAAAAAAAAAGAGGAACCATCTTTTATGTTTGACCCAATTCAGAATCCGCTGGCCAAGTGTCCCAAGTATCTATTATTTTCTATGGTGTTTTGATATTTTTTCTTCACTACTTTGATTCTATCCAATAATCCATCCAAATCTTCTACTGAATGACCCATTTCTCCGATTTCCAAAATCATTTTCTTGATACAGTTGATCCCGTCCTAAGGAGAAAGAAAGCATAAAAGATTTTCATTTGGTTAAAAATTATGCACATATCTTTCATTCCCTCCTCTCTCTCTTTCACGCTATATAATTCCATTTTGTTTTTTTTTTTATTTTTTTTTTTCTCTTACTTCTTCGTCATCATCTAATATCTTGTCAGAAGTACCTAATGAAAATTAAATATTGAATAAAAATCTATTTCTTACATCTAACCCTTCGTACCTGTGTTACCTTCCAATTCGTCTGCTTTTCTTTTGGCCATAGTAATCACGCTATCTGGGAATCGTGCCAACTCCGCAACATGGATACCAAAGCTTTGATCACAAACACCTTCATCCACCTTGTACAACAAAGTAATGTCACGACAACCTGGAACCTTGGAATCATCTACATGGACAGCAACATTAAGATTCTTGACATGACCAATAGTAGTACCTAATTCAGTCAATTCATGGAAATGTGTGGCAAACAAACAAAATGCTCTGATTTCACTGGCAATATGTCTAAATTCAAAAAGGGTCAATTCACTAATATCACTAAAATTTTCCCAAGCCTTTTTTTTTTTTTTTTTTTTTTTGTTCCCATGATCTCTACTTACTCAGATATAGACCAAGCTAATCCAAAACCATCATAAGTACTTGTTCCTCTACCAAGTTCATCAATGATAATCAGAGAATTTGAAGTTGCTGATTTCAAAATGGTTGCCGTTTCCAACATTTCTGCCATAAAAGTAGAAACACCTTTCAATTGACTATCACCAGCACCAACACGAGCAAGAATAGAATCAAATATACATAATCTTGCTTCGGAACAAGGTACAAAACATCCAACTTGAGCCATCAAAGAAATAACACCAATCTATATAAAACATATATCAACTATCATTCTTCATTTTTTAGATCTTACCTGTCGAATATAAGTAGATTTTCCACCCATGTTGGGACCCGTTATAATCACGAATTCGGAGGCATCTATGGAAAATAGAACATTGTAGTTTTTCAAATACAGCCGTTTTTCTTTTTTTTTTTTCTTACCTCGAATCATATTGACATCGTTTGGAATAAATTGAACATCATTTTGTGCTTCTAAGCATGGATGTCTAGCTTCAACAAGTACTACGTCACCTTGACCTAAAAAAAAAAATAAGAGTAATGAATGAATGATGGATCGTCATATTGATAGTTTTTTTTTTGTACCACAAGGATGAATTTCAGGTCGAATATAGGGAATAGGGGCCATAATGGAAGCATGAGCAAAGCTGATAATAACATCTAATTTAGCAAGTAAAGCACCAAGAGTTTCCATAACCGGGCAATAAGTAGCTATAAATAAGAAATGAGTACAACTTTCCTTTTCATTCTTTTGATCATTAAAAAAAAAACTTACCGACGGTCTCGATGACTTGTTTCACTAACCCTTGTTGATATTTTTCATACGTGTTGCACAATTCTGTCCATTCTTCATTGATATGCTTCAATTTTGATGTTGTAAAGTAAGTTCCTGCTTTTTGTGTTGCATATTCAAAGAATTCTGGTTTATTGCGTAAAACATGTGCTTCGGTTCGGCCCACCCGGAAACAATATCCGTATACTGAGTGTTTTTCCATCTTGAGTTTCTTTTCGATATCCAATTTCAACTTTTGTCCAACCTATATAAATAATACATGAGTTATTTATATCACTTTTACCTAAATAATATAATTACTCTTTCATGTTCTATATCCATTTGTTGTTTGGTTTGATCAAGTCGTTGTTTAAGTTCTAAATAAATCACGGATAAAAAAAGTTAATTTTTTTTAAAATAACTATTGTTTCTTTTACCTTTGAGTGTTGTATCAATGTCAGCCTTGATAATGAATTCATGATCTGCCACTGCATCTAAATCAATAGTTGATTCTACCAATTCTTCCAAATTATGCAAATTTTGATACAAATCCTATAAAGACCATTGATTATCAATCATCATGATCCATCATTAAAAGTTTCTTCCACTTACTGATATTTCCGTTGTGAAAATTTTCTCCATCAGATCCGCCATTCTTTGAGATTCAGGTTCATTGGCTTTTAGTACTTTGACAATGGCTGGTAATCGAATCACTACTTGATATATACGGACAACATCCTAAATATATAAATATTATATATATATATATATATATAATGAGTTGAATCAGATAAAATTTTTATCGTTTCATGTGTAAGAAGTACTCAATTTCATTTTTTTTTTTTTTACCTGCAAGTTGGCACTACCACGTTGGAATCGTTTGGCCAATCGATGTAAATCAGGAATATTTCGCAGGTGAGATTCTTGCAAAGTTTGTCGTAGTTCCGTATCTTGAATAAACATTTGTACTAGATCCTGTCGTTGATTTATTTCATCCAAATTCAAAAGTGGTTGTTTGAGCCATTGTGCTAATAATCGCCCACCTTGAGCTGTCTTGCAGTTGTTCAAAAGTCCATACAGACTCATATTTTTGTTGGATCCATCTTGTGGGTTCGGCATCAAATTCAAAGCACTAAGAGCAGAGGCATCCAGTCGCATATATTGAGATAAATCGTGTTGAACCAATTTGAAGTGCTTAAAGTTGGTTTCATCGGCAAGAAGTGATAAATATTTAATCAGACAACTACTGGCTTCCATAGATAGTTTCAGTTCGAACTCGGCTAAGATGAAGAAGGTTAGCATTATGTTTTCTTGCTAAATATCTCTCTTAAAACTTACGTAATGCTGCCACTGAGATTTCACCTTCCAGTAAACGGTTGAGATCTTGTTCGATATTCTTGGTGTTGAAGTCTCCTTTTTTGCGTTCCGTTGCTACAATTCCACATCGATCCAAAATGCCACGTATCTTGATAGCTTCATAATCCTTTCCCGATTCATCTGCTGGTATTAAACATTCTTTGACTCCAAGTTGAATCACCAATGACTATAATGATGAAAAAAAATCACAATGAGTATAAATACATGCAGATTGTTTCCTGTCATTACCTCCAAGTTTGAATAGAGTTCATTGTCGATAAACTGTGATACACCAATTTGTTTGATACTAGCATCCGCAAACGATACACCAACTATCTAAAAAAAAAAAAAAATTGACTTTAGTATTCCTCCTTGCTATCCAATAGCAACTTACTTTTTGATCACCCGTTGACATCCATTTAACCGCCATCACCACTGGGGCCGTTGTCATTGTTGAATTCAAAAACAAAAGATCTTCTACATCTTGTAAGTTTCCAGGAGAAGCGTTGCAAATGATGTTCCAACTAGTTGTATTTTTCTTTTGTCGCCAGATTTCAATACGAAGTTGTTTGGTGAGAAGAGCATCACGAAGAAATGATTCAGCAACACTACTGGAAAGAAGTGTAGTTGCGAGTCCTGTAGTAGCATCATTACCACCCCAGTACTTGATCACTGTTGTCGTCTTGTATATGTTTTGAGCAATATAATGTGCGTCGTCCCCGTGAAAACTATAGTACCGCTTTTGGTTGGCATCCCGTTCGAATAATCTTATGGTACCATCGGTCACCTGTCAAAAAGAGAAAGAAATAATGATTCAGTATTCAACATCTAGGTTCTTTTTCTTTTCTCTTTTTTCTTTTCTCTTTTTCTTTCTTTTTCTTTTTTTTTTTATCGTTTTGATTGATTTACCGGACTGAGGGATCTAAAAAATTTAACAAATGTTTGCTGTTCTGGTCTATCTACAGTTGAAAGATAATATAAATTATGATTAAAACTTTGTATATCATTTCACAAAAATGTTTTTCTTTTTTATATATTTATTCCTACCAATATCAGGGATATCCTTCAATGTGGATGTCATTATCCTTTTATAAAACGGAAGAAGATTGAATCGAGGCAAGTGTAAAAAAAAAAAAAAAAAAAAAAAAAAAAAAAAAAAACGCGCCTAAATTTTTGTTTGCGCCATTTGAAATATCGCGACGAGGAGCGTTAAGAAAATGTTAAGCATGAACAAAAAAAAAAAATCAAAATAATAAAAAACTTGAAGTGAACAGAACGATTGTAAAATCATAATAGTTTTATTAAAGGTGACTAAAAGTAATGGTATATACTAATATAAAATGACTACTAAAGCAACGATTAGACAATTTTTTCAGTAAATGCCTAATATTATAGAAGAAGAAAGAAAGCATTAGTATGATTATTGTTATTATTATTTTTTTATGACCCTTACCTGGGATAATTCTATATTTCACAATAGAGCAGTACTTTTCCCAATCTTTTCCATACTTGGTACGACATTTATGATCATCACGACGTTCACGATGGAGTAAAAGGATGGCAAAATAAATTGGATAAAAATAAGGAACGATGGAACCAAAACCACAAGGAAGACACCATGATAAAGCCATCAACCAATCACCCAAATAATTGATATGACGTGCTAATCCCCACCAACTACTGATGATTAGTTTGGACCCTTTGCTTGTTGTGATATACTTGAGATCTATCCCAAAACGAATAAATGAATACCTAGATTTCGTGCTTTTATTATTTGGTTACCTTTGACAGCAGGACTATTAGGATTACTTCTGAATTCATTCTTTTGACTGTTAGCACTGCGGAAAATAAAGTAACCTAGAAAGTTGAGACCAACAATAATACCCATTTCCATCCAACTGAGATCACGAGGGTTGTCAACCAAGTAACGTGCTTGAAGAGTATAATTCATTGGTACCCAGGTGTAAAGACCAAATGCAAGCATGAAACCAAAACCATCTACCGAATAGAGTAATGTTAGTTCATTCATATGCAATTATAATCCATCCTTTTTTTTCGTTATTGTTGTTTTACCTGTTGTTATATCCATAGTAGTCAAAACGGCTTCTTCATTCCAGACTGAGTCTACAATATACCATGCTTGGAAAGCTTGAACAAGAATCATAGAATTGGTGATATATCCAAGATCCAAATATTGTTTAGCTGCAAAGCAAAGATTGATGACTTGCCAACCAATCATACCCGGACGCAATTCAGTAAAGAATTTAATGTCAAAATCACCAATACGAGGGTTCAATTCTCGACCAATCATATACTAAATGAATAAAAAGGAAAGAAGGATATTGTCTTAGTATCTATCCAATATACATTCATATAAACTTTACATCATATAGAGCATTGCCAGTGTTACCACCAAGGGCTAATAGGGTGCCAGGAGTAAAACTTCCAATGTAAACATATAAAGCCACAATATAACTGAAAAGAATAGACGAGACAGCTAAACCGACAAAATGATCATACACGAAAAGTAATGGTTTGAGACCCGTGTCCTTCAAAAAGTAAAGTCCGAGAAACAAAGTGGCATGATAGGCAGTGAATCCTATAAGAATGTAATAAAAAAATTACCATTAAAAACAGAGCTAAAACAAAAAAAAAAAAAAATTGTTTACCATTCAAACGATATTTGAGACGTTGACCGTTTCTTAATTCAGTACCAGGATACAAATCAGCAGGAAGGGCAATATAAAGTAGAGCTTGAAGTAAAACGAAGGCAAGATAGACCATCATAGCCATAGGATCGTACAAAGTCTTTAAGTAATCACGATTGAATAGCTGGGAAAAGTAGGCCCTGTAATCATCAATAAGAAAGCTGGATGGATAACCTGTCTTATTACAGCAGATGGCCAAAAAAAGAACGAGCAAAGGCAATACCGTGACAAATAAAAACGCGCCTATAGGTCCCAGAAATTCATAACGTGTCGTTCTTGGATTTAGTTCAGTAGTTGATGAGGTCTTGACATTTTTCTTTTTAGTTGCTGTCATTTTTGGATCTAAAAAAAAAGAAAGAAAGAAAAAAAGAAAATCAAAAAATAAGAGAAAAAAAAAAAACCTTTTCAAATTAAATCTGTCTGTCATCGTCTCCGCCAAATCTTCACCACGGTTGGTTGTTGGAACCCAGCGGATTGATATCTGTTTGACTATCCTGCAATGAAACCAAGATCAAAGGAAACTCTTCGTTTTCTCGGCGCACATACCGCCAAGAGACCATCATATTTTTACCATTGTGAAAGGATATCATAAACATGCACATAGACCTGGGTTTGACACAGATATAGTAAAAAGGAACTAATCCATCCAGAAAAAAAAAAAAAAAAAAAAAAAAAAAAAAAAACTTTCATCCCCATTCTGTATTACTATTAATCGTAAAGTCAATCCATATATCTATATATGTATATTGAAAAAAAAGATTGTGTTTCCAAATCATGTATTTATTCGTTGATGAAAATATATACAACATTCTAATCTAAAATATGTATACTATCTAACTACTTCCATAATATGTATACTATCTAACTACTTCCACTATTGTCATATAGTTTTCTTTTTTTAGCTATAAAATAATAAAAGTAATAATAAAAGAATTAATATCATCACAATCAAATGCACCTTAAGGAAAAAAAGAAAAACACTTACTATCACGTAATACACTATAAGCATTAGAGATTACTTGGAATTTTTTCTTGGCTTCTTCCTTCTTCTTTGGATCCGTATATCTATCAGGATGATATTTCATAGCCAAACCACGGAAAGCACTTTGGATATCAGCCTTTGTAGCATTAGGTGAGACATTCAAAGCAGCATAATAACCTTTTGGATCTGAAGAAACACCTGAAGATGAATAAGATCCAGTTCGCTGTTGATGAGCTTGTTGTTCTGCGCGCCATGATCGATACCGTTGTTCATTTTCAAAAGTGTCATATGCAAAAGTCCAATCCGTATCCCATATCTTTGGATCCTTGGCTTGATTCTTCATTTCTTGTTGTCGAATAGCATCCTGTATTCGTAAGGAGATCAAAGGGTAGTAGAGAGCGAACATGGAAGCAACAACAGAAGGTAATACCACACCAATCTAAATAAATAAAAAAATGGAATGAGTTTAGATTATTTCTTCAGCATTATATATATATATATATAGATATACCCAAAAAGATCCACTAGCTCCACCCCAACCAATGCCTCCATTGATGATGATCAATCCAGTCATTGTCGCAGCAGAGCATATAGCCACACGTCTCCAATTGTATGCCCGCATTCCACCAACCGAAAGGTTGTTTCCATTGACAAAAGTACGAAGTCGGCGACCAAGGTAATCAACAGTAAACACATATGCTGGAAAATAAACAGGTGAGACTTGTATATTGGTAATAGAGATCTCCATGTCTACCAATCGTGTCTTGTCAGCGGCGAAAGTATTGCACAAAAAAGTATCCATTTCCTTTTCTTCATTGGATTCAATATACGAGCGAGCAAATCGAAGAGCAGTGGTAGGATAGATGGTATATGGGTCTACTTTACGTTGAATATTGCGAATATCACTATCCATGTCATTGTAGCTGGGTCGATCCAACAGATCTGGTGTGAATGCCTGTACTTCCGTCACATGTCCTTGTCGTATACCATTCAATAGTCCTCGTCGGTATTTGTGAGAACCATAAATTTGTAAATTGGGATGCGCTGCTGGAAGATATTGTCGTGTAAAAGTATATTGTGTTGGTGAAGGTATCCAAGCCCACTCTGTCGTATACATAGGTTCCATACGTCTGGTGGCTGCATTATATTGATGTGTAATAACATTTCTACCCTATCAAATAAAAGTAAAAAAAAAAAAAAAAAGTTTTGAGTCCCATGCAATATCCTCACCATCCAAGATTTACCACTTGAGCTTGTTTCAATTGGACGCGAACAGTGGCAGAAACCATCCAAAACGGTAAAAATATTTCTTCAGGAGGACCAGCATTGGCAACACGTACGGAGAAAAAGCCTTGTCCATGAAAGTCATCAAATACCTAGAAGATGTGGAAGAGAACAACAAAAGGTTGTTAGTATTATCGGAACTGTAACGTTCATTTAATTACCGTTTCTGCTGCTTTGATATGTTGTGTAAAAGGAATGGCGCGCACTTTATTTTCAGGTGGTCCATAGTTGTTTTTCCCTTTACTTTTAGTACTACTTAATAATCGAAGTTGTATCCTTTTCCATTGTTGTCGACGACAAGAGTATCTATAGAATGGGTGGAATATTTGCATAAAAGTAAAAAAAAATAATAAGAGAGAAAAAAGAAGTGAAAAAATATAAAAAAAAAAAAATGAAAAAAAAAAAAATTGATCTACCGCTCCGAAGAAGTAGAGGAACAGGACTTGAGACTATAAGAAGTAACATCTATTTTCTTTTTTTTTTTTAAGGAATCCAATGGTAGCAGTTGTGTTGGATGATCATCACTATTGGAATGAGCGATGAATGAATTGACTCTTTAATTTACTTCATAGATTGGGCGGAAAGGGGATAAATTGTTATTAAGGCAAGTGAAAGAGACTGTCTCCATCTATGTTCAGTCCAAATTTGGTGAGATGATGATCAGCTATTGAGCGAGAAAGGTAAAAAAAAAAAAAAAAAAAAAAGTCAAAGCTTGCTTCCTTCCATCTTGAGATTTGAAGTCAAGATACGAGGTTTGAACAAAAAATGAAGAGATGCGACTGCTTATCAAATGTATTGTCAGCACAGCATAAAGAAGTATTGTGTCCTTAACCATTCATCATTCAATAAAATTTATTCATTATGTTTCACTATGTTGTTATTTTCTTATATCAATACAAACCATCTATTAAGCACAACCAGTAAGAATCAACGTGATTGGCACCATTATCGCTAACAAGATCATTCTAGAATACGATCATTCTTTTGTTCAGTTCACATCTTTGTAAAAAAAAAATAATCATCATCATTTTATAATATTCCAAGTAATAAAAAGGTAAAATGAAACAGAAAACAGAAGAGAGAGAAAGAGAGAGCATTGCTTTATTTGGTCAGGTATTGTATAAAATTTTATCAACTATCTATGAGATAACATAAACAAAAGCATCATAAACTAAATAACAATCATAATTAATAATCATGATAAATATATATATATATATATATAAAGGATAGAGGTAAAGTGAAATATAAAATACATTCGCATACATACTTGTTTGGTATAATCCTGTCAAGACACGGATAGGTTGTTATCACTAATGGTCTTCTTTGCTAAATTAGATTGTAACTTTGTCAATATATCACACCATTGAGCAGGAGTATGTCGTGTGATTTGGATTTGTTCAGATGTTGCTTGCGTATTGTCATCATCAATTGAAGTGCTAGTTTCCCGTGTTGGAGTGGATGATATTGTTGCTGATTCATCTGTACGAAGTCGCTTTCTTCTGTTTTCCTCGTCCTCTTCCTCGTCTACCTCATTGCCATCTTCATCATCATCTTCATCATCACTAAGTAAGCTAATCACATTGTCACGAGATCCAGGTGCTAGATTGTTGTTGTTATCATTACAAGTGTTTGATTCATTGATAGCCACCTTGTGATCACCACCGTATTCGGCATCCGAGTCATCATCGTTGTCTCCAGTATCATCCACAGTATCCGCCTTAGTCACTTTCCAGTTTTTGTGTGATTCAGAAATTTTCACTTCATAAGCAAGCTTGGGAACCGATGATAGTATTTTTTCAAAATAAAGATCACGTCGCAAAACAGTCGGAGGAGTAAACTGATTACAAAAAGGACATTTCCAAGAACCAAGACCTTGATTCACAGCCAAAAATGACTGTAGATCAAAACACTAGAATATTAAAAAAAAAAAAAAAGATCAATCAGCTAAACATATTATCACTTCTTTCTTCTCTTCAATACACTTACGTCAGGATGTTTGCAGTATTTCCCTTTACAAGGTGTCTTTATCCGAGTCATGGAAATAGGACATTTCAAGTTTAAAACAATTGATTCTTGGAGAACTTGAATATCGTCATCATCATCATCATTGGTTTGTTGTCCATTGTGTTTATCGTTGTTGTTTCCCAATAATTTGTCGACAAGCTGTCCACCAGATGTTTCGTTGATAATGTTGGTACGAACATCATCCGTAATCAGAGCTTCACTTTGAGATATATAGGCCTCAATAGAAAATTTAAATTTCTATAAACAAAAAAAAAAAAAAAAAAAAAAAGTCAAAAGCTATCCACACATTATACACGCGCACACTCGGAACATCAATCTTATATATATTAACACTTACACATGAACAGGAATTTTGTTTGATCGTCAACGTATTCTTGCCTTCAACGAGATGATTCACCATATCATAAGGTGAGTCTTTTCCATAATACACTACACCACCATCATTTTGTGATTGAAGTTTCTGTCTCTATAAATGCATTATTAAAGATTAGTATACTATCGATTAGTTTTTCATTATTTCTCTTACCTTTTCTAGACGTGCAACTTGTCTGTTAATCATGATTTCAATATCGGCAGGCCATTCACATTTGGAAGGAGGCGATGATGCTTTTCTTGCTGTAAGGATATATTTGAGTGGAAGACTGGATGGATCAGGAATAACTTTGGATGACAACTGCGAACGCTGGAAATCCGTTTTTCCAATGAAAAATGGCATTTCAGTGATTCTTTCAGAATGTCGTAAGTTAAAGGGCGAAAGGGCGAAGTTGACTTTATAATTGTAAATCGGTAACTGATTTTCTGGTACAGAGGGTATAATTGATGAGATTGTTGTCGGTAAAGTATTTGGACTCAATGTTGTATTTGACATAGTACCGTTGACGAGTTGAATGGGAGAAATTGGAGCAGGATTTCCATTTGGTCGTTGGATTGTCACTGTGCCTTGCTGGTGTGATGACTGAGATAAATGTGGGACTTCCTGATGTTGAGTAATAGCTTGAAACAAATGATCTGAGTACCCTTGTATTTGCTGTGGCTGTTGTTGCAATTGATGTTGTCCTTGATGTTGAGGTTGCTGCTGTAGTCGTTGTAGTCCTTGCTGTTGCTGCTGATGTTGATATTGTTGTTGCTGTAGATGTTGATGTTGATGTTGATGCTGATGTTGGTGTTGACCCTGGTGACGTCGTTGTCGCGGTTGCTGTTGGTGCTGATGAGGATGTTGCATTTGATGTGCAAGATAATTTACATACTGATAATTTTTTTGCCGATTTTGTTGATGATGATTCTGCCTCTGTTGATTTTCCCCATTAAATGTTTGTTGTACTGGTTGTGACTGAATTTGTTGATGATAACTATAATTTGGATGTACGGGTGCTAAAGGTTGCGGATGTGATTGTTGTGGAAGTTGTACGTATATCTGTTGTTGTTGTTGATGTAGTCCTTGAACTTGAACTTGGGGTGATACCGGCTGCTGTATAGCTTCTTGCACCAGTGAGTTTGATATAAATGTCGAATATGCTGGATGTGATCCAGACTGTGTACCAGTCGAAAAAATATTGCTAAAAGTATCGTTAGACGGATGACTTGGAATGACCATTGGATGTGTAGATACAGGTGAATTTGAAGAAGGACTGTTTGGATGTACAGCTTGTATAGAATTGCTGATAGAAGATGCATTCGTATCTGGTGATTTTTCAGAGGGAAGTAAATTTTGTTGTTGAAGGATGCCTTTGTACCATGTTGTTGCCAAATCTATCAAATAGAAGACATTATATATGAAAAAAAAAGATGAAAGAAATTAGTCACAATTTAATCTGAAGTATCAAAAGACTAATGGGTAACTTACTTTGACCTTTAGGTGACAACAAGTGTTTATTCTTATTGATAGTATCCAATATTCGAAATCCAGACCAAGGACCAAATTCGGAGGAGTGATCATAAACGCACTATTCAAAAAGCCAGTGAATATCAAATATCATGATTTTTTTTTTTTTTTTGAAATGTATTTACCTTTGCACATTTCAGTAACCAGCTTTCATTGGTATTATTGTATGCCCGAAAATCATCAAGCCAAGTTAGGAGTTCATCACAACAGGTTCCAAAGGTCACCAATGCTTGTAACCCTTTATGTAATTCCTGAAGTCGTTTATTGTTGTTGAGAAGAATTTCTTTGCTCTGTTGCATTAATCTATTGGCAGTTTCACTTTGATTTTGCTGTGGTTGCGGCGACAACTGATCCGTATTGGTTACGAGATTTGCAGTAAAAGAAATTGGTGATGAAGTAGAATCCACATCAACTCCAGGTGGGGTTGCAGGTGATAATCCTGGTGTAGAAGCATTCATAATTGGAGAACTTTGTTGCATGGATCCTTGTTGTATTGAAGAGGTTGACAAATTTTGTTGTAATAATGGAGAGGCAGATGCAGGAGGAGGAGGAGGAGAAACTGTCGGTAATGATACTGAAGAAGTTGTTGATGACAAACGGCTATGAGAATTCGTAGTTGTAGTTGTAGTTGTCGGATTGGAAGCTAGATGAATAAAAAGTAAAAATCGGTTTACCTTATTGTCAGATGTATAAAACAAAGATAAAAATTTCGGTTTTACCTTCATAATAAACGCCGGAATTTGTGGGAGCGGGTAAGCATAACGAATCCATGAATGAAGGTACTGTCGCTGCGCTTGGAGTCGGCATGGTATCTTTTAATGAATATTGTTGGTTATTAGTCGAAAGAGAACCTAATAAAGATAGATAAACAAAAAAAAAAAAAAAAAAAAATAAGGAGTTTATTTTTATTCATCCATTTCGTATAATCATTAGTTTACCATTCAAGCTAGGTTGATGCTCAATTGACGAGTTTCGATTCGTGGTCATATATAAATATATTATATATACGTGTATGTATGTTTTATGTATATTTATATATATGGAACAACCAACTAGGATAAAGATAAAATAACAAAAAACTAATTATAAAGTATAAAATAAGAAAAAAAGGAACGGAAAAGAAAGAAAAAAAAAAAAAAAAAAAAAAGAAAAAAGAAAAAGAGAAAAAAAAAACTTTTGGGTTAAAATGTACGTTGGAAGTCCGGCCTCAAAAAAAAAAAAAAGTTGATAAAATCACAATCAATACTGTAATAATCAAGATAAATAATAATAAACTTTATTTCATTTTATTCAATCCTTTTCTACAATTCTTTGAAGATGTTCTTCAATTTGATCCACTGTCAATGTATGGAAGTCTGTCTTGTCCTTAGTCACCAAACCCACTTCAATTTCACTAGCTTTAAAGTCCACTGCCAAAACTGTAGACAATGTTGTGATTGCAAGCTAAATAATCAGCAAAAAAAAAAAAAAAAAAAGAATTAGTGATCAATAACTATCATTTTTATTTATTTACTTATTCAAAACTTACTTCAATGGTATCTTCCATGTTCAATTCAGGATTCTTTTTCAGTTTCTTTTCCAAATGATTCAGAGCTTCTTGTTGTTTAGCCCCAGCTGCAGTTGCCTTATATCCAACATAATATCCAGCAGGATCACATTTGTACAATTGAGGTCCCCATTCATCATCATGTCCAATAAGAATCATAGCTATCACAGAAATATATAAAAAGACAGTAAATTATTCATTCCTCCCTTCATTCTCCTGATGGTGACTTACAAACACCCAAAGGTCGCATGGCAGCTTGTTGAGTATAGACTTGATTAATGTTGGCGACGCGCTTAGCAAGCATATCAGTAGGAATTTCGTACCCGTATTTGTATCGGAATTCAGCTGCTTCTTGACGAGCACGAGTGACTTGAGAACGAGCATCAGCTACATAAGTGGAATAAATAAAGAAAGATGGATCAATAAAATTACAATCAAATTTAAAAAAAAAACCCACAATATCAAATTATTATTCTCATAATATGAATCACTTACGAACCATTCCGGTCATAACACAACCAATTTTTGGTGTCAGTTGAAAGATGTGCGTAATAGTAGAAGGGTCCAATAGCTTGTCCTAGAAAATAATAAAGAAAGAAAAATATGCAAGTTAGTTGATCGCACACAAGACAATGTACACACACATATATATAGATTGTTTCCACAATGATACTTACAGGAACCTTCTTTTGGGTAACAATGACGCAGCCATCACGACCACGTACTCCAACGGATGTGATACCACTGTTCGAAATGGCTTTGAAGGCATATTCTATGGTAAAAGAGTGATAACATCATTTGGTTAGTACAATAAAGTATCTTGTTCATTATAAAACAACTTCTCTCCAACTAAACAAGTCAAACTCCTTTTCAACAAAGAAAAGATAACTGGTTACTCGGATCGACTTTGTTCCTTCCCTTTATTTTTATCGCTATTCTTACCAACTTGATATAACCGTCCTTCTGGTGAAAAAATAGTAATATGTCGATCGTATCCAGCACTTGATCCTCGACTCATGTTTTATTATTTGAGCAAAAGAAAAAAAAAAAGGTTGAATAAAGGATTAAAAAGAAATGAAAAGAAAAGTGAAAAAAAAAACCAAAAGTAACCAGACAAAAAAAAAAAAGAAAACGCGATAGCACACACGTAAGGGAAAAACGTCACCCCCCTCCTCTTTGCGGTAAATCAATGTCCGTACCTTCCTTCTTTGGGCGACCACTTGTCAAAAGAGAGAGGAGGATTATGATTCCACTTGATGGTTCAACTTCCGCAACAACATACTCTTGTTGAAAGGGAATCCTTTCTCTTTTTGATATATGATGATGGATAATGGATAATGGATGATATGACTTTATAGATATCAAAAAAAAAAAAAAACTGAATCTGTCGAAATACGTAGAGCTGTGAGATGATTCATAGTATGAAAAAGGAAAATATTATAGTTTGGTAACAATACAAAGTTTAAAGAGTATCATCAAGTTGTTTATTTACAAAACAAAAGTAAAATATAGTAAAAATAAAAAATAAAAAAGTGTACATGAAAAAAAAGAGTGTATGTATATACAGAAAAGATAAACTAATATGAAGATAAGAACCCAAAATCTAACTATTGAATAATCGAGAATATAAACGATCATGCATGCCTTGGCAAACATCAAGCAAAGGATTGGTTTGGCAGCAATCATCCATTGTCAAATGATTGGTTTGCTGAATAATATCTTCCACTGATGCCCTGGATTCGAATAATAGTTTTTGTGCTTCATAAGGTCCAACCAGATTAAGTCGTACTGCTGATGAATAAAGAGTCCTAGTAAACAAATATAGCCATAAGTGTAACGTATTTTCTATCAAATTTTACCATAAAGGAGGAAGATAACAAAAAATTCAATATAAGTAATCGAGAATCCTTCCATATCATGTTTCTTTTTTTTTTTTTTTTTTTTGTGTTCCTTACCTAGATCCACATCTAATAATCGACAGATCAATCCAAAACAAATAGGAAAATGACCAAAAGTAGTACCAGCTCTAATCCGTAACTTCCATTTCTTAACAAGATCTATTTCCTTTTGAGGTCGAGTGTCAGTAAAACATTTAAGATACAACGTCAACATAGCAACACCTTGAGCTAAGGATGCACGACGGGCTACAGCATTGGCTATCATCACCGCTTCACAAGTATCATCACCTTCATCCAAAGCTGCCATTGGATCTTCTTGTTGAGGAGCCTCATACCCAGCCTTCACAAAACAGAGTGTTTGACTTGAATAAGAATGAGCAGAAGATGTAACAAAACCAGGTAGAGAGTCTCTTGTTAGCAAACCAGCTTGAAAAGTCGCCTCCAAACCAGACGACGCTACAAATCCACCAGTGGGTAATGCTGAATCTGTAAGAATATAAAGTAGCCAGCTACTTGTTTCATTGGATACAAAAGGAAGTTGACTTTGCATCAAATGGAATATAGAAAGAATGAATGAAAGAAAAGAAAGAAGAGGAAAAATGGGCAAATATGAAAAAGTGGAAAAGGCAAAACTTTTAAGAGCTCCGCCAAATCGATTTGGCTCATTATCCAAGGTCGCACAAATTTGAATTTTTGAACCGGATGATTGACAATGGTTGAATGATGAATGAATAATAGTTGATCAAGTAATGATGATTATATAATGGTTGGCTTGAATAATACCTGATGATTCGTGTGAAATATAAGTGAATGAAGACTGAAATGATGGATGAATGAATAAGACGGAAGTAATGATAATGATGAACAGAATGAAGATGGATTAAATGATGAATATTCAGAAATTATGATTCAAAATTGAGAGGCAAAAAAAAAAAAAAAAAAAAAGATAATTTATTATAAATGATAACACTAGACATTAGTAAATAAAACAAGTACAATAAAAAAAAAAGTAATAGAAAAATAATTATTAAAGATTCTAAACTAAAAGTAATAATAACGGTAAAATATGAATAAAAATATACTATATGGACAATAACAATAAAAAAAAAGGATCATTGTGTAAAGACATCCAAGTTGACACTTGCAGTACTACTATAACTTGCTGAATATTTGGAAATGATTTTCTTGAGAGCGGTAGGAAGAGAAGACCAAGCAAATACCTTGAGATCCTTTTCAATATTTCTTGGTTTTGGATGATTGAATGCCATGATGAGTCGAAAAAAGTCACTACTATCGGGTTTCAATTTGCTGACAGTTAAAGGACGGAAGCCCTCCAGGTTGCGACGGACACGATTCTTTTCTTCAGTGGTGAATCTTACGCCTATCAAAGCTTCTAATAGATAAATGATGTCGACAGATGTGATATAGTAATCCTGCTTTTCTTCCCAATAGATACATGATACAATGATTTCTTGCGCTGCGTTAATCCTATTGGTGGGTGGAATGGATTGACAATTGCAAATGATCTCGTGATTCTGCTGTCGTCGCCAAAATCGTACTAACCTTCGATTATCTTGTCGTTCTTGATCTGTCCAATCTTTCATCATAGCATCCATATCCCCTTCAATGATCAGATCGGCATGACTTAATAAATTGGCAAATGGATTTGGTGTGGTAGGACTAATACCAGGTCGTGATAATGTTGGTGATGTTGATGGCGGTTGTAATGCAGCAGGTGCGATCTCTAATCCTGCCCCAGATGATGATATTGATGGAGGATGTTGTTGTTGTTGTTGTAAATGAGGTGCCATACCAGTAGTAGTAGATGATGATGATGTTGTTGTTGTTGTAGAAGGAATAGGTGGATGTGATAAAGAAGGAGATGATGTTGTTCCATAAGTAGCTGAAGGATCAGTAAGTCCTTGAGGAAGAACATTCGTAGTAGACATAGAACTTAAACCCATTGGATCAGTTGTACCATAGGAGAAAGTATCTGTTGAGGTTGGAGTTCGATATGGAAACATGATTTGAGAAGGTGTAGTGGAATCTAATAATAATAAAAAAAAAAAAAAAAGAGGGAGAAAAATTAATACAAAGGTTGATTATTGAAAAAGGATATAAACAAGGGAGAAGAAAGAAAAAAAATATATGAAACAATGAAGTCATTTGTATATAACATATTGAATGATGTCAAAAAAAAAAGGGTAAATGGAGATAACGGCAATGATTTCTAGTTTGGTCAAGTACTAAAGGAGTAATGGAGAGAAAGAAAGCAAAAAGGGAAAAAAAAGTGGAGAATGAAAAAAAAAAAAAAAACCTTTTTGTGCCAAGGTTTTAATAAAAAAAAAAAAGAACAATGACGCGGAGATGAAAAAGGAAAGACGAAAGAAAAAAAGAAAGTATTTTCTTACCATCAAAATATTGTCTTGATCGACCTGTTGAAGTGGGATGACTAGATGATGATGGTTGCATATATTGTTGTGATAATCCATAATAATTATAATCATAAGGTTGCTGAGTTGATAACATGTATGAACTTGCAGCTTGTTGTTGTTGTTGTACTTGTGTATCCGGGTCTGTCACTTTTGTTTCCAAAAAAGAGTTTAATTTTTTTTTTGTTAGTATATGAGTCCGACTGACGATCCTTTCTTTTTTTATATAAAAAGTTTTACCATCAACAGTAGTAGTAGAAGAAGAAGGAGCAGAAGTAGTGGAAGGTTTAGTTCTTTTCATCATCATGGCATAATTCAAAGGTATTTCAGCTGATGATCGTTTCCTTGATTGATAAGTAAAATACCCCACAGGCCAAGCATCTAATATATTATGAGGCTGATCCGATACAACAACATATAAAGTAATAGTTTTGTCACCTGATTGTGTCAATGACCAAGAAGGTACAGTACAAGTAAGTTGAATGATGTTGGATGCTGGGTCTAAAAACGATTGTGTTGGCATGATGCATGAACCAAATGCAATTTTCAATAAAGGTTGGCATTCTGTGTTATCCATCTGTAAGCTGACATGAAGATTTTCCAATTCTTGTCCATGATGTGGTCCATATTCATATATTCTAGGTGGAGAATAACGTTGAGTTGGAGGTTGAATAATCCATGTTGACAACGGCTGTTGGGCTAATGATTGCCTCTCCTGCTGCTGTCTCGATGAATCGTCGTCGTCTGATGATGTGGGCAAGTTATAATCTATAGTGCAAAAAAGAAAAAAAAAACGAGAGAGAAAAGAAAAGAAAAAAAAAATGAGAAAAAAAAAACAAGGTTATAGATAAAAAGGAAAAAGAAAAGGGTAATAAAAAAAAAAAAAAGAGGAGGTGATAGGGTTTTATGTTGTTTTTTTTTTGTATATTTTTCTAACGTTACGTTGTTGTGCCATTGTTTAGATCAACCACAAGACCGATGATGATCGAAAATGAACAATAAAAAATATATTATAAGATTGATGATAATATGTGTACTTGTTGACAATAGTTTGTTGTAATCCAGTTCTTAATCGATATATATTGTTATTACTATTGTTGTTACTATAAGATAATAATGATTTATCTATCGGATCGGGTGTAAAATGATTTTGACGTCAACCAAATAGGTTCTATAATAATAATAGTTCAAACAAAATGTCATGTTAGTATCTGAATGTTTTTCCCTTTTGGGTTTTCTTTTATGGCTGATAACTCCGCTACATCACTTTCACCGCATGGTGTTACAACCATGTGCGTATATCATCAAGCATAAAAATAAAAAAAATACATATTCTATTTACTTTTTTTCTTTTCTTATAGTCGATTAAAAGTTGAAATAGGAAAAAAAAAAAAAAAAGAAATCAAAAAGAAAAAAAAAAGTTTAAAATGGAAAAATTGAAAATATTTTTGCTTAACCGTAGTTTCTACGATTCATGTAAAACTTATTCAATCAAATCATGTTTCGATCTTTGACTCTTCCGGGAAAAATAATTCCGCATGCGTCACATGAATTTGCCTAATTGTTAGTGGCTTTTTTTTTCCATTTGGGCTTTGTTGACCCTTCCCATCCTCCCCTCTTCTCCCATTTCTCCTTTTTCTCTCTCTCTCTCTCTTTTTTTTTTTTTTTAATACTTCTCTTTTACACATTTTACCCAAGCACCGTATTCACTTTCTCTCTCTTTTCTTCATCCTTCCTACTCCCTTCATAACTGGTACTACATTATCTTTTTTTTTTTTACTATTATTAAAAAAAAAGAAAACAAAATGAATATAAATATTTTTTTATCATGACCAATAACACCTTTTCCTTTTTTTTTTTTTCCCTTCCTCCCTTTGACAGAACAAAAACTCATCTAGTCTTATTCTCTCCCCATCACCATTTATCATCTCTACTTTTTTTATTATTTTTTATTATTCTCTCTTATTTATTCAAGTTTCTATTTGTCGTAAGTATATTAAACTATTGATCTATTATAATATAAAGACTCATTTATTATTATTATTGTTACTATTATTAATAGTTTATTTCAATCTATTCAATTAACTCAAGTAACTGTATAGAACCAATAGTCTTTATCCAATTATATATATATACATTATACATATATATTTATATTAGCTTGTCTTTTCTTTTTTTTAAAAAAAAATTATAGAAAAATGTACGACCCCGAATACAGCAGTTCACCAACTGATAGAACTAAACGACCAAGACTCGAAGAAGAAGTTGATACTGATGATGAACATCGTGGTGAAGAAGATAGACATCCAAAACGACAAGCAGTACCTGATCCTGAAACAAAAGCACCTCACTTTGCTGGCGAAGAAAAGAAAGATTCTCAACAAAAACGAAATAAAAAATGGTCTGAAGGTGATTCTGAAGATGAAGTACAAATCATAGTAGCTGGACAACCTCGTGAATCTGACAAAAATAATGATACTCAAACAGATCGTAGTAAAACTAACAAGAACAACAATGAACTCAATTTGAAATTACAACGTGGTGATGTCAATATATCTATTCGTTCTTTGGTGGGTACAAGAGATGCTGGTGTCATCATTGGTCGTGGTGGGAAAAATGTCAATGAAATTAGAGAATACTCTTCTGCTCGTGTTACTATCTCTGATATTGTACCTGGTGCTTATGAACGTATTTTGACTGTAAATGGTCCTGTAGAAGCAGTTGCAAAGGTAATAATGTTTTTCTTTTTTTTTTCTTTTTTTTTTCTTTTTTTTTTTCTTTTTTTTTTTCTTTTTTTTTTTTTTTTTTTTTTTTTTTTTTTTTTTTTTGTTATTTCTAACTTTTTTTTTTTGTTATTTCTAACTTTTTTTTTTTCTCTCTTCTAATATATAAAAATAGGCTTATTCGATGGTGGGTGAAAAGATCTTGGCGGAAATACCTTCGGATGATCGTGGTCAACGTGAAACTACACTTTCTATTCGATTATTAGTACCTGATTCTCGTATGGGTAATCTTATTGGACGTAGTGGTTCTATTATCAAGTCTATTCAAGAAGAAAGTGGTGCTCGTCTCAACGCATCTGAAGAAGCTTTACCAATGTCAACTGAAAGGACGATGACAATCGCTGGTAGTCCGAAAGCAATTCATATCGTAGTAGCTCGTATTGGTGATATTCTTGCTGAACATCCGGAAAGAAACATGGCAAACCATATACCTTTTATACCTATTGCTGCTAATCCTTCTTTACCTCCAATGCCTCGACCTGGTTATCCTATGCGTGGTGGTGGTATGACTGGTCATGGTCCTGGTGGTGTTGGTCCAAGTAATGTAAGTGGAAATGGTGGTATGCCTCCATACGGTATGATACCTGGTATGCCGGGTATGCCAATGGGATCTCCTTTCTTTTATCAAGGTGCAAATTATGGTGCTGCAATGGGTCCTCCAACTGGTGGCTCTCCAGATTATGGTAATATGGGAATGAACACTAATCAAACTCAACAACAAATCCTTATTCCCAATACAATGGTATGTTAGTTTAGAAAAAAAAAAAAAAAAAAGGAAAGAAAGAAAGAAAATGAGTTTCATTGATCGATTTGATATTTTTTTTGATTTTAGGTTGGTTGTATTATTGGTAAAGGTGGAAGCAAAATTAATGAAATACGACAAATCAGTGGAAGTCATATCAAGATTATGGATCCTCATGGTGACGATCGTGAAAGATTAGTAACCATTACAGGTACTCAAGAAAGTAATCAAATGGCTCTCTACTTACTATATTCAAGATTGGAATCTGAAAAGAATCGTTTAGGTTTGGCTTAGTTTCTTAGTATATTTATTCAATAATAATAAAAAAAAAATACGTCGGATTATGAAATGAATGTTATTTTTCCCTCTTTCTTTTTTTATTTTATTTTTGTATTTTTCTCCTGTTCCTTTTACTAACTTTCAAATTTGAAACTAGTCAATGATTGGAATAGGATGGTTTAAACTATTCTATTTATTCATACTATTAACATTGGTCATATGTTATCCAAGTGCACCTGGGACGGTAAAAAAAAAATTATTGAATTTATAAGACAAATAATTAAACTTTTCTTTTTTTTTTGTTTTTTGTTTTTGTTTTGTAGTGTAATATAGAACTCATGGGAACAATAGGTCATGGTCCTTCTCATTCTACTTGTGACGATTGCTATCAAATTATAGTTCAACCAAACGATCCTTCTATATCATCAACTATTAGTTCGGCTAATGTCAATATCAAAGTTATGGGAACTCCATTATATCAAGGTCTTATGTTACTAGTCAAAGATCAAACAAATAAGACTGTGGGGACATTTATGGATTTTGACGAAACAATCTTTGCTCCTGTAGCTTGTGATGATGAAGCTATTGAAGAAGAATCTGTCGCTGTTATTGGTCATTTGGATCCACATGTCAAAACTTGGCCAATTCAAGTAGGTTGGAGCATAGGTGATGATCATCCTTGGGGTGAATTTCGTGTACAAGGCATGGTAGTGGTAAGATATTATTATTATTATTATTTCAATTGAAACAAAATGGATATTGATTTATATACCTATTGTATAGATTGATTATGATAATTTCCATATCATTCCTGAAAAATCTTTTATACTCAAACAGAATCCGGTGACAACTCATTCAAATACTACATCTTCTTCTACAATAAAACAATGGAAACCGACAGCGACCGAAGTAGAAATCCAAGAATGGCCTATAGATTCTTACAATCCTTTTTTTATGCATGTCGTGATTCTACTGATGTCTATCTATGTATCTATGTCTTTGATATTACGTTATTGTCTACGAAGAAAATGACATATTTTGACGTCAAGTAAGTCTTCTAGTTGGATCAGATACCCTTTTTTTTTTTTATAATCATCATTTGGATTACGCCATCTTGTATAGAATTTTTGTTATTTAACCCTCCAATTGTGTCTTTATTGTACCACTTACCTGATTAGTCAATTTGTACCTTAATGTGTTACCGAATCAATGTTATGAATCTCCCTTTCTCTTTTTTTTTTTTTTTTTTTTGAATTACAAAATAAAAAAATGTCCTTATTTATAATGACCTTCTTTTCTTTTCCTTTTTCCTTTTTATTTTTTTCTTTTTTTTTTTTTCTTTCTTTCTCTTTTTTTTTTTTTTTCTTTCATCTTTTTTTTTTTTTTTGATATCATCATTTGATGAAGTGGTTTACATTGATATATGTCTTTATCTTTCTTATTAAAGTACAAGCCATTCCTAGGTTTCATACGGGTAAAAAAAAAACACTAAAATTATTCATCCGATCACTAAACTTACCACACATTTTATCAAATAGTGAACAGCCACTTTTACAATGGTACTACATGCCCAGCGCAAACAAAACGTCATGTACAATGTCCAACTCTTTGTGTTGCCAACTTGAATGAATGTCCTACTTTACCTAAATGTAATTCGAATGAACTGTTATGTGGTGATGGTACTTGTCATTCAGATTGTTCAAATATACCTTCACCTGAACTTTGTACATGTCCTTCTAGACCTGATATTCAATGGATAAAATGTCCAACCACTAAATTTATTGATATTCCTCAATGGGATCCTTCTCGAAATGATGATCAAACATACAGTATTTGCTCAACAGCTTATAATTCTTCCTCATTCGTGTTTCCTACTTGGGCCACTTTACAATCTAATATGACTGCTGTTTGGAACATATGTGATGCTCCAGCTGGCATGAACTTTCCTATTATGGGTAATGATAAAAAAAAAAGCAGAGATCTGCAACTTAATCCTTTTCTTTTCTTTTCTTTTTTCTTTTTTTTTTCTTTTTTTTTTTTTCTTCTTAGCTCCTTTTGTTATCTCTTTCTTGGCTATTTATATTGGATTTTTTGTCTGTCTAAGTGCATGGATACTATACAAAACTCTACGTGAAAAGGTAACCTACAATTTTTTTTCTCTTTCTAATATTTAATCTCCTGTCCTTTTTCTTTTTTTTTTTTTCCTTTTCTTTTGCACACTTTTCACTTTACAGCCTATTCAACATGTTATACTTAATAATACACCAATAAATGAACTCAATCAAGATTCAATTCACCATGAAATGCGACTGAAAGGTTTCAACAATGACTGGTTCGGTATATTCATGATTCTTTATACTGGTGTTGCTTCAGTTGGTTGGATTATTTATTTACTTGTGATCTCTTTGGATTATTATGGCTATGTGGTAAGTTTTACGCGTTCTCTTTTCTTTTTCTTATTTCTATTAACTTTTTTTTTTTTCTTTTTCAATAGTTGGAAAATACACCTTATATATTAACTTACAACTCTTATGATCTCAGTAGCAAAGCACTTTGTCTATTTTGGTTCCTATCAACAAGTTGGTATTTAATCCTCAATCTTTGTCGAGATAAGGTTATCAATTTCTTCCGTTTACGACAGTCATTAGACAAAGCAACTTATATTCAAGTAGAAACACCACGACAAGTGATTCAGATGCTTCAAAAAGGAAATACCAACAACGATACACCATTTTCTATCCTTTCTAAACTTCAATCTTTAGAAATTCGACTTCGTACAACTCTAGGATTCGATGTTTTTGTGGATACACTCAAGATCAATACTTCTGTTGAAAATAATCGACGTTATTTTGAATTCCAGAGTACTCGATACATTTATCATGAAGGTACCTTTTTACCGGCTTCTATTCAACTTGGCTCAAACGTAACTGAACTCTTGTCTATGGCTCATGGATTATCAACAAAGGAAGCATTGAAAAGGCTAGAAGTGATTGGTCCTAATTTTATTGCTGTGAATGTTCCTTCTTTTATTGGTGCTTTATGGCAAGAGTAAGCTCAACTTTATTATCAAAAGTTGGAATGATGATCCTATTTCTTAACTTTTTTTTCTGTTGTATTTATAGATTGACAGGCTTTTTTTATATCTATCAATTACAAATCCTTTGGGTATACTTCTATATGGCATACTGGCAAATTGGTGTTTCCGATACTGGAGTGATCTTATTGTCTGCTATCATTAAAGTGATTCTTCGTTTACGCTCTGAATACCGTGTCAAATCAATGGCAGAACATGTGAATGAAATTCAAGCCCTTCGTGATGACAAATGGCAAACAATATCTACTGCTGATTTAGTTCCTGGTGATGTATTTAGAATTACTCCTAATCAAGTAGTTCCTGTGGATGCCGTCATATTGGAAGGTGATGTGGTTGTGGATGAAAGTTCTTTGACAGGTATATACGAAATGATAAGATCAGAGAGAAATATTATATTCTAATCCTTTTTTTTTATTATTATTATTATTATTATTATTATTATTTTATTAGGGGAACCATTACCGATTCGAAAAGTTCCATTACGGGATGATGGTTTATCCTATGATAGATTAGTTTCTGGGAAAATTCACAGTTTATATGCTGGTACAACAATCAAACAAGCATCATCATCATCCATTGGTCTCGTCTTGGAAACTCGCACAAATACTGAAAAGGGACAATTGGTGAAAAAGATTTTATATCCTCAACCAGTGTCTTTTATATTCCATGAACAACTCAAATTGGTCTTTTGTATTCTTCTCTGTTGGGCTGTAGTTCTTTTGGGTATTGGATCTTGGTGGTTAGGTGGTCGTGGCATGACAGCTTTATTCTATGGTCTTACATGTGCAGCTCAAGTTATGAATCCTTTACTACCTGGTAAATATCAAAAAAAAAAAAAAAAAAAAAAAAGGATTAGATAACAACAAAGGCCTCTTACTTTTTCTCTTTTTTTTTTTTATTCCTTTTTTTTAGCTATTCTTGTGGTCGGACAATCTATTGCTTCTGGCCGACTTCGACAAAAAGGAATATTTTGTGTGGATTTACCTCGTATTCTTATGGCTGGAAAAGTACAAGTGTTTTGCTTCGATAAAACGGGAACATTGACTAAGGAGGGGTTGGAATATTATGGTGTTTATCCTGTGAAACAAACATCTACAACTGTACAATTTGAAGGGGTCAAACATCATTTCAAAGACTTGAACGAGGATGATCAACAACAACAACTATTGCGATGGGGAATGACATCTTGCCATTCAGTGACTATTTTGGATGACAAATTTATTGGGAATCCTGTAGATATAGTCATGTTTCAATCAACAGGTGCCAACATGTCAACAGTGGATGGAACCGACATCTTTACCCTATCAAGTAATGGTAACGAGAATCGACGGAACACAACAGAACAACTTGAAATCATTCAGCGGTTTGAATTCCAACATGCTCGTGCATCGATGTCTGTAGCAGTACGTAATACGATCACTGGTCATATTCATATCTTTTGCAAAGGCTCGTTTGAAAAGATTCAACATGTATGTTCTCAAGTACCTAACGATTATGTTCCAGTGACTTCCAATTTAGCTCGTGAAGGTTGTTATGTTCTTGGTATGGCTCATCGTGATCTCGATCAAATAGATCCTGATATTGTACGTGGATGGTCTCGTGATGAATTGGAATCAAATCTCTCCTTCTTGGGTTTGGTATTATTCAAGAATTTACTGAAAGAAGATACCAAGGATGCAATCACGCAACTGAAAGAAGGTGATACTCGTACAGTGATGGTGACAGGCGACAATGCTTTGACAGGTGTATTTATTGGACAACAATGTGGATTGGTACCTCCTCACGTTCGTGTTCTTGTGGGTGACATGATCTCATCGACAAGTACTGGTGATACATCTGATATAAAAGACGAATTTTACAAAGATGATGATGATGAAATAAATGAAAAAAACAAACTAGGATTATCAATGGTGGTATGGCATGATGCTGAAACTGGTGAACGCGAATACGATGTTGATTTGGCCCTTCAAACTCAAAATGTGGAATTAGCAGTGACTGGAAAAGCATTTCAACATCTCCTAGCAACTGATCAAATGCGACATTATCTCTTTTCAACTCGAATCTTTGCCCGTATGACACCTTTAGACAAGATGCAATGTGTGAAACTCTTTATGGAACGTGCAGTGACGGCAATGTGTGGTGATGGAGGCAATGATTGTGGAGCACTAAGAACGGCGCATGTGGGGATTGCTATGTCTGAAGCTGAAGCATCTGTGGTCAGTCCTTTCAGTACTCCTAAACGATCAGTACAAGCATGTGTGGATCTCTTGATACAAGGACGTGCTGGATTAGCTACCTCTTTTGCAAGTTACAAGTATTTGATTATGTATGGTGAAACATTTGCAACCATCAAATTTTTGACCTTTTATTATACAATGTCTTTCTCTCAATGGAATTTTATTTTGATCGATGCCTTTATTGTAAGTAAAAAAAAAAAAAAAAAAAAAAAAAAAGTTGAGGGGGGATATCCTATATTCTTGTTCTCATTATGATTACTATTTAGACTGTATTTTGTGCTTTTGCTGTAACTCAAGCTGGATCGGCTATCAAACTATCGAAACATCGACCCACAGCTCGTATTCTTGGACCTGAAGTACTCTTTTCAGTACTTGGACAACTTTTCATCAATGCTTGGTTTTTGATTGGTGCTTATATTTGGTTATATACACGGGACGACTTTTTCAGATGTCATGAATGGGATGCCAGAGCAACGGATAGTTCGAAATGGTGGTTACTTGGTGATAGTTTTGAAGCTGATATTTTAACGTTCATTACATTATATCAATTTGTCAATGCTGGATTTGTCTTCAACTATGGTTATATCTTCCGCAAATCATGGTATCGAAATTATCTTTTGATCTGTATTTGGGCATTATTTGTGGCCATTGTCAGTTATTGGGAATTAGCAGGTAAAAAAAAAAAAGTAATCATTTATAATTTGAAAATGGCAATAATATTGAATTATTATTTAAAATTTAGATCCCAATTCATTTGGATGTCTTATGCGTTTGAATTGTGGTGATCCTGATGTACTTGTGGCTTTGGGATATCCTCGACCTGACTATGCAATTGAACCTTACAATAATCCTTGGGGTCACAATGTATTACCAAGATCATTTAGATATCAATTATGGGCTTATTCCATTGGAAACTTTTTAGTGGTCAATGCTTGGGAATTACTGGTTGTTCTTGGCCCTATAAGGAACTATTTACGATCAAGATATCCATTGAAACGACTTCAAATTCCATTATAGTATCTAGTATTTTATTATTTATATTATCCACATCATTTACTAATAAATAAATAAAAAAAAGAAGAGATGATTTTTATTCTTCATATCATTATCTAATATCTATCTATCATACGACATAGTGAAAAGCACAGATATTATTGAAAATGATCTGACATGAATGATTCTATTTATTATTGTTTCTCAGAATGATGATCTTGATAGAAATGAAACCAACCTTTTTGCTATCGTAACGGAGGTTGAATTATGAAACCCTACCCTTTTTTTTTCAATGGCATGATTTTTCCCAAAAAGACTGAGCCCATTTTTAGATAACGTGTAAAAAAAAAAAAAAAAAAAAAAATGTCCTCGTGGAGTATAAAAAAAAGGGAAGATGCAAGGGTTCCCATTTTCTCATCTTTCTTTCACTCTATTTTTTTTTTTTTTACTACTCTTTATCTACATTTATAATAAAATAAAATGGCTCCCAATAAAGTTGCTATCGTTGGTGCTGGTGCAGTTGGTGCTTCTATTGCCTATGCTTTGATGTTGAAGGATGTGGCATCTGAAATCTTGGTGGTGGATGTAGTACCAGAAATTGTCAAAGGTCAAGTCCTTGATCTTAGTGATGTTTCTTGTGTTAGTTCTACAAAGGTGAGAGCTGCTACTAGTCAAGAAGCCGGTCAAGCTGATATCATTGTTGTTACTGCTGGTGCTAAACAAAAGGAAGGGGAACCTCGTACTGATGTAAGTTTTTTTTATTTGATTTTCCAAAATAATAATAATAAATGTAATGAATTTTTTTTTTTTTTTTTTGAATAGCTTATTGGTCGTAATTATAAGATTTTGGAAAGTGTGATTGGAGGTATGCAACCTATTAAGCCTGAAGCCATCATGTTATTAGTCTCGAATCCTGTAGATGTATTAACTCAAATGGCACAAAAATTCAGTGGTTTACCTCAAAAACAAGTATTTGGATCGGGCACTTATTTGGATTCCACTCGACTTCGTGCTTTGATTTCTGAAGTACTTCATGTCAATGCTAATTCTGTGCATGCTTATGTCTTGGGTGAACATGGTGATTCTCAATTTATTGCATGGGATGCTGCCACCGTGGCTGGAAAACCTCTATTAGAATTCCAAGAAATTCAAAATATGGATCGACAACAAGTACAAGATAATATTGCTGGTAAGGCTTTGGAAATCATCAGTTTAAAAGGTGCTACTTACTATGGTATTGGTGCTTGTGCTGCTGATCTATGTGAATCTATCATCTTGAATAAGCATCAAGTCAGACCTTTATCCGTTTATGTTCCTCGCTTGGGTTGTTGTTTATCGATGCCTACCAAATTTGGCTACGACGGTGTGGAAGAAATATATGAAATCCCTCTTAGTGCAAATGAAGAAAAACAATTACAATCTTCTGCTGCTTCCATGAAAGCTATACTCGATAAATTTTAGGTGGATTCTTTTTTTTTTTTTTATTTTCTTTTTGTTATATAATCATTTTTTTTTAAATTTACATCTGCATATCAATAAACATAATAATACTTTGTATATTCTTTTTTTTTTCTTGATGATTGTTTTTTATTAATGTGCCTTTTATTTTTCATCCAAGTGAAAAAAAAAAAAAAAGGATCGAGGGGTTCCATATGATCTGACTTTTTTGAGTGGCTGCATTATTTCCCCTTTCTCTTTTTTGGTTTCAGTGCTCTTTTTTTTTTTTAAAAAAACCTTCTTCCTCTCATTCCATACTTTCTTTCTCTTTCTCATATATATATTCCTTGTACTATTTTGAATTGAATATTTATTGATCTTTTCTCTCATTTTATTATTATTATTGTATACATTCATGTGAATAGTTTACTTTATACGACAAGAATATCAAACATAAGTATGTTGTGTGTAAAAGAAGAGAAGAAAGAGAGGAGGATGTTCTTGCAGTATAGTCAAATAAAATATCAATGGAACGATTTGGTTGGTAAGATGGATTTTTTACAAATGTAGTAATTGAATTAGATTGACCTGTTATCGGAAATACATGATACTGATGATACAAATTTTTTTTTTATTTTTTTTTTTTTTTTTAATATGGATATTTATGAAGTATTAACAATAACAACAAGGATATCTTTTTTTTTAATGATGCCTTTTTTTTTATTTAGTATAAGATGTTAGATATTTATGAACAGGATTTATTTATAAAGTTAACTTTATCTTCAAGTGATACGATACAACTAGGTGAACAAATGAATTTGATAGAATGATATTTGGATTATAAAGAATTGTAAAATGTAGTTCACATATTATGATGATGATTTTGATTCATTTTTATTCCTTTTTACAATAAAACGTTCTTATATATTTTTTTATTGTGCTTTTTGAGATTTTGGGTTTATATTTTGATCTTTCCTTTTCTTTTTTTTTTTTTTTTGTGCGTGTTTTTGTACATCATATATATATATATATATATATATATATTTAATAGATGATGATGATTTGAATTAATAATATATATAGGGTAGAGCATAGATTGGAAATCAAAAAAGAAGCAATCAACTTTTTTAATATTACATACAAAAGTATTATCTCTCTACTCCAAGACTCTGGATTTAAACCCAGATTGTATTTCCATTCTTTTGTTTCTTGAAAAGAGGGTTTCTCCTTTTCTTTTCTTTTCTTCTTTTTTTTTTTTTCTTTACCTTTCTATTCTTTTCTTTCTTTCTCTCTTTCTTTTTTTCTTTTCCTTTTTCAAACAACACTTCTTTTTTTTTTTTATCTTTTGATTACTATTTATTATCTACTCTTATTGTCTATTCAAACGACAAACTCTTTTTAAAGAAAAAAAAAAACAATATCAATCTTTTTATTCCTCATGAGTTCAGTCTCCTCATATGATGGTAGCGAAAAAGAACTTTTTCACCAACGAACTTTAGATGGCTTTATTCCTCGTCATTCCTATTTACGAAAAACTGACTTTATGGATGTTTACGATAATACACGTTCTCGCGATACGGATACTTGGAGTGTAGCTGCCACAGTGGATGATCAAGAATCAGTTATTAGTACCAATACTCAAAAAAGTCGTTTGGTTCATGACGTAGATGATGACAACTTGACAGTGGATGGTATTACTCCTACTATTACTGCAAATATTATTTCTTTGGATATGAATGGACATTCCTTGGACATTGAGAGCTTGGATATCGATACAACTGCAAGTCAATGTGAAGACGATAAGTATGAACGATCTTTGACTTCTCGTTCAGTAGCAGCTGAATATGGTGACCGAACAACAGATGGATTTGGAAGTGAAGCTAGTTTACACGATGACAATAATGACCATGACGATGATCATGATGACAATCAAAGCCACAACAGTAAAGAAGATGACAGCAATAGTAGTCAACATCATTCACATCATCGACATGATCTTCACAGTGATACAGAACTTGATCATCATCATCATCATGATCTTGATCAACTTGACCATCATCGACATCATCATCATCATCATCATCATCATCATCATCATCATCATCATTCTCCACATAGCCCAGTAGCAGTCGATGATGCCATCAGAGCACCTACTGAACCTCAACCAAGTATTGCAACTGTAGATAAAACTTACACTCATCTTTTGGAAGAAAACGAAATGTTACAAGCTCAACTACGTCATTTGGAAATCACCACTAAACAACAACAGGATATCATTAACACTATGCAATCACATCATCCTATTCATCATCATCAACCTTATGACGACTTACTCCATAACGAAGTGAATTCAAGTATTTTGTCGCAGCAACTCACAACATGGGCGGAATTAGTGACTGGATTTGCTAAACAGTGGACGACAAGCGCAGAACAACAAAGCCGAGTGGAACAGGATCTGTTTCATCATGTGATGGAATACTATTTACACGCCTTACCTTTTGGAACTGAAAATCAAGTCCTACTCAACACAGCTTACCAAGATCAATTAGCAAGATTCCATAATACTCTTGGTGTTAACTTTGCCAAATGGTATCGACGTCAAACAGTACAATCATTAGCTCGAAACCCTGCAACTCATGATTATCTCCATGCTGTTCGTATGCTTATCACTCAACACATCTGTCGTGTTTTAGGCGCCGACCCTGCTATTCTAACGGAATCCTCTGAATGGCAAAATCTATTGGATTATTGTGCAAGACTCTCCCTGGAATTACATAGTGGTGAACAAGATGTTTTGATTCGATGCATCTCTTCTGGTACACCCTACGATCAAAATATTATGACGGCTGTAGATGATGGAAATATATCTCCTCTCTTGGATGAAACAATTGATGCAGGTACTCCTCCTTTGATGGCCACTCAGACTCCAAAACAACGTATCAAGTGCATGGTATGTCCCTTATTTGTTGATGAACAAGAAACTGTCCTCCTACCTGCTCGTGTTATCTTGGAATGATCATTTCTCCCTCTATTATATATATATATATTTCTTTTTTTTTTTATTTTATATACACTGCTTTTATCCTACTTGTTCCCCCCCCCCAAACCTCCAATCTTATATATTTTTTTTTATTATCTCTTCTTATTGTAGTTCTATTCATATTTTTTTTTATTAACCATTTCTGTTTACTTTTTTCTTCCATATATTCTACATTCTTTTTAATAAAAAAAAAAACCAAAAAAAAAATCACATAACTTTTATGAATTTACTTTTTTTTTTTTTTGACATGACTCCTAAAAAGGAAGATGGTTTACTTCATGTCTCCTTATTTGATTCGAATGACATTCATTCCTTAAATGAATGTAATAAGAGCAATCATGTGAGGTGATTCATTCTTAAAGCTTAAACCATATAGACTCGCGGGGATTCAAAAGGAATGCATGAAAAGGTGGTCCTTTTGAAACGGATGCATGTATAAAGGAGCTCATTCTCATCGTCTTGTTATCAAAAGGTGGAAATAAAAAAAAAGTTTATTTTCATACAAATAAATGAAGTGACTAATAAAGAATGATGATGAATGATACAAAAATATATATATATACTAAAAAAAAAAAAACAGGAGATGATTATTTCTATACAATTCCCCATAATTCTTCTACAGCACAAGCAATCTTGCCACAAGCTACAGAGGCTGATAAAGAATAATCCGATACACTGATCTTTTCATCCACATAGGCATCTGCAAAATCATCTGTACCATGAGCCATAGATCCAATGGCCACCACAATATTCTTATCACTAGGAATGGTGGGCATATATTCTGATAACTTGACAGTAGGTGCATCCCAAGATAATGCTTATACAATCAAAAAAAAAAAAAAAGATCAGACATTATATTCATTTATTCTATACTTTTTTTTTCATCTTCTTCTTCTTCTTTACCCATTTTGTAACTATTGGTAGGCAAATATTTTGTCACTGGATTTTCTACCACACGTAATAATTTTTCTTGACCATTGACAGCACGAATACTAAGTTTATGTAATAATTGAACTATTCAAAAAAAAAAAAAAAAAAGATGAGTGATATTTTTTATACAATGGATCCAATCATTTACCCATCAAACCAGCAAAACGTTTAAAAGTACGAGGAATACGAATATGAGGATTGACTTCAATCAGGACATTCTTTTGGGTATGGATAAAGACTTGAAGTAACCCTGCCTTGTTGAGTGGACTGTCGAGTAAAGTGAGAAGACATTGATGTGTAATGTCAGGTCGAGCTTCATAAGTTTCCCGGCCGGTCTTTTTCAAAATATGCAAATGATCATCCACATTTAACAATTGATAGTTGCCTTCCTTTTTCTTGCCAACCTTGAGCGTTTCCAATGTAGCCCCTTCCAGAATCACAATCAACCGTCGAGCATTTTCCTTTTCCACCATGGTTTTGGGTACCTTGGGTGCTTGAGGTACCATATGAATATCTGTATTGCGTGTAGCACCTACCCGAATACGTTTGGCTTCTTCCGTTTCTGGTGATTGGTCATTCGATCTTTTGCTACCTGTCGACATTATTGTAGTAAAGCAAAAAGAAAAAGAAAAGAATACAAAAAAAAAAAAAAAATGCCGGAGCTATAAAATCTATTACATATAACATAGTCTGTCCATCCAAATCAGTGGCTTGGACCAATCCTGCAATCTATTTTTTTTTTTTTTTGAATCAGTCTCCCTATGACCTTTCCTTTTTTTTTTTTTTAATTCATTACATTCATTCATGTTACATGTGAAAAGAAAAGCACAGGATATTGATGACTGGGGCTTGAATGATTCATCTTCCGACTCCAGTGATAGTAGTAGTGATGAAGACGATGACCAATACAACAACAACAAACGACTCAAACCATCAACTTCACCTTTGACCATGCTTCCTCATGAACTGTTATGTGACATCTTTATCTTATCATCGAATCCAGATCTACCCTTGACATGCCGTACATTGTATTACCATCTTTATAATTGCTGTGAATCGGTCAAGATGCGCTGGTTACTGTATCGACATGACAATGATATCCAGGCTGCCTTTGAAGCTGGTGTGCTGTTCCCTTTTTTTACTACTGACATGCTTGCACGGTTCGACCTTCTATATCAAACAAAGATACCCTATACCAAGAAGAAAATGCCACCTCATCTGTTCAGTAGGAAAAGGACAATAGAAACCGATGCCATGATCAACCAACTTCTCATACGCGGAGGCTCACCTGACAAACCGAAAGGATACCCATTGATCAAATGTGCTCAACTTGGACACATGGATCAAGTTCAACTGTTGATTCATCATGGCGCCAACCCAACCTTACGTAACAATATGGCCTTACGTGTATGTGCTGCTAGGAACAACATGACCATGGTGCTCTATTTTTTGGACAAATTGAACGTCACTCCTGATTCTGAAACCCTACGTGCTTGTGTGCAAAAGAAACTATGGAAAATGGTACAAGTCTTGGTCGATCATGGTGCTGTGCCTGATATGAATACTGTGAATTTTACTTGATTTATCTATTCGTTATTCCCGCACACTAGATTTTTTTTTTTGTACAGTTTGTATATTATTAGATCATTCCTATTTAGTTATTCATTTTTTTTTTATTATATCAATATAGAAAGTAAAAAAAAAAAAAAAAAAAACTATCATAATAAAACTAAAACTATATCATAACTTATTGTCTACAAATCTTACACCTATCCATGATGGGTATCAATTGGGCTTTGACTTCGTGATGATGATGATGATCGTCTGCGGTGAGGAGAAGGAGATCGACTTGCACTATATGAACGAGAGCGAATTGATGAAGAACGGCGACGAGGAGAAGGAGATCGACTATATGAACGAGAGCGGTCTGATGACGGATGGCGACGAGGAGAAACAGACCTAGATCGATGACGGTTGTGTTGACGACGGCGAGGACTTCTTGATCGGCTAGGAGATACAGATGAATGGTACCGTCTTTTTGTACGTCTGGGTGACCGATTTTGTTGTCGACGTTGGTTGCGACGATCTCTTGAATCATCACTCGATATACTGTCGGAATCAGATCCACTACTACTACTACTATCGCTAATGCTGCTACCACTGCTAGTACTACTTCCACTTTCACTACTGCCACTGCTGTAAGAAGATCGGGATGATGTAGATTCTGAATCCGAGTCTGAACCAGATGAAGATGTATCACTAGAAGAAGAAGATGAGCTATATCTTTATAAGGGAAAAAAAAGTGTCAATCCAATATGTTTTTTTTTTTCTTATACTATCTTTACCTTCGTTTCCTTTTCTTTCGTTCTTTTTCCTTCTTGGCAAGGATCATATCAGCAAGTCCCTTTTTTCCTTGTAAATCTTCAGGAATATCAGGCTTCATCAACTTGACTGGTTTGGAGAGTTGTTGTGTTCGTGTAGGTCGGGTATGATAGGTACGATTACCTTTACATTCAAATGTCTAGATTATCATAAATAAAAAAAAAAAAAAGGAGTATTAGTATGTAAGACTGGTAGGATATATCGCTTGTTAAACTTTGTTAGTTTTACCCAATGACCATACTCCAAGCATTTTTGGCATCTTGTATGAGAGCTTGCCTTGGGAGCAGCTGAGGCTCTAAGAGAAAAAAAAAAAAAAAAAAAAAAAAAAAAAGGACGAGTCAAAACTCCTATTCATATCGTATCTTTTTTTTTTTTTTTTCTTACCTTGTAGAAAATCCTCTATGCATCGGTGAAAGTTTGAAATTAGGATGGCAGGAAAAAAAAAGAGAGAGAGAGAAAAAAAAAAAAAAAAAAAAGCTTGTCTCAAACGCGCAGATCTAATGGAAAGTCACGCTTGCTTAGGCTGATGTCCCAATATGGAAATACCAAAGGAGAAGATTGGATCATCCATTCAAATCTACTTTTTCATCCATTATTACATGATCATTGCATCCTTCATTAAGTATATTGTAGCCGATGCTTGTAAACAGTCTACCCTATTCAAAATAAAAAATAAAAAATAAAAAAAATCGTAGGACGCGTGGATGTTACACCGCGGACCTGGAACCCTTTCCAAAAAAAAAAAAAAAAAAAAAAGACAAACTATAGTCCCATTTAGTTCCATCTACTAAAAAAAATATCTTGTTCATCCATCAATCCCTACTCAAAATAAAAAAATCATCCTCTCAAATGAACAAAAGGAGGAAAGAGATATACTCTTTTTATTTTATTTTTTTTTTAAAAAAAAAAACCTACTGCCAAGCAAAAAAAGTGGAATTGACGGGGAAAATCAAATAAAAAGTCATCTGACGAAAGAAAAAGAATCAGTTAATAGTGAGCTTGGCATTGTTAGTATACGTTCATCTTTATCCATGAGTATTGTACGCGATGTCTGTATAAAGTTATGTCACCATACTATAGGTGCGGAGATGTAAATCTGAGCCCAACATTGGCGATGTCGAAAAAAAAAAAAAAAAAGTGAAATAGCAAAGAAATAAAAAAAAAAAACTTTCCTTCTTTTTTTCTTCTTTTCATCTTTTTTTTAAAAAAACAAAACTCTTTCTTTTTAACATGGTAAATAAGGATGAAAAGATGAACAAGAAAAAAAAAAGTCGACTTAACTGGATATTTTTTTTCTCTTGTTGTCTTGGAATCTTTCAACTTATGAAACGTGTCATATTCATCTTTTTTTTTTTATCATCATGATGATATTAGTCTTCTGGTGTCAGTGTCAACCCTCAATGTCTCGAACTCTATCAAGAATTCAAGCTTCGTAAGAAGTACAAGTACATCATCTTTAAGTTGTCTGGTAAGTGATAGAAATAAAGGAAAAAAAAAACAACGTGTTGTATCCCGTATATATTCATATATTATTGTGATATTTCACTAATTTTTTTTTTTTTTTAATAGATGACCTTTCAGAAATTGTTGTTGAAAACTCTGCTGAGACTGGTACTTATGATGACTTCCTCCAGAAACTTCCTGCAGATGAACCTCGCTATGCTGTTTATGATTTTGACTACGAAAAGCCTGGAGAAGGTCAACGTAGCAAGATCACTTTTTACTCCTGGTAAGTCAATGGATTGGATGGATTGACTAGGTCTCTTATACATATATTTATTGATGATAGGATCCCCGATACTGCCAAGGTTCGTCAAAAGATGTTGTACGCTAGCAGTAAGGATGCTATTCGTAAACAATTGATTGGTTTGGCTATTGAAATTCAAGGCACTGATTTCTCTGAGGTAAGCCATAGAAAAAAAAAAAAATAGGAGTATGATGCATTATTTTGGACTAGGAGTTAAAAAGAGGGGGAAAAAGTTACTGAACATGTTTTGTTTCTATTACGTCTTTTAGGTGGACCACGAAACCGTGCTTGAAAAGGCTTCCCGCTCTGCTTAAACAAGGATTTTGGATGATGATTGTCCTTATACTTCTTTTTACATAACTCACACATAACGTATACACACACACACGATCATTTAGGCTTTAGTTATTATTAAAAAAAAACAAACAAAAATAAACAAAATAAAGACCTTGATATCTATTTATCTCCTTATTTCTGTCTATGAAACATAGTGTCATTTTTGACATTTGAATATTTCATATGGACTACTTTTATACGAACTTTCAATTCAAAATCAACGATAAGGCTCTTTTTTTTTTTTTTTAATTGATATATAATTTTTTTTTTATTATAGAAGATTGAATAAAAAAAAAAAGTAATGATGATAATAATAATAATAATAATAATAAAGAAAAGACGTAACTACAAATGGGGTAAAGACAAAGAAAGAAAAAAGAGAAAAGAGAGAGAAGGATTGGATAAAAACAAGGTGTGACGAAAAGGGGAATCATGTGGAAGATATTAATGGAAGAGGATCCTTCTTTGATCGATCTAATGGATGACATTCTTCTATGGATTGTGTTGATGGATCTTGTAATTCAGGAAAATCTTGAGTTACTTCTTGTTCATCCAAACCTAAAGTCAAAGAACGTATATAAAGGTTAAGGAAAATAAAAATACATAAATCAAACAAATAATTAAATAAATATAAAAAGGATATTGATCATAGATGGTCTATCAGGAGGAGCCCATTCACTCAAATTTTGATCATCCAATGAGCTTTTTGTTCCTTGTTGAGAAGAAAAGTATTCTTGTTCGATTTTATTGATCTTTTGTTGTACTTGATTCATCATCTTTCGTCTTAATGCCAATTTGTCCAACTAAAAAAAAAAAAAAAAGGGGGGGTAAAAGTGATGCATAAGTGATGTATATCATGTGTCATCTTTTTCCTTACATAAAATTTGTCAAAAGCTGATTTCTTTTGAGCAAGAAAACCATTTTTGAAATTGGATTCCATTAAAGCATGTCGTCCTTGAGCCACACTTAACTTTTTGCTACGTTTTGATTGTAATTCTTCCAAAAGTTTTTGATATTCTTCATGAGATTGATCTTTCACCGTTCGTTCTAATGCCTCTAATTCAGATAATCTAAACAAAAAAAAAGGGGGGTAAAGGAGGTTAAAACAATAAAATATTATTATTATATTCTAATCTTACTTCTTCTTCACAATGATTTCCCTTTCTGCCTTTCTTGCATCTTTAGCTTCTTTGGATAATCGTTGAGTGGTATTCCGAGTTTCACGTTCAAAATCATCACCAGAACCACGTGGTGGACTTTTAGCATTTGTTGATGGTGATGAGGCTGATGAATTACTGGATTTCTTCTTGTTGGATTGTTTACTATTATTCGTATTACGACGTCGTTTACCATTCAATGTTGTATTACTAGTATTTGGATTTGAATTGGATGATTCTTCATTGCTGTTTGAGTCGGCAGACAGTGACCTTGTGACACGTGAATGATGATTGGTTGATAGGGTAGTTGTGGAGCTAGTTGAAGGAGGAGTATCCGGATTGTTTGATGGTGGTGGTGGTGGTGGTGGAGTAGGCACAGATGGTGAATTTGTTTCTTGTAATGTTCCGTTCCTATCTTCTTTAGTAGTAGGTGACCCTGATAGTGCTGATCTACTACTTCTTCGAGGTTGAATACGTCCTCCTTGATGGTGAGTGGTTTCAGTTTTAGTTTCGTCCATGGTTTTTATATAAAAAAAGAAATACTGAATCAATCAAAATAGAGAAGAAAGAGAAAGGAAGAAAAAATGTAAAAGTAAAAAAAAAAAAAATAATAATAATAAAGAAGGTGGGAAGTCTAAAGAGATAATAATAAAAAACTAATAATAAACTTATATAAAGACGTAATCAAAAGATAAAATGGAATTGGGGAAGAAAGAAAGAAAAAGAAAAAAGAACAAAGAACGAAAGAAAATCAAAAATAGCGGAAGATAAAAAAAAAAAAAAAAAAAAGAACCAGCAATAGGGAAAAAAAAAATCCACAAAAGATCGAATAAGGAAAAACATATATATATAAGATGAGAGAAAAATAATATCCAATAAAGATATATATTTTTATTTTTCTCTTTTTATTATTCTATAAATGTTTTTTTTTTTTAATATTAAATTATGATCATGATTTATGATTGAAAAAAGAATATTCGGTGTTAAAAATCATTCTATTTATCTTTATTTCTTCAAGATATTGTAGTAAAACTTTGCAAAACATTTTTAAATCATCTCCCCATTTTTTTTTTTCTTTTTCTTTTTTCTTTTGATGTCTATACACGTCATAAAAGATCTCCACATTTTCTATTATAGTTTATTTCCATATTTAGTATACTGGTTCCCTCCAAAATATATATATAGATATATATATAGATATATATAGATATATATATATAGATATATGAAAAGAAAAAAAAAAACAAAACTACGATAAGAATCATAATATATATACTTTCTTATTTATCATTTACATTACTTTTATAAAAGTCATCTATTCTTGTGACTTTTTATCATCACTTCTAAAAGAATCCAAATGTTGCTGCTTATGGAAGAAGATACCGAAATTGTCCAAGTCCCTGTAGCTGATATTGAATATTTCTCTTCTTAGTGTTCTTGGACCAATGACTTCATTTTTACCTTTTTTTTTTTTATTCTTCTTCTTCTTTTTCTTTTCTCAACTCTCAACCTTTTTTTTTTTTTTTAATATATTAATAATATGGCTACTCCTACTGGCAGTCACTTGGCTTCTCTTCGTGAGTTGATGAAGTCTGAACAATATAAAGTCGATGCTTTGTAAGTACAGTAAAAAAAAAAAAAAATTGCATATAACTCACTGTGTTTTCTCTTTTGTATATAGCCTTGTGCCTACTGAAGATGCCCATCAAGTACGAAAAAAAAAATAGAATTCTTTTTCAATAATACTAATTGTATTGTTTCTATAGAGTGAATATATTGCTGATTGTGACAAACGTCGTGAATGGATCTCTGGTTTCACTGGTTCTGCTGGTAAAAAAAAAAAAAAAAAAAAAAGGAAAGAACACGCGTATTGAATTGTATTTTCTCACGCTAAAATGAAAAATGTACCTTCATAGGTTTTGCTGTAGTTTCTATTGATAAAGCTGCCTTATTTACTGATGGACGATATTTTCTCCAAGCTTCCAAACAACTTGATAACAACTGGACTTTAATGAAACAAGGTTTACCTGGCGTACCTACTTGGCAGGAATATCTTGTCAAGGTAAAGTTGAAGTAGAAAAAAGAGAGAAAGAGTAAATATATTATAGCGTCTAACGTTTTGTTTTATTGTATTTTTAGGATTTACCTTGGGGTTCTCGTATTGGTTTGGATCCTACATTGATCACTGCAGGTAAAAAAAAAAAAAAAAAAAAAAAAAAAATAATAATTTTTAAGTTTTTAATTTTTATATTGTTAATCATTCTATTTTTTTTTTTTTTTTTTTGGTTCTTAGCTGATGCTCGACAATTATCTAATGATTTGGGTGCTCATGGTTCACAACTCGTTCCTATTCATGATAATTTGGTAGATCTTGCTTGGGGTGATGCTCGTCCTCCTCCTCCTCATCACAAGGTGAATGTTCATCCCATTGAGTTCTCTGGCAAGGCTCATCATGAAAAATTAAAGGATTTACAAGATCATATCAAAGAAAAAGGTGCTTATGGTATTGTTGTATCTGCTTTGGATGAAATCGCTTGGGTCTTCAATTTACGTGGTTCTGATATTGAATGTAATCCTGTTTTCTTCTCTTATGCCATCATCACTGAAAATGAAGCCATCCTCTATGTGAATCCTGAAAAGGTGACTCAACAAGTCCAAGATCATTTAGGTCATCATGTTACCTTGAAACCTTATTCTGATTTCTTCAATGAATTACGACAATTGGCCCCTGTTTTACGTGAATCTAAGAAAAAATTGATCACCAATTCCAAGACAAGTTTGGCAGTGGAAGTGGCTGTTGGCGAAGTAAATCAATATATATATATATAAAATATAGTGGTTAATATTCTTTTTTTTTGGTAGGATAATATCAGTGATGAACGATCATTCATTACCGATGCCAAAGCTATCAAGAATGAAGCCGAGTTGAAGGGAATGAGGGAATGTCATATTCGTGATGGTGCTGCTCTGGTACAATACTTTGCTTGGTTGGAAAAACAGCTTAAGGCCGGTATTCAATTGGATGAAGTGGATGGAGCCGATCGTTTAGAACAATTCCGTGCAGCTCAAAAGGATTTTGTTGGATTGTCATTTGACACCATCTCATCAACTGGTCCCAATGGTGCAATTATTCATTATAAACCTGAAAAGGGTGAATGTAAGGTGATTGATCCCAAGTTGATTTATCTTTGTGATTCTGGTGGTCAATACAAGGATGGTACTACAGATGTCACTCGAACTTTACATTTTGGTGAACCAACCGCTTATGAAAAAAGATGCTTTACACGTGTTTTACAGGGTCACATTGCAATCGATGCTGCTATCTTTCCCAAAGGCACTTCAGGTAACATCAATGAAAAATAAAAAAAGTGAAAAGGGAAACTGAAAATATTTTTATATAGGTTACTTATTGGATCCCTTTGCAAGACATGCTTTATGGAAGGATGGATTGGATTTCAGACATGGAACTGGTCATGGTGTAGGCTCTTTCTTGAATGTCCATGAGGGACCTCACGGTATTGGTGTTCGTGTTGCCTATAATGATACTCCTTTGGCTGCTGGCATGACAGTGACAGATGGTAAGAAAAAATTAGAAAGAAATAAGATTATTTTCTTTTTTTTTTTTTTTTTGACTAGAATAAATTTCCATCTATATAGAACCTGGTTATTATGAAGATGGCAAGTTTGGTATTCGTATTGAAAATGTATTGGTGGTTCGTGATGCTGCTACACCCAACAACTTTGGTGACCGTGGTTATCTTGGATTTGAACATGTAACGATGGTGCCTCTTGGAAGAAAACTCATTGATGTCGACTTGTTATCTCCTGATGAAAAGAAATGGGTCAATGATTATCATGCTGAAACTTTGGAAAAGTTATCCCCTTTGTTGGCTGCCGATCAAGATGCTTTAGATTGGTTGAAGAAGGAAACTCTACCTATTTGAAAAGACAAAAATAATAAAATAAAATAAAATGACAATAATAAATATCCTACTTCTTTTTTTTAAATCATTCTTCTTCTCCTTGCCTTCTTTTTTTTTTTTATTGTATTGTTTCATTTGAATAGAATGTGACTTTTGACAATGATGACCCATAGGCTTTTAGGATGATCAATGGGCAATAACAAATACGGTGATGTCAAGTTTATGCACATAATCTCTATGAAATCGTCATTTTTTTTTTTTTACTTTCATTTTTATATGAACAAGTAAATAACAAAAGGATGATCAAGTGAACAAGAGGAAAAAGTCGGGGACAGGATTTCAGGGTTAATATCGAACCTTTTGTTGTATCCAACTATTGTTATGACCTTTTCCGGATGAATGCACTTAAGGAAGAAATCCATTTAAATCAGGAGAAGCATATTTATTATACTTAAATGATCTTGTTACCACGAATAGATTTTCGTCTGCAGCTTGGATTTTTTTTTTTCGGGAACCAAATTCAAAGTCACTAACAATTTCAAAAAGACCATTTCCCTTTTTTTTCCCTTTTTTTTTTTTCTTTCTCTCTTTAGAACAATGAATATTCTTACTCGAGCCTCTCGTGTTGCTATCGCCACCACTAAGTCTGTCCGTTCGGGTAAAATAGAAAATGTTGCATGTATAATGATTAGACATTACTTATCATTATTATTATTTTGTTTGGATTAGCCCGTTTCTATGCATCTGAAGCTCCTGCCACCAGCGATAAATTGACATTGACCTTTGTTTTGCCTCACAAGGTAAGATATTATGGACAAGAAAAAAAAAAAAAAAAAAAGGACATGATTTCTTTATGCATTTTTTTTCTTTTTATTTATCATCATTCATCTTCCTTTCTTTAGTCTCTCTACAATGCCATCAATGTCCAGCAAGTCAACTTGGCTGCCACTTCTGGTGACATGGGTATCCTCGCCAATCATGTTCCTACCATTGAACAATTGAATCCTGGTATTATTGAAGTGATTGAATCTGCTGAAGTTACCAAGAAATTCTTTGGTAAAAAAAAAAAAAAAAAGGGACCAAAAGACTAAAATCATATTCATTTTTTCGGGTATAGTATCTGGTGGATTTGCTACTATCCATCCTGATTCATCTCTCAATATCAATGCTGTCGAAGCCTCTCCTTTAGAAGATTTCTCTCTCGAAGTAAGTTAAAAAAAAAAAAAAAAACTGGACGAACTTGAATGATACTTACATTATATATAAATAGCGTGTTCAATCTGGTCTTGCTGAAGCTCAACGTATTGTTGCTGGTAATGGCTCTGATGTCGAAAAGGCTGCTGCCAAGGTGGAAATGGATGTCTACGAAGCTCTTCAAAATGCCTTGTCAAAATAGATAGATGATTTTATTTAGATCCCATACTATAGACGATCCCCATTATTATATATATATGTTTGAATAAATGCTCTGACTCGAAACCAATGATTTGTCTCAATATTATGTTCCTTATTATTTTTTTTTTCTTAATGTGGGCTATAGAGAACTGCTGGATGAAGATCGAGAATACTGGGTACAAAGCGATTAACAGAAATGATGATAGAATTAGAAAATAACGGAATGATCTCATTGATCATTGACTGCATTGAACTGTAAGTGCGCTTTACTTTATTGAATAAAATAAAAAAAAAATAAAAAGGAAGAAAAGATATGTGTGATAAGGGGAAGATAAATAAAGAATATACTAGGGATAAAAGTGGATGTTTGTATGGAGAGTTTCTAAGCTACAGCCTTTTGAGCAAGTGTGATCTTGTCACCTATAAAATAAAATAAAATAGGAGTTACATTATATACATTTCATCTATAAATGACTTACCTAAACTCAATGCAAGTCCTTGTGTTTTACTACGGATTCTAATATGGCCAGTGATGGAGCCATCACTTGTCTTTTCGATACTAATATTTGCCAAAGCATCCTCACCTAATAAAAAAAAAAGCAGATATATCAGTATACGGTCTATTCAAAGAATAATATCACTTTTTCTTTTTTTGTTCCACTTTACCAAAGATACTACGGGCATACAAATTGGCAGACAAAAATCCACAATCGCCTTCAAGTTGTCGTTCAGGAGTTAAGCAGCGTAGGTTCGTTGATGAAGTAAGATGATCAAGATATGTTCGTAAATCACTAGATCAAACAAAAATGAGATAGATGATTAGTCTAATATCTTTTATATATATATATATATATATATATATATATTGTATCTTACGTGATAGTGGTATTGACATTGACCTTGTTTTCCCATTCAAATTCAACCCAATGAGATCGGAACTACATAAATGAAAATCAATGTTAGATACGTCTTTGCATTTTTTTTTTTTTTTGTTTGCAGGACTTACTTGGGTTTCAGTACATGTGGCAGGATTGATATAATCGACAATATCAATATGGACATCGTTCAATACAACACAGTTGCTATCCGAAGCAGCAGCATTTGTATCGTAAACAATGTTACCAAAGATAACGCCCGTTTCCGTTGAGGATACCTTGATGGAAGCCTTGATAGTAAGGAAAGCATGAGGAGCAAGACTGTGAGAAGTAGGACGATCTACTAATTTCAGGTCGCCTAATGTAGCAAATTCAACTGTTAAATTTTGTAAAGTTTCTGCCGTTTGATTCACAATAAGTACATCTATTCAAAATAAAAGATATATAATTATGAGTATTGACAACACTATCACTTCACTAAAATAATTACCTAGCAAAACATCATATTGATGTACATTGACCACAGCTTCAGCATACACTTGATCGGAGAAACCAGTCAATTGTACTATGCGACTAAGTTTCGACATCAAATCGTCCTTGTTATCTAATACACCAGTGGCACGAGATAGATCTTGATCATACTAAACAGCCACAAAAAAAAAAGTACGCCCATTCGTTAGTATTCTATTTCATATATGATCTTTTTTTTTTAAAAAAAAAAGAAAAGCTTACTTCATCAGTAGTGTTTCCTCCAGTTTTCTTTGAAAGTTGTCGGAATACAATAGCATCATCTACTTGAATCTTGACACCGGTTTGATCACTAGCCTTAGCTTCTGCAGCTCGTCGCTATGAAATATAAAAAAAAAAAAAAAATAAAGAGATTGAGTTCATCAAATATATGTGGTAATAAAAAAAAAGACTTTACTTCTTCGTCTTGAATCTGTTTTGCATAAACGGCCTTGGTCTCTTCCAAATACACCTTGTCTACAATACCATCTTGTGAGTGATTGCCAACCACACGTAAATCTTGCATGATACGATCATAGGAATCCTCATCAATTGGGAAGGAGACAAATTGAGATTGACCAACACGAATAATACTTGTCATGATCAACATAGCCTAATCAAAGGAACAAAAAGAAAAAAAAATCAAACCATGAAATCAGCATTTAATTGTCTTTCCTTCTCCTCTTTCCTGTTCTTTTCTCTTACCTCAGCTTTGCGAGCATTTGCCAAAGAAGCATCAGCCACTAATTTACTGTAACGCAACACCAATTTTGTTAATGTTGTAGCCAATACAGAACCAAGATAATAATCTCCATTAAGGATAAGTGCTAAGAAATAGAATTTAAAAAAAAATAAGAGTCAGTTTTCTTTAGAAAATAAATAAGAATAAAAATATATGTATACCTCGTAAAGGAGGCTTGCTAGCAGATTTAACAGATTCCAAACGGGATTGTACAGATGCGGGTTCCGTATAGGCACTTTCAGTTGCGTAGGTTCCATCTGGTAAGATACGTCTTGCAGAAGGGACAGATTTGCCAGTCTCTTCCTTGTTTTGATCACCAGCAGGATTTTCATCTTGTTCAGTTTCATCCAATAGTCGCTGTTCCGATGCAAGAAGAGGGATTTCACCAAGAGTCAATCGAATTTGTTCCCAAGCCTCATTGATTTCCTTTTCATTTTGACAATATTCACCAAGGATCCAGAGAGCACCACGGAACACCTTGCTGGATTTCATATCGGCAAATGTTTCCATCAACTTTTCCAAAATAGAAGCACGTAAACCAGGGAATTTTTCAACCACTTGACGCACAAACGCCACTACATCCACAGCAGAAGGATTGTTAACATCACCTAAGAATTCCATCAGTACATGTACAACATTAGCAGCCACTTCAGAGAATTGAATGGCACATGCATGGATCGATTGAATCAATAATTGGCGATATTCCGTGTTCTAGTAGACATAAAAATTGTATATCGTAAGAGATCGACTTTTTCTTCCCTTATATTATCATCCTACCTTTTCATATTCTTGATCATGAGTCTTGATTAATTCCTTCTTCAATACAAGTATCACTTCCTGTACATTTCTTGAAGATACCATATCCATAGCAATATTCAAGGCCTTACGACGAACATCAATATCGGGACTAGAAAGAAAAAAAAAAAAGAGAAGGTAAGTCTTGTATACTGATAACTACATCCACGTTCTATACCTTGACAAAACTTGTAACAAGTCCATCACCAAGCTATCCAATACATGTTCATGTTTCAAATGAAGATCTCGTAAACGATCAAGAACAATTAATTTAACATTGTTATCGGATTCCTTGACCACCAATTCGATATAGCAGGATGCAGCAGCTGAAAGGAAAATAACAAGGTTAGTAAAAATGAAATAATGACTTATATAATATTATACCTTTCACAGCAGTAGGATTGGATGTAAGAAACATCAAAATATTGGCAGCTTCATATTTGACAGAATGAGAAGCAGCTTCCAACAATTCAGATACACAACGGATATATGCACCCTATTAAATCAAAAAAAAAGGTAAGATAAGATTTCTTCAAACATTTTTTTATACTTGCCTTGTTTGCTAAATTTGTCTTGCTATCTTTGCGAATCAATTCAATAACAGATAATTGCAAAAGTTCATCATAAGAAGGCACCAAAGTAAAGGATTGCATCAAAAAGTCCACAGCCAGAGGTTGAGCAATAGAACACAATACCACAAATGCATTTCGTCGACAAGTAGAATCAGCTTCAGACACTAGGAATTGTTGAATGACTTCAGGAGCATCCGGGAACAAAAAGTCGAAATGTCGATAGATGGATCCAATGGCAAATACAGCGTTCTTGCGAACATAAGAATGACGATGTTCCTATAAATAAAAAAAAAAGAAAGAGAGAACGAGATGAGCATCAAGTGCAAAGAAAGGATGATAATCTTTTTTTTTTCTAGTTTCCTTTTCTTTTTTTTGGTTTGCTCACTTACTAGACAAGATCGAACAGATGGTACAAGTGGTTCCAAAACATCAGCTTCTTTGATTTTGCACAAGAAACGAAGAGTGGCACCTCGAATGTATTCGTTGGGATGTTGCAAGTCGTTTCGAAGAGCGTTGCTATATAAAAAGAAAGAAAGAAAAGAAAAAAAAAAAAGATGATAGATGAGTAAGTATTATATACCAAAAACATTCTCCCTCGGTCACCAATGACATTTGAGTCATTCCATCAGTATTAATTAAAAAAAAAAGAGATTAAAAATGAAAAAAAATTGTTTGTTTTGTCAACTTACCACACCAAAATGAATTCTTCTTTGAGTTTCCCATCAGGTTTGGTTTTTGGACAAATTTCCCAATAGATATGCAATAGTTTCTTAAGTTGTTTGTTCTTAGAAGGAAGTACGAAACGAATGACATGAAGTAATAGCTTTTCCATAGGATCCCCATTGAGCATAATCACTAAAAGTTGCTTCATTGTTTCCACGCGTGTTTCGTCAGACCCCTTTTCAAAGGCACGTTGAAAATCTTGTAAACTAGGTTGTTCAATCGTGTCATCTTGATGAACAAGAGTATAACAAAATTCAGTCATAACGAATGATAATCTTGTTAATAAGAAGATAGATGATAAAAAAAAAAAAAACTACACCCAAATGATAATAATAATAATAAGAAAAGTTGGGAGTAGACTAGAAGAAAAAAAAAAAGAGAGAACAAACGGATTGTTTTATTTTAGTTTTCTAACAACCGAATTAAGCGGATATTGAAACCATGGATGGGCCAAAGAAAATGAGATCCTTGACGTGTCAATTTTCCGTACTGCCCTCATATGTTAATTTTTTTTTTTTTTAAAAAAAAAGGTACAAATATCATACTTTCTTTCTTTGTCAAATATATATAACTAAGCTTTCTTTATATAAATAAATTATTTTTTTTTTCAAAATATATTCTTCACACTAATAAGATAAAGTCAAGATATGACGATAGATAATAAAACGATAAATGATGGATGACAGTATAACGATAACCACGATGAATAACATTAAACGTATAATTTGTTAATCCTTTTCATTTCATTAAATACAAAACATATTTAAACAAGATAAACAATAATAATATATATTTATTTCGAATCTAAATATGTAATTGGTCTATAGCAAGCATTCAATCCTTTGTAAATACCTTGTTCTACAAAAAGATCATGATCAGTGAACCCAATAGTAATATGAGGCCAAAAAGCCTATTGTATAGTTTAGAGAAAAAGAAGGGATAAGTATAAAATAATCATTACCATTTGTTCCTTTTCCCTTACATGTGGATCAAATAAAGATGGATTGCCTTTCCTAATATAAAATAATCTAAAGATACTTTCTCGTAACTTGATCAAAGAAGGTGATGAGATAATGAGTTGATAAACCACATGATCAAAGTTATTTTCTTTTTGTATGACTTTGCCTAGACATACGACTGAGAATATACTGGATTGAATCTTATGTGATTTTGCCAAATGGTTGAGTTCATCTATGGTGATATTTGTCGATGTTGAGAGTATACGATATTCTGGTGGACTAATAACAGTAATATGTGCCTCCTCTATTTGATCCAAAAAAAAAAAAAAAAGAAAAGAAATGATTAATTTATTTATATATCCTTTTGTTTTTATAGAAGGAATTTACGTCTAGATAAAAGAGGTTGTTCTGTCGAATTGAGTATTTCCAAGATAGGTTCTATATATGTATAATCTAACTGCATACCTAACCAAGGCATATCTAGAACACAAAGGAAAAGAAAAAAAAAAAGTACCGATTGAGATATGATCAATACACGAAGTATCTTTTTTTTTTTCTCTCTCTTCCTTACCAAGATTATGTTCTTCAAAAGGAATATTACTTGTATCATGAATGTGTCTTGAGATGGGTACAGAAGATCCTATTAAACAAGGGTAGTCAAGGCAATATAAATATATATATAGGTATGACATGTAAAGTCTTTGGTGTGTATACCTTGCCACGGTATACCAAGAGGAGAATGTGGAATATCAAATACTACAGGAACAAAGTCATTGTAGATACAATAAACATATTGAAGAGAAAAAAGAAAAAAAAGTATCAAACAAAGCATTCATATATATAGAAACTGGAAAAAAAAAGAAAAAAAAAAAAAAAGAAAGAAAAGAGAAAGTAAAATGGATAGGAAAAACGGGTCTTCCATTAAAGTCAATTCCCCGCTTAAGAAGATCTCATGATTCGGTAAACATAGTAAAAGAAAGATTTTATTATTAAACTGATAAACTAAAAAAAAAAAAAAGGTATAAATATAAAAATAAGAGAAGGGTATAGACAAAATAAAATAAAATAAATACTAATAGATAAAATAAACATATAAATAAACAAAGACTATAAGGTTGCAGACGATTCCAAATGAGTACAAAGTCGAGACAGGATCGCATAACCTTGTTCAATTTGTAAAGCTTGATACATAGACGCCAGCGTTTCTGTTGCTACTTGAAAAGGTGCAGTTTGTTGTTGTTGTGCCGTTCTGATTTCTTGCATCCACCTTGTATAATATTGTTGTCCAACTCCAAGTAAATGTTCTGATAATAATCCCAAACAAATTGACCACATTTGTTGTTCCTGTTGATCGGTTGTTCCTTCATCCTCTTTATCTTGTTTCGATGATATGTTATTCTTTTCATTCCTTGTTTTCTTCTTTGAAAAAAAAGAGGATGATTGTTGTATATCCATTCGATAAATCATATGTTCGTACAAATTCTTTTTGTTGTTGTTGTCAGCCGGAACCAGAAAAGAAGTTTGACCAGTCGTAACACAAACAGTCCAAGAACAACTAGAAGACAAACCAGGTTGCATCAACGAGGCCAAGCTTGGTGGAGGTGCGGTACTAACGGCCAAACAAAGACGCTGAATATCTTCGGCCAACAAAGGATCGATGTCAGGTTGGAATACTCGTGCATAGAGATGATGCATCCGTTCTTCATTTTGGCGCGCATTTTCTTCAAACACGTTTTGAAAATCTTGTACAAGTTGAACCACCTTGATGTTGCATTCTTCTTGACTAGAACAAAATAAATGAGGATGTGACTGAGGTCGATGTCGACGACGTGATTCATCAATAGTTGTTGTTGTTGTTGCTGTTATTGTTGTTGCCTTATCTGCTGAGCTTGCTGTTTCACTTGAATGACCCAAAAGTATAGAATGTCGTTGTTTTCGAAACCAGTTTTTAACATGATTGAATAATCCAAAATGAGTTTTTGTTAGACTAGGTTGAGATGACGGTACTGTTGCTGTTCCTTGTGCTGCTGCTGTTGAAGATGATGATGATGATGATAAATTCGCTTTTCTCTTCTTTTTATTATTACTAATGATCAATGGATACCAACGATGTCCATGATGTTCTGAGATAGTGGAAGGTGGTGATGTCGAGGAACAAGTGGATGGTTGCGCAAGTGTTGTAACAATATGTTGAATACGATCTAATTTCCATTCCGTACGTAATGAAGAAAGTGCATGATGAAGGTGATGTAAATCATCATAAACCTGACTTGACCTATCCAATCTACTACTGAGTCCATGAATGGTTTGTAATAATTGATATCTTTCCATATCATTTTCCAATTGTCGAATTTGTTGTTGTTCCAAAATTTCCCAATATTTTTCCTTGATTGCTTTCAATTTAATATAAAGTTTTTTGGTATGCTTTTGTTGAAAAAAATCAGATATTGATGATGGATGAGTGGATGTTGCTGTTGAAATAGAGGAAGATATATTAACTGGAGGTGGATTCTCTAACGTGGTAGTAATTTTTCTAATATGTCGATGAGCCTTTTTGATCATGTTAGTAAGTTGTTTTTGTTCCTTTAAGGTCATCAGTCCAAGATGGTGAGATTGTTGTTCTTCAGCATTCAAGTAGAGTAGATCGCGATCAATAGAAAAAAGAAGATGTTCATCTTGAGTGGTCGTCGTCATTACTTCTTCCCTTTTTTTTAAAAAAAAAAAAAGGAAAAAGGAAAGAAGAAAAAATATATAAAAGAAGAAAAGAAAGAGAAAAAAAAAAAAAAAGAGAGAAAGAGCGCCTTCTATTTCTTTTTTTATATTCATTCTTCTCAGTGTTACAGATTTCATTTTTTTTTTTTTTTGACATGTCATGCTGACTTGGAATTCATGAAAGAGAGGAACAAAGTTTGGGAAACATGAAGATCCTAAAAAAACTGGATTTTGGGGGGGGAGAGAGATCATAAAGGTTTTTTTTTTATTATCATTATTATTATTTGATTGATTTCAAATCATAGGAGTCATATGGATAAATTGTAATAAAGTAGATGAAAAAGATGAAAAAAAAAAAAAGATGAAAGAGATACAATAGGAAACAAATCTTACTTTTATCCTCTCCCCCCGCATTAAATCTAACTTTCTAACCACACCCTGTTTTAAGCTCCGTGTACTGGGATTTTTACTTTGATATACCCCCCCCCCATTTCCACCCCCCCCCCTCTCCACAAGGGAAGTAAACTATCATCATCCTATAACATTTTATTTCTTTATGCCTTTCTCACATTTAAAATCACACAATCAAAATTTCTCATTCAAAGCGTCTTTATTTTGGTTTTTTTTTTCTCCCTTGCATTTTTATTTCACGCAACAAAGAAGAAGAAGAAGAAGAAGAAAGGTACAACCTTTATGCACGATGACATTCTCCATAAAAGGAAACCCGTTGTTTTTCTTTTTTTTTTTTTTTTTTTTGGTGACTCCCCCTTCTCTCCTTATTTTTTTTTTTACTTTCATACAGCAAAGTAACTAAAAAAAAAAAAAAAGATAAATAAAGAATAAAAATCAAAGCCCAAAAAAAGTTTAATCCAAATCATCGGTTCTCTACCTCCTTGTCTCACCTATTCTCTCTCTCTTTTTTTTTTTTTCTTCTTTTTCTGTCTGTGAGCTATCATATGTGTATGTGTGTGCGTGTGTGAATGTGTGTCATTTATTGATGATATGTTATGATAGGACCGTGCACGTGTAATCTTTCACCAAAAGTAAATGAGCATGTATATTTTATGTAAAGCAAGGAAAAAAAAAATAAAATACTTTATCTATAAGAACAAAAAGAAAAAAAAAATACATCATTCTTTTTGCATGCAGCAAAAAACAACTAAGCATGACGGATGCTAAATGACGATGATGGGGAGTCATCACTGAAAAACATCATTATTTTTTAGTTGACTGTTTTACGCGGGAAAAACATAAACCTGTTTTTTTTTTTACGAACAGGGGCTGTTAAAATAAAAGGGACAAAGTAGGGGGGTGTAACTATGGGTATGATCAATGGAGAAGACAAAATACAATGCATATTGCGGATAAAAAAAACAAAACATTAATATAAAAAAAAAAGAGACAGAGAAAAGAAAGATAGTTTATTTAATATATACAGTATTCATATAGAGAGAAGAGAGAACAAGAAAAAAAAAAAGAGAGAACAAGAAAAAAAAAAAGGTATTTGATAAGTATGTATAAAAAATAAAAAAGGTAATGAAAAAAGGAGATAAGATTGAATGAAAAAAAAAAGAAGAAGGGGTATCATATACACAATGTAAATATAATGAATAAAATAAAATATCACACTTAATAAACTAAAAGGAATCAAGGTTTTCGTTGTTGAGTCAATGTTGAAAGATTCTTCATGGCTTGATTCATTTGATTTTCCAATTGTCTTCGAGATGCTGTATGTTCACGGGCTTGTCTAGCAACTGATTTTTTTAGCGCGTCCATCCGTTCCACCGTATCGGTTACAGATTGTTGTAAACTTTGTCTTGATTTAGCTTCTTTTTCCATACGAGCTTCCAAACGATTAATCCGATCCATCCATTCATCCCATTTGGCTAATATAGGTTGATTTTGTTGTTGTTGTTGTTGTTGTTGTGATGTTTTTTTGGAAACGAAAGGAGGAGATGCTGACATTGTTGGAGAAGGAGGTGTACGACGTTGATGTTCTTGATATCTTTTCATAAATGAATCCAATCGAGTCATAGTTCTTTCTTGGGTAAGTTGAATGTCTTGTCGTTTACTTCGTTCTTCTTCTAATAATGTTTCCAATTGCTTCATTCGTTCATGAGCACGCGCCTGTTGTTCCTGTAAGGTCTTGTGGAACATTTGTACGAGTTGTACCATACCAGACTTTGATGTGGGAGATGCTGATACCGATGACCTGGGTACTTTGGATAAATGATAACCATGAGTTTGTATTGCCGTAGTAAATGAACCTCCAAGTGGTGCCACTGATGATGACATTTCGTTGTAATAAAATGGAGTACTTGTTGTTTCGATATTCGGTTTGTTGCCATGTTTGATGAGTCGTCTTCGTAATACATAATGTTTCTTTGTATTTTCATTTGGTGGTAATAAATGATTCGATGATGGCAGAGGATATGGTTTGCCTGCAGTCCAAAGTTTCCCTAATGATATAAATAATGAGTTCATTATTATCTCTTTTTTCTTTTCTTAAAAAAAAAAAAACGACTTACCAGCTTCACTTTTGAATTTGATATTGATATCTTGAATAGAAGAATGAGTAGTAGAAGAAGTAATAAGATTGTTGTTACTATTGTTCTTGATAGTTCGTGGAATTGATTTGTTCTTTTTCTTCTTGTTGGACAATAAAGAAGTAGATCTTTCAACATCAGTCATCCATTCCATAACAGCTTGTTCCTTTTTGCTGTGTTGATGACGTCGATCAGAGAACCATTCAGCTAAAGCATTTTGATCGGGTTCAATGGCGGTTGCGGGACGAGAGATAATGATGGACTTGTTGGTTGATGATGATAATAATAGTGGCTGTGAGATAGGTGATACATTGGGAGCAGTAATAGTATGTTGAAGACTAGATAAACGATGACGTTCAGCGGTAGAATTGGCCAACTTTTTCAATAACCGAGACCTTGGTGGGAATTCGTACTGTTCCTGTTCAGAAGTTAAAGTCTGTGGCACCAGAATTTCTTGACTTCCATCAGGATAACGCTTGATGACAGCCTAAAAAAAGAAAAGGAAATTATTATATTTCACACAACAAACTTCCTTTTTCATCCAATTTTTACCTTTCGATTGTCACCCCAAAGCATAAATGACCTAGGTTGTCTTCGTCTTACTTGAGCCATAGAAGCAGCCGCTCGCGCAGCAATTCGTCGTTGTGTTTCCTTTTGCTCATCACTGAGTTGTTGTTGTTGTTTTGTTGTAAATGAAGCACGGCCCGTGCGTTGTTGCGTTGCGCGCCTTGACGTTGTTGTTGCAGCTGATGATGTTGGTATAGGTGGTCTTGTAGTTGATCGATTTGTGCTGACGTTGGATGTTTTTCGTTCATGCATCAAAATGTGTAAATAATAATACAAAAGATGAAGGGGGTGAAAAATATATATTTATATTTATATATATATATTTGTAGATAAAAAAAAATATGGTTGTATGTATATAAATATATATAAAGTGTTTTTTTTTTCCAAATATAATAAGAATAAAATACAAAAAAAAAAAAAAAGGGAAACGAGGAGGGGAGAGAGAGAGAGAGGATAGATGACTATATATCAACACGGGAAGAAGAGAAAGAACGTTACTGAATTCTCTTTCTCATCTATGAATGGATAAAAAGGTTGTAATAAAACAAAAAAAAAGGGAAAAAGAGAGAAGAAAAAAGAAAAAGGAAGAAAACCGTTTGTATTTTTCACCAAAAGTATCAACCCAAAAAAAAAAGAAAAAAACAAAAATTGAAGTAGATATGAGTACAGATGAATGAGGACACTAAAGGTATATTAAAAAAAAAAAAAGAGGGAAAGAGAGATAGAGGGAGAAGGAATGAGGGGGTATAGAGATGACGATAACAAGAAATAATAATAATAATAATAAAACAAAAACAAAAAGAAGAAAGGAAAAGAGAGAGAGAGACAGTAAGAATAAGAAGAAAATAAAAATAAGGGAGACAAAAAAATAACCAAAATAAAGGCGGAAATCGAAAATATAACCTTAAAAAGGTCAATACGGGTCAAAGTTCCTTTTGGTATCATTTTTGACACGGGGCTAAGAAATAGGATTCAATACAACAACAACAACAACAACAACAACAACAACAACAACAACAACAACGCAATAACAACATAATAATAATAATAATAATAATATCATTAAATGATCTCAGAATTCCTCTTTTTTCTTTTTTATTTCCATCATCATTATCAAAGGGTAAAAAATAATAATCAATATAAAACATAATAAATAAATAAATAAATAAAAAAAATGATAGATCCAATCTAATCATGAAGTTTCTGTGGTGTCAATGGTGGAGGCAAAGCAGTTCTACAAAAATGGAATATAATATGTAAGTTAATATTCAAAAATAAACATAACCATTATAATCATCTTCATTTTTTTTTATTTACCCATTGTGCTCTGAAGAGGCTTGGTTTTGAATTGTTTGATTTGAATCAGCAAAAGGATCAAAAGGATCAATTCCACTACTTGGTGCATTAGTATTAGAAGTAAAAAGTTGTGCGCCACTACTACTACTACCACCCCCACTTTGTAAAAACGGGACAAAAAAAAAAGATAAATTTTTATCATTATTAGTATTATTATTATTATATTTTTTTTTTTTTAAAAAAAAAAGAAGTAACTATCTTTTTACCTTGTTGATGATTCCACATGAGTATTTGTCCCAGATGCATCGTTCTCCGTATTAATCAACGTTTCATCCTAAAGAAAATACAATTGTTTTGAATACATACTAACAATACCAATTGTATTATAAAATATTTGGAATGGTGAATTGAGTATTTTTTTTTTGTTTTATTTACCTGACGAGTGCTACGATGATTAACAGCACGTGAATTGTTAGTAGCCGCATCCAATGCACGCCTTTCCAACATGTCATCATAGGCCTTGAATGTATTGACTAATTCTCCATTGGCAAGGATCAATGCAGCTAAAAATAAAAAAAAGAATCATTAGATCAAAGAATATATCTATATTATTTTTTCTACTTACAAATAAGTTCAGAATCTTCACAAGTTTGTAAATGACCAGAGATAACTCGTTGTAGCATCTTGCATTTCCCATAGAATTCCTACATTTTCAAAGTAAAAAGAAACAAAAAAAAAGGGGGGGTGCACGTACACATATACAGACAACAAATTAGTTCCCGTTCCTTCTATTCATTCCCCTAAATTTCCTTTTCAGTACCTGGATTAATTCATTCTTGGTAATATCTTCCTGCGTCGGGTCGGTGAAAGATAAAGTTTGAGAAAGTAACTGAGCATTGTTCTTGGCAATTTCCACATCAGACATGATATCTACTGGCTATATCATTTATACAAGTATACCATATAAAACAAACAACAAAAAAAAAAGACCATATTAATCAAATTTACATCGTAAAACTTATATATATATATATATATAACGTACTTTGTTCAATCGAGGTTGTTGATATTCATTGTTGTGTTTACCACCAGTTGCAGCAGTAATATCGTTCCTTGTTGCTGATGATTGTAACTGATAAGGTTTGAAGAGATTTCCACCTAATCGTCCAGATTTTACAGGTTGTGAGACACCATGCATCACTAATTCATGTACTCTACAGATTGTCCCAAATGCTGGGTCAGTGCCATCATTGCTAACCCAATTCTGAAGACATTGAACTAATTTGCTATGTACATCATCGTTAGAAGCCTTTGAAAAAAAAAAATAATAGTCGATCAATCACATGTTGTCTGCTCAAGTCTTCCCTTTGCTTTTTTTTTTTTTCTTTTCTTCCTTTATTACCTTTTGTGTTGCCAATGTTTCCAAGTCTTCACCAAATGATTTCGCCGCAAGCTGACCTAAAATCAAGTTTAAGTTTAACAGAAAAAGTCTATTTAATAAAAAAAAAAAAAAACTCATATCTTCCATTCCAATCCTGTTCCAAGTCGTATATATTTCTTGTTACCTTTGAACTTTTCCCGACAGTTTTCCGATAATGCGTTTAATATCTAAAATCATTATATACATAAAAAAAAAAAAAGTAGGTTGATATTAGTATCGAAAATGAGGTGATTGATGTAGGCGTCTATATAAATATTGTATGTGTGTATATGTATGATGAAAATCTATTTTCACCCTTTTTCCAAATATTCTCTTTTATATATATATATTATTCTTTTCCATTTACCTCCAAAGAGATGACTTGAGTATTGACATCATTGGCCAACATCTTTTTCTGTAAAAGTTTTCTAGCTTCTTTGGCACCAAGTTCGGAATTGTTAACCACTTCACATATTTGAAAGACGAGAGCCCAATCCACTTCTGTTTGATTACTATCAGTCATCTTCTCTATAGAGATGATGAACAGTAATAAATAATAATAATGCAGTTAGTTAAAGTCGTGATTGTATAAAAGATGAAAACATAAAAAAAAAAAGAAAGAAAGAATATATTACCGATGTCTTTGGTAATAGTTGTAGGAGTAATTTTCTTTGAAAATAACGGCATTATTGATTATTAGAATGAATTTTTGGTGTGTGAGACTAAAAAGTTAAGAGAATCCGTGTAGTGAGAGAAATCGAGAAAAAGAACAAAAAGTAAAAATGTAATGCTACTGCCAGACTTGGCAAAAAAAAAAAAAATCAAATCGGAGAGTAAAAAGGGAGGTTGGACATTTTTGATGGCAAAAGACAAAATAGTACAGTGTAAGTAATAATAATAAAGTTTCCACAAATAAGTTTCACGAAAAAAAAAAGGTTTTTATTTCGTTGTGATAGCTATATAATGATTCAATTCAAACAAAATAAAATAAAAATAAAACATCGGGAAAATATATGATTCATCAAAAGGAGTTCATCATCATCATCCCCTATTTTATAAGCACAAGGAAAGAAAAAAAAAAAAGAAAGAGTGCCGCGGTTAATGCATTCTAGGATGACAAAAGTTACACTGGTGGAACAATCATAGATAAGCAATCGAAACCAACAAGAGAAAATCTTACATTTTCTTCTTTTTAATTCATAAAAATCGTGATGATCACTTGCCAAGAGAGATTTACTTGAAAAGGGAATTCGTGTCACGATGATTACTGCTTTGTTTGGTTTCCTGGCTTTTTGTCTATCTTTATAGTTTGACAATAAACAATGAATGAATGTTACTTTTATCTTTTAGTATCATAGCAATCATATGCCAAGAGATCATATAATCTGACTAATTAGAGATAAAGGAGAAACTTCTTTTTCTGTTTGAATAGTAATAGTGAAGAACGTTTGATACGATTACTCTTTTCAAATGTGTAAAGCCAATGTACCAGCAAATCTTTTTTTTTTCTTTTTGGATTATTCATCATACATATATTCGTCATCCAATTCATTATATGATCATCATGATGTAAAAAATTACTTGTCCACATATTTTCATTATAAATTTTACATACAAAATAAATTGATTTCAGTAAATCTACAGGATTACAGTATGTTGTTTATTATATATGTAAAAAAAAAAAAAATCAAGAGAGAGGAAGTAGGAAAAGAAAAAAAAAAGTCTATATAAGAGAAGGGGGGGGGAATATACAAGGAAGAATAATACATGAAAATAAAACTAAACTAATAATACATGAATATTTCTATAAGAGATTATATTTCATTTCTATTCAATCAAGAATTAGGTACTTGAGGTAAAGGAGTAGTAGGAGGAGGACGTGTTTCAAGAAGACCACCAGGACTACGGAATACTTTGGAAGAATCTACCATCATATCTTGTTCAAAATCAAATAAATCATCGGATTCCCATTCCTTTCGAGTATAAATGTTTGTAGTCGATGCCTTGTTATTGTTAGAAGCCAATGTATCTAAAAAAGTATAATTATTATCGCCAGGATAATTTTGTTGTTGTTGTTGTTGTTGTCGAATAGTATGATGTTTCATAAGAGTGGAAAATGATCGTGATACACCATTCTTGTTATTATTATATGTCTTGGGTTGAGGAGGTGGAGAATGAGGAGGTTGCATAACACTATTACTAGAAGATGTAGATGGAGTAAATATTGTATTCTGAGCCAACGATAAATGCGCACGAGAACCAGCTGATGACGATAATGTTGTTTCTGAAGGTATACTATCCAATGATTCAGTCGATAATCTAAAAGGGCGTAAACTTGGTGATAAGGAAGATGATAATGGAGTCACAGTGCTTGTATTGGATGAGGATGCTAAAGTTGGTGCCCGTTGTTGTTGTTGTTGTTGTTGTTGTTGTTGTTGTTGTTGTTGATTGTCATTCAGATCCAATCGATTTAACCATTTATCAAGAACACTACAAGATTCATCCATGGTTGGAGGTAGATGAGTAGCTTCGCAAACATGATGCCGTCCAAATAAAGGATCTAAAGTAGCATTAATAATATCTATCCAATGTTGACAACCCTGTTCATGATCAGCATAGAACGTATATGATCGATAGTTTTTACATCGAGATATTATTCGAAACCCATAAGGATGCTGTTTTGAAGATTCCTTTTCTGCCAATCTATAGTGTTTGAGATCAACTAAACCACTTGGTCGTGTATCAGACTATAAAAAAAAATATAAAGTCAATGTTATAATTTATTGATTTCTTTTTTTTTTTTTTCCTTTTCTTCCTTTTACCATATGTTTGTAATATCGTAGTTCAGTTCCAGAAAGAACACAGTAACGTCGATGTCGAGTGGATGATAAGCCAAGTAGACCTGTTTTCCATAACCACCCTTCTGTCGTTCCCTCAGTCATGTACGTATATAATAGTAAATGGTGATAAAAAAGAAAAAGAAAAAGAAAGAAAAAGAAAAAAGGGAATGTGAGAAAAAGAAAGAGGAAAGGCAGAGAGAGGACAAAAAAAAAAAAAAGCGCAGCTTCCCTTTTTTGAAAGTCAAAATCTTTTTTTTTAGGCTTATTTTGTTTGAATCTCCTTCTATCCTATCAGCTACGCCAATTTAGGTCATACGGACAATTCCTTTTTAGAATGACATTTTAGCTCAACACACGTGGATCCTTGACCACTCATCACCACCCTATCATTTAATTCAACCAACAAAAAAAAAAATAAAATAAAAAATAAATAAAAAAGAATATCTTTAATCTAATAAAAGACAACGACGTAATCTATTCAAATAATCTAACTGCAATCCATGTTCTAAGGAATCTAATAATAATAAATGAGAATCAGCTGTATTTGTTAACAATAATAGTTCAATATGATCAATGTCGCTCTTCAAATCATTGTCCAGGGAGGCTTGATCAAGGTTGCACCGAGCCACAGAAATTTTTGATAATAACTACAAAAAAACCAAGACACTGAATCAGATAAGGAAAAATTTCGCCCGAAAAAAAAAAATTTGTTCAACTGGGCTTCAATTGCATCTTTTTTACCTTTACATCGGGATAAATGATACCATTCAATGATAAAATGTGTTGATAAATTTTATCCATTCGTAAATAATCATCTATCACAAGGAAATCAAAATAAATGAGGTGATCCTTTTTTTTTTTTTTCTTTTTTTCTTCTTATTTACCTATTTCTATCGCCTTTAAAAAAAGGGAGAATAAAAGTACCATGGATTCATATTTAAGACCTGTCATTGCCATGTGAGTTCCATAAAACAATTGTGTATCCATTGAACATAAAGTCAATCCAATTGCATCATAAATCTACAGCAAAAAGATATTATTGGTTAGATCAACTTTAATCCATGTTTATACTTTTTACCTGCGATATCATGGGGCAAAATAAATAAGATCTAAAATATAAATCCAAAAGAAAATAGATCAGTTCCGACTGATCGGCAACTTCTTTCCCTTTTTTGAACTTACCGTTCCTTATCAGGACTGATAGTAAACGCAAATTCATAAAATACAATTGCCAGTTTTTCTGCTATATTATCATATCCCGTCACTATAGTACCCTTTTGAGCAAAAGCACCAGCACATTCCTCTAGTAAGGACAATAAATATAATGATTGTGATATACTTTTTGCAGCTTGATGACATATTTCTTTGAATTCCATCGCATCCTTTTTTCCACATTGCTAAAGTGTCCAAAATATATATATATATATATATATATAAATGATTGCCCATTCAACTTTTTTTTTTCTTTTTTTTTTTCTTTTTTTTTCTTTTACCTTGGCCAATAATAATAGATCGTTTTTCTTGATTCCCCATTTGCCTTCTAATACATTTAAATAATTATCGTACGCCAATTCCATTTGACCATTGTATATGCAGTATAATCGAGCCAGTACCAACTGAGCATCCCAATGAATATCTATGTCTTGATTTAAAGATATCAAAGCAGATAATGCATTTGCTGTATAAAGAGGTCGTCGTTGCTTATAAAATTCTAAAGACGAAATAAATCGGCATGTCTGAACCACCCTACTCCTTTTTTTTTTTTTTTTTACCTCGAGATACTTCAAAGTAGGAAGGTACAGCTTGTTGAGGTGACAGATTGCCAATACTATCCATTTTCCGTAATGACTCTATATATATATAAACAACACATTTCATATGAATATCATCATAAAATAAAGATTCAAATGAATTTACCTGTTGTTGCAGGATCGATGAATTCGTTTTGATCACTACCACTACTTTGTTTGGTTGTTGTAGCTACTACAATAAGGAAAACATAAGACTATCAGATTAATATAAACCATTTTTTTTTCATATGATATACATCCTACTGTTATATTATACTTTACACTTTTTTCCACCAGAAGCTTTTTTGACAGTTGCTAGATGTTTTGCACTTTTCAAATGGTTTTGCATGGTGGCATCATTGTTGAATTTCTTCTTGCACTCCTTGCAGTAAAAGTTGTTGTTTCCTGTGGTGAACTTTGATGTTGTAGTTGTGGTATGTGTTGAAGTTGGTTTGGTTGTCGTGGTATCGTGTGTATAAGAGATCTTGGAGGATCGATCGACATTTGCACGTTGGTATGGTCGGAGAGGTAATGGCTGAAAGACTAAAGAAAAGAAGAGAGAAAAAAAAAAAACATAGGAATCAGTTACACTACCGCGTATCATTTAGATAGTTTTATTTTTCTTACTATCAAGGTATGAGATATCTAATTCAGGATCGAATAGTGGAAACAGATCAGGCATAATGCGTGTTCCTCAAATTGATTCAAGATATCAATGGAGCAAAAGACGAGGTAAAAAAGCAGTGAGAGAGAGAAAGAGACGAGAGAAAATGTAATCAAAGTCCGTCCAAGTTAGGTAAGTGACGTGGAAAAGGGGTGCCGCGTATTCAGATTCCTTTTTTTTCTTTCTTTCTTTTTTTCTTTCAACCAACCTTAAGACCTGAACAACACGTCCATTCATCTTTTTTATCTACATTTTTTAAACAATAATGGTGAACACTGAACAAAAACAAGATAAAGTGGATCAAGTGGAAGCTATGAATATTGAGGAAGACGAAACAACCAAACAACTTCGTCTGGAAAAAGAAGCTACCACAGCTTTACTCAACGGTAAAAAGAAAACAGTTATTTTCTTTTTGTGAATAGTAGATGAAAATAAAAGCTAATATATATTCTCTCTTAATTTAGATCTGAAACGAAACTGTACCTTACTGGAAAGAGCTGTTGATGCCATCGAATCTCGGTTCACTACACGTGTCTTAAGAACTCTTCCTTCTATTCGTCGTCGACTTACTGCCCCTGTACTAGCAGAAATCATTACAGAATACTATGGAACCGGTAAGAGAATAATGTTTGGAATAGACTGCTTAAGAAATTGCATCCATGGAACTTACTATTTTCTTTAATAGATGAACGAAAGAACGAACTTTTACAAGCCTTAGGTCAAGTATGTAACATTTTATAACCATGAGAAAAGAAATAATATAAAAAAAAAAAACTAACTGTTTTCTTTTCTTTTTTTTTCTTTTATTATAGGATGGAGAAACCATGCAAGTGGATTCCAGTAGTGATAAAAAATCTACGACCATTTTACCTGAAATTGATATCTATTTGCATTTGAATGTACTTATTTACTTATTGGACAAGAATGAATTGGAAAAGGTATAAATATAATATAATATAATATAATATATCTACATGAATATGTATGTGTGAAGTCAATGTATTAAACATGTTTTTTTTCCTTTGTTTTAGGGTCTTCGTTTGGCAAATAATACTGTGGATCGTTTGGTACCCCTCAACCGCCGTACTCTAGATTTACTTGCAGCTCGTGTGTACTTTTATCATGCTCGATTCTATGAACTAACTGATCGTTTGGCTGATATTCGACCGTATGTGAAAGTTAAAAAAAAAAAGGAACCAAGGAATGATGACATTAAGTTGACAATTTTTCTTTTATGTTTGTAGAATGCAATTAGCTGCTCATCGTACTGCTAGCTTACGACATGATAACGAAACACAGGTAAATAAAAAAAAAAATGAAGAGAGAGAGACACATCGATTGATGCTTGAAATGTGTATTTTGACTGATTATCTATATCTCTTATTTCTAGGCCACTCTACTCAATTTGTTATTGCGAAACTACTTTGTGCACAACTTGTATGATCAAGCTGATAAGCTTTTGTCCAAGAGTACCTTCCCTGAAAATGCTGGAAACAATCAAGCTGCCCGTTATGCATATTATCTTGGTCGTATCAAGGCTCTTCAACTTGATTACACCTCAGCCCATACATTCCTTACTCAAGCCATTCGCAAAGCTCCTCAAAACAATGTTACAGCTGGATTCCAACAAACCGTAAGTTCATCATGATTTCGTCTTGTTTTTTTTTCTTTTTTTCTTTTTTAAATAATATTATATTTTCATAGGTGAACAAATTCTTCCTTGTCGTTCAATTATTGATGGGTGAAATTCCAGAACGATCTTTATTCAGACAACCTGTGTTGAAAAAAGCCCTTGTTCCATATCTCCATATTACCCAAGGTAAAATAATAAAAAATAATAATAAAAATAATGATATCATGAATGATACTAATAAACATTATTTTATTTCTCTTAGCTGTACGTGTGGGTGATCTGAACAAATTCCAAGAAGGTTTGGCTGAATTTGGTGATGTGTTCAAGAAGGACAAGACATACACACTTATTCTTCGTTTGCGCCATAATGTGATCAAAACTGGTATCCGTATGATCAGTTTGTCCTATTCCAAGATCTCGTTACGTGATATTTGCATCAAGTTACATTTGGACAGTGAAGAAGATGCACAATTCATTGTAGCCAAGGCTGTTCGTGATGGCGTGATTGATGCCACATTGGATCATCATCGTGGTTATATGAAGAGCAAAGTAATAAAACACTAAAAAGAAGTTTATGTTGATCTCATCCTTTTTATTATTATTATTATTTAGGAAATTGTTGATATCTACTCTACCAATGAACCTCAGGCTGCTTTCCACCAACGTATTAGTTTCTGTTTGAATCTCCATAACGATGCTGTCAAGGCCATGCGATTCCCATTAGATGCTCATCGAAAAGAATTGGCCACTGCCGAAGCTGCTAGAGAACGTGAAAAGGAATTGGTACAAGAAATTGCTGAAGGGGGTGACATGGATGATGAAGATGAATTTTATGAATAAAGTATAGTATAATATAGTTATCTGCTTTTTTTTTTTTTTGATCAATAAACTGTTATTATTATTATCATTATTATTATTATTATTACTAGTTTTGGAAACATAACAAAGATACAATAAAATAAAAAAATGAAATCTCTTTTTTTATTTGTTCAAAAAATAAGGGGGTAAAGACGATGAAATCAAAAACTAACACTAGTGTCGATGGAGAAGTTCGTGATTTGGGGCAAATAGGCACAAGAAGAGAGTTCCAATACATATAGATCGTTGAAGAATTTCTTACCATCATAGCCACCAAACATGAAGAGACGACTATCATAGAGAAGCATGGTATGATATCCGCGATTACTTGGAGCATTTCCATAAACTTTGCGTACCTCCCAAGACATTGTCACTATTAAAAAAAAAATAAGACAATTTTTTCTATATTTTTTTTTTTTTTTCGTTTACCTAAATTCAATAAAAGAAGATCCTTACAATAATGTGATCCATCATGTCCGCCAGTAACAAAAAGATAAGATCCAACACAGACAGCAGCATGTGAAAGTCGAGGCACATGGGGTTCAATATTGAATGGATGCCATCGTTGTGATTCCAGATCAAAAGCATGAATATCTCCAAAACATTCGTGACCATCACTTCCACCAAAGATGACCAGCTTACTGCCCACCAATGTTCCAGAATGATAACCACGCGCAATTGGCTTGGGTCCGGTCGTTTCCAGCACTGACCAGCACATTGTTTTCAAATTCAAGACACATATATCGTTCAAAGCTTGAGCACCATCACCACCTCCAAACACATACATTGCATCACTCCATACAACAGCAACATGAGCTCGACGAGCAGAAGGAATAGGTCCACTAGTGCAAGGTTTGTGCCAAGTCATACTAACTAATAAAAAAAGTAGAATAAAAAAAAAAAAATAAAAAAATGATTAGATCTTGTTGCTCTTTTTTTTTTTTTTAAAAAAAAAATAAAGACTTACTAGTATCCAAAGCGAAAAAATGATTGTGATAAGCAGGTCCATCTCCACCACCAAATATATAGATAGTTTGTTCATACACAACTGCAGAATGAGCACGACAAGGAGGAGGTATATCACCATATACCTTTGGCTTATTCCATGTGAATGTATCTAATGAAAAAAAAAAATAATCAATCAATCAATCTGTCCATCAGTTCATCATGATCCTATTGTTTCCTTTTTTTTTGCCCCTTTTACCCCACCCCTTAAAAAACCCGACTCCTCCTGACATTATTCACTTTTTTTTTTTTGATTATCATTCTCCATAAATGATCATCTTCCTCCCTGTCATTCTTTTGAGGGTATTTACCTAGTTCCAAAGTATAAAGAGATCCTAAACAATGTTTGCTATCTGTACCTCCAAAGACATACATCAAATCACCTACAATCACACTAATATGAGCTCTTGTTGGTTTTGGTATCTTGCCATAAACATTAGGTAAAGACCAGTACATGGCAGGAGCCGGTGCCTGCACCCCTCCTGTTGTTTGCCCTGAAAGACTTGTCCTTTTCTCTGGTTTTTTAGTCGTCGATGTGAGTTCAATAAAAGAAGAAGTCATTGAAGTTGGTGTAGTAGGTGGTACAACGGATCGTAAAGCGGGTGTCTGTTTGGGAGCTAATAATAATAATAATAATAATCAGATATGATAGACGATTAATATATGATAATAATGATAACTTACTTTGTGTGTTAGGGTCAGTAGATCTAGCACGAGTCATTGCCGATGTGATCAAAGGAGCACCATTGGATTTGTAATGAAAATGATCACTAGTACTGCGAGGACCCATAGCACCTTTTCTTTCTTCATTTTGTATACTTGAAGAATAATGATCACCAATTTTGCTGTTTTCTTTGATAAAGCCAGGTAAGGAGAAGGATTCTTGCATAGCAGTACTTGTAGGTGGAGGTGGTATTCGTTTGTCACTATAAAAATATATAATTAGTATGTTTGTTTGATTGTTTGTTTATGTTTTTTATTTATTTATTTATTTACTTTATCTTATTGTTGTTGGACGAAGAGGAAGTTGAAGAAGAAGGAGATAACTGATGAGGACGAGAGAATGTTGTTGTAATTGGAGAAGAAGATGGTTGTTTTGGAAGTTGTTGATGGTTACTTGATAAAGACCTTTTGACTCTTGAGAATAAACTTGGGCTGCTATTACTACCACTACTACTGTTGCTTGAAGAACTAGTGAATGAGACGGTAGATCCAGCTACCAATGGAGTGGCATAATCTTGTAAACGTCTCCGTTGCTGTGCTTGTGACATGCAATGATAGACAATATATATATATAAATAAAGTAAAATAGGAATAGATAAAGGAAAAAAAAAAAAAAAAAAAAAAGAGGAGAAAGAAGAGAAGAGGAATAATGAAAACTGTAACCTGAATTTTTTACTCTTTTCTCTCTCACTTTAAGAAATAAAGTTTATGCCAAAAAAGGATATTGTACCACCACCATCATTCTATTCAATTTCCGAAATCAAAATGGTATAGATCTGCCATTGTTCTATCCAATATATATATGTAAATATATTTTTTCACTTTGATTAATACGAAACGACAATAAAGACAAAAGATATGTAAATCAATAAGTTTTATTTTCATAATAAAATATAATAATCTATTCTAATATCAAATAAATAATTTTTCCCGAAGATATTGAATATGATTGACTTGAGTACCACAACAACCACCAATCATCACTTTTGTACCACACTTCTCCACAGCGTTTGCCATCGATTCATAAAACATTTCCATAGATAATTTGGAATCAGACACCCATCTTCGTTCTTCTGCATCCCAGATCGCTCCGCTATTAGGATAAACCAGTACTGCCTTGTTCGTTTGTCGTTGCTTGTCTGCTAATATCGTTACTAAGCTTGTTATGTATTTCAAACTGGTACAGTTCACTCCAATAGCTACCACTTGCTCCAGATTATCATAGTATCCAATACATTCTTCAAGGTTTGTTCCATCCGATATCTGAGAATCCGATTTACATGAGAATGCGATACCTATTGGTGGTAATGTTTCATCCTTCCAAGTCTTGATTAACTCTTTTATAGCTTCTGCTTCCAAGGCTGATGGAATCGTTTCAAACAAAATTAAATCAATACCAGGCTCTAATTGTAGTACAAAAAAAAAAAAAAAGAGATGAGTACGACTTGCCCCAAACTTTATCCTTATTTGAACATTTTACCTTGTAAGAATAAAAGTAATCTATCTTTGTGGAAATGAATAAGATCTTGTTTAGTAATATTCCCATAGTCACCAGTGTATTCAGCACCATTTGCCAACTTTGCACCATAACATCCCATGGATAACGCGATCAGTCTTGATTCAGTATCATCAGGATGTTTATGCTTATAGGCATCTCGAGCTTCACGTGCTAACTGGACGCTTTTCTTCATCAAACCAACAGCTTCCTCTTGACTAAAGCCTTCCTCCAAAAATCCTTCAATTGTTGCTTGATAACTACAAGTAGTTGCTACATTGGCTCCAGCTTCAAAATAAGATATATGCACAGCCTATTCCTCCAAAAAAAAAGATATTAGTTTTTGAATGGATACATATTTAAAAAAAATGATCTTTTTATGTATGTATATACTTTGATGGCTTCAGGATCTTCATCTAAACATTTTGCTGACCATAGTCTGCCTATTTCGAGTAGTGAAGGTGAAAAAAATAAATAATAATCAATCAAGGAACCCATACATCATATAAGGAGTCTACCTCTAAGATCTTTGCCAAATTGACGCTCTAATTCGGTCGCGAATCCACCGTCAAGAATTAAAGGAAAAGGTAAAGTCATGTCACAAAAGAAGAAAAAGAAGAAAAAAAAAGAATAAACAGAAAAGAGTACAATATCTTTTTTTTATTTCGTAAAATAATACTAACTAACCCCGACCACACACCCACACCACCAAATACACATATACATATATATATACAAGGGACCTAAGAGAGAGAGAGAGAGAGAGGGAAAAAAAAGGCGTCATAAGTAAAATAAATTACTACATCAGTCACAGTCCCCTTCTTTAGGAAAAGTAAGAACTTCATATTCAACATATTGTCAGGATTTTATGTTGTCAGTCATGAAACTTTTTCCGAGTTAGCATGAAATAAAATAAAAAAATCATCTTTCTTATGTCGAATATGGAGTCTTTACCCAATCCCTTTATAAAAAAGTAGAATTTACCTTTCCATTATGTTCATTCCTTTTTCTTCAACTACTTGACAGTCATCTAACAAAAAATAAAACCTAAATAAAACATTAGTTCAAATTTTTTTCAATTTGTTTTTATCATCCATCCATTTTGTGATATGATCTTTTGTATCATCAGTAAAAATTTGTTTGGCAAAGCTGCATAGTATCGACATAAACGATTTCCGCCTGGGGCGGCAGCAATCATCATAATACAATCATCACATCCCTTTTTTTTTTCTCTCTCTTTTGTTTATTGATTCAATTACCTTTTGTTATATGTTGTCATCCATGGATATGATACATAGAAGGGAAAAACAAAGAAAGAAGAAAAAAAAAACGAAGAAAAAAGGGAAAAGACACGTTTTTAAATCAAGCTAATAAAAAAAAATTTTCGCTTCCTTATAGCAGTCGTTGTCACCCAAGCCTCACGGAGTTTCAAGCCCAAAGAATGGCATCCCCTTACCTGCTCCCTTCCATAGACAATACTACAATACACCATCAAAAATAATATTGATGATGGATGATGGATGATGGATGGATGGTAGTTGTCATCCCAGTGATGATGATATAAAATTAGCCTTACACAAAAACTAGGAGTGATTGCTTAAAATAGGAATGAAACAATACAAAAAAGAAACAATGATTTCCCTTTCATCCAAATAACAAGTAAATTTCAAGTTTTATAAATTTTTTTTTTCTTTATTGATTTTCAAATGTAATTAATAATAAAAATGATGAATTAGAGTCCACGTCCATCAAGCAGGACGAGAATAAAAGGGAACAAGAGGTATGATTATTTTATAGAGATGAATGGATACACCTTCATTTGTTCATAGAAAAGAACACACGGAAAAAAACACGCCACCGAGCCCGCCCCCATGGAGGAGGCAGAGTCGGACTTCAGCGCCCAACCGAATCCCAAGATGTGCAGAACCATGCCATCCTCCTTTAGTATGGCCAAGGGAAGACAAAAAGGAGGAGACAAAACCTTGCTAACCTTTCTTCTATAAAAGTTTGAATCAAAAATATTAGATAAATCAATATAATATAAACGATGATCACTTACCCAGTAAAATAGAAAAAGGAAAAAAGAAAGGTAGCAGAGGGAGGGTACTTTTTTCATCAAAGCACCCCCAAAGAAAAAAAAAAAAAAAAAAAAGAGGTGAATAAACAAGACCATTTATATTTGCGTAAGTCTGTTGTGTAACTCTTATTACGCCGTCTATTCAACTATCATCACGTTATACAATCATCATGTATCAAAACAAACAACTAGTTCCCTCGTTAATCATGATGACGCTCTTTTTCCCAGTTTATAAACAATCCGTGTGTCACAATATAACAGTAATAAACTTTTTATTCCTATATATATAAACATAAAACTAAAAGTAAAACTAAAGAAGGTATCTAAAGTGTTTGGAGACGCCAGTTTCTGGAGCAATTTCCACATCAGAAGTATTTCCACCAGGAATCACAGTTGTCTTTGTAACAAGGGGTTTACCATATTTTGCATCCAAAGAACGATTTGCTCGCGCCAATAACAAACGTAAACCAAAACAAAGAATTACGCCCAATCCCATATAAGTTAAAATCACAATGTTGGCCTTGAGGTAACGTGGTGGATCGTTGTATAGTTGAGGAGCATAAAAGTTGGCAAGTTGTGAGATACAGTTGAGTAAAGCAAACGCCACTGCCTTCTTTTGTCGAGGACCAGGAACACAATCACCTAACCAAGCCAAAGAGACACCCAAGGAAGACCATACACCGCCACCGCATAAGAATAAAGAGAAGAATAACAATGCATGATTTTCACTTGTCACTTGAATGACATATCCCACCAAGGCAACACACATACAAAAAGCTACAAAGAATGATCGTACTTGGAGTCTGTCCGATAACACAGCAATGATCAAAGAGAGAGCAGCTGCAAAAACATAAACAGGGATCGTCATATATTGAACCATAGCACCATCATATCCCACATTCTTGATAAAGGTTGGCATAAAGTAATTCATTTGACCACCAGTTTGAATAGCCATAAAGATAATGATAAATACCCATACCTTGTATTCTAATATAGCCGCCTTGACACCTTCCCATGAGAACTTTTCCTTTGGTGCAGCATGACCCAATCGTCGTATAGCAAGATCACGTTCATCTTCAGTTAACCACATTGTATTGCTTGGGTAATCCGGGAGAATCCAATAAGAAGCAATACCAATTAGAAGAGTAATAATACCTTCTAGTACGAATAACCAACGCCAACCACGCATGCCTCCAACACCTTCCATACCTGTGATAATGGCTATATATTCATATTTTAAAAAAAAAAAAAAAAGTGAGGATGAATGTAAAAGTTTTAATATTATTATTTTTATTATTATTATTACCTCCAGCAAAGGCACCACCTAAGGCTCCAGATAACCAGTTTCCACAATAAAAAATAGCATTACGGACAGCAATTTCTCTAGGTTTGTAAAAAGTGGATAATAAAAATCTAAAAGATAAAGAAGAAAGAGGAGGGGAAATGAATACCCAAGGTTTGGAAATTGAGAATAAATTGGAGCCCAGAAAAAAGAAAAAAAAAAAAGACAGGGTCAAACCATATTTAGTAATCAATATTGAAGATAAGAATAAGATTTAGAATAATAAAAAAAATACTCACACACTCGCTGGGAAATAAGGTGCTTCTATCTTGTCCAAAACAGTGAGAGGATTTAGTAAAAGTTCTATCATTATCTTGCTTTTTCTAAAAAAAAAAAAGTCATGATACAAACCTGCGATCTATTAATGACAATATATATATAAAATGAAAATCAATAAAAACCAATCATCACATAAGATATACTGTATTGTAATATACTTACACCAAGGAAAAATCGAGCAACAGCCAAAGTTTTGAAATCCTTAACAAAACAAGTCATGATAGAAACAATAGACCATATAATTACAATAAGAGATACTAGAATAATAATAATAAAATAACAATCATGAGAAACTGATGTTTGATTTAGGCATCACATCTTTACAGAATAAACTTGGTCTTGATCTTTCCATCAACATGTTACTTGGGACTTGCATAGCCATCACACCAAGGGTATAGATGGAGATTACCCAAGAGAAGTCTCCATCACTCATGTTCAAATCCGTTAATAAACCTTCCACCTGAAAATAAAATAATAAATGAATAATAATAATAATAATAATAATAAAGGACGGATTTCAATCAAGTACCTTTGCATTACCAATATTTGACAGATCCAGTCTTTGGCAAATATATAAAACGGTCAACATAGGCATGATACGTCGATCTAGTTTCCTCACCAGGGCCCTTTCACGAAATATCAAATCAGGGTCTTCTTCTTCAAACACTATTTCTACCTGTTGTTCTCGTGATTTGATGGCTAAACCAAAAAAGAAATCAGTCAAATGAATTAAAAAAGGAGAGAAAGAAAATATACTTAGTTTTCATGATCTTACATTCATGCAATGATTCCACTTTTGCAGCAGTAGATAATGTCATTCTATCTAAAATAAATAATAATACAATAAAGAAGAAGAAAAAAAAAAAAAAGGAACACATTATTTTCCATTTATATCATCCTTCGTTTTTCTCATGATCACTTAACCCCACACACTTTTGATTAGGTGATCAGGAGAATAAATAAATATCCCGGCATTATGTGTAACCAAACCAAACACTGAATCATAAAAAAAAAGGTTTTTATTCGATATAATCTAATTATACTACTCTATCTATCATCTAAAAAACTGTCAAAGATTCTTGTAACTTGGCCATCATTTGTTTGTTTTCTTCTTCAGTACCAATAGTAATACGCAAACATCCTTCACAGCCATATTCTTTACCACGGAATCGGACAACCACATTCAAGGATTCAGCCATATACTTGTAAATCTTTTCAGCCCGGATGTTGCACGTTTTCTTGTTATCCTTGTCGAGAATTTCCACCAAGATAAAGTTCGCATCATTCCCACCCAAGATACGACCAATCCCTTGTACTGACTTTAAGCTATTAATCACATGTCCACGTTGTTGAATTAATCTTTGTCGATAATCCATCATGCGTGCCACTCCTTGTTCAGATAATGCTTCTTGTGCAATTTGTGCACTTGGTGTACCAATATTGTAAGGTGCTTTAGTATTGTTTAAGATTTGAATCAAATCTGGATGACCAACAGCAATTCCCATTCTAAGAAAAAAAAAAAAAACTTTAAGTATAATCTAATCTTCTTTTTTTTTTTTCTATTTTTCTATATCTTTACCGAATACCAGCTAGACCAAAACTTTTACTTAAAGTTTGCATCACCACCAAGTTAGGATATTGATCCACCCATTGAGCAACTGATCCTTCTTCTTTGTCCACAAAATCAACATAAGCTTCATCCACCACTACAATACCTTCATAATCACTTTCAAGTACTTGACGTATACTTGCATGAGACAAACATGTACCAGTAGGATTACCAGGGGAACATAAGAATACAAGTTTGACTTCAGGGTTTGCTTTCAAATCTTCCAAAACCTAAATATTTGAATCATTAGTATCTATCTTTTCTTATCTTTTTTTTTTTTTTTTTTGACCAAGTGTTACCTTTTCAGTATCCAATTGATAAGCACCATTTTCAACAATCAAAGGAGTTTTCACCACTTGTACATCATTTATATGAGCGCAGACGGAATACATACCATAAGTAGGAGGAGTGATCATAATCTTATCTTTGGCAGGAACACAAGCAATACGCATTAACAAATCAATGACTTCGTCGGATCCAACACCTAAAAAGACATGTTGAACACTAGGTAATTGACGTAACTTGATGAATGACTTTTTCACTTGAACGTGATAAGGATCAGGGTAACGATGAAGATCGCCTTCACGTTGTTCCAATAAAGAAGGTCCATAGGCATTTTCATTAGCATCCAATAAGATCCCTTTATCGTAATCGTCACGAGCACATCGATAAGGCTGAAGTTGTAGAATATTGGGTCGAATCACCTTTTCTAAAGAATATGGCATAATATCAATATATATATATGTATAAAGAAGAAGAAACAAAATAAAAAAAAAAGTATATTTATTTATTTTTGGTTTTTTAACAAATAATAATCACTATGACCAGGAAATGAGTCAACCAAAATTCCAACACCGCTAAAGTCTCTCAATAGCCGAGTCAATTTGAGGAATAAGTTCAACAAAACGCTTGAATTGTTCCAGAGGTAAAAGTAACCCTATATAATTATTGTAAAAAATAGTGAATATCATTCATCATCATTTAAATCATTAGTTACCTTTAGAAGATGGTTTTTGTTCTCCATCTTTTGCTTGATAATATTCACGTAGATCCACACATTTTTTGCCTTGAAAAGAACGAATAGTAATCCGACGTTTTCCAGAGAGCTATATATATATATATATTGTCATGATCAGTTCATAAAAAAAAATCATTCATCATATAAAACTTACAATAAAATATTCTTCACCATTTTCATTTCGTTCCCCTTCACTGACTTCTTCTGTCTTGGTCTTTTTCACACTTGATTGCTTTTTAGGTTCCTAGATCAAGACAATATTAATAAATATGCTATTATTTTAGTATTTTTACCTCTTCTGTGGATTCATAATCTTCTTCTTCGTCACTTTCTTCTTCTTTTGTGTTTGTTGGCTAAGTATTTAAATAATATATATCTAGGTTAGATTAAGTGCTAAAAAAAGAGGTTCATGCTATGCCAAAGTTGAGTGCATAAAGTACTCTTTTTTACCTTGAAGTCTTGATCTTCTTCTTCTTCTTCTTCAGATTCTGAATCTCTAACACGCTTGGGCATGATTTATTATATAAAGCAGATAAAATTAAAAAAAAAAGGAATTGAAAGAGTGGAAAATAGCGCGTTTGGCTGAAAAAAATAGTTTGGTTGTCAATTGAAGTACAGCCACCTGCATTTCATAGTTTTTTTTTTTTGTTTCTTTTTTTTTTTTTTTCATTCTTTCTTTACTCGACCTCATGGGGTCTCCTACGTTTAGTCATAAAGAAATAACTCCTCTACCTACATCTTCTACTTCCTCTTCCTCTTCTGTCTCACTTAAAAAACCATTGAAACCAGACGAAGCAAATAAACGATTGGATGAAGAACATATTATCAAACTGACAGAAGAAGCTTTCCGTAAGCTCACCGATTATACCCGTGCAGAACTCCAAGGTAAAATATGGACAATATTCAACCTATCGACTCAATTTTTTTTATTTACTTATCAACGGTTTATAGTGACGGTGGAAGATTGCCAACTTTTACAAACAATGAACAAAACAACTAAAGACAAATATAGTCAAATGTCCTTGATGAGTCAACGTCTTATGAAGGAAATGTCCAAAGTTCAAAATACTTGTAAGTTAATTTTTATATACGATTCATTCGAAAGTTGATTTTTATATATTACATATTTATAGATGCCGATTTTGACAGCTTTATCAAACAGATAGACGACATTCATCAACAAGCTCAAGAAATGGAAGAAATTGCGAAATCTTTGGATCAATATTCCAAGTATCTGGAAGACAAAGTGATCAAGACTCAGAATCAACGACAATCACAACATTGATCATCATCATCATTATTTTTTTTTATCCTTTGTATTGTAGTTAGTTTTAGTAGCTTATACCAATAAAATGATCATCTTTATATTAATATGCGAATATTATCCAAAAAAAAAGAACTCATCTTTTTTCAGTTGCATTGGGTGACTCATTGACCTGAATTTAAAATATCGAGTTTTTTTTTTATATATATATTCAACTTTTTCTTTTTTTTTTCTTTTCTTTTTCTTTCTTCCCCTTCTATTTATTTATTTCTATGCGTTCTTCCATTCAACTTCAATTGGCCTCTATAGGTCGTTCACTTTCCATGCGCAGTGCTTTGGGATTTAATCTTCATGTAATGATATTTAAGAAAAACTCGATTATGTTTCACAATGAACTGACTTTTTTTTTTAATACATATATCTACTTATGCACCCATACTCACAGACTATTCGTTGGTCCAGTAGTTTACCTACTGCTGTCAAAGAAGTAAGTGAATGTTTTTTTAATTTAGTTTATATTTTAATGAAACTTTGTGAATATAGATTACCCATCCTGATGCCAATGTGTCAAAGTCAACACGAGACAAGATAACCCGTTTTAATCAGTACACTGTGACGACATATGGACGACCGGACATTGTGTTGGACCGTGGGAAAGGATGTTATGTGTATGACAGTGAAGGACGGGAATACTTGGATTTCACGGCTGGGATTGCTGTGGTTGGATTAGGTCATTCAGATGATGGTGTTGCCAAGGTGATTTCTGAACAAGCGCAAAAATTGATACATACAAGCAATCTTTATCATAACGAACATGCTGGTCCTCTTGCTGAACAATTGGTGGAAACAACAAATCGTTATAACACAACTTCTTGGGCTAGCAAGGTCTTTTTGTCAAATTCAGGTACTGAGGCCAATGAAGGTGCTTTGAAATTCGCACGTAAATGGGGTAAACATGCCAGTGTCAGCACTCCAGAGAAAAAAATCAAGTTTGTGTCCTTTACCAATGCTTTCCATGGTCGATCTATGGGTGCCCTCTCTGCCACTTACAACCCAAAATATCAAGCTCCTTTTGCTCCTTTGATTCCTGGCTTTGTTACTGCCCCTTACAATGATGTGGATGCCGTCAAATTGATTGATGATGATACCTGTGGTGTGATTGTTGAACCCATCCAAGGTGAAGGTGGTGTCCGTCCTGCTACTGAACAATTCCTGAAGGCTTTACGTCAACGATGTAATGAAACTGATACTTTATTGATCTATGATGAAATTCAGGTAAATAGTAAAAAAAAAAAAAAAAAAAAAAAAAAGAAGAAAATTACATTACTAATAATTTTTTTTTTAAATCTAGTGTGGGTTGGGACGTACTGGAAAGTTTTGGGGACATCAACATTTTAGTGAAGAATGTCAACCTGATATTTTGACCATGGCCAAACCTTTAGCCAACGGTGTTCCTATTGGTGCTATTATGACAAGTGAAAAAGTCGGCAATATGATTCAACTAGGTAATTATATATAAATATATATATATATAAAGGAAAGATTTATAACTTTTTTTTCTCTTTATTGTTTTTATAGGTGATCATGGTACTACTTTTGGTGGTAATCCTTTGGCATCAGCTGTGGCTCGCCATGTTGTTGGTAGATTATCAGATGAAACATTTTTAAACACTGTAGAAAAGACTGGGCAAGCATTGAAACAAGATTTGAAGGCATTACAAGAAAAATATTCAGAAGTGATCAAGGAAGTACGTGGACAAGGCTTATTACTTGGTATAGAATTCAACAAGGATCCTGCACCTATTGTAAAATTGGCTCGTGAACGTGGATTACTTTTGGTAACTGCTGGATGTAATACTGTTCGGATTGTACCTCCTCTTATTGTGACTCGTGAACAAACTCAACAAGGTATTGCTCGTTTGGCCGGTGCCATTGAAGCCTTTGCTGCTTTGTAGTTTTAGTTTAGATGATACATTTTTTTTTTTTTTTGGAAAAAATTATAAAAGGATGATTTATATTTTATGTTTTTTTTTTTTTTTTTTTTGTTTGATGAACCTTAGAATAAAATCATAATGGATATTTGTCTTTTCTTTTTGTTTTTGAGAGTCTGAAGCAAAAATTTTATACTTCTAGTGAGACATTTTTACTGGTACATCTGTTTTGTTCCATGAATAAAAAGAGATGGTCGTTAGATCATATATTTTGCTATAGCAGTTTTATGATTATGATTGGAGGTTTAAACCTCAAAATGAGATCTGGAGATTTCTTTTTCACTAGTGATGAAGTGTCAGATGAGCTCTTGTCTGCGATTTTCTTTTATGCATGATCGACGTTTTTGATCCGCTAACAAAAGAAATAATAGACATACCTTATTAATGGTTATACGGCAGGATCATAAATTTAAATTTAAAAATAAAGAATGGAAGGACTGATTAGAGCTATTTTTTTTTTTTTTTTTTTTTTTTTTTGAAAATTTTGGATTTTTACAGCCAAAAATTTAAAATCCCTCAGCCAAATTTTAGCTGTAAAAATAAATTGTCAGGGGGTCATCAGGCGATTTCTCGAAAAATCGACAAAAGCTATTTGGTTTCTTATGACTCATTAGATGACAAGATAAGCGGTAAAGTAGTGTTAGATGACATTAAACTGCTTTTTTAAGAGGAATGGTGGTAAATTCATTGGATGATGATCATTATTGGATGAGAGATGATTGAATTGAATTCTTTTTTTATTCTACTCTTATGAATTGTGAGATAATATAATAGATTATTATAATACAATTGAAAGACAATGATTTCATCTATGTTCAGTCCAAATTTGATTGAATGATGATGATTTTTGAATGAGTAATGGAAAAAGTTTTCTCTCTCACTTAGAATGCAGGATGAACAAATAGAATCTATTTCTCCATTTTTACAACAAAAAAAAAAAAATGAAAGTATGTTGCATCAGTATTTTTTTTTTCTTTGTACAAAGGAAAAAAAAAAGTAGTGTGATGGATTTTTGGGAGCTGGCACTGACATAACTTTTTAGAGGTAAAGATCATACATGGACAACTGAGACTGAATTGGATGGATTTTTTTTTCTCTTTCTTTTTTTTTTTTTTTTGTCTTATCACCCTTTTTCTTAAATTTATCATGGTAGCCACTACAGACGAAACCAATTTACTACGACTTCTAAATAGCTGCGAAAAGAAACTAAATCAAGAACAAGTGGATCTTTGGACTGGGTCAGAAAAACGGAAATATGCATCGGTAAAAAAGAAAAAAAAGAAATAACAATGTATCCATTCCTTTGTTCTAACTTTTTTCCTTGTCATCTGTCCACATTTTTTCCTTTCTTCCTTCTGTTATCAGTATGTCAAATATTTGGATTTCCTTCAAAACAGAATCCCATCCACTTCAAGATCTAGGTAAAAAAAAAAAAAAAGCATGACTCTGTTCTTATAATGCTCATGCCTTGTTATGCATTTTTTTTTTTTAAAAAAAAAACCATTCATTATTTGTTACTTTCTTTTATTTTTTTTTTATGCAGAGAATATCAAACTCGTATCCAGGCATTAGGTCAAGCTGTGCTTCTTAACAAGATGGTAAGACGCTATTAAGGCAAAGGTAAACACCTGTATTGATTTTTTTTTTCATTACACCAGCAAGTGGATGTGGAAAAAGGAACGATGGAATCAAGACTTAGTAAGAAGAAATACATGGATCATTTAGAACGTTTACATACTCGTGAACCTGATTGGTTACTGAATTTACAACAAAAGCAACAACAAGGACATCACGATGAAGAGTCAAAACAACAAGCTGATATTATCTCGGATGTACAAGAAAAGGAGAACTTGGATGGTGATGATGATACTTTGGATGGTTGGGATCAGAGTGAGGAAGTGGTCTTACCAACAGGTACCACCAGGACAAAGGATGTAGAATCAAATAAGAAAGAGGATATCATTCAAGGTAAATAATAATAATTAAAAAAAAAAGAAGATTGGTATTTCTTTTTGTCTTTTACCCAGAGGACATTTCATCTAACTTACTCTCTGTTGTAGGCACAGATCAATTGAACGATAATGACTTACAATTAAGAAAACGAAATATGTAAGTTTGTTTTATAATTATGATTTGATGAATTTATAAATTAATCATTTTTTTTTTCTGTTAATGATAGAGGTACTCGTCGAGAAGAAGAAACGGGTAATATTGATCATGTCTTACAACATCATCGACAATTACATGATGAAATGACAACGGATCTTGGGAAAATGGCACATCAACTGAAACTCAACAGTCAACAATTTGGAGATATTTTGCATAAAGATGATGAGGTAAAAAAAAAAAAAAAAAGTATGTTCCTATTCAAATCATCCTAACCCCGCTTTTTTTTTCTTTTTTTTTTTTTTTTAATAATATCAAGGTTCTTCGTGATGCTCAAAAATTGGTGGAAAGTAACTTGGGAAAGATGGGAACAGAGCGACGACGATTGGATGCTCATTATTCAAGATCATGGGGAACTAGTTTTATGAATTTAGGTGTAGTTTTATTTGTATGTATTATGTTTACACTAGTCTTTTTTACCATCAAATTTTTACCAAAAGCTTAATAATAAAATCATCTTGTCAATTTCATTTCTTTTTTATTTTGGACCAATCGTATGTGATATGTCTATATGAAAGAACACGTTGTTAATGTTGTACAAAAGGTATGCTTAGTCTATGATGTCATGGACACGGACCCAATTGGAACCAAACTTTTTAGTTTAGTTTAATAAAAAAAAAAAAGGACAATCATTCAGAATTCAAATGGGTTTTTTTTTTATTATTTCTTTCGGCAAGGACATCATCATAAACACGTATATATATATAGAGAGAAAGAGAAAGAGATGAAAATAGATAGACAGGACACTTTTTTTTTTGAGGGAAGATATATATGTATATATATTTGTATTTGAAGAGAGAAGAACAGATCAGCTGTTTCCAAAAGATAAAAAAAAAAGATGATAGAAAGAGGGTGGGGATAGATAAAGGGAAAGTAATTAGGAGGAATCGTTTTGACGGATTGGGGAAAAGGGGGAAAAAGAGGGAAAAAAAAAGATACTATGGATAGTTAAAAGAAAGATACAAGAAAAAAAGGAAGCGATAGATAAATGATACTATATGAGAATGATGGATAATAGAGAGAAAGGAAGAAGTTTATCGAGATTCTTGTACTTCATAAAAGTTCTTGAGATATTCTTCAGCTTCAGAATATTCGGCCTTGACTTGAGGTAATAATGGAGATATTTGGACCAACGCATCACCTTCGTTCAATTCACTACTTCCAGTTTCATCCTTGCAGTTACCAATATTTTGAATCTTTTCGCATGTTGCTTTGACCTTTTTCAAACCAATAGCAGCTGAACTTCCTTTGAGAAAATGACCTAATCGAGATAGTTCTCGCAAGTTTTCTTTGTCTCTATATTAAAAAAAAATGGATGAGTCTTTCTAAAGTAAACCTTATTATTCACCTTATTCTTCACCACTTACAAAGCAGCATCCATATCTTCAAAAGTAGCTTCGGCTTGTCTAAAATAGTCCAACACAATACTGTAAGAGAATTCGTGATCGTCGTCATCATCCATATCTAACAGTTGGTCAAACGTATTCATATCAATAAGATCGTCTATATTTACCACCTTTGAATCGTCTGTGTCTTCTCCATTCTTCAAAGTTGATTGTTCTTGCAATATAGACCCTTCTGTTGACTACGGTTTTTTTTTTTTTAAAAAAAAAAAGGTAATGAGAACTGATAAGTTCCTTTCATATATTCCTTTCCTGACTAATTCATCCTTTCTCCATTTCAACTAGTACGCGTTATACATGATATTACCTTGTCGGAATGTTGCTCGGTTGCAGTAGTTGAATTAGTAGTAGTGGTCGTTGTTGTAACATTGGCAGGAGTGGATGTAGGAATAGGTTCTTTTGCAGACATGACAAACCTAAATATGGTCAATGATACGTATGACTATGTATATGGGTAAGAAGGATATAGATCAAGATAAAAGGAAATAAAAAAAAAAAAGGAGAAAAAAAAAAGCAAACAAGGTCAGAAATAAGAAAAAGAAAAAAAAAAGTGCAAAAAAGAAAGAGCGCTCACTCGAACTGAGAAAAACTTTTTTTGGCTTTGTGCTTTGGAGTAAGAAAAAAAAAAAAAAAAGAAAAAAAAAAAAAAGAAAAACTCGGTTCTTTTGTTTTACGTCACCCACAGCACAGTATAGTTAGACTACAATACTTTTTAACTTTTTATTATGTAGACTATGATTACAGTTTTATTTACTACATAATGATCTGTTTCTTCCATCAAATAAACAAGCCATTCCTGATATCTTTTATACTATTGGATTTCATCCTTATTTAACAGTTAAATAAGGATTTCCTTCACTCGATCCGCTTTTTCAAAAAAAAAGTTATCTTAATTCTTCTAGTTTTGAGTTCATCACACGTTTTATTTTTTCTTTTTCAACATATTCGCCGATCCAAAAATAACGGTGCACCCAACTCTTTTTTTTTTTTTTTTTCTGTCTTTGTATTGTTTGTTCAAAATAATAATCATATTCGAAACACATAAGAAATGAGGAGCGGAATACCAAAACAGGTATCATCATTCCTAAATGGGAAAACGAATCTCTGGGAAGACTCATAAATATCCTAACTATGAGGATGAAAATCTTATTGAAAAAGGTCTATTGACATTCTAGTTTCTTTTTGCTCAAAAGGAGACGAATCACCTGCTGATTCTTTTACACACATGATCACACAACAACAACAACAAAGAAATAAAAAAACAAAGAGAAAAAAAAAAGGTACCATCATCAATCAATTTCTCTTACCTGCTTCCTATAAGGTCGGAAGAAAACTTTTTCTTTTTTAGCTTTGTCTGGTTGAAAAATAAGTAACCTTCACGTTCATGCGGTGACTCATTTGGTTTCGTATGCCGACATACTATGGTGCTAAAGGAATCATCATCATCTTCATCATAAAAGACTTTCATTCATAGAATCATCATCATCCACTTGGTTTCATAATTTTCCTACGTATAATCATTATCATCATTAGATTGTACAATATAAATTATACATAATTCAAACAAATATGTACCTTTTACGTTTTATGACAGTCAGTCCTCTCTGGAAATATCAAAATAATAATAATTGATAGATAAATAAAATGTAATATAGGATTTATTCAAATAAAATGAGATAAAGGATTGAATTTCTAATTTAAAAAAAAAAAACAAACTAACTATTATGATACTAAGCACCTAAACCACGACGCTTATCCCGAATCACTGCTTGAATAGGATCCGCTATACCATCCTTGTTGGCACCAAGAGCGTCTCCTTCTTTCCATCCCATGGCTGCTAGCATCTTGTGTCCAATATTGTTTGAAGCCAGAGGAGCTGCGTCCGATCCAACCACCGTACCATGTTTTCCTTTGCGTATTCTGGTACGTTTTTCTGTTGCCGGTAGATCAGGTTTACGTTCCATTTGTTTCTTGGCTTTAGCTGGTGTTCGTTTTTTATTGATGTGTTTTTCTATTGTTCGCCGATCATAAGGTAAATGTGATTTTGGTCCTTTTCGAAGTAATGGTCCACTATAATATATAAATATAATATCAACAAAAAAAAAATTCGATCATGATTTATTTTTTTTTTATAAAAAAAAAAAAAAATACTTGCATCTTGTCTCCAACAGGTTCATGTGAAAGCTTAAGTCCATATTGAGTTGCCAATCCTTGCACCAATCGTCGACAATAGGTAGACATCCCAGGTAATTGGTATGTCGTTCTTGATTGATCAGACAAAAAGAGCTGTATACGACTGTTATAAAAATTTAAATATAAAATGATTGATTAGTTCCATTAATATATTTTTCATTCATTTATTTCCATTACGTATCAACCCTTCTTAATTGTCCTGATATTGAATTTTTATCCATACTGTTTGTCCATCGTAAATTGGGATAAGTCTGCTGTCGATGAGGATGCGTATACTGTTGATTGTAATGGAGATATCCCTGCATGCCTGCATGTAAACTAGGAGGTATTGCTGCCATTGTATTTTGAATTGTATAATGCATTTGTTGAGCCATATGTTGTTGATACTCTTGTTCTGCCGCATATCGCTTAAGGTATTCATCATCATCCGAGTCTTCTAGTCCAAAGTCACATAAGTCCTCGTCATCATCCACTTGAGATAATATAGTTTTCCGTTGATGATCATTATCTTCTTCGTCAGTTGAAAGATGATCATCTAATCTTCCTGCTTGTTGATCGTCCACAGGTCGTGATATTGCCCATTGTTGTAATGCTTGCCAGGTATCAGAATCCGTATTTTCCATAAAATCTTGATCAATAGCAGCTTGATTATCCTTATCCCATTTGCTACTATGACTTAATTCATCGTCATCACTACAGGAGATATGTATATCGTCACCAGGAATAATCTTGTTGGCTTGCTTTACTTTTTTCTTGTGTTTTCGATTTCTCTTGGTATCGAGGAGTATATTATCTGGTGCTTGAGAGGGTTGATTAGTATTCCAAGTTTCACTCTCTTCTACTATTTGTGTTTCTTCTTGTTGATCATTGACAACCATGGTTGCTCTAGTGAATTGAATAGTGGACGGTGTATCATCATAAAAAAATCCAGTGTTATCGTCAGGTTCTAATGGTTGTTGTACGTTATTCCCAACAGAAGAGCGGTAGCCTAAACCGAAAGTAGGTCGATTAGAGTGCCATGAATGAAAACTTGGTCTATCATCATCAGGATCTTGTTCACAGTCGCTACCAATATCCAAATGAGCAAAGGAAGGTGTTTGTACTATATAAGAAAAAAAATAATATTTTCTTTTAAGTGATATTCTTTGTATTTTTTTTTTCTCTTTGTCTTATTACATAGTTGTCGATCAATATCAGCTTCTGTAACAGTTTCAGTGGAGATGCCGTTGAAGTGCTGTAAATGTTGTGCCTTATATCCATGCTTGCCTTTACCACCTCTATGTGACTTTACTTTATAGTTATTTCTGTAATGTTTCTGTTTGGATCCAGTCATATATGTCAAAATAAATGGGAAGATAAAGATGAATATGAAATAAAAGAGAAAAAATAAAAAAGATTCTCTTTCCCCCCAAATAAAAAAAATAACGGACATTGAAATGACATTCATCCATTTGACACCTAGAAAAAAAATAAAATACATGAAGATAAAAGAAAAAAAGTTCATGGTGTTGAAAAATTATTTATTCATAAAAACTTGTATCAAACAAAATAAATAGTAAACTAAACTACACCCTAAATAACAAGAAAAAAATAAAATAAAAGAAATCAAAATTAGTCAAATGGTTTCAAAAAAAAAAAAGAGAGAAAAAAAAAATAAGAGTCATGCATGAACTTACTTTTTAACAATTTGCACCACATCTTCATCTTGGAGTATATGTTCCTTACCAACCTTTTGAGGATTATGTTTCACTGAAGAACCCCATACATATGCACTATATGAAATTGAAACAGATGAGTTTATCATATGTATTATCCTTTCTTTCTTTTTTTTTTTTTTACCATTTAAATTGATCCAAAATAGCCTTGTGAATACTATTACAAAAGTCTTCCACTGATGCTTTTTCAGATGTAAGTACGACAGGTTGTTCATAATCTGGTAATTGTCCTTTTGGTTTCGTATAGATTCGTACTAAGGCAAGTTTCTATAAATATAAAGGAGTGTTTATCTCTTTTTTTTTTCTTTTCTTTTCTTTTTTTCCTATCATATTTTTTTTCCTTTTTACCTTCCACATAGTTTCTAGTAATTCATCAAAGTTCCATTCGTGGTGGGCACAAATAGGTACCGCATTGGGAATCTTATAAATGAGATCCAATTCTTCAATAGAAATTTGATCGATTTTGTTGAGAACATAGATACAAGGGATATAGATACTATATTTTTTTTTAAAAAAAAATAGGTTAATACTTCATTTGATATGAACTTATCTTTCTCTTTCGTATCTTACCGATTGCCCTATACAAGAAAAAAAAAAGGGTAAGTAAATAGGTTCAACATAGCTCTTCCTATATTTCTTTTCTTTTTTTTTTTTTTTTAAAAAAAAAAAACTTACTTCGACAACATCAATAAGATCATCGATAGAGGAATCTTCTTTGAAGGAAATGTCAGCATTGTGGATACGATATTCACTAAGCACAGCTTTCACTTCATCTTGAGTAATTTGGGTCAATGGAACTGTATTGGTCATATTGATTCCACCTTTTTCCTTTTTCTTGAATATAATCGCAGGAGGTTTCTTGTTAAGTCGAATACCAAATCCTTCCAATTCTTTTTCAATAATCCTCTTGTCAGTCATAGGTTTGAGTACATCCAATACAATAAAGATCAAAGAACAAGTACGAGCAACTAGATAAAGAAAAAAAAATGATATTAATCCATCATATTCTCATATTTATTTATATTTGATTCTTCCTTTCTTACCTGCAATTACTTGACGGCCACGACCTTTACCATCTTTGGCACCTTCGATAATACCAGGAAGATCAAGAATCTAAAGAGATAAATCAAATCGAATCATTATTATTATTTGTTTTTTTTTATGAACCTAAATTATATTCAACTTACTTGAAGTTTGGCACCCTTGTATTGGACAACACCAGGTACAGTTGTTAAAGTAGTGAATTCATAAGCCCCAACTTCAGAATGAGTACCAGTAAGTTTAGACATCAAGGTTGACTTGCCTACAGAAGGAAAACCTAAAAGTCATAATAAATAAAAAAAAAAAATTGGTTATAGATAGTTCATACTTTTTTTTCTATTTCTTTCTAAATTGCTTTACCAACAAAACCAATACGAGCAACACCAGTTTTTGCTACATCGAAACCAACTGTTTTTTTTTTTTAAAAAAAAAAAAGAAGGTAAGTTTCCATAACGTCCCTTTTTGTTCATATAATACTTACCACCGCCACCACCGCCACCTCCTGAAGGTGTCATAATTTCACGCTTAAGTTTGGCAAGCTTTGCCTTCAATTGACCCAAATGGTAAGAAGTGGCCTTATTCTTTTGGGTCTTTGCCATTTCATTCTATAAAAACAAAATAATAAGTTCAGCATTGTTAGTGAGAGATCTGTCAATAATCAAGGTTCTATGCATTTTTGTTGCTGTGGTCTCTTTTTTTTCTTTTCTGCTCTTCTTACTTCGATTTCCTATTGTTTTTTAAAAAAATAGAACGATGTGGTATATAAAAATGGAAATGTTAGTTTCTATATAATACAAAAATATAAAGAGGATATAAGTTTCTTGAAATATACCTTAATACGTTCGACGACACTCATTTTCTAGTTCTTGGATAGTTTGATAGTAAAAAGAGACCTTCGAAAAAAGCAAGCAAAAGAAAAAAAAATTTGGATTTAAGTCACATTTTTTTTTTTTTAGGTTGAGAAAGCTGAAATCCCGACTGTTGCCTTTTTCAATTCATGCAGTCCTAAAAAGGGTACCAAACAAGATACAAAAGAAAATTTCTTAGATTTTAGATAAAGCTATCGTTATATATTTACCAATTGAAGAATGAAGAAAAAAAAAGATTCTGTCTTACGATGGTGGGTTATCCAAGGAAAGAAAAAGTAACTTTAGATCATAGTAACTATCCATTTGACAATATGATTCAAGAAACTGTAATCTAAGGTACGTATCCGGCATACATGAAGAAATAAAAGAAATCTAAAGAAATCGAAATACATTTTGTTTTTAGATTACAAAATTAAAGTCCTTCATCAAATCATCTACTCTACAATCTATTGAAATCTTATATACATGTACTCTCTTTGTTAATCAAAACTTACAGTTACAAAAGTTTCCTTGCGGAATTTCAAATCGAAGCCGCTTTGAAAGAGAAAATTTTTTGCCTTTTTCTTTTACCTTGTCTTTTTTTTCTTTCTTTTTTTTTTTTCTTTTTCTTGTCTCTTTTACTTTTCGTGTTAAGTGATCATGGCCAAAATCAAGAAAATTAATAAAACAGACAAATCAAATCAAAAAGAAGTCTCAACAAATTCGGTAGGATCAAAAAAAACCAACAAAATGACAAAGAAAAGATCAGCAGAATCTATGGAAAGTGACAATGAAGATAAATTTGAAGATCTCGGTCAATCGGATACTTGGGACTGGAACGAAGTGGTGGCTCCTGAAAATACTTTTATGGGCGATGATAGTACTGGATTCTTATGTCTAGAAGAAATCTCTGATGTAGAAGTAGATTATGAAGGTGATGACAAAACTGGGAAAATAGTTACTTTTAAGGTATCATGTCAAAAGAAAAAAAAAATGTTGGAATGATTGATATATTTACTTACTTTTTTTATTTATTTGTTTTGTAATTATCTATTTTAGAGAAAGAAAAAAGCTAATCGCAAGGCTAGTAAAAAGGCAACTCCTACACAACCTCTTAGCGAAAAGGATATGGGCGACTTTTATGATCTTGATACTTTTACTGAAGAAGCTTTCCTCGCTCAACAAAATCAAGGAGGCGTGGTTGATTCAGGTTCCTCTTTGGACAATGTAGCTGATCAAGATAATAATGAGGAAAAGGAAGATATTTCTGATACAGAGGATCAACAAGATAGGATTGATGATGATTCTTTACCAACAACTGTTACGACTCAGAAAGCGGCTAAAGCAATGGCAAACAAGAAAGAAAAGGCAAAGCGTTACGTGGAAAAACTTAAGATTCGAATCGAAAAACTGGAGAAGGAAATGGAAAGCATAAAGAACCATGCAGATCAGACAAAGGAGGAAAAACTGGCAACTGATAAGGAAACCATCAAGAAACGTCAACTGCTCAAGAAGCTCCGATCTCATCTGAAAAAACTGGAAAAGGATGTCAATGAGGAAGAAAAAGTAGAATCAAAGGCAACTTCTATATCGAATCGACCCAAATTAGAAGATGTGGATGAAAGTAAGTAAAATAAAAAAAATAAAAGTAAAAAAAGAAAGAACATAATATTTACCTTCTGTTTTTTTGTTTTTTAATGTATATCAAGATGTTGATATTTCTGCTTGGAATGATATGGATTTATCTGAACCTATTATCAATGCTCTCAAATATTACAAGTTTTGTGAACCTACTCAAATTCAAGCAAAAGCTTTACCAAAAGCTTTGGAACGTCGCGATATTATCGGTGTTGCTGAAACGGTAAAAAAAAAAAAAAAAAAAAAAAGAAAAAGAAAAAGAAAAAGAAAAAGAAAAACTTGATATTCTACTTGATTTTCTTCATGAAACTATATAAATCTTCCCTTTCTTTTTATTATATAGGGTTCTGGTAAAACATTAGCCTTTGGTATACCTATGGTTGACTCGCTTCTGCGACAAAAGGAAAGATCTCCAGGACTAGCTGGTTTGGTTTTGGCTCCCACAAGAGAATTGGCAATTCAAGTCAAGGATCATATTCAGAACATCGCTGTATTTGGAAATATCAAGGTATAAAATACTAGACTTTTTTTTTTAAAAAAAAAATATAGAAATCGAATACAAATGACTGCATAACTTAAAATCAAACTTCATCTATTTATTAGGTTGTTGCTGTTGTCGGTGGAATGTCGATTCAAAAGCAACAGCGTCAATTGAAAGAGATGCCTGATATCATTGTAGCCACACCTGGTCGTCTCTGGGAATTATTATCTACTGTAAGTAATTCGATCTTTGTACATATATGATGTAGTATCTAATTTTCTTTTTTTTTTTATCGTTTAGAATCAAGTTTATATGGATATGCTAAAAAGTATCAAATTTTTGGTTTTGGATGAAGCTGATCGTATGTTGGAAAAAGGTCATTTCGAAGAATTATCAAAACTTTTGGGTGAATTGTCATCAAAACGACAGTAAGTTGAAATATCCTACAATTGAAAAAGAAAAGAATGATGTATTAAATGACGTTATTGTTATAGAAATACAACTGAATGGCCTGAAGATATAGATGGCAATGAAAGAAAAATCATTGAACGAGGTACTTTTTTTTTTTGACTTTGTACAATAGTTTAGTTGATATCGTTACTCATTATATTTCTTTCTTTCCTTCTTTCTTTTTTTTTTATGCATATAATCATAGACGTTGGTATTCATCAAACATTCATCTTTACTGCCACTCTGGATAAGGGTATTGTCTTCAATGTGAAATCAAAAAAGGCACCTCCAAAGTCAAAGGGTACATTAGGTATGTACTATTATCAATATATATATATATATATTCTTGGTTGCTTGATAGTTTATTAACAGTATGACGATTATTTTTCTATAGCGGACTTGGTACGACATATTGAATTTGCAGATGAAAATCCAGTTGTGGTGAACGTTACTTCAGAAAAAAAAGTGGCATCTCGTTTAGTTGAAGCTAAGGTGGATTGTTTGAAAACCGACAAGGATTTGTATGTATACTACCTTGTGACTCGCTACCCTGGACGCACCATCATTTTTGTCAACAGTATTGATGCCATTCGACGTCTTGTTCCTATTTTCAAGCTTCTTGGTATCGAAGTACTTGGATTACATGCTCAAATGCAACAAAAGCAACGCTTGAAGAATTTGGACAGGTAAGAAGCACATTATTTAGTATCCAAAGGTATCTTTGTTTGATTGATTCACAAATATATAGATTCAAGGCAAATGACAAGGCTGTATTAGTAGCTTCTGATGTGGCTGCTCGTGGTTTGGATATCCCTTTAGTAGAACATGTCATCCATTATCAATTACCTCGATCAGGTGAAATCTATGTCCATCGAAGTGGTCGTACGGCGAGAGCAAATCGGGATGGTATCTCCTTGCTATTATGTGGTCCTGATGAAGTGAAGATTCTTGGAAAATTGGTACAAACTTTACGAAAAGGTATTTTTTTTTTTTAAAGAAAAGGGGGTGTGGAAGAAAAGAAAAGAGAAAGACTAACGAATTTATAATAGGTGAAAAATACCCTGACTTCCCTGTGGATTTGAGCATTCTCCGTGCAATGAAGAAACGTGTTCAGTTAGCTACAGAAATTGACAAAATTGAACATCAAGAAAATAAGATGACCCATGATGATAATTGGATGCGAAATATGGCCAAGGAAATGGATTTGGAATTCGATGAAGATATGATCAGCGGAAACGGTAAACAGGAAAATGAACGTCAACTGGAAAAAGAACGTGCCAAGGCTCGATCTTTACGATATGAATTGAAGGAATTACTCAAGACTCCCATGCTTCCTGATGGTGCTTCTATGAAGTATCTGACCGGATCTGCAATTAGCGGATTAATAGATCGTTTGATTGAAAATGAAGGTAATATAGAAAGATATAAAATGGAAAAAACACATTGATCAAATCGATATATATATGTTCAACGTTCATCACTCACACTCTTGTCTTTTTTTTTTTTTTTTTTTTTTTTTTTTTTTTTTTTTTTGTCATAGCTCAACCTACGTTATTGCCTGCTCATGCAACAAGCAAAGCTGTCGATGATGTCAAATCCCACAAAAAACGAAAACTTTAGAAATAGATTGTAGTTTATAGAGTACATTGTCATTAGTTTATAGCATAGTCATTGTTTTATTGATTGAATAAAGAAAAAAAAAATATAAAAAAATGGAATATGTATGTATAGAGAAAAAAAAAACGATAGACGCTAAATGGGAAATCTATTGATCTTTCTTGGCAGTATCCTTCTTATCGGCCATGATGGCTTCCACACGAACTCCACCAACGAGTCGGACAAGGGCGATAACAAGGTTGTTGAGTATACGAACAATAAGGAAAGCAGAGATTCTATTAGGGAGCATCCATTCAGAAGTGGAGGAGACACTAGAGGCTACAGGTTGACCAGAAGGAGAGGTTGACTTTGGAGTGGCCAAGAACGCCATGATCACGTACTACATAGAGAAGAAAAAAAAAAAGATATGAATATATTACTATACTATTGAAAATAATTTTCCACTTACACTTGGATAGAATAAAGAGAACACGGCAGCTGATCGTAAAGTCGAAAGGAAAAACGTCAGAAACGTGGCAGGGAGACCTTGAATAACAAAAATCAATAAACATAAATATATTCAGTTATAATACTAATCATCCTGTATATTTCATATTACCAAAACCGAGGAAAAAGGACCAGTGTTGTTCTACATAAGCAGTACGTTGTTCCAATGTCCAACCCATGTATACCCATCGATATCTACCACACAAATTATATATATATAGATTATTTTCAAAGTTCCAAATGACAAGATACTAAAACCTAAACTTACTCGAAACAATAGTAGGACATGATTAGGCAATTCATAGCAAATGAGAGGAAAACACCAATGACAGGAATAGACCGTAAGATAGCAGCAAAAACACCACAATTGATATAAAAGATAGTTGTATAAATGGTAGCTGCAATAGTTTGAATTGCATTGGAAACATTGCCAGCTGCAGCATTTGGTTGATTCTTGTTTTGAACTTGAAGAGATTTTTCAGCTACCTTGGAATAGAATTTACCATTGATGACCAACAAGGCAAAATACATTGGAAACCCAACCAAGTCCTATATTTCGTCATAAAGATAAAAAAAAAAAGGTGAATAATAATAATAGTAGAAAAAAGTAGTTTGTTTTAGATTAGTTGTCACTTACTGCATACGCACACCCAAACAGAGAATGTGTTGCACGGGTATAATAAGTTTCCAAAAATACCACAGTACCCAAGAAGACAACACCATTTAATAAAAAGGTGTTGAACATGGCCCTTTGTATGGTACTGGATCTATAACAAAAAAAAAAGTCATGATAAGTCTCGTTGGGAATATATACTATTTGAAACTTACGAGTAAAAGAGAATAAATGTTTTTGGCCAGTTAAAGGCTGATTCCAAACCATTTAAAAAGTTTGCCCAGTGTTGTGAAGAAGGAGATCTAGATGCTGTTGCCATAATGTTTCAAACGTAAAAAGCAAAAAAAAAAAAAAAGAAAAAAAAAAAGACACTAGAAAAAAAAAATGTACATAATAAAGTAGCTGGGGATGAAATAGATTTGAAAAAGGGGGATGAAATACGTGTGTTTTTATTTTCAAAGGATATAACGTGTAGAGACCCAAATGGTACTAGATAAAGTATTCAATATATGTTTTCAAACTACTACTTTTCCAATAATATTGTATCTCTTGGAGAAGAATGCATGCCATTGATCAAGAGTTTCCAATTCCTTTTCAGTCAAAGTACTATAGTCTGCTACACAATCTTCAGGTTTCAATGAGGACATACCAAGAGCCTTTTTTGAAAAAAAAAAAAATGAATATCTAGCATATCTATTATCTATTAACACAAAAAATATAAACTTACTCTAGAAGCATCCTTTCCAGCAAAGCAGTTATATCCCTTTCCTTTTCCATAACTATCAGGATTCTTAGTCACATCAAAAATATCCCCTTTGATGGCAACATAGATAGGTAAAGAAGGGTCGGAGCCGTCATGTTTGGCAAGCTCTGCAACAGTAATGGGTGTATCTTTGGGTGGTGCACTAAGTGAAAATAAGAGGAAAAAAAAAAAAAGAGTTTACTACAAAGTTAATTAATCTTATATTTAGACTTACGTGGACATGATATTGTTTTCTTTCTTTTGAGCGCGTGCGGGGAAGAGAGATAGAGAGAAAAAGAAACACAAAGCCTTTTTTTTTTCTTTGTACATCAACATCGCGTAAATTTCATCTCCGTCAAATGCTTTTTCTTTTCCCTTTTTTCTCTCTCCTTTTCTCTTTTTTTTTATCTTCTTTTTTTTTTTTTTTTCTTTCTTTTTTTTAATTCCATTATGTTCATTTCAAGTCCATGTTGACCTTACCAATGACCACGTCTTCACGTTTTGAATATGACGATACAACTACCTTGACTACATTCAACCTATGTGATACTGATATGGACAAAGACGATGACGGAGGTGTCTTATCCAAGTTTATCTCCAAATTTAAGACAGCCGTCTCTGGACCTCCACAACAATTACAACATACAAATTTACCTTCCAAACATCAATATATTAGTGACGAAAAGTTAGTTCGATCTGTCTCTACTTCTGACTATGGCGTTTACTCTGCACAAAAAACAACAACAGCAACCCCGACTGCGTTTGACAACTACGACAATAACCCTTCATCTGATACCTTTCAATTATTAGGCGAGAAACAACTTCCACCTCTACAAGCAGCAACAAAAGCAGCAACAACAACAAAAGCAACAACTACTACTGTAGGATATGATACTTTTATTCCTGAACAAGATGTACCATTAGTTAGAACGTCTTCTGGTGATAGTGACAATCAATCAGTCATGACTAACTTCTCCGTATCAAATTCAAACTCTCTCAGTCGTATCATTGCTAGACTTCGCGGCGAAGCTCCAAATAGGGAATACTGGATGCCTGATGAAAATTGTAAGGAATGCTTCGAATGTGGTGCTCATTTCAATTTTTTTAGACGAAAACATCATTGTCGTGTTTGTGGTAATTTTTTTTTTTTTTAATATCATCTTATCAAGTATCTAATTTTATCTTTTTTTTTTTTTTTTTTTCTTCAGGTCAAATCTTTTGTGGTAAATGTGCTTCTCATATTATCCAAGGTGAACGAATTAGTCAACTGGGTCCACTACGTGTATGCAATTTTTGTTTCTCAAAAGTTGAAAGACAAGAAGAAGTCGCTTCTATTCATGAAACTTATCTTCACTCAAGCAATCGTACTTCTCTCGACATGGACATACCTCCTGCTCCTTCTCCTATTGTTCCTGATCAAAGACCTCTCTCTATTGTGCCCAATATGCAAATTCCAACTACTTCGTTAAGGCAACATTCTGATTACGGTGATAGTTCTTCAACCACTCTAGCTCTTGAAATACCTACAAGACCTATGACACCACGTCCAAGTACCTCATTCACTTCTATTCACAATCATGATATTCAATACGACAACAACAACAATAGTACCAACACTGGTGGATTCAAAAAACTGCTGGTGGCAACAAACACAATGCTACGACCACGTTCTAGAACAAATACAATGACTTCACTTATGCTGGATACCAACCTCAGTGGTAATATAGACGGACGATCATCATCACATTCTCCTATGCCTTTTCGACGGAATTCAATGTCACTTGGTTCTCCTCTTACTGCTTTTCCTGATGGGGCTGGTGGAACGGTACTTCCTGTTGGCGGTGAATTCAACACATATGATGATAACGAAGATGATGATGTACGGAAATGGGATCGGAATCCACGAAATGTCCTCAACTTTCTTGGTGGCTCAAATACTAGCAATGGAAATGAACGACCTACTTCGATGATTCTTACAAATCCTTCTCATATGGCTGCTTTGGAAGCAATGATGGCATCTGGAAATGAGGATGAATGGCAAGATCAAAAGACAAGGGCAAAATTACGATCTAACAGCGTACGACGAAGACTCAGCATGACGGGAGGTGGTGGACGACCTAGTAGGACAAGGACTCAAAGTTTGATGCGAAACACACCTGTCGTCAATATGGAACTTGTTCATCAGGATACCAATAACAACAACAACAACAACAACAACAACAACAACAACAACAACAGTAGTAGTAGTAACGATACTGCAGGTGGTAACGTATCCAAGATTATCACATCAGGACCTACAGCAACAACAGAATCATCATCTACATCATCATCATTATCAGCTGCCAATACTGCAATCTCCGTACTAACTCCTGCAAAACCTACCACATTATCATCATCTTCTTCTTCTGGTTTATTACCAACAACTTCACAAACTTTATCAAATGATAATATGACAAATGACGATGGAAATGGAATAAATCAACAACGGCAAATAGAACAGCTCAACAACAACAACAACAATAGCTCATGTGGACCCACTCCCTCACTACCTTTATTATTAAAACATCGTCGATTCTCTTCTACACCTTGCTCTGTGAAATACAATACCGACTCTATTGTTTATATGCGAAAAATGGTGCGACAAATGCTCAAGGAAGCCAATGATATCACTTTTTATCGTGATGAATGGGATGATGTTTTGGTGGATTTATTACTCAAGCTCTCGGATAGTGTTCATCCTGATGTTCAAGGTGGCGATGAAATTGATGTGCGTCATTATGTCAAAATCAAAACTATTGCTGGTGGCCAACCGAAGGATAGCTTATTTGTGAATGGTGTCGTTTGCTCCAAAAATGTTGCTCACAAGGAAATGGCAAGGACAATTGAAAAACCCAAGATTCTGATTCTTTTATTTCCCTTGGAATGGTCCCGTGATTTCTCATCCAAAGGTGAATATCAGTTTCAATCTATTGCTCCTGTACTGGCTCAAGAAAAGGAATTCCTTGAAAAACTTGTGAATCGTATTGTTGCCTTGGAACCTACTATTGTTCTTGTGCATGCCAATGTATCAAGACTGGCTCTGGATTTTCTACGCAAGGCTAATATTGTGGTTGTCTTCAATGTCAAACTTAGTGTACTGGATGCAGTGTCCCGTTGTACTGGTGCAAGTATGGTCTCCTCCTTCTTACAACTATCAAAGGAAAACTTGATACTTGGTGAATGTGGCATCTTTGAGCTTTTAACTGTGGTACATGAATGGATTCCCAATCGGCGCAAGACGTTTTTATTATTTCACAAATGCCCTCCAGAACTTGGCGCGACAATCATCTTACGTGGAGGAAATACGGACTCATTACGGGTGGTTAAACATATTTTGGACTTTATGGTATTTGTTGTTCACAATTTACGACTGGAAACTTCATTATCGCACGACTTTTCGACAATGCGCAACGTCTCTTCCTCTTCTTTTTTTTCAGACTCTGATGGTGATATTCAATATCAAACTTGTACTAGATCACAGGACAATGACAATGACGATGGCAAAAACAACAATGATGACAATGATGATGAAAATTGTGACAGTCTCAAATCAACACCATTATCTCAAGATCAACTTGTCAACCACTTGGCTATTCAATCGAGTTCAACCTTTACGACCGATACGAAAAGTACTGGGAAGAAATTATTGACTGATGATCCATGTCTTCGTTTAGTGAATCAAGCAATCAAGCACTATGAACAAACTATTGTCTCTGCCTCACCATCTGTCGTCTTTCCTCCTCCTTACTTACTACTGCGACTCAGGGAAACACAAATGAAATTGATATCACTTATTCGTACCTATCTCAATTCAATTCGACCAACAGAACCAACAAATGTGATAGATGATGGTCAACAACAACAACAACAACAACAACAACAACAGCAACAGTCACCATTAGATTCAATGCTATCAACGTTACCGGATACACTTTCAGGAATGTCATCCTATTTCCGTGGATTTGATCAATATTTAGCCAACAATAATGAATATGAACAACTGATGGAAGAGCACAATCAACGATGGAGAACTCTGGATGCCTGTCTGGGCGATATGGTGAATCTATCTCCTCTTTTTTATCAACAATTTGTGGTACTTTATACTATTGTATGTATTGTGACGGCCGTTCCGTGTCAGGATCCCCAAACCAGGCGAATTGACTATTATCGTATACCTTCTGATTTGACTCTTGGACAATATGTGGAAGATATGGTGAGCTGTATTGATTATCCTTGTTCCTCGAATCTATGTGAACGAAGTATGTTACAACATTATCGATCCTATGCTCATGGAAATGCTCGTGTTACTGTCCAGGTGGAAAAACTTGAAGGGGTGCAACCAGTCGCTATATCCAATGACGTTTATACCTGGAGCTATTGTCGTCATTGTTCTGGCCATACAAAAATGACACCCATGTCAGACAATGCGTGGAAATATTCTTTTGGAAAATTCTTGGAACTTTTATTTTATCAATCTGGTTCGAAAACTCAACAGGACTGTGGTGGATCAAAACATACAACGTCAACCTTTTGTACGCATGTATTATACCGTGATCATGTCCATTTCTTCGCTATTCAAGGTCTTGCTGTCCGTATCCAATATGAAACCATTCAACCTTTGGAAGTATATGTACCGCCTATGCATTTATATGTCAATCCCAGGATATTATCGACAGCCAAGGATGATGCTCATGAATCTATTCGTAGCCAGATCACAAGATTTTATGACTCGGTGGTGGAAAGAAATAAAAACTTCAATTACGATTTGGTGATGCCATCAGCTGTGGATGTTTGCAAAGAACTACTACAAGAAATGTCTGGTCGTGCTCTTGGTGAAAAGAAAAGTTTCCTCCAATACCTGCAATCAGTTTACGCAACAACAGATTCAACTGATGCCTTACAACTCAACATTGTTCGTGCTCATCTACAAATGAATGTATTACAATGGGAAGCTGAATATATGGAACTAGTACGACAATATGTGAAACCTGAACGTGAACTACGACGACGATTGACGACAACACATCTCCGGAAAATTTTGTCTACTGGTGATACTACTGGTTTTGCTCATACTCAAATGACAAATGTGGATTTACGTACAAAACGTGCAACTGAATCGGTGGATCTACCTCTACTTGATGTTGGATTGGATGGTTATCCTGAAGATGTGGATGTTGGACTCAACGGTATGACCTATTGCATATCAAACAGCAATACATCAAATACGGCGTTATCACAACAACCTCGTTTGGGAGAATCACCTACTTCGATATCACCTTGGCTAGAAGAAGAAAGACGGTTGGACTATATTTTGGAACAAATGGATGCAGATTATCTTCAACAACAGGGAATGCTTTCAAATTCCACACCTTCGTCAATGCTACAGCAGTTCACACCAATCGAATATGATGACAAAAGCACGAATATACTGGATTCAGATGTTGCTAGACGATTATCTTTGGAACTGATGCATACTTCTAGTGATCGAGACAGCGATGCCATGATGGATGAAGATAGTATACGAACAAAAGCAATATCAAAGGCAAAGACAAGATCGACCTCAAACAATCATCGTTATAAAGCCATATCCTATCGTCAATTGAATGCTCATATTTTATCCGAAGCGACTATTCTACGATCAAAAAGCTCTCCTTCATCTCCCTCTACTGTACTTGATCAACATTTATCTCGTATTCCACAACGTACATCAGCAGAAAGGCGTAAACAAAATTTGGACTCGACTTCATCATCTCGGCAATCTAGTCATGGGAATCGAAAGCGACGTATTGCAACGAAATCGTCAGCAGCAGTACCTGTAGATAGCAATCATAATGACGAAACTTCACCTGGAAAAAAAGATATTCCTCTCAATGGATACCGGTATGGATACAAAGGATCAACGGAACGATTGCAACAAACAAGCGGTACATATGTTCGACCTAGGGCATCTGCAAGCGCAAGTCGGATATATGCTCATCATCAACATCACCATCAAGTACCAGGTGGGACATCAACAACTTCGACAAAATTACCCAAGCCTCAGACCAATATCAGCTATACATTACCACCACCTCCTGGGAAATTGACCATGACTTGTAGTATACCAAGATCATCAGGGGCAACCACAACATCTTCTTCTTCTTCCTCATCTACTTCAATCCTTCGAACAACCGCTACAAATACAAGATCGGTACGTCAACGATTGGAAAGCAAATCATCTATTGAAGTCTACACTACAGTGCGTGAATTGGTGCGTGAAGAATCTGATGAAGAATTCCAAGCAACAGATGTCGATGAATCAGATTCTGACGAGGAAGAAGTGGATGAACAGCAGCAACGACAGGATGGGAATAAAGGAACAACAAGAAGAAATAATATCATCACAACTGCGGCTATGGAAAATGACAACAATGACTCAGCTTTGGAAGGAAATGAAGATGATGGTGATGACAATAGTACTGATTTTGAAATGGATGATAATGAATGGCAATTTCACGACAGTCGACGTATCTTCTCTTTGACACAAACGGATGAATATGATGAATCACTTTGTCGAGACAATACAAACTCGTTGCTTGGAAATACGGTTCAGCTTTATTTGCCACAAGAAGACCAACAAGAAATATCTGGAAAAGGACAAAAACGGTATCATCATCATGATCATCATCATTCTAGGAACCGATATCATCCATCAGGTAGAAGGACACAATCGGCAGCTTTACCTCATCTTACATTTGATCCTGAAGATAACCTGGACGATACTGACAACTTGGCAAACTTACAGCAACAACCTACAAATCATTACCATACGATATCTGCATTTTCTGATACTCGAAATGGGTCGATTCATCTTTCAACATCAAGAATATCAACGACGTCCAGCAATCCATTGGTATACGGTAATTACAAAAAAAAAAAAAAAAAAAAAAAAAAAAAAAAAGCAAAGGAAGATGGAATATATTGAATTCATTTTTTTCCCTTTTTGTGAATAGATTCTCCAAGTATCGACATTTCTTCAAATGTCATGGAACGAAATTCAATTGTAAAGGCGATCGCAAATATATTGGCTGAAAGAGGAGTTGGGAATCTTTTACCATTAGAATACCCATTGTAAGTGATCACTATTTAGAAAAACAAAAAAAAAAAAAAAAAAAAAAGAGATGTTCATTATATTTTATATATAGATCACCATTAGAACATGTCTTTCCGAAATCAATTATTGTAGTACGTGAAGATGAACCTAGTACAATTGTGGCAGCTGCATTATCATCGGATGATTATATCGGACGACTCTTTGAAATTAGAGAACAGTACATGATGGACAATAATACGACTGAAGAAACCAATAATGAAAAACTGGCCACAGGTATCGACACATCTACTTCTGGGATTACATCTTCCGATCTATCTATTGAACGAACTTTACGATCGAAATCTGGCATTCATATGAAGTCTTGTAAGTTTGATTTGTTCGATACTATTTTGTTATTGACCATTCCACTTTGTTATATTTAGATTTCACGGATGGAACAACAAAATTCTTTTGCAAGATCTTTTTTGCTGAACAATTCGATGCCTTACGAAGAAACTGTGGTTGTGAAGAAAGTTTTATTGCATCTTTGGCGCAATGTGCAAAATGGGATTCATCTGGTGGCAAATCTGGTTCCACATTTTTGAAAACAAAAGGTAAGAAAAAAAAAAGAGGTATCATATAAACCTATATATACTAACATTCCGTCTTTTTTTTTTTTATGTAGATGGTCGGTTCTTGTTAAAACAGATTTCAAGATATGAAATGGATGCATTTTCGAACTTCGCTCCTTCCTATTTCCAGTATATGTCTGAAGCCTTTTTCCATGAAGTAAGTAGTTATAAAGTAAGAAAAAAATATATGAAAGATAAATCTCACCAATGTCTGTTGTATTAACTAGCTACCCACTGTACTCTGTAAGATTTTTGGATTATATCGTGTTGGGTACAAGAATATGACCACAGGACGATCCATTAGAATGGATATCTTGGTGATGGAAAACTTGTTTTATGATCGTTGTGTTCAAAAGGTAAAAAGTGAAAAAAAAAATAGACCGATCACGGAAAAAAAAAAAATAGAAGAACTCATTTTATACTATTAGATCTTTGATTTGAAAGGATCTATGCGAAATCGACATGTTCAAGTGACAGGCAAAGAAAATGAAGTTCTTTTAGATGAAAACATGGTAGAATGTAAGCAAAAAAAAAAAAAAAAAATGATGATGGATAAACTTATATATGTTTTATAGATTTGTTTCAATCACCTTTGTTTTTATATTCCCATTCAAAACAAATGCTTCGTGAATCTCTACACAATGATACTCTATTCTTATCTCGTTTGGATGTAATGGATTATTCGTTATTGGTGGGTATTGATGAAGAAAAACAAGAACTCGTAGTTGGTATAGTTGGTAAGCTCCAAAAAAAAAAAAAAAAAAGAAAGATTAATATATCAGTAGACTTATCTTTTTATATATATATAGATTTTATTCGTACATTTACGTGGGATAAGAAATTGGAAAGTTGGGTCAAAGATTCAGGCATTTTCGGTGGTGGAGGCAAGGAACCAACCATCATCTCACCTCGACAGTATAGAATTCGGTTCCGGGAAGCTATGGATCGTTATTTTTTGATGGTACCTGATTTTTGGACGACTATCAATATTTGATTATTATTATTATTATTTTGGTTCTTCTTTCTATAACAAACTGATTCTACGATTTCTCATTGTTAATCTTACTATTATTAGTTGTTACTATTACTTATCCTCCTCGTATTAGAAATACCTTGACTTTTTTTTTTTTTTTTTTTTTACAAATTCTTTTGATTTTGTTATATCTCTTTTGATACCCTTCCTCCTTTCTTGATTATCTAGTCAATGAAATAAATATACTATTCCTTCTTTATTTGTTCTTCTTCTGTCTCTATCTTTTCTGATTCCTTCATTTTAATCATCATTCATTAAGAGTTCAGTCTAAATCATCATCTTATTATTATTATCATTTATTCATCTATTCAACTTTCTTTTAATGCAAATCATAAGTGTTTCCATAAATGGTATACATTCAAAGTCCGTTATCAATGTGGGGTGTGTTGGATCAAAAAAAAAAAAGTCGACCAACTTTTTTTTTGAGATTGGAACCTCCAGAGATCAAAAAAATCTGGGAGATTGAAAAAAAAAAAAATTGTTGGAGAAAATGGAAAAAGTTGGACCAAGCTCTGACAAAAGAAAAATTTGGCGCACTCTTCACTTTTTTTTTTTTCCTTTTGCATTTTTTATTTTTTTTTTTTACCTTTCTTTTTTTAATCAATGACTCTTTTGAACATTGTAAGTTACCATTATACATTACTTTATTAATCTATATTTAAAAGTCACTCTTTATATATATTATACTTACTCTATACTTATTCTTTCTTCTTCTTCCTCTTACTCTTTCATATTATGAACTAATCTATTTTTGTTTTGTCTTTTTTCTGTTTTACTCTTTCTGTGAACATATAATAGATAGATATATGAAGAAATATACAATAGAATTAACTGGATTTATAAGTTTTCTATTGGACAAAAGAACAGAAAGTTAGGGAAAAGTATCCAACTCTTTATCATGGAAATTAGTTTATTGAATAGTTTAGTCTTTTAGTTATAGATATTATATTTTCATTTAAATAAAATCATACTTTTATTATTGTTATTTCACTATTATTTATCTATTTGTCCTCTATCATCATCCTTATCGAAAGGACTAATAAGAAAGAATAGTATGATTATCATTTTAGTTTTACTAAAAAATAAAAAAAAAATCCATATACACATCAGTATCTGTTATTTCTCTTCATATATTACATCCATCATTTTTAAGAATAGATATTCTCTTATTATCAATCATCATCACCACCCATGATAATAGCAAGTTGTACCTGTATACTGTTGACTGTTCGTCTTCTCTCTTAACGAAAATAACGATCTCGTTGATGACACCGTAGGATAGACCATGCAACTTCACTATATAATACCCTCAAAGAAACATTTTTATTAAATCATCACAACAATAGATAGTAGCAATAGGTACATACACAAAGCATCATAGCAGGATAATTTAAATAATCAAACATTTTGATTTAAATAAAAGAGTACTTTTACAGGAGAAAGAAAGGGAATAAAGAAAAAAAGTAACTAAATACCAACAATATAAAGAATATTTACAATACTGGTGATAATAATGACAATGGTAATAATAGTAATAATACTAATGGAGACAGAGATGCCAATCAAGTAGAAAACAGAATGAGAGACCAACCAATAGGAAGAAACAAAAAAAAAAAAAAAAAAAAGACAAGGACTAACCATGTAGTAAAGGGTTCTGGAAGAAAATACCATGACAACGAGAGACAGATGAAGGAGACGGAAAGAGAGAGACCAACCAAGTAAAAAAAGAGACGAAGAGACCACACAACCATGAGAGGGAACAACAAGAGAGAGAGAGAGACACCCTACCATTAGAGAAAATAATCAACCAAGTAGGAAGAAAAAAAAAGACCTTCAAAAGTACCTGTACATACAAGTTGACTTGCATTTGCTGTTCAGTCCAGAGTCCAATAGTAAATAAGATAAAAAATAAAACGATTAGTTCCTTAATCTATGTCTTACCATCATAATTGTCATTCCATCCACTCCCAACCATTAGAAGAGCCGTAACCAGCTAAAACTAGAGAGAGAGAAAAAAACAAAAAAGGAAAGAAAGATGAGAGAAATGAGATAGAAAGGAAAGGAAAAGAAATGAAAACTCAGTTAGATAAACAAGAAATGAATTTATGAGTTGGCTGAATTAAAGTATCTCTCAAAGCAATCACGTATGTTTTCTTTTCTTTTCTTTCAATAAAGAAGATTTAGACTATATAGACAGTAATATCTAAAAGATCAATAAAATAAAAGAAGAAATACATTAGTATCATTTCCTTTTTCATCTATTATCTTTTTTAGACTTATCATTTTGCACCATTGATCGTTTTATATCACTGTTTTGTTTGACTAAAGGTTAATATAAAGTAATGATGATCATTCGAGATTTGATAGTATAAACAACAGCCATTGTATCTACAGATAAAATCAACCAAAAAACAATACTCCATCACTGTTATTCTTATATATATCAATGTTACCTTGTGTATATCATCTGACAGCGATACCGTATCAATCCCCATACAATAAAAGGAAGGATCTAAAAAAAAAAAAAGAGAGAGAGAGAGAAAGAAGCAAGTGATTGTACGTATATTGATTGATCATCTTTTCGTTCCTGACAACTTACTGATTTGATTGTATAGGCGACAATCATGATACCTACAAATTAAAAAAAAAAAAAAAAAAAACAGATGAGTAGCAATCTGTTACTCCTTCTTTTTATATACATGTTACCTTCTCAATAACTAGTGGATGTCTTGTATCATATTGCAATTGAATGTCATCATCATCATGAGTTCGGAGAGAAAGAAGGGTTGCCACTAGCAGTACATCTGACATTTTAAGACCATCAAGGTAGGTAGCTTGTTCCGGTTTTAATAGATACGCTCCACTGACCAGTTATGATATTATCCCCTAATTCTTTCCAAACCATACCGCAAATGGCAGGACTTCCAAGGACTCCAGCATGAAACAACACGGCTTACAGGCGATATACTGTATTCCCTGCATGTTGCCTTCTAGTCTCCACCTACTTGAGCACTAGATCCAGCCCCTAGATTCATAAATGATCCTAGACACCAGTCATCCTCGACCAAGTCCAATGCCTGTTAGATAAACAAAGATCATCCCGCCATGATCTTTGAGTATCACCAAAAGCTAAGTATAAAACGATGATGATCATTCGACATTTGATTGTATAGACGACAGTCATGATACCTACAAATTAAAAAAAAAAAAAACAAATGAGTAGCAACCTGGTACTCTTTTTTTTTTTTAATACATGTTACCTTGTCAACACCGGTGGATGTTTTATATCATATCACAGTTGAATGTCATCATCATCATGAGTTCGGAGAGAAAGAAGGGTTGCCACTAGCAGTATATCTGACATTTTAAGACCATCAAGGAAGGTAGCTTGTTCCGGTTTTAATAGATACGCTCCACTGACCAGTTATGATATTATCCCCTAATTCTTTCCAAACCATACCGCAATTGGCAGGACTTCCAAGGACTCCAGCATGAAACAACACGACCTACAGGCGATATACTGTATTCCCTGCATGTTGCCTTCTAGTCTCCACCTACTTGAGCACTAGATCCAGCCTCTAGATTCATAAATGATCCTAGACACCAGTCATCCTCGACCAAGTCCAATGCCTGTTAGATAAACAAAGATCATCCCGCCATGATCTTTGAGTATCACCAAAAGCTAAGTATAAAATGATGATGACCATTCGACATTTGACTGTATAGGCGACAATCATGGTACCTACAAATTAAAAAAAAAAAACAAATGAGTAGCAATCTGGTACTCTTTTTTTCTTTTCTTTTTTTATATACATGTTACCTTGTCAACACCAGCGGATGTTTTGTATCATATTGCAATTGAATGTCATCATCATCACGAGTTCGGAGAGAAAGAAGGGTTGCCACTAGCAGTATATCTGACATTTTAAGACCATCAAGGTAGGTAGCTTGTTCCGGTTTTAATAGATACGCTCCACTGACCAGTTATGATATTATCCCCTAATTCTTTCCAAACCATACCGCAATTGGCAGGACTTCCAAGGACTCCAGCTTGAAACAACACGGCCTACAGGCGATATACTGTATTCCCTGCATGTTGCCTTCTAGCCTCCACCTACTTGAGCACCAGATCCAGCCTCTAGATTCATAAATGATCCTAGACACCAGTCATCCTCGACCAAGTCCAATGCCTGTTAGATAAACAAAGATCATCACGCCATGATCTTTGAATATCACCAAAAGCTAAGTATAAAACGATGATGACCATTCGACAATTGATTGTATAGACGACAATCATGATACCTACAAATTAGAAAAAAAAAACAAATGAGTAGCAATCTGGTACTCTTTTTTTCTTTTCTTTTTTTATATACATGTTACCTTGTCAACACCAGCGGATGTTTTGTATCATATTGCAATTGAATGTCATCATCATCACGAGTTCGGAGAGAAAGAAGGGTTGCCACTAGCAGTATATCTGACATTTTAAGACCATCAAAGTAGGTAGCTTGTTCCGGTTTTAATAGATACGCTCCACTGACCAGTTATGATATTATCCCCTAATTCTTTCCAAACCATACCGCAAATGGCAGGACTTCCAAGGACTCCAGCATGAAACAACACGACCTACAGGCGATATACTGTATTCCCTGCATGTTGCCTTCTAGTCTCCACCTACTTGAGCACTAGATCCAGCCTCTAGATTCATAAATGATCCTAGACACCAGTCATCCTCGACCAAGTCCAATGCCTGTTAGATAAACAAAGATCATCACGCCATGATCTTTGAATATCACCAAAAGCTAAGTATAAAATGATGATGACCATTCGACATTTGATTGTATAGGCGACAATCATGATACCTACAAATTAAAATAAACCAAATGAGTAGCAATCTATTACTCTTTTTTTTTTTTATATATATACATGTTACCTTATCAATAACCAGTGGATGTTTTGCATCATCTTGATTGTATAGGCGACAATTGTGGCATCTACAAATAGAATCAGTAAAACGAGTACTAGTTCATCACTATTATTCTCTCTCCTTTTTTTTTTTAATGTATGGATTACCTTAGTTACATGGTTCACCAGTGTTGATGTATCAATCATAAAAGTGAAACCAAAGGAAGAACCAAGGACAATTTACAAATAGTATAGGCGAAACCGAAGCTATTGATTTTTGTTGAAAGGAATGGAGAGTACCACAAGACGAAGGGATAATAGTCCAAGGTCATGGGAGAAAACAATAAGTGGAAGACATCATACCAAGTGAGAGGGACAAAAAAGAAAAGAAAGACAAAGACCAACCATGCAAGAAAGAGATTTCGAAGAAAGCACCATGACAATGAGAGACAGATAAGGGAAAGGGAAAGAGAGAGAGAGAGAGAGACCAACCAAGTAAAAAAGAGAAGAAGAGACCACGCAAACTCGAGAGATAACAACAAGAGAGTGAGAGGCACACCATACCATTAGAGAAATAATCTTGAAGAAACCAACATCATAGGAGAGAATAACCAACCAAGTAGGAAGAAATGAAAAAAGATCTTCAAAAGTACCTGTAACACAAGTTGACTTGCATTTGGTGCTCCGTCCAGAGTCTAATGGTAAAAAAGATAAAAAAAAAAAGAAAAACGATTAGTTCCTTAATCTATGTCTTACCTCCATTCTTGTCATTCCAACCAGTTCCAAACCATTAGAAGAGCCATAACCAGGTAAAGCTAGAGAGAGAAAAAAAAAAAAAAAAGAAGGAAAGAAAGACGAGAGAAGGAAGGAAAAAGAAAAGAAAAGATACGTGATTGCTTTGAAAGATACCTCAATTCAGCCAACTCATAAACTCATTTCAATAAAAAATATTTAACATCTATTATTTTTTTTTATACTTATCTTTTTACACCATTGGCTTGCTTTGTATCATCGTTTCGTTTGACCAAAACCGAGAAGAAAAGAGATCTTGACAAATGGAAAAACCAGAAGAGTCATGAATTAACACAAAACAAGTAAGTAATTATATTTTATACTGACTTTTTATTATTTTATTTTATTTATTTTCTAAATTGACAATTGTAGAATAAGAATCCATTACTGTCATTGTATTTTATATGTTACCTGTCATTATTCCAATATGGAGACGCGAACAGAGTGCGGAGAATGAATGGAAAAAGTGTGGAGAAATGGAAAGAGAAAGAAAGAAAAGAAAAATGTGGGGAAACGAAATAAATAATAAAAAAAAGAAAGCAAAAGCCCGAATAGATAAAAGTGACGTACCAAAAGTAGCAAAATAAAGAGAAAGAATATATTGTAATGTGATAATGAATGTACAATTAAAAAGTAGATTAGTTTTTTGACATTTTCCTTTCAATGTCAAAAACTAATCTACTTTTTCTTTCACTGTTGATAATACATTTAGATCGAGTCAAGAATACAATATATGGCAAAAAAGGGAAAAAAACGACAAAGTATATGAAAAAGAGAATTAATATGATTCCATGTTGTTTCTTGTTTTTCATATTATTGTTAGAAAGTCTTTAAACTCTGATTCTCTTTGCTTGGATTCAGCTGTCATTTAATTTATTTAAGGAACCAGGTACAGAAATGCATTGATGACTGTTCGAGAGCTAATAACTAATAATATTAGAGAAAAGTAATAATTATGATTTTATTAAAAAAAAAAAAGAATGTAAATATATATAATTGATATACTAAGTATCATTTTAAACTACAAGTAAAAAGAATCACTAACGATTCATAAGCCAGAATAAAAGAAAAAGATACTTCTAATTGATTGTATAATCCAACCCAGTTGAATCCTATAATATATCCTGTTCATCCATGTTATCCACACCTTATGACAATAGCACGTATTCATTTCGTTTAATTCTGTGATCCTATTGTATATCTATCCATTCCGCTGATTCAGATGTATAGCCACTTTGCGTAATTATCCTATTGATACTATATTTGAATGATCAAGACTTCATGTATCTAGATTTCTTTCTTTCTTTTAGACATATATTCAGTGATGATGATCGTCAAGGATACCAATTATGAAGTATGAGAAGAAGAAAAAATGGTAATTCTAGATGGATGGATGTTGTAGTAAAAAGATCAAGATCAGAAGAACGTATATATAAAAAAAAAAGGAAAGAGGTTAGAAAAAAAAACAAAAAGAAGAAAAGCATTTGTTTTTGAAACTTACCTTTAATAAGAGTAAATATTTGTGGAATGTGTAAAAAAAAAAAAAAAAAAAAGAAAGAAAGAAAGAAAGAAAGAAAGAAAGAAAGAAAGAAAGAAAGAAAGAAAAAAGAAAAAGATTTATTTTATATGTCTACCTGATCGGAACCAGTTTAAAAAATCCTGCAAATCAAATCTACCAATCATAAGGAATCACATAGGTTTAAGTTTTTTTTTTTGAATTGATTTTTTTTATTATTGATTATAGTAACATCATAATGATGATGATGATGATATATTAGAATAAATACTTTCAAGTGAATGTCTTGATCACTTATTTCATATTCCTTGTATTCATTAAATTTTGAATAATCATGATAGTGAAGAAAGATTACAAAAGAAAAAGGAATATCAAGCATAGAAGTTAAATCAATTTGAACAACTTTTTATTATGGAACATCAATTACATTCATATAGAATAATAAATCAGTTTAAATATCATAAATTGATTACCTGATAATATAAAATAATAAAGTAATGAATATAAATTATGAAAAGCGGTAGTTGAACATCCAAAAAAGGAAAGGCTCAATTCATGAGGTTATATAAAATAGACCTCACATTTTTTTATTTTCTCACACTTTCTTGTTCTTTTTCTTCTTCTTTATCACTACTGTTATAAACTTCTTTTTTTTTTTATTTTGTATAAAAAGTAAGTAAAGATATAATAAAAGGGACTTGATATATTTGTTAACCAAACTCTCTCTCTTTTTATCTTGTTATAGAAATACCATCTCTTCACTCTTGTTTACAAACTGAATCCTCGATATATATTCAATAGATCATGAAACTATAACAATGGTACTATAACTATCAAAGGTACTACTATAAATCCAAAAGAAAAAAAAAGAAATAGTAAAATAATAAGTGATTTGGGTATGGCTGCGATTCCCATTCTTTCCTTTTTTTTTTCTCAGCAGTATTCCAGTATAATGCCTATGGAAAGGCTATTGAATATATCTATCAATTATGGTTATCAAGCACAAACAAAACACAATCAAGAATATTATCTTTGAAGGTAAGACTTAAAATACGATAATGAAGGATCTGTCAATCAAGGTATCACTTTTTTTTTTTTTTGTTGATGGGTAGTGTCACAAATACAAGATTTAGCTGTTTATATGTTGCTCTTTTCTCTATAAAGGCATCCTTCTTATCAAGATGGTTTGAATTCTTATCATTTATTTATCCTCGTGGAAATTGATATCGTTATCATTACTATCGTTGTCATCCTTCAACTGTTATTGGTATAGGTTCCAACTACAGTGGAATATATACTACACATATCAACCATTAACATTTATTTATTAAATAGATAGGTTGTCATGATACAGGTCCATCAGTCTTATTATGTTACTATTATTCAATTGTTATGATCCGTTTCAAGTATGGTCAATTACTCTATTCAAAGTAAGATATAAAAAAAAAAAGAAAAGAAAAGAAAAAGAATGTCTAAAATATGATTCTCATTCTCTTTTTCTTCTTTCTTCTTTCTTTTTTTATTGATTTGATACATCATCATCCTTTATATACAGATCACAAAACCAAATGAAAATTGGATACATAAAAAGGACGAATAACTAATGTAACTATATTATTAACAACAACTGGAAAGGGAAACCAATTTGTGTACAAATAGATGACATTTTTTTCTATAGTTTCTTTTATTGATAGTTTTAGCCTTATTATATTCTTTTTATATTCTTCTTCTTGTTTAATAAAGTTTATCTTTATATCATCATCATATTATTATTATTATTATTATTATTTATTATTCATCTTATTCAACTTTATTAAAATCATAAGTGTTTTCCATAAATGGTATCCATTCAAAGTCCGGTCTCAATGTGGGGGTGTGTTGGATCAGATTCTCAAAAAAAAAAAAAAAGATCTGGTCGAGATCAAAAAAAAAAAAAAAAGTTGGTCGAGATCAAAAAAATCTGGAGATTGAAAAAAAAAAAAAATTGTTGGAGACAATGGAAAAAGTTGGACCAAGCTCTGACAAAAGAAAAATTTGGCGCACTCTTCACTTTTTTTTTTCCTTTTACTTTTTTTTATTTTTTTATTTTTTTTTTTAACCAATGAGTCTCTGAACATTTGTAAGTTACCATTATACATTATTTTACTAATCTATATTATATATTTAAAAGTCACTCTTTATATATTATACTTCTATATTTACTTTCTTTCAGTCTCACATACTATGAACTAATCTATTTTTCGCTATTTTTACTCTTTCTGTGAAAATACAGTAGATAGATATATGAAGGAGTATACAATAGGATCGACTGGGTATGTAATAGGTTTTCTATTGGACAAAAGAATAGGCAAGTTAGATAGTGACAAAGATATCTCATAGATCACTTTTCTTCTTATTCTGCTTTAAGCCTCTCTCTGTGTATGTGTGTCTTTGGGGTTGGAATCATGATTTTTATTTTTTAAGATAATTAGGCTTAGACAGTTTTAACATTTTTACTTACCGTCTTCTTTAATAAAGTGTATATTTCTATCATAATTACCTTTGTTATCTCTATTGAACTATTATTTATCATCATCCATCATAAGATGACGAGTTCTTCGAACGGAGGAACAAGTCGATACACATATGTCATTCCATAATTTAATTGATATCCTACTCAACTATAAAGTGTTGATGATTAGTAAACCCCATATGCCCATAAAAAAAAAAAAGAAATAGACATTGGCCAATTGAGTCATATATAAGTATCAATTAATTGTAATGAATCATTTTTTTTATTGAATAATCAAAGGAATAAATAAGGGATGAACTAAACTAATCAAGTATAAAATAGATCCAAAAAAAAAAAAAAAAAATTATTGGCCATCAAGCTCTTGCTCATTCAAAGTTTCCAAAGTATAACCTTGCCAATCACGTTGTTTCATCTTGAGTGCCGTTTCCAGTTCCCATGTTGCTTCTTCCTTGGTAGCCTCGTATCCTTTCCATTCATCTGATACAATAGAATGCATCGATCCATGTCGTTGTTGAGGTCCTGGGTATCCTGTCCAAATTTCATCATCATCGTCATCATCATCATCATTGTCAAGATGAGATCGTCGTCGTTGTTGTTGCTTTTGGTCATATATGTCTTCTTCTTCTTCTAAGACAGGGGTTGGGTATCCATTCCATTCTTCCTCTGAAGATGATTCATTGATATTATTAGGCATAGGTATATATCCATTTCGCTTGTTGCTGTTGATGTTTGCGTGCATGTTATTCGATAAGAGGTTTTCTTGAAGGGAGCCGTGTGCTGATGATGATGGTGACACCGCTACAGATGATGGTACATTTTCATATTGACTTTGAGCCACCACCATTAATGGTACAAATTCAGGTGCAGTAGGTGAGAGCTTGGATTTCTTGCTTGGGTTGTTAGTTGAGGTGGGCATTGCCTTTTGATCTTTTTTTTCTTTTTCTTGCTTACTACTTGGATTTTCAATAACTACAGAAACAGATGATGCTATAGATCCTGTTGTCGTTGTTGTTATGGTTGTTGCCGTTGTTGCTGTTGTTCCTGTCGTTGTCGTTGTTGATTTGTCCCCAAGATCAACTGTCAAATCCTGTGTCATTCCAGACGAATCATTTCCATTGTCTACTTGTAATGAGTCGGTTGTAATCATATCTTCAGGACAATGTGTATCCAATGCAGTTGCCGAGTTAGCGCTATCCATTCTACTCGTTTTTTCTCCTACTTGTTGTTGTTGCTTCATTACGTGGTCATCATCGGTTGACAAAGATAGTGATGGTAGTTGAGATACATTGATATGTTCGAGCGAAGTGGCACCTTTATCGTATGATGGAGTATGCTGATTACTGTGATGATCAGTCTTGATATTATGAGAATCCAGATTGTCGTCATCATCATCCATTTTCCCATCCTGTTGTGGTTTTTCGTCATTGGTATCAACCGTAGTACTGTTGTGAATTCCATTTTCAATCCTTGTTGTTGATGTATTCCATCCGACAAACGCTGCAGAGATACGTGGTGAAGCTGGATTGGTTGACTGTGTATGATGTTTATTGTCAGTAAGGTGCTGTCGAGAAGTAGTATCTAATTTTTTGCGAAGAAGGATTTCCAAGGCACCATCATCAGAAGCAAATGCATCACAAACGAGTTGTTCACCAGGCAGTAAAGGCTGTACTTGTATACTTTCATCCACGAGCTGATCTCTGCGTAAATAGACACGAGATACTAACCAATGATGCACCAGTAGATCACCAGGAGAAAGAGTATGAAGATCATGGACAGTAGTACTAGTGTTTGACTTGTTGGTAGTGGGATGCATAGAATGTCGACTTGATCTCCTGCTGCTGCTGCTGTTGTTGTTGTTCTTGTTGTTCTTGTTGTTGTTGTTGTTGTTGTTGTTTGTATTGACGCCTGTTGTTTCCATAGAGACAGGAGAAAAAGTATTATAATGATGATTATCTTGACGCCAAGGCCGCATGTAATCTTCCAAAATATCTATTGAAGAAGCTGAAGGTATTGTATTTGTTGTCATGGAAGAGAAGGAGGAATCGGATGAAGATGGACAGGTTTGACATTGTTCCAAGAGAGCCATGATCACAGCCAGTTTTTGAAGTCCTGGGGCCGACAAAACAAGTTCAATATTGGAAGTAGTTTGGTGACACAAATGATTCTTGGAAGGAGTTGTTGATGTTTGTTGTAATGTTGCATGGTCGTCACCAATAGCTGCATAGTCAGTCACGATAGAGCGTAAAGAGAGTAGATGAGGTTGCATCCAAGGAATCACTACCATTTTGGATATTGATTTTGAGTCAAGAGTAGATGATGGTGTAAAGAAAAAGTAAGAGAGTTTTTGATAGAGGATATTGTGGTATGCTTGGTATTGTTGATCAGATGATAAGATAGGAACCATTTCACTAAATAATTCTTTGATACGAGATGGGCAATTCTTCCATAGAGAACGCAAGCGTTGTACTTGAGGTAACATAAGGGCTTTCATGATAGCAGCGAATCCAGAGAAATCACGATAAATATGTAAAAGACGGTGAGCGACTTGAACCAAATGGGATATCAAATTGTCTTTGGGCTGTACAGGAGGTATAACAGTCGAAGTAGTAGTTTTGGATAAACTTGACCAAAATATAAGTTGATGTGCAAAACTATGAGAAAGGTAATGGTGAAAATCCAATAAACGATCAAGTTGAGAATTGACAAGATCCAGTTGGCAGAGTAAAGAAGTTTCGAGTTTGACCATACTGAATAATTGACAATCAATAATAGCAATTTGTTTGGCTAAAGTATCAGGAGTCCAATAAAGAGCAGTGGCAGCTTGTACAGATTGCATTTGTCTTGTTAAATTATCATGACGGTGTCTTTCTACCTTGACTTGCTCGAGAAGTTTTCGTAAAATGCTGACAGACACATTAGGATGAGTTTGAGTTTTTGCCCTGGAAAGTGCTACGTTTGCTTGTTCAAGGTCAGTTTGACATAGTAACCAAGATTTGGTAATGGGAGATAAAGGAATAGTAGGAATGGTAGTTACCATAGGATAATATATAGAAATAGATATATAAAGGAAAAAAAAAAAAAAAAAAAAAAGGAAAAGAAAAGAAGAAAAAAAAAAAAAGAAAAGAAAATAAGATTTTTTTTTTTTTTTTTTTTTTGCGTCAGTCGGAGAGGAGTCTCTACTCTAACATAATATATGTATATGTATGTGTGATGTGTGGAAAATCCTTTTATTTTTATTTTTTTTTAATATATTAATAGAATATTATAATAACTATTTTATGATTTCCTTTACTTTTTATACTAGTTTATAATATATTTCCCTATTGGACTATACATGTCAAAATCTTTATTTTATTTTTCTTGTTTTTTTTTTTTTTTTGCCTCGACACACGTTTTCTTTACCTTTTTGTCATACCACGGGGCAGTAAGCGGACTTCAAATCCTATCTCTTGGGTACCAACTTCTTTCAAAATCATTATCACCGGATGTTGGACCCGGGTACATTTTTAATCAAGTACATTAGATATAATATCATAATAGTATCTTTTATTATATGATGGTAGGCTTGTTTGAAAAAACAATAATATCAATTTACTTCGTAAAAGTAATACCATTTTTTTTTTCAATTCAATAATTTCCAAGTTGCCGGAATAAAAATCGGAAGTACGCTCGCATTTTTTTTTTTTTTTTTTTTTTTTACTTTCTTTCCGTTTTATTTTCTTTTATATATATATATCAAATGTCTTTAGCACAATTATTGAAAAACCATCATCAGAAACAAGCAGAATCAAAACGACAAAATGGTAATAAAAAAAAAGAAAAGGAACAACAAGATTGCTATTCCTTAGGATCATCATATGTATATAGTAGAAACATACGTATTCATTGTTTTTTTCTATTTATTTTAAATAGATCAGTTAAGAAAAGAAGCTTTGAATACAACACATACCTTAACCGACACAGTATCTGACCACGTGAATCAAGGGTAAAAAAGAAAACCAACTTGCAAGACTTTAAATGACTTTATTTGCATTCATTTTATAATATAGTGTATCGACCATGTTTGCAAAACAAAAAGCCCTAGAACAAGCATCAAAAGAATTAGCTACACAGACATCAAGATATACCAAGCAAACCAAACAATGGTTAACCCTCGTTGATGATTTCAATGATGCTCTCAAGGTATTAAAAAGAAGAAAAAAAGAAGAGAGAAAAGATTTGAATATGGGTAATATTAATTTATCATATATCATTAGGAGTTAGGTGACGTCAAGAATTGGACACAAGTGATGGAACAAGATATGAAAACAGTGATGGCTACATTAGATTTTGTTTATCAAGGTAAATAATATATATATATATATATAAGTGGATGATTAAAATAAGTGTAAAATCTGTTAGGCAACATTGACGCTACAACAAAGAACAGACCAGGTGATGAACATTCAACGGCGATATCGTCATCATAGGTAAAAAAAAAAAAAAATTAGATTTATTGTATCACCGTTAGTTCCCCTCACAAAAGTTTTTTTTTTTTTGTTTCTTTTTTCCAGGACAGGAAAACATACAAATATTCCAATGACTTTATGACCGAAAAGAAGACTTACCTCTTTTTTTTTTTTATTATTGGATTTATGATTCTAACTGATATTGGTAATTGGATTGGATGAACTGGAACTAGGAATTGTACTAGATATAGAAATGACAGATTTGTCTTTTTTTTCTTATGTTTGGATTATACATTATTATTATTATTTTTAAAGTTTATACTATCGTGTATGTTTTAGTTTAAATATTTGGAGATTTACTATAGTAGTCTAGTTATTATTTTACTAATACAAAAATAAAAATAAAGAAAAAATGTCAAAATAGAATGTTTTTCTTAGTTCTCTCTTTTTTTTTTTTTTTTTTTTGTTCTTTTAGGAAAGAAAGAAAGAGGACAATGGATACAAAATGGTCATGTGCATAGATTTCGTCTTGATTGTATATGGGATAAGTGTAACGTGAACCAAAGCAAAAAAGACACTGTAGAACGTGGATGATGTCGCTTTTTTTCGTTGTTGGGGAGACCCCACTTTTGTCTCCCGTTTTTGATCTACGTAAACGTATCATTGGAATCAATATCGATCAGGTTTGTTTTTTCTTCTCTCTCTCTCTCTCTCTTTTTTCGTTTTCTTCTCTATTACTGTCAATTATGTTTTATAATAGGATGAATAGATTCATTATCCTAGTTTTGTTGTTGTTGTTGTTATTGTTTGTTATGATAGACCTTTTTTATAGCGTGTGTGTATTTAGGAGGAGCCACACAAGACGTGGTAAATCCAACTTGCCTGGAATTTTAAAATCAGCATCCAGTTTACCCCGCACTTTTTGTTAAACCTTTTTTTTTTCCTTTTTTTTTTTTTTTTTTACTTTCTTCGTTCATATTCTTTATGTTCTCCCACACTTTTCAATAATAAATCCTTTCTTTCTTTTATTTTTTATTTTTATTTTTTATTTGTTTTTGTACATTCCCTTTCTTTTTTTTTTTTTTTACTACTTGTCTTATTTACATTCTCCCATCTTGGTTGATTTGAATTGGTATTCATGGCAGAATATCAACCAATATCGGTGCCTTCTAATTACTTTCAAGTGCCAGCTACTTCTTCTGCTCCTTCTTCTTCTTCTTCCTCTTTACTTGAAATATCAACAATTGATTCGCGTAAACGAAAACAACGTGTATCAACATCAGAAACTTTTTTTAGTGATTACCAATGGTCACCTTCAACAACTACTCAATTGACTGATTCCATACAGCAACAACAACCGAACCATTGGTCATCCGCTATGGAGCAGGGAAACATGCACTCAGCCACTATTCTATCTTCTCAATCATCCTATCACGATTCTTTTGGGGCTACTTCTCAACAACAACAACAACCTTCTCCTTTTGTTTTTGATGGTTTTCAACAAGAATCTCACGATTTCTTTCCTTCAAATAGTGATGATGCTTATAATGGTAATACGCAACAACAACAACAACAACATCAACAACAACAGCAGCAAGAAGAAGAAAATTATACTCATCCACCATCACAACATGATACTCTTCATTCATTGTTGCAAACTCACGAGTTGGACAATAGATCATTTGAATCAAACTCTCAACTGAACCTTGCTCCTTGGGACTCCACTAACCAATCAATAACATCCTATCGATCTAACTCACATTCAAATATGGATCGGTCCAATCAGTCCGCTTTTTCTCCTGAGGGTTTTTTGGACTCCTTGCCTGATGGAAAACCAGTCGACAAACCTGATTTTGATATTATGAAATTTGATACCATATCTGACCCATCACCAATGGTATTTTATTAAAAAAAAAAAAAAAAAAAAAAAAAAAAAAAAAAAGGCTGTTTAGTCTGTTTTCACTAACTAATCCTTTTTTGGTTTTTTTTTTTTTTTTGATAGTCCTCTGATAAATCGGTACCTTCAGGGAACAACAATACTATGATGTTATTGACTTCTCATCATCATCCTCCTACTGTAAGCGACACTGGTTCACCTCCATCTTCACCTGCAACTATGGCATCAACTCATTCATCACCTGCTATTACTCCAATGTATGGTCGATTATCCAATCTCTCGCTTCGACAGCAACAACAACCTACAACTATGACTACTTTCCATCATCATCATCATCAACAACAACAACAACAACATTTATCTCCTCTATCATCACCTACTGGATTTCCTAAAAACAATGGTAGTACGGATATGGATATGGTGATGACTATCAATGAAGGAACGCCTTATGAACCTTATACTTCATCTTCCCAGGCTCCCATGATGTCCACAGAGTTGGTATTTGATTATCGACGACAACATCCGTCAGCACCTTCTTCTACATCATCATCGTCATCATCATCAACAACAACAACTCAATCATTATCAGTTGGCAATAACAATAGCAACGCAGTTACCAATACCACTACATCTACAGCTCTTCGTTCACTCCCACCAAGAAATCTCCATGCAGTGGCTACAGCACGTGTGATTCAACAACAAGTAACGGCAGCCAAGATTCGACCCATCATTCAGCTATACCTTCAATCCAAGGATCCGAGCGCCATAGGTGAAAAAACTGTGATCATTATGTCCAGTAAAGTCGCACAAAAGAGCTACGGCACTGAGAAAAGGTTAGTAGCATTTTATGTTCCGTCAATTTTCATTTTTTTTTTTCACACCACTGAATTTTTTTTTTTTTTGTTTTTGTTTCTTTTTTTATATTTTAGATTTTTATGTCCTCCACCTACTGCGATTCTAGTTGGTTCTACTTGGTGGTCAAGGAAACAAAAATCGATTAGTTCTTCCTCTTTTGCAACACATCAAAACAATGGTACAACAAAGGATATTGGAGGCAATGACGATGTTGATGATGATGATGAACAACAACATTCTTTTCAAGAAGGTCATGGTGACACAATGACGATAGTGACACCTCCCAAAGTGACCGTATGCATTTCCGGCGAATCTTCTTCACAAACTGGGCAAGTTGAATGGTATAGTCAAATCAATGCCGCCGTGGTAGGACAAACTGGTTTTCCCCGCCAACAAACTCAATCAATGACACCATCATCAACAACAACCGCTGATCTCACCAATACCAACAATACACGATTTAAAAGTCATTCAAACACGGAAATAAAAAACAATGGTGGCGATTGGTATCATAACCCTCGAATGGAACCTTTAGGTGGAGGTCGATGTGTATCCAAACAACTCTATATCAATGATGCTGATGAAAAACGAAAACGTGTAGAATGTTTAGTTAAACTACAAGTTCATGGACAATGGATGGGGACTTTGGCTGGAAAAGGTATCAAGGTCATTAGCAAGCCTTCTAAAAAAAGACAAAGTATCAAAAATATGGAATGTAAGTCTTAAAAAAATTATTTTTTTTTTTTTGAAATATTGATGATTTTGATTTTGATTAGTATGCATTCATCATGGATCTGTTGTCTCTCTTTTTAATCGCATTCGATCCCAGACTGTTTCAACTAAATACCTTGGTGTATCCAACGGAAATGATTCTCCATTCGCCTATCCTGGTCAATCTCCTACCGAACAATCGAAAAGTAATGATGGAACATGTTTTGTAGCACGAACAGCCTCTTGGGATCCATTTGTTATATGGTTAGTCGATACCTCTCGCCCTCCTGAACAACAAAAATTCCGTGATGAGAACACTGTGCCTAATCAACCTGAAGATTATATTGGTCATCGTGCATTCAAACCAAGTGTGAATTATCCTCCTCCTCCTGCTATCGCTCTTCGAAATACAACGCAACAACCATTAGCTATTCATTATAATCAACATATTGTTTTACAATGTTTGACTACAGGTTTAGTCAGTCCTGTCATGATTATTCGAAAAGTGGACAAAGCTTCAACAGTAGTTGGTGGTGCTCGTTGCTTGGATGAACCTCTTCTTGCCAATGGTGGTGAATATGGTGATGAAATGCTTGGTGATCCCGTCTCTCAGTTACACAAGATTGCCCTTCAAATTGTTCACGATCCGTCTCAGACTTCAAATCAGCAACGTCGTGCAAATAATCAACAATATCAACAAAATACAAACGATTTGATTACCGGTCTGATGGAAGGTATGTTACCACGATATACTTCCCCTGTGACTTATCTGGCTTGTCTGAATGATATGGTTGGGATGCACAGATCATCGGAACAGCGTCAACCTATTCTCAAGAATCCTCCTCCACCTCCACCTCATCAACCTGCTTCATTTGCTCAAGAAGAAATCATCGAAGAAGGGGGCCGTGTCGTACGAAAACGAAAAGTATCTACATTTGTCAATCAACCTCATCCACCATCACCAACTGCCAGCGATAACAACAGTAGTAATAATAATAATAATAACAACAATAATATTATTCAATCCATGCAGCATCATGATCACAACAATATGACTACTGCTGATTTTTATAACAATATCACCTCAAATACTATTCCTCATCGACGTCGTGTTAATAGTTATGATGACTATGGACTTCAACAACAACAATTTCAACATCCTCATCATCATCATCATCTACAAGGTTCTGTATCTACTTCTACAATGTCAGGTATGCAAAATGGTAACTGGGTGAATCATCGTGCACGATCAGTCTCGATTCCTGAAAATCATCATCGTCGAGTATCAACATCATCGGCTGCCTCATCATCATCAACTTCATGGATCAATGGACCATTGGGTGGTGCTTATTGGTATGAGGATGTATCTGATGCAGCAGTGTGGACTTTGGTAGGAACAGATATTGCAAGCTATACATTTTTGCCTCCTACTTCATCTATGCCGTCAGACAACAACAGTGATCCTTCTTCTCTTCAACATACATATCCTTTACAACAGCAACAACAACAACAACAACAACAACAACAACAACAATCATCATCTTATTTACAGCAACATCGAAAATCAATATCTACATCACCAGCCTCTCTTGTATTTCCTCATCTATCTCATTATTCCGTCATGCAAGATGATGTTCTTCAATTACATGGTGACAATCTGGCTCGAGATTTGCAAGTTTGGTTAGGGGATATCAAGGCACCACATGTGGAATACAAAAGTCGCGAACTCGTCATTTGTCGTTTACCTTCTCGACAGGAACTCATGGATTGTACATTTGTGGAATCATACCAAGCACCGATCTCATCCACATCACCCACCATCTCATCAAACAATCTTGTCAATGCAGCACGTATCAAGACTCACTACCAATTGCCGTTATTGCTGGTCAAGGCGGCTGATGGCATTATACACAAAACCAATATCTTTTATCAATTCTGATCTATCCATCTTTCTTTTTTGTCATCTCATTGGTTATTAGTTAGTCATTATCCCCCCTTCTTTTATTGTGAATTATACTTTTTTTTTATTTCTTTCTTTATCCTTCCTTTATATATACTTTTCTTTTTTATTTCTCATTATTTTTTTTTTTTTTTTGTAGTTCTATCTATTATACATGCCTTATTTTATATGCCTTCTTCTTTCTTACTCATGTTTTATTATTATTATTATTATTATTTACCTTCCCCTTCCTTTCTCACTGAATGTTGGATACGCACGTATGTGTTTCTTTCCTTACCCCCTACTTACAAACATACCTACTTTATATACGCAGAGCAAATAAACGAAAATCATCTTCTTTTTTTTTTTTTTTCGTGTGTCCTACTGTGTATGGTGTTCCTGATTATTGTTATTATTCCGATATACGTTGATATCTCGCTCTGACACGGTAAAAAGAAAAAAAATATATTGAACAATGAATACTAGTATCGACTTTTCAATACGAAAAGTCAATATACATATGCCAACATCAAAAAAAAAAAATCATACAGGTATTGGCTAAAAATCAATATCTGATCAATATTTTTTTTTTTTTTACCGTGTGATGAAATGTGGATATGAATGATAATAATGGGAAGATGAAGAATAAAGACAAGAAAGACCTTTTATCACAATAAAGTTGACTTTATTAAAAAGAAAATTCAAACTAACGAATGCTAATATAATGATAATAAAAAGACGATAAACTACATACACAAAAAAAAAAAACTAAAAATGAGTTGATTGTACCTTTTCATTTGTGTTTGGAGATAGTAGAAGCAGCCTTGCCATCAGGGATTTGAATGAATTGAGCAGAGTCGGTAGCAGTAGCAAGAGCATCCAAAATGTAATAACCTTTGCGCTCGAATTGGATGATATCACCTTTCTTCAATTGACTAATATTGGCATCAGCAATAGCATCCACCTTGAATTCAGTCACAGGAGTCACCAAATCCTTGACATCATCCCCTTCTTCCACCTTCTTCTTGGTAATCAAGTAATCGTAATCCACCAAAGTCACAGGCACAACTTCATCATCATAAGACAACCAGGTCAATTTCTTTTTGGTCTTTTTGAAATCACCTTCCAAATGTAACTCCAAATCTACACTGGTCACAATATCACCATCCTTTTGAATCTTGCGAACAAAGGCATTTCCCCAATCCATCAAAGTAATCTATTTTTTTAAAAAAAAAAGGTGAGATCAACTGAATCATTCTGATTATATATATACTAGAGACTTACTTCTTCACCATCTTCCAAAGATTGAGCATCTTCTTGATCAAGGGCAATCTTAGAGGAATAGTTGGTCTTCTTTGTACCGACATCAGGATTCTTCTTATGTAATGGCACTTCCTTGACTTCCTTGGCAGAGATACCTTGGATATTGCAGACAGCCAATTTGTCTTTCAATACAGCAGTATGACGAGGAGCCACAGGATCAATTACCTTCTTATTCAAAGCCCAGAGTTTATCCCATTCCAATAATAACGTGTTTTGAGAAGCACCTTGCATGAGAATATATTGTTTGAGAGCTTCAATAGTCATACCACGACGACGGATACCACGGACAGTAGGGAAACGAGGATCATCCCAACCAGTAACAAAACCTTTATCAACAAACCATTGGAGCTTACGCTTAGATAATAAGGTGTAGACGAAGTTGATACGACTGAAATCCCAAATAGTGACCTTGCGAAGACCAAGAGCTTCGATCATCCATTGATATTGAGCATTACGATCACGGTATTCATTGGTACGGAGAGCATGAGTCACACCTTCCAAAGAATCGACAATAGGACAAGCAAAATCATAGGTAGGATACATCTTCCATTTGTCACCAGCATAATGATGAGGAGTCAAGTTACAACGGTAAATAACAGGATCACGAAGAGTACCATTGGGATCATTCACACTAATCTTGGCACGTAAACAACAAGATTGACCCTAAGAATAAATAAATAAATAAATAAAGTGAGTTTTCGTTTTTTTTTTATTTAAATATTTTTTTTATTTAAATATATTATACTTACAAATTCAGTGGCATTTTTCATTTCATCAAAACGACGCAAATTTTCTTCCACAGACAAATCACGGCATTTGGAAGGTACGCAGTTCATACGTTGATCACGCATAGTTGCTTGATCGGTATCATCCACATAAGCTTTACCATCCTTGATCAATTTGAGGGCAAGTTCATACATTTGATCAAAGTAATCAGAAGAGTGAGTGACAATGGTAGAATCCACACCAATAAGAGCCAAATCTTCCTTGATAGATTCTTCGAATTCTTCCTTTTCCTTGCTTGGATTGGTATCATCAAATCGTACAATCATCTTGCCCTTGTAAGTTTCAGCAAAGTATTGATTCAACAAAGCAGCCTTAGCATGTCCAATATGAAGATAGCCACTAGGTTCAGGAGGGAACCGAGTAACAACCTTGCCCATTTCAGCTTCAGTAAGACCAATTTCGAATTTACCTTGATCAGAATTCTTACCCTATATAATAAGAAGGTAAATATATATACTGTCATTCCTTTTATGAATCTCTCTCTCTTTTTCTCTTTACCTTTGAAGCAGATTTGGAAGATTTGTCTTGCTTCTTTTGAGTAGATTGTACACTATCCACAGCCAATTTAGAAGCATCAAGAGATTGAATATATTCGAACCAACGAACAAGATAAATACCAAGGGACTCCTTTTTGGTTTTAAAGACGCGTCCAAAGGCCAAAGAAGCTAAAAAAAAAAAATAAGAGTTTTATGTTGTATTAGTAAATAGATAAAGTATATAATTTTATTTTTATCTTTACCCTTTAAAGCACCAAAAATAACAAAGTCGGCAATAGATACAGAGTAACCAACAATGTAAGAACGAAGAGTAAGATACTTGTTCAATTCCTTGAAAGCTTCATTTTGAGCCTTGAAATCAGCAGTATCCAATTTGATTTGAGCAAAGTCAAGCCATTGATCCACCTAAATAAAAAAAAAAATTAATTAGTTATCTGATCTTAATATTATCTACATCTAATTTCTTACCAAAGTAGAGCTGATAGGATCCTTGGGATCATATAAACTGGCTTCAGGGAAGAGTCGACCAAAAAGACGAGCAATTGAATATGAGTTATCATATTTGGCACTAAGAAGAAAATACCGATAAGTAACATTGTCAAAATCTTATATATATCTTTATTTACCCTTCATAGTCAACAAGAGCGGTAATGTTATCACCTTCAACGGTCTTGGCATCTAGTAGATCGATTTCAATAGATCCAGGCTTGATAGAGTTGATTTGTTGAGCGATAGCGAGTGATCCTTTAAGGTACATAAAAAAAAAATATAGTTAGTCAGTCTATATATATATATATATATATATAGTTATCTATATATTGACCTTGAATGGTTTTTCCTTTTGATCATATTACTTTACCATAGCTTATAGGAGATGCCTTTGTGGCAACAACAAGTTTGAGAACCATGTTTCAAATAAAAAGGAAAATAAGGGGAAGAAAAAAAAAAAAAGAAAAGAAAAAAGAAAGAGAACAAATAAAAAGTCAGTTGTTTATATAATTATTGACACAACGTCAAATTTAGCCACTGAGCGTTTTCTTTTGAGTCACTTCATTTTTGGACTCAGGTTCGAACCAAAAAAAAAAAATCTTCTATTTTGACTATGCATGAATCATCTTCTGTCATATTAAGTACAGGCATTAAAAACGAATAAATAAAAGTAATCAAAAGTAATTTTATTTCCTTTTTTTTTTTGATAAAATATAGACAGAGTGATAAAGGGTATGAAAACATAAAAAAAATGGATACTAAACTAAGGATACTGGACGATTTTCAAAATAACGGGGCAAAACACTAGACAACATATCAGCAAATTTCTTGGCATCCTCTTGAATGGTTTTAGCATCTTCTTGATCATTCATATTGGCAGTACCAGGGTTGTTCAGGAAATGACGAGGGGTCCATGAAGGTGCTTCACCAATATCCAAGTTGAGATTATCAGAAAACCTATTTCTCCAGCGTTCCTTGTACATGGATATATGATAGTTGACACGATGAGGAGTAAATTTCGACAGATCCAAAGGAAGACCAGATGTTGTTAACTTGGAAGTATGAATGTCATCCATATTTGCCATATCCCACATTTCTTCCTTTTCCACTTCCACTACATAAGATCCCCAACCATAAACCCATGTTGTGATTTGTTTAATAATATGAGGTTGATAACCTGGTACCATCATCATCGAAAGTCGATTTGTATTCGTGAGTCGCATCTTATCTACAAACTGTCCATGAGGAGTATTGAGTTCAGAAGGTAATCGTCGAGCATATTTCAATCGTGTTTCCCAAGAGTATTCACCTTCCAAGTTGGCGCAACTAATCTTGACCAATGACTTGTAATCCGTTACACAATCCCATAATCTAACATAACCGTCCTTTGTAAATCCGTTCACCTTCACCATCGTTCTCCAAGAAAGACCAGGCTTGATAGTACCAGAATCAGGAGCAGTAGCACGATCACCACGAGAAAATCCTTCTTTGGGTGCTTCTGGTAATGTAGGCATTTGTATAGCTTCAACAGTAAAAGAGGTTCTAGGTGAATCCGCATACTCTTCGCCGTGTCGAGAAAGATATTCCAATAAACCCTTGACATGTTCATGACTCGTACCAATACAAGGTGCCAATTTGGATTCGAATTTGTCATGAGGAAAGTACTTGTCCGCCAATTCTTCTGCACTAAAGACATACATATCAGTTTTCTTGGGATAGCTTACAAGATAAATTTGTCCAAAGATCACATCTAAAGAAATATCCCAATCCAATAATCGCAAGCTTTCCAGGCCTTCATCCAATTTAACAGAAATCAATTTTGCATTTCGTTCGTTAAGATCCAAAAGACTTTTCGAGACAACAGAAGAATCGCCATCACCTCCAGTAGTTTGATATTCATCATTGTCTTCAATAGATCCCTCATAATTTTCTTCATTTCCAAGTTGAATTAGATCCAAAGATTCCTTAGGGCGGTTGACCAAAGCATTTGTTTTTTTATGAAGAGTATCCTTGATGGCTCCTGTGACAAGAGGGTCCAACATCCGATAAGAATCAAATTCAGTTTGACGAAGATAAAGTTCACATGGTGTAAAGGATGCTGGTAATTTGATGAATCGGGCACCAATATTCTTTGTGGGTTGATATAAAAGTCGTAGTTCGGCAGGCATAAGTCTTCTACACTGTTTGAGATACCATTGACGTAAACGGGTGGCAGTTTCTTGAACTAGATCTTGGTCTTGGCCAGCAACTTTGAAAGCATTCATAGATTCTTCGTACCATATGTGTGATTTTCCTGATGCTCGAAGCTTGTTGAGAAAACTTTCCTTTTCACCAACGAATTTTTCCAATGGAAGGTTGTTATCAGGAAGTGGAAAAAAGGCAATATAAGGTTGAGGACCAGCAGGAAGACCTTGATAGCTTCTTTCCTCCATCTGGCGTTGTTGTCGTTTTTCTTCGCGTCGTTGTTCTTTTTCCGTTAGTTGACGTTCAGGTTTTCCCCATTTCTTGGTTTTTCTTGTTGGCTGTTTCTTTTCATGGTGTTGGTCGCCCAAATGATCAAGATACTGTCTGGCAAGAGGAATGGAAACGTGATCACCCCAAATATCAACTTGATGTTTTGCACGGTTGAATACCAAGTATGCTTCAGTTTTCTTTTGAATAATTTCCAGTTGTTTATTTTGAGGTCCCAAGATATCTACTTCTGTACTGGTAGAAGGCAACATCCAGCAGTCGTCAGGTTGTCGGCTAGGGGCAGTCACTTCAGTTTCATGACGATTCACAATATTTCCAGAACGTCGAAGAGAATTAGCATCAGGTAAGATTGTAGGATCTCTCCAACCATCACTTTCATGAGCGTCGTATGATGAATCAAAGTGATCCATTTCAGTGAGATACGTTTAAAAAAAAAAAAAAAAAAAAAAAAAAAAAAAGAAAGAGAGAAAGAAAGGAAAAGAAAGAGAAAAAGAAAATTTGTTTGAAATCAGGCTCCGGCTCATATGTTTTTTTTTTTATCATCAAACATCGTTTATTATATTAAACTTCCCTCTGTCATTTACCGTTTATAATCAATACTGTGTATCATATAGTCATCATAATACACGTTATTCATAATCACCCGTAAGAAAAATATCATCATGTGATCATCCATTACTACATTCGATGTACTATCCTATTACCATTATTATCATATATGTCTGCTCTAGCTTCTTAAGTGCTATTTGATCAATAATACGATCTCCAGTATAAGAAAATTCTTATGATACCAGAAACTACATAATGCATCAATTTCTTTTTTTTTTTTTGATTATTCATAAATACGATATGTAAATCTATATTTTTGACCAGTTCACTCAGGGAAGATCTGATCACATTTCTTGAATGAAAGAGACCTATTCCCCTTTATAAAATCATGTAATAAACAAGAACCTTAGCTATGATAATCATGCGGGGTAGAATGAAAAAAAAAAAAGGTGAGCTGACAGACTCGGTCTTTTTATTAACCGAGCAAAGCGCTTCGAAAAGAAAAAAATTTCCCTCAAGCGTTCTTTTTTCTATTTTTTCTTTTTCCCTTATTTTTTCTATTTCTTTCTTCTTCCTTCTTCTATTTTTACCTCATCTATATCAATTCAAATATCTTTACATACCATGAGCACAGTTCCTATTCCTATGCAAGGTAAAATAATTTAACTATATATAAGGAAAAACATGAAACAACTTTTGATTGATTCTGTCTCTTTCTCTCTCACCTATCCTTTATTTAATATTTGTTATATCTGCTTTTTTATACTCATTCTTCTCTTATTATTGAATATAGAGGCACCTATACTGGAAAAGCTTATTAGTATACGGCATAGACTATCTGCACTGAAAAAAGATAGAGATAGTTATCCCAAAGCTGAAGATATTATCTCGTTATATCAACAAACTGAACAACAAGTCGAATTACTAGCAACGTGTCGATCAGGGGATGTATGGAGCTCAAAGAACCGCAATCGTGTTAATGATGTCTTGGACGATGTTATGTCTTTATTATCTCTGTTTTTTATGACTATTGGAAGAAACCGTGAATGTAAGTTTTTTTTTTTTTTTATAGTTTTTTTATTTTTATTTTATTTTATTTTTTTAAAAAAAAAATAGTTATTTTGGGGATAAGTTTTAGAGTTGTTTAGTGGAGAAAGTAGGATGATTACTATATTATTTTTTCTTTTGTGCTGATTTTATCATTATGATTATTATTGTTATTTAGATCCTGCAGTTTATGCCCAACTGGTTACGGTTGAAGTAAGTAAAAAAAAAAAAAAAAATAGAATCTATTCAATAACATTAATGACATTTTTATTATTATTATTATTATTATTATTATTGGTATTATTCTATCATTCAAAAATAGCGTTACTTGGATCAACTCAATCAAATGGGAATTTACACAGATCGTGTGTTGGTGGAAATTGAAGAACGTTTGGAAGATATTGGAAGTATTATATATGAAGATCGAGATCAACCTGATGATCACCCCACTTATTTCCTTGATCTATTGAAAAAGAAATACACTAAAAGCAGTAAGTTTGTTATTTAACATATATTCATCATCTTTATTTTTTGTAACCTTTTTTTTTTTTTTTTAATTGATAGAGGACGCATTGGATTCACTTTTATCTACTATCCGAAAAGTGTCACCAGAACTGTAAGTTTGCCACATTTTGCGCTAACTCCATTAACCTTATATTTCTTGTGTTTATTTTTAGAAAACCTCTCCAAGACGATCTTGTGGAACTACGACGACAATTAGCCATGGTAGCTCAAAGACCCTGTGGTTTTAAAGCAAGTGACATTTATCCATTTCAAGAAAAGGTACAATATAAGAAAGAAAGAAAAAGTATAAGGAATAGTTTGATTCATTTTTCTTTTCTTTTTATCAGTTACGACAAATTGACAATTTGAAATCAGATTTATTTCCAAAAGATGGATCAGTACCAAATGGACAAGCTTTGATTGTTGGATTATTGGAACAGCTTTATGAAGAAACTCATGATTTGATTGCGTCTACTGATAATATTTCTGATAGTTTGAAACCTATTGCTGATCGACTGAAGGAAATAAAAGCTCAATTAGAACGATTAGCTTTGACACATCGATGGACTTTGCGGGAAACTGATTTATATACATTCCAAGTAAGATCAGTTAATAATGAAAGAATAGGATAATGTCAACTTATCTTTTCTTCTAAAAAAACAAACTTCTTAGTTACAACTACAAGAAATTGAAAAATTACGACACAATGGGAAATTCCGTGATCCACAAGCTGGAGAAGACAATGTACCAGATGGACAAGCATTGATCAACTTTTTATTACGTGGCTGTTACCGTCTGATTACAAAAATGCTAAGCGAAAATGTACCTGTCAGTGAAGCCATTATGCCTATTCACAATCAGCTCAGCACTGTACGTCGTTGTTTATTGGAGGTAACAAAATGGGGAAAACCGGACTCTGGTAAGATATCAAAAAAAAAAAATGATTACAAGAAAAAAGGAAAGAAAGAAAGGATTGATAATCTTTGACTCTTTCTATGATGATAGCTCGTGATTTATATCCATATCAATTAAAGTTGGCAAGTATTGATAATATGCGACAAAATGGAATCTTTTATGATGATGAAGGCAATATCCCTGAAGGTAAATTCTTTTTTTACAAAAAAAAAAAAGGTCAAATGAAAGAAAATAAACTGAAGGCATTTTTCTTTTGTATTAGGTCAAGCCATATGCATAGCTTTGCTCAACGAATGCTATGATATACTTCATGATCTGATGGCAGCTGTAGATGATGGTGAACGAACAACATGATGATTCATTTATTATAGTTTATTTCATTCAATTCACCCTAATTTGAACAACCATCCTATTCACTGTCCATTATTCAAAGTAGTTAGTTTATTCATTGCTTAGTTTTCTTGATGACTACCCTCCTCTTTCTATCTCTGCATTTGATAATAACAATAAAAAATAAAAATAAATAAAAAAAAAGTCCAGTTGTATATTGTTGATTATTTTTTTTTTCAAAAAAGAAAGGATGTATGATATTTTATTTCACAAATAGAGGATGATAAAACAAATACTATCTACAAATCATTCTTTAATCGAAAAGACCGAAACCCATATCCTATATTTGTTTTTTTTTAATAAAGAAAAAAAGATTATATAAGAGATTATAAAAAAATGATAGATAAATACAATTATCAACTTACCTCGTCAGATTCTTCCTTTTCTTCTTCCTTAGCTTCTTCCTTGGCTTCTTCAGCAGCACCACCAGCAACAGCAGCACCACCAGCAACAGCGGGACCAGCACCAGGGGCACCAACGTTCAAAAGGAGTTCACCGAGGTTTTGACCTTGGAGAGCCTTGGCGTACAAGGAGAACCAGATGGGTTCAACATCAATACCAGCAGCCTTGACAAGAGTTTGAAGCTTATCAGCCTATATGGAGAAATGACATGAAAAATAAAAATGAATGATTCAACTCCGGTAGAGATGGATGGGAAAAAAACAAACTTACAGTGATATCGATATTGTCATCTTGAAGGATGAGAGCAGCGTAAACGACAGCAAGTTCAGCAGACATGATGGATGGATAAGGATTTGGATGGATTGTGTTTTTGATTTGTCGCAAGTAACGATTTAACCCTATGGATGGGATACAAGACGCTCTAAAAAAACACTTGAAAGTGAAGAAGTAAAAAAAAAAAAAAAGAATGAAACAAGAAATGAAATCAAAAATGGTAGGAAGGTCCGGTCGGAGAATCCAAACGTATTGGTGCGGTAAGGCTGTTTTGTGTTCTTTCCCATCCCACTTTTTTTTTTTTGGCTGGGTACCTGTTTTCAATCACAAAAAAAAAAAAATAGGCTTTCTTATTTTTCTTATTTTCTTCTGTTCATCTGAATTCCATTCATTCTTTTGTATTCTGCTAATGTTTCGTTCTATACTTCAACGTACTGCTATTAGACAAGTTCCTCGTTCATCCTTGAAACAATGTACTCCTATCACCCGTCGACAATATACTTCAGGTAAACCATCAGGTGCTCCTAGTATCCCGGCCATGCTTGCTGTTGCGTCTATGGGTTTTGCTGCTTATTATACTTTGGTGAAATCTAGAGAAGGTCAAGGTAAAAAAGACAAAACAAATCAAAATCAAAAAATTAAGAATAATAATAAATGTATCATTGATATTGAATTTATTTATTTATTTTTTTTTTTATTATTTGACTTTTCAACTCTTTACTTAGCTTTACCCCGAAGACAACAAAAACCTAATCAACAAGAAGAACCAAATGTTATCACTAAAGACACAACTGAAAAGGAACCCAATGTACCTGCCTTTACCCCTGATGAAGTCACTGTAGTCTTTGTTCTCGGTAATGATGGAAAAAGCATATTTATATACTTAATAGTCTTAATTCACTCATACTTCTTTTTTTTTTCCTTATTTTTGACTTTACATATATATATATATATATATATATATATATATATATATAGGTGGACCTGGTGCAGGAAAAGGAACTCAATGTGATCGATTGAAAAAGGATTATGACTTTGTCCACTTGTCAGGTAAAACTTAAAACATTGAATATCACGAGATTTTTTTTTTTTTTTGTGATGTATCATATGAAAAGACTAATCCTTCTTCATATTAATATAGCTGGTGATCTTCTTCGTGAAGAACAAAATCGAGAAGGTTCCAAGTATGGTGAATTAATCAAACATTATATCAAGGAAGGATTAATTGTACCTATGGAAGTGACCATTGCATTATTGGAACAAGCCATGCGTGAATCCATTGAAAAGGACAATAAACGACGATTTTTAATTGATGGATTTCCTCGAAAGATGGATCAAGCTCTCAAATTCGAAGAAGCTGTTGTACCATCAAAAATGGTGTTATACTTTGAATGTCCTGAACAAGTCATGTTGGAACGTCTTTTGAAACGTGGTGAAAACTCTGGTCGTGCTGATGATAACATTGAATCTATCAAGAAAAGATTCCGTGTCTTTAAGGAAACTAGCTTCCCTGTGATTGAAGCATTTGAAAAAGAGAACAAAGTCCAAACTGTAAGTTCATAAAAAAAAAAATTTTTTTTTTTTTACTAACATGATACATTCATTTTATTTAGGTATCATGTGTCAAGCCTGTAGATGAAGTTTATAAAGAAGTCTGTGTTGTTTTTGATAAGATGTTTGAAAAATAGATTAGAACTTGTTGATACTATATAGAAAACATTAAATTTTTATTATCGTTTTATGTTAAAATCATGTACGACTGGAACATTGAGCCACTTTTGTTCTCCGAGGACTTTTTTTTTTTGGTGGTTTCTCTTTTTTTTTTTTTTTTTTTTTTTTTTTTATCTTACCTCTTTTTTTTTTTTTTTTTAACGCAACTCCATGACTGATGATTTTTGTTTCGCCTTATTACGATCAACGACTTTACAAATCTTACAATCAGTAGGATTCGAATCAGTACAACTTAGTTCAGCGGATACACTTACTGATGTCTTTGGACAGTATATTGAATTCTTGGCCTCAACAGTATGCGAATATGCTCATTTGTCTGGTCGAGCAACTGGCAATTCATTCGATGTTATGGATGGATTATCAGAATTATCAATCGACATCAAGACTTTAGAGAATTGGTTAGAACTAGAAGGAAAAGATTTTACACCTGCATGGACCGATCAATCTGATCCTAGTTGTGCACTTGAAGGTAAAGACACTCATAAAGAAAATACATTTTTCTTCCATGACCTATACTCATTTTTCTTTTAGGTGTCATTGACGTACGGAGAAAGAAGTCTGAAAAACCTTTTATATATGAATACTTGAATAAAGAAGAATTAAACAACTGTACAATAGAAACACTTAATACAGACGACGACGAAATCACTACTGACAAGTCAGTATCATCAAAAACAACAACAACAACATTATCAACACTACCTGAAACATCTTTACCGAACTATGTACCATCTTATTTACCAGCATTCCCAAAGATGAATCTACTCAACAAGGAAGAGGATGGAATAGATTTATACGAGAAAAAGGGGGAAACGTTATTATCATCAAGTACATCATCCATCAACCTATCTCACCCACTAACCGTCAAAAAGAAAAAGAAACCTATCACCAATCCATTTACGCACATCACACCATTTGATGAATCATATATTGCTACTGACAAGGATGCCCCACCACTAATGGCACTCTCAGCACTTAACACAACAACACAATCATCGTCATCATCATCATCATCAGAATTATCTCATTCGTTATCAGCTCAACGCGACATACCATTAAAACGACTGATGGACGCATACGAAGAAGAACCACAACCCCAAAAACAACCAGTAACAAGATCACTCCCTCATCTCTTCCGACAAGATACACAAGATGAAGCTTCAGCAGGAACTCGATTATTTGGACGATCTAGCGGTTTACTTGGTAATATGGTACGGAATGTAGCACCACCATTAGCATTATCAACTTTATCAACACCCAACTTAATGGTAGATATGGTGACAACCACTGGTAATTTATCATCAACCAACGCTGAAAAATCATCATCTTCTACTGCATCATCTGTATCCACCAGTGCAGCTCCCAACTTGATCACCATACCAACATTAGAAGCTTTAAATCAGCGGAAGAAACAGGACAAACAAGAAAAGAAGATCAAATTTAAACTTTAGTTTTTGTATGATAGTTTAGATATTAGAAAATAAAGGGAATTTTTTTACGTTGTACTGTCATGACTTACCATAAAGGGATATTCTAAAAAATTTGAACCATTGATGAATTTATTGATTTTTTCGTTTAGAACTTTTTGTGTCAATGAAGGATAATAAATTGACATATATTATTCAACAAAACAAAATTATCTATAATAATGAATGGATTGATGGCAATATCCATTGGGAAAAAAAAAAAAACAAACATGATCAAAAAAAAAAAAAAAAAAAAAAAAAGTAAATCGCGTTGATCGCACTGATTTCCCACTCGTTTTTTTTTTTTTTTTTTTTTGACTTGTGTTCATTCGACAATGATGACTTTATGGTACTTAACGAAAGGTAAAATAAAAGGTTAAATTTATAGGTTTTATTTGGATGATCAATATAGAAGGAACACGCAATTTCATGTGGTACCAAGAAGAACGCGTCGCTTTATGGAGTGGGTTTTTTTTTTTGACATCTTGTTAGCCCGACTGTCAAGGCATTACACATCAATAAATTAGATTAGTACTTTTTTTCTTTTATTATTATTATTTTTATTATTATTCTTATTATTCGTATTCTCTTTACATATTATTCCTTTGTTTAATTAATTTAATAAATAATAAAAAAAGAAGATTATTTTTATTTGATTGTTTTGGTGATTATAGGAAGTGTCATATTTTTTATCTTGTTTTTTGAGTGGGGTCAAAATATCACATGTAATGATGATGCACGTGGCTAAAACTAGGATCAAAGTTACAACTTTACAAAAATGGTGGGGAGAAAGGGCTTGAGTGTCGGCTGTAGTCTCCGCAGACGATCTCAAAGTGTGAAAAAGCAACCAAACAATAAGTATTCAATATCCGAATCAACCATGAATAAATTATGACCAAATTTCTTTTTTACCTTTTTCTTTTCTTTTCTTTTCTTTTCTTTTCTTTGCATATAAATATTCCCCCATTCCTTTTTTTTTGGACTTCTTTTTTTTCCCTTTTTTTTTTTTCTCCTATACCGTCAAAGTTTCCGTTATCCTTATTATGACCACTTCTATCAAGAAATCACAACATCCTTATATGCAAACAGCTGGTCTCATTGCTGGTGGAACTACTCTTGTATTGGCAGCTTTGGCAATGAAATATCCTGATCGTCCTATCTTTACTGAAAGTCGAGATGATATTCCATCTAGCGGTACCTATCCTTTAATTGGTATTACTCCCAAGATATTCAGAAATAAGGAAACTATACATCATTTCTTTTTAGAAGGATTTGAAAAATTGGATTCTTTGACTACGTAAGATAGATCATATTCAATTTTTTTTTTTTTTTTTTACTCATATTCATTCATTGAATAGTACTGCTGCTGGTATTGGTATGCCTCGATCTGTTATAACTATTGATCCTCGAAATGTTGAACATATCTTGAAACGTAAGTTTTCTTCTATTAATCCAAATGATTCTTTTTTTTTTATTCAATCCTTTTTTTTGATATAGATAATTTTGAAAACTATGTAAAGGGACCCATGTTAAATGACACATCCAGCGATCTTTTGGGACATGGTATCTTCAATGCAAATGGTGAGGTTTGGAAGTATCAAAGAAAGACGGCTTCTTTGATTTTCAATGTCAAGAATTTCCGTGATCATTTCACAGAGTACGTAAGAACTATGCAAAAAAAAAAAAAAAAATTATAAATCCAACAATTGAATCACCAATACTTCATCGTATAGAGTTTTTGTACGACATATCCATTACATGGGCAAACATATCTTTGATCCTGCTATTCAAACTGGTACTCCTGTGGATTTTCATGATGTGATGTTCAAGTTTACATTGGACTCTTTTGTAGAGTAAGTGATCCATCATTGTCTTCATATAATGAACTGACCTTTCTTTTTTTTTTAATAGACTCAGTTTTGGTGTAGAATTACATGCACTAGGAAGTAAAGAGAAAGTACCATTTGCATCATCATTTGATGCTTGTCAACTGAATGTGTTCCAGCGATTTGTCAATCCTGCATACAAGATCACGGAAGCACTCAGCGGAATATTGATGCCGTGGAGAACAACAATTCAACAACATTTGGACACAATGGATGAATTTGCCTTTGGTGTGATTGAAAAACGACGAAAGCAACTGGCGAATGGGGAAGAATATGGTGATCTACTCTCTCGGTTTATGTCGGCCAAAAATGAAAAAGGGGAACCTCTCGGCAACAAGGAACTTCGTGATGTGGTGCTTAACTTTGTCATTGCTGGAAGAGACACAACTGCTCAAGCATTATCTTGGACTTTTTACTCGCTCATGACCAATCCACAGGTGGAAAAGAAACTACTGGAAGAAGTACAAGAAAATATCACCGATGATTTGGAAAACGACCCCTCTGCTTTATATGAAGTCATTAAAGGGATGAAATATACCAATGCTGTGTAAGTTTTATCGGATTCACTCTTGTATCTTGAACCTTTTTTTTAAAAAAAAAAACTTTTTCTCTGTATATATATATAGTCTCAATGAAGTATTACGACTTTATCCATCTGTACCAGCCAATCAAAAATACGCCTTGGATGATGACATTTGGCCCGATGGAACAAGAATCAAAAAGAATGACTATGTTGTCTGGAGTCCATGGTCTCAAGGTAGATCCACAAAGGTATGGGGCGATGATGCAAAGGAATTCAAACCGGAACGTTGGCTTACCCCTGAAGGCGACATTCGCCGTGAATCTCCTGGAAAATGGCCTGCTTTCCATGCTGGTCCAAGAACTTGTTTAGGTAATTAAAAGAAAATGTTTTTATTCATGGGATTGAAGAAACAATTCTTATTTATTATTATTATTTCATTTAACTATATTATAGGTCAAAATCTTGCCACTTTGGAAGCAGTTGTTTGTATTGTAAATTTGGTTCGGCAATATGAATTTTCTCTAGTACCAAATCAAGATATCACCTATCAAGTCTCTTTGACACTTCCAATGAAAAACGGTATGAATGTCTATATCAAGCGTCGAAAGTAAAACCCATCATCATCATTATCATCAATCGTCAACATCATCCATCATCATTAGTATGGTTAGAATTCTCCCTCATCCCCCCCTTTTTTTTTTTTTTATGTTTATATCTATATATTATGCCTTTTCCCTCTGTTCTTCTTTCGGTCTTTTTATTATTAGTGATCTCCAATCATGCTCTCTGTAGTCCCTTTCCCTCCTTTGTGCATTAATTTCCCCTGTCTTTTCTTTTTTTTATGTATAAATAAAACCAGTCAGATGACACCTATTTTTTTTTTCTTTCTCTATGACACTTTTGATATGAAAATTACAAGATTTATCTGTGTTTTATTAAAAAAAAAAATGTTATTATGATATTTTTTTATTTTACTTTGTTCATCAAAAAAAAAAAAAGGAATATCTAAACAGTGTATGAATGAAGTATTTATCATAAATGATGTAAAGATAAAAATAGACTGTATGGTGGCAATGACCGTAAAGGTGTGGAGGGAGGGATGAATGATATGTATGTATATGGTGAGAGGAAATAGAATAAGATTGATATCTAGCTGCTTTGTGATTGAATCCTAAGAAGAAGAAAAGAGAATCAGTTACCATAAATAGACATAAAGATCTCTTCATATCATTTCTTAAAAAAAAACATTTTGCCTGATTTTTTTTTTTTTGTTACTACAGGTACTTACATCTGATCTAGTTGTTCTTTATAAGTTCTATGAATATCAGCCCGTTTCAACTTTTGTGCGGCAGTAAGTAAACCCTACAAAGTTAAATGAAAAAAAGTAAGTTTCCAATTCTTTTTTTTTTTTTTTTTTTTTTTTTGGTTACCATTTCAGTGGTCCATAAATCTTTGCAAATCCAAACATCAGTAATGATTTCAGCACCTTTCAGACCAGATGATATTGCTTGATCTTGTAAAATTGAAAGAACGGCTTTACGAGCGGCATGTGATTCACACAACATTTCCCAATTGTCAGTATGCCATCCTTCAGAATCAGCCAACGCACGAAGTTGAGACTCCACAGGAACCACCAATGCAACGGGTTTCAGGTACAATGGATTCGCATAAACACACATATTTTCAACCATCACAGAAGTTTTATATTTCTAAATTATAACATGAACAATCAGTGGTTATTTCACAAATAAGGAGGCAGGGGGGGATTGCGACGCATGACGAAACTTACAGATTCCAATTTTTCTAATGCGATATATTCTCCATTGCTAAGCTTGACCAAGTTCTTTTTCCTATCAATAATACTAAGAGTACCCGTTTCATTCCATTCACCAATATCACCCGTTTTCAACCATCCATCTTCAGTGAATGTTTCCTTTGTCAATTCTTCTTGCTTGAAATAGCCAGAGGTCAAGGAAGGTCCACGAATCCAAACTTCACCTTGAGGTTTCGGTTTATTTGTTGACAAATAGCCTGCTTCAGGTACATCGACTAATTTCACTTCAACACAAGGTACAGGAGGACCTACTTCTCCATAAGTAAGATATTCCTAATTAAAAAAAAAAAGAAAAGAAAGATATGATTAATTCATATGAAAGGTCCTTCATCCTTTGTCTAGTTCTCTTTTCAATTTACTGGTGATAAAATAGAGCACATTCTAAATACAGCATAATATAAAATAAACAAAATTATTATTAGCATAGCATAATCAATAGATCAATTTGCATTGATCCCGCTCTAACGTTTTCTTTTTTCTTTTTTTTCCTTTTCTGATCAACATACCCACAGCCTTGTAATAATCAGGTGAAAGACATCATATAAAATAAAAAAAAAAAATTATAGAGATTAATAACTATTCAAAGATAAGCAAAAAATAGTCATGTTTTCTTGATAAATCAAATATCACTTACTTTCAGTCCTATAAAAAGTAAACGGAATGACTTATTATTAACTAAACTCTTCTAATCTATTATATGTTTATATTTTTTTTTTCTTTTCAAAAGCTTACATGCCAAAACCACTAGTAATAGGACACACAGCCAAAGATAAAAATCGTTGAGTTTCAACGGACAAAGGAGCACCACCAGAGAGTCCATATCTGAGATTACCACCTAATTGTTTCTTGACATTATCAAAAACCACACGATTCAAGATACCAGTTGGAAGACCATAATAACTAATATATTCCTTTAAATTGAGTGCCCCGTTGAAAATGGTTTGAATTCTTGATCCTCTTTGTGCAACCTTGGCCAAAATGGTTTTTCGGATAGTTTCCCATACTTGTGGAACACCTGTCATCAATGTGGGAGCGAATTCTTGAAGATCACCTTTGCAATTGCGGACAGATGCATCAGTTAAAGTACGAATTGAGCCATAACCAAGTGTGATTCCAAGAAAGATGCAAACTGATTGTACAAGGAATTCAAGTACATGTGCCAAAGGAAGATAAGCCATCATTGTATCGCCAGGTATTACCAAATGTTGAAGCATACAAGATGTTCCTGCCACTAAATAGATTATAAAAATATTTTCCTTAAGTTCCATTTGTTCCTTTACTTCTCTCTCTCTCTCTTTTTTTTTTTTTTTTTGTAATCTATACCTGCTGCTACGACATTCCTATGAGTCAAACACACACCCTTTGGGGTTCCAGTTGATCCAGAAGTATACATGATTAAAGACAAATCACTTGATGATGGTTTACAGATACTTGTAGGATGTTCTTGGCCCAATTTCAAGATAGCTTCAAATGAAATCACATGGTTGATTTGTTCCAATTGTTCCAACTTTTTCAAAAGAATAGGATCCCCTTCTCCACGATATACTATGATCCGAATGCCAGGACATCGAGGCAGAATATTATCCAAAACGCCGAGTTGATCACCATTGACAAAACATAACTTGGCTTCACTCTCATTGATGGCATGCTGTAATCCTCCTTCACCCAATGTATCATAAGCAGTAGCAACAATCATAGATTGAGAAAAGGCACCTATCAATATATATATGTATATAAAAAGGAGAAATTATTAACTGGTAGTACTAAAGTGATACATGCATGCTTCATCCCACATTCCCACCCTGTTTGATCACAAACTTGTTGTTCAGTTTCTATAAATATTTACCTTGTGCTAAGAGCATCCATTCAACACTATGACAACATTTTATTCCGCATATGCATAAATATAATTGGTTAGTTTGATATTGAAGAAAGTACAAGTAGATGCTGTTTGATATCAATGTACTTTTTTTTTTTTTACCTTGTAGACGCGAAGAATTGAATTTTATCCCCTTTTGATAAACCGAGTTGTTTCAAGCCCGCACCGAGAATAATAGCCATGTCCCGAGTCTCTTGATAAGTATAATAATGATAGCCTGATAATTCAAATAGAGTCCATGTTTTGAGTTCCTTTACTTGTTCGCCATTTACTGTCTTTGTGAGTTCCTTCTTTTCTTGAAACGTGTTTTTCAATTGACGATAACCAAAACCTTGTCTTTCCGGATACTTGGTTGCGCTATGCACTAAGATATCGTATAATGTTGTCACCCCTTCGGCCGGTACAGTAATCAATTCATCGGGAGATAGAAATGAGCGACGTGTTTCTGTTTCACCAGGTTTTGCTTCTGCTACTTTCAAAGAATACTGTTGCTGAGTCATCGTTTCCGCTGATGAAGAAAAAAAAGAAATAAAAAAAAAAGGATGTTGGTATCAAACAAGAAAGCGAAAAAAAAAGTGAGAGAAAGAAAGAAAGAGGAAGAGACAAGGGAGTTGCCATTTTGTATTTTTCTATTTTCAAACCCAGTACATCAGTCTGATTTATTAGATGTAACACTTTTGACAAAAAGTATTCTGTTGTTCATTGCTTTATATGTATGTGATACAGTTAAAGAGTTGAAACCTATTTTTCTGTTTATGTTGATTAGTCTCCACCAAAAAAAAAAAAAAAAAAAAAAAAAGGGGGAAGTGTTATTATATGATCCTAGATGAACCTGAACTTTTCAAAGTCGAAGATCTGTTTGAATTGATGAACTTCAAATAGACAATAGATTTTTACAAATTGATGAGTAAGGTAATTTGATGGATAATGGATGTATGATTGATAATGATGATATGGCGAAATGATAATTGACAAATGATGTAAGTTGGATGATACGTAATGATAAATGATGATTTAAGATAAAATTAAATGTTCAAATGTATTATTTTATTCCCATACTATGAAAATAGTAACTGACAATGAAAGGTAGCCTAATCTACTAAAAAACCATTCTATCATACAAACGTTCTACTACTATTAATATTACTACTACTAGCTAGGTTGAAGAAAGTGTATCATCAGTATTCACAACAGGCTGAACTGATTCGGTATCTCCAGTCGAGTTTTCCATTCCACCATGTTCATTGATTCCGCCATAATCCACCAGATTTCGCAGTTGATTCATCACTACCGTGGATATATCCAAATTTGATTGTTGAGCTTCCTTTTGATTACAATATGATGTCGTTGTATCTGCACTTGATACCGTTGAAACTAGAGCAATAGATGATGAAGATGAGGATGAAGATAAGGGCGCAGTGGTCGATGGTTCATTTGAAGAAGATGAAGAAGAAACATGAGCACGAGTAATAGTTGCTGAGGCTGCTGCTCCTTTTTGTTGCTGATGCTGATTGTTAGATGATGATGAATGCAGAATTGATCGTGAATTGCCGTTGTTACTTGCTCTTTGATGAAGCGAGTGTAATATTGGCCACCGTTGTCCAAATTCTGTATGCCCAACACAATCTTCAGGTTCTAAAAGCTTTTGTATCCGACATAAAGATTCAAATATATTAGTAGCATATTGCCTTGTTTCTTTTGCTTGACTCTTGATATATTTTGCTAAAAAAAAAAATCATAAATCATAATAATAACCATTTTTGTTGAGTAAGCGTATTAGTCTTTTTTTTTTTTTTTTGATAATCACCTTCATTAAGTCGGTCTGAGACTATCCTTGACTGATTTAGTGCTACACCAATCGTTTGGGTTGTCTTCAAACTGAGATCATCCACATGCTTGATACGTTGAAGTAATCTTTTCTATACATAAATTCAAGAAATTAAAAGATGTTGAGGATAAGCGCACGAGCCAATGGTAATGAGACACTTCTAATTGATATTTTTTTTAGGAAAAAAAAAAGTTACCTGGTTCTGATTGATGATTGACATGTTTTTGTTGATATGTAACTGTAGAGTTAGTAAGATATCCATCAATGGATTTCCATGTGCTAAAGTAAAAAGAGAAGAGATTATAAATGTTTCCGTATGAGAGAATATGTATATATATATATGACCTAAAAATCTTAATAGGATATATAATAGGAAAGCTTGAATACTTACTATTAATTGTGGTATCAGTATTGTCTGTTTTGATGGAGGGAGACCTTGATGATATCGATTCTTTACCAGATAACACTTTCATTCCAGTAGCACCAATATCAAATAGACTTTCCAAACCAAATGTTGTTCTATTGCTGTCTTTTATCAAAGGTTGAACCTAGCGATCATAAGATTGAAAAAGTAAAATGTAACAAAGCGCTGCCAATAATGAGTGTCGTAGGATACTTTATCCAGAAAACCTTCTGTTTTTCTATGATGTTTACCTGTTCAATGGATTGTAATCTTGATAAAATATCGTCATGTTGATCTGTTGAGAATGTAGTAACGTGAATAATACCCTAATTAAATATTGATTACATATTAGCAAGAAAGATGTGTATATGTAAAGTTAATTAACTACTTACCTCATCATCACCTTGTTCAGAAGGTGTTGTAGATTTTCCTTGAGAATCTAATAAATGCAATAAACGGTTTAGTCATCGAATCGTAAAGTAGTTTGTCTTCCGTCTATTAGAATAAAACGATAAGTTTACCTTGAATTGAAAGTGGCTGATCACGCTGTAGAGCAGTAGTACTATGGAAACGATTAATAATGGGTCGGTTATTTGTATCTGATATAGGAAGGTCTGATAATGTTCTTCGATGGTGATGGGTATAGTGGTCATTTTTATTCAATGGTTGATGTGGTGTTTTGACAGTAGACGATTGTTCTTGTCCCTAATAAAAATAAACAAAAAAAAATTAACATTATTATATTGGTTGTTCATTAACGTCAGATATTAAAAAAGTAAAGAAGATATTTACCATTTTATGTTAAAGCTTGAAACCAAAAGAAGGAGGAGAGAAAGAGAGAGCAAGATTTAAGAGACAAGCTTTTCATTCTCAGCTATCGAAATACCTATATTTTTTTTTTTTTTTTTCGCCTGACTCTTTCCACCTTTTCTTTCTTTCTTCCCTTTTTCTTTTTTTTTTCTATAATTTCCAATATATAATGAACGTTGACGATGGTAAGTAACATTAATGAAAATATGAAATGAATTTTATATATTCAAAATCTTATGTTCATTTAGAATGGGTGTTGAAAGCACGGCTGGCCATGGATGAACGCCAAATACGAAATCTAGAGAAAAAGATCAATCAATGGCTCTATTCTTTATCAACCGATTCTATCGAAACAGCGTAAAGTAGAAACAAAGTAACATTAGATCTTTATTTTTTTTTTATATAATCTTTTATGTTTTATTTTGTTATATAGTCAAAACACATATGACTCTTTATTAGCACAGATCGCCAATTATCAAACGAATATTGAACGACATCATCTTATTCGACAGGCAAATAATATGGACAGTGAACAATATTCGAATACTGTAGAAAAGACAGGTAAAAATAAAATAAAATAAAAATGAAATAGAAGAATGATATACGTGTAAACATTTTTTTTTTCGTTTTTGAACTTGTTTAGCAACAATGGTGGTGGAAACTAGGAATGATATTACTAGTTTGAAGGATGACTTAGTCAAGGCTCAAAAAGTACGGGATAACAAACTAGAGTATGACAGGGTAGCTCTAGAAATCATGAAATTACAAACGCGCGACGCTTATCAAGAGTATGTATAAATAATTAAAAGAGGAAGGATATCATTAGAAATTGACACAATAATTACACTCTTTGTCATAGATCTATTACACAACTCAAGGCTGATATTGAATTTTTGAAGAATGAAAAGTTGAATAAGGAAGTAGTGATCGAATCTCGGAAACGCCAATTAGGTGGATTGATCGAATCAGCAAAGAAGATACAGAAAGGAATGGAAGAACAACGAGCACTCACTGTAAGTTATGCTCAAGATTGTAGATCGTATAAGATTGAATAGTAACTGATTGATTAATTGATTTTTTATTGATACTGGATACAATAGAGGGAAACTCAAAAACGGTTGATGGATATGAATACAGGCAAGGAATACGATTCTTCTGACGATGAAAATGATGGGGACATGTCGCCTAGTGTCCCTCAAGAGGAAGAGAATACAACAAATGGAGCTACAACTTCACATCGATTCCACGAACGAAATGAAGACGAGGAAAGAAATGAAGACGAAGATGAAGAAGGAATGCTACCGAACGGAGAAGATGAAGAAAAAACCAATGTCATGACCAACGGAAGCCGATAGTGTATTTGTATATATATTAGTTGTAGTAGTTTTAGTTGAATTATTTAAAAAGTCTTTATTTATTAACAATAAAACAATATTTTTGAAAAATGATGTCTATCCTGGTGATGATTTTTTTTTTTATTCTTTTGATGATATCACTTTTGCCTCAAGACACTTCACGAAAAAGTACACTATTACAATTGCAAATTTCACTCACTCCATTAATACACTAAATTATTTTTTTGAAACTATAGATTCTATACGTAATTACTTTATTTATTACTTTCTTAACCGTTTTCTATCATCGCAAACCATCGATCGCTACCAACAGATCTCCATATGCTTCTTGGTAATCTGTATTGATTCCTCATTTCCAGGAATTAGGAACGATGTTGATTTTGAAAGAGCGCCTAATTTTTTTGAGTGAAAAAAAACACTCTTCAGGCTACTTTTCCTCCTCCCTTTCATTTCCTTTTTTTTTTTTTTTCCTTCACTCACGCGTGGGGCAGAACTCTTATATTTTATGACTACATACACGCTTGAAACTATTCTACGTTATGCATACTTTAATGGATATAATTGTATTCAGGTAATCATATCATCAAACTTGTATGTATTGATTAAAAAAGTAGATTTCTAAATGTTGTCCTTCCCTTTCTTCTTCTTCTTCTCTAGTGGGCAGATCCAGTGAGACAATGCTTATTACAATCTGAACAAGACCTACAACGAGATCTTTGTGGTAATATATGAATAATAATAATAATAATAACAGTAATCAACATGTCATTATTGATTCAAATTATAGACTTGATACTGATCATTTTCTACTTTCTTTTTTTTTTCTTTGCACTTTTTACCAGATCTGTTATTGAAGCATATGTTTTCTACGGCGCGTGTCCACAACATCTTCCTCGAATCCTATCTAACCTATGCTCTTACTGGTGATCCTCAAGCAAAGCAAGGGATGAACATTGATGATACGAAAACACTTATCAAAGGAAAATTCTTCTTATCACAATTGGTAGCAAGAGAAGAACGTTTCGCAACAAGTAGAGAATATGGACATCAGTGGTCCTGTATCTTACGGATTCTTCCTTCATTACTGCTAGAAGTGGATGGTGATCGCAAGGAAAATTTAACATGGGCTCCTATTCTTACTCAACTTTTGATTATTCTATCACATATTGTGGCAGGGGGACTTTATCCTCAACGAAAAAGCGATCGACATTCCAGTAACAACGGCGAAAGTGGCGACAATAGTGACAATGATGACGATATGACGAAATTTAATCAGACAGAAGACTTGAGCTCATCACAACAACCCAACTTTTCTCTGACAAACAATACAACTCAAATGGCAATGGATTCTCAATTGAGTTTTGATCCTGACGCCACTTGGGATATGGATGGAACAAACGATGCAACACAACCGGATCCTTTCGTTGGGCAAGATGAACAGAAATTCAACATTAGTAATTCACCTCCAATGACAGCAATGGCAACAACAACAACAACAGCAGCAGCAGAAGCAACAACAACTACAGCAATGAAAGTAGATGTAGACAGTATCTCTCGCATGGATACTATGCCGACAACTAATATACACGATGTTTCTTCAGTACCTTCGACTGGCGCACAACAACAACAACAACAACAACAACAGCAATACACAAGTCAGTCTAGTTCTTTGTATCCTAGTACCATGGACGAATCTATATCATCATCATCTTTGCAACGAAATAGGACGGAATGGGACAATGCTATAGCCGCTGCAAATATCATGATTGATCTTATAGAAAAGAAAGGTGTCAAACGTATTATTGAAAAATATGAACAAGGACAAAAAGAAATTAGTACAGACGATAACAAGAAGTTGGATTCAAATGGTAAAAAGGAAATACGGAATGATCGTTATCAGTATGTTTAATCTTTCTTTTATTATAATTATTGTTATTATTATTATTATTATTATAGAACCTTGGGTAACATGTCACGAAATCCTTGTTCCTGGCAATCAGAAAGCAACATCATCAACAGCAACTGTATCTTCGACATCCGGTACTCACAATGTATATATCCAGAAATTATTGCTATTAATTGAGCGACTGACGGATCGCGATTTGGAACGTCGATTGGCAGTACATATGAAATATCACGAATTGGAAGACGAAGGGACAGCAAGAGCAATGCCAAGTGCAGGTCTGATGGGTTTAATATATCACATGGTTCAAATTCGCCCAGCTTTAAACGATGATGAACTAGTGAATCGGTTAGTCAAATTACAGGCAATCAAGGTAACTTTATAAAATCGAAAATTTAGACTACAACAGTATCTCATATATATATATAGGGCTCCTTTGATGAATCGTTTTATCTGGAATTATGGTTTGCTGCTTTGACTGGTTTACGAGAGGCTTCCCTTAGTACGAGTTGTCAAAATATGGTATCAAAACATTCGAGTGATAATCAACAAACCAACATCAATAACAATTCAAATAGTTGCAACACAACAGTGGCGACTAACCGTCTACTATGGAAAAATCTGGTGTTAGTCAAGGTATTCCTTACAAAAAAAAAAAAAAAAAAAAAAAAAAAAAAGGAAATGAATGCAAATACAGAAAGTTTAATACTCTTTTTTTTCATTTGGTTTCTTATTTATATGTGTTATAGTTACCTCACTTGATCAATAAAGTTCAAGAACGAAAACAAAAAGAAGAATTGGCTAATTACAGTTTGAAACGGGATCCACATCGAAAATCAATGGAAAAAGATGAAGTAATGATCGAAAAAAAAAATCACTAATTTCTATTGATATGATTCGTTTGACTCAATCACATTTTACTTTAAAATAAATAGGAAAACCCTATAGAATCGTCCTTGCTAGAACTCAAAACGTTTACTGGTCTATTGAATGCCTGTAGTCCTCCTGCCTGTTGTTCCGAGTTCTATGTACCTTCTTCAAAGTCATCCAAATACGTTGACCGGTTTGCGTTTGGTGGTGACAACAACAGCAACAATGACGATAATGGAAAACACACTTCCACAATGGATGATGATGATATGATGATGATGATCAATGATAACAGCTATGCAACAACCGCCGACTATGATACTCCAGAGTTTATAAAAACGATCCGCTCTATTAGTGCTGACGATATATTTACTAGTATTGTACGTAGTTGTCAACCTTATCATTTTTTGCGCGACAACAAAGTAGACGTGTTACTCAACACAAACAACAACAAGAACAACACGAAAAAGGATAATTCACGCATCAACAAAATCAAGGATGAGGAAGAAAACAACAAGGACGGTGATGGCGATGATGATCTTTTCAATGAAGAACCGAAACTAGAAGAACAATACTCTTCAATGCTAGATGACGACATGATGAATGGTGATGAATTGGATAGAAAAAGCGACAATAGTGACAAATCTGATGTACTCGCTCAAGTCGACCAAGTAAGACTCACATCAAAAAAAAAAAAGGAGGAATATACATATATATTTAACTTACCTATGATATAGAATATAGATCAACGCATGAAAGCGATTCAGAGCAATGTTACAAAAGCATCTGTTTCCGAATTGATTCACATTGGTTTTGTCTCCCTGATTCATTGGCGGAAGATAGTGGACTTTTTATTAAATGTAAGGACACCCCCCCCCCCAAAAAAAAAAAAAAAAAAGGAAAGCTGAAAATTTAGATGAATTCTGATTATGATTTTATATATAGCTTTTGCAAACGAAAGCTGAAACTGGTGATATTCGTGCCTTATCTCGATTATGTGATGCCTTGGATGAATGCCCATCAGCGATTGATCTTATTCTTCAACTATATCCTCCCAATGTATTACTAGGTCCCTTGGAGACGATTTGTAATGAATGGAATCCATCTGAAGACTATATTATGGATGTGGATGACGGCGCTAGTGGAAATAATGATGATGATGGTGATGATGATACAGATGGTATTCAAAATTGGTATTGCAAATTTGGCAAGATATGGACATTGGTATTAGTGGTAGCAAGCAAATTTGACGTAAGTCATCAAAAGCGTCATGAGATTGAATTATCAACGTATTATTCTGACTTTTTTTTTGTTTTATAGATCACTCGAGTCATCAATACGATTTTCAAGAATAGAAATGGACTCTGTTATCAATTCTTTGTGACTGGTCCTATCATATATGGTGTACATGATCATGACCAAGACGTGGAAGAACTTGTCGACAAATGGTTATCAGCCATGGGTGGTGATGGTATTTCAGATGATCTTCTTCGGTAATATATATATATATATAAAGGATATATTGTAGGTCAGTTTCTCATCATTATTTTTTTTTTAATTGTTAGAACAACGAAATTACAAATGTTATTACGTGCAACACCTACATTGATCGACAGGTTACTTTTCATCTATCAAGCTGGACACGTTGAGTTGGACACTTTTACTGGGGTTCTCTCCTACTTTCAGAAGCGGTTTTTACGATTTGTACTTGTACCTGGCGTAACAAGGACTCTTTGTGATGAACTTTTGAATCGAAATGCGACAACTTCTATTATATGTCTAGATCATCTTTTTGTCAAACACGGTCTTCCTGATACTTTGGTTGGACTTTGTGGAAATGCAGCACTTGGATCTTTACGGGCATGGAAGGAACGTCAACGACAATACAATATATTGTGTGCAAAAGATAAAAACATTCGCAACAATAATATCCAATCTGATACTCAACAACAACAGAATAATATGCAACAAAGGGATGATGAAGACCGAGTGAAAATTCTTGAACAATTTTTCATTACAAAACTGGATTTGGACGACGAACAGCATTTATCCTTCCCAGAAACAATCTCCAGTGGTGTTACTAGGCGAACCTTATTTGACAAGACACGGGAAATGTTCAAATATATTGTGAAAAGTGGCCGATCTATGTATATGAACGATGTTGATGGTGATGCTAAAACATTATGGGAACCTGTCAAATGTGAACTTCCTAAACAAGTAGTATCTCATTATTTGGATCTAGTCATGTTTCAAGCGGCATTGAAAATGGGTGGCACTCATTGGTTCATTGGCATGATTGTCGATGAAGTACTGGAAGCGGGCAAAAGTGGTGGTGCTGTGCGTGCAGGTAAAAAAAAGGAATAGATATATCTATGAAATCCCCTCAAGATTAGTAAAATATGGAAAAGAATGTGATACTGATTCATATCTTTATTATATATATATATTTAAGCTGAACTTGGATCTTGCTTGGTAACCACTCCTTTGATGTACAATAGTCATGGTGGTAATGCTTGTTTATCTATGCTTCGATGCCTTTTACAAGATGTGATTCCTTCCTCCATCAAGCATTATGCTATGCAAAACACATCCTTTTTCCAGGGCCAAACATTAGGTGTTTTTGTTAGTGACTGTCTTGTATTGATGTATCAACAAGAAAATGATATGGTTGATGAATTGGGCTGCAAGTTTTTTGAAGCATTAGTGATCGATCGTGTCCGTGGTGGTGAGATCTCTTCCTTGCAATTGGTACCTCAATCAAATGAAGATGGATCTCTCTTTAGTTCTTGGGATGATGATGTTGTCAGTAGTCCGGTATGGCGTGGATTTGTCAAGGGATTGATGAGTAACCCATTCATCAAGGAAATGTGGCCAAATGCTTATGCGTCATGATGGTGATACTTTCTTTTTTTTAGTATAAAGAAAAAAACATTGTTATTTATTGATTATATGCTGTTTGATAGTTTTATTCCTCTGATCGAAAACAATAAAAGCGTCTAGATTGAAAAAGAGTTTTTATATTATAAAACCTGATATTTTTATTATTATTAATAAAAAGAAAAATATAAAAATAAAACTAATCTATTGATCGACTTGTATCATAGTTTGGCAGCATCCTTCTTCAGTTTCCAATCATCACGTATCTTGTAGACAGTTTCAGCATCCAAGGTCATTTGCCCAATATCCACATCTTGTATCAACATTTCTTCGTAACTATGATCACATCGAGCTAACACACCTTTGAAAGGAGCAGTAATTTGTGTTCGACCAGCCAAAGTAAGATGATCAGACTTGACTAGACTGGAATTGTCTCTCTGACCATATTGTAAAGGAGAGGAAGCCCCGTTGACAAAGACCATGACAATACCATTTTCAAATGACCGAGCTGTACACATAGCATTGAGTAACTGGACTTCACTATCCTGTCGATACCGTTGTCCAATGTCCCCAGCGTCTTCCAAGGCCCAGTAAGAAGGAGCTACAATCAATTCAGCATCTTGATTCAAAGCCATTTCAGTAAAACAGTCGTTGAAAGCAATATCTATTTTCACGAACAGAAAAAAAAAGGGGGGGAAGAGTTATGATGAGCAGTAGAAGAAAAAAAAAAAAAGAAATTGTATGTACTTACCCCAACACACACAGAGTCCAACTTTGATACCAAACCGATTGACCACAGTACCAAATGAATTTCCAGGTGTGAATTTCTCTCGTTCAGGGTGCCATAGATGAACTTTGCGATAGGTTAATAATACAATGCCTTCCTTGTCGACGTAACTACAACAATTGTACAGTTTGCCATCCTTGCCTTTTTCTGGGTAGGTACCTGTCACAATATCGATATCATATTCCTGTGCAAGAGCAACTATTCTTGGAAGAAGTTCAGGAAAAGCATTCACCGACATGGAAATAAAGTATCTATTACCATAAAAAAAAAAGATAGAGACAGAAGTGAGAAGAAATAAAAAAAAAAAAAAAAAAAACTTTCCATATATATATATGTATATATATTACTCAGGGAACACCACAAGGTCAGCTTTTGCTTCAGCAGCTTTCTTGACATAATCCTTGGCTCGTGCCCAATTGTTGCCAGCATTGGTGCGATCTATGTACAATTGCACAGCAGCAATACGCATGGTTTTGGATAAAGTCATTGTTGGCGAAGAATAAAGACAGAAGAAGAGGGACGAAAAAAGAGGGGAGAAAGAAAAGATTTCATAAAAGTAGAAATAAACTTTTCTTTTCCCACACTACCACAATGGGCAACTGAAATTGAAATACAATGTAAATATGTAGGAAACTACAATAGACGATTATCTAATCTATCAAAACCTCATTCTATGCAAAAAAAAAAAAAAAAAAAAAAAAAAAAAAAAAAAAAAAATTCTAACTATTATTACTGGTTACTACTTCTTCTATTAAGCTGTCTTATCTTGCTTCTGTTACACCCTTTCATAATTGGATGATCCCACAATGCAATCAACTTGTTGTATTGTTGTTATCAATTGTTTGTTAATTGATGATGATCGGTGATGATTGATAATACTCTTTTTCTGTCAAGCCTACTCTTGCAGAGATCAGGATTTGATGCAGTGCCTATTTTTTTTTTTTCTCAAACCGCGCACTTTCAAAACCGAGGACTAGGTTGGAGGAAGCCTTTTTTTTCCACTTCTTTTTTTTTTTTTTTGTTTTCAAAATACTCTTCCTGCATAATGATTGCGACAATCAGACTACATACAATGCTTTTACGAAAAGGTAATATAATTAAGAAAAAAAAAAAACTTTCATCTCTTTTTTTTTGAATATGATCTGTTTTCCTCAATTTATATTGTTACTACTTGTCACTTTTTCTAACATAGGTACTCTATTTTCGTGTCGCCCTGCTTCAACCATGACAAACTTTGATAAAAAATCACTTCAATCGGGTGCTAGACAACTTTTGAAAACCTTACAAAGTCGTGATGTGATCTTTTATCAAGCTCCTCCCAATGTTAATCGTACCTTCTTTTTCATGTATATTTCTGCTGGTGTCCAACTTTTATTTTGGGGTAATTTGGCAAGTCTGGCATATGTCACTTATAGTCAACCGGAAAGGTAATAAAAGGAAGAGACCTTTTGATTAAAAATAAACCTTTTTTTTTTTTTGATCTTGTCTGTATACTCACCATTTATTCTTTTTGTTTTTCCTTTTTGTAGTAATGAAGAGAATGCACCCATGATATTGGCTCCTCAAGGTAAACGAATGGTTATCGCTGGTGGGTTAGTAACTGTTGGCTTAGGTGTGGCAGCTGCTATGTGCACTTATCCTTGGAGGTAAAAAAAAAAAAAAAAAAAAAAAAAAAAAAAAAAAAAAAAAAAAAGGATGATTATCCATAATACAAAGCAAACAGGTTTACTCATTTTCTCTCTCTCTATCATATAAATAGATATATTGACAAATTGATATTACTGAAAGGAGGACAGTACGTACAAGTGATCACACACGCTAAATGGATTAAATCACATCAAATCAAGACTTACCCTATAGAACGACTTTATTGTAAACAAAAGGTCTATACCGGCATTGGTAAGTGAAACGAACAAGGAAAGAAAAAAAAAAAAACTTGGGTAACTCATTTCAATTTTCATTTCTTTCTATGTGAAATCATCATTTCTTTCTATGTGAAATCATCATTTCTTTTTTTTTTTTTTTAGGATCTACTGGCACCGAACCAATTGGTAAAGCAACATCATCTCATATCTTCTTACGGGCACAAGGCGAAAAAGTTGGATACATGTTGGATCGCAAAGGCAAATTTATGGATAGCAAGATGTTTGATGGATTATGGTACAATTTGACCTCAAAATAGAAACTCCCTCATTTTTAGACTCATTAGAAAAAGTATAACAGTAGCAATGACATAGTAATTTATCAATAAACGATGCTGACCGCTGAAGCCTGTTTGTTGTTGTTGTTGTTGTTGTTGTTTTCTGTGTAGAAGGTTGGCTTTTTTTTCGTAGTACGGAAGGTGATGTGTCTAACTAAAGGTATAATTTTTTCTTTGTACTGTTATTATGTTGAACGACTTCTTTTCTATATTCCTGATCCTTGGAATTACATAGATGTCATCTTACAATGAATGGATAGTGAGTGGCAATGGTGATGAGATGGATAAGAGTAACTATGGCGATAGCGATACTAATGGAATGGATGATGTGCTATGATAGATATTGGGCAATACTTGATGAATGATGGATGGATGATTAACGAATTATGACTGATTGGAATTATTGGACGCAATAATAAAGATAATAACAACAAGAATGATGATGATGATGAAATATGAAGACGTATTTATTAACAAAAAGGTATCAAGTCATTTGGTCTGATCATCACTTAACTGTGATTATCATCATCATCAGTCAACTTCCTTATCTGGATTTTTATTACTACTGTACAATCTTGAATAGGATTTCAAACAACAAACCTTTTTCTCCTTGTTTGAAAATTTTCAAACATTGGAATTTTTTGCTCTGTGTTTGACATTTTTCAGACACTGGATTTTTTTTAACAGTGTTTGAAAAACGTCCAACTTTATTTTGTTATTTTATTCATTTTTTATTTATCATTTTTTATATTTGTCTTCAATAAAAGGTTTTTTTTTTTTTAACCGTAATCATATTGGCCCCTCTTAAGGAATCTCTTATCCAAGTTTTATTTTTATTTTTATTATTATCAATCAATCAACAAGTATTTTATTCAAGTTATTTTATTGATCATCATCAAGAGTGATCATTTATCCAAGACATCTATTTCCTTTTCTGGACTACTTTTATTTTATTTTATTTTTTATAAGAAGAACTGATGCTCACTACATATCAATTATCATTGATATTATTATTTTAATAATATCATCCATTCATTCTACAAAACAATCATCTACCAAATTACAAAAAAAAAATCTTAACATCACAAAAAAAAAAAAAAAAAACCGTTGTTAGCCATGGACCTGAACCCCTGATGAAGTTGATTGCCTTGAATATGAATTGATCAGGTCCTTCCCCAATTTTATGAATGCCTATGATGATAATCAACAATACAAACAAAGTTTGGAAGCAGTTTTACACACACACAAATTATGCCGTTGTTGATCTCTTTGGTGCATATAAAGTTTGAAAAGCTAATGACAAAGAAAGGTGTGCAACAATATATTGCTATGCGTAACAAGTACATTATGGAAGTTACTAAAGCTATGGGTGGTACTCCTAATTCTATCAAATTGATTATCCGGAAAATTAAAAATTAAAAAAAAAAAGACCCTTGGACATCATATCTCAGCCTATTGCAAGATGGTGGACCATTTAATCCCCATGCGGAGGATGTTAGTCATGGAACATTGCTTCAACAATCTCGGAATGTAAAATCTTTTTTTTTTCTTCTTTCAAGAATTTGTCCTTCCCTCATGTGATGAGGTGAGCTTGTATATGAAGCTCAAATCATCATGTCTCCTATTTTTAGAACATCATCTTATTTATTTTTTTATTTTTTTTTTGACGTTTGTGATTACTTGTCAACGGATCGACAAGTAATATATTATTTTTTTTATTTATTAATAAGTTACACACGTGATTACCGTTTCAGTAATCCTTGGAGCATAGCTAACTTCAAGTATTAGCACCACACGTATCACTCAATCCTTTTTTTTATTTTATTTTACTTGACACACGGTGAAAGGACTTGGGGGATGAAGGATCAAATTTATTTCACACTCCTCTGGACTCCAGGGGGGATCTACTTTTTTTTTCTTTTTCTTTCTTTTTCCTCATTCATTCATTCATTCCATTCATGTACTTTTTATTTTTTTTTTCTACTTCCTTTTCCTTTTTTTTATTTTTTTTTACTCAGTGTATTACTATTCGTGTAGTTTCACTTATATTTATATTTAGTTTAATATAAATACATTATATTTTTTTTTAAAATAAAAAAAAAACAACTCTTTTACCTCTTTTTTTTTATTTTTCGGAATCAATTCTTTTACTCTTTTTTCAGTTTTTACTGATAAACCTACCTGGAAATTTACTTTTACTTTTGTGACTAACAAGGTGGTTGGTTTATCGTATATTGCAAAGTTCTTCTGGTTCACGGTTACTTGTCCTATTAGAAATTGGCTTCATATCTCAAATCACGGTTTGTCATACTCACAACCGTGTCATCCGTTATACCAGTTTCATCCGTTTTTCTTTCGCATCACACTTAACACATAAACTAGTTTCATCCGTTTTTATTTTTTTTTATCAACATTTCTAGTTTCATCCGTTTTTTTTTTCACATCATCAAAACTGGTTTCATTAACACACGATTGATGAATAATCATTCAAAATATTTTTTAATATAAATAAGTCCCAAATATTTAGTTAGTTTACAGTGTCAATCTTATCTTATATTTTTTAACAAAATCAATAAAAGATTTATTTTATAAATCAAATCATCTTGGCCACTCTAAAGAAAACAATCATCTTAAGTTTTAACTTTATTTTATTTAAACAACATCTACTTTATACAATCAATTATATTGTTATTTTATTTGATCATCATCAAGTGTGATTACTTTTATAAATTAGGAGATAAGATATAAACCATCATTAATGTAAGCGAAAGAGAATGTTTTCATCTATGTTCAGTCTAAATTTGATATGATGATGATGATATAATATAAGTATGACTTTATTGAAGAAGATGATATACTAGGTATTGTAATATAGGCATTACTATATAACTAAATTATTAATACATCAAAAAGTCAATATGATAACATCCAAAGTGAAAAGTAAAGTGTCATCATCTATTCATCCAGTTGATATCGTTGTCCATATATTATTCACCCTATGACTTTATGTGTTCCATTCCTATTGATTGCCTGTTCATTTACAACAGTTGATCCAGTTGCATCTCCATTCCATCCAGTTTGCTCATCTTTTACCTTCCGTCTGTTGATCCTGTTGTACATCCATTCAACTTTTCCTATTGTATACCTATCATAGTTGTAGATCTATCTTTCTTTCTTTTTTTTTTTTTTTTTAAAAAAAAAAGAAAAAGATGTCAGTTGCTAGTATTTGTGTATCTAGATTCCCCTTTGATCTCTTTTTTTTTTTCAGACTTACCATCATCGTACAGAGAATATCAAATACAAAGAGCTAAGAGAAAAAAGAAGAATAACGGCTAGATGATACTGAACCAATGAAAAGATAAAGACCAGAAGAAAGTACATGATTATATTACAAAAAGAGAAAGAGATAGAGAAAAGAGTAAGGTTAAAAAGAAAAGAAAAAAAATTATTTTTTTGTTTTGTAATAAAGCTTACCTTTCATCATAGTAATTGTAGTTTACAAGAACAAAGGGCGCATATAGTAAAGAAGTTGGAATAGTTTATACACAAAAAGATATAAAAAAAAAAAAAAAAAAAGAAGAAGAAGAAGAAGAAGAAGAAGAAGAAGAATAGGATTAGAAGACAGTCGCGTAGTTTTCTTTTTTGAACTTTACACTTTCATAGTCCTATTAGAGAGATTGGTGTAAAGGTATTTTAGATCATTATATGATATTATCATTATATGATATTATTCGATTGATTTTGATTGTGTTTGAGAAAGATAAATAAAGAAGCTTGCTTCCTAATGAGATAATAAAAGTTAAAAGTTACTTTTATTGATAATTGTTCATTGGTCCAAACTAAAGTGAGTTTACTTTTTTTTTAGTTTGTAAATGTTTTTATCTTATAAATATAATTTGATTACCAAAAAGTCATGACATGATATGATTAGTATTGTTAAAGAAAAAAAAAATAAAAAGATATGAATGGATTGAATAGTTGTGAAGAAAAAAAAAAAGTAAAATGAATGGATTGAATAGTCGTAAAGAAAAAAAAAAAAAAAAAAAAAAAAAAAAAAAAAAAAAAAAAAAAAAAAAAAAAAAAAACGGGCGAAGTGGGTAGTATTTTATGATGTCCATTACTCGGTCCATATGATGTTCATCTCCTGTGTGATATCTCCCCATTGTTGTGTTTCGAGTAACCATCAGGAAACCATCAGGAAACTCTAGCAGCGAAAGAATGAATCAGACCACTACAATCGTAGACGCAACGCCGTAACTTCGTCCATCAATACATCCCACTTCTTTTTTTTTTTTATATTAATATTATCTGCTCAGAGGATCCGAAGATCTTGGCACCCAGACTACCAAAACCCCAGCTATATAAATCCCTTTTTTTATCCTTGATTGCAAATTGTGGTATGGACCCTTTTCACACTCCGATATGCCCTATTTTTACCTTTTTTTAAATTTACTCTAAAACTAGGATAGGTAAAGTATAAACTGTTATTAATACAATTGAAAGAGAATAACTTAATGTATGTTCAGTCCAAATTTGGTGAGATGATGTCCATTTTTAAAAGAAATACAAAAATATAAAGAGGTTCTCAGGCTGGAAGATACTTCAAATAGCATTTTTTTCTCATTATGTGATAATCTGATCAATATCAAGCTTTGGATTACTTTTTTGAGAGGAATCTAATGGTGATAATGTTATCGGGTAATGATCATTATTGGTTGAGGGATAATGATATTGAAGTTTATTTTTTAAATTATTCTATAAATTAAAAAAAACAAGGTATAAATTATTATTAAGGCAGAGCGAAATAGATTGATCTCATCTATTTTCAGTCCAAATTTGGTACGATGAAAATCAAACTTGAGTGAGTTTTATAATGATGCTAAATGAAATGATCAATACACAAAAACATATCATGACAAAAATTATAAATGTGGGGTAAATTGTACCACATTCCTGATTTGGATTATTTTGTTCTCATTCTATTATCTGAACACACAAGACTATATAATAAAGTAAGATGTAAGTATCATAAAACAAGACAGATAAATAAACAAACAAACAAAAAAAAAAACGATTTTTTTTTATTCAACAACAAAGAAGATTAACTAAATTACAACTATATCCATTCCATTCATTCAGATTGAAGAGTTAATACAGCACGAATACTAAAAGAAAGAGAAAGATGAGCATACCGACTATTTTTGTTTTAATTGTTTATACTTACCAAGTACCACTATGCATTGCTTCAAACGCCTTGTTGATTTCTTGTAAATCGAAAGTATGAGTGACAAATTCATCCACCTTGAGTTTTCCATCCACATATTCTTGCACCAATTTGGGCATATCAGTCTTTCCCTTGACACCACCAAATGCAGATCCACGCCAGACACGACCAGTCACCAATTGGAAAGGACGAGTAGCGATTTCCTTGCCAGCAGCAGCAACTCCAATGATGATAGATTCACCCCATCCCTTGTGACAAGCTTCCAATGCAGCACGCATTACTTCTACATTACCAGTACAGTCAAAAGTATAATCCAATCCACCATCGGTCAATTCCACCAACACCTGCTGAATAGGTTTATTGTGATCCTTGGGATTGATGAAGTCTGTGGCACCAAATTCACGAGCAATCTTCTCTTTACCAGGATTTGTATCGATGGCAATGATTCGACTAAAAAGAGAATAAGGTTTGAATAACGAATAAGAAATCATTTTCATCTCATCCATATAGATGCTATTTTTTTTTTATTATTATTACCTGGCCTTATTATAGGCAGCACCTTGAGCAACACTCAAACCAACACATCCCATACCGAAAATGGCAACCTATAAATATATGCAAAGGGAGGAAAACATATTGTTAATGATCATGATCTACATCAATCTTCAACTTCCATTTTATAATTGATTTATACTTACAGTAGAACCTTCAGTAACCTTTGCAGTTTTGGTGGCAGCACCGAAACCAGTAGTAACACCACAACCCAACAAACATAACTTTTGTAAACTAGGTTTAGGATCAACCCGGACAACAGATACATCGGCAACAACTAGAAAAGAAACAGCCAAATAAGGTATCAGTATAATTTTTGTTTCTCACCATAGATACAAGATTACCAGTATATTCCGAGAAAGTAGAACATCCCATATAATGATAAATAGGCTTGCCATTGCAGGTGAATCGGGTAGTTTCATCAGGCATCAAACCACGACCCTATCAAATAAAAATAAAAAAAAAAAGGAAAAGAGAGAGAAAGAGTTAGAAAGATGGAAGGAAGGAATAAATCATATTCATTACCTGAGTGGCGCGAACGGATTGACAGAGGTTAGTCTTTCCACTAAGACAGAACTTGCACTTTCGACATTCAGCTGTATATAGAGGAATCACATGATCACCTACTGCAACATCAGTAACACCTTCACCAATGGATTCCACAATACCACCACCTTCATGACCGAGAATAGAGGGAAAAACACCTTCAGGATCTAATAAAATTAAAAGTTTAGCCGAAAAAAAACATCGTCAGTCAATAGTTATTATATTGTAAAAAAAACGCTTACCACTTCCAGAGAGAGTATAATCATCAGTATGACACCTAAAGAAAGAAAAGTGTAAATAAAACGTGAGTCAAAAAAAAAAAAAAAACAAGTTTTAACCATGAAGAATAACCTACACGCCAGAATACAGGATCTTTATACGAACTTCATGTGCTTTTGGAGGAGCTACTTCTATTTCTTCTAAGGCTAGTTTTAATAATATAAAAATAGTAAGTAAATATAAAAGATAGAATACTTGTTGTTTGTATAAAAAGGCTTACAAAGAGGTTTTCCAGCTTCCCAGGCAATGGCAGCGCGACATTTAATAACCTAATATTAAAAAAACAAAGAGAAAAAGAGAGAGAAAACAAAGAGGTTAGTTTCAATAGTAAGTTAAAGAAAAAGAGTGAGTTTAATTCCTCTTATAGTACTTACTTGACCAGTGGTAGACATTGTAAAAAGCAACCAAGAAAAAAAAAAAAAAACAAAAAGGAAAGAAAAAGAAAAAAAATGTATGCTACAAAAAAAAAAAAAAACTTTAATGGTTCAATTGGCGGGATGTCAAAAAACCGGGTACATGGGGTTGTTGTTGTATATAAAGAAGGTTCGAGTTGAAAGAGACAGATCAAATGTTTCCTTTATTGATGAATATAAGAAAAAAAGTATATATAATTCAAAACAAGAGAGAGGTTTTTTTTGTTTGTAATAAAAAGATTCTATGTAAAATTATGACAAAAAGGATAAGAGAAGGACAAAAGAGGGAGTGGAGTGTGTGTGTGAGAGAGAGAAAGAATATACAGTAAAGATGACATTTACATCTAACATAAAAAAAAAAAAGAAATAATTGATCAATTCCAAATTCTTTCTATTCTTTCCACTTTTAACTTACTTGAGGCATGACAGGTCTATTTTGTTCAGCAGTCCATCTAGAAATAGCAATTCCAATACCTTCAATCAAAGCTAATAAACCACCACCAACAACAGCAGAAATAGTAGCAGCTTTAGCACCACCACGAGCAGCTAATACACCACCAGTCAAAGCTCCAGACATGATAGAATTCCAGGGATCTTCCTTTTGTCGAATACCTTTAAGACCACAATCAAAAGTTGAGAATAAACCACCCCATACAGCAAAGTTACCACCTAATACAGGTGCTCTAGCTTTCATTGCAGATACTGCTCCAGTTAAACGTTCGCCCTAAAATAGATATATATATTAATAATTGGTTATATCAAAATAATAATAATAATAATAATTTAAACTTACTCTTGGTGAATTCTTTGCACCTTTCACTGAATGCCAAATACCACCACCAACAGCACCCATAACAAAAGCACCACCTAAATCGTTCAAGATAACCCAAGGACTGTATATATATATAAAAAAAAAAGAATAGTTTAATAGTTTAAGACTTAAAATAGATAAATATAAACTTTTTTTTTCTTTACCAAGGATCCCTAGAATGATCTGCAGAAGAATGACCCATTTTATAATAAAAAGTATAATATATAAATTTGTAATGAAGGAAGGGACAAGGTGATGAAAGGTATAAGGTAACTTTTCACACAAAAGTACTACTGAAAAATAAACAAGTACAAGAAGAGGAGAGAATGAAAAAAATAAAAAAAAAAAATAAAAAGAAAAAAAAAAAAAAGACTTGAGACGGACACTAAAAATGAAAAAAACAACCGAGGACTGCGAGTCACATATACAGTATAATGACTTTTTTATGCCAAAAGTAAAAGGCGGGGTATATACAGTTTTATCTTTTCCTTTTTATCTTTTCCTTTTTATCTTTTTTTAATTTTTTTTTTTTTATTATAACAATGACCATTCATGTTCTTATCATTGGTGCTGGTGCAATAGGTACATGTACTGCTTATTATCTATCACAACGAGAAGATATTCAGATTACTGTTGTTGAAAGATGTAAAGTTGCCTCTGCTAGTAGTGGAAAAGCTGGTGGTTTCTTATGGTAAGTACGTAATAAAACATTGTAAACAATAAATATATAAATATATACTTCTTTATTTTATAGGAGTGAAGGTGATGGAATATTATCTCTGAAATCTTACAATTTACACAAAGAACTAGCTGAAGCATTGGATGGTGAAAAGTTTTATGGATACCGAACATTGGATACATATTCTGTTACTATGACAAGTCAAGAGAATGAAAAGGATGCCAAACAAGTTAAAAAGAAAGTCAACGATAATGTTCCCTGGTTAAACCAAGAACGTGTTACTACCTGCGACGAACTAGGCAATAAAAATGAAACTGCACAAGTTCATCCCAAGTTATTCACCATTACTCTTATGACAGCAGCAGAAGCAACAGGCAACGTGAAATTGATTTGTGGAAATGGTGTCAAAGAACTACTATATGATGATTATGATTCTGAACTCATTAGAGGCGTTTTACTTGATAATGGTGACAAGATATTAGCGGATCATGTGGTGGCATGTGTAGGACCGTGGGCAGAAATGTTTCCTATTAAATTGAATTCTTCTTCCATGATGAATGATGCTATTCTTCGACAACATCACAACAAAAATAACAACCGTGGTTTACCTATCACATCAGCAAGGGCACATTCTATCGTCATACGTGTTCCAAGAACAAGTCCTATTGGAGCTCAAGCTTTATTTACTTGTATTCTGGATGGATCAAAGATGTATGAACCGGAAGTGTATCCTCGACCAGATCATACAGTATATATGTGTGGCATACAAGATCGAACGGTTCCTCTTCCTCCAACAGCAGATCTTGTCAAAGTGGATCCAAAGGCAATTGACCGACTCAAATATACAGCTGGTTTAATATCCCCTCATCTTGATACAAGAGAACAAAACTTATTGGCGGAACAAGCTTGTTATTTACCAATATCTCTAGATGGATCTCCGTTGGTTGGCAAACATCCTAATTACAAAAACCTTTATATATCTGGTGGTCATAGCGTATGGGGTATATTACTATCTCCGGTATCCGGCTTGATGATGACTGAACTATTAATGGATGGTAAGATTACCTGCGTTCCTCAGGATTTAGTGAAGAAATTATCTTTGGATTCTAGGTTAGATTGATTTATATGCATATTTGAAATAAAAAGGATTAGTTATATATTAAAACAGTTTTTTTGTAGTATCTTGTAAATTCCCTTTTTGGAATAGTATCAGCTGCGGCCCAATTTCACATCTTTTTATTGGATAATTTCAAACAACAAGAGATCCTTTTTTGTCTCTTTTCATACCTTTTTCTTTTTTTCTTTTTATTTTCTTTTTCTTTCTATCTATTTTTTGTTTTTTTATTATATGAATATATGGCGTATTCTCTGTGGTTGTTCATTATATTCATTTGGTTATTCATTAGCAACCCATTACCTGCAGTAAAAGCTCAAATAAGTCTTCAGAATCCACTTATTTGGTAAGTTACGACAAAAACAATGAATAAAAAGTAAAATGATCTTTCTCACCTTCTCTCTCTCTTTTCTTTCAAACATATATTGTTCAGGCAAACTTTAGTTACACCCATCTCAAGTTCTAGTTACAACTATGTATACAATTCGACGGTGAAATATTATTCTCAAGATTTCCAGACAGTTTTTATTCTTAGTGACAACTACGGCCATAATGAGGTAATATAATGAAATCATATACTCTTTTTTAAGTTCTAACATGAAATTATATATATATATATATTACAGAGGATACTTGTCAATGTAGGTGATGGATGTATGACTCCAAGTTATGACGACCTTCTCAACTCCAACTACAATGGTATAAGTACCTTTATAAAACGACAGTCATTGATCGGTCTTGTATCTCGAGGTGGATGTTCTTGGACAACCAAAATCACCAATTTACAAAATCTTGTACAAATGAATTCAGTCTTAAGCATCAAAGCGTTACTAATATATGACAACGTTACCTACGCCGATAATGTGACGCAAGTGATACAGGCCAAACCGAGCAATTCTTCTACACCAGTATGGAATTCTGCTCAGCTTACTCCAGCACAACGCAATATATCGTCTATGCCTGATAATGATTTACTCGCTACCAAGATGACTCCTTTTTTCGCTATTTACTTTGTACCTCGACAGTTTGGTCTTGAGATGCTCGGAAAAATGAACAACACAAATCAATATATAGAATTGGCTACTTTTTTTACCAATAGTGTTATGGATGATAATCCTCCTGGTACCTCAACAACAAACAACAATAATAATAGTAATGGAGGTAATGGAGATAGTAATAGTACTATTGACTCTTTATTTGGTGATGGAAATCGTGGATACATTGCTTACCTTGTCGCTGCAGGTGTAGCTATTATTTTAGGTAAGAAGAAGAGTAATAAAAAAAAACCATATCATCTTCTTAACTTTTGATTTTTATTATTATTTTTAGCCATTGTCCTCTTGAAATGGTGTAGAAACCCTCGATTCTTTGCAAGAGAAACAGGAAACAATGAAATAGATGTGGAGAATCATATTGGAATGCGACCTTTTGGACAACCTCAACAAACTGATCAAGTATCTTGTGTTCCAATGGAAAAATTGGATACATTATGTCCTATGCAGACTGCAGCTGAAGCGATGTCAACAATGAAGAATACTATGTGTGCTATTTGTTTAGATGAATTCAAACCAACAAGTGAAATTCGATTATTACCTTGTCATCATGGATTTTGTACAAGTTGTATTGGTAAGTGGGATAGAAAAAAAAAAAAGAACACAGAAAGATGGAAAATTCATTTTTTTTTTTTATCATTATGAACCCTAGATGTTTGGCTGACTAAGAAATCAAGCTGGTGTCCTATATGTAAATACGATTGTTGTCAAGAAGTTGAATCGGAACAACAGGATAACGATGGTGATTTAGGAACAATGGGTTTGAATCAAAACAACATTGGTAATACGACTTCACCAGCATCTCCTTCTTCTTCTACAGGAATACACAATACCACCAATGATGCCAGTAATATCCATTCTAATAACGACAATGACCCTATGATCACCTCATCAGTCAATTCTAATCATTCATCATTACAATTAAAAAATGGCGATCAAGAAATTCCAGTCAGTGATCAAAGTATGCAATTACAGTCAACGATGATATCACCTCCACCTTCCTATGTATCATCACAACAACAACAACAATCATCATCATCATCATCACCTCCAATACGTACGACAAGAACAGATATATAACGATCTATCGACCCTCCCTTGATGTATTTTTATCGATTTTAGTATTTATTGTTATTTAGTGTATCTATCCATTTTTACCATTATATTAGTATATTATTTTTTCACTTTTATTATTTAACCCTATATTATATTCCCCCCATCTTTTTTTTTTTTTTTTTTTTTTTGTATTCGAATAAACACAATATATATGAATTTTTCAGGAACTCATCTTATTGGTCGAGAGGAATCCAAATACAATTCTGCATGATTTTTGAAACCTAGAATAAAAAACCCCTCCTTTAAAACATACTTATACTTGGTTTGACCGAGGTTCTTTTTGGTGAATCTAGGAGAAACATTTCCTTTAATGATCTTTTTTTTTTATTTATTTTATATTGATTACTTAGTTTTGTTTGTTTGTTTGTTTACTTGCATATATTTGTTATTAAACTTCATGACGCAGTAAACTTTCTTTTTTTTTAATCATGATCCGTCTTGCACCAGCCATCATTTATGGATTAATTACCATACTTACTTTATGTTTGTTATTTGCAGTAGTGACTTTACCTAATGCCTCCAGATGGTTTCAAGGTTCAAGTGCATCTATACAACAAGGTAAATGATGATGATATAATGAATAAATAGAGACTAATAATCATTGATAAAAGATATCATTGTACTACTTGAAAATACTACTTCTTTGAAAAGTGATAGTGCATTTATTTCAGAACAGTGGAAGTACGATAAGAATTTAATCACCGCCGACAACACCCCTTCTCCCATCGAATCTGGCTTACAGGTAAAAAAAAAAAAAATCATCCTAATTATTTTAATTTTTTTTTGCCTTTTTATTAATATTCACAAACGTTTTGAAAGGGTTTATTATATGATCGTGGACTATCTTGCTCATCAACTGTCACAAATACACTTCCATTCCCACTTCATGACTCGGCATGGAAAGACAACTTGACAAGAATCGCTTTAATTCGATTAGGAGGATGCTTATTAATGGAAAAGTTGAAATATGCTCAAAGTGATGGTGCCAATGCTGTTATTGTATATGAAGACGCATCATTGACCTTGGAAGATATCAATGGAGAAAATAGTATGAATCCAAGTTCAAGAATGGTAAATATATAATATTAAAAAAAAAAAAAGAAAAATTCATGATATCTATCTCACACCATTTCTTTTTTCTTTTTAGCATGTTGACCCAAATACAATATTTATCCCGACATACTATGTTGACCATACGACTGGCATGGAACTTTATGAACGATTAGAAAATCTGACACATTGGGATAACAAGACAAGCTCAACAATGACCGAACTTGTGGATAGTATTCCTTCTCATGTTGTCACTCGAGTCACGTTGTATCCTGATCAAAAACCATTCTTGGAACCCTGGCAATTTGCACTGATTGTGATTGGCGTGGTATTCTTTACAACATTAATGATTGTGCTTGGAGTACAATGTCATCTTTGTCGCATTGCTCGAAAACAAAGACAACAACGAAGACGAAGACGACGACAACAAAGCATGGATGATGGTCAAACATTAGGTGATGATGATGAAGAACCTCAAGAATCATTTTGGCTTCAATTATTATCAGCAACAACCATAGAGGATGATCCTGTCAATGAAGGTAGTTCACATCAGCGACATGAAAAGAAACAGCGGTATCGGTTACATCCTTCTGTATTGGACATATTACCTACAAGATATTGGGATGGGACGACTGAAAAGGACATGGATCAATGTGTGATTTGTTTGGAAAGCTTTGAATTGGATAATTTATTACGTATATTACCCTGTGGGCATGAATATCATCAAGATTGTATAGGTAAAAAAAAAAAAAAAAAAAAAAAAGTAAAAAAAAAAATTTTTTTTGTATGCTAATCTATTTATTTCTATTTAGATATTTGGCTCACCAAGAAAAATGCATGTTGTCCTCTTTGTTTTCAAATTGCTATTACTCTTCCCACCATACCAGAACAAGTACATATTGGTCAACAACAACAGAGACAACAGGATTATATAGATATCTTCTTGGAGAATAATGATAGTATAACGGAAGATCGATTGGAAGACACTTGGTTTGAATTGGCTAATCAACGGGAAACAACTGTACGACAACATCCTTCTCGACAAGCACACTTGAGAACCCCTCGACTTTCATTGACTCCAGTCCTCACATCACAACCAACAACATCATCACCATCTTCATCAGCACCAGCAAGGCAAGAGCGACCATCATAATAGATAGCATTAGATTAGAAATTAGATGATATTGGAAAAAAAAAAATAGAAATAAAAAAATGATATTGAAATAGTTATTTGATTTATTGAATATGAATCAAGATAGGTGTTAGATAGACATTAAAAAAAAATAAGATAAAAAGTATTTATAGATAAAAATAGATGTAAATGTATATCAAAATAAAATGATCAAACTAGAAACTATCTGAACCAGGTACAGTGAAGAGATTAGAGAGTTCTTCGGCAGTGAAAGGAGGAGAACCATCCGCATTAGCCTTGGCAAGATGCAACTTGATGAGTTTTGGAAACACACGGCCATGTTGATCCGCATCACCTTTACTAAAGTCATAACCCCAATTGGTCAATGTGTTGGGTGTCATTTCATTTGTCAAAATTCGATCTATTTTTGTATAAAAAAAAAAAGTAAGTGATGATGTTAAAAAAGGATGTTTTGTTATTACCATTGCGTAAAAGATTGATAGCATCACTAAGAATAGCACGACCCATGGTATAAGGTAATCGAAGTCCAGTCACCTTACTACGTTCCACCATCAATCCAGCATATAATTCCACTTTATCTGGAGTTCCATAAAGTTCTTTCAAAGCCGTTTGTACTTCTTCCTTTTCAGAGAAATCTTCAAATGTCTTCATGGGCACCAAATTGAGATATTCTCGGAATTCATTAAAGTAGCAACAACGAAGTCGTCGACCTTGCATGATGCCTGCTATTTCGATAGTTTCAAGTGCTGCTGGTACACCCAATCCATTTCTAAAAATGATATATAAAATTGTTCAAACAAAATGAATCTATGTCAATCATTTTTTTTTTTTGAATTTACCCAACTTCTCCAGCCACTTGTGTATATCCACGTCGTAATAATCGTGTCAAATCAGCATCACCAAAGGAACCCGTCTTCAGATCACGATGAGCACCAGCCAATGGTAGACCCAATGCCAATTCTTCAGGACTTGCATGCGCAAAATGAGAATTGTAAGCAGGAAGTAGCTGATCGAATAGACTCTGATCAGTACCTGATGAATTGACATCACAACCAGTTGCTTGAGATACTGAGGATGATGATGATGTTGCTGTTGTGGATGCTTTTGATGCTGGTTCTTGATGTCGAGGTTTTGTTAACATCGATTGTGCTTCTGATCCAAATAATGCCATCAAAGAATTCAACCAATCTTCATCTTGTTGACCAATAGCAGCATGCCATCGATAGATCAAATTAAATTCGATCGAAACTTCATTTCCATAAACAGGCCAAGACGGTTGAGCTAAAGGATCCAAAATAAAATCGGAATCTTCAGTTGTTCCGAGGATGGTACGGATATAATCATGAATGACCACGTTTATAAAACTATGACAAATCAAAAAAAAAAATCAGTTGAAAATCCATTTTCTTGTTCTTTTTTTTTTTTTTTTTTTTTTTTTGTTTACCAAGCATTATTGACCAATCTTGCTGTTTGGAAGAGTTCTTCATCAAGTTCCTTTTCATCTGCTAATTCTTGTCCAGGTCCATAAGAGAAACGACCATTCTCATTATTTTCCAATAGCTTCTTGGCAATGTAATTGTGATTACGAGAGAATATAAGCACGAGGGAAGCAACGCCTAAAAAAGAAAAAAAGAAGGTGAGTTTGCGGAGCTCTTCGTACCGACTCATCCATTGAAATATGTGTTACCTGGTGGTTGAAGTACAAGCCGTTTGTCAAACCACTGATCATTCTTCAACAAGCCATTTTTCATTTGACGGACACTTTCTTGATCAATTCTGTTGAATCCATACAAAAATGACCTAAAAAGAGAGAGAGAGAAAGTAAATAACATCATCATATAAAGCAAAAACTTACATATCAAGATAACTTGAAGTCAGATTGCGCTTTGGATCCTTTCCATCAGTGTAAAACAAATCATGGGTGATAAGAATAGCCAAGTAGAATAATAACATATTGACACCACTTTTGTGAGGGGTAAATTGACCTTCAGGACGTTTCAATAACCTTTCAAAGACAACAGAAGGAGGAGGAAGGTTTTCATTTGCTGGACTTTTGGAGTTGACAGTACGAACATAATTATTGCCAGCTTTTCCCTAATGAAACAAACAAAAAAAAAAAAAAAAAAGATCAATAGGAAATCTTAAGATCGACAGATCCGGTGTTCTTACCACATTAGGAAAGTTGATAGAGTTACAACTACCATCCGCACTACGGAAACTATGTCCTACGTAGTTGATATAAGGTTTCTTGATGTCATCCTATTGTTCATCCAAAAAGAAAATATAAGAAAATTATCGTCATGCTTTTTTTGAAGTTGCCAAGCCAATAACTTACATAAAAGAGCATGATCAAAGGCTGAGAAACTCCAAGTACCAAATCTTGATGACCAGGACCAAGACCACCCAAGACTTTCATCACGGCTTCAAAAGTATTATTGCGATCGTTTATAGGTGTATGTTGACTAAGTAATCTATCAACAAAAAAAAAATGTTATTAATTATAATTTTTTTTATTTTTATTTTCTCTTCATGTATTATACCTTTCCACCAAACCAGTGATCAAGACCTTTTGTTGAGATAAAGGAAGACCTAAGACTTCTTTCAGAGCATTTGTTCGTTGAGGAGTAATACCAAAAATACTTTCCAATTCATTAACCAAAGCATGAGCAGTCCAAGCCTTGCCAGTAGGTTGACTTGAGTAAGAGGGACTTAACCCCTTGAAAAAAGACCGTTTCTTCTTGCCGTCTTTGTCACTTTTTCCTTGTCTTATATGAATGGTCAATTCCTTCAAAGCATTCAAAAGACCTTCTGTGCCAGATTCGGATTCAATCGCCAACAAGTGATTGCGCAACTTCTTTTCCAAGTTATTGTTCATAGATTCCTTTTTGGTGAACTATAAATAAGAGAAAAAAAAAAGAAAAAAAAAAAAGAAAATGAATGACAGAGAGAATAAAAAGGTACAAAAAATGATGGAGTTTTAAACCATTCAATCCACCAATGAGCATTGGTTTTTCTATTCAGACTTACGAAGCCATGAGAAACGGCTGTAGTTCCATTGTCAACGAGCATTTTATTACAAGAATTATTTATAAAAAATGAAAAAATAAAAGAAAAGAGAAGAGGTAAAAAGATAAAAAATGCAAAAGAAATAAACTTTCTTTTTCAAAGCCAAAAGCAGATGGCTCCGTTCATTTCCAACGAGTAACACGAAAATTGTGGCACAGGCCACAGGCACACATACAAGCAAAAGGCTTTGATCATTTTCTCAGATAAAGTATGTAGATTTCCTTTTTTTTTCCTTAATGTAATAGAGCGCGTGATAATGTTGTATTCCGTCGTCATCATAGTACAAAAAAAAAAAAATAGGATCAATGCATTAACCAAATACAAACGGTATGTATTCTTAAAGAAATAAACATGCGCCTATCGCATACTTCTTTCTTCTGTAATGAAGAATGTTTTTTTTTCTTTTGTTTTGCACTAAAACATGATGGCGCAACACAATTGTAAACAATCCATAAATGTCCTTCATTCGTACTTAAAGATCATCATCACTTGTTATTCATTCTACATCATCCCAATATTATTGCAAATCATCTTTCATCATTATACATCGCATACCATAATATATGTTATTCCGTCATTAACATATCATCACATACCATCTATCACCCCATACCATTTACATACCATTCATCATCACAGAAAACCATCTTGGCTCTATATCATCATCTCTATTATTATTAAACATTGTTAAACGCCATCAAAAACAAACAAAAGGAAGAAAAAAGAAAAGAAGAAGAAAAAAAAAACAATGCATACATTATTTTAGGAGGGAATACATAGTCATTTTTATTATTATCAACAAGAACAAAATACGACGTATATATTAAACTAAAAGAAAAAAAAAAAAAAAAAACTAGTGGGAGTTATCATGAAAGTCCGGTACAACAAAGAGATTCTTCAGTTCCTTGTCAGTAAATACAGGTGCACCATCAGGATGAGCATTGGCAAGATGAAGTCGAAGCATTTTTGGGAAAATGCGTCCAAAATGTTCAGGTTCCCCTTGACTAAATTCATATCCCCAATTTGTCAACGTACTTGGTACCAATTCTTGAGTCAAAATCCGATCTAAAAAAAAAAAAAAAAAAAACAAAAAAGATATTGATTCACTTTCTTTTCTGTTCCTTTTTTTTTTTTAATTGTTTTCCTAGTTACCATTTCGTAAAAGATTGATGGCATCACTTAAAACTCCACGCGTCATAGTGTAAGGTAAACGAAGACCAATCAACAGAGTACGTTCTACCATCAGACCTGCATATAATTCAACCTTGTCTGGCGTACCATAGAGTTCCTTGAGAGCTGTTTGCACTTCCACTTTATCAGAGAAATCCTCAAATGTCTTCAATGGCAATAGATCAAGGTATTTTCTAAATTCATTGAAGTAACAACACCCAAGTGCCCGTGCTTGTATGATACCAGCTATTTCAATAGGTTCCATAGATGCAGGAACTCCTAGTCCATTTCTAGATTGATTTCAAAAAAGTCATGAATGGATGGATACCTTTTTTTTTTTTTTTTCTAATTCTTACCCAATTTCTGAGGCTATTTGATTATACCCACGTCGTAGTAATTGAGCCAAATCAGCATCACGAAATGATCCGGTTTCTATATCTCGATGAGCTCCATCCAAGGGTAATCCTTTTTCCAATTCTTCCGGGGTCGCCTTTGCAAAGTTACTGTTGAAGCTGGGGAGTAGTGCATCAAGTTCGCTTTGATCCGTCCCTGGTTGTGTTCTTGTTTCATCTGGTCCTTTGCTGTCATTTCCTTCTTGAAGATGATCCAACATAGGAGGTACTTGTGCTTGATATCTTAATTCGGATCCCAAAACTGACATGACAGAATTGAGCCACTTTTCATCATGTTGACCAATTGCAGCGTGCCATCGATAAACAATGTTAAATTCAACGGATACTTCATTACCAAAAGTCGGATAAGAAGGTCTTGCCAATGGATTGAATACAAAGTTAGCATCTTGTTGGGCCCCAGAGATAGATCGAAGGTAATCTTGAACAATTATATTGATAAAGCTATGCACCAAAAAAAAAAAAAAGGTCTGAATGATTTGTTTTTAGAATAAAAAGTGATGAAATTCAATAGTTACCAGGCGTTATTGATCAATCGAGCAGTTTGAAATAATTCTTCATCTAGTTGTACTTCGGTAGCTAGACGCTTTCCAGGTCCATATGAGAATCGATCATTTTCATTGATCTCCAGTAATTTTTTGGCAATATAGTTATGGTTGCGTGAGAATAAAACAGCAAAAGCACCAACACCTGTTAAAAAAAATACATAATTGTTAGATAATTTCGATTCATATTATTCATAAGACTCTTTTTTTTTTTTTTTTTTTTTTTTTTTTTTACCAGGTGGTTGGATAACAAGTCGTTTGTCAAACCATTGGTCATTTTTCAGTAATCCATTTTTCATTTGACGTACACTCTCTTGATCCGTTCTGTTGAATCCATACAAATATGACCTAAAGATGAGAGAGAAAGTAAACAATAACATCATCATCATCATGTTCCATAAGGTAAAAGCAATAGTGATCACTTACATATCTATATAACTTGAAGTCAGGTTGCGTCTTGGGTCCCTTCGATCGGTATAAAATAGGTCATGAGTGATAAGGATAGCAAAATAAAACAAAAACATATTAATGCCACTTTTGTGAGGATTGAATTGACCTTCAGGACGTTTCAGCAGACGTTCAAAAACAACATGTGGTGACGGGAGGTTCTCGTTGACTAGAGCGGTGGAAGTCACATTGCGAACATAATAATTACCAGCCTTGCCCTAAAAAAGGTAAATAGTGAATAGAATTATAAGTTAGATTGATAACCAGCACATTGATCTTTTTTTTTTCCAGTCTCAAAGTGAAAAAAAAAAAAAAAATAGAGAGAGAGAGAGAGAGAGAGAGAGAGAGAGAGAGAATAACTTACTACATTTGGAAGGTTGATGCAATTAAAGCTACCATCGGCTCGTCGAAAGCTATGTCCCATGTAATTGATATACGGTTTCTTGATAGTATCCTGTCATTCCATAAAAGGAAAAAATGAATTTAATAACGTTTTAAACATATGATTGTAGTTCTTTGTTCTGAACTTGCATGATAATATTGAATCAAAGGTTGAAAAGTTTCTTCATTCAAATCATGCCCTTCTGGACCCAAAACACTTAATATGCTGAGAGTAGATTCAAGAGTACCTGAGCGATCATTCATAGGGGCACCTCCACTAACCAATAATCTTTAAGATAAAATAAAAAACGCGTTAGAAAAAAAAAATACAAATATCAGTCCTAAATATTTTTTTTTTATTTTACCTTTCGATCAAAGCACCAATCATCTTTTTTTGTTGCGAAAGAGGCAAAGATAGGATTTCCTTGATAGCATTTGTACGTTGAGGAGTGATACCAAACAAATTTTCTAGATCCTTTACCAAAGCTTGAATACGCCATGCCTTGCCAGTAGGTTGACTTGAGTAAGGTGATGCAAAAGACTTCATTAATGACATGCGTTTCTTACCATCCTTATCGTTTTTTCCTTGACTAATATGAATCACCAATTCCTTGAGAGCATTAACAAGACCATTCCTACCAGACTCGACATCAATAACTGAGATATAACTATGTATTTTTCCAAGGTCATTATTATGGTTGTCTTTTACGGTCATGTTTGGAATACCTAGATACATTGAAAGAAACAAAATGATATATAATTGAGTTGGAAGTAGTGTTGAGTCATTGTAGAGAAAAGGGTTTTTCTTTTGGTGGATATAAATTTTCTTTTATTTATCGTACTGTATTATAGTAATAGTTCGCGTTCTGAGAAAGAAAAAAAAAAGAATAAGAGAGAGAGAGAAAGAATAAAAAAAAGGTCGTGCATAAAACAAGGAAAGAAGTTACAGCTAACAAACCGAAGCTACCTGAGTTTGAAACTATGGTTTTGATATGCAAACAAATATGCAAACAAGGGAATCATGACACTTCTATTTTATTACTATTTGTACATCTAAAGAAAGTCAACTATATTAATACCAAACAGGAATAAAGATTTGTGATTGAACACCCGAGTCATCAAATTGATAAGCTGATGCTGAAGTACACCATGCAACACATAATGCTGATAATATTTGTTTTGATGATTTAGCAGCACGCTTCCACCAAGGAATATAAACAGGGAAATACGTCTTAATAAAACCATTTAGTGCTTTATCCAAATGTACTTGACTTTTCATCACTGATGCTCTACACACAGGACAATGCAACCCATCATTCTGTTGATCCGCCCTTATTGGATACATCGATTTGGAATAAGGTTGACCATTGGAAAAGAAATCATCAATACAAGAACGACAAAATCGATGATGACATGTATCAAAGGCCATTGGATTATTTAAAAGGCATAAACAAATCGGGCAAGTATAATCATTATCATTAGGTAAAGAATTACATAACAATTTCTTTTTTTACAAGAATGGAAATATAGAACCACGTGAGTAACGTATGATGTCTGAAAGTTTTTTTTTTTTTTTTTTTTTTAAAAAAAATCAACATACTTACATATGTTTTTTCTAATGATGGCCAATCTAAGCAATCCAATAGGTAAGCTTGATAATAACAAAAATGAAGAACTTGGCGTTTACATTTCTGTTACATAAAAACAAAAAAAAAAAAAAGATAAGTCCCACACACTAAAAAAAAAACTTGTTTCTTCTTTTTTTGGTCTTATAGGATTTACTGAGGCTTTTCTCTGTTCATGAGCCATTTGTTGAAGCAAAGCCTGCATAATATTGCTTAGACAAATCAGTTGATCCGCTTTTGATGAGGTGAATGATGATTTTTCTTCTGCAACTATCAATATTCTCTGCAATGTATCCATATACTCTGCTAAGATGATCCTCATACTAGAATATTGTTTAGTTGTATATAGAAAAGGGGAACACTACAAGTTTGCATAAAAATAAAAATATGTCATTTCAGTAAGCCGGGAAAGAATCATTACCCCCCACAAATAACCCCGTCTTTATCAAGATGGACCTTTTTTTTTTTTAGTTCTATTATTAGTCGTACCATATCTATTATATCCAATGTGATTGTTCCCTGTATAAATAAAAAATCATCATTATAAAAATATATTTCAAAAAAAAAAGTCGGATAACCTCACCTCATCTATCATCAATCTAGTAGTGGAAGATGTAGTAGTGGATGAAAATTTTTCTAGTGTTGATCGAAGATATAAAGTCATAAATAATAATGTGAATGATAAAAAAAGGAAGGAAAAGAAAGAAAGAAAAGGAAAGGAAAGAAAGACAAACAAAAAAAAAAAAAAAAAAAAAAAAAAGGAAGGAAAAAAAAAACAAAGAGAAAGAAAGAGGAAAATGAAAGAGAGACAATGAAAATATTGAATGGCATGTATAAATAGGGGAAAATGTCTTTTGCCAAGGAATGTATCATCATCATCATTATCCTCATTTTACCCACAGGAGAATCTTATCACATACAAATTTGGTACAAAGATCATATCCTATTTTATTTCATTCAATTTTTGACAAATGGGAATACAAGGAATCTTTTAGCTAATTCTAATAATGTACTATGTTGTTGTTCATCTTGTTCGGTCCATCGTTCATTTTCTGGGATTTCATTTAAAAGTCGTGTTCGTAGATCCAATTTATATGCAAGCCATTTTTTTCGATACCTAAAAAATATAACATCATTAATACATAAAATCCCAATTTCTGTATTCAAGATAGAAAAAAAACAATCTTACCTTTCAAGTTCATCATTATTGTAATGACCCGTCAACATAAGAATGACAGTATCCGGTTCAAGATGATCATAAATTTTTCGTACATGCTCCAAGTAGGTGGCAATAATTGTGTCAGTTCGAATCAGGTCATCGTTCATATCTTCTTGCCCAAGTTTCATCATCACTAAATCATTACTAGCATGTTGTTGAATTGCCTTGTCCACAGCTTGAGTATTGGAAACCATATTGTAAAAGTTGGGATTATCCTTCAGCTCTCTAGTAAGGACGTTATTGTATTTTGCTTGTACATCAATCACTACACCCGTTTTCTTTTGTTGCTCTAGTCTATCCAGGATGTTTTCCGTCACATAATCCATATGAAGTCCAAATTTGAATCCCATCTTCATTTTGAGTTGAGTAAGTTCCAAACTAGCAATAGCATCTTCACAAGGATCATGTCCGATAGGTTGCTCTTCCACTTGTACTGTTGACTGCGTATATGATGTGTTTGTGTTGGTATCATCGTCGTTGTTTTCTTCTTGGTGATGTTGTTGTATCCGCTTGTTCAAATATCGTAAAGCTAAACCTCGTAATGGCGCCTTATAAGGTGGACCATTATCGTGATGATAGATGACTGATGTATCGATGATATAAGGATGCCGCATCTTTACCGCTCGCAGATCATTCACCAATCCATGACCCACAAGAATTGTATCACCGTCAATATAATCCATCAGTTTGTTTTGAATATCAGCCAATGTAGTAGTAACCCCTTCCAATGATTTTGCATCCACACCGCTATATTGCGTAACGTAATCTGTAATTGGAGTATCAGGCTTCACAAATTCATTCAACAGGATATTGTGATCTGATATAAAAAAATCAAATGAGCTTTCCATAATAACCATCTGATATTTATTTTTTTAATTTTTTTTTTTTTTAACATTTATTTTTACCTTCATCCACTAAAGCCACTTTGGTAAGGACACGTCTATTTTCACTTTTGCACTTTAAATATATAAATATTAATAAAAGATAACTATGTAAGTACTATTCAATAGAATATCTTACCATTTCACAATCCATAGCCAAAAGTTTCTTTATTGATCCAGTACCTTCCTTTGTATCTACCCATCCATCTGGTAAAGGGGTATCGTGTTGTAAAGAATGATGTAGAGGGAAATTTTCTTCAACCAAATCTTCAAGAGTTAACATGAGTTCTTCTGCATTTGGGATAACATTGCCATCGATTTCTATTAAAAAAAAAAAGGTGAATATCCTATATAGATTCTATTTTTGAGTAGATTTTACCAGTAGGTTCATGTCGTAATTTCTTCAATTGTCCTTTTGTCATTTTGCACTGTAAAAGTTGACTAAATCGATTTTGAAGTCCTCTGCGCTTGTCACCAGGACCAGTACCAATAATTGCAATAGGATCACTTTCGATATTAGACACCCCAAAATACTTGAAAAATTCGCCTCGTTTATTCAGCAATGTGTTGTACGAATTCAGAGTTGTTTCTTTAGATATCGTGAGATCAAGAGCCTCAATATCTAACACAGTCGGATCCAATACCGGAATGTCTACTACTACTACTTTTTTGATCTTGTGGCGTTCAAGTATTTCAGCCCAACGCGGTACCTTGTGACCAGAATCAAGAGTTGCAAGTATCAATAGACGAAGATCATTGAGTGAAATAAAACTATTGTGTTGTCGAAAAGCAATCTTTGGATAGAGAAACTAAAAAAAAGTTTTCGATGAGTATCTTTTCCTTTCGTATTTTATCGTCCATTTACCAGTTTTCCATCACTTATTTTGACTTTTTGTCCCAAATTAATAGCTTTGTGATACTTCTTTCGATCCTTTTTGGCAAGTGTGCTGACAAGGTTAGATCCATCTTGATTAAGTTCGTTTGATTGTTGAATAGTTACTTGTTTTCCATGTTCATCAATCCGGCTTTTCTTTGATAGATCTAAGTGATAAAAAGGAAAAAATTGGTTAAATACAAATACATATTTGATCTATCTATAATTAAAACTTACTGGTAAGATCTTCTTGTGACAATGATCGCTTGGCATTATCAGCTTCTTCAGTGAAAGAAGCCATAGTTTCTTTCTTGACACAATATTGAGGAATAATAAAAAAAAAAAAAAATCGAAATAAAAAGAAAAGAAAAAAAAAAGTAACTTGAATACAGTAGTTTATTTGCTGCGGAGAAACAAAGAGTACAAAATATTTATGTATAAACTTAGGCGATAGAGTTATCAACCATGGACTCCAAGTTCTTGTCATATTTCAGCTTGAGCAGATTGAATGGACGGAGAGTCACCACTGGTTCTAGGATACTACCATATTCACCCATAATATGATTCACAATTTCTTTGCTTCCTCGCTATCAAGTCCAAAAAAAAAAAAAAAAAAAAGAATCAGTGATATCTGTAACATTTTATAATATGCAATTTTCTCTTTACCAATTGTATAAATTCAAATACATCCAAACATTCAGAATAGAGAGTACTGTCAGGTTGAGTATATACATCTAGGAATAGTCGTACGAGAAGAATAAAAACATTTTGTTCAATCATCATTGCATTCATTTCCATATCCCGCATTCCTATAGCTGCACGAAAGAATCGTAATGTTTCTATAATAATAATAATAATAATAAAGAAGATACATTTAGTCTACCAAAAATAATCCATCATATTGACATTTTATGACTTGCGTATTTTCAATAAAGGATCTTGACAACGGAGGAGTTGAACCATATTTGCAAAACATCGAGGATCATGAAGAATACGCTTTGTTCGTCCACCATAATGAAGTATCATTGATTGTAAAAATTCACAGAGGTTTCCATAAAATAATATTTGATCTGGGTCCATAATTAAATTTTCCACAGGATTTACCAGGTCCACTGATTTGACTTGAATAGAATGGATAGATCGAAGAAGCAGTGTAGCATATCGTTCATAGAAAAGTTTCAATATATTTCCTGTCCTAGGATCATCACCAAAGAGAGTCTACAAAAAAAAAAAAAAAAAAAAAAAAAAAAAGATGAGTCAAGTTCATATCATTTCTATACTGCTGTATTTACCTGGGGTGTGGGAGTTGATAAGGATTGTTGTTGATTTGAACTGTTGTTACCAATTCCAAGAATAATTTTGACTAAATCAAAAAGTTGTTGTTTCAACCGGAAATCATCTTCGTCCTTTGTCAATTGTTCTAATATTACTTGTAATAAATTGGGTTGTTGATGTTTGTATTTCTCGGCTTGTATCAAAATATGTTCTTGTACAATTCCAGAATCCAGTTGAATAGCAATGTGTAATAATCCAGCCGCCGTATTTCGTATATCAGAGTGATCATCATCAGATAAAAGATATTGTATTTCATTCAAAAGTCCTTTTTCTGCAAGTATTCTAAATAGAACCAAAAAAAAAGATAATATAAATTAAAATAGAAAGGTTCTTTTATTTTTATTTTTACCTGAAGAAAGATATACCAGCGAATCTTTGCATATCTTTTGAAGCAAAACCAAATACTAGACATAAAAACTTTATAATAAGTAGTTGATTTTCTTGATATTTCAATTTGTTGAATAAATCATATATGAGATTGTTATCCTGTTGTAACCAATTTACTATATCGCAATGATACCACCAAATCAATTGATCTATTGCACTTATAATTTGAGATTTTTGTTTGTACTGTGGTGCAACACGAGTTTTGAAGAATTCCAAGTTTTCTATTTGTCGTATTTTGAGACCAAGTTGCTTTGGAAGTATATTTTTCTAGAAATAATAATAATAATAATAAAAAAAAAAAAGAATGTCAAAAACATGACATTATATGAAATGTTTTTTTTTTTTTTTTTTTTTTTTTTTTTACACTTACAACATTCATTCTCGGAAACTGTTCAAATTGTTCATGATAGGATAGACTTTTCTTTGATGTCACTTATTGTATAGAAACTAAAAGATTTAGTTTATCTTAGTATAGATATATATACGGTATATTTAACTTACATTCAAGTACACGAAGTACGCCTTTTATATGTGTTTCCAAAACAAATTCTTGTATCATATTGATATCAGCCCATAATACTAATACAAAACGAAATATAAAAGGTAAACTATTTCGTATCCTGTTAAAAAAAAAAAAAAAAAAAAAAAAACATTTACTTACATAAAGTATTAAAGATGCCTCGTAATGTTCGAATATTTGAAAGATCAATTTGTTGTTCGCATTGTTCAAAGATATCAAGTAGTTTTCCAATATATTTCTTTAAAAAAAAAAAAAAGATCTTTGTTAGTAAAAGTAACATTTATGTATTATCTTTACCTTTTGTCGAAAACAGGCGACAAACTTTTCAATTTGACTTTTTTGTTTTGTATCCGATAAAACGCTAGCCAATTGTAGTAAACTATCCAAGTCAGGTTCTGGAAGTATATAGGAAATGGTCTTCCTATTGTATGGCATTTGTTGTGAATGTAATGGCATAGTTCATTTTGCAAAAAAAAAAAAAAAAAAAAAAAAAGGAAAATGAAATAAAATAAAAAAAAAAGTAAAAAAGCCTATTGATAACTTTTCCCACTCCGAAATGTTCAAATTTTGGTGAATACTTTTTTTTTTGTATTCATGAACAACATTCATCCTCTTACCTTTTTTTTCCCCTTTCTTACAGTCTTATTTTTCTCTATTTAATAAATACATTATACTGTATCTATTGCAATCATTCAAATTAAAAATATAAATAATAGTTGTACAAGACCCAAAAAAGGAAAATATTCCAAATTAGGAAAGTAGAGGAATATAATGTTCTTTTCGAGTTTTTTGTCCGTGGGGCTTTATGGTGTAGTGGTATCATTCACGCTTTGGGTGCGTGAGGTCACGAGTTCGATCCTCGTTGAAGCCCTATCTTTCTTTTTAAACTTCTCGTAAAAGATCACGTGATATATATTATCATGCAATGGATGAACTTGTGATACTTTTATAATAATAAATGTGAATGATTGATTATATCGTAATGGGCAACAGTTATTAGTAAATAGAACAAAAAAAAAAAAAAGGATATCTTGTATATACGATGACGCTTGATGTTTGCATGAAAAGAATAATGAATAAAGATAAAACTTAGGATGTACTTAAAAGTGGTCGAGTTGTTTGCTTTCAATTTTTTTTTTTTATTTTTTTATTTTTTTCACCTTTTTATTTTTTTTTTTTTATTTTTTTTTTTCACCTTTTTATTTTTTTTTTTTATTTTTTTTTTCACCTTTTTATTTTTTTATTTTTTTCACCTTTTTATTTTTTTTTTTTTTTATTTTTTTTCACCTTTTTATTTTTTTTATTTTTATATATTCTTACTTCTTCTTTTGCTTCATCAAGAACATTACAATCGTCTCTTAGAAACCATGTAAGCTTTCTTTTGTATTTGCAGCAATATACTTAAGCATTCCTTTTCCTTTTTGTAATGGGATTATTTACAGATACTTTTATTTTCTTGTCAACGATTATTAGGTCTTATATGTCTTCATGAACGAATGGTAACTTGAAAGAAAACAAGATGCAATTACAACCGTGTACCAGCTATTTGCTTTATCGGACGAAACTGATAGACTTTATTTGTTCTTGTACAATTAGGTCTTACTTCTCCACTTCCTCATCTATCATACATATGTACAGTTGAAGGCAATCAAACTTACGAAACATCTCAATTCTTATATGTTGGTATAGTATATCTCTCCATCATGAAATAAAATAGTATTACATTAACTGACATGATCTTTCTTTATAGGTACTGATAGTGGCAGTAGCGTTGTATGTGATCATGACAGCATCATCGCGTTTGAACAGAAACAGCGAAGAAATTTAAACAATCATCATGTCATTGAAAATCGTTTTGGGATACAATGTAAATATGAATTTCTATTAAAAGAAAGAAAAAAAAAAAAGTCATAGCAAATAGGTTTGCGATTAATCAGTCATCCCTTCAACTTTATTCATTCTCACTGATGTTAGGTCTAAATGATGAACAAAACGTTACGAGTGGAAACTTCTGTATGAAATCATGTCCAACTCTTTATGTGCAAGTCATATCATAGAACATATAGGAACAACGATGGGCATAGAATGGAAACGGATTTGATACTTCCTTTTTTTTTTTTTTTTTTTTTTTTTTTTTTTGTTGTTGTTGGTGATATCTCTTTCCCGACATTTCTTTAGCTTTAGTGAAAAGGTTTATTTATTATATCTCAATAAACTCTCTTAAGCTTCAGTTAACTCTTTTTCTCGGAAACAAATAATAGTGATACTTTTCATTTTTCATTTTTCACTTTCATCTCTTTTTTTTTATTTTTATTTTTTTTATTTTTCTGCTTGCTAGGTGTGGCGCAATTGACGTTTGTTGGTTCAGATGGAATACAGTACACGTTTTGTTTTCATTGGTGAATGCAGAAGATCGGTTTATTGGTGGATGATATCTTGACTACGTTGATGACTGATTGATGATGGTGATTGATTGATGATGGTGATTGATTGATGATGGTGATTGACTGATGATGGTGATCGATTGATGATGGTGATTGATTGATGATGGTGATCGATTGATGATGGTGATTGATTGATGATGGTGATTGACTGATGATGGTGACTGATGATGTGGAATGGTGAAAAGAAAGGTGATGATTGATGTTGACAGAAAATGATTCCTACGACGATGATTTTGTAAATTGAGTTTATTAAACGAGAATGTTAAAAAAGTATATTTTAATGTACGTACATGACTAGCAAACTCTAATGTTAATTACTGTAGGTATACACATTTATGCAGTTTTGATTTGAAAAAAAAGAGATGGATATGAATATCACCTTTTTGGTTCTTTTTTTTTTTTTTTTTTCTTATGTATTCGAATGAGACAAACAAGAGGATGGATCCTAAAAAAAGAAGCAATTTTGACATGTCCTCGATCTTAACGCAATCGCAACATATATACAATATATAAGAAGACAACAGAATTAAAAAAAAAAAAAAAAAAAAAGGTAAAAATAGAGATAATAACAATAATAATAGTAAACTTTATTTCAAAAATTAGTTGACATGACTATTAACTAACATTTGATTTTAAAAAAGTATCCCAATCTTCCCAAACTACACTATTCGGCATATTGTATAAAGGTACTTCAGAGGAGAGACATTCTCTATTAATCATCTGTTGAGGAATGTATTGAGGAAGTGGATCTTGAGCATGAGGTTGAGATTCAAGTGGAAGGAAATCTTGTTGGTACTGATAATGTTGCTGTTGTCGTTGTTGTTCTTGTTGTTGTTGCTGTTGTTGCAGTTGATGTTGTTGCACTAAAGCATCAGCCACAAAAACGTCGCTATCAGCGGGTACCAACTCAGGATTCCAGAAGAGTAAATCCAAATCCATATCCTGCATTTGATTGTGTTGTTCCTGTTGCGTTGAAGGTGCAATCATTGGTGATAATGATGATTGATGTGGTTGTTGTGGTTCGTCATTTAATTGATTAGATGGATTCGACCTTGGTATATAAAGTTCAGTACTTGCTGGTAATGTTGGTGGCGGTGGCGATGGGGTCGACTTGGTTGATTGTGATGCAGTTGCTGATGCTCTAGATAGTGATGACAAAAACATATCCTCAGGTCGTGTGCTAACGCAGTAAAGTAAGTGTGGTGGTATTGGCATGGCGGTTCCATCATCTTTAATATCAGTGATGGCTAATAAACTTTCCTTGTCCTGTTTCATACGATCTTGTAAGCTGTCTTCAGTATTGCTGGTATCACTCTGCCATTCGTTGTCCTTTGTTGATGATATTGTTGTTGGAGAAGGTGCTGTAGAGTTGTTCCGTTTCCTTCGTTGTTGTTGGACCATACCATCGCGTGAGTTCATATTAATGTTGTCCTCATCCAAGCTGACAGAGAAACGAGCAGCAATCGATTGGAGTACTTGAGCAACGTGAGTGGACGCTAAGCAAGGATCACGTCGAATAACACGAGAACACCGTAAAAGATTCTTCACTCCTTGTTCCGCCACTGATACATTATTTCCTTTTGCGTTGTGTAAAAATATAATACCTGCTTGGAAAATCGAACTAATAACAAAATGACATATGTTAGTTGTATACCGTCTTTTCTTCTTTTCTTTTCTAACTTACTATACAGAGATGGTCCAAGGAATACATGCAATTGTAAAGATATCCATATTTTCTGTCACGAAAAGAATATTGTTTGCTGCCACTGTACATATACTGAGAGCCTTGAATGCGAAATCCATATCTTCTGATTCTTGATTGCTGATAAATGGTCGATAGAGGAGTAGTAAAATACAATTATAGGACAAGAAGCCCATAGCTGGAACAGTACCAAAAAAAAAAAAAAAAAGGTAAAAATAGAGTCATTAGATCAAGTTTTTTTTTTTTTTTTTTATTTTACCTGATAGAGAATTTTGACGTTTTGGATTGCTTATATCATATGTAATTGATGAAGGAATACTAAGTTTCCAATTTTTTAACCGTTGATCCAAAAGATGTACTAAAGCTTGACTTCGACGACCGAAACGTATAGATCTTGGAGAATGAAGACCACTAAGTACTTGACCATATATTTGACCCAGACGAACAGCGTGATTAAAATGATCATATAAAGGTGTCTTCTTTCGAATATCTCTTGCTGTTTGCATAATAATTTCCGGAACAAATGGACGTTCAGAGAGGTCTTTTGGATGACATGATTCTACTTCGTAAAACGAGGGTAGTTCTACATCGAAGTCTTGATCTATAATGGTTACTGGTCTTCCAAGTTCAGCTGCAACCTAAACAATTGGAAAAAAAAATAACAATAATCCATAAATAACATAATATTCATTTATTATCATTGTATCAATAGTGATCTTTTTTTTAATATATTTATTTTATTTTTCCTTACCCATCGATCCATCATATAAATAACATACCAGATACGACTTCGTAATTCCCTTTCCGGTTCAGGTATATGCCATCCTCTTGCACTTCGATGAAGACCAAGATCTTGTGCCTTGAAAAAAAAAAAGAAGTTCATCATCATCATTAATCTTGATTATGATATATGTTCCAACCTTTTTTTTTTTTTTTCATTTACCATTCTAATTGCCATTCCAGTTTTGAACCAATAACTTGTATCATCAAAATCAGTATCATGTGATTCCACAAATAGGGTCATCAAAATAATAGTTTGCACAGTACTGATACGAGAGCGCTTGTAAATCAAATCAAATATACTGAGAGCTCTTTTCTTGAAAGCCTTGCCCATTTCCATGAATTCATCTTCAGTCAATTCCAGGATACATGGAGGTAATGCCGATCGATCCAATAAAGTAAGTGTTCTTACGCCAATAGTACATAGAGCACATAAGAGATATTCATCACAGGGACTGGGATCTTGATAATAGTATTGTTCTAAAAAGAACATCTTGTTAATAATTGGACATAACAATTGATAAGTTGAAAAATACCTAATCAAAAAAAAAAAAAAAGCGTGTGAGTTAAGTTTTCTATTTATTTTTATATTGACTTTACGTTTGTACGAGGATATCGACCCGTTCTTGATTAATATAAGGAATAGTAGTAGTAAAGACAGCAGTACGATCCATAAAACCTTGAGGAGGGGCTTTGAGTGCTTCAGATTTGATCAATATATGTTCTTCTTCATCATCATTCACTTTTTGAACAAACCAAGATGGGGTTTCCTTGATACAATGTGGTTTGTTGGAATTGAAAAGACCTTGATGGAGCAAGTGAACACCAGAACTCATGCCAATGTACCGTGTTCTTTCATAGTCCGCAATTCCAAGGTTGTCCATTTTTACTGTCAATTCTTTAGCAGGATCCAAGCTAGGACAACAGCACAAGTTAACATTCGATTCTTCAGAATCTTCAGAGGGAGAATCGCGGTGTTTGCCTTTCTCGTTGGGGATCATACTGAGTTTTGTTGTTGGCGTCGGTGTTGTTGTTATTGATGCTGCTTCAGCTGCTGCGGTAGCGATATCCATGGTGACAATCGATGCATCTAGTGGCATAGGTTTAGTGTCGTTGTTGTTACTAGTACTACTAATACTACTACTACAGCTATCACTTCTTTTGGGTGAAATTGGTTGTGTTAGGGGTAAGGTCAAGTCATCGTCACTATTGTAATAATAAGATTGAGGTGATGTCGATGAATTTCCAGTTGGTGTTGACAAAGTGGCGAGTAATGCTTCCATACGTTTCAATCTAGCTTCTAAGACTTCTACATAACTATTCTTTTTGGAAGAAAAACTATATATAGTAAACAAGATTAAACTATTAGTCAATAACAAATAATGAGGAGATAAGTGGATTTTCTTTTTGAGTTAATCTTACCCTGTGGCAGGTCCACGTTTCTTCTGTTCCACCAAGAATTCACACTCCAAATGAGAACTTGCACAACTTGTACAAGGTTTTTTGACATCGGCATCACAACGAATTTTCTTCTTTCGGCAAAGATCGCAGCTTCGTTTAGCCCTGGTTCGTTTTGTTCGTGGGATCGTTACAGCTGGTCGGTTATTATAATGAATTCCCGGTCGGATATCAGGCATAGTTGTATGAGAAGATTTGGAAGACATAATATTGTAAATGTTATCATGTGTATCACTTTGTATCGTTTCAATACAAAAGAATACACCAACAAAAGAAAAAGAAAAAAAGAAGCGGAGAAGAGAAAGAAAGTAATCAAAAAAAAAAAAAAAAGTATGAATGAAAAAAAAAAAAAAAAACTTCTCTCCCATAAAAAGTAAAAAAGCTATTTCAGAGACTACCGGGTAAACTTCTCCCGAAATGAATTTGAATTTTTTTTTTATTTTGATAGGATGCAAAAAAAAAAAATATAAAAAAAAATAATAAAAATAAATAAAATGATAACAAAATAATCTAAGTTCTAATCTATAATCTATCATTCTAAAGCAGTTTTAAGAGTAGGTAAAACCAATTGATTCCTCTTACTAAGTAATTGATCATGAATGACATTCATAGCAGTAACAGCACAGGATTCTTCAATGACACAAGATATATTAATTTCGGAGGCACCTTGAGAAATCATTTCAATATTGACACCCGCAGAAGCCAGGGTAGTGAACATCATACCAGCAATACCCACCATGTTTTTCATTTGTTTACCAACCAGAGATAAAATTGCCATATTTTGTAATACATCCACAGCTCCCACCGATCGAAGATCGCCAATAACACGAGCTAAATCTTTGTCTGCACTATCTACACCAAGCGCCATAGAAACATGTACTTCGGATGTCGAAATCAAGTCTACAACCACACCATAACGATCCAATGTGGAGAAAATCTTGGCGAAGAATCCATGACTTACACTCTTTCGATTGGAATGAACGTTGAGTACAATCACACCGTCTTTGATAGTCACAGCTGTAGGATACTTGCGAGAAAGATCTAAAGAATAACCATTTTCAGCCAATACCTTGGGTGAATGAGGAGATGAAGTACCATCCTTGCTAACATTATCAGTAGGGAACACTACAGTACCAGCTCCACGAGGATTTTCCACATTTTTGATACGGATAGGTATATGAGATCGAATCACTTGTTCCATTGTAAAAGGGTGAATGACTTCTGAACCATAATAGGTCAATTCAGCTGCTTCTTCAGGAGTGATAATAGGTAAAAGTCGTGCTGATTTCACTTTACGAGGATCTGCTGTAAAGATACCATCCACTTCTTTCCATACTTGAAGTTCTTCTGCACCTAATCCCACCGCCGTCAATGCTGCACAAAGATCTGTGTAACCTCTTCCAACTGTTGTAAGTAAACTTCCAGGAACAATACCGAAAAAGCCTAGAAATTAGAAATAAACAAAACAAAAAAGTCAATCCTCTTTTTATTTTTCTTTTTTCTTTTTTTTTTTTTTATTTTACCAGTGACAACGGGAACTTTATTTCCACATTTCAAAACAGCTTCAGCCATTTTTTCAGCAAGATAATCATAAAAAGTTTGATCCAAGACTTCGAATTCACGATCAATAATATTATCCAAGGAAACAAATTGAGCATCAATACCCTATTTAAAAAAAAAACATGAATAAAAACAATTAAAAAAAAAAAAGAAAAGATGTTTTTCTTCCTTACTCTATCTTGTAATACAGCAGCCACAATCCGACAAGATAATTTTTCACCAGCACCAATAATGATATCACGAGATCGAGGAGAGATTTCATTGATGATTTGAGCAGCTTTTAAGAAGGAAGTCAATTTTTCACAATCGTATTCTATATCAGAAATCAAATTCTTTCGGATAGTTTCATCTTGAATCATATCATTAGCAACTTGAATGTGTTCTTGTAAGATATTGTTTAATTCATCCCAATAATCTTCACAACCAGGCTGTAAAGCATAATTAGCAGCACGAATCAATCGGTTGGTAGTTCCATTTTGTTTGCTTTCTCCACTTCTTGCTGAACATACTACAACAAGTCGATTTTGTTTTACATATTCCCTAATATAGATTAAGATTGTTTAATAATAAAGTCTTTTATATTTTTTTATTATTATCACTTACTTGACTACTTGATTGGCAATATTATCAAGGAATTTACCAACACTAGTACCACCGAATTTTTGAACAACCCAAGGTAAATCAGGATTGTTATAATATTGCATTTCAGTCGATGGCATGTTTGGTTATAAAAAAGTGAAGATATAGAAAAAAGAAAAAAAGGAAAGAAAAAAAAAAAAAAAGAAAAAAAAATTGTGAGTCAAAACATCCTGGATTTTTGATCGTCCAATGAAAAAACGGTAAACCTTCGGTCCCTGCTTAAAGATCCGATAATATTGATTGATAATGATTCATTTTTATTTCTATTAGAAGGATATCATTGTTTTTTTAATAAAAAAAAAACAATATGAATATATATATAAATATAAAATAAATAAAAAACTAAATTATGTTGTTGATTTTGTAGGTGATGGTTTATTCTTGAGTTCTTTCCAAAGTGATAACATTTTTTCTTCTTTCCAATCAGCCCAAACTTCATAAATAGATAGAATCTCTTGAGTAATTTCCACCAAAGTTTCCACTTGTATATTGAGATCAGCAAACCATTGACGCATATCTGTTCGATCACCTAAAGATCCAGGTACAAAATCAGCATGATTTAATACTATAGTGAGATAAAGAGCAGCCAAAGCTATCATATGAGGAGGATGTAAAAGACAAACATCAGTACGAAATGAATCATTCACAATAAACCATGCAAATTGTAATCCTTGTTCCTTCATTCCAAGTTCTTGACAAATATGAGTAAGAGATCGATATGGATGCCACACAATCAAGTAAAATTCTAATTCTTCTAGTAAATAGAATTCGAATTCCGCTACTTTGGAACTATCATAGGGGAATCCACCAAAGTCGACTAAATAATATACAACAAACAAACAATCATTAAATAAATAAAATAATTAGGATATAATAAAAATCATTCATTTATTTCTATTTACCTTGAAATGCTTGTTTGGCTTCTTGAGTGACCACTTTAATATGAACAGGACATTCTTCTATTTTCGTAGCAAGATAAACACAAGTCACCAATACAAGTAATGGATCTGTCATACGTAATGAGTTTCTAAAGAGACAAGATTAGATTATAGAATATATTTAGAATAATGTTTTTTTTCTTTTTCTTTTTTCTTTTTTTTTTTCTTTTACTTTGTATAAAATCGTTTAAAATAAACAAAAGCTGTAGCCACCACTTGTTGTTTAAGTTGTAATCGTTTCGCAAGTTTTTGAATCACTAAAGAAAGGTGTTATATATATAATATATCATAAAACATAATAATTACTTACAGTGACAAAACCATATTTTGATTTTGATATAATCTGATTCTGATATATATTTCAAGTCTTCTTCTCTACTTTGAGTTAAAGTCCAACGATCAAGTAACCAATGATTTCTATTTCATCATAAAGAATACATATATTAGTCTTCTTTTTCTATATATATTATTAAACATAATAATGGATAATATACTTTTGTGTTGAAACCCAATAATTTGCCGCCATAACCGTCAAAAGACAAAAAAAAAAAAAAAAGAAGAGACAATAAAGGAAAAAAGAGATACAGTAAGTAGAGATTTTTTTTTTGTGAAGCATTTTCAATGCCCGTTCCCAGTTCATTCGGTTCAAAAAAATTCTATTTCTAATGGGGGAAATCATTCATTTTTTTTTTGTTATCTTATGCTACTATACTATTGACCCATTTCTAATGAATCAATGGCGGTAGTTTAAAAGAAGAAGATGGGGGAATCAAGAAGTTTGACATAGTTTTAAATTTCTGGATTACATTCACAAAACGTAGATTATTTTGTTTTTACCAAAATAAGAAGTAGTTTATAAAAAAAAGAATCATTTGGATTTCTGCTTTTCATCATTAACCTCCTTACCGCATATAAGGCGCGAGAACGCAAGCCATATTTGTTCTTTTTGAGAAAATCAATGGGCTGAACATTTTTTTTTTGTATTCCCGATATTTAACTCCTCAATTTCAGGTTCTTTTTTCTTTTTCTTTTTCTTTTTCTTTCTCTTTTCTTTTTCTTTAAAGGATTCATGATTTATTCTTTATTATGACTTCTCAACATATTGACAATCTATCATCTCCTATTCAACCACCTGAAGAATCTTTTGATCCTAATTCAAGTTCTCATAGTTTACCACGTATCATTCTTCCTTCCTCTCGACGGTCAAGTTTCTCTACAGTAGGGGATAATGAACCTCGAAAAGGTCTAACCTCACAACGATCTCAACCAAGTTTATCAAGTTCCTTCAAATCATCTAAAAAGAAAACCAATCGTCGTAGATCTTTTGAATCAGACCTTGCTCTTTCCTCAAGTGACGAACGTCTTTCAAGACCTTTTGCCAATGACAAACGCAACAAAGAATTCCATGCTCTTTTTAAAAGTGTACCATTAGACGACAACTTGATAGAAGGTAATTTATATATATATATTTATCATTCCATATTTAATGTATCACTCATATAACTGTTTTTTTTTTTAGATTATGGCTGTGCTCTACAAAAGGAAATCTTGTTACAGGGAAGAATTTATATATCACAACATCATCTATGTTTTAACGCGAATATATTTGGATGGATTACCAATGTAAGTATTATATTTTTTTACTGATGGATTTGTATCTTAAAATAACTAACCTTTTTTTTTTCTTTTTTTTTTTTTTTGTATTATAGTTGGTCATTGCATTTGCTGATATCGTTAATATAGAAAAACGAACAACTGCCATCTTTATTCCCAATGCCATTCAAATATCAACACATCAATCCAAGGTAAAATTCGATATTAAAAAAAAAGGGGGGAATAAGGGATATAATGTCATCTTCAATAAACTTGAAACTAATCAAATATGTTGTTTTTAATGGATGAAAATTACAGCATTTTTTCGCCTCCTTTTTATCCCGAGAACAAGCTTATGAACATATGATGATTATATGGCAACAAAATCAAGAACGACAATCATCTCTCACTATTGGCAATTCCTTAAAAGATTCAAATGATGAAAATGATGATATGGATGATGATCTATCTTTTACTCATTCTGAAAATGATAATCAAGATGATAGTGAGTTGGCAACAACTCAAACAATGGATGACCTATTAGTATTGACACCTCCAAGACCTATGAATGAAAAAGGTAATAAATATATAAATAGTTTGAAAAAAAAAAAGAAAATAGAATGAAACTTTGCGAAATAAATATAATCTAATTTTTTTTTTAAAAAAAAAATAGATCGACAATCATCATTGGCCTCTTTACCAATTCCAACACACGTCAATGAAGAAACAGATGCAGCTCGTCGTCGTGCTGTTTCCGAGGCAGGACCTCGACCCAATACCGAATCACTAATACAAAGTGCGACTGAAGAACCATTACCAACCGTTCAACAAATCAATACCAAATCAGATATCAACAAGCAAACAATGACATGTGAAGCAACGTCAAAACAGCAAGAACAATCTGAAACTCAATGTCAATGTCAAACAACTGATGATCATTTCCCAAATATTGTCCTGGATCAAACTTATCAATGCACTATAGAAACCATGTACAACCTATTATATCAAAGTGAATTTGTCAAAAAATATCTTCTTGATGTGGAAAAAAATACAGGTAACCAAAAAAAGAGTAAAAAGCGATCGGAAATTGAACTATTTATATCTTGATAATTATTATATAGATGTTGTTATTGGTCCTTGGCGTCAAGACAAAGATATTCCATTTGTTCGTGATGTCTCGTATGTCAAATATCTTGGCGGTGCTATTGGTCCCAAATCAACCAGATGTATTCTCAAGGAAGAACTAATTCATTTGGATTTACATCAATCTGTCACTCAACAAACAACCACTCAAACTCCTGATGTTCCTTCTGGTAATTCTTTTTGTGTCAAGACTCGTGTATGTATCTCTTGGGCAGGGCAAGGTCAAGTACGAGTTTTAGTCACAGTACTCGTACCATTTTCAAAATCATCATGGTTGAAATGTAAGTAAGAATTAAGGAAAAGGTGAATCATTTAATCATTTTTTTTTTTTTTTTGGATAGCCACTATTGAAAAAGCATCTATAGATGGTCAAATCAATTATTTCAAGGGATTAGATGTAGCCATACGAAAATATTTGGAAACTCGAAATCAAGTATCATCATCACGGTCCAAGAAACGACATGGCAAACGAAAAGGAGGACAAGAAAAGGGCAACGATCATAAACAAATTGGTATCAATCAAGTAACAACAAAAGACACGACATCATCATCCGTCTTTAGTACAATGATACAAACAGTGAATGATGGTATACAAACGATTGGTGATCTATTTGTCATTCCTCCCACAATGGCTCAATGTACAATGATCTGTTTGATTCTAATGGTAATGATCAATCTTTATATAGCTTTGAAAATGGTCAATATGGGACAACAACTTTATAGCATTCGAATGGATACACGTACACCTATCACTTCTTCTTCTTCTTCTCCTTTGGAAACATGGCGACAAGAACATCGTCAAGAAGTGGATTCTATGTGGCAATGGCTGGAACAATTAGAAAAGGATCCATACCAACCTTACGCTCGATTATCTACCAATCAAGTCATGTCTGATCAACGCTATTATCGTGACCCTATGAATCGTCATGTTATTGAATTGGAGAAAATGGTACGACATGCTGGTGAAAATGTAGATCAAGTTCATCGTGTGGTCAAGCAGCAAAGACAAGAATTATTACAAAAATTATCCTCTTAGTTGATTACCCTTTTTTTTTTTTTTTTATCATCATTGATTCTTTCCTTTTTATCCTACTATACCTACCTTAGTCTTTTTTTTTTTTTTTGATCAGATATCAGCTCATTTTTTTTTTTTTCATGATTCCAATAAATCAATCATTCAAGCATGTGCGTAAAATTTCATTGATGCTATGTTGTATCACCATCTTGTTTTCAAGGTCAGCCTGAGAAATCATCCAAAGTCTCACAATCTTATGCTTCATTTATAATATTTCATTAGATTATTATTGATACGAAAATCATTCTATCTTTTTTTTGATAAGGCAAACTGTAATTTTTTTTTATTTCAAATAATAGTATGTAAAAAAAAAAAAGGACGTAGGGGTAACAGACTAAACTAGTAGTGTTCTAAATAATAATAATAATAATAATAATAATAATAATAATAAACTATTGCCTATAACCACCAAGATTCCTTTTCATCACTATGGACAAACATATCAGTGTCATCATCATCATCTTGTTGATAATAAGAGGATGAAGAAGAGGGAGTTCTTTCCAAGCAATCATTCATAGAAATATCTTCTTCCACCATATCAGACCAAGATAAACCTTGAGCACCAGGAGCAGCAGACATACTGAAGAAGGCAGAATCGTATCTTGGTTGACCATCCTTTCCTTCTTGTTGTTGTTGTTGAGGAATATCTACAGGAGTCAAAGGTGACACTTCTTCATCATCATCTTCTTCTTGGTAGAGAGTCAATCCACGGAATTGTTTGAGCATTTCAGACACAGAGACACGACGACTAGGATCCAAAGTAAGTACAGATTGTTGCAAAAAGAGAGCAGTTTCAGATGACAAAGTAGGAAACAAGTGTTGTTTGAGCATGGTTGGATTTCTCTTGTATTCAGCAAAGGCAGGATCGGCCAAGTTTGCTTCTTGCCAAGGATTGCGACCAAACATCAAAGCCAATAGTAAAATACCCAAAGACCAAACATCAGATGCAGCTGAATCATAAGGTTTTAAATCTTGATCATCATCATATTCATCATCGTTTGAAAAATGTTCAGGCGCCAAATAAGTAGCAGAACCGCAGCCAAATTCCATAGACCATCGATCGCGTGTCGCCAAACCAAAGTCTGCCACCTTACAATCAAAACCATCGGTATCATCATCTAAACCCTTGAGTAAAATGTTTTCCAACTTGATATCACGATGATAAATACCTTGAGCATGCATTTGTTCAATGCCTTCCAAGATTTGAATAAAGAGATCCTTAGCCACATGTTCAGGACGAGAGGTACGATCTTGTTGATCACGAATCACATAGTCAAATAGGTCACCTTGATCACACAAATCCATTACCATATAAATATAAGAATGATCTTGCATCACAGAATGAAGAGCCAAGAGTGAAGGATGCTTCAATTGAGATTGAATATCAATTTCCAATTGTTGAAGTTGTTGTTGTTCAACAGTAAGACCAGACTTGTTGAGAACCTTGATGGCAACATAAGACTTTGTTTTCAGACTTTGACCAAGAAAGAGACCACCATAGGAGCCATGACCAAGATCTTCGACAAATTGATAATCACCTACAGTGGTGTCAATCAAAGATTGAGAGAGTTCAGACCAATAATCACTTGAGATTGTAGTAGACATCAGATTAAAAGTAGAAGCAATTGTTGTTATTGTTGTAAAAAATTGTTGTTTGAGATAAATAAAGATAAAAAAAAATAGATAGAAACACTATAGAATAGAGAAGGTGTATCTGTTTCGTTGTGTATATATGTAAAAATAATATCAGGAAGTAATAGAGTGCAACAAGATGTTGGATGCCAATAGGGGGCTAGGTCGTGGAGTCAATAATAAAATCATAGTATAATATTAAAAAAAAAGGGAGATTGCTGAAATAATCGGCAAAATGGTTCAATGTTGATCGTATTGTAAAAAAAAAAAATGTTTTCGTAAAAATTGTTTTGTCGTTTTTTGCTTGGGAAGCAAGAAAATTTAGAAAGCCATAATGGATAAAGTAATAAAAAAAACAAGTAAAAAAGAAAAGAAAAGAAAAGTAGATATATAAAGAAGTTTTTAAAAAAAGGGAATAAACAGAAAAGAGAAAAGAATAAAAAGGAAAAAATGAAATCAAATTTATTTATAGCCTAGCTGAATTCATTTACCGCCGATGATTCACACACAAGTTTTGTGGTGCGTTCCAGAAGCTTCCTCGCTGATTGGTTATTAGTGATGCAACATAGAACCAATTTCGTAACTCGGCGAAAATGCTTATCCCCCCTCCCCTCTCTTCTTATACCATATTTGGAAGACTTAGCATGTTCTATTTGAACCTATCAAATCACGTTTATTCTAACTATCAATGATGAATCATGTCGAGACTTTCAAGTGAAAGCACACAATTTAATAAACCCCCCCCCTCCTCTTTTTAATAGTTTTGATCCAACTTTTTTTTTCTATCTTCCTAGACTTTCCTCTTATGGAATAATTTTTAAATTGAATCATTCAAAAAAAAATTTTGGAAATTGAGGGAAATTTTTTTCCTCCCGCCTTAAAGTGGGAAAATCATTATGACAAATTTCTGCACACTCCTACGTGGCTAAATTCGGGCAATCAATCCATTTTTTTTTTTGTATCATTCTAGTCTTAATCATCATCATTAATCAGATTCATCACATCACTTTTTTTTTTTTTTCATTCCAATTCATTTTTTTTATATTATTATTATTATTCTTTATTCCTCCCCTTAAAAATCTACATGTGATCAATATAATACAAAAATCATCTAATCTAAACTAATAAACTAAAAATCGAAAGACATTTCATTATCTTTCTTGATCAATTCCAACATCCCAGGAGGCATCAATGGTTTCTTGACGGATTTCACTTGTCCATCCTTTTTGGTGATAGTCTTGATTTCAGCAATATAACGGAATGGCATGGTCACAGATTCATGTTTAGAGAAATGAATTTCTGGATGATCAATATAGGGTACTTCGTTCAATGGTACTATCGGATAAACATTATTTATTATAAAATTTAGTTTGAGATCAATTTTCTCCCACCCATATATATATATGTTCTTCTTTTTTGAATATTCTATTTTTTTTTCTTACCGCGATCTTCCACTACACGACGTGTTACGTTCAAAGCAGTATCCGTTGTCATTTGTACTGGACCCAATCTTCTTCCGGCAAAACCTAACTTGCGAAGTTCCTTGGTACGATCTGTCAAAAAAAAAAGAACGTGATTTTGGTATCATGATCAAACTAACATATACTTTTTTTTTTTTTTTTTTTTTTACCTCTTGGTGGATCATCCCCTATATATATATAAATCATGTGAGTATATATGTGTAAAAGTGAATTTGAAATATTGACAAAGTATTATTACCTAAAATACCACCAAATAAAAAGTAATCAAAATTATCACCATCCTCAGGAGCCAATTCAGAAGTAGCTGCAGGATCTAATAAACAGACTCGTTTGGGATCAACACCAGGAAGATGTAACACATCTTCAGAATGACAATGAGCTTGTTTGAGTTCTTCTGGCATATTCTTTTTGCAAGCTTCAGATAAACATGAAAACCAAAGATGTTCACCACCAACATTGCTTAGCATATGCTTGTATTCCAATACACACCAAGCATGCATATCATCTTCCATATGTTCAATAATATAGGATCGTTGTTTAGTCATTATATTAGTGTGGATTGTTTATTACAAAAAAAGAGAAAAAAGAAGGGAGGTAAATGCGGACTACAAAAAATTTTTCATTTCAAAGCTTTTTTGTTTCCCCAGTGACTAGTCATATTGTATAAATATAAAAAAAAAGGTGATAGTGATAGATATATTGTATATGTACAATTAACAAAAAAAAAAAATAAAAAAGATAGAATAAGAATATACAAAACTAGAACTAAAAAAAAAAAAAAAAAAAAAAAAGACTAAAGAAAGATATCAAAAGAAAGAGGAAGAGAGTCTACCAGCCAAATCCTGCTGCTTGTTGTTGTTGAGTTTGCATATCCTCTATAGAAACAATAAAAATCAGTATCAATAACAATAACAATATATATATATATAATCATTACCTTTAAAGGCAGCTAAACCAATCAGGATACCAGCAATAAAGAAGATCAAACTAATACAAAACCATAATACACCCCAAACACGACTTGACATGCATGATCCACATAATTTTGCGAATTTTGAGGCATCAGATTCGAATGCTTTTCTAAATACCAAATCGTCCAAGATATCCCATAAACAATAAAGACTTGACATAACACTATATTAAAAAAAAAAGTGTGTTAATGATGAAAGGTTGTTTTATAATTAATCATTTCTTACCCAATGAAAAGAACAAAATAACGTAATCCAACCCCATGAGCTAACCACCATAAAAAGACCATGATAGCAATAAAAGCAAATCCAATACCACGCGTCAACCAATTCTTTGCCCACCATAATGTAAATAATAGACAGACACCCAAAAAGATGGATGCAATTTTAGATGCCAGAATGTTGAAACTACACATGACCAAAATAGCGCCAATGGCTGAAGATCCAAGATAACCTGCTGGTAAGGTACACATTGGTATACCACCTCTCTAATAATAATAATATATTAGTATATTTATTATATAATAAATAAATCATACTTACCATTCTTGTTACCCCACCTTCATCTGGATCAATTTCAATAGATTCAATTTTTGCACAAGTCATACAACCAACAATAGCATGAGAAAATTCGTGTAAACCTACTGTCAACAACTAATAAACAAAATCATATATCAGTAAAATAAAAATAATTTTTAATAGAATAAAAAAAAAAATAACCTTGAATGGAGAAAGGATGATCTTGGCAATGGGCATATTCCATAAGACTAGAATAGCAGCAATATAGACACCTATAATAATAAGAATGATTTTTTGATCTTCTGTTGGTGTTAATGCATTGGTTGCTTGATCTTGCACTGCTTGTCTTGCTATCAAATAATGAGCATAACTATCAATAGGTGCCATTAGAACAAAAAAAAAAAAAAAAGGTGAAAGAAAAAGAAAAAAAAAAAGGGGAGAGACGGAAAAAGAAAAATATCAATCTATTTTTATTTGGGTACCTTTTAGATTGATTCCAAAAAAAGAAAAGATCCAAACATTCACAAAATCACTTTTTTTTCGTCCTGCCAAGACAAAATCCAGAAATACTCTTCTTGTGTTACAATTTCCAAAAAATCAAACAAACAATGAGCCTAGAAGAATCAATATATTATATATATAAAAAAAGAATATATTCGTTTTATTTCATTATTAAAAAAAAAAAAGCAATAATAAAAACAGATACGCAATAATAAAAACCTAGCTAAACTACAATAAAAATCCTAATAATAACTATTTCCTCCTGATTTAGAGACGAGCTTGAACAATAGTGTTGAAATCATCAGGTTTCAAACTGGCACCACCAACCAAGAATCCATCAATGTTAGGTTTCGTGGCTATATTAAAAAAAAAAAAAAGAATCAATAAAACTAGAAAAACAATCTTTCTCTTCATTATATCCTCCGTGACACGCAAACTTACCTAATTCAGCAGCATTCTTGGCATTGACAGAACCACCATAAATGATACGAACAGAATCGGCCACTTCCTTGCTAACATTAGTAGACAACCAGTTACGTAAAGTAACATGGACTTCTTCGGCTTGTTCAGGAGTAGCAACCTTACCAGTACCGCTATTCGCGTTGAGAAAAAAAAAAGGTCAGATAAATCAATAATATATATATATATATATTTACTTACATAGCCCAGACAGGTTCATAAGCAACAACAACATTAGTCCAGTCATTAATCTTATCAGCAACACCCTTCAATTGACGAGTCACAACATCAGCAGTAACATTGGCTTCACGTTCTTCCAATTTTTCACCAATACAAGCAATTACGCTGACACCAGCCTTCAAAGCATGAGCAGTCTTTTCACCAACGAACTATATCAAAAAAAAAAGAAGTCAATTGAATCCATCTTTATAAGGATTAAAGGTAGTAATATATCGTACTAGTACAAATATCACTTACTTCATCAGATTCACCAAAGTATTCACGACGTTCAGAGTGACCGAGAATGACCCAATCGATACCAAGATCCTTCAATTGTTCAGGACTATCAATAAAAAACAAAATACAAAAAAAAAGAAGGTGAATCTACCAATCATCATCATATCTTATCTCTCTCTCTCGTATATACCTAATTTCACCAGTATAGGCACCGGAAGCCTTGACATAAGAATTTTGAGCAGCAACACCAATTTCTTTCTTCAAATTGGCACGAACACGATCAATATAAAGAGCAGGAGGTGCAACCACAACCTCTAATATGTGTTAATAAAAAAAATTGTGTCAGTTGATAAAACATCCCCAACAAAAAAAAAAGATATTGACCCAACACACAATCTATTTAAATATTACCAGTTTGAGCAGGTACATTGATCTTGTTAAGACCTTCGACAAGAGACTTCACTTGGGCCACGGAGCCGTTCATCTTCCAGTTACCACCAATGAAAAAGTTACGAGGAGACATTGTTGCAATACTAATATATCATCCAAAGGATGCCATAAAGAAAAACCATGCAAGAAAAAGTGAGTCGATACGTTTATTCAATTTTATTTGAATTGAAGACCCTTTTTTTTTTGATAGAAAGGAAACATGAACTTACAGTTTATAAAGTTGTTGTTATTAAAAAAAAAAAGAAAAGAAAAGAAAAGAGAAGGAAAGAAACGCGAGATGGGTTCGACTCTTCTTTTTTTTAGTGCAGGGGGGAGTTTGAAACATTACGTCGTCTGACAGGTGGAGAGAGAGAGAGAATGAGGTGAGATCAATAAGTGCCCACTTTTTTTTTTTGAACTGATCGTATTGATCTCCGCAAAACGTACGCTTTTATTAAACACCACTTTAGTTATTCATAACATATGAAGATGAACTTGTCCGTTTCCTATACCACCCGATTTAATGCACCCGACCTTTCCCATCAACTGTCTTTTCCTTTTTTTTTTTCTTATATTCAGAGCTCAATTTTTTTTTTTTTTTTTTCAAGATGATTATCATAAAAATTACTTTTTGTCATTATCAATGAGGCAATGAAGAGTTTTAGCATAAAAAAGAAAAAAAAAATAGACTTTACTGGAAAGTTAAACCCTCTTCGGAGAGTCAAACGTTTACTTGTTCAAACAAGTGACCTAGTGTTACTCAAACCACACACATGAAAGACATTCAGTTTAAGTTACGCACAAACATTTCATAGCATGGAATTTTTTTTTTTTACACGCTTTCCTTTTTTATCCTTTCCCCTACATCAACTGATTTTACATAAGAGAGATCGCCGCTGTTCTTAGAACCAAAAGACCATATGATGATAAACAAATAGTTTATACAACATGTTTATTTTTCACACACACACACACGAAAAAACACACACACACATATATATAAAATAACTAGATTCAAACATATATATATAAGTCATTTTCCATTTTCGCATAAACTCCATTGAGATTGCTTGATTGTATTGAAGAACGAGATATGTTTTTTTTCCCTTGTTTTATTGAATAAAGTTGAAGTATACAAAGTTTGAGATATACTATATATAAATATGAATCGTAGTGTACAAAAGTAAATATATGTAAAAAAAAAAGGGAAGCCACGAAGATAAAGTAGACTAAAGTTAAAATGATGAGAATTATATACAATGGAATAGCAAAAGGAACCGATACCAAGGCTACAGAGGGTTGACATTTTTGTTCAATAAGTTGCTTGACGTAATTTCCCAAAAGCTTGAATCACCTCGACTTCATCCCGAGAAAGTTGATCAATGGAAGACGTAGTAGGTGATTCATCCATAGGATTGCACATATCAGCTATTGATAATCGACGGTAAGTTATCCAATGATGCTTGTTGTTATCAAAGAAGTGATCATCCACATCGTCATCATCATCTTCGTCATCTGATGATGAAGCAGTTGAAGAGGAATCCAATAATGATGTAGAGCATAATGAAGAAGGTGAAGCTGGTCCAAGATGATGCTGATATTGTTGATGATTATCGGAGGTAACAATGGAAGAAGGTCGCTGAAGTATTACTCTATCATCCTTATCGACAGTAGGTAAAGAAGGACAAGATGATTGTTTCTGTTGTCGTTGTTGTCGTTGTTGATTATCAATAGGATTTCTTAGATGTGTTTGAGTATGTTGCATCATGTTATCAAATCTTGAAAAAGTCTTGTTACAATCAGGCACAATACATAAGAATGGTTTCTATAATAAAATAAATAAATTCTAATTAACCTTCACGTATATCATTCATTTAATCTATATTATATTATTCACTTGCCTCTCCTGTATGTTTTCTGTTACCAAAAAAAAAAAAAAAAGGTAAATTAGTCTTCTTTGCTTTATTTCAATAGTTAAAATAATTACCTTGTATGTCGAGCAAGATGTTCACCTCGAGTAAAAACCATTTTGCAATCACCAAAACCAGAACATTGAAAAAGTTTGGAAGATCTTTGTTTCTTTTGAGTAGCAGGCATAGAAAAAAAAAAAAAAGAAAAAGAAAGTGTGAAAAAAAAGTGAAAAGAAATGGAAAAAGAAACAAGAAACAGAAAAAGTTTAAACATGATACTTTTATACTCCAAAAAAGAAAAGACGGAATCTCAAAATTTAGGGAGAACAGTAAAATAGAACACAATAGGTTGAAAAAAAAAAGGCACATTTAAGTTTGTTGAGCGTGGGACAGTTCTAGGCACCAAAATGTGGGATGATAAAGACTCATTTTTTCATATCTCCCATGATGATAATGGTTTGCATATATTATATGATTTCATTCATTTCATGAGAAACAAGTGGATGATGAAACAATCCTATTCGGTCTATTGGAATTCTCTTTAAACTATAATTATCTCATCCTTTTTTTAATTTTAATTTGTTTGTTTGTTTGTTGATTCTTTTGAGCTAATGATTACCCTTTTTTTTTTCTTATTCTTCTTCTTCTCTATTTGACAGTTGACAATCATCCTATTCTCAGAGAAAAAATGTGTCAATTTTGGAAAACATGACATATTAAAAAAAAAAAACAAAAGGTTTAGGTTCAACTTTCGTAAGTATATCAATTATCTCACACACCATCATCCACGTGGAACCCGACTGAATGAAAGTTTGATGGATTAAAAAAGGACCCTCGGTATGATCAATGCAAAATAACGAAACCATCGGGGTTTATCGATCGCATGAATCGACCTTTAGTGTCAAAGCATAAGACACTAAGAAGGGGTCTTGAGAAAAGTTGAATGATCTAAACCAAGTTTAGCAAAGATGGATGATATCATTTTGTTCTTCCTTTTGATTAAATAATAATATTCAATGATGGGGAAAATAGTAGAAAATGCCATAAAAGGGTGAATGGCTATGATGATGTGTTTTGATTACAGCTGGTAGTAAAAAGGAATGATGATGATCATTGGAAAACGGGGGATTTTCTCTTTTTTTTTTTTTTTTTTTCCTTTCATCCTTTTCCAAATATCTACTAAATTCTATTTTTTTTTTTAATGACTCGTTTCCATGACTACATCATCGATCATCAATAATAACAAAGCAATTCACAGCCTAAAGATAGACCAGACTAAACAAGCATCAAGGTTGATGCAATTACCGAACGAAATTTTATTTGTCATCTTATTATATTTGCCATCCAAAGACATCCAATCATTTTTAAAAACCTGTCGTTCATTATACACATTGACGATGGGACATCATCATGAATCATTCTGGCGATATCTTGTTCAATCCAAATATCGACTTTCCTATCACCATCCTTTCCTTTCATGGTATCAACTAGCTATCTCTCGTCATGTTGATCTTATATGCCCGCATTTAAATGGACGATTGCACGATCCTTGGAAACAAGATATCGATCAATTGATCGCTCATTTAAGTACCCTCCTTTGTCATCAATATACTCAATCTACGCAAATTGGAAATCAAGCATCATTCGATTTGCAATATCGAACGCCCATTTTATGTTGTCCTTCATCATCATCATCATCATCATCATTTTCTTTTGGTATATGCTTGCATCCAGATTGTCATTTCATTGGTAACATAAAACAAAAGATAATCATCCAGTTTCATTCATTTTTCTATTATGTATAAAGGATGCGGGGATATCTTTTTTGAGCCTCAAAAAAATCCTGGGCATTTATATGGACATTACCAGAAAACAGGACATTCTATTATTTTGAAAGTATCTAGTACTCATTTTATAGAGATGTGGTGTTATGCGTGTAATCGACCCGTAAGAAAAAAAAAAAAAGTCATCGACCCATACCATTCATCTTCTCTTTTTTCTTTTTTTTTTTTTTTTGTTTGGTAGCTTGGGTATTGGGGATCGAGTGAAAGTGAATATACTAGTGCTAGTGAAAAATATATAGTAAAACAATGGATTCAACGCCTGACATGGTCTTTAGATATGGTAGATCGTCATCATGGGCAGATGGTCCCACACCTCGTTCGTCGTCAATGGGAACTAAGACTTTTGTTATCAAAAACACAGTCTCCATGTTATCTTTTGGATAGTCAATGGTTCTATGCTTGGATTAATTATCTTTCTTCACCCTCCATGGATCCTCCTTCCTCAATGCCTCAACATGATTATTTTTTAATCAATGATCATCCTCCTTCCATTCATCCTCATTTGAAACTAAATCAACATTTTGTATTGGTTTCTAGTCAATTGTATTTTTATATCCAACGTATCTATGGTATTCAAGGTCCAACCATTCATAAAGGTATTAAAAAAAAAAAAAGACAGCACCATTTCACTGTTAATCACCTTTTCCTTCTTTTATTTCATTCTATATAATAGATCAGCTATATCAAAGACAAGAATATAAAGAGCTTTTACAACAAATCGATGAATGTATTGACCATCATTTAACTACCTAGTGCATTTGAATAAACTAACTAATCTACAAATTTTTTCATATCATCCCTTCTTCACTATTTTGTCATAACATAAATTTGGTTCTCTAATTTCAACAAGAGAGAGTCTTGAGAGGTATTCTTCTTTTTCCACCAAGGTTTTCAGTGTTTGATGTACAAATTGAGTCAGATGGTCTATATGTGAAGGATAATCAATGGATGCAAATAAATGACAGTGTAACCTATCTCTGTTTTTCAGCTTACCAATCCAATGCACCGGTCATATCATCTAATAGTAGCAAAGTTGGTTTTCATATCAAGGCCCGTGCTAATCAGGGTTTGAGAAAAAAAAATATCCATCATTAGTCTATGTGAGACATTACCATATCCATCAGCTTTTTTTTTCTATTTATTACCTAGTAAATACTTTTGATATCATCATTTGTCTCTTTCTTTTTTTCTAGTACCGTTTCATAACTACTAGGTAATGCGATGATGACCATTGGCAAGTCGATATACTTGTTCCACTGAAACCCTAATAACAGCGATCTGTTCCTATAAAAGGTAAAAAAAAAATTTCATTTAAAAAGATATACACAAACACAAACACGAACACAAACACAATATATATACTATACGAAAACAAATATATATATATATATATGTAAACATACGCATACAAACATATATTTCTCTTAATTACTTACGAGAGCCTGTTACTACATTTGCATGAATAGGAAAGGATTGTGGTACTTGATCAATCAATTCAAACATTTGACACCATTGAATCAGGTTTTTGTCTCCATTTGGCGAGAAAAAAAAAAAAAAAAAGAAAAGAAGACAGAGATTGGCCATTGACAAGATTTGTCCAATTTGGTGAGATCCGTGCATTTGAAGAAGGGTTTGAATAATAATCGTTTTCCCACTATCATTAAAATGTATATCGTTGTTTAGGTGATACAATGAAATGTTTGTTTGTTTGTTTGTTTTTTTTTTGTTGCCTTTTGCCTGTATTTCCGATCCATTTGCCCTGTGGTACTCGTCGAGACTCACGTTCGATAACAAGTTTTTTTGATTTTCAACGCCAAGGTGACCACAAAAGAATCTGGCTACACAAACAGAAATAGACATTTCCGAGGTAGTTGTACCATCATGATCAATCTCGATCTTTTGTACCTTGTAGGATGAGAAAGATAACCTGACTAGGACCCTGCCCATGCTATTGATGATTCCAATAGATATCTATATTAAAAAAGAAAAGAACAAAATCACACCATTATTGACTTGTCCACTTCGCCTCATTTCCCTTTTTTGTTCATTTCCTCTATCAGATCATCTTTTATTTACTTACCTATAGATACGATATGACATAGCACCATAAAAGCAAACAAGACCGGAACAATAGTAACAGAATGTAAATCATATTTCACTGAAAGAACCAAATGGGTACCCAAATGTATTATTTATTAATGATAAAAATTTTAATAAATAATAATAATACTAGTAAAAAAAAAAAAAAGGATGTTCAATACCAAGTCTTCACCAATGAAAATCTTGTTTCACTTACCGGAATAAGATATCTTTTGATGTAGAAAGAACAGAGATAAGCATATGATTAGTAAAAGAATAGATAATATTAGTTCATTGGGTTCTTGTGCTACTCCTTTCACCTTTTAAATTTACCTTTTGTAGATTAAATATGCTTTCTTTCACACCGTAGATAAAGTCATAAAAGGATCTAAAATATGACCTGCCAATTTTCAAACTGTTTATAAAGATACGCCAAGGTGCCTTTAAAGATCGCATTTTAGTCCAAGCACTTGAATAATATCAGTCGTTACAGTAATCTATATGAAATGAATGAATAGTAAATATTATAGTCCAACCTTTTTTTTTTTTTTTTTTTTTTTTTTTTTTTTTTTTGCCAATCCTAGTCTATTATATCGATCACTTGCCTCATCAAAAAATATTGAGATGTGGCCTTTGATTTGTTTTGTACGTCGATAAGTATGCTGATTGATCAAAATAATGGATCACTGTTCCTTCAACCACCATCAATGGAAGAGCAATAAACATGGCAATCAAAGTCGATTTCCAATACATATGTAGGATCCTCACTCTGCCTGACAGGACAACACGTAAGAATACCAACTTCTGATCCTTGCTAGCTCGTCCAAGTTGGTAATGTTTTCCCCCAGTATTGATCACCTTGTTGAATCTATAAAGAAGGCGAATTACATGATGAATCCTTTGAATCATACTCCATCATATTTTCCACTTATTGACTTACTAATAACTGATAATCATTGTTATCTTTTCTTGATGAACAAGCCTAATTATTAAATTGCATCTTATCCAATTCTTCATCGACTGACAAATTTGATTTCATCTATTAAAATAGTCATAGTGATAAAAGATGGGCCTTATTAATTGGACATTTTCAATTCCTTTTCTTTTTTTATTACTAATAAATAAGATTGAAAGATCTTGAATAAAAACGTGTGCAATGGCTAACCTAAATGATAAAAATTAGTTTGAATGTCGTTAGCAATTACTAACCATAAGTTTCTACATTCATTTTTTATTCATCTTACTGTTTCTTTTGGATTGACAATAACAAAGAAGAGTCCATAATGAGATAGTTGCCTATTTTTTGAGTTGTTGACTGATAATATCGTGCAGACCGGTGGATTGACATGGTTCAGGGTCACATCCCAAAAATCGGATCGTCTAAAAGCAATATTTCGAAATATAGAGTCGCTGGAGCTCCGTTGTATGAATCATACCAAGTTGACGATAACTATTGATAGGAGAAGTTGACTTTGTATCGCAGGAAAGTTCATTGTTCCCATGGTGTAAAGTATTTTTTTTTTTGTCAGAGTAAGCATGTTATTGTAATATCATTGAGAATTATAACGCACTTTCGTATCAAGCTATTCATATTAATCGCAGAAGTCCATCGTAGTTATTCGAAGGGTCAAACTAGTCGTTCAAAAGCTAATGTCATCAACATCAGAAGAAGAAGGAGAGATAAAGAGATCAAGGTTAGGTTGGTGTTGTGAGTACAACTGATGATAAAGCAGTTCATACATGAGGAAAAGATGTATCCATATAAATGAAAAAGTGTAAGAGCGAAAAAAAAAGAGAGAGAGAGAGAACGAAAAAAAAGGAACTTAAGTCTCCATAAATCCATGCAGCTTAGACGGAAATTGAATATCATCGTGCAAAAGATTTTTTTTGAAAACTATTTGCATTTGTGATACTCGATTGGGCAGTCTACCTGCTATCGTACAAGTCGGCTTGATGTTTGGAAGTGTAAAATTTCATTATTGTCATCTTTTTTTGAATAATAATCAACTTTAACATTCTTGCAATGTGAATGACGGCAATAAGACAGAGGACATGTCAAAAAAGAAGATATATATTTGATTATGCTTTCAACTCTTATTTTTTTTTCTTCTGTCATCTATTTTCTATCTTTACTATATATTTTATTTCTATCATTTATTATTGAATAAAGTGCAGCATTAACAATGACACTAACAAAAAAATACTAACAAATCAAGATATATTGAGGAAGAGAGTGATGAAGACATTGACGTAATCCAAATTTTATTTCTACAAATATAAACAACATGAAAAAAAAAAGACAAGAGATGTTACCGTGAAAACCTAAACTAAACTAATATAATCTATTGCTTGAGTCCAATATCCTTTTCAATCAAAGTAGCAGCAATAGGATGATAGAAGTCCTTGTGTTTCAAGAAAGTATCAATAGCAAGTTGTTTTCCATTCTTGGCTTCGTGTAACAGACGGTACAATGGACGGACAAACTTCATGCGACCTTGTTCAGTGATAAATTCAACTACTTCAGGGTAGATAGGTTCATAACTGGTCACCACACAAAGGTTTTGCCAGCGGAATCGGATGTCAGCGTTGCGAATCTTTGTCAATTGGTAAAGTTCATCCATCTTTCGAATCAAAGCATGAGGCAAAGGAGCACAATCGGTAAGTCTTTCCAAGAATACAACTAAATAATAAAAAAAAAAAAATAGAAGAGTATGAATAATAATATTTCATTCTTATTTTATCATACTTTTTTGTCCAGCAGAGAATGATTCAACATCAGACGCAGTGAAACCAGAGAGATCAGTATTGTCACGAGCCTTATCCCATCGATCAGCAAGATCATAACATTGTTTGGCAAGAGTAGTATCAAATTCAGGATCCACAGGAGGCATACCAGGACCATTAATCCAGGTGTTCCAATCAATAGTATTGAGTTTATCCACTAAAGTTTGTCCATGATTCTTTTCAAAGTATTCATACAAATAATCCTTCCACTGTTCTGTTGTAATAGATTGACCAGCAAACTTTCCGACATAAGACTTCAAAAAGGGTTCAAAGATATCACCACCCCCGACGACTTTTTCAATATGATACAGCAAGTTGAAACCCTTTTCTAAAATCGTATAAAAAGGAAGAAGGTTAGTTTATAAACAGAGAATTCATTTTATCGTTTTTTTTCTTTTGTAGACTTACCATAGGGTACACTAGAGAAATAATCATCAGGATCAATACCACTACTCAAATCAGGTTTCAAAACAGTTGCAGGGGAATCAGTGCCAAATAATTCCACACTTTCTTTCAATGCCTTCCATCCGATAATAGCACTGAATTGACGTTCAGCTTCACCATGAAGTCGACCAGTAATCTTACGTTCGATGAAAACAGTATGACCTTCATTCAACTATATAACATCCCATAAAATAAAATAAAAAAAATGTCAAATTATCAATGATATGAGTTTTGCTTTCAATGTTATTTTTTACCCAAAAGTGTTCCTAGAAAGAAAGAAACATAATATCAATATCATTTCATTATTCTGATTATTAAATATAATATCTTACCCAGTTGTGAGTAGTAACCAAATTACCCATCCAACTATGAGCGATTTCATGAGCCACTACATCGACTGCACTTCTATCACCTATAAGATCAGTAAAAAAAAAAAAAAAAAAGTCAGAACAATCGTTATCATCATCTTGAAAATATGGTATATCCATTTTCATATTACCTGCTAATAATGTTGGTGTCACAAAGGTCAAGCAAGGATTCTAACATGACACAGAGAAGACAGAATTCGGAGTAAATTAACTAATAGGGACATTTCTTCTTTTTCTTTTTTTGGACATCCAAACTTACTTCCATACCACCATAAGGGAAAGAAGGAGGTAAGATCAATAAATCATAACGTCCCCATTCATAAGGTGTTAACAAATCTTCACCAGTACGGATAAATTCTTCAGTACCCTATAATAGATATATGTTAGTAATTTAAGATAATGATAAAAAAAAAACTTACGTTAAATTCCCAAGCAGCTTGTTCTATGACTTCAGGTTCACACCAAACGGAACTACGAGGACCAATTTCACGAGATACCAAGTTACCAGCAGCAATGGCGATCAAATAACTAGGAATGGAAGTACGTTGTTCAAATCCATAGGTAGTTAATCCATTGGTACCTTGAACTTCCCCTGTCTTGAGAGCAGACATGATTACAGGTAAAGGAGACGTGACAGAAGCAGAATAAGTTAATTTGATAGCAGGAGAATCTTGACAAGGACAGAAAGCACGAGCATGAATGGCTTGACATTGAGAGAACAAGTAAGGTTGTTTCTTGCCAACAGTTTGTCTATTGTTTAATAAATATCAGTTTCAATAGATATATATATATATTTCAAAAAAAAAAAGATACTTACTCAGGTTCCAAGAATTGAATAGCAGTACATTTATCAGTAGTATTATAGTCAATCTTCAATTGGAACTTTGTACCAGCAGTGACAATAGGTTGAGCAAGTTGAATAGTAAGGGCAGAACCAAGACAAGGGTGACGTTCACTAATAGTATACTATTGGAAAAGAAAAGAAAAAAATAAGTAATATACTTCATATATATATATATATATATATATAAACATACGGTAAGATCTTGTTCGTTCAAAGAAACACGTTGAATATCCAAATAACTAGAGTCCAAAATAACCTTGTCAACGTTATCTTCCAAAGTATGCAGATCCAAAATAACGTGACCAGAGATATTCTTTTTATCAAAAGAGATAGTCCAATCCAAATGTAAGTGAGTATTTTTGACTTGCTTCAAGTTAGCCAAACTACTAGGATCTTTTGCTATGGAATGGTGTAAACACATTATGATTCTTGAAGAGAAAGAGAAAGAAAATAAACAAGATTCGGGGAAACAGGCGATTTTCTCGTGAGAAAAAAAAATTATCTCCTCCGCTTAATAACAATGCGAACACGTCTGTCTATTGGTCAAACATTTACCCGAATAAAATATCCTTTTTTTTGTTCTTCGTTCCTGTTTTTTTTTTTCCTTTCTTCTTTTATTTTCAGGTACGATACTAATTATACCAATGGTAAGTTTATAGACACTTCTTCTTGTCCTAATTGGATCTAATAAAAGTCTTTTTTTTTTATAATCGAATAGAAGGTTTCTCAAACCGAATTCAAACCTTCAGAGCTCTCTTTTGGTGGTGGCGCACTTTCTGGTGCTTATGATGCTATCGCTGATCATTGGCCTGTAGAAGCTTGTCGAGAAGCTTTATTATCTGGTAAGTTAAAAAAAAAAAAAAACTTCAATCCTCATTTAGTTAATTTCTACTATCGACGATTGATTTATTATTTAGAATACAATATCTAACATTCCTCCTTTTTTTTTTTTATTTTTTATTTTTATCGTGCTGTATTTGGCTATCTAGGCATCAATACTTTTGACACATCACCATATTATGGGAAAAGTGAATACATATTGGGTGATGCTTTGGAACAAATCAAGGACGAATTTCCTCGGTCAACATATTATCTTGAAACCAAAGTCGGACGCTATGGTTATACTCCAAAAGATTTTGATTATAGTACCCAACGAACTTTGGAAAGTGTTGCTGAAAGCATGAAAAGATTGAAAACAGATTATATTGACGTGGTATTATGTCATGATGTGGAATTTGTGGAATTCGATCAAGTTGTAGGTGAAAATGGTGCTCTGAAAGCTTTATTTCAACTCAAGACTGAAGGAAAAATCAAATACGTAGGATGTTCAGGTATGACAGAGAGAAAAAAAAAAACAAGAACTAGCAAACATATATGACTGAATGATGTTTAGAATATGATTTCATTTATTTGTCTTTATCATTTTATTCTAGGTTATCCTCTTCCTATTCTTCTAAAGATCGCTCAACATCAAAATGAAAAAGGCCAACCCTTGGATGTCATCTTATCTTACAGTCATTACAACCTCCAAAATACATCTTTGGCTGATTATGCATCTTTATTCCGTCAAGCTGGTGTTCGATATATTTTGAATGCTTCACCACTCAATATGGCATTATTCCGAGAGGCTGGTCCCCCAGAATGGCATCCAGCTCATAGTGAACTACGACAAGCCGCTCAACAATGTGCTCAAGTAGCTAAGGACAATGGTCTCAATATCTCTACCTTGGCATCCATGTTTGCATTCAGTGGAAGATCAGCTTTTCAATTGGATAGTACCGTCATTGGATTGGAAAAGAAAGAAGAAGTACAGCAAGCCGTAGCGGCATGGAAGGTGGTCAAGGCACGAGAAGAAGGCTCTATTCAAGTCCCTGATATTGAAACCAAAGTTTTAGATCAAATCAATTCTCTTTTGGAACCATATAAAAACTACTCTTGGCAAAGTCCAACACCCAAAGAACTTGGTTTAGTTTAATACGATGAATTATTTACTTAATAAAATCTTTTTTTTTTTTTTTTTTGTGATGAACCTTACTTTTTACCTTTTTATGTTTTAAGGAACGTTCTGATATCTGATTGGTGCTTGAAATCAGGTTATTATCTAGATGTTCGTTTGTTTGCTAGGAAACTTGGACAATGGATGATCTGAATGGTATATGATGATGGGATGTTGATGATGATATTTTGTGACTACTGGGAATATCGAGGACAATTTGAACGAGACGAATGATATTGAAGTCAATCAACATCATGGATCATCATCATTGACACTATCGTCTTCAGCCAACATCAATAAACAGCTATCAGTGATCATCTATCTTTTTCTAAAAAAAAAAAAAAAACATCCGAATTTGAATACAACGTTCTCGAGTGACATCAATGGCGACTCGTTACTTCCACAAAAAAAAAAAAAAAGATTCTCAATTGAACTAAAATCTAAAGTTTATTATTTTCTTTAATTTGATTCATCTCCATGGTAGAAACGAGACAGTCCAAAGGAGAGATCATTCTTTATTAAGATTTCTGATTCATCATCAATTATGATGGAAAAGAAAAAAAAAAAAAGAGAGATTCTAAGGATCTAAGCGACAGCGCGACAGATACCTGAGCCAGAAGTATATTGGGAAGGACCAGTACCACGAGGAAGCTTGACAGTAGGGACGGTGGTAGATGCAACTTGACAGTTATCATCGTCGAAAGCAGTACATTCAGCATCCAAGGGGAAGGTCACGGTAGCAAGGATACCACCATCTTTCTTGATGGGAAGACATTCACCATATTCGACGGTTTGTTCGACATCCTTGTTGGAGTACTTCACAGTGAAGGAGGCAGCTTCGGCAGTGAAGACCATACCAAGAGCAAGGATGGAAAGACAAGTAAACTTCATGATGATTAGTTAAATAGAATCAAAGGATGATTTGATATATAAAAGAAAATCATCGAAAGGCGTACCTACTTTTTATACCTTTTTAAAGAATGAATCACTTTCTATCGTTCTCTTCTCAATTTCACCACTTGTTCTTTTCAATACACATGTCATTCTGAAATGATTTTTGAATAATTAACTGTAAACTGCTGCATACTTCGGAGAAGATGTATGTAGTATGAATGCTAGGAGGGCAAAATCAAAATACTTGTCTTTATACTTTAGTTATGTAGTGGAAATAAACAAGGCATCAAGGATTTGTTATAAGAGAATAAGAACTATTGAGAGAATGGAAGTTTTTTTTTTTTTCTTAGATTCATTCTATTAGTTTCATTTAATATTTACAATATAATATTGCTCCTTCTTCTATGTGGAGAACTAAGGTGTTGAACTCCGAGTTTATAGTGAAACAGAATATTGAGGAGTAATGGTAGAATATTCCTTTTTTTTTTTTTTTTTTGATCGTCCTTCTTTTATATTGATGATCGTAACCTATCTATTATAATCGACATTATTATGATGAATCGTTGATATAATATATATCATCATTAGAATTGATCTACTTGATTTTTTTTTCTCTGTAGAGATGCCAAAGAAGATATGAAGGATACATATATATATATATATATATATATATATATATTATATAAATCTATCATCAAAGGAATAAAAATAACTATTCACACAGGATAAATTAGTATAGAGAAGTGATGATGTTAAGGTGGTACACTACCAATTAGGCTCTCGGGGTATTTTTTCCTTTTATTTTCTTTTTTCTTCTGGTGTGTTTGATACATCATTGTAGTGATTCATTATTTAATAGCATCATTTAAGTATCATCATTCAAAATAAAAAAAAAAAAGAAACTTTAAGTTGATTGGATCTATACATCGTCCATCAGTTATCGTCTATGGAGGTCACATATCATCTTATATCATTCATCATCCCGTCATCCGTCATTCATCATCCTGCAACAATAGTTTACTATCCATTACCATCAATCATCATCAACGTTCATTAAGAGTTGAATTAAAAATCTTTCGTTAGAGAGGTAGAGGAGGATTATATGGGAAACTACAATAAGCCATGAAGCTATCAATGCATCACTAACATTGATTATAAATTTATGTAATACATGTTGGGGGAAATCAAGCTCATAGTTGGCATTATGCTGATCATATGAAAACACCAGATGACAAAACAAAAAAAAAACCAATGGTCAATTAAATTATCTATTTTCTCGATAAGGAACCCATCCTTCTTTCTTTTTTTTTCTATACTCACATCTACATATGGTTGAATTTAGTCAATGTGAAAAAAAAAAGATGAATGGGGTTGTTTCTAAAAATGAATAATAAAAAAAGAAACTATTTGAAATGGATGCCAAAGAGAAAAACTTGAAACGTAAGGAAAACCATGGTTAGTTGTGTGGGAGCGCTTGTGGTACCTGACCCTTGACACTTGGTATCCAAATAAAGAACGCGCATGTGTCAGTTCGCCCATCCTTTTTTTTTTTTTTTTTTTTTTGCTCAGCCGGAAGCCAAGTTACGTTAAGAATGCTGTACCACTTGATCAAATAGTCCTACCTCAAATAGAATAAGGTAGAAAAAAAAGTTTAAATGTGCCCCTATTTTAAGAGTAGATGCAAAAGAAAAAAAAGTTGTTGGTGCACGTACCTTTTTCATCAATATCATGATCATCAATATAAACAAAATGGAACCTAGTGTCATTTGATACCCCAGCAACAATGTTTTTCTCTTTTGTTTTGACATGCCCCCCAATCTATCATCACTTCCAAATCCCGATAGACATAAAGTGGAACTGTAACATGACAAATGCAGATTCATAACATGACGAAGCCAAGACATCACAACCAAAAAAAAAAAAAAAAAAAAAAAAAATCCATTGATCCATTTTTATTGAAAATGTATAGTTACGACTAAACTACAAACTTTTTAAAGTTTTGATTGAGAAGGTACCATATTCTCCGGAACTTCGATATCTATTCCAGAGATCACTTGTTGAGCAAATGTCTTTCCTTGACGATCAATCACCATGGAGCTTAGTCCACCTCCACCTATTATGATGATGATCATCATGATAAATAAAAAGAAAGAAAAAAAAATAAGTATCATTTCTATATATTAAAGGGATGAAAAGCTTGTCTTACCTAAGGAATGAGTAAGCACAAAATTCAATGCGTGTAATCCAGGTAGTTCAAATCTTGTCACTGAGCCCTTGCACAAGTGCTTCATATAATCCGCCATCACTTTCTCCGTCAAAGATCGCTTGATATAAGGCAAGTATTCCGGACGTCGAGCAATAATACCTATTCGGCAAACGAACAAGAAAAAAGAAAAAAAAAGATGATCAGTTTTTTTTTTTTTTTTTTTTGGTGACACAGATTTCATTCTAACCTATTTTAATTCATGACAAGAAGACTTACCAATATTTGACACATCTCCTTTATCACCACTTCGTCCATAAGCCAAATGAATCAACTTTGTCTTGACCAAAGGAATCTTGATATCAGGTTCAGGAATACTAGATACAGTAGGAGGTATAGCAAAACTTGCGTTTTCATCCCAAGCATCCCATTCTAAAGTTTGATGAGTTCCAGTACCTACCATCAACTTGGTTCGAATATCCGCCTTGGGCACCAAACAAGGGAAATGGACCATATTAGGAACAGGCTTAGGACGCCCAGCACCACCACCAGTAATACCAGGAGCCATACAAGTAGCAGACTGATATAGATATAAATATATATATAGGATGAATAAAGATAAAAATGTTAGAGCACAGCTATACCTATATACATATATGTCTAGTCTTTTTTTTTTTTTTTTGTCATTGTTTATCTTACCGGAATCACTTCCATAGCGAATAATCCCAAAGCGGCTGTATCATCATGATGTCCAGTGAGACGTAACACCACTTCTCGGGTATCAGCACATTTGCCATTAGCGCCAAAGATTGATTCAGTACCAAGGGCTTCCATGTTATAGTCTCGTAAAGGTGCCATACCACGTTCTTTGAGCATACCATCCACACGTTTATGAATAGCTTGACCGACTGCAATTGCCTAATAATAATAATAATAATTTTAATGATATTAAAGAAAGAAAAAAAAAGAAGAAGACATATAAGTAAGTGAGAAACAAAAAAAAAAAAAAAAGGATATATATGTTCAAGATGAGTCATCAGAATTGATCAGATCACATCACTATTTCTTTTCTTACTTTTTCTTTTGCTTCAGCACCACCGATTAATAATTCACCAGAAAGTTTCCATCCATCCAAAAAGGTACCAGAACATTTCAACCAAGGAGATGGTTGAAAACCTTTTGCACCTTTGACTAGAATACGATTGTTTCCTACTTGACTAAGAGATACTTGACGCATATCCAAGATAACATCAGGTAATAGATAAAGAGCAGGGTCCAAGATTTCATATAAAATTTGTTCCGACACAGTGCCAATAGATACCACACCACCAGTTTGTTCAGGTTTGGTAACAATAAATTCACCATGATGATCGAATTCCACAATAGGATAACCCATATTACTATAACCACCATAAGGAGAGAAAGCAGCTTGCCGCCAATCAGTAAAATTACCACCAGTAGCATGACATCCACATTCGATGATATGTCCCGCCAAAGACGCAGAGGCCAACAAATCATAATAATTGGATTGGCTGGGTTTCCATTGGTATTCATGCATCAAAGGACCTACCACAAGAGCAGAATCAACAACACGACCAGTGACAACAATATGAGCACCTTGATCCAAAGCTGCCGCTACTGCAGTAGCACCCAAATATGCATTCATGGATAGAATAGGTTCATCATTAGTTGGCATACGATCAGCATCCTTGGTATGATCAACAGGTGAGACGGTGGAGAATGAATGAATTTCTTTGAAGCTTTCCAATGTGGGTGATTCTTTATCAGCAAGTAAATCATCACCATAAACAGCTGCTACCTTGATACCTTGAATATTCATCTTGACCAAAAGTGCTTCGATGGCTTCTTTGCAACCAACAGGATCCAATCCTCCAGCATTCGTTACTACTTTGGTACCGTTCTTGATCAAAGCAGATAATTGTGGTCGTAACACTAAACTAATGAATTCGTTGATAAAATCGATACCCTTTTCTTTGCCTTGCATAATACGTCGTTGGCGTCGAGCTGCTAAAATACCCATTGTCACTTCTATATATGTTTAATTCAAATAAAGAAACTAATGAATCTTTTTTTTTTTTCATTATGAGAGTTTTTTTTTTTTTCTTTTTTTTTTTTTTTTTATTATTACCAGCAAGATAATCGGCTACAAGATAATCAAGATTTGATCCTTCATGTTTCACTAATTGAGCAGCAGCAGCAGTGGAATCACCCCCTTGAAAATAAAATAAATGAGTGAATAAAGAAGAATTATAGGTTCAATAACAAGTTCTTACAAAATGCAGAATAACATCCGATACGCACAGGTCGTTGAGTTGTAGACTTTAATAACATTTGAATTAGTATTTTAAAGGAATAATAACAAAGTAAAAGATATAAAATAAGAAAAATAAAAAGTTAAGATGGGTATTTAACATGAGTAAAAAAAAGAAATAAAAGTGAAAAAGTGTGGGGAAGCTTCCATCTTTTCATATGTGAGAGTGAAAAACTGAACGGACTTCTAAATTCATCTCATAGCCTACTACACGTCTTTTTTTCTTCTTTTTGTATGAAAAGGGTATGGATAATAAGGATGATAATTCAGCATTAAGTATACAAGTGAATGAAAATAAAATAAAAATGATAAAAGATCATTATGAAAATATGATCATGATTACTAGATAGACATCTTCAAGTCATAAGTAGTCATCGACTTTATTCCTAAAAGGGAATCTCCCCCATTTTACCTATAAATTCTTTTTAATTTGAATGAATTGAACAGATATATATATATATATATATATATATATATATATTGGTGATTTAAAAAAGAGATATATCCTAATTCCTTTCATTTTTTTTTCTTAAACGAGTGATTATATTATTATTATACATCCGGGGTTAAAAAGACATTATAGTAAGATTATATAGTGTGATAGCATTATATGCATATATTATAATATATATGTATGATGAAATAGATGAGCATGTTGTGTCCGTGTGTATAATTGATATTATCTAGGGAAAATATTAGAATCAAATGAGAACAATTGGTGTGAGACTTTTTTCAAAGAAAACAAGAAGGAAAAAACTTTGAGTAAAAGATGTGTAACACTGTCAAAAATGCATTAGTGAGAGTGGGGGGGGGAGAAATAGAAATTTATTGAACTAACAAGGGAATATGACTGACAAAAAGATCATTACATTAGAGACAAGTAGATTTTATCGAAGATAAGACTAAAAAAAAAAAAAAGAAAAAAAAAAAAGAAAAGAAAAAAAAGAAAAGAAAAAAAAGAAATCATATTGTCAAAATAAATAATCACATTGTACCCTGAAATTTAACTGATTAAAATATTTCATTATATATTTTATCATAGATCATTTTAAAAAAAAATGGATATTAACTAAAAGACCATCATGATGTGGGGGCACAATAGTAAAAGAAAAACGAACGGTTGAACAAATGTCGGGAAAAGGGAGGACAAGGGGGTGGGTGGAGAGGGAGTACGGCGGACAATGAAAGACAAAGCAAACGGACCAGTTCCTAAAAAAGAGATCAAAAGGAATAAAAACCACTCTCTTTTTTTTTTTTTTTTATCGCCTTCTTTTATTTTCTTCTTCTTCTTTACCTTTTTTCTCTTTTTTCTTTTTGGTGATGCATAAATAAACCTATTACATATATTTTCTTTATTCATTCATACATATACATTCATACAATAAACAACAACTACAAACAACAACAACAAGAACAATAAAGAAAAAGGGTAACCATGGTTTCAACTGACTTGCAAGATGCAACAAATGATGTTTGGTTTCATATACGTTCGATTGCCACTGGAAACCTCATTACATGTATTTCTTCTGATTCCTCCTCCTTTCTTCGCTCACAAGTTTATGTATGTCCATATCAACAACAATCTGATTATGCACTATGGACATGGGATGGTTCCTTCTTACGGAATAAAGCAAGTCAATTGGTCTTGGATATAAGAAAAGGTAATAATAATAATAATAATAATAATATCTTCTTTTTTTTTTTATGTATTTAACTTTTCTTTTTTTTTAACAACAACATATTCTTATAGGTCGATTACGTATGATGGAAGATACGGAAATATGTCTTTTTACAATGAAATCGCCAGAAGACGCGCATAATCAATTATGGGGATGCAAAGATGTCGTGGATGATCTCGGTAGGAAACAACAAGGTAGTTTCATTTACTCTCTCCGCAATGAAGAATGGGTATTGGATATTGGTCAAATCGATGAAAAATACAATAACTATAACAAATTGATTTTATTTCCCAGTCAAACCATCGATAATGAAAATCAACGTTGGATTCTAGAGCCAGTAACAACATCTTTATCTTCAACAACTACAAAACCACAAGATATTTCTTCTTTACGACCATCATCAACTGGAGTATCTGAAATTAATACAACAAGTACTACACATCAGGATGCCCAATCTTATCATGAATTCTCTTTTTCTTCAAGTCGATCTTCTTCTTCGGTTGATCTAGCTGGCATGGATTTCCCCTATGGTTTAATGCCCGCTAAACGTGGTTCTCAAAGTTCCGTATTGGCTTCTTCCTTATCCACTTTTAAAGAAAATCATCAATTGGCTTATATTCAACGAGCATCAAATCTCAAGTAAATATTATTAATAATATATAACTTTTTTTTCTTTCTTTCTTTCTAACTTATTGATTTTATAATAGTGACAAGTCAATAGCCATGGCCGTAGCTTATGAAACTTGGCAAACTTGGAAAAAAGATCAACTTGATCAAACTATCAATACGGATTTACCACTCAAGGAAAGACAAGACAAACTTCGGGTTTCTTTACAGTCATTGGCACGTACAGAAGTAAGTGAATAAAGGAATGTATTAATGATTGATAATCATATGACAATGAACCTTACTTCTTTTTTTTTTTTTTTTTCTAGGCCACGCGTCTTTTAAATGATACCAATACCAACATCAACTCAACTCATCAACAATCTGTATTAACCTTAACTAATCGATATATTATTCAACTTTATGAACAGTTACCTTCTACTCCATGAATTCTTTTATTTTTTTTATTTTTTATTTTTCATGTATTCTTCTCCTTACTCCTTCCATTATCCTTTATTTTTGCATATATTAAGATATTATCCCTAAGTTTTCTTAACTCCATCTCATTTGTACATGATTTTTATTTCTTTATTTTTTTTTTCTCGGTCTCTCTCTCTCTCTTTCTTTCACAAACACATGCAACATTATTCCCAGTTATATCACACCTTTTTTTTTTTTGTATGAATTTCTTTCTTTTCTTTTCTTTTCTTTTTTTTTCTTTTTGTCATTTTCTACATTATCTCATAAAAATAAAAATATTCTTTTGTTGTCTTTATTATAATTATTATTCCTTTCTCTCTACCATTTTAATATTTATTAAATAAACCGTTTGATTATCATAAAAACAGTTTATCCGTGGAATTTCAATCCCTTTTTTGATTTGTGTGACCTGACCCGGGAGTGATCAAAAATGATACTCCAATCTGGGTTCCAATTTCCAGGTTACCAGGTGTTTTTTTTTTTGATAGATTTTCTTTCTTACTTTTTTTTTTTATTTCTTTCTTTGTTCTCGACTTTTTCCGAATGCAAGTCAAACTTCGGGTACCTTTGCGCAACATACCTACGCGCTCTTGGTCAAGATCATTTAGCCTAGATGTAAGTTTCATTTTCTATTGTCACTAAACCTAGTTCTTTCCACTCATCGTTTTCTTCTTCTTCTTTGTTTTCTTAGCAAAGACAACGTTTATCAAGACAGTTCCTTCCTTTGACCAAAGAAAGTACTCTTGCTTATACAGAAAATGCTTCCATTAGTCATGCTTATTTGTTACAAGCTGGATTCATTCGTCAGGTAAAGTGAGAATCTTCAAAAAAGAGAAAGTACCTCCATTCATTGTCCTTTTTTTTCGATTTAGTCATCTTCTGGTATTTATAGTTTACTACCCATGGGTTTACGTACTATTGAAAAGTTGGAACGTATCATTGAAGAAGAAATGAACAACATTGGTGGGCAAAAACTTATGTTACCAATGTTATTACAAGCTGATCATTGGAAAGAAACAGGTCGTTGGGATACTTCAAAAGGCGAGGCAAGTCCAACCAAAAAAAAGAATATTTATTATCAAATCATTTCATTGATTTATAACTTTAATTTTTTTCATATTTTTAGTTTTTTCGGTTGAAAGATAGAAAAGGGATGGATATGTTGCTTGCACCTACTCATGAAGAAGAAATCACAAGTTTGGTGGCCTCGGAACTACGAACTTCAAAACAACTTCCTCTTCGATTGTATCAAATTGGTCGCAAATACCGAGATGAACTTCGTCCTCGAGCTGGCTTGTTACGTGGTCGTGAATTTATTATGAAAGATATGTATTCTTTTGACAAATCTGTGGAGGATGCCTTTGCAACTTATGATCAGGTTGGTCAAGCATATACAAAGATATTCCAACGTATAGGCATTCCATTTGTAGTGGTAAGAAAACATAAAAAGTAAATAAATAAAAAGAATGATAAACATACTCATTTATTTTTCTTCTTCTTTTGTTTAATAAAAAAAAAAAGGCAGAAGCTGATAGTGGCAACATTGGTGGATCCAAATCTCATGAATATCATTTGATTTCCTCTGTTGGTGAAGACACTCTTCTTACCTGCAATACTTGTGGATACACAGCAAATGAAGAATTAGCAGAGGCGGTATACAATGAAAACAATACCAGCAGTCTACCTACAGTATCTACCACAACAAACGATTATGAAATTGCATTACAATCACTTGGATTACAGGCGTTAACATCTTCAACACCACACATTACAACACTTGCTTATTCAGCTTACGATGGAACAACAGAAGAAAAAAAAGTAGATGGATTGATTGCTGTATTAACACCACATCACCGATCAGCCAATTTACTCAAAGTACATGCAGCATTAGGTAAACATTTAGAAGGAACTCAAACTATTGGCGATCGGGCTACTCTGGAATTCAATATATTATCTGCTACTCAATGGATGGAAAACAAGGATCAAGGTAAACCTGTACATCTCTTTTTGGATGATGCGGTCAAGCATGACCTTCCAAGTTCTTCTTTCTCTTCTTTCACCATACATGATTCAAATCACTTTCGATTAGCTCAAGCAGGTGATGATTGTCAACGATGCAAATATTCTTCTGAATCATCATCACTGGAAAGCGTCAAAGCTATTGAAGTTGCTCATACTTTTTATCTTGGAACAAAATACTCATCTGTCCTTGGTTGCACCTTCCAAGATCATACTCGAATGAAAGATACTGAAATGGGTTGTTATGGTATTGGCATTTCTCGGTTATTGGCGACGGTGGCGGAATCAAAGACTGATGATCGAGGATTGGTATGGCCATCCAGCATTGCACCTTACAAAGCGTGCATCATTGCCACGGACGACAAACGGGAAACATTCAAGACTCTGGCTAACAAGCTTTATGATCAAATCAATGGAACACCAGGTTGGACCAACAATATCGTACTAGATGATCGTCGTACTGGATTTGGACGTAAAATGACGGATGCCGAAATGATTGGATTCCCCTGGATCGTCGTAATTGGACGCAAGGCATTCAATGAGCAAGAGCCCCTAGTGGAAATTCATCAACGTATACAAGGTGCTCCTAATGTTAAGATAGATGTACCATTACAAGATTTAGTTCGTTGGTTGATGGAACACTAAAGGTCGTATATATCATATTTCTTGATTTTTTTTTTTTTTTTAGAGATTAGATTAGACTAGTTTTGTATTATAGTTTAGAATGTAAATATATAGATTAAGGTAGTCGTCAAATGGAATAAAAGAGATTCCCCCCCCCCTTTTTTTTTTTAAATCATAATGATTTTTTTTTTGTGATATTAATAGATCAGTATCATTCTTTTGTTGTCTTTAGTTGCATAACACTGAGCTTATCCAATCGCTCGGTCTGCAAAGCCACTAGTACCTAATAAGAGTGAGGGAAAGACGGAGGTTGAATATCAGTATCAATGTTTTTTTTTTATTTTCTTTCTTAATTCAACCGTTTCCTTTCTCTCTTTTCTTTTTTGACACATTTTTTTTTTTTTGTTAACCATGGTTGTTCGTATTCGTCTTGCTCGACATGGTCGTCGTAACTTGCCTTATTATCACATTGTTGTAGCCAATGCACGAACAGCACGAAACAGCAAGCCTTTAGAACAACTTGGTACATACAATCCTCTTCCCAATGAAAACGGACAAAAAGCAATCAATCTCAATTTTGAACGAGCAAAATATTGGTTAACGGTGGGTGCTCAACCTTCAGAGACAGTGGAAAAAATCCTTGTTCAGGTAAAAAAAAAAAAAAAAAATAAAATAAAAGAATGATATTCCAATATTTTTTTTTCTGTTGAAAAATAGTGTAACTAATCCATTTTATAATTTATAGGCTAATCTTATACCTCAAGCACCTAAACCATGGATGAAGGAAGCAGCAAAGCGATTCCAACAAGAAGCCAAGGAATGAAATAGAAGATTTTGTTTATAGTGATAGACTCCTTTTTTGTTTTTTTTTTTTGTTTTTTTTTTTATCATGATTTGACACCCTTTTTATATTTCTAACGAAAATGTATATAATATCCTTTTTTCCCCCTCTTTACATGTCATCCATAACCTTCCTCTTCATTTATAATAGTTGTAGCTACATACTTGTATTGATTAATTATACAATAAATATTCTGCTGCTCCATTGAAGATTTCAACATCAATATTAAAATGGAAAACGTTTTGCTGGTAATCATGATGAATAAATATAAAAACTATAGTTCTTTTTTTTCCAAATATGGCTGTTGAAAAGAATCAGCTGAAGCAATCAATCATCAATCATCAGTCAATGTGTTTTGATATACTCTACTGGGATCTCTAGAGCGATATCTGAAAGAGTAGTAATGCGATATCCGTTTTGGGAAAGACCGATATTTTTATTTCATAACTTTGAAAACACTGTAAAAAATTCAGCATCGATCCGTATTTTGTATTTTCCTTTTTTTTTATTATTATTATTATTGACATTCCTTTATTTCTTACAGTTCCATTTTTTTTTTTTTTTTACCATGATGATTATCCATAACAGCGACGATATTCATATGAAACAATTTACAATTGATTACACCTGTTTACGTTCGCCTCGACTGTTGGATGCTTTGAAAACTGCAATAAAAATACGAATGTCAACACCTATTCAACTATTTTATATATTTCCATCCCAAGTATCAATCTGCTCATAAAAAGATATCTCTGGATATCGAAACTTTGAAATAATTACGCACTACTCATTTTGGATTGATTGAAGTAGTGCATGTATACTTTGATATGCTGGCTTGTAAGTAATCAAACAAAATTGTAATTTAACGATCTAACCACACTCTTTCCTTTTTCGGTCTTCAAAATTTATCTTCATGGCGGGGGGGAAACGTAGCTTTTTGAATGCCTTTGTCCAGTCCTTCCACTTCTTTTTTTCCTTTTACATTCTTATTTTCCGTTACTGGCTTGCGGATCTCTTCTTCCTGTAGAGAACCACAATCTCAACTATTTTCACAAATATCATCGCGTCGATATATAGTGGTATGTAGTTCACCTGTAAACGAAAATATAGCCTTCAAATAATGGTTCAATTAACTTTTTTTTTTTTTTTCTCTTCTTCTTTTTCTCACTTTCTCAATTGTAGACTGTGTGAATCAACTTCCATCTCAACTGAAAAACATTTTCAACGATCATACCATCTCTTTTCTCGACAAAGTATTATTGTCAACAACAATTCGCCTTTCTATTTATATCTTCTACTAGCAGCTTGGACTTTACAACGCATACACGTGTCTACGGATTCCATCCTTTTTAGCTTTTGAACCTCAATTTAAACACGATACCAATCTGACGAACTGTTTTTTTTTAAAGTGCATGATTGAAATCATCTAACTCAACTAACTACAACAAGAACTAATCCAGTCGGTTATTCAACACAATCATGTCCAATGCACTTTTATTACGACTCTTTCGCTCGGAATTCTTCAACTCCTGGATTGCTGTATCCTATTTATTTCGATACCCTGACAACGTTGGCATTCAACATTACCTTTGTAGTGAACTTAACAAATTTCCCGTATCTGAAATCGAGTTTTTCTTGCCACAACTCATGTAAGTTGTTACTTTTTTTTTTTATACACTCTCTTTATTAACTGATTTGTTTTTTGATTTTCAATTCTAGTCATCTACTTATTACGCGCCCATCCGATTCGGTGGCTCTGGAATGTTTTCTTGTGGACTTATGTGAAAAATCAACTCATATGGCAATTATGGTAAGGAACTATCATGAATTGTTTTCTTTCTTATCATGAAGTAATCAATGCATTAACATGATCCTATTCAATTTTTTTTTTTTTTTTTTTTTTTTAGACATTATGGTATTTACAAGCTTATGTCTCTGATTTATCCGCCAATCCAAATAGTCCTTCATTTGCTTTATGTAGAAGATTACTCAACAAATGTCAAGCTATTGTATTCTCGGATGGTCATACAGCTGATCTAGAATTAGCCGATGCCGCCTCATCCATGAATTTGGGTATTTCCACTCACAAAGTTCAAGAAAATGCATTACCAGCTTTGGTGGGTATAGGTGCCATGTTGACTGCTATAGGACAACCACTCATGACAAAACCTGCTGGACAAATCGCTATTGCTCAAGGTCGCCGGAATAGTATTTCATCCTCAAGCATTTCTATTGGATTGACTCGTCGAAATACCATGAATGGAGCTAGTCCTGTATCAAATCCAGAACGACTTCAAGTAGATGAACAGCAGGAAATAGAGAGTGAAATATCTTCGATTAACAAGGACAGCGGTAGGACTAGCATAGCACCAACAACAACAGAAGCACCTTCAGCAGTCCAGCAACAAAATGCAGCATATGAACAACCATATCAATCATCGTCACAACCTGAACTTCCAATTTCCAAGAAGAGGTTATCCCAATTCAACCCATTCACAAGCTCACCATCTCTAGAAGACCTTCATCATGGAAAAGCATTTGCAATGTCTCGATATCTTAAATCTGCTCAAAACAAATTCAATCGAAAACTCCAACCTCGATCATCCGCACTTCATGACAGCAAATCCTCATCATCTCGAAAATCCAGCACTAACAACAATAATAAATCGTCTGTCAACATTTTTGATCCAGCTTTAACAGCTCTTGGCCAGTCCTCTGTACCAACGAACAATACTGCACCACTTTCACCAGCACTGACTCATTGTTCCTCAGATGATCTCCTACGAAGTAATCATAGTCGACCATCTCATCTACCTAGTGTATTTACTCTATCTGATGACAATGATGATTCAACCAGTGATGACTCTGATAGCGACCGATCTATTGACACTTCATCCACATTTTCGGATGACTCGACTGCAGAAACTGAACAAACAATGAAACAACAAGGACGACATAGCAACAAGATGAAAAAGGAAAAGAAATATTTTACCGACAAGCAAAAAACTAATACTGATTCTGATGATTCATCTTCTGATTCTGATGGCTATCAAACTTTGGCGCGACTCAGCACGGATCATAGGAAATTATTACTCAAATCCAATTATTTTCGGTCAGAAATACAGTTCGTACTTGCCTTGGTGGATATCGCGACTCGATTGGTGATTGTACCGAAACCTGCAAGAATGAGTGCTCTACATGCGGAATTGGCGTTATTGAATCACAACCTACCAGCTGAAGTATGTCTTCCTCTCTGGTGTCCAGCAACAGCAGAAAAACCTTATCATCATCGTGTGGTCAGAATCAATCCTTCGGATGCGGTGGTACTCAACTCAGCTGAACGTGCTCCTTATCTATTGATGATTGAAGTATTGGAAGATGAGATGAGTTTTGACGATGACTATATGTCTACAATGTATCGAATGCGACGGCACCATCATCATTCCCATCGATCAAAACAGCAACGGAAACAACTACTCGACCACACAAATGATGGTGATGACAAAAATGGCAACAGCAATGACATTGGCACTTTCAAGACATCTCAATACAACAGTGGCAAGAATAAGAAGATGAAGAAAAAGGTACGGAAACGACAAAGCAAGACAAAACATGGATTATCAATATCGGAATTTGCCAAGAGTACCACGACTGCTTCGAAAGCGGTAAGATCAGTGCCTATGGTAGATATGGGTGAATGTCTTGGAGGAACAGCCGCAGCCACTTTGACAGCCAAAATATCAGGGACGTCGACAAATGATCTCACATTATCAGATGCAACTACATCAACAACTACGACTAGACAACATCGAACTTCCATACCATCATCATTGGACGATCATGCAGAAAGAATGCGAACAGCCGCTGTCATGTTAGCTCAACTTCAACAAAATTCATCATCAGCACAAGCATCCGCAGGAGGATTTGGTACTGCCGATATGACAAAATCTATACTTTCCACACCTCGTCAAGGCACTGAACAAATTCGACAAAAGATCATAAAAGAAATGCTTGCTCTGGAAGATCAAAGGATGGAAAAGATGAAAAAGGAAGGCGTTAGTGGTGGTGTAGATGATGATGACGGTGGCAATGAATTATTGGATGATGAACGATATGTTGCTCAAGTGGTCAACAAAGAAGATCCTAGTGGTAAGTTCTCTATACATGTATATAGAATGAAATTGGAACTTAATAGGGTACTCTCTCTTGTTTTTTTTTTCTTTCTTCGTATATATATATATACGTGTGTGTGGTAGCTGCTGTGTTTTCTGAAGATTGGGAAGTGAAAAAAGCAAGAATTCGTGCAGCGTCTCCTTATGGGCATTTACCAAATTGGCGATTATTGTCAGTGATTGTAAAACAAGGAGCTGACCTACGTCAAGAACAATTTGCAATTCAATTGGTGAGAGAAATGCAACGTATTTGGCAAGATACAGGTGTGGATGTCTGGGTGAAATAGTAAGTAATTCAAAAAAAAAAAAAAAAGGATTATAGTCTACTGGAAAGATAAGAATATGTCTTTTTTTTTTCTTTTAATAGTTTCAGGGTCTTGGTGACATCGGATGGATCTGGATTGATTGAAACATTACGAAATACCATTTCTGTTCATTCTATCAAGAAGAATGCTTATATCCGAGGTTGGAATACAAAAGGGATTGTTTTTCACTTGAATAATTATTATGAAAAAGTAAGTATTTAAAAAAAAGGAAAGATGATAGACATAACATTTTTTTTTTTTTGGGATAATCATAGCAATGGGGACCCATCGATTCTGATGAATATATCAAGGCCCAAGATGCTTTCATGCGAAGTTTAGCGGGATATTCCATTGCTTGCTATATTTTACAGATCAAGGATAGGTAAGAATGGAAAAATAATGAGAAAAACGATACTCATTTTTTTTTTTTTTTTTTTTTGGTAGACATAATGGCAATATATTAGTAGATGAAGATGGACATTTGATTCGTAAGTTTATTTTTTTTTTTTTTAAAAAAAAAAAGTAGGATCACAATAATGATTCATAACCTATTTTTTATTTATTTAGATATTGATTTTGGATTTATGCTATCAAACTCACCTGGTTCTGTGGGCTTTGAAATGGCTCCTTTCAAATTACCACAAGAATATATCGACATTTTAGGTGGTGTACATGGCGAAAAATTTGCAGAATACAAAGCATTGATGAAGGCAGCATTCTTATCGGTACGGAAACATAGTGAAAACATCCTACTGTTGGTGGAAATGATGTGTAAGGATTCTCGACTGGCGTGCTTCCAAAGTGGTGATCAGACTATTCAACATCTTCGTGATCGATTCCAATTACATTTGACAGAACCCCAGGCAGAAGATTTTGTAGACCGCATGATCATGAGTAGTTGCTGCAACGTATTTACAAAACTTTATGATACATATCAATATTACTCTCAGGTAATCTTGCAAACAAAATGGTACAAAAATGATTCTGTCTCAAATATTCATCTTTTTTTTTTTTTTTTTTTTTTTTATTATAGGGCATTTTATAGTACGAGTAGTAGTAGTAGTAGTAGCAGCGGTAGTAGTTGTTGTAATAGTAGTAATCAAATATATGTTGACTGTTGTATCAATAAAACTCGGGAACAAAACGGATTTCATTTAAATATCAAGCGATTTGACTATTGTTGTATCAATGAAACTAATAATAATAATAATAATATAAAAGACATTATGGTATTTTTTTGTTTTCTAAAACATGTGGTTTCTTTTATTGTTTGAGGGGGTGTCGATTCAATATGAGAGAGGATTTCAAGTATGTTTTCATAAAACTACAGGTGAAGGCATAAATTATACGAATATACCTAGTGTATGTATGTATGTATGTATGTGAGTCCATATATTGCTGGTTGTCGTCTCTTAAGCAAGAGGACTAATCAATCTATTTCAAAAAAAAAAAAAAAAATGCGTTAATTTTCCTTTGAAAACCAAAGATGGCAAATGACTTTATCTACATTATTGATAACTTACTTTAACCAAGAAGGTCTAGGGTTGCTGTGAGTCATACCAATGTAGATAATGGCAGGAATGAAGGCAAAATGGACAGTTTTCTTGGTGACATCAAATACCTAATATGAAAAAGAATCAGTATTTTACATTATGGTCATTCTTTCTCTCTTTTTTTTCTTTCTTCTTCTCCTACCTTGAGTAGAGCTTCTTTTGTTGATTCAGAGACCATGGTGTTATATGTGTAAATGTTAAAAAAAAAAAAAAAAAAAAGAAAGAGAAAAAAAAAAAAAAAGAAAAAAAAACAACGGAGTTTCTTCTTCCTCTCTTTTTTGGCTTTTCAGGTTGGATTTAGCCTGTGACGTTTTTTTGGAAATTCATTTTCATGCGCCCTTCTGACGCCCCTTGATCCTAAAAAGGTGAATTGGTGATTATCTATTAGCTGTAGTTCAAAAGAAGTCAGTAAATCAAATGGAACAACATGAACATTCACACGTATTTTTTTTTCTTTTTTCATTCTTTTATATATCATGGAAAAGTTGGTTGTGAATCAAGGTGTGAAATTGACAAGTGTGGCTTTACCCTTACTTTTAGTGTCTCAACATTATACACGGAAAGGAACATGGATCTTTAAACCTTTGGCATCAGTTGGATTTCTTATATCAGCTCTATCTCATCGGTCGTCTTCTTCTTCATTGTATGGTACATCGGTCATGACTGGGCTTGTCTGTGGTGCGTTAGGAGATGTGCTATTGATCCCCAAGGCTGGGTTTTTGGCTGGATTGGGTAGTTTCTTAGTGGGTCATGTAGCCTTAGTGTATGCGTTCACATTACATCCTATGAACATTCGCCATGGTGCTCGTGCGCTTGTTGCTACTACGGTTATTGCCACCTTGGTTGGACGATGGTTGTTTCCTCATATTCACGACAAAACCATGCGCCGTGCTGTCTCGATCTACATGGCTATCATCAGTTGTATGGTCATCACCGCTTCTGCTAGCGTGGCCAATGCTCCTCTTCCTCAGCATCAATTGGCTGGTGCTCTCATGTTCTATTTGTCCGATTTATTTGTGGCAAGAGAGGAATTTGTCTCAAGATCCAAATGGAACCAATGGATTGGCCTCCCTTTGTACTATGGTGCTCAACTCCTACTGGCTGGTACTTTGCAGCATTGATACCTTTTTTAGAATGGTTCTTTTTTTTTTATTTGATTTGATAATAATAAAAAAACTATACACATATACATCATCATATCATTGCCTTGTTGATTTTAGTTTGTCACAAAGAAAAAATAATAATGTTTCTGTTCTATTCACTAATGGGTGGGATTTATCAGAATTCCATGCTTGTTGAAGCTTCTTCTATAAACATCATATAAAGATGAGTCGTCTTTTCTAAATCATCTCTGTTCTCTTTTTTTTTGATGTACCTCGTTTCACTCGTTGAGTTTCCAGTACCATGGCATTGACGAATTTTTCAAAAATGTCGATATAAGGCTTCAATGATGTCTTTTTGAAGTCTATATAATAAAAACGAATAATAATTAATATTGTCGCCTTATGATCATCTCCTAAGATATACCTGGCATCTTGCGTTCCGTGTCATTTGCTGATGATGGAGTATATTCGTTCAATTCTTTACAAAGTGTGGCCAAGGTTGGTGTAGCTAAAGGATCAAAGGATTCACAATTGTTAGGATCAATGGGCACACATACACGTTCTAATGAAGAAAAGAAAGGATAAAAGAATGAGTGATCCATATAAATGAGTGTGGAGAACTTACGAGTCTTTGGATGAACACAGAAGGGACTTTTCAATAAATGGTTGATATTGATGGATACTTTGTCATCTAGCCGAGGATATAAGTATTGGAACAAAATATCACGTACAGTGGTATCGTAGCTCTAAAAATAATAATCATATATTAGATCAAGTGATTTTTCTCTAATCCATCCTATTGATCATTTACCTTTGTTGTATCTCTGACTGCATCTTTCAATTCATTCCATTTTTCACGACCTGTTAATGAAGAATCGTTAGACCAGGATTCATTCAAATCATTGCGAGTGCCTGATTAAAAAAAAAAAAAAGTCGGTTAATGGTACGAATATATTATATTCCTTTTAATTCACCTTCATCTGATATGATGTTTAGCATTTTTTCCCATTGAATCTTTGTATCCAATACACCTTGACGTTCCAAAATAAGAGGTACAAAATAAGGTTTGATGATTTCTAATGAACGCCTAAAAAAAAAAAAAAAAAAAAAGCAATTGGAGTTATGAAATCATCTTATTCTATTACACTACTTACTCTAAAGAAGGATGTAATGTACTTGGTAATCGTACTTTTCTTGCCATTTCCGCGCCACCCTAGATGAAGGAAAAAAAAAGGTTATAATAAAGATCAATCTTTGTTTTTGTCAATATTACCTTCACAACTTCTAGATAACCAACGATGGCTTTACGACTGTCATTATCCAATTGTCTTGCTCTTTCATCACTGACCCAACAATGGACCCCACGACGTCCAGAGTAAACCCATAACAAGTGTTCAAATCCAAAATCATCTATAATATACAAAAAGAAAAGGTATTTGAATAAGTACTCCTTTTTTCGTTTTTAGTGACCTATTTGCTTACCACGTAGACAGGTATCAATGACTTTGACAGCAATGGTCATGAATTCCCAACAAGAACGACAAACGTCTCCACCACTACAACACGTTCGAATTTCATCATAGTCGGTCATATCAATATCAAATACCAATTCTTTTTCTAGAGGTCGAAAGGCCTTTTCACTAACAGTTTTCTTGTCTTTGGGCTAAATCAATATATATATATATATATATATATATAAAGGTCAGTATTGTCTATTTTTAATTGGATTTGTTCCTATCAACTTTACTCTGACGGAATAGACAGCACCAATATCGATTTTGACAGGTTGTAAGCGTTCAATTTCCTTTTTCAATGCGTCCATGTCAGCAAACGAATTATAGCGTATATAAATATCGTTGGTCAAAGTAAAACTGAACTCTCTATGAGTAAAGTTCTTACTTGTATCTATCAATAAGAGATATACAATGAAAATAATGAGTGTATATATAAATATTGTTTTTTTTTTTTCCTTTTCAATCAAACCTACTAATATCATAACTTAACCATGTGTGATATAACTTGTAAGGAAATAGTCTTTGATAGAATAATCTTAGTAAGAATATAGGATCTTGAGTTTCTGCTGATTCCAGAATACTGTTCATACTAAAAAAAAAAAAAAAAAAAAAAAGAAAGGTATTGTCAAGATCTAGTTGATTTTCCCTCTCTCTTTCTTTTTTTCTTGTTGTTACTTGAATTGACGTGGTGCTGACGAAGACCATTGTTGTTGATTTGTAAGTTGATCTCGATTAGGAGTTTGCAGTTGAACATTGGCCATATTGGAGTCCATTCGATTAATATCTTCGTCTTCGTTATCACTAAAAATATCGTCCATAGTAACATCCTTTAATTCATTATGAATAACAGCTACAGTTAAAACAAGATTTAAAAGGTAAATACTATATAACAAAAAAGAAAAAAAAGTTGATAATGATATAGTTCTGTACCTGCTTGATCAAAAGTCATTTTGCTTCTGTCAGAATATAGATATGTATATAAAAGGTAGGAACACGAAAAAAAGAGAGAAAGAAAAAAAAAAAGGGAAAAAGAACGAGCGCGACGAGATTTGCTGTTTGCCAGTGTTGGCAAAAAAAAAATGCGGCATTTTAAATTATGGGGTTCTTTTTTCTTCCTCTTTTTTTTTCTTAGACACATATCTCTTTTCTTTTTCTACTTGGAACAATCTAAAAAAGGATGGAGTTTGGCCTTGAGCGTATGCAAAAACTACTTTGTCACTTAGGCAATCCTCAAGATCAGGTCAAAGTCATTCATGTCGCGGGTACCAATGGCAAAGGGTCTGTCTGTGCATATATGACCAGTGTCCTTTTGCAAGCTGGTTACAAGGTCGGTAGGTTCAATTCTCCTCATCTTATTGCTCCACACGATAGTATTCAAATTAATGGTAAACCTGTGGATCCCAATGTATTCGAAACAACCATGGAACGAACTCGAAAAATCAGTCAAGATACTTTGGTGAATGCTACTAGTTTTGAAGTTTTGGTTGGTACTGCTCTTTGGCTGTTTGTTCATCCTCCAGAAGAAGAAAATGGGTTGGACTTTATAGTGGTAGAAGTTGGTTTGGGTGGATTATTGGATGCTACCAATGTGTTTCGATCACCAATCATGACAATCATCACTTCTATTGGTATGGATCATATGGGAATTCTTGGAAATACGATTGCAGAGATAGCTCGTGCCAAAGCAGGAATTATGAAACCAGGATGTCCTGTGGTGATTGCCCCTCAATCAGAACAACAAGCTGAAACATCATTGGTGCATTATGCTCGTGAATTGGATATTTCTTGTGTGGTGATGGTCCCTGCGATAGCCGATGATGATATTACAACAATAGTGACAACAGGCGAGCAACATCTGCATCTGCAGTTGGAACCTAAAGATGTGATAAAAGGATCAACCTTACCCCCTTTGGATATTCATTATACAGTGGAATTACAAGGTGATTATCAACGGGAAAATTCGGCAACTGCGATCATGGCATTAAAGTGGCTGGCTCATTCTGGACACATACGACTTGACACAACAACATTGCAACAAGGAATGACGAGAACATCATGGCCTGGACGATTAGATTGGGTGAATACGACATGTTTATTACCTCATCTACCGTTTACGACATTGTTGGTCGATGGTGCACATAATCCTCCAGCCTGTCAAGAATTACGACGTTATATTGATTCTATTCTTCAGCAACAACAGCGAACAAGGGTGATTTGGTTGATTGGTATCACAAAGGGCAAATCAGTGAGTGACATGTTACAGGTATTAACACATCAGGATGATTTGATTTTGACCGTTCCCTTCTCACAACCTCAAGATATGTCATGGATTGAATGTGTAGATCCAGTAGATTTGGCTCAACATGTGAATGATTATTATGATGATTCGAATGAACAATCTCGTACAAAGGCTTTACCTCAACAATCACTCTCAGACGCATTGACCATGGCTGGTTCCTTATTTAGACCTGACTCGGATTTGGTGGTTCTATGTGGATCTCTTTATTTGGTGGCTGACCTTTATCGACTCATGGATATACATCCTTTCTCTTAGGTCCTTTTTTTTTTTTTTTTTTTTTATCTATACTGACTTCCCTCCTTTATATTTTTTTTTTCCTTTAGATAGATACATCCTTTTTTTTTTTTTGTACTATTATTATTTTATTGAATAAAACAAGTTTTAAATTTGATGGATGATGTGATGATGGAAGATAGATGATTGGTGGTGATACAGTGTTTCCAAAACTTTTTGTGGGGTCACAAGAAAATGTTTTTCGTGATGTTATAAAATAAAATATCGTACTTTCCCGGAATGCCTTTTTTTTTTTTATTTTTTGATTGCTCTTTTTTTCATGATTTTCTTATATTCTCTATTTGATTATGCGACAATTATATTTTTTTTTCTTCTGTCATTTATTTTCTATTCTTACAATATTTTATTTCCTATTTTTTTTGCGACATCTTATTCTTTGAATTCCGTCAATTATTATTGAATAAAGTGTTTATAATAAATCGGGAATATGAACCGTGATCTAAGGGGGGGCATTGTATACTATAATGAAAAGAAGACGAGGAATCATCATGCAGACGGAGTTCGCATCCGTGCGGGCACCATGAATGGAAAAAGGGGGGTGGGTGATGAAGTGGCAATCGGGTAGCATATACACAAAAGGTAAAACAAACAAATAAATAAACATCTGAGAAACTGTTTATTGGAAAAAGTGCTTCAAGGCGTAAGGGGATTAAGGAGTTAAAAAAAAAAAACTGTGACCAAAGCAAAGGTATACCCCATCAATGATGATATAGAAAAGATCACTCCTTGTACAAAGTTTGACTTGACCTCCTTTCTATCAATGTCAAAAAAAAAAAAAGGTATCATCATCACCCATCTCCACATAAACAGGAATCTACCTACTCCCTTTTTTTTTTCCTTCGAATATGAAAGGGATGAATAAAGAAAAAAAAAAGAGACATTTGATTTCTGTGAATAATGTCTGTGATTTCAGAGTATTTTTCTATTTCATTTGTTTTGACCTTATTGAAGACCTTAAAAGAATGGATCATAGTGATGATAGTAATCAGCAGTAAGTAAACAATGTCAGATCCAAGTAAAGTTCAAATCAATCATCTCTTTTATTAATTGTTTGTTTGTTTTTTTTAGGACAATCAAAAGGTATCAAATAAGGATAAAAAAAATTATATTGTTCGACATTGAAACAGGATGATATAAGTATACTATATACAAATGAAAGGGAAAGAATAGGAGAATAATAAAGAGAGAAGAAGGACAAGAAGAATCAGAAGGAGAAGGAGGGAAGGGGGGAAAGGAAGGATAATCAGATATGAATATATAAATATATAAATAAGAACTAAGAACTAAAATAAAGTAAAATAAAATAAAATAATCTAATAAGAGAGAGAGAGAGATAGAGAGAGAGAGAGAAGGATCAATTCAGTTTAACCTTGAGTTGAACACCTTTTGCTCCACCCGACCATAAGAAACCAGATACAACGGCAGTCAGAGTAATAGGTAGTGTCCAATCGTCAGTGATTCCAATTTGAGCCGCACATCCAAGAAATATGCTCATCATTGTAAATAAAGCCGGGGCAGGTGAAGATGCAAGCATCATTTCAGAGGCATTCGATAAAGATAAAGATGATGATGATGATGATGGGTATCCACAAGGAATAGACGTAGTAGATAAAAAAGATGTAATACGACGTGATGATGATGATGATGATGATGATTGCTGGTGATTATTATCCTCATTTTTGTCATTTTCACATATATCATCCTTTTCTTCTTGACGTTTTTGATTTTCATCATATCGATCCACTTCAATATCGTCATCTTCATCGTGTTGTTGTCGTACAGATGATGCAGAGGAAGCTGTCGGTGATGGTGGAATAGCATCATTTCTATTGTTGCTTTCTACTTCCATATCTAAATCCCCACGTAGCATTTTTTCCAACAAATCAGTATCTTTGATAGCAAGGGATCGTCGTTTCGATTCCATCAACATTTGAGATTGACGTTTTGGATCAGGTGGTGGTGATGGTGAATGATGATGATGCATAGATCTATGATCCAATTCCTAAAAAAAAAAAAAAAGAAAAAAGAAAAAACAAACAAACCAATAAGACATTAATGATCTAGTTCATAGTATCACAAAATAATAGAGAACCAAGAGTTTTTTTTTTTTTTTTTTTTTACCTTTTGTAACATGGTCAATTTTTCTTCCAATTCCATAAAATCTTGTTCTAATTGAGAAACAATTTCATCTTTGATTTGTAATTCCTTTTTGAGCATTTGAATATCATCATCCTTATAAGATTGTTGGCGTAAAAGAGTTTCTTTCTCAGTTTCCAATTCGTCAATGATTTGTTCTAGTTGACTGAGTTTCCGTTCCAATTCAGCTGCATAAGAACCTTGCGAGATAGAAGAATGAATGACTGGTCGACAAATATGCTGAGCTTCCATTCCAGCTTGTTCATCGTCATCACCATCTTCATGTTGTTGTTTTTCTTCATTTTCAGGAGGAAGAGTCATGACTACGGTTGATTGATCCACAGGAGCTGATGTATAACAACATACTTCTTCACAGTTCGCATCACCATTGATCTAAATAATATATAATATATAAAATAATTATTAGTATATAAAAACCATGTGGAAATAATAAGATTATTCTTTTTTTTTGTGTTACCGATATTCCTCCCTCCTCCCCCCCTTGTTCCTTTTTTTTTTCCATTTCCCCTTTTTTTTTTTTTTTTTTTTGTATCTTTACCTGCCGATGAAGCAAATTGATCATTTGTACAAGATATTCATATTCAGGACCCACAGTTTTCATTGATAATACTTGATCAGATTGAAATTGATTTAATTTTGCATTTTTATCTTCTAAATCTTGTTGTAATAATCGAGTAGTACGTTGAAGTTGAACATTATTAAATGTTAATTCTCGAATAGTTGCATTTAAAGGTTGAGTTTTTTGTTCGATTAAATTATCAGTATCCACCTTGAGTAATCGATTAGCTCGTTGTAATTTGACATTTGATAATGTAAGTGCTTCAATTTGTGCTTCCAATTGTCGAGTACGTGTATCAGAACTTCCTTCTTGAATAGTTCGCCTATCAGTTGTCATTTTATTTTGATAATATGTGATTTCTGATTCCTAAAATAAGTAATATATATATATATATATAAAAAGATTATTATTATAATATATTAAAAAAAAAAATAAAAAAATAAAAAAAAAAAACTTACATTATTATTATTATTATTATTATTATTTTTAGGTATAGAATAATTCATAAGGTTCGAGTTAACACTAAAACGAGTTGGAGTGGCAATAGTAGAATCAGGTAATGAAGATATTGAAGAAGAAGATCTTGGTGAAAGATGTGAAAAGTATTGAGATATATGAGAAGAAGAATCAATTTGTGAAGAAGTCATTATTATTATTATTATTATTATAAAGAGATGAGAACCGAAGAAAAAGAAAAAAAAGAAAAAGAAAAAGAAAAAAGAAAGAAAGAAAAAAAAAAAAAAAGAGAAAAGAGAAAAAGAAATAGATAAAGACACGAGGCTATTGCTCGATTTGGTGAGAACCAATGTCTGAGATCTAACATTTTATTTTTTTCTTTTTTTTTTTTCTTTTTTTATGGTCAAAAAAAAAAAAGCTGGATTTTTTTTTTCCCTCCTTTGACTCCTTTTTCCGTCCCCACTTTCTTTTTTTTTTCACATTTTACCCTATTTTTTTTTTCTTTTTCTTTTCTTTTTCTTTTTCTTTTTCTTTTTTTTTTTTCTCTTTTTATTTTTTCTTTCTCCTTTATTTATTTATTTATTTTATACGTAATATCCAACTTTTTTTTTTTCTTCTCAGATATATTATTCTATATAAACTATTCTATTATTTGGCCCCTAGTTTTCTCTCTTTCTCTCTCTCTCTCATGTTACAGCATGTTCATCGTTTATGCTATCATATTCGTCCAAAGACGCCTTTTTTACGTCATCAACTAACAAAAATATTTTCAATACAACAACAAAGATATTATTATTCTGCTGCTGCTATATCTCAACAACAAGAAAAATCAAGATCTAATCTCAATATTATTGACTTTTTTGATCCTGACCTTATTACAACTACTCCTCATAATTATACCTTGAAATGTGGTGTTTCTGGTTATGCAAAAGCTGGTAAAGTCGTGGATATTCCTTTAGACGAAGGTATCTATACTAGTGTTCAAGTTGGTGACGATGCTTATTTTGTACGAACTGATAGTCTTGGTGTCAGTGATGGTGTTGGAGGTATATATTATTTATTATATTAAAAGTATCTTTAACTTTACTTTCTTTCTTTTTTTTTGTTTTATTGAATAGGTTGGCGATCTCATTCTGGTAAAAGAAAAGAAAAAGAAAAAAACGGGTTTTCTTTGATACAGAAAAGGGGATAGTTAGGAAAGGCAAAAAAAAAGATGGGACGATTTCTTATTGTTTTTATATATATACATGATTGTTATACATAGGTGCAAACCCAGCTCTTTATTCACGAAAATTGATGCATTACGCCCAATTGGAATTAGATCGGATCAAAACTAATGTTCGTCCTCATCATATTCCTCAACAAGTGCCTAATCCTGTTGAAATTTTGGAAAATGCTTATCATCTTACCACTTTGGATGCTCAAAATGAAGTAAGTAATAAAATTGTTCAAATTGGAAATTTTAATACTTTGACTCATTTTTTTTTTTTGTTTATATTTATTTATTTTTTTTTTTTATTTTTTTTTTTTTTATTTTTTATTTTATATATATAGGGAATCGTAGGATCAACCACTGCTTGTATTGTTGTACTTTTTCAAGATGAATTACGAGTAGCTAATTTGGGTGATTGTGGGATATCGGTCATACGACGGAACAATTATATCTTTCGATCAGAAGAACAACAACATTCGTTTAACTTCCCATACCAATTAGGAACGGCGTCATTTGATTCCCCGATGGATGCACAGGTAACTGTACAAAAAAAGATCTTGTGTAGTACTGATCTTTTTTTTTTTTTTTTGTTAGCAATTTACTATCAAAGTAGAAGAAGGGGATATTTTGATTTTGGCTTCAGATGGATTATTCGATAATCTATATGACGATGAAATAATGGAAGAAGTACAAAATTGTATAGAACAAGGAAATGAACAAAAAAAAGGATCAACCGAAGAACAATCAACAACAATAATACCAATTCAAGAAATATCAGATGCACTTGCTTTTAGAGCCAAAATAGTCAGTGAAGATCCCGACAATCCTACCTCACCCTTTCAAGTGAGAGCTATGCACGAAGGTTTATATTACCAGGTAAAAAAAAAAAAAAAAAAAATATAAACTAGAAATGGATAAAATGAAAAACAAAAGATTCACTTATTTTTTTTATTTTTATAGGGTGGGAAAGCTGATGATATTAGTGTGGTGGTGGCTGTTATCAACCGTGACGAAAAACCTGGTCCTTCACCTCCCCCTTTGCCATGAACTTGGATAAATCCTTTTTATTCGCCACTTTTCCTTCTCCTTCTCATACATCCCATCTTCATCTCCTACTTACTCCTCTTACTGTTCTTCTCGATAATCATTCTTTTATATACCCCGTCTCTCTTTTATTCACCCCCTTTTCATCATCCTCATCATCATTTTATTATTTTTATTATCATGTCCTTTTTATTATTATTATTTTTATTATTATTGTCAATACTACTGTATATAGTTATTTTTCTTTTTTATTTCTTTCCTTTCCCATCTGTACTACACATCGTTTATAGTCCAAATAAATAAATAAATATAAACAACAATTTATCGAATATGATATATATATTATTCAAACAAAACAAATCAAAAAATAACAAAAAGAATAACACACGAAAAAAAAAAAATAAGATCTATCAATTATATTTATCTATTTCCATAAATCTTGTTTCAAGGGACCAGGATTGGAATCGAGTGACTTGATCACAGCCATCATATCATTGTATACTTGATCCTTTGACTTGGAAGCATCAATGATCTAGAATGAACAATGGAAAAAAATAATTCAGATGGTAAAAGTACCTTTTTTTTTTTTATTTATTTACCTTCCAAGAAGAATCCATCATCTTTTGGAATTCTTGCCGTACTTTAAGTTGTAATTCACGCTTTTCATATCGTTCTTCACCAAATCCACCTCGTTTCTCGGCTTCATCCATCGATAGATCCATAAACATCACCACATCAGGGGTCAATAAGCCAACATCTGGTTGTCGACACCATTCAAAATCCAATCCCTATTAAAACATTCATTAAATAAAATACCTTTTTTTTTTTTTTTTTTTTTTTTTACCTTTGCAGCTGAAAAACAGACACCAGAGAAAGCATATCGATCAACTATAATGGTGGTACCTTGTTCTAGTAAAGATGTCATATGAGACCTTTATAAACAATAATAATAAAAAAAAAGAAGTAAGTCAATTGTTGTTCAACTCGTTTTCCATCATACATTGCTTCCCAACGATTGGCAGAGAATAAAAGATGAATAGCATGATCATCCATATGTGTCGATTGTTTCAAATAACTATCAATCATCTTTCCAGTTTGTGTAGTGCGATCTAGAGAAAAGAAAAATTGATACAGTTTTTGTTCCTATCTCAAACAGTAACATGTGGAACCTTATCTATATATTTACCTGGAAACTTGAATAATTGCGTCTTTCGACCTTGTTGTTGTAAAGTAGTTACAAGTCGTTCACATTGTGTGGATTTACCGGAGCGATCACAACCTTCAATAACAATAAGATGACCACGCATATCAGAAAAATCGTTCGTGGTTGAAAATAGAAAGTGAAAGAACCGTGCTTTTTTACATTTTTCTCTGAAGACGTGTCTTTTCAAAGAACGCAGCGTTAACCCTTTTTTTTTTTTTGAAGTATTTCTCAGTTCACTTTTGGCATTCCCTGATCACCCAATAAAATGACCATCACTAGATTCCTCTCAAAAAAGTAGTCAAATATTATCTAATATCATTTTATCGTTTACCTTGCCAGCTAATGTGCAATAAACACCAAAAAGATTTCATCGATTTTTCGAAAAATCGCCTGATGACCCCTCGACGATTGCTTTTTACAGCCAAAATTTGGCTGTAAAATCAAAAAATTTGGCTGTAAAATCAAAAAATTTTCAAAAAAAAAAAAAAAAAACCTTTCACTGCCATTGTTAAGCATAAATCTATCATCATATAAGTGCCATTTATAAAAGATGGATCTGTGAACGGATCCTTGTTTTTCCTTCAATCTTGAGACAACAGTTCATTTATTATTAAACCCTTTGTTTTTTTTTTTTTTATGATCATGAGGTGTGAGAGCTTGAAAGTGATAAGAAAAAAAAAAAAAAAACGATAAATTGAAATAAAACTGTTTTAAGGAAACCTTTTATTTTTGGATTAATATATCAGTATTTGGATTAGTTGATGAATGCGCTAATCATTATCATTTTTTAAAAAAAAAAATAAGAGAGAACACTAAAATGGATAAATATGAGTCACTGCTTTTCTTTTATTCTGAATACATCAAAAAAAATAAAAAATCAATCAAAAGAAAAAAAAAAAAAAAAGAGAGAGATAAAAACAAATCTGAGGTGATAATAGAGTAAGAAAGTCTATTTCTATGGGGAACTGTAGAAACGAACGGTACGATCCATGCCAGCAGCCAGTAGAGAGTTAGCCATAGGAGACCATTTAAGACCAGTGATTTCAGCAGAGTTGTCAGTGAAGCTTGCCAATGGAGATCCATCTTTTGCCTTCAAAATACGAACATCTGAACCACCTACAGCCAAGTATTGAGCATAATTGTCGAATGCAAGAGAATGTACCTTGTAATCCTCATCCAAAGTAAATGTCTTTGTGTTGGCCAGCTTACGAAGATCCCAAAGTTTGATCAAGTTATCTCCAGAAGTAGTGGCAAGAATATAACTAAAGGAAAAAAAAAATAAGTATATAATGTCTTTTTTTTTTTTTTTTTTTTTTTACCCGTTTTCAGAGAATGCGAGAGCTTGAATACCTCCAGTATGATCAGCAAAGTTTGCAGCCACAGATTGTGATTTGACATCCCAAATACGCACAACACCATCAGTAGTACCAGCACCAAGAAGCATACCATCAGGATGGAATTGAATTGAAGAGTATCCAGATTGATTATCTTGATCCACAGTTTCCATAATAGCCTTACCTGATTCAAAGTCATAGAATGACCATTTGCTGTCTAAACCTGCACTAACAAAGTAATCGCTGCTTGGATGCACAGATAAACTTGTCACTTCACCAGCATGAGCGTTGATGTTGTGTCCCAATTGATATCCTTTATCGCCTCCAGCTACCCAGATACGTACATGTTTATCAGCACTAGCACTAATAGCCACATCATCTTCCACTTGTTGTCCACGGAATTTCACTGCTGTCACCTTCTTAGTATGACCTGTTAAGTTTGCAACCACCTTTTCTTCCTCCTTGTTGTAGATTTGTACATGTTTGTCGGCGCCACCAGTCAAAATATATTTGCCTGACGCATCGACATCCACAGCGGTGATACCAGGTGTACGAGATGTATGCATTGAAGGAATAGTCGATGATTGCATAAACGTTTGGATAGTTTCGGCATTGGTGTATTCCGTTGGAGGTTTTCTCTTGCGACGACCTTGAGAAAGACTAAGAAAATGGATCAATATATGTATATATAAATAGGATGATACCAATCAAACTTACGTATTACTGGTTTCTGTGATTTTATTGATGACTTCTTCAGGTAAAACAGGTTGATCCACTTCCATAGATTCTTGAGCAGCTGCGGTAGTTTCTGTTGAAGCAGTAGGAGCGGCAGTACCCAAATGAGCCTGTACGTTAGCAAGTGCTCTACAAAAAAAAAAAAAAAAAAAGTTAGACACGTATGAAATTATATATATGCAAATATATGGTCGCTTACTCTCGAGCAGAATCACGTTCTTTCTTGAGACGAGCAATCACTCGTGTAGCAGCATCATTTTGATACAAAGCATGAGATAATTCTTGACGGACTTGTTGATATTGTTGTTTCAAGGTGAAGGATTCCAACATGACACTATCCCATTCGTTTTGTAAAGAGGATAAGATGGAAGGAACAGAGGAAAGTTTAGGTGGTCGTGGCTTTACTGATTGAGGATCTTGAAAAAAAAAATAATCAATAAATCTTGGAGGAGTCAGTTCATCTATACTTACTTGTTTTGACTTCGATCAAGTCATCAATAGTCATTTCTTCATTATTGACAGGATCCTTTCCATGATCAGTGATATATTTTTCGATCAATCGACGTTCGAAAAGTCGACCACTTTTGAGGGATACCACAGGATGTTCAGGTGCTTCACCAGAAACTAACAAAAAAAAAAAGAATTAATTTAATCGTACTAGGTCAAAAGACAACAAAGTATCCCAAATCGTCACCATTCATATGATACAATCATGTAGTTTCAATAAAAATGATATGTTCATTGTGATATACTTACTAGCACAGAACATTATTATTAGACGAAAAGGATGTAGTGAAAGAAAAATGAACAAAAAAAAAAAAAAAAGAGTAAGGGAGACGAGAGAGAGAGAGGAAGAATCAAAAACGCGGAAGAGCCAGAACAACAAAAATTCGAGCAAGTCACAATCATAACTCGCGGACTTGTCAAGATTCCTTTTTAGGGCATTTTTCACTTTTGAACAGGAGAGTCTATGCATAGAGCCATAGTAGACAGAGGATTAATAACAATGATACCTCTTTCCTTTGGAGTTCAAAACTATGGTATAGTTATATGATGCTAACAATCATACAGTATGGATTAAATGACTATTGACTACATCATATTGTTCAACTTGACATGAACTGTTATCACCGTAAGAAGATCACTATCATCGATTACATTGTAAAAGACTATTGTCAAAATTGATTTCCAAAAAAGTTCACGGATTCACTAGAATGTTTATTGAGGATAAAAAATAAAAAATGGTGGATAATGATTCGATAAATAGATAAAAGTAATAGGCAATAGATATAGAGTGATAAGTATAAGATAGCAATAATAATAAGATATATCGATTTGATGGTAAGGTGTCAATTATGACCTAGGACTGGGTTTTCTTATCAGCAGTTGGTTTGCCGTTGATAATGTGAGGAGATCCAATAACAGTAGCACCATAATCCTGTTGATGTGGTTGTTGCCTTTGAGTATGATCATAAGAGGGAGGAGCAGGAAGTAGCTGATCTTGTTTTGAGCATGTCACTCCCTTGTGATGTTGAATTGAATTGTCTTGTGTACTACTTGTAGAACGTACCATCTTCAATAAGGATTGGATATTGGATACATATGGTTTTGGTTGGCGTCGCACTACCTTGACCTTTTTGTGGACTACAAGAAAAAAAAAAATAACAATTTAAGTCAATGAATAATCATTTTAATCAAAATAATATCACTTACCATCAACATAGATATCTGTTTCATCTATGATTTCCTAATCAAAAAAAAAAAAAGTGTGATAAAAGAGGATTCCGTCAGCCAAAAAAAAAAAAAAAAAAAATTGAAACAATAATAATAAGCTATTCTTATTATCCCCACTTACTTCACCAATCAGTTCTTCAATAACATCTTCCAATGTAATAACACCAAGAGCACCACCTACTCCACCAGGATTTGAAGATATCAATGCTAAATGACCTAAAAAGGAAATGTCGAAAGAAATATGAGAACATAATTTCACATGATAGTCTACTTACTTTTCCCTTCTTGAAAAAAGTTCAAAATGTCCAAACAACTAGTATCAGGTGAGGTTTCCGGTAAAGCACTAAGATCGAAATATCGTACAGGTAATGCATCATCAATGTCGTAAGTAATAAGTTGTTTGACAAGTAGCATTCCAACAAAATTTGATTTGTCGTCTGTTGTACTGATCGGAATGCGAGAGAACCCATGAAAGAGAATCTATTTTTTTTTTATCGTGATACAATATGTAAGATTGACAGTTTCTTCCGTCTCCTGTTTTTCTTTTGTGCTACCTTGTCAACGGTTTCCTTGTCTAAAATGGCGTCCAACGATAAGGTGAAGACATCTTGAATAGGGGTCATCACCTTGGATACCGGCTTATCACGTAAATCCAACACAGATCCAATTATCAGTACTTCATCTTCGGTGAGTCCATCCGATACATTTTCAGATTGATGAAGGGAGACTAACGATTTCAACCCTACAAAAAAAAAGGAGTAAAAAAAAAAAAAAATAAGGCTACAATTGATTTTATATTATTATTCGCAAATGTTCACTAATTTACCTGCTTTCTTGTAAACGGTTCCTTGAGTTTTACCCAAGAAATGATCCAATAATAAAGATGTTGGATAGCCAATGGGATACATAATATACATCAATATCAGGACCAATCTACATTAATAATACAAGAAAAAAAAAAGGTTTTTTATTATATTCATTCTTGTCAAGTATCTATTTCCTTACGTAGAGCATTTTGCACCAATAGATAATCCATGACGGACACATATAGCTAGAATAGAATCAATGATTAGTACAATCATATTAAAAAAAAACAAACAAACGATAGAATAAAATTGATTTTGATAAATAGCTTACATTGTGGTATGATCCTATTCAATTAAAAACATTATACATGAATATAATATAATTTTTATTATCATTATCATTATTACTATTTTAAGCTTACTCTCCAAAAATAACAATCAAGGCTGTAGAGATCAAAATAGCTTGCCAACCACCACCAAATAAAGAATCCAAAATAATAGGTAAAGTTTCATTGACAATAACATTAGATAATAGTAAAGTTACCAATACCCAATGTTTTCCATGGTCTAAAAGTTGTAAGACCTTGCCAGCATTGTAACGTTCATCAGGTGATCCAGTTTCCTTTATGACTTGTAGATTTGTTAAATCCAATCCCATCAATCCAAGAGTAAGACCAGCAAATACAGCTCCCATGAGAACCAGAATAACCACAGCTATAAGTTTCAATACATAAAAGGTTGTTTGTTCCGTTATTGATACCAAAGTAGTCAAGTTGCCTCCATTACTTGATTCCAGTGAGAAAGACGACAATAAAGGTGAACAACTTGAAAGAGTCAATAACAAAGAGGTCCATACGAACCATAATAGAGTGCGTGAAAAAGCGCGACTCATACAATGAAAAGAATGGTTTGTCAGTTTTTTTTTTTTTTAAAAAAAAAAAAGGAAACAAGAAGAGAGAGAGAGAGAGAAAGCGAAAGAGAAAAAAAAAAAAAAAGAAAGAGATTCACAAAAAAAGATCTGAATAAATTCTCCCTATTTGAAACATTATCGGAATCTGAACATACATGGCATGAATTGAGGAGAGAATATAAAGTTTTTTATTGTATCCAAAAATAAAAAAAAAAAGTTCTAATTCAAGGGAATATAACTACATTTTCTAAACTTTAGCTTGAAGTCTTTTGATTTCTTCAGGTGTAAATTTGAGCATCATTGTCAATACAGGAATCAATTGAGCCTATTAAAAAGAAAAACAGAAACAAAAATTTTATTAATATTACATTTGATCGGCGAAACATCCCTTTTTTTTTTTCTCTTGTTGTTTACTCTTGTAGATTTGGATTCGAGGAATTTCAAAATAACATTTCGTAAGTATTCCATATTCACTTCTTCTTCCTTGCTAATTGTTCTAGATGATGATGATGATGGAGTACCAGGTCTGGGACTTGACATATTCACGTGAGATGATGCATCTGATGGTTGAACATTTCCATTATCGTGACTAGAGCTTGTCGTAATAGGAGTACTTGGATGAATAGGTGACTGAGCCCGAGGGGTATTTGGTGATAATCTTGCATCCGTATTCAACGATGTTCTAGACAGTTTTCGAATTTCTTCTTTGAGAGTCTAATAATAAAGTAATTTTAGTAAAGGAAAAAAAAAAGTCATCATCATACCAAAACTTACTTTATTCAATGTTTTCAAATGACCTTCCCGCATCTTCATATCTTCCAATTCCTTCAGTTTTTCTTGTATTAACTTGTCATTATGAGCTTTTTCTTCTTGTAAGGTTTCCTAAATGTAAGTAAATAAATAAAAAAAAAAAAGATGAATATTAAATCTTACCATTCATTTTTTTTTTGTCCAACTTACCAATAATGATTTGACATCAGCTGATTCATGTTGAGTTTTGCCTAATTCCTCCACCAGTTGATTAATGCGTTCCAATAAATCATACTTGTCATTTTCTAAATCTTGTGCATCCTTGGCTTTCTTGTCGTATGCTTGTTGCAGCGTATCAACTTTGTTGTTTAATGTATCCAGATTGGCAGTCAATTCTTTGATATTGTTTTCCAAGACTACTTGTTGTTGTTGAGATGAAGATAATTCGGATTGATGTTGATGTAAGTCTACTTCCAAAATACGTTGCTGTTCGTTCCAATGTTGTTGACGATCCTGAAGTTCCTTGTTTGCATTGTCCGCCATCGTTTGATATTCAATCAGTGCTACTGCTTTTTCATTTGCTTCTTGTGCTTGTCGCTCCATTTCATTCAATCGATGTTGTAAGTTTTCTGCCATACTCTGTGAACTTTCAAATTCAGCCTGCTTGATTTGAAGTTCATCAAACATCCTATTCTTTTCTTCCAAAGCTTCTTTACGTTCTTTTTGTAAGATCTTGATCTCCGATTCCATAGATTGCAGCTTGCCATTTAGTCGGGTGAGTTCCGCCTTGTGACCAGATTCCATCTTGCTTTGACTATCCGAAAGTTCCTTGACCTTGTTCTTCAGTTGATCCGCTTCTTCCGTTACATCCGATTTTTCCTTTTCTAGTTTCAAGATTTGCTTCTTCGTCTTGTTGAGCACTGCTACATATTTTTTGGACTTGTCTTCCAGATCCAGAATTTCCTTGCGACTTGAGTCCATTTCCACATCCCGTTCATGAAGCATATCCTTAACTACCTTGATGGATTCATCGGCATCCTTGAGTTTGTTGTTGGACATTTTGAGTTCTGCTTTGGATTCTTCAAGCTGCTTTGACACCTCGTTTTTTTCAACTTCAAGTTCTCGGAGCTGTGCTGATAATGTGTCGACTTTGTTGGTGATTTCCGCCTCTGCTTTTGCTAGTTGTTGTTTCATATCATCCACCATCTTGTTGCGTTCCAATAGCTGTGCCTCCAACCCAGGAATCTTGTCACTGTCGCTCTTTGAAGATGCAATTTGTTCTTCCAGTTGATTCTTCAATGTATCAAACTCTTGTTCTGCTTTTGTCAAATCCAAAAGTTGTTGTTCCAATGTTTCGATTGTGGTATCACATTCCTCTAACTGGCCTGTCAATACTGTCAGTTTGTCGCTGTAGTCCTTCATCCTTGCTATGTGTTCATCCAGTTGGTTCTTCACACTGTCAAGTTCTTCTGCTGATGACTTGTTTGTTGCGATTTGTTGATTCAAGTCGATGATTGCTGTGTCACGATCCTTTAGTTGCTCTTGTAATGCAGATAACTTGTCGCTGCTGTCTTTGGCCGAAGATGTGAATTCTTCCAGTTGTTGATTGAGACTATCGATAGCTGTTTCACGTTCTTTCAGTTGAGTTTCCAGCATTGATACCTTGTCGACATTTTCCTTTGATGATGAGGTAAGTTTACTTAATTGTTTGTTGACTTTTTTGATAGTACCATCACGTTCCTTCAGTTGTGCTTCCAATGTCGCCAGTTTATTATCGTTGTCCTTTGAAGAAGCTGTGATACCGTCCAGTTGCTTTTTGAGGTCATCCATTATTGTATCACGTTCCTTGAGTTGGGTTTCCAGTGCTGTCACCTTGTCATCATTGTCCTTTGAAGAGATTGTGATGCCATCCAATTGTTTTTTGAGATCATCAATTGTCGTATCACGTTCTTTCAGTTGTTTGCTCAGTGCTGATACTTTGTTGTCATTTTCCTTGGAAGAAGAAGTATGATTATCCAGTTGATGTTTGAGATTGGTGATCATATCATCCCGCTCCTTCAATTGTGATTCCAGGGCTGACACCTTTCCATTTGTATCCTTTGATGAGGAGATATGTTTGTCCAGTTGTTGATTGAGATCCCCAATGGTTGCATCACGATCATTCAGTTGGATTTCCAGAGTAGCTATTTTGCCATTGTATTCGTCTTTTATTGTTGATGCTTCATTGTTGAGCCTTTGTTCCAGATCCTTGATAGTCGTACCACAATTGTCCAACTCTTTCTGTAACGTCATCACCTTATTGTCATATCCATTGCTAACTGTCGATAATTGCTGTTCGAATATTTGCTTTTCATCTACCCATTTTTGTCGATCATCGGCATATTGTTGTGTCAAAGTGTCCAGCTGAACATTCAAACTTTCTTTTTCTTCTTGTCGTTGGGCCAAAGTAGACGAGAGCTCTTCCAGTTTTTGTTCTAGAGTTTGCTTTTCGTTTCTCCAACCTGAATCTTTGTTGACATGTTGCTTTTCGAGATCCAAGGTTTTGTCATTTGCTTCCTTGAGTTGATTTGCTAATTCATTCACCATCCTATTCTTATCCGCCATTTGTTGTTTCCATTCGTCTTCTTTGCTGGTAAGTGTCCTTTGAAGTGCTGTCACTTTTGCTTCTTCTTCTTCCCTGAATTGCTGTATCCTTGTTTCAGTATGACTAGTTCGCTGTTCTTCCAATGATTGAAGTTGATCCTGTAACATATGGTTTGCCTTTTCTTGTTGAGAAAGTTGTTGTTGAAGTTCATTGTATTTCTTCTCGGTATCGCGTAAAAGACTATCCCGTTTCTTATGCGCCTTGACAAGTTCAGTCAATTTAAGTTTCATATCTTTGGATTCTTTGGTACTTGTTTCAGCTTTCTTCTTCCAGTCGTCCAGTTCTTGTTGAGCTTCATCTGCTTTGTTCATAAAGTGTAGTAAGCTTTTTTTGGATTCTTCTTTTTCAAGCAAAAGTTCCTCCACTTGGTTCTTGAGATTACTAGTTGTATGTTGGTCCTTCAGTTGTTGATTGAGAGCATCTCTTTCTTCAGTGATAGTCTTGATTTTTTCCACTAGTCCTCTCATGACTTCACGTTGCTTGTCATTGGTTGGCGAAGAGGAGTCAACAGTTTCGTTGTTGTTGTTGTCAGACATGCCTAAAAATCAAGCTAAACGGAATCGATAAAGTGATGATACAAAAGAAAGTAAATATATAATGTCGTGGTATGTAGTTGTAAATAAAAGGGAAGACAGGAGAAGAAAATTGTTGTTCAGATGAAGGAAGAAGAAAAGAGAGAACAAAAAAAAAAAAAAAAAAAAAAAAAAACTGTCGACTCTCAGTGGCTAACCGCATATGAAGACCAAAAAGTTAGGCTGTGTTTCAAATCCTGGTTCCCAAATGGAGAGAAAAAAAAAATGTAAATACGCGTTCTTTTTCTTACTTCTTTTTCTTCATTCAGAATCCTTTATTACATATTATGGTAAGAATATACGTCTGATAATCAATATTAATTTTGAATTAATAATAGATACAAAAAAAAAAGAAGGTTCTATGCCTGATATAATTGACTTTTATTATTCTAATGTCAAATCGATTCTCCTCTTCTTCTTTCTTTAATAGGATTACGAAGATTCTTTCCCCAGTGCTCCCGTACGGTACGCTTTCGATGATAGTGATGATGATATTGACAGTTCTGATTTATCTACAGCAACACCTCCCAACAATCTTTCTATTGGTTTGGTAGAACCTTTACCTCAAAAGCCATGTACTCTTGTTCTTGGTGTGCATGCTGGTGCTTCCTATCTCAATGCTCTCAATACTACTGTTATTGGGCATATCACATCCGAGGTAAAAAAAAAAAAAAAAAAAAAAAAAAAAAAAAAAAAAAAAAAAATAGTGATAAACTGTAGTAAATATTTTTGAAGACCTGACTAATATTATAATTTCTTATTAGGAACAAACTTCTAAAACCAAAACTGAAGCTGATATTTCAACAACAGATGATATCGCATGTATCTCTTTCCCACAAGTAGAAGCAAAAGATTCTCATATGTTTACAAAGTTGGTTTTTGATCTTCCTGGTTTACAAATTGAAAAGTATGAAATAGAATAAAGGTTATAATAAAAAAAAAGTATTAATCATACTCAACATTTTTATTTTATATAGGGTTATTTTATTGGATTCATTTGTCTCTACAGATTATACAAACCATGTCTGGGGTGAGAATGTCAGTCCACCTTTTCTTCGAGTGTTACAAACATCATCCACGAAAAAGGTAAAAATAGACAAAGACAATACAAAACTATGCAGAACAAGTCTGATGATGTTTGCTTTTGTTCAGATACCCGAGATAAATACATATGAAGCACCAAATCTCGTCAAGGATCTATCAGCTGCTTTGTTAGCCCATGTAAGTTATTTTGTCTCAAAAAAAAAATGAAGATTTCTGCATTACTAATTTTTTCCTTTTGGCATGATTGTTATTTTACTTTGATATCCTCTACCTTTAGTGTGAAATGCACGGTATTCCTTGTTATGCTTTCTTTAGTTTACAAGAATCTCTTTTAGGAAAGCATATCATTACCAAAGATACATGTACTGCCTATTCTCAAGGTTTGGATAAACTTGGGATTCAATTACCAGTTGACAAGGATAAGTTGGCTCAAGTGCTAAAAAAGGGTAGTGTGGATGAACATCACCATCGATTGTATTTGTAGTGTCCTGTGGATTCATTCAACCAACCATCACTATATTTACTACGATCTATCCTCATTCTCATCTAGTATATTAATATTGATAGTTTTGATCAATCTTCCTTCTCTCTCTCTCTCTCTCTCTCTCTCTCTAACTATCTCGTAGTATAACCCACACTCTTTATCATCATAGCCAATAAAATCCGTTCCAACATGTATTTCTGTTTTTAGATTTACTTATCATGTTCCTAGAAAATCATGTTCTTGCTTTCAATAAAATGATGTCGTACTTCGAAAAAAACGACTTTTTTAGTTTCTCTTGTCTTGTGTTCACTTTTGTTTTGTCGTTGTCTCAAAAAGATGATTAAAATAAAAATACTTGACGATTGTTATAATACAATCTTTGCTATCAGAGTGCACATCACCATCTTTTTTTTTTTTTTTTTTTTTTTTTTTGGAGATACCCGCCTTATGTATACTCTTATCTTTTTCCTATTCCTTTATCTTTACTGTTTATCTTTTTTTTCTTTTTTGTTTGGTCACTCTGCTCAAAATGGATACTATCTTGCATGAAGAGCGTCATGTTAAGTATTCTCTTCCATTGAAACGGAAGTCTGTGTCACATAATCACTTCCTGAAAAAAAAAGGGCAGGATGGACTACCTTCATGCAATTTGTGTGCACTTACAAAGTCCGTCTCAAATTTCTGAAACAAAAATATCGTTTCTCCCCTATTTATCTCTTCTTTCTCTTTTCTTCCACTCTTATTATTATCTTCTGATATTTCTCTCTTCTTCTTTTTTTTTTTTTATTCAAATCATTCTTGTCTGAAATGGGTCACAAACGAGCCAAACAATTCAAAGATGAACCATCAACAAAAAAAAAAAAGCTTTTGCTAACGATTGCCAATTCAATAAAACGAAATATCACTTGCTGACGACATCTGCTTGACTGGCGTTACAAAGAAACCGAGACAACAGTCTTTATATCAACAACGGCTCCACTTTTCAGAAGATACGATATCGAACCAAATCCAAGCCACTCAGACTCTCGACACTATCAACGATGAAAAAGGAACATGTCGACGCTCTGAAAGTGAAAAGAGATTCAACCAAGCAACTCGACTCTCATCGCAAGCCAATGGGGGGGATGAACGAACACGAAGACAACAAAACTTATCATGACCTCAAGAATTGAAGAATGTCCAAAGCATATAAATTTGAATTTAGTTTTGAACAACATCACCATCACAGGAACTGATTACGGTATTGCGACACTGGCTACTACTGTAGGTCATACTTTAATCAAATGAAGTCGATACAAGATGGAAAATTTATCAGGCTGGCAAGACCCACTATGATTAAATCGAAAGATATACGTTGGAAAACTGGTGAAAAAATTTATCAAAAATAGCTGATGAAAATGAAGAAGGTACAGTGTTTCTGATTCCAAAAAAAAAAAAAAAAAAAAGATAGCCACTTATGATTTCCTTTTTTTTTTTTTTTTTTGGTGGACGTGGTATAGATTTCACTAGCTGGAAAGGATGAGAAGAAATAGTCGGGAACTATTCAATTTATCACGCTAAAGACACTATGGATTCTAGTAAGAAGATATGACAAAGTACGACCACAAGGGGACACACTGCGAAACTTTTATGGTACAAGCTGGATTCAAAGAAAGAAAAGATGGGTATCCTGGTACAAAGCAAGTATACTCTAGAAAATGATTGCGAACGAACGACGAGACAATATGAAACCATTGGTACGTGCAATAGGCAATGCAAGGACAGGAGTAGGTACACGAATAAAGGGTCATTTGAAATATGATGGTAAAGTGGCGCCGAAGGCTATGCAGACAGAACGGTATTGTGCTTGTGGTCATCGTATCTCTATAATGTGTCCTTTTTGCCGTGTGATACACCCAAGAAAGGTTAAGAATGGCAAGACTATAATGAACAACGGTGCCTCTTATTGTATCAATTCGGATTGTGAATCATGTGTATTATGCAAGAATTCCTTTGGACGTGATTCATTATCATCTACCTGCATCGCTTTCCGTTGTTATGGTCAAGTTTACTGGACAAGATTTGTTATGATTCATGCTTCATTACTACAATTTATGAACAAAACCCATGCCATGCGGTGTAAGGTGGCGACCCCGCATTCTGTGGTGAAAACAGTTTCGACGTAAGTTGTTTTTTTTTTCTTTTTTGGGTAGATACTGATTATTACTATTTTAGTTTATTTTATTTTATATGATCTCCTTTCCTCTCTTGGATTGACTTGGATTACATATTTCATTTTATATAGTGTAAGTAAGGATGATGTGAGCCCATATTTTTGGAGATTTATTTACTTATTTTATTTCTTTTTCTTTTATACTTCACTTTGGTTGCGACAATTCTATTACTTCTGGTATACCATTTTATTACTTTTATTCTGTCATCATTTTTCTGACCTCATGATATCCTATTTCAATATTAACGATATGATTTATTTTTTAAACGACATCTTACAGTGAAAATAGTGCATTTCTGTTTTGATTCACATTTTTATAAATAGCCATCATCAATTCTTTTATCTATTTGACAATAATAAAAAAAATATAGTTTTATTCAAGAACAATATACAATGTGTCCCAAAAGAGATACAAATTTGACTACAAGCATGTGTATATGAAGGAAGATTTCAGATGTATAAGAAAACGGTAAAGGACTAGCGAATGAAGAGTGTGTTGTTGTATAAAAATGATAAAGGTCCGATGATGAATAAAAAGGTAAGTGAATAATAATAAAAAAAAAAGTATTCATGTGTTGCATGTTTAAACAGCCAACAATTGACCAAATTGACGGAGGAAGACCACAGCACCAGTGAAGACGGTAACGGATAAGGCGATGTTCATGTTTCCTTGACGGTTTTCAGGAGCAAACAATTCATGTTTGATGGTTTGAGTGAAGCTTTGAGCATCTTCTAATTGACGGGCCATGATAGATATAAAAGGTGATGTTAAAGAATAAGAAAAAAAAAAAAAAGATTACAACTACCTTCAAATGGACGGAATATGAATTCCAAAAGTGGCTTTTCGACTTTTTCATCTAGTTTTTTACGTTAAACAGATAAAAAGAATGTGTGGACTTTTATACTTACAACAGTAAAGAATACAATGATTCATCAATAAAAAAGAGTTATACTATCAATGATCAAGGTCAACTTATAATTAAAAAGTAAGGAATAAAAAGGATATTTAGTAGTGTGAATGATGATAGCATTTTGACTTCACCTTAACAATAGACACACACTTTGCCGCGTCATTTTCAATCTCAGGAGCCCCTGTTCATAAAACTTGAGGTGGGAAAAAAAAAAATCTCCCCTCTGAAAAAAAACACGGCACCGGACTTGTATTCTTTTATTTTTTTCCTGTTTCTTTCCTATTTTTTTTTTTTTTGTTTTTCTTTCACGCTTAAACTCTTTTATCAACATGTTCCGCCCTACTCTTTTACTCAACGCTGCCTCCAAGGCCACTCTTTACCGATCTACTCCTGCATTCTCTCGTTTCTACTCTGCTGGTGCTCTTAGCCAAGCTGATATCGAAGCTCGCGTTTTGGATATCTTGAAGGGTTTCGACAAGGTTGATCAAAGCAAGGTAATAAATATTAAATATGAACCATTGGGAAAAGAGGATTAATAAAAAAAGAAAATGGAATAAAATGCTACAACGAAAAAAAAAAAAAAAACAATGGAACCAGTATAATTGATTTTTGTTTTCTTCTTTCCATGTTAGATTTCTCTTGATGCCAACTTTGTCAGCGATCTCGGTCTTGATAGTTTGGACACCGTTGAAGTTGTCATGGCCATTGAAGAAGATTTCTCTGTTGAAATCCCTGATAAGGAAGCTGATGAAATCAAGACTCCTCGTCAAGCTGTCGAATACATCTCTCATCGTTCTGATGCTCATTAAAACCAAGTACCATTATACAAAAAAATAAAAACACTTTGGATATTCAAATAGACCTACTATTCTTTTTTTTTTTTTTTTTTGGTGAAAGGGGATGCACTAGATTATCTTTATTTTTATATTATTCCTTGGTACTGAAATTTACATACTTCTATATAGTCTTTTTTTTTATCTCTTATTATACACATCCTTGTTTTATTTATTTATTATCATACATGCCCTGTCTTCTTCTTTCCCTCAATTTGATTGAAAATAAAGATGTGATGATGCTGATACTATCATTTTGTTTTTGTCTTTATCTAGTGTTTTATGGTAAATATTTTTTTTCTTAAAAATGTGAAAAGTCATATCATGATATATTATATTTTTTATTTTCAAACAAGCAAAGAAAAAACAAAAAACAAAACAAAAAAAAATAATAACAAAAGAACTAATAAAATACATCAAGAGTAAAATACAAACTATAATATAAACATATCTAAACTATTTCTTCAATGATCATATCTTCGTCTTCTTGTTCTTCTTCTTGCTGTTCTTTCTTGTCATCTAATTCGGTAATTTCGGCGGCATCTTCATCACGGACCAACATTTCAACCAAATCCACACATTTATCCTTGATATCATCTTTAGTTTCTTGAATATGCAATCGTTGGATAACACGGTACACTTGTTTCTTACGTAAATATTCACGACCATATCGAGTGTGTGTCAACAAGAGTAGTGATTCCACAAGCATCATACGTAACACAGGATCACTTTCTCGTTTCTATGATCATAATAATAATTAAGTCTTTATGTTGTTAGTTTCTTAATTATTTTAATTACCTTATCATCATCAAGCAGTTGGATTTCATCAGGGAACTGTTCAAATTCTTCCAGATCGTATTCTTCATTTCCACAGAGAGGTAAAAGGATAAAAGGCAAAGTGTTCCATTTGTCAGCATCCAAGATATTTTCATGTTCTCGAGTTTCAAAGCAACAGTTCCTAGCATCCAATAAAAAGGATATTCATCAAAATGAGTAAAATTCCAGATATACATTCAAAAATAATCATCCTTTCTTTATTTCTTTTTTTTTTTTTTTTGATTGATTTCTTACTTGATCACTGTAATCACACCACCACGTCGAATCACGTTTTCGTCTTCAGTAAAAATTTGTAATTTTGTCAAAGGAGCCAAACCATCTTTGTTTTCAGGAGTCAAAAAGTAAACACGACCATGTCGAAGCTAAATTGAAAAAGAAGAGAGATAAATATGAAAATATGAAGATAGGTAGATGATAAAACAATGATTCAATAGTTCTCAATCATAAGCTATATATTATATGACTTACACCAGAGAGATTAGAGAATACACTAGCCAAAAAGTTGTATTCTGCTTCAGGATTGTAGGCCTTCTTATGACCTTTATGGAAGGCTTCAACCAAATGATCCACCAAACGAGGAGAATTGCTTAAATCAGGCAATGGATTAGTTTTGGCATCCAATAACTTGACACATATGCTTTCAGTTTTGGTCATATTGGAGAGTAACATGCAAGCAAGATCAGCCAATACTGATTTTGGAATCTATATCATATTGTAAATCAAAAATAGAAATGAAAATGAATAAACAATCAATAGTTCCATTCTATTTTTTTTTGACTTACAGTGATTAGGAGACAAAGATACTTAAGAAATTCATCATCATCTAATTCCTTTTGTACAAGAGGATCCGCAGATAAATTGATCAATCCCTTTAAAGCATCATGTGCTGTGATCTAATAATAGGTTACAAAAAAAAAAATCAGTATCCGTTCATTTGATTGTTTTCAATATGTGATAAACTTACAGGATCTTCACGAACCAACTTCTTCAAATCCTTGCATAAGGTTGCCCGCTTACTGATCAATATAGGTTGGTATTCGGACGTCTTTGGAGTATAAGCAATGAGGTGATGTAAAGCAATCGCACGGACCTATATAACCAAAAAAAAAAAAGAAAGGAAGGAATAGTTCAGAGTTTGGTTCTTATTTATTATATACTGGTTATGTATAATAATATTTAATAGTTGTACTTACCTCTAATGAAGGTTCATGTAAAAATTCCAAGAGCTATTAACAGTAAGAAGGATTGGGCGGAGTCAGTTTTGTTGTTTTTTCGAGATCAAAGAGATTGTGTATGTATTTTTTTTTTTTTGTCCATACCTCTAAGATTTGTTTTTCCATGGTGTTATAAAGTATTGGTAAGTTTATAAATGTAAAAAGATCAAAAAAAAAAAGTGTAAAACGAAAAGAAGAAAGGTGAAAAAGAGAGTAAGAATAACGGTTTTTCAATTTTTTATTACAAAGTAAGTGACTGTTTGGAAAAATATGCACCGACGATCCGAGAACTAAAAGGTATGCTGTAAATTTTTAGAGGGAGGGAGAGAAGAAAACAAGAGAGAAAGAAAAACTATACTATATACGTGTTTAAGAGAGCGTGAATCAGTTTTTTTTTTTTTTGTAGGTTGTAAGTATATGTGTGTTGAGTGTGTGTTTTATATATATATATATATGCGGATGCGTATGAGGTAATGAAAAAAGTAAGTTGTTGTAATAATGACTTTTAAGCAGAACCGACCAAAATATTATTGATGGGAATGTGAATCAACTATTACAAAGAGTTCTATCAATATTTTTCCTACTTTCACTAATTTCTCTCTTTCCTTTTTTTTTTTTTTTTTTTTTTACCTTAACAAAGTAACCAAGAGCACCTAGAGCAGCAAAACCCATAGCCACAGCACGAGTGATATTAAGGAATTCTATTACCACAAAATACAAAATAAAATGTGAGTTCAGATGAATGACTTTGATATTTTAAATTTACCTTTTTGATCAGGTTTCTTGCACCGGTTGATAAATTGTACACCTTCTTTCATAAAGTTTTTGGGAGCTTCAATGAATTCTTGGATAGTTTCTTTGGCTTCAGATGAACTCATGGCGACGTGTTACTTTTGAGTGGGGAGGGGGGAAATAAAAGAAAGAAAAGTAATTGAAATGAGAGATTTGTATTTTATTTTATTTTTCTACTCCGCTATCGAAAGAGCCAATCAAATCGTTACACTCAAGACAACCCTACCTTCATCAAAAAAAATCAAAGATGCTTGTGGGAAATTACTCGTTTTGCTGGTAACGCATATTCTTGTCCTTTTTGATCTTCCTCTTTACTGGATCCATTTCTTATTGGGAAAACGAATGATGAATGGTGGAAAGAAAAAAAATACCTTATATATCTTTTTGGTAACATATCTGATTGGTCTACATAATTGAACTAATATGGCTTTATCTCTTTCTTATCACTACTTCCTTAGATACCATGATTATTATGATGGTTACCTCAATAATCCGCATGGCTGATCAGTTACTGCAGAATGACCATAACTGCATGGTTCTTTAGCATAATGTCGTATATCTTAGTAGCGAAATAAAATAATACAATATATGTTACTAATTGTTGCCCTGAAGAAATAGAATTTGCTGTATGAATGAATGAGCCAAACAAGGAAATAAACCAAAAAAAATTTCACCTTTTGGTAATAAGGTTTGAACGAATTGAAATGATGGGATACCTGGTTTGACATGATGCGTGATGATGATGCGTTAGAGATTCTTTTTTTTTTTTTTTTTTTTGTGAAAACGACGTCAGAACACACGAAATTACCTGTTAAAAATCATGCGGAACGGATGAATGACGATAGATATCGAACAACAGAAAAAAAAATAGTAGATATCATGGTACACACGTGATATCTTTTCTTTTCCCCAAGCTCATAAAAAATCAAATTGTCCGCAATCAGATAGTGAAATATAAAAATTCCCTTTTTGATTTTCTTTTTATTTCGCTTTTCTTTTCTTTTTTTTTTTTTTTTTTTTTTTTTTTACTTGATTACTTTTTTATAATTGTCACCAATCGCAATGATGATGAATCCTCACGAAAAAACAACATTACCACTCTCATGCAGTCCTGATGATTATGGTAGCCTTGTATATGCTTCATCAGCGTCATCTTTATCATCATCACCTTCCTTATCCTCCTTATCAACTGCAGACATTGATAGTAATGGATCATCATTACCACCAAGCAACACACAGGTAAACCAATTAAAAAAAAATAATCACCTCAAATGCGGTACAAATGGGCGCGAATTATTCTTTTTTTTTTTTTCATTATTGACTCAATCGAGTTATTTTTCTTTTTTAGCAACTGAAACGAAGTCTATCAGCATTTACTACATTTGGTAAGAAGTGAAAAAAAAAATCACTGTTATTGAATACAAATACCCATCGTTTATTATGATTTATGATTTAGGTTTGGCGTTTAGCAATGTAGGTATACTTGCAAATACTTCCTCTACGTTTCAGACTGGTAACAAAAAAAGGACGAGGAAAAAAAATATTTTATAACTAGATTGTTTGTTTTATCTTATATAGTTTTGCAAAGAGGAGGACCCATTACCATGTTGATAAGCTGGAACTTAGTAGCTATATTGATGATATGTGTTTCATTATCCTTTGCAGAAATATGTTCTCTTTATCCTTCCAGTGGTGGTTTATATTATTGGACTTATGAATTGTTGCGTCGATATCCAAAGACTCAATATCAAGCATCACGCATGTAAGGGAAAAAAAAAAATGAAAATAGGATCACTATCATCATAACCCATAAATATCTATTTTTTTTTTTTTTGGATGATGATTCAAGAGCCTTGATGACAGGATGTGCTTATACAATAGGGAACACCATCACTATTGCCGTTACCAATATTACCGTTGGTAAGGAAATACTTTATGCGGTAGCTGCGGAATTTCAACTTTATATCATGTTGTACTAAATTTTTTTTTTCTCTTTCCTTTAGCTCTCTCTTTAGGATCTTTGCTAAAAATATTATTTGATTATGAACTTTCAAAGTTTCAACTCCTTATTATTACCTTGGTTATTATATTTATACATATGATATTGAATTATCGTTATATGAATATATTAACTTGGTTAAACAATCTCAATGTGTTTTGGTCTTGCGCTGGTTTGTTCCTGGTCATCCTTTTATTATCTCTCTGTGCCAAAAATCACCAAGATCCACGTTGGGTATTCACTCATTATGAAAATGACACTGGTTTTGAAAATCCTTATTACGTTTTTCTTTTGGGAATGATTGGTGCAGCATATTCGTTATTTGGTAATAGTTTAAAATGAGGGCTTTGACTGTATTTACCTCATGATTGACCTTTTTGTTTTTTAATTAGGATCTGAGTGCAGCGCTTCAATGAATGAAGAAACAAAGGATGCTGATATTTCTTCACCTATGTAAGTTGGGACTGAATATGGATTTGTTATATTTGGTATGTACTTACCGTTCCCTTTTTTTTTTTGATAGTGCTATGATCACATCTATCTTGACTGCTTGGATCTTTGGATTTGTTTATCTAATGGTACTATTATTCTCTATTCAAGATGTGGATGTTATTTTGACAACTACTTTCAACATGCCTGTGGCTCAACTTTTCTGGGTAAATAGATAAAATAAATTATATTATTGATTTTTTTTTTTTTTTACTCATTCAAATTCTCATATTAAAATACATAGGATGCTGTTGGACCATTTGCAACGGTTGCATTCTTGGTATTGATGATTGTATGTCAGTTTTGTTCGGGATCAACTTCATTGACAGTGGCATCAAGACAAATATTTACGTTAGCAAGAGGAGGTGGTGTTCCTTATCATGACCAATTACAGCAACTCAACAAGCACCAACTTCCCGGAAACGCAGTAATGGCCACTTCTATACTCGCTTGTTGTTTCGTCTTACCTTATCCGTTGTCAGATTATCTATTTGAAATCATCATCAGTGCCGCTACCATCACGGTCCATACGGCTTATAGCGTTGTTCTTGGTTGTCGGTTGTTTGTGGGATCCCATGATGGCAAAAAGGGTCGATTTCACTTGGGTTATCTCTCCAAACCAATCACTGCTCTAGGTTTTGCTTGGACTCTTATCGCTGTCTTTGTCTTTATGTTACCTACTTGTTGGCCAATCGATGGTAAAAAAAAAAAAATATTTCAGTAATGTATCAGATATTAATTCTTTTTTTTTTTTTTTTTTTCTCTCTCTCTTTTCCTTTTAGCATACAATGCCAACTATGCTGGTCCTGCTCTTTGTATAGTCATTGGAGTCACTTTTTATATTGTATCATTATCTTCACCTCAAGAATTAGATTGAATCTTCTCTACCTTGTTTATTTATTAATCTTTTTTTTTTTTTGTTCATACATTCAATGTAATGATATTATACCCAACTCGTATTACGTTACCCTAGATACTTTTCCCTCTATATTCTCCTTCCTATTGTATTCACACATAATCTATGTAGTGTTTTGTATCGATATATATATATATTTGAATTGATTTTATTGATTGATGAATAAAAAAAAAAGGACATAAAAGTAAATCTCTAAACTTTGAAAACACTATAAAAACAAAAAAAAAATGACTAAATTACAATGTGATTTCCCCTTCCACAGCTCTTGGTTCTAGACCTAATCCATCCAAACAAGCATGATATCGAGTGGCATCCTTTGACTTGAGATATTTCAATAGTTTTGCTCGTTGATGCACCATTAAACGTAATTGTCGGTAGTTGTGTTTATCTTTTTTGTGTTGTTGAAGATGAGAGTTGAGGTTGTGAATACGTACAGTCAAAATGGCAGCTAAAAAAAAAAGGAAAGATTGATAAGTTTCAAATCACTTGGCTATACGTATATATATATTTACCTTGTACTTCAGGACTGCCAGTATCACCTTCTTTTCGTTTGAACCAATCGATGGCTTGGTGCACATTCCATAATTGAACAGCCTTGGCATTTCCGTTTTGTAAACTGACCATTTTTCGTAGAGTATCAATCTTATGTTGTTCTTGAGCCAAAGCGTCTTCTACACCACCTATAGCAGCCAAATGATTCTTTTCCACGATTTCCTTGGGAGTCTGTTCAAATAAGATGCGTTGATCTTCAGCATTCAAAAAGTGTTGATAGTGTTGTTCCGATGATTCACTGCTGCTATAAGCACTGGCAGGGGTTTGAAGAGTACTGAAGAAAGGTGCATTTCGAGATACAATGGGTGATGGCTTGGTACGTTCGAATTCAGCCAATCGTTGTGCTCGTTTTGCTAGATTTTCCTTTTTGATTTGTTTGGGATGTTTCTTTGCAAATGCTGTGGCCGATCCATGGAACTCTTGTCGTAATACTGGTTGAACTGTCAAAAAGGAAACAGCGTGTTATAAAACCCAAAGTGAAAAAAAATAAAATGATCAAAAGAGTAAAAAGAAAAAAAATAACAAGATCAGTAATCAAGAAGTTCATAACAATGTTGTATTTATTTTGTACTTACCCAACCTAGTCCATTGTTGTTGTGTACGGCTAAACATGATGATATAATAATAAAAAAAAAAAAAAAAGAGAGAGAAATAGGAAAGAAAGAAAACAAACCCAGGGCCCACTATTTTTTTTTTTTTTTTCCCTCTCATACACAGGTGACTGAGGTTCGTTTTCCACTCAAAAAAAAAAAAAAAGTTTTGCTTAAGGGACTGTGGCGGATGCTGAAAACATCTTTTGGCATCTCTGCTGAGCCTATTGGGATAACATCCATCCAAACTTTTTTTTTTTTCTCATCCGCGTTTCTTTTCACTTTATTTTTCCTTTGCAATCAGCCATGTCTGTCAATGACTTTTTAGACTCTGTTAAATCAAAACTTGAAACGAAGCTTATTGGTACAATACCTATACTGGTAACTGGAAATGACTCTGCCGGTAAAAGAGGAATATATATATATATATATAAAAATTGCAGGAATACCCCTGACTCCTTTTTTTTTTTTTTTGTTCAATCTCTAGATCTAGATTCCATCATATCTGCTGTATTACTAGCTTATTTGAAGCAACAACAAGTCTCGTCTAGTAATACTCTATATATACCACTTGTCAAAGTTCCATTTCGTGATTTGGCCTTACGACCTGAAGTTACTTATGTATTCAACCGTGCTGGGATAAATGCAACAAAATTGATCTGTATTGACCATGTGGATTTGTCGTATTGGAAAAACAATAACAATAAATTAGATATTATTCTTGTCGACCACAATCGACTCACTCCACCACTTGAAGATCTTGGTCAACATTGTCAAGTTATTGGTGTAGTGGATCATCATGTCGATGAAGGTGTATATTTGGATGCTTCTTTACGTTGGATTGAAATGGTGGGTTCTTGTACATCACAGGTTGTGCTAATTTTCAAGGAAGAAATTACTAGACTATCAAATAAACAAACGGTGGCAACCCTAGCTTTGGCGCCTATTTTGGTGGATACAATCGGTTTGCGATGGGCATTAGGAAAAACGACTCAAAAGGATATGGATGCTTTCAACATAATAGGTCCCTTGGTATTTGGTGATGACACGTCGACAAATGGTATCAATCATCAAGAAGCAATGCAGTATTATGACGATATTGAAAAAATCAAATCGCAGGTAGATCATCTGTGTACACGCGATCTGTTACGCAAGGATTACAAAGAATGGACAATCAATGGTTATACAGTGGGAACAAGTTCAATATCATGGTACTTCAAAGCGTGGATTGATCGTGATGGCTATGATCAGTTAGTGAAGGATGTATGGGCTTTTGTAGATGAACGACAATTGGATATGCTTTTGATATTATCTTCATACGATCACTCCAAGGAATTAGAAGATGGTGTTTATGAACGAGAACTAGCCTTCTTTGTCAAGAATCATCGGTTGATCAATATTAAGGAATCAATGGAAAGGGATTTGAATGTGGGACTTTCAACATTCTTATCTGTTCGAAAACATGACCCTTGTGTAGAATTTTACAATCAACGAAATATCAAGTTATCTCGAAAACAAATCTGGCCACTGGTTCAAGATCTCTTGTTGAAATTAGAATAGAAATAGACTATTATATATTATTATGTGTTGTCATAGTTTTTTAAAAATAAAAAAAAGATCACACTTTTATATTCCCATAGTTGTGTAACGTCAATCCTTGTATCTACCAACTTCAAAACCTTGATTGACGAGTATCTTCTTAGTTTCTTATAAGCATCAATGGAATCATCATTGTACTTATTAGTCTTGAAAAAAAAATCATGTGGTAAAAAAAGTAACATTATATGTAAATGATAGACACGCCATTTAAAAAAAAAAAAAAAAAAAACTTTTGACAAGAGGTTTGAATTTGGAGCACGCGGGCAAATCCTCCTTGTCTACCTTGCTTTATAGCATGAATGAACCAATCAAATTTCAGAAACCGCCAACGTGGATATATTTTGTATCCTTTTTTTTTTTTCTTTTTCTTTTTCTTCTATTTTTTCTTTTTCTTTTGAAAACTTTTTATCTTTTCTCTTTTCTTTTTTTTTTCTTTCAATCATACATTACTCCTTATTTAATTTGATTATGCTTTGTGCAGCTTTACCAAATACATCCATCCATCGTATTACTGATTTACTCCCCTTGAATAAGAAGAAAAATGATACCAAAAGGATAAAAGGCAACACCATGAATTATTTGGATCGATTACCTGATGAAATCATAGGATGTATCTTTGAACAACTGGACTCTTTGTCAACCATTTATCAATTTTTATTGACATGTCATCGAATACATTCCATCACTTCTACTACACCACGTCTATTGGCTTGTTGGTTAGTCAAACAACAAGGACCCCGCTTTGCTATTTATTATGCCATTCTTTCTATGCCTCATCTATGTGATGATCGGTTTATCCAACTTCTACTCAATCAAGGTGCCTTATTATCTCGTCATCTGGTCCAACAACTTGTTCTGCTTTATGGAAAATCATCATCATCATCATGCATTAGTTCTTCTCAATTCAGCCAATCTCTTCAACAACTCCCTTTTTCAGGGTATGCGACTTTAATCCATCAAGGTTCTCGACTTTACGGTAATATCATGGTGACCAAGACTCAAATGGATTACACCCAATTGATGGCGAGCACAAATATTGAACAATGGCAAATGGCGATTCAAGATCATTATTTTGTACCTGCACCTGTTATTCATGGTCCATCTAGTTACTCACGGTCCTTTCTTCGTCTGGTTATCATGCGTCCTGATTTGTTTAATTTATTCTCACCTGTGTTTGGGTTTGATCTCGAAGCTCGGTGTGCACTTTGGGAATCTATCTTTTTATATCTACTTGATCTATCATTCTCACATCATTCCACCCATCACGACAAATTGGCTCTTTTGGATCGTATCATCACACCCAAGCAACACATTCGATTCGTTCTATCAAAAGAACATAGGATCGTGGGTGATCAAGACGCCTTTGTGCACTCGTTTATTTCATTTTTTGGAAAATACACCCATGGCTATTTGGCTGATCAGTTTATGAACAAGTTACTTGGTTTCCTCTTTGATTACATTCATCCTTCTTTTGATCTCAAATTGGCTTTGTTGGAAATCTCGGAGACACTACCACCTACTCGTAAGGATATCTCTCATCTTGTCAAACAATTCTTGAAATGTCGATCCTTAGTTTAATGATCATCACTTATATCCTACATCATATACCTTTCCCACACTCCTCTTTTTTTTTTTTTTCTCATCACTATTATTCTTTTTTCTCCTCCACATTTTTCTTTTTATTGTACTATTCCCCCCCTCTCTCTCTCCCATTTCATTTGTATATAGTATTACTTTATTATCATTATTGTTATTATTATTATTATTATTCAAAAAGCGAAAATAAAGAAATCTGTCTTCTCTTTTACTGTTTTATCATCTATGTATAATCATCGTCAACAAAAGATTATTATCATTAATGATTTAAAATTAAAATTCGTCTTGGGTGACATTATCCAATCAAGTTTATCTTATATAACGAGTAGAATGAGACAAACATCTATATTGGTCATTATCATACAACTGCACACACTCTTATTAATTCAATGTTTGAATAGGTCTTGTTTATTGAGTAGCATAGAATGATCATGAAAAAAAAAAAAAAAAAAAGGAATGATACTAACAAACAAACTAAAAAAATTAAATTAATACTAAAATGTCACTTCACCTATCCAATCCCTTTTCCGATATCGCGACGTTTTTCTTGCTAATACTGAAGAAGAAGAAGATGATGATGATGATGAAGTAGAGGATGGTTGTCGATCTAATAATTTCCGAAGAGGGTAGATGACTAAAGCAGCAAGAACAAGTCCAGCAGAGACAGAGACAGTAATGACCATAATATGAACGGCAAATAAAATTCCTTGATGACCAGCGTTGAGGATGATAGACATTTCAGAGATAGCATTGTTGTTGGAGGGTGAAGAAGCCGCATTCGTCACAGCCTGACCAAAAGTATCCAACGTAGACGACACACCAACAGAACCAGGTACCAAAAAAAATAATCCGGTGATCATATCCACAAAGCCCACTGTAGGATGCATCCGAGCATATATATTGGCTCCCATAGCAACCACAAACGCTGCCAATGTCGTCGCTAAATGTGGATAACTGACAAAATGAAGCAAGGCAAGATAGTGTACACCATGAGAAACAAGTGCCAACACAAGCATAATACCGAATTTTGACCAATGTGCACGTAATGTGATGGCGGTGGCAATGGTAAAGAAAGGTACCAACAATACATGTGTCCAAGGAGATAACGTATTTTCACACGATGGATAGGAAATCATCGTGAGCTGAGGGAATAAAAGCTGATGACCACTTGCACCAATCGCCAATCCAAAACCAAGTAAGAGTGAGTACACCAACGTTGTCGTGAGTCGTAATGTACCGGTGACTGTACCAGAAGCAATTTCAAGCATGGACACCAAAGTAGTAAACCCTGGTAACAAACTGACCACACCACCTACTGATAAGGCATAAAAACAAGAATGGGAAGAAGATGTACGTGAGGATGCTGCCGCGGCAAAGAAACCAATCATCGCACATTGTAATACATCGAAAATACCAGCAAATCGCGTAATCCGTTGAGACACAAACACTGAGCCAATCGCCACGAGTACCCCCAAGCCAAATCCAAAGATCATATCCAACCATCCACCATAAAAGAAGAGAGGCATGCTAGTACTGGACGCAACCCCAAATGCAATCACCATGAGCCATTTTGAATAAAGAGGAGGTGATTTCATCACATAATCCAATTGATTTGTTGCTTCTTGAATCGTCCGTTCGTCCATCATAATGTCCTCAAATACTTGATATATTCTAATCAATCGATGAATATCCAGTTCTGTATTTACCTTGATAAATTGTATAGGAATCGAAGAAGTACCTTGACTATAAAATACTTGTATTTGAAAGAAAGAAAGAATGTGAGCGCCAATGAAAGTCTGTATCTTTTTTTTTTTTTTTTTGGACTTACCAGATGGTTTTTCAAAGGAAATCATCAAAAAACCAGGGAAGTAACCAATTTGTGCTGACATATTCCATTTGTGTAAAAGAAGATGAGTGCAATGATCCAGTCGATGAGATGGCGCTCCACAGGAAACAAAAGCTTTAACGAATTGGAACAAAAAATATTGTGTCATTTGCATAGTTGATACATCGTTTGTTGAGGATGAATGACTTGATAGTTGTTCTGAAGATAGATTGTGATTCTTATGGAGGTAGATGTTACGTTGTCTTTTGTTGGAGGCAAATCTGGACAAGGCTGTAGTCTTGATCGGGGATAATCCTCGTTTTTCATCATCATCGTTCATGTCCAAAGAAAAGTGGTTGTCTATTGCCTTGTTGTTTTTCTGATGTTGTTCTGGTAGTTGTAATTCATTCGAATATAATATACGATATTGTTCATCTTGTCCCGCATAAGATGATATTAAAGCCAAAGTCGATAAGTTGTTTGACAAAGATGATACCATGTTGTCATGATTTGATAAAGACCATTCAAACATGGAATTGGACCGATTGTTTTGCTTTTTCCGCTTCTTATATTGTTCTTGTTGTTGTGTTATACCATGTGCTTTGTAAGTATCGTTGATAGAACAGGAATCGGACATCGATCATCCTTCCAATAAAAAAAAAAAAAAAAAAAAGAAAAGAGTGAGAATACAAATCATCATCGTTCATTTTTTTTTTTTGTTGCTCTTTTTCTTCATTTGTACTTACATTCCTTCCATGTTGATCCCTTAATATTTCTTGATTCCACTATCCTTACCATTCCTTCCTATTTCTTTGTAACCAATAAGCATCCTTGTAAAATCCCCCCTCCAAAAAAAAAAAAGGCCATTGATCCCGTTACGTCTAATTTGATAGTATGAGTGGAAAAATAATAAAATGTATTGAAGATAAATAGAAGAATAGAAAGACAGATATACATATGTGGAATGTGTAAACGAAACTATACTGAATAAAATAAGTTTGTTCTACATTGACACTAATTGTTGTTGCTTGTGCTGCTAGGCTGAGGTCGATCTATGAGATAGAACAAGTAAACAAGAGTCAATTCATATAAATAGAGGAGGTTTGACTTACTTTTATATACAGGCTGTCGTTCATATGCATTCGGACTGACATGTCTTGGATTCCTTTTCTTTTTCTGTCCATGTCTATGGCGGTGACAGTGTCTTGAATGGTTAGGGTTGTTTCGATGATCACTATCGCTATCATCCTCTCCACTACTACTATCACTATTGCTGCTGCTACTGTCTGAGTCAGAAGATTCACCCACTTCACGCGGTTTATGATAAATACAACAAACTTACAAAAAAAAAAAAAATAGTTGTTAGTATAGATAAACCTTTTGACTATTTTTTTTTTCTTTTTGTTTTTTTTTTTTTTAAAAAAAAAAAAAAAGTCCTTACTTTTAGATTTCTTTTTTCCCATATGTTCATTATCTACAACATCATCATCCCAACGTACTACTGGAGGTCTCCTTGCTGTCATATCACCTCGTAAACGAAGTACACCAATGCTATCGTCTGGTTGAGGAGTATTTTCACGGCTGCTTGGTTCTTCTTCTGTATTTTCAACTGTAAGTGTGCGTGAACCGTGAGATGGTGAGTTCAACTGTTCTCGCATCCTTGTACCGGTTGCTGTAAGTCCTGCTGGATAAGTCATGAGAATATGTTGATTAAATATATAAATAAACAAAAACTGGAAAAAAGAGAGACAAAAAAAATTTGAGCAATTTTTAGTTTTTTTTTTTCTAACTTGTCAACTGATTCGGCATTTCAATGTTTTGCGTGAGTGATATATTGATCATAAATCACAAATAAAATAAATACAAAAAAAAAAAAAAAAAACTGTTTATTTACAATATACAAGAAGATATACAAATAATATTAATTCTAAATCTAATATCTATTCATCGAATTGACATCCAAAACTAAGTACATTGAAGGCATTGTCTTTTGATTCAAATCCACCACTACTCCCTATTGTTTTCCCTGTCATTCGTTTGTAGCTATTGTTGTTGCTACCATTATTCTTGTTTACTGTTCTTCGTTCTTGACGTTGATCATCCAATTTTTTCAGTATCCGAGATTTCATCCATGAGATCGTTGCCTTTCGTTGTTCCATTTCCATAAGAGAAGCCACTTTTGCAAACTTGTAATCAAATACCTTTTCCACTTGGAGTTCCGATTGTCCTCCTTCAAGTGAGGTGATCATATCGTAGAGAGTGCCAAATAGATACATCCATTTGGTGGAAGCACCCAACATCATTCTTCCCATGCTAGCACCTAATCGACCCATTTGTAAGCAAGTATGTACTACTAAACCATTGTACAAAGTTGCCAATACACCTGTTTGATTGAAATGTTGATCAAAGTTGCTGTCGTTGTATAACAATACCTGAGCTAAGAAATGCGAACTGAGAAGAGTATGCTGCCATTGAGTTGATAGTTGAATAGATCGTTTTCTCAAAGGTGGTATTTTGATTCCATCTTCTTTTTGTTGTTGTTGTCGTTGTTGATTGGTGTCTCTATAATAAGATGATAATAAAATCAAATCTGTCGGTCCATCTGCTCTGGAGAATTCGTCAGGTAAAGTTGTTGGTACCAGATCTACCATACTTGCTACAAGAAGAGCCACAACTTCATGATTGGCAAGAGGTTGTCCAGTATTCAATGACTCTTGAACAAAATAACGTAAACAAATCACAAGAGGGTGAAGAGGTTTGGCAATTTTGGAATCCATCCACATTTTCATCGTAGGACTGACATGATGATGATGTAAAAATAAATGTAAAAGTTGTTGTTGATCATGATCATGGTCGATAGTTCTTACGGATACAGTGTCGCAAGCCAAATGTTGCTTTTCACGTACATATTCGTTGATCTTGTCCATATTCATCCATCCATACATAGCCTGCCGTAAAGAACGACTCAAATACCAGCTTGATAATTGTTGTACATCTTCCAAAAAGACACCAGCCCAGAAAGAATGTGTGATAGATAAATCCAGAATTTGTCGACTGTATTGTTTTGGTGCAATGTGAATGGAGGAAATATCAATTTGTTGCTGTGAAGATGTCAATAATGAATGTTGAGGATCGTATCGTTTCACAGAAGCCAAAATCATATCCTCCAGAGTATTTACTATTTGATTCTTCTTTGACATACCACTTTCCAAAATGATAGGTTTCAGTTGAGACATAATCGTAGAGATGATAGAAGAGGAAGATTCAGACATATGATTCATTTGTCGTATAAATTCGGCAACATTCTTTATCCAATGAGAAATAGTGTTTTGTTTGTTCCATCCAACATTCTTTGAACACCAGGTCATGATAGGGTACTTGATCACCTGTATATCTAAATAATCATTACCCAATAAGGTTCCAAAAAGAGGTAGCATCTTCAGTTCCAATCCAAGGAGATTTGCTAAAACTTTCGGTTGATAGATTGTAGCTGATATAATCAAAGGAATATCATGGTCATCATCATCATCATGGTGTTGATCATTGGTGTATAAACTAGAAATCTCCAAAGAGTCTAAGGGAATATAGCCTTTACCACAGTCGGGATAAATGTGCATATCAGAATCCTTGGAAACAACATAACCTTGAGTTTCTTGAGCCAATTGCGTCGCTACACCATCTGCTTCTTCCATACAAGTGAGAACAGAAACATCAAGTTCACGAAGAGTTTGCATACAGACTTCGATGGTCAAGGGTGGAATAACATAAAGGTCGCTGCTGTACTGAGGTCCTTCCAGAGTAAATAATCTTAAGTGTACTTTGTTGGCATTGTTGATGTGCGATAAACAGTTCATGGTCAAAACAGATCGGTCAACATAATCTCTGTACCTTTTGATCCGTGTTTCTTGTTTATCATAAGGGAGTGCTCCGTCAAATAGAAATGTCAAAGTAAAACCTGCTTGTTTCCAAATCGATATAATACGTCGAATAACATTAGCCATATATTCATACTGTCCTATACAATAGATGAATATGATGTTATTATATGAAAGTTCTAATCATATATTATATATTACCACCGTGTGTCCAATGTTGACGATGAAGATAAGCATAATGATATACAAAAGCATTGCCGTCCACTATAAGATGATCATTATTCTTTTCAGCATTATTGAGATACCATGTTTTTTGAACACCTAAAGAGGGGTTGTTCTGTACAAAGGTAGATAAACCATGAATACCCATAAAATAAAAAAAATATAAACAGAGAAGAAAAAAAAAAATAAAAAATAAAAAATAAAAAATCGAGAAAAAAAAAAGCTTCGGATTTTGAAAGCATGTCTAGAAAGAATGAAACAATGAAGCTTTATCAAAAAAAAAAAAAAAAAAAAAAAAAAAAAAAAAGAAAGAATATCTTGAATCAACTAAACTAACCTGTTTTCTCATACATAATTGTATCGTATCAAAAGAAGTTCATTAATAATATTACTGCAATAAAGATACCTTATATATGCGCTTCTAACGATTTCCAAAAAAAGGGATGTCAATGACTTTGTTTCAAGCTCCGGATTTGATCAGTTGTTTCGCTTTTTTTTTTTTTTTTTTTATCTTTTTTTTCTTCCACATTACTCTTTTATATTATATATTATGGGTGCTGCACTTAGTTGTATAGCGCTTCCAGCTCTTGGCTCTGTTGGAGGATGGATTGCCAGTTGTTTCTCAGCTGCTGCTTGTTCTCTTGCATGTAAAAGGTAAATGAGTTTCAAAAAAAAAAAAAAATAATAATAATGTCTTGGCTAATTTTTTTTTTCGTCTTTTTTTTTTTTCATTAGTTGCAACTGTAACAATTCTATAGCTACAAGAGTGGGATATGCTGTAAGTTATTTGGGAGAAAAAAAAGGATACAATTGAACTTGAACAATATAATTTTTTTTAACTTGTATACTTTTTTTTTAATAGATTATCTTTTTATTCAACTCAATAGTAAGTTTATATGAAACAATTCATTTCCCTTTTATGAGTTTTATGTTTTATTCTTCTTTAGTTCGCTTGGCTTATGTTGTCCAATTGGGCAATAAAACAATTACAACACTTGACACTTGATTATTTAAAACTGGAATGCTCAGAAGGAACTTGTTATGGTATCATTGCTGTAAGCAAAAAGTGTATATAGTTTAAAATTATTTGACTGACAATATTTCCGTCTTTTTTTTTCTTTTTTAAATAAAATAGGTTCATCGAGTATGTTTTGCTTTGGTACTATTCCACTCTATATTAGGATTATTATTACTTGGTGTACATGATAGTAGACAAAAAAGAGCTGCTATTCAGAACGGGTAAGACAATAGGATGAATTGGGAAAAATGGAAATTTCACATTAATTATTTTTATATAAATAGATGGTGGGGACCAAAAGTATTATGTTGGTTTGCTTTGGTGGTAGTATCCTTTTTTATTCCCAATGGATTCTTCATGGTATGGGGAAACTATTTTGCTTTAATAGGTGCTGCTATCTTTATTCTCTTTGGTCTCGTTCTTTTGGTTGATTTTGCACATAGTTGGACAGAACGATGTCTTGAAAATTGGGAAACTCAAGATTCTAACAAATGGAAATATATTTTGATTGGCAAGTTTTATACAATATATATATAAAAAAAAATAACTAATTTTTATAAATATATATAGCTGGCACAGTATTCATGTTTTCTGGTGGAATCACATTAACTGGAATTATGTATGCATTTTTCGCTACTAATGGGTGCTCTTTGAATCAATTCTTTATAACATTCAATATGATTCTATGTCTTTTGATTACATTTTTATGTGTGACTCCATCTGTACAAGAAGCCAATCCTCGATCTGGTCTCTCTCAATCATCTATTGTTGTGATTTATTGTACTTACCTTGTCTTATCAGCTGTGGCGAATGAACCCAATGATAAACAATGCAATCCTCTACGTCGTTCTCAAGGTAGTCAAACAACTACAGTGGTTCTCGGTGCAATCTTTACATTCTTGGCAGTGGCATATTCAACAAGCCGGGCAGCAACACAAGGTGGGACATTTGTTAAATCAAAGAATCAGTTGCGGGTTGATGATTTGGATACATCTAGTGCTGTTCCACTAATGGCTAATCAAGTTGATGCAGGTGTCCAGCGAATGAGCGTTCAAGGATCTAGTAGGGAACATTTGATTGCTGCTGTGGAAAGCGGGTAAGACAAATATAATATTATATAAGAAAAGGGGAAATTCATTTTATTATTATGATGACGATTATTTATAGAGCATTACCAAGATCAGCGCTTTACGACGATGATGACGATGACGATATGGATGGTATGGATGATAAAGATGATGAAAGATATGGTGCTGTGTATAGCTACTCCTTTTTCCATTTCATCTTTGCTATAGCTGCGATGTATGTTGCCATGTTACTCACAAATTGGTAAGTTTTCTATTTTATTCTATTAATGTTTAATAAAAAAAAAAAAAAACTTTTATACAATGCGTTACATTTTAGGAATACTATTACCATGGAAGAAATGTCTGCACCTGGTGAAGATGGAGATTTTGTACGTATTGGTCAAAGTTATACTGCTGTATGGGTCAAAATTGTATCTGGTTGGCTTTGTTTACTCATTTATGGTTGGACTTTACTTGCTCCTGTATTGATGCCTGACAGATTTTTGGATGATTACTAGTTAGTTAGTTATCAAAATATGCGTTAGTTTATTTAGGTCTATATATATTGTATTATTCCTTTTTTTGATTGAACCAAATAAACCACGTTCATTATTTATCTTTTTTTTTTCTTTTATCAACATGAATAGATAATATATCATTAGTTGCTTATATTGAGTAAAGTTGAATGCTAAGGTAAACTATGATAGAAAAAGAATCAAATATTGCATATACTTATTTTTGGATGATTGATTTTAACTTTTGCTAATGCATATACAGAGATGCAAGCAAGCCTGTCAGTTTCCAAAAAGGCCGGACATCTAAATGTCTTTTTTATTTTTTTCCTCAGTTTTTTTTTTTTTTCCCTTTCTTTTCTTTTTTTACCAAACACAACAATTGACGTTTACTAAATTCTTTGGATCTTTTTACTTATTTACGTCATGTCAGATACCGAACTTACCAATCACAAACGACCTAGTACTGACGCTGTCATTACCATACGTTGTATAAAATCCTTTGAATATCGTACCTGCAAAAGTCTCGTTCTTCAACATGTGAACTTGGAAACAACTACTGTAGGTGATTTGAAACAGATCGTGCGCGATAGTAAGTTAACAAAAAGATTAAAAAAAAAAAAAAAGAACATAGTGAACAATGAAAAGTATGAACTTTGGTAACTAAACTTTTGTTTTTGTAATTTGATAGAGATTAAGACAACCTCTGGCTGGAAACCTTATTTGAATGTTGTATTTGGTAAGATTTGTCAAAACATGAAAATGGATTGTCAAAGAAGAGAAAACAAGAATATACAATATGGCAGTAAAACAAGTTCTAACACTTATATGTATGGACAGATACCTTGAAATTATATACAGTGGCTCATGGACACAAGGCAAGTAGAAAAGAATAAATAAGAAAAAGGGAAATAAGGATAAATCAAGCACTGTAGAACTTATATATATTTAAATGAATAGACAATGAACCTGATAATTAACATGGAAGATGATGATCGTTTAATTTATTCTGATGATTCTGCTGCTCTTGCCTGGTTAGGTGTTGGTAAGTTATTATTAGAGAAATATAATTAGATGATTCATTTTGATTTTGACTTTGGATATAGAAAATGAAACTGAACTATCATTTTTCAACCGTGAACAATACGAAGAATACAAGAAACACCCTGATATGAAATGGTAGAAATAGGACCAAAATGGAATTGTATTGGCATTACCTGCTGATGAATAACTAGTATAATATTAGTATTAAAATTAGAATAGGATGTTTGTCTGTGATGTATAATAATAAATGACTTACGCATGTGGAACACGAAATCGGACAAAGATTTAGTTTTATGATTTATTTTTGTTATATAACAGATGTATATATATATATATATATATATATATATATATATATTGACATAGCTTTTGATTCGTTGTATTGAAAAGAAATCATGATTCTATGAATGGAAAGAGTAATATTATTATTAAGATCAACATGGATGATTGCGAGAAAAGGAAATGTCATGACATATTTGACCAGTGTAGACACTGTGATATTACAAGATGTGTTATATAAAAGTCTAGAATGTATCTATTTATTCCAATGTAGAGGCAAAAACATGTAAATGTCAAAAAAGGTCATTTCATTTTTTCTTTTTTTCTTTTTTTTTTTTTTTTTTTTTTTTGGAAACCATTGACGTTCCGAATGAATGATTACCCACAACAAGGACTGATCTGCAGTAAGGATGGTCTTTGTGTCACTTACAAATCTTTATAAAAAAAAAATACCTCCTGCAAGTGACTTTTAAGGAAGGAAGGGTAAAAGCCAAGTAATGAAAATAGTCTAACAATAGAAATAGAAGAATCTGGATTCTTTTTATCCTTCTTTTTTTAATGAGTTTCTCTTTGTAGGAAATCATGTTCAAGTAGCGGTGATTGAACATATCTATTTAACTGATGGTTGCTTACCTAAATCATTGTTAAGGGATCTAAATAGAGAACTACTAGAGTTTGTATATATTTTTAGCGTTTAAACCTTTTTTTTTTTTTTTTTTTGGTACTTAATCCCTTTTTTTTTTTTTCTCTCTCTCTCTCCTTCTCCTTTCCTTCATCCCTCTCCCCTTCCGCTCATTTAATATCAATCATGAAAAACAGTATCCTCTTTATTCTTCTCTTAACTATATTCTTTATTTCTTCTACAAATGCCATCACCTGTATCAAAAAACATAAAGTCTACGGTGGGGAAACGGTAAATATATTTAATTAAAACATTTCAACGTTTCTAACTGACTGATTGATTTATATTTTTCTGTTTTATTTTTCATCATCATCATTCATCATCACTGTTATTAAAAAGTGTTCAAGTATTGCCAAAGCTGGAAAAATCTCGCTTTCAAACTTTTATAAATGGAACCCTGGATGTAAGCAGAAAATTACTTTCAAAAAAAAAAAAAAAAAAAAAAAAAAAGAGTAGGGTTGATATTAATTTGTTGTCTCTGTGCTACCATGGTAATTTGACTATTTTACCTTTTATAGTGAAAAAGTCGAAATGCACCACTCTTCATGTTGGACAATATGTCTGTCTTAGGTATATAAATATTTATATTAAAAATAATGATCTTAACGAAAACATCAGTTATTTACTATGATTATTTCTTGTTTTCTAATGACAACAGTGCGCCAATGACTACAAGTACTACCATTACTACCACCATCAATACTACTGCTACCACTACAGCAACTGCTACTACCACTACTACTACTACTACTACTTCTGCTACTCCTACACCCACATATCTTCCTGGTCTTACTGTTGCTGTACAAAATGAAGCTGAATTTTGTTTATTCCTTCCATCATCACCTGGTAACAAAGCTAATCATGGTGGTATCATTGATCCTGATGCAATTGCTGATAGTGAAAAGGATGCCAAACCTTTCTGTACTATTGCTGGATTGACACCAAGTGCTAAACAATTACCTGATGGATTTATCACTTCTGCTCATTATCAATTTAATACTACAGCTCAATTTGTTCAAGTGACAGGTGAGATTAATCGTGCTAAATATTCTCTTTCTTCAAAGGACGGTGGTGGTCAGGTAATATTAATATTTATGCATGATGATGATAAAGAGTAACATATATATATCTTTTTCTTTTAATATGAGTAGTATGATAATCATGGTGCTGGTTCTCCTCCTTTATCTATGTGTATGGGTTACAAATACTATGTCAGTTTAATTGAACCTGATATTCAAGGTTTTTGTATTAGATGGTAAATATAGAAAGAAAGAAAAAAAAAAAGGGTAAATTGATCTCGTTTACTAAGGAATTTTTTTTTTTTTTTAGTTGTCAATCATATCAAGATTGTAATGCTTCCAGAAGTGCATATGGATGTAAAAGAGTTGTACCTCCTCTACCTTTCTCTGTCTAGTATACATGTTAACTTATAATAATAACAATAATAATAAAAAAAAAAGCACTGTCTTTCAAATTCACCCTCACAGTTTATCCTATTCCGAATCATCGGCAAACCTTTTTTTTTCTTTTTTTTTTTTTTTCTCTCTTTTTCTTCTCCTTAACTCCTCCATTTTTTTTTTCTATATATTTTTTTTATTGTTCATACTTTTTTACTTACTATGGTAAATGAACAAACACCATTGATTCCTCAGCCAGTAGGATCTATTTCAGATCGACGACAACAAAGAAAAAGAGAAGCAACTGGATTACTCTGCATGGCTCTTTCAGCATTGGGATTCTCTCTTATGTCACTCTTCGTTAAACTTAGTGGTTCAAGTTTTCCTTCTTTTGAAATTGTCTTCGCTAGATCTATTATTCAAACTATTCTAGGTTTGATCGGTTGTTTCATCCTTCGTGTTCATCCTTTAGGTGATCCTAAAGTTAGACCTTGGTTAGCTTTCCGTGGTCTTGTTGGTTCTTTAGGTCTAGCTCTCTTTTTCTATAGTATCACAAAACTTCCTTTGGCTGACGCTACTGGTAATATATTATTATTATTATTATTATTATTATTATTATTTTCTCATATGTTCTTTTTTTTTATATAACTAGTGATTTTCTTCTTGGGACCTACTTTTACTGCCATACTTGCTGCTATTGTTTTAGGTGAATCTTTTACTCTCTTTGACGGCATATGCTCAGCACTCTGTCTTGTTGGTGTAATATTGGTATCCAAACCTGAATTCCTTTTTGGTAGTAACAATGGTGATTTTATAAATGAAGATGCATCTTGGACTCGAATCCTTGCTATTTTATGTTCTTTACTTGGTGCTGTCATGTCAGCATTTGCCTATGTTACTGTTCGTCGTATTGGAAAAGGTGCCTCTTATATGGTTCATGTCGTCTATTTTGGTGGTATTTCAACTGTTGTTAGTGCTCTTGGTATGTGGTTGTGGCAAGGTTATATCTCTCCTTCAGGTTGGAAAGAATATACAATGTTGTTACTAGTTGGTATCTCTGCATTTATTGGACAATGTCTTTTGAATCAAGGGTAAGATTATTTTCTTTTTTTTTTTAAAAAAAAAAAAAAAGATTTATCAATGAGATGCATGAATTTTTAACCGATTGAATATTCTAGATTACAAATGGCACCTGCAGGCCCAGGTAAGAATAAGATGAATTTATATGGGATACAGAATGATGAATCATGTGGTTTTTCTTTTATCATTTTAGGTACTTTGATGCGTATGAACGATGTAGTATTTGCCTTTTTATTTGGTATTTTAATCCTTCATGAATATCCAGATATCTATAGTGTTTCTGGTGCTTGCCTGATTGTGTTGATGACAACTGCTCTTGGTCTACATAAATGGTGGTCTTCTACTCGCCATTAACGTTCCTATTCTCACCCCTTCCTTTCAAACTTAGACAATTCACGCCCCGAACATAGACATTTTTTTTTATCGTCTTATTATTTTTTTTTCTCCTTTTATTTTGTTTGTCTTCTTTCTCCACCATCACCCACTTCATACCATGAATAAAAATCTATTATTTATAACGTGTCTCTTATCCTTATATTATCCTTACGTAAGTTACCCGTTGAATATTCATCATTTTATCACTAAAAAAAAAAAAAAAAAAGAATACTTACTAATAGTCTTTTTTATTTCTCACGTTAGACATCTGCTTATGACGTGTCTTTTGACGGATTGAAGGCTACCTTTGACCACTTCTCTCTGCAAGACTTTTCCTTGGTGGATACTGCAAAAACTGCATACCAATATTTGATTACCTACCACGACTACCTTTTGGATACTGTTGAAAACGTCAATATTGAATTAAAAGAAAACGGCGGAAAAAGACTACCTATTCTATGTTCAGCAGACGATTACTTTTACCATATGACTCATTATTTACCAGTACCTATTGTATCATTGATTGCTAATAAACAACGTCACGATTACGGTAACCATCACTATTCTCTCGAACAGAAATATACACCTGAAGAACGTCAACGATTGTTTGCTACCACTGTCAATACACTTCCACCTGCGCTTCGTGACCATGCTACTAAAGCTAAGGCTGAACTAGAAGCCTTCCTTATTCTCGTTCCTTCGTCTGGTATTCACCTTCTCATTAATCAACATTATACCACTTGGATTGGCTACTTAGATACTTTGAAATCTGATCTACACTCTCTTAGAAACGCCGTCACAGTAAGCATTGACAGTCAACGACAATTACTGCAAGATTATATTGATCAGGATAAAGTAGAGATGGAACTATCTGAAACAGAACGTTTGATCGGTAATAATAGTGATCTTGGACTTGTGTTCGATATTTATCGTCAATTTTCTGATGACAAATTACGAATGGAAACCATCCGGATGGAACAACGCAACGGAATACAACAATGGCAACAGGATTTAGAATCTGGATTTTTGGATGCAGTAACGACTTTGGGACCGTTACGTGGTTTGGCAGAAGAAATGTTCAGCAATGCGATGGATAAAACCTTAGTAGAAGTGAATAGTTTGACAGCCAAGATGTACGACAAACTGATGCAATGGAACTCCTTGACCTCACCGATGTTTCAACAGGCCAAGATTTCAATGGCGACCTTGTCAACGGTAACAACTCTAGAAGAATTGGATATTATCAGAAATGAAGTGAAACAGACCATAGACGAAGGAGAAGCTTTACTTGATGTGGTAAAACGTCAACAATACAAATCATCCAGTCATATCAGTAAAACAATCAATTCTATATGGAACAAAGCAACCTTGGAACTTGTTTACTCCCGTTGGCAATGGATCTATTGGCGTGATATTTGGAGAACTGGTGGCTTTACTTCGGTCTTACAATCAATCACCTCTCTACTTGAATAAGTATATACATTGTTTCTTTGATTCTATTATTATTTTTTACATCTATTCTCTCTCTCTCTCTTCTTTACATATGTTATATATAGTATTCTATTCATCTTATTCACCTTTAACTTTACTTCAATAAAATATTATTTTGATTCCTTCTTTTCTCATAATCCATTTCCGCAACATGAAAAATACGGGAAAAATCCAATAATGCTGCGCTTACCCGCTTGCCCTGCGTGTGCTGGATTTAAAAAGAATTTCTTTTTTTTTATATTGTTTGGTTACGCTTCATTTTTTTCATTTCTTTTCCTTTTAGTTTACTTCACATGATCTTCCTATTCTATCATGAACATTAATACCAACCGATTGAATACATTTTACCATCATAATCCACCATGGCCATATGTGACTAATATGAACTATCATTCACCAGAAGAAGTATGACTCAAAATATAAGATAAAAGACTTCATGGAAACCTTCAATAACTCTTGTTTTTGCTATTTTATAGTTTGCAAATGCAGGTTTTTATAATGTATCTACTCGAAGAACGACAGATCGAGTACAGTGTTATCTATGTGATGTAATTTTGGATGGTTGGAAGCAAGGTCAATCTCCTTTAGCTCGTCATGCCCTGGCTTCCGCCACTTGCCCCTTGGTTATCCTCAACTTTCCTGATGCCCTGACAACAATTCCTATGCATGATAATGACAGCAACACCTATCCTGAATCGGCATATATGACGAATGCTCGTTTGAAAACATTCACGAAACATAAAGCCTGGCCCCCTGTAGACAGCAATCAAAAGCAAATGCAACAAACGCGTATCTCATCAAGACAACGTTCCTACCCTCCTGCTTCGAAGGTAAAGTTTTTTTTTTTTTTTTTTTTTGATAGATCTGTAATTTGAAATATATTCAATATATAACCTTTTTTCTTTTCTTAGATGGCTGAAGCTGGCTTTATCTTCTTACCGACAGAGACAGATCCTAGTCGCGTTAAATGCCCATATTGTCATAGCTGTCTGGATAATCTAACTGCTGCATCTAATCCATGGTATGACCCAAAATATTTCAAAGTATTTGATCCTTTGTTATTAGAGATACTGATATATTCATTACGTTTTTAGGACATTACATCAACGAATGAAACCTGATTGTATCCACGTCACTCGTCGACTATCACAATCCAAGAAACAATCCTCTTCCCAAGTAAGTCTTTTTATTGTTATTATTATTATCTTAGGCTATATGGAAACAATTGACTTAATTTTTCTTTATGTTTTATTTTTTTTCTACGATAGAAACAAATATCTACACCAAGAAATAAAAACAACAAACGATCTTTAGCTTCAACTACAACAACAACAGCTTCTTCTACGAAAGAAAACCAAACACCGGCAATGGAAACAGATAACGTCAATACTGAAGGCAATGATGATGGTGATGATGAAGGATTGAAATCAAGATTTGATGATAGTATATGGGATATTGCCAAAGCTCATCTCAATCACAATCAACCTGATCTATCTGTTAAACGACAACGAACATCAAATACAAAATTAGTGGTCACTTATTCAAGAAAGGAACGCAAGAAACCAACTAGAGTACTACCACCGGAACTTACCAAATCAAAAGAAATCACAAGGGTAACATCATCAACAACATCAACCATGGCATCAAAAGGGACACTTAGACATGGAACAACATCTACTTATACCACTCCCTCTTCGACAGCATTATCAACTACGACCTCACTTACATCTGGTATACCGTCAGTGTCTCAGCAATCAGAGGAGACGCCTGCACAGGTTCTTGCGCGATTACAGAAAAGGCCGGTATGTTGATGAAAAAAAAATGAAATGAATCAAAAGGAAAGATGAACTAAGAAATAATTCTTTTATATTAGAACATATCAATCAATTCAAAGGATAAGGGCAAAGGAAGAGCCACAGAGAGTCTACCGTCCGTATCAATAGGAACATCATCAACTATGACAAAATTAGGACGAAATTCTCTTCGATTATCCACCACGAAAAGGTCATCCAGTGAAAAACGAGCATCTTCATCATCTACACCGACAAAATTATCAACATCCATGTCTTCACCATCAGTATCATCAGCATCATCAAAAACAGCCATAACGACATCCATAGGAACAACGAACTTCATGACAAGTGAACCAAAAAACAGTTCATCATCATTCTTACCAAATTTTGCCTCCTCTCCTTTACCACATTCAACTCCGATCCATTCACGAATTGATCATGGGAATGATCTTATGGCCTTGACTCTATCACCGATCAGACCTACTGAAACGACAACATCAACTACTGTCAAAGGTGTATTTGGCAATCTGGACACCCCTGTGACTACAAAAGGACGTACAGAAACGTCAACATCATATGATATCAGCCAAGCTATTGAACATCGGTTTCGAGCTAAACGACGAGCAAAGTCAAATGGACAAGATTGGAAGGAAAATAATGGAATGATACCAGCACCAACAGCACCGCTATTGGATTTTGATTCTGATGACGACGATGATGATGAAGAAGAACTCTTTTTAACAAATGATGAATTGGCAATGACGGTGGAAGAATATATTCAAGCTCTGGTTGAAAGAAAGGTGGCTCTAGTTGTACAACAAGGAGAACAGATGATCAAGGATATTGAAAAAGAGGTGGCAAATACCAAATTATCGATTTTGGCGAACGACCCTTTGAACAATGGCGAATAGTTTTAGATTTAACTTTTTTTAGTTTGTACGATATTACACAAAAAAATGCGATAATTAATGGTTATATATAGTTTTCTTTTTTTATTATTATTATTATTTGCATTTTTTTTTTTTTGAAATAAACAAACAAAAAAAAATCATCAGGTTATTGGATTATCCTATTTATTATCATATAAAATAAAATGTGTGTATTAAACAAGATCACTGGAATGATAAGTTGACAATTATTTTTAACTTTTTTTTTTTTACGATAAGGAGAGAACGAAGTTGATGGGGGAGAAAGAATAGACCGGTCTTTACAAATCAATAACGTGTAGATAATCTTCTTTTTTTTTAAGGGGCGAGAAAGAGGAGAAAGGGGGGTAAGGATAATCATATAACAACTTTTTACTTGTCGTTCATCTAGTGTCAATAGATAAATGAACAAGATGCGGTGTTTAAATGCATTAGGTGAGAAAAAAGAGAATTAACGAGTGACCACAAAAAAAAAAAGTTCGTTTTCTTCCCCTTTTTCTCATTTTTCTTTCACTTTTTCTTTTTTATATTCCTTTTGCCACACTTCTTTCTTTGTTTTCTTTATTATTATTATTATTATTATTATTATTCTCTTTAGAATAATCTATTATCTTCAACTTACTCTACAACTTCCATCCTTTCTTTAAGGTAAATAAAATAAAATAATAATAAAAACTGTCATGAACACCATTTCAAGGTTGAAGTTTTCTTTTTTTTTTTTTGTATTTGTATTCTCATCTGAACCACTGTTTTATTTATTCACTCAAACTTGATTAGTTTCTCTTTCTCTTTATGTCAAGACGGTTTTCGACTTTGGAATTCTCTACTCCTACTTATCAAAAGGATATGTCCAATGATGTGCGACTGAAACTGGCCAAAGTCAGGTCAAGAAGTCGATCTTTTTGTGCTCCGGCCTCATCTCCTTCCAATGAAGTGAAATCAACCAAGAAACCAAGCCAATTACCACGATCCTCTCTTACGGCATTAACTACCTCTGCAAAGGCAAAAGTCCGATCTCCTCATAGTTGTACCAACAAATCAACAAACATCCCTGAATCAAACAACAATAGACGCCATTCTACAATTGTTTCCTCTTCTTCAACAAAGTCAACTCGTCAACGTACTAGAAGTACAAAATCAACAACTCAACAAAAGATTTATTCTGATGTATGGAAAAATCAAATGGAGGATGATGATATGATGATCAAGTTTTTTGAAAGTGACAGTGATGAAGATGAACTCTTTTTACGGAACAAGTCAAAACTAACTACAACCAATAAAGATACCAAACGACAAAGACGTACTACTATGCCTCCAAGATTATCTATACAACAATCAACTTCTGATTCAAGTCACCCTTCCTTTCCTACAAAAGACAACAATACGAATGACAAATCTATGTGGGATGAACTCAATGAATTGAAATCAAGGCTGGCTAAATTGGAAGTATATTCGCCAGCAAAAAAAGAAAAATCCAAAATCAATTCAACGCCTTCTCAACCATCAAGTCCTTCTTCCAATCCTTCACTTTTCCCATCACCACATGCCTCCTTGGTGGATTCTGCCTGCTCTGTTTTCAACAACAACGAAACATCAACACAACTTCAAAAGGTATTGCAAGAGACAGCTCTTCAGCTTGGTCAGTGTTTACGACAGGATCATGACTCTAATATCTATCACAATGCATTCACTGATACTTTGATTGCCTTGGTAGCCGAGACAATTACAATCAATCAAACGTTAACATCATACGCCACTCAACAACAATCAGGGATGAAACATGACAACACTCTTATGTCTTTACATAAAAGTAGTGAACGACAAGTCAATCTCTTAGCAGATACTTTACAGTCATTAGTGAAGCAGCAGCAACAACAACAACAACAACAGCAACAACAGCAACAACAACAACAACAACAACAACAACAACAACAACAACAACAACAACAACAACAACAACAACAACAACAACAACAACAACAACAACAACAACAACAACAACAACAACAACAACAACAACAACAACAACAACAACAACAACAACAACAGCAACAACAACAACAGCAACAAAAAAAACAGGATCATCTTGTATCACCTCCTTTATCACATTCAGCTATAGATAACAGCACTGGAAGTACCTCACCGAAACCAACCAAATCTTATCGTATCTCTACCACAACAACAGCACCAGAATCTACCCTATACCAACAACACAGACATTTATCTCCCAGGACACGTGCTAATTCATATCATTACGATGATTTACTATTCAATGCTAATCAAACATATGCTTATGAAACATCATCAGTGTCATCAACGAATACTCCAATAAAGCATCATAAACATCAACAACAGCGTGAACAAAGGACTTTCCCATCAACAGTTTCGGGAATGGCACTTCCTCCAACACAATCACATTATCTTAAGTACTTGGAATTATCATCACCACAACAACCATCATCATCTAAACTTGTTAGTGGGATCTTACACCAGAATCATTATTCGTCCTATCAACATTGTCAACAACAACAACAACAGCCTTACTATTCCTCCATGGTGGATCAACAACAATCTCAATTGGCGTTCCAACCTATGTCATCATCACGTGTTAATCGATTATTATCTATGTATGAATCATCCATGAAACCAACTGTAGCAACAACATCCATGATCCATAGCAATAGCGGTAATACCACTTCTTCACCACCCATGTCACCTTCACAACAAAATCATCATCAAGCTCATCACTCTTCTTTTGTGTATTATCCAAAGTAGCTCTGTGATGAATCAAAATTCCGTAGTATAGTTTGTGTATAGTTACGTTAGTTATATTTTCATTTACTTTTTTTTTTTTCTTTTACTTCTCCAAAAAAAAAAAAAAAAGTTAGGGGTGATCATTTGTGTATAGTTTTGTTGATTTGTTTGTTTCCCCCTACTATTCTTTCTTTGTGTATACTTTATTCTTTTTATTATTCTAGTTTAGTTTCTGGTCTTTTATGCATATACATACAAAAATATCATTCATACATTTACAAAATATATAATATATATAATAAAGAAATCATATTCTCTCTTTATTGTCTTGCTTTTTTTTTTTTTTTTTTTTTAGAAATGATAAAAATGTCCGTGCATCGACTTTGTGAAAAGGTCTTGAATGCGTGTGTAACAAAAAACAAAAAAAAAATCAACAAAAAAAACCGGTTTTTTTTTTTTTGGTTATTACTTCATTCTCAACCCCCCTTGCATGATTTACAAAGGATCGTCTGTTTATTGAATGCAAATAAACAACTACATCATCGCGGGAGTAGTTGGATGAAAAAAAAAAAAAAAAAGAATAATATGGTTTCGCTTTTCTATATATAGTTTCTTTCGGGAAGTTGGGGAACTTGGGATGATCATTGATAAGCATCTCCCTCATAAAAAAAAAAATCATCATCCACCCTACCGCTTTGATGATCATCACCTAATTTCAATGCATGGATTCTAAGGATGATCATGATTGAATAGATGAACATTATGATTAGTCGCCCTAGTCGCTACAAAAAAAAAAAAAAAAAAAAATGTAAAAGAAAATGGTATAATGTAACTAAAGATGCTGTAAGTATCTATAGGCGCAATGTCGCGATAGAAAAAGTACAGTTGGAACGAAGTCAGCCAAAGCAGAAAATCACAAAAACAATTATTATTTTTTTTTTATTAACTTGTCTTTGAAAACACTGTATTCCTGCTGCATTCTATATCCTGTTCAGTTGATCCAAGCGTATTTCCATCCAGTTGATCTAAGCGTACTTCCATCCACATGATCCAACCAACATCCATTCAATTAGAAGCAGAAAAATAATGAAGGATAAAGTAAAAGACGACGTAGCACAATCTAAAATAAATAAAAAAAAGGCAGTATTGGATCGGATATAATGCAGATGATTTTATTTCGAATGTAATAGGGAAAAGAGAATAAAATAAAAACAAATGAAAAAAAAAATAAGAATGGAAAGCAATCAATGCGAAATGCATAAAAAAAAAAGATGAAGTAAAAAGATGACTAAAATAGATAATCTAAGCCTTGACATGTTTGACCAAATAAGACAACAAATCCACCTTTGTTACAACATGCTTCACCTTGAGAACACCTTCTGTCTTTTCAGTCACCAAAGCGCTAGAATTGGTTTCAAAGAAACGGGTGAGCTTGTCCAAAGGAGTATCTACGGTAATCTCTTCAAAATGTTTGGTACCATTGGCAAATTTGAACATGACATCAGATACAGATGATGAGGGTTTGGCTTTTCCAGAAGCAATACGAGACAAGATATTACCCATGGTAACCAAACCACGAAGACGATGATGAGGTCCAGCTGTAACAGGTAATTGATCGAATCCATTCTTTTCCATTGTCTCAATGGCTTCACGGCAAGTAGTCTAAGGTAAGATAAAGAAAAAAAAAGAGAGAGGGGAACATTGAATTTATCAGTATCAAAAAAAAAAAAATCATAATATATATATACTACTTACTTCACCATCCACACTAACAGCTTGAGCAAGACCCAAGTTACGAACTGTAGCACCACCATATTCAGCTTCAGCCTTCTTTTCAAAACTTTGAGCTTCGAACTTTTCATCAGTGAATCCCTTGCTTCGCATCCAATCGTCGTTCAAAAACTTGGTCATGTAGTTACGGACAGAATCGGGTAAAATAACAACACAGCGTTGACCTTCCTTCAATCCCTTGGCAGCCTGACAAGCAGCATACATAGCAGTACCAGAAGAGCCACCACATAATAAACCTTCTTCACGGATAAGACGTCGAGACATCAACAAAGATGGTTTATCTTCAGACTTAATCCATTCATCAACCAAGGAACGTTGCAATACATCAGGAACGAAATCATAACCAATACCTTCCACTTGATAAGAACCACCTTCTGTATTGAGAGATTCTGGTTGAGCAAGAATGGAACCAATGGGATCAACACCAACAATCTATATATAGATAAAAAAAAAAAAGAATGAATAACACTTCTTTTTTAGAAAATATTCTATTCATCTTACTTTGCAAGTAGGGCACTTTTCCTTAATCTTGGCAGCCAAACCAGTGATAGTACCACCAGTACCAGCACCAGCAACAAGCATATCTAATTTCCCATCACAAGCAGCCAAAATTTCTTCAGCAGTTGTATCATAATGAGCCACAGGATTATAAGGATTTCCATATTGGTCCAAAATGACGGCATTAGGAATTTCATCACGTAACTTTTTGGCAATTGAAATATGACTTTCAGGAGCATCCCATGCAGCTAATAATAATAATAATAACATTAGATAATATTCTATATCGATTTGATCAATTTACCTTCAGTAGGAGTACGAATGATTTCTGCACCAAGAGCCTTCAAAACATCCACCTTTTCTTGAGACATCTTTTCAGGTAAAGTAATAATAACACGATAACCTTTAACTGCAGCAGCCAAAGCCAAACCAATACCTATATAAAAACAAAGGTATAAATATAATATATAATATATATTTGATTTTTTAAAACATACCAGTGTTACCAGAAGTGGGTTCAATAATGGTGCTTACACCAGGTTTGATGATACCAGCATTTTCAGCTTCTTGAATCATTCGAACAGCAATACGATCTTTGACAGATCCACCAGCATTGAAGAATTCACACTTGGCCACTACCAAAACAAAAAAAAAATATTTATTCTCTATTTATTATATAAACTTTTTTTCTATTTATTTTATACTTACAGAGTTCACATTTTAATCCTTCTTCTTTTCCAATCTTATTGATACGTACCAAAGGAGTACGACCAACGTTTTCCAAAATAGTATTGAAAATCTTGGGATGAGGAGTCCTATAAAGAATAAAATGAGATTTTATATATATATATATAAAGTAAACTTACACTTGGACATGGTTAAATTTTTCAAAACCGTGTTGAACCATTCTATGAGTATAAAAAAGATGGGATATCAAAAAAAGAAAAAAGAAAAAAAAGAGAAAGAGAAAAAAAAATAGCCGTGCGAAAAAAAAAATTATAGCTGAAATTGAAAAAAATTTTCCACGGGTGAATGGTAACACTTCCAAAGTATCACGCTGTCCATTGGTTTGATCAATAAACAACTTGACATTTGGAATTGTGTAACTAGATATTTGATACAAAAAAAAAAAAAAAAAAAAAAAATAGATGTTTGCACTTACTGTAAACTTACCTGGTCAAGTCTCATATGTATTTCTGCATATAAAGTTTGAATTTTAGGGTACTCATTTGTAGAGGTGAAATACATCACTCCAGCTTATGGACGATATTGATCCTTTTTGTTTTATTATTCACTATTTTAATATATATATATATATTTAGCAGTCGAAGATCAATAAAACTAATTGGATTTTTTTTTATTGTTCATTTATTACAAAGGGGAAGAGCTATACATGGTAAAACAGGGTAAAAACAAACAAAAATAAAAAACTAAACTAAACTAAACTAGATTATTGATAAAAATCTTCATCCTTAACTGCCTTGTCATCTTCTTTATAAATCTTGATGGTCTTATCAGCTTCACCAGTAATCAAACGTAAGCCTGTTTGATCAAAAGTACTACAGAATATACCAGCTTCCGCATCCAAGGATCCAGGTTGTACAGTAGTTCCCATGGTTTGGAAATTGTAACCAGAACGCCAATCATTAAAGCCCATTGAGCCATCATCCCCACCAGAGAATACCACACCATCTGCATTGATTGATAATGTATTGATGATAGATTTGGGTCGATCAAAGTTTTGAATAAAAGTACCTTCAGGACATTTCCAACCCTTGACACGATCAGCACTACCACTAGCGAAACCAAATTCTGTTGGATGAAGAGCAAGTGCACGTACACTTTTCTTGTGATGTGTCAAAACACCCATCGTTTTGCCTGCTGCTAAATCCCATAATCGTATTGTACTATCCATAGAACCAGTAATCACTTGAGGATCTGCTTCTTGACATTTCACATCTGAGACAGTACTAGTATGACCGGTTAATACATGTACACATTGTTTCGTTCGCATATCCCATACCTAAATATTTGTAATATAATAATGAGAAATCATATCATTTTTTTATATATATATATTGTAAAAAACTTACTCTTGCTGTAGCATCACGACCACTTGTCACCAATACATCCAAAGTAGGATGTAAACTTAATGAATAAACACCAGATAAATGACCATGATAATGTCTAATCACTTTGTTTTGTTCTAAATCCCAACATTTCACCATCTTATCTTCACCACATGAGAATAAATAAGGATGACGAGGAGAAACAGCCAACCCACGAACAGTACTAATATGACCAGTTAATGATAACTTGAGTGTTCCAGAAGCCATATCCCAAATCTATAATAATAATAATAATAATAATAATGTTACTAACAAAGTAACAAATTTTTTTTATTATATATATATGTACCTTAATAGTTCGATCACCAGCACCAGTAGCAAACCATTTATTTCCAGGTTCTACAGCAACAGCACGTACCCAACCAAGATGACCACTAATGACCCGCATCAATTTCCAAGGAGCATGCCATACTGGTCGAATGGTCTTTGCTCTAGCACGACGTACCAAAGATCCACTATCACCTCCACCTAATCCATCACCAAAGATATCGGATACATGATCTTTTGTTCGAAGAGCCACCACACCTTGATTGGCATCCCTAAATATTGATATAATTTAAGTATACACAATTCAATAGTAATAATAATAATAATAATATACTTACAAATTTGATTTTTGAGGCAAAGTATCAATGAGTTGTTGTACAGGAGTCATATCGGTATCATCATCGTTAGGGTGTTCTTCAATAGTAGTAGCAGTTTTTTTGACTGATTTTTGTTGTTTAGCACGAGCAGCTGCTTCTTTTTGTTGTTTGACTAATGCTTCTGGTAGTGTACGGATTTGATCATATTCATCGTGAATTTTGCTGGTGAGTTTCATTCTCTGACTATATATATAAAAAAAAAAAAAAAGATTAAAAAACTATATATGATGATGGAGTTATTTTTACCTTGATTGTTCATCCATAGCTGCTTGACTATAAGCTGTACTGAAAAGAACTCGTGTCTTTTTAGCTGAAACCGTCACTAAAGCATCTAAGGACTCTAAAGTAGCATCGATACTATTGTTCATTGTAGAAGGAGCAGCTCGTTTTGTTTTGGCAGCAACCATAGTTTATATAATATATATATATATAAGAGAAAAGATAGATGAAAAATGATCTAGTTGAAAAAAAAAAAAAAAAAGGTAAGACAAAGAGAGAGAGAAAAAAAAAATCTTGAGTCCGTCACAGAGAAAAAACAAACAAAAAAATTGGAAAAAGACTGACATTGAAATACCAGACAACTGTTGCTGCTTACTGTCGTGAGTTTTCCACTATGATTGGAGAAAAAAAAAAAAGTCGATTTGGAAAATGTTTACTTTTACCCATACCATAGCATAATAATAACAATAATAATAAAAATCCGATTATTTGTTTTATTATTGACAAGTTGATAAAAAGAATGTATATACTATAAAAAATAAAAGGTGAGAGGCATAATAATAAAAAATAATCTAGTAAAAGACGATAAAAAAAAGAGAAAGAGTAAAGATAGCTAAAAAAAATAAAAAATAAAAGCGGAGGAGAAGAATAAGATATAAAACACAGACAAAAAAAAAAAGACATCAGATAAATTTCCAAAGATCATTAAAGAATGACACAACAAGAATCCTTATCAGGACTATTCATGCTTTGTTGTTTCAATTTTCGATCTCGTATCTGGCGCATTAACATGGTGTATACTTGATCCACATTTTGTCGTGTTTTTGCTGAAGTTTCTACATATTGACAGTTCCATTCTTGAGCCAACGCACCAGCTTCACTTCCAGATACTTTCCGCAAATGTGCTAAATCCACTTTGTTTCCTACAAGAATAAATGGTACCTAAGGGACAAAAAAAAAAATAAGATCATCCAAGTTTTTTTTTTTTGGGGGGGGTGATATAAAGAATGTTTTTCTTACAGTTTCATCATCCAAAACTCGTAAGATTTGATCTCTAAATTCTTGAGTATGTTCCAAAGATTCTTGTTCACAAACAGAGAAGACACAAAGGAATCCTTCACCAGAACGATAGTAATTATCACGAATCTAATATGAATAATAATAAAAAGAAAGAATCAATACAACAAATGGAAAAAAAGGAGGTGAAGAAAGAGAGAGGGAGATAACCTACGGCTGCATACTCTTCTTGGCCTGCTGTATCCAAAATATCAATTTGACATTCTTGGCCATCCAATACAACCTTCTTGCGGTAAGCTAAAAATAATAACAATAATAATAATAATAATAAATAATAATAAAAAAAGTGAATAAATATATTCAAGACTTTACTACATATCACCCACTTCGACAGATTTAGACTTGCTTCATCCTGTCTATATCTTGTCTACTCCTCTTTTTTTTTTCAACCCATATTGTCGCATTTGCCTCCCTCCCTCTTTCCCTGTTCTCTCCGTCTTTTCTTTTTTTAATTCTTTTCATCAATATGACTTACAGTCAGCCTTAGTAGGATCATATTCTTCTACAAAATCACCATACATATATTGAAGAGTAAGAGCTGATTTTCCAACACCTCCAGACCCAACCATGATAATCTTGTGTAGAGGTAAAGTTTGTTTGGCTTTGTTCTTTCCCATGATGAAGATAATAAAGTTCTTATAATAAACGTGATAATCGCAATGAAATTGTGTCGTTAATGTTGCTGATAAAAGAACAAGAAAAAAATAATAATAAAAAAAAAGCGAAAACGGAAAAAGAAAAAAAAAAAGAAAAAAAAGAAAAAGAAAAGAAAAAAGAGAGAAAAGGGAAAACAAGGAAGGAAAAATACACGAGCAAACTGTATCAACGGGCTTTAAATCGAGAATTTTCATACACTTGGTTGCCATTTTTGAGCATTCTTGTTGTGGGTGAGCAGATTACAGATATATATAAAAAAAGAAAAAAAACAATAGTTTATTAAAAAAACACAAAATAAGTAAAAATAAAGAAATAAACAACAAGAATAAAAATAGTAAATCATAATAAATAGATATAAAAAAAAAAATAAAGGTACGTTAAGATACGATGCATTGATCATCTTTAATTCCATTAGAAGTACCATCACCTGTTTTTTTGATATTTGAAAATCGATCAATAATAGTAGATTTTGTTATAGTATTAGGTCCATTGGTGCCACGAAGTGATTCTTCTAATGCCATCGTATGAGAAAGTAATGCAGGATTTTCCAATAATGCTTGTTGTTCTTGTGGAGTAAGTCCTAATGCTCGAGAATATTTTCGAATACTTTCAGCTTGAGGATGATCACGTAGAGCTGATGCTAAAGGTTGTCGAAGTCTTGTTGTACTTGCTCGTCGAACACCAAATGTTGGTATACTTGATCTTGGTGATGATTTAGTTTCCTTATTACTATTGCGATTGTAAATCTTGGCGGAGAATACCCACTATATTAAAATAGAAATGAGTTTATATATATTCAATCAAAATTAAAAAAAAAAAAAAAAGCTTACATCATATGAAGGTTGTTGTTCATTCACTTTGGGAGGGCAAGAGAAAGCTAATTTCTTACATTCATCATGACAAATAAGAGAACATGTTTCACAAAAAATAGCTTGTTCTCGTAGTAGTTCTCCACAGACTTTACATTCCACGACTAAATAATCAAAAAAAAAAGTAAGATATCATCCATCTGATTTGTTTCATTCACTTACTTTTCCCAAAAGAGGTCTGAATAAAGCGATGTGTAGCATAATCTCCTTCTTCCAAGTTAGGTAGTTGGTGATGATTGTGTTGACTTTGTTGAATTTGTCGTCGAATAGAATCCATAGAAGAACGAGCAATGGATCGTTGATGTATACTCTGTCTATCTTCAGTATCTGGAATAACGTCTGAAGTACCATCACTAGTAGTGGCGTTGGCTGTTGATTTGGTGTTACGTTGATGATACTGAATCCATGGATGTTCCTTTAGAGTCTTGGCAGTGGGACGGTCATCTGGATTCTTTTGGAAACAACATAAAAGGAAATCACGCATGTCCTATAGACAATAAAATATATGATATATCAATATAAATGCCACTTTTTTTTTAATATATATATATATATATATATATATAATATATTCTTACCTCTGAAATATTGTCAGGTAGAGGAGGATAATCATCCTCAACAATACGGAACATGGCTGACATAGATATCAAGTCTGCATAAGGAGGTTTTCCAGTCACTAATTCAATCAAAGTACATCCCAATGACCTGATTTCAGAAAAAAAAAAAAAAAGGAATGAGTGATAAGTATTAATATCTTCATGTTCAATATCACACATTACCATATATCAGATTTGGTAGAAGCACCTTTCATTTCAATCACTTCAGGAGCCACTATAATAAAAAGAATGAAATAAAAAAGGAAAAGGACAAAGATGAGAAAAATTTAATACATTGATCATCCATCTCTGTGTGATAGTTCCTTCTTTTTTTTTTTTTAAAAAAAAAAAAAAAAAAAAAAGAACTTACTCCAGTTGGGGGTCCCAGATACTGTTTGATCATCAACAGCCTTGATTTTGAGATTAAGAGACACACCGAAATCAGTCAACTTGACATCACCTGTTTTTGTAGTAAGGATATTAGCAGCTTTGAGATCACAATGTACTACTTGATTGTCATGTAAATAATCGAGACCGTTAAGAATCTTAACACAAAAGGAAGCCACTAGTTTTTCAGGAAAAGCACCAAAAGATCTCAAAGTTGACATGAGAGAACCATTTTCAGCATATTCCAAAATAATATTAATATGATGTCGGTTTCGAATAAATCCAAGATATTGAATGACATTAAGATGAGACATTGTTTTCAGTAAATCAACTTCTTTCTATATACAGATTAAAAAAAAAAATGAATAAGCAAACAGTATCTTCAGTATATTGCAAAAAAAAAAAAAAAAAAAAAAAAAAATACATAGTGGGATATATGATCATTTCATTTTACCATCATTTCTTGATCCAATTCTCCATCTTCCAATTTGATACGTTTGACTGCCACAATTTCACCAGTGGCCAAATCCAAAGCACGATAGACAGATCCGAACTGACCTTTACCAATACAGTTTCCTAATTGCTAAATAAAGCAAAAAGGAAAAAAAAAGGAAAGGAAAAATAGATGATGATGATGATGATTAGTATAATATTATAAAACTGGAAATCATAACTTACGTATTGAATACTTGTGGATCCATCTTGTCCTTGAAGATAAAGTCGAACTTTATCTTCTTCTTGATCTTGTTGTTGTTGTTGTTGTTGGTGATGCTTTTTTGAATGACGTCCTAAACTACCTGTGGTTTGTTGTTGTGCATTGGATGAACGTCGACTTGAATGAGGTTGTCGTGGAGGTAAATCACTATGACTATGTACTTTTTGATTATAAGACCAATTATGAGAGTCGTCAGTTGACACTTGAGTATCAGGAGTGTTGGGTGATAAGATGGATGAAGATGATAATAGTGAAGAACATGAAGAAGAAGGTGATAGAGTGTGTAAATCATCCAAAGTTGCTGGCATAGTAGACTTGCTGGAAGTTGCTGTCGTAGTAGAGGAGCGTCGTCGACCAACAGATTTAGAACGTTGGCTTGTTCTTAAAGGTGACTTTGGAGGACGTGATAAAACAGTAGGAGTTTGTGTAGGAACATACCAATCCAATTCGTTGGCCAAGGATAATTCTTTTGAAGTATTAGTGTTGTGGTCAAGGGAAGCATCAGTTATAACACGTAAGTCTTGATTATCAAAGCATGAAAATATATCTCGAACATGACGATACTTTGCTTCAGTATCCTCATCTTGAGAAGAGGAAATAATAGAATTAGTGGATAAAGTGGAAGAAGAAGAAGTAAGGGTGGAAGGAGGTAAATTTTCAGATGTAGTAGAAGTTCCGGCGGGAGTTGAAATGGAAAGTGGCCCCTGATCTGTTCCCCTTACTGTTGATGAAGTTACTGACGATGATGGTGCCGATGACGAACATCCTCCTTTAACTTGAAGCCAGGAGTATTTCTCGGGTTCCGTTTTGATGAAAAGTTGTGATAACGTCAGAATAGTATGGATGACCTAAAGACAGTTTAGAACGAAGTTAATGAATATTTTTGATTTGAGTATCCCGTTTTATTCTCTCGTCCCCTTTTGATCTCCCTACCCTTGGCATATCTTTTGCTTCAAATAGATCGATGGTTTCAAATAACTGAGAGTCTTCAAGTCCAAGCTAAAAAAAAAAAAAAAAAAAAAATTCAATAATCATAATATGATTAATGATGATCTTTATTATACCTGTCGAGCACCTTGTAAAAATCGAGTAATATTATCCATCTATGAAAGAAAATCGAAAGAAAACAAATGAGGTTAATCACTATTGCCTTTTTTTTTTTTTAAAAAAAAAAAAAACAAACTATATATGTATATATATAATCACCTTTATAAAAGACAAATCTTTTTGTCCCACAGTCTTGATGGTACCTGGACGAAGTTGATTGACAAGACTAAAAGAAAATAAAAAAAAAATATATGTCAGTACAATGATTAACGATGCTTGATTTTCAATCTTACTTGCATAACACCACACCATCTTTAAGATCATGATGTAGTTGTCCATGAGTTAATGTGATATCAAGTGCCATTTGGATGAAATCAATGACTAGCTTTTCATCAGTATTATATTGATTCTGTTTCATTTTATCCACTATGGCATCCGGTCCAACTTTGTTTCTATTTCCCAAGCGTGATGAGTAGCCAGCGTTGGTTGTTGTATTGGTTGTCATCCCAACTCACAAATTAAAATAAATTATGATTAAAAATAAAAATAAAAGAAAAATAAAAAAAAAAGACAAAAGAAAAAAAGAAAGAGAGAAAAAAAGATTTCAAAACTTTTTATGTTTCTCTTTCTTTATAAAGAAATTATCATGGTGCCACGTCCTAATTGATTTTGAAAAAGGGGAAGAAAAAAAAGGTCCTGTCTTTTTTCCTAAAAAAAAAAAAAAAAAAAAAAAAAAAAAAAGTCTCCTGAATACTGATCAATTATATATGATGGATTTGTGTGATATAACTCCTTTGTAGATGGATAGTTTATATAGTATTAATATCATCAAAATCACAAACGATAATCTGCGATGAAAAGTTACACAATCTCGACAATAATTGCATTCATGCAGGAAATAGTTGAAGTCCCATATGTATATGATTGCATGTCAAAGAAATTGATGGTAATGATGATGTACGCAAAATAGCTATCAGATGGTCGAGAACAAAAAAAAAAAATGAATAAGTTGGCATTTGGTTCTATTACATTTATATGTACGATATCTTTATCATCATTGTTAATTATCATCATAGAGATCATCATAGCGGAATCATCGTCATCCTTGTAGATATTATCACCACAGATTCATCATCATCATCATCATGGTATCATGTAATCATCATTATTTCAATCATCATCTTACTATCCCGGATGCCCTAGCACGACAAAGAAAAAGAAAAAAAAGGACGGACCAGGGAGAGAAAAATACACTGACAAAAGGGATATTCCTTTAGCTTTTAGGAATGGAGTTTGGGTTACGAACAGAAAAAGGAGTGGTGGGGACACAAAAAAGGAAAGAAAAAAAGAGAGAGAATCGAATCCCTCAAACGGCTTTATCCACCTTAAATTGTATTACTCGCATCCTTGATCTCCTTTTTTTATTTCGTCTAAAATACTCCAAATACACACAGAGTATTAACTTATTTATGAAAAAGGAGTTTCTTTTGAAGTTGAAATAAGGATAAATATGAGAGAAAAAGTGGAATAAACTCATTGTAGCATAATCATCCTTGTATATTCTATTTTTAACGTTACTGGATCATGTAGATCATTGGTCCGTGAATGTGCATAAAAGTACTTGTCTATTGTTGATTCATTCTTTTTTTTTTTTTTTTTTTTTTTTACTATAATAAGGCTTATATAATATATCGTTATTGACAGATGATTGTTTCTCCTAATCTGATGTTCCTTTCTATTTAATTAAATCTGTCAATAGCTTAAAAAAAAGAAATCCTAAAAAGATCAATGCCACTATTAAAAGAAGGAGATCGTATCATATACACATATACTATACTGGTATGAGTGACAAGCATGATGATGATAATGGTGATGATGATGATGATGATGTTACGATGATAGGGGGAATAAGTCGTGCTTTTTGTTACTAAATACTATCATTTAACTTCTTCCCGCCTTCCAAATATGGTACCTTGCAATTGTGAATGAAAAATAAAATAAAAAAAAAAACCTGTCCTGCTCATCAATGAAAGGTAGCACAAAAAGGGGAGAAAACCATTCTTTTTTTTTTCGAACCTGTCAGTTTCATTTCAAGAACAAAAGACAGTTACATAGAGAGCTCTTACGGAGTTTCGATTGGGTGAGCCTTCGCAAGATCTCATTGGTGAAAAATCGTCACAGTTCAAAAAAAAAAAAAAAAAAACTTCAATTCTGACTTTTTCACTTCCAGTTTTTTTTTTCACTTTCTTTCCATATTGTTACATACTACATATCACAATGGTAAAAAGATAATGAAAAACATGATATAATTATTATGATAGCATAACCTTATTTATTTGTTTATTTATTTTTACAGATCCGAAGAAATACACGGTTGAGACGAGAATACCTTTATAAGAAATCATTGGAATCCAAAGAACGAACGATCTACGATCGTAAACAACGTATCAAGGAAGCTATTGAAAGTATGTGATATATAAAATACTATATGAAATAATTTCACTCGATTCCAATCCTTTTACTAAACAATCTACTTGAATTTATATTAGAGGGACAACCTATTCCTACTGAACTACGAAATGCTGGTGACGAAATGCGAGCAGATCTTCCCTTTGATCAAGCACAAGCAGGTAAGCAGTGATAATAATAATAATAATGATAAGAATGGCAATCAACAAATATTTAACATGATGGAGTTTTTTTTTTTTTTTTTTTTCTTAATCTACAGAACCTACAACACACGCTGACGATGAATACTCCCGTGCTGGTGTTTTTGATCCCAAGATTTTGATCACAACCTCCCGCGATCCCAGTAGTAGATTACAACAGTTCTCCAAG